TAGGCCACTATCCTACCATCGAAAGTTGATAGGGCAGAAATTTGAATGAACCATCGCCGGCACAAGGCCATGCGATTCGTTAAGTTATTATGAATCACCAGGGAGCCCCGAAGGGCATTGGTTTTATCTAATAAATACACCCTTCCGAAGTCGAGGTTTTTAGCATGTATTAGCTCTAGAATTACCACGGTTATCCATGTAGTAAGGTACTATCAAATAAACGATAACTGATTTAATGAGCCATTCGCAGTTTCACAGTATAGTTGCTTATACTTAGACATGCATGGCTTAATCTTTGAGACAAGCATATGACTACTGGCAGAATCAACCAGGTAACTATCTTAAGGCTGTTGCACCCCGAAAGGTGCTAGGCCAAACCCCCTAAAAGGAGGCTAGAGTTGTTAACTTGGGTGAGGAAATGCTCTGAAAGAACACTTCCTAATCGTTAGGGATCAATGGAGCTGAGCTCGCAAAGGCCTATCGATTATCCATTTGCCCCCACTATGTTCCCCAAAGGACGGTCTACCGCACAGAGTTCAGGCACGAGGTACCATCGCAAGGTGAGATATAGGCCCCTCAGGAGGAGGATACCGTTCGCTGATCACGCTAGAAGCGGTTATCAGCTTGGGCTTACCCCCAAGTGTCTAGGAATAGGTATAGCCATCGGCCACTAATCCACAGACTCCATCAATGCCTGCCAAGCCGAAGCTGACAGGACATCGGCCCCCCTACGCTGCAAGCCAAAAGCCTAAGCTTCATGCGGATTACAGTGTAGAAGAGTTTATCCATGCGCCTGTGGTATTTTGAGGGGCTTCACGTATTAGGTGATACCACACAAACAAATACCAATGGGTCGCGGATACAGCAACCAAGGTACTGGGAGGATATTTGAACGATTTTGGTATTCTACATTTCATCGTATCAATCAAGAGTTGCAACGAGCTATGCGCGCCTAAGGCCTGTACAGGCTGACTCTTCACCAATGCCAGTGAAATATAGAACCACAAAAAGGTCATTAGAGTATTACCTTCTAATCTATAGAGACCATTCGGTATCAGTTTATTCATTCGATTTTTGGAGCTGCAACGTGCTACGCGCGCCGAAGGCCTATACAGACTAACTCCTCAACCGTTTGAACCAAACTTTACCCTCAGATATATAGCTTCGAAGACCTCTAACTGAAATCACCTGTAACACTCTCCAGCGTTCATACGATAGGCGATTACAGGGCCAGTAAAGCCTAATAATCACCGTCCTTTCGTACAAACACCGTAAAGGCTTTAGTTTCAGGTTTACAGTGTGAATGAGGCAGGCTTGAGCGCCTATTAAGTGTTGAAGCTCTAGGAATAATAAATCCTAATTAAAGGATTTTACTTTTCTTTGAGGCTTCAACTCGCCCCATTCATATACCCATCGACTCCTTATTGGAAGATTTGTCAGGCACAATTGATTTTGTCGGGAAAATATTTTCCGACAAATTCATTTACATACAAAATTGCTATTGATGTAATTTTCACTAACAAAAAGTTCGTGAAAAATTACCTAAAATGAATACTTGGAAAATTTCATTCGATATCATCGTCGCATTTATAGAGCCCTTAAACCTCTTATAGGCTATGGTTATAGGCTTAATAAAGCCTATTAATAGATTATCATTAAGCTATATAACCTTTTATATACCTAAAGCTCACCGGGAGCTTTCTAAACTCCAATGCTTTCAAAACTGCTTCACTTTAATATTTCAAGTCAAACGTTTAGCTCTCACTATTCAAAAGTCATCGTTTTCTTAAAACCCTTCTCCTTTTCTTATTCTACTATATAAAGCAAAAACCCCGGTTACTTATTTATAATATATATAATATCGATAAAATCGGTGCTTTCCTACCCCCCCTCGTATTGTCACATAAAAATAATTTCCGATAAATTATTTTAACCCCCGGTGACCATTATCGTCGGTAATTTATAGGCGTGTAAGCCTTTTAATCTTTAAAATTCCCCTGTTATAACATAGGGGCTATACATTAATTAGGAGCCATTCCAAATGTGTATTTGCCTCCCGGTGAGGTTATATCAGAGAATATATGTACTATTATTAGTCGCTCCTAATAGGCTATATGCCTCATAGGAGAAACCTAAAGGACCCTAACCAAGCTATTGAGGCTATGTTTTAGTACATAAGATATGCCTCACCGGGAATAATATATTATAAAATATATCTATAGTCTACATTCAAGCCACTGAACGAGGCACCGGGTGATTCTATAGGGCCCTACGTTCTATACTAAGCATCACCGGTAGCGTATTACAGGACTATTCATATATACCACCAACCGGGTTCGGCATTCACAACAGAGGGGACTATCTTCTTGGCGGAAAGATGGAGGTAAAAGACAAATCCTGTCAACCCTGCGCAATGCCTAGTACGAAGCCTTCTGTGCTTGATAGATATATAATATTTAGAAGTATAGGCAAAACGGGTTTAGAAAAAGATAATGTTAGTAGTGAAAAAAGGATTTGGTATCATTATCAAATACACGCATGCCCAACAAGCTTACCAGCCCTCAATCAATTCCTCAAGCCCAATACATCAACCACAGCACCGTGAAGGGAAGAATCCAACAGCCAAGGCGTGAATTTAGTTTCCCTTCTGCTCCTCTTTTAGACCTTCCTTCTGCCCACCCCCAAAAATACCCCCAACATATCCACCTGCAGTCTTTGCACCATCTGCCAGGCCAGAACCAACATTCTGTGCGCCACCCACAACTCCTTGCCCAACACCTTTTGCATTCTTAATAACCGGATCCGTGAAGGCTGACGTAGGACCACCGTATGAACCATCTTCGTCTTTTCCTTTGCGCTCCATTCTGTTGATACCTTCCTTCCCAGCCAGGTTTCCTACGGGGGCCAATAGACCATTCTCCCCAAATTGATTACCGACAAGGTTATGCACGTCGTCTTGAATTTGGTCGATTTGTGAGACGCCGGTGACTTTGGTTTTGTTGAGTGTATCTACAATTTTGATTTAGCTTCGAGGTTGTGAATGTTGAAGTCTAGGTCAACCAACCTTTCGTCACATATGATGCCTTGTTGTCGCCTTTCCCAAACCATTTCAAATATTGGTCTTCAATCCATGGCATCCACTTCTCATATTGGTCGTTGTATGCCTCCTTTACCCATTCTGTATATGTTTGTTTCTGCTTTTGTTCATCGGAGAGGTTGTCATAAAATTGTTTCTTCTGTTCATCCGTGTGCTCGGGAGCCGACATGCCCGTCGCTTTCTTCAAGGACTCCATGTTATTATTTTATATCGACAGTTGTAAGCTTTAGCGATGGCTCGGAGTCGTGATGTGAATTTGTGATTCTTGTAAACGATGCCGAAGAGATGTGTGGTAAAATATTTATAGTTGAAAAAAGTACCAAAAGTCTCAAGTCTTAAATGTACATATATATATATATAATCATTGAATCCATGTTGGACAAAAAGGTTGCATGACGTATGTTGAAGATGTTCCGATTGCCTGATGGTTCAATTGTCGAAATCCTGTTTTGCCATTCAGGGATGCAGGCTCAATACGATCCAGCTGGGGTAGGAAGACTTCTAGAGGCTAGACCCCAAGAACAGTCCCATGGAACAGGCGGATGCAAACGGGATTTAAAAATGATGCTGATGATGTAGTAGTGGAATCTCAATCCTGCAACTATTTTGCACTTGCAAAGCCACCCCATTCTATCACGTACACCTTAAACGAACAATCTATCCAGCAAAATGTCATATAGATGCGAAACTTCTTCATTTAAGCTATAAGCTTTGATCGAATTTCGATTGGACGTAACAATGTGATCTTCTGATGTGATCGAGTAACTAGAGACTGATCGAATAAACTCGTGAAGTAGGAAAACCTCGGAACCACGTCGAATATAGTTGTACATTGTATATTTGCCGACCCAAAACGCCGTGAGGATAAGCCCGTTAACGCCTTTAATGTTCCTCCCCTACCATCCACCTCTAAATCCCCTTCCCCTGCCTCTGAAGCCACCTCTCCCTCCACCACGACCTCCATATCCGCCCCCCCTGCCGCCGTATCCGCCGTCGCCATAACCTCCATCGTATCCTCTTACCGCCGAGGTGTGATCCATGTCATCTGCAATAGGTCTTGACCTCTTCATCTCTTTCGGAAATGCGTCGTAGGTCTTCCTCATTTGCGCGTAACCCAGATGCATTTTCCCATAAAAATGGTCCGCCAATCTCCTATCGTTATCCAACCGGCTCAAATAAGCCCCGCAAACATCACAAACTTGTAATTTCTGGTGTCCCGAAGGTCCACTGGTGTCTGATAGTGCCTTCAATTCCTTTTCCTTCTCCACTTTCGTCTGCATAGCTTGTCTGATGCGAAAGAATTCCTCATAAGCGCGCGATACCTCCGATTGTTCTCCTAGAATCTGTATCTCCAGCAACCCTGTCTCAATAGATTTTGATAGGTCAGATATTTGTTTCAGCAGGGCGTTCGTCTGTCGAATTTCGTCGGGCGTTTTCTCCAGGCGGCGCTGCGCAACATCTATCCTCCTATTGCATTCATCGATATACTTCTGTAAGTCGCGCATGTAATCGTATTCGAAGCCCCATTTTTGTTTTTGAGGAGGGGCTGCAGCCTCATACTCCGTTTTCAAAGGTTCTGAATGAATTTTTGGACATGGCCCTAAGTCTTGCTTTGTATTTGTGAAGAGGTCGTGAGGACACGTTCCGACGAGGAAGGAACGGCAAATCTTTGGATCTGTGATTGACAGTTGAGCTGCGCGAGAGGATGCCCCCGCGCCCATCAGCTGCTCTGTTGAGAAGTTATGTTAGTGGGAAAAAATAACAGATTTTTGATGCTCGTAAAAGAATTGCAGTCGCATTTAATGAAGCGCAAACATTTTCCAACTTGAAACCAAACAATCACTTACCTAACAGCTTTCTCTGCTCGGCGGCCATATTTGAAATGTATAATGTACGTTGTTGTGATTTTATGTCGAAAGAATTGATCGAAAAAGCTCAAGAGAAGACAAGGCTCAGGCAGCGGCTTGGGAAGCGCAAAGAGCCGCGATAAGGCTGCACGGTAAACCACCGAATTGCTTCCCTCCCCATACCCCAAAAGGTTTTTATGATCAATCAATCAATCAATCGCTCGTCAATCAATCCTTCGATCCTTCAATCATTCATGCCATTCTTCATAATTCAATGAGGAGCTTCTTGACAATATGGCATTGGCGTTGAATGCCATGGATCAAATCTGCTACATCTTGTTCCTACTATTGGGTCTATTATCCACAAGAGTAATCGCATCCTCAGATTATCACGAGCAACTCCTTCTACAACCACTTCATCCTTCCTCTTTACTTGCTTCTTTCAATTTTCAAAGCAACACCAGCCTCAAATCGTTTGAACAGCAGAATTTCCGCTATTTTCCAAGATCTTTAGGACAGATTCTTCAGTATGCGAACACCAGAGAATTACATTTGAGGTTCAGTCTAGGGAGATGGGATGCTGAGAATTGGGGCGCGAGGCCATGGGGTGGTACAAGGGAAGGAGGAACAGGTGTGGAGCTTTGGGCTTGGGTAGAAGCTGGTACTGATGAAGAGTACGTTTGACATCTTCGAGAAATAGATTCAGTCAGCTAACACATCCTTAGGGCTGATGATCGCTGGTTGACTTTGACCAACGCATTGTCTGGTCTCTTTTGTGCCTCTCTTAATTTTATCGATTCGACGAGAACAACGAGACCGGTATTATCATTTCAACCCGTCGGAGACCACTCAAACTCAACACTGTCAAACCTACACCTTCTGCATGGAACCCTACCGCGAGAAGTTGTCTGCACAGAAAACCTGACACCGTTCTTGAAACTTTTGCCCTGCAAAGGAAAAGCTGGCATTTCGAGCTTGTTGGATGGGCACAAATTATTCGATGCATCATGGCAGAGCATGTCTATTGACGTGCGACCTATATGCACAAGCGATTCAAACGACTGCCAGCTTCAAATCACACAGACCATTGATATGGTTCTGGATGTCCAAAGATCCAAGCGCCCGAGAGGTTGGCAAATCAGTTCCTATCATGACCACGGTGCTAACTCTAACCAGACAATCCAATCCCACGGCCTGTCCCCTTTGAGGATTTAAAATGCGACGCCTCTAAGGCATATCATGCTGAAGACACCTGTTTCCCCCTCGATAACTCCGCGGGAGAGGAAGATTGGAGTTTATCGCAGATTTTCGGTCATTCACTGAAAGGATCCTGCCCACTTGCCAAAGATGTTGAAGATTCTGTTTGCATAAAGGTCCCTCATGCGCGCAATGTCTTTATTTCTGGAGGAGCGGTTGAACACAAAGATTCTTCTGGATACAACCGATGTTTTCGATTACAACAAGACAGTGATTTCGAGATGGTATTACCTCGACAAGATATTCAAGAAAAGGCGCCATTGGAGCAGCCCCTACTTTATGCTGAGCGCTCATTCATTGGATATGGACAGGAACGAGGTGGTGTACAGGCTATTCTTACGAACCCATCGCCAAGAGATGCAGTTGATTTTGTGTACATGGAGTCGCTCCCTTGGTTCATGAAAGTCTATCTTCACACCCTGGAAGCCAAGACGAATGGCTTTCACGAAGATGTCATGCAAGAAATGTTTTACCGTCCAGCTCTAGACCGGAAAAGGGGAACTCAATTGGAAGTGCGCATGCGTATTCCGGCGAACTCTACGGTCATTTTAACCTATGACTTTGAAAAGGCAATCCTTCGGTATACAGAGTATCCTCCCGACGCCAATCGTGGGTTCGATGTTGCCCCGGCCGTTATCACCATTGGAAATGTTAGCATCCGCACCACGACCCTTTTACTTCCCCTTCCAACACCCGATTTCAGCATGCCTTACAATGTCATTATTCTTACCAGCACAGTAATGGCCTTGGCATTTGGAAGTGTTTTCAATCTGCTAGTACGGAGATTTGTTGCGGCGGATGAAGCTGAAAATTGGGATATCAGGGCCGTTAGATTACGGATCACATTGCTTGTGCAGAAGATTCTGGCTCGGATGGTCGGGCAAGCAAAGTATGGCAAGAAAGAATAGGACACGCTACCCACCACATAATATGAATCATTTGTCTCTAATTGTATCTGGAAAGATAACCACTGTGCCAACAGGAAATTATAGGGCGGAGGCTGGAACCAATTTCCTCTGGGACCTACACAGGTCTGCGTAGCTTGCTTTTCAAGAATGCGGATGAGGTCTATAAGGCCCATGAGTTCCAAAGCCAGCTGCCCGATCGCATTTACGCCTTCCCAGTTTCCCGCATAACCTCCGCATCCAAGAAAAGGAGGTAGCTAGGCACGTTGTGAATTTGAGTGAATGTTGAATACCCTCGATCGATGACAGGAGACGGAAATCTTCTTTCCCTCATGCTGAATTGTGAAATTATCGGTGGTAGGTTTCTTGGCTTCGGCTTTCGCGACACAGAACCTCTGATCACTATGATTACTCTGATCGCTCTAGTCTGGTTGATCACGGGAGTTTGTCCCACATGGTCGGACCGGATCATCTATCATCCTCTCCTGCTTCGAGATACTTGTCCGGAGTACCCCGTCCAGTTTGTAAGATCTAAGTGCCGTTTCGGCTCGTTTGTAAGGTCACACCGGTCACCCATCCCATCTATCTATCCATTCATCCCTTACATAGCATCCGCGTGCCGGGCAAAGGGCAGAGGTCAACATCCTTATCGCCATCATCATTTATTTCTATCCTTCCTATGCTCAGGAGACCTTTCTGTAACGTTACGTACTCGCACTGCTCGAAAATATCCGTACATCATCTCCAGGTGGCGTCACCTTCATGCCATCAAGTCTGCCCAATCAAATTCCGCAACCCAGTCGCGAGATCCCCAGCGATTGAACTTCCATGGCGTACCATGAACGGTTCAATCTAGATTTGCATATCATTTCAACTCTTCGAAAAGTTACTGTCATGATCCGTCTGGAATATATTGCCAATGCTTGTGGCTTCCACTTTGAAGATTCTAAATTAGGATGCACGAGCTCCAAGCAGTCTAGCGCAATTTTAAAAAAAAGTCAAAAACATTCTAGTGGTAATCTTCCATTCTTTTAAAGTTCAAACTTAAAGTCAAATAAAATGGACTTCAAGTTTTGGGTCGATCTGCCAGAAAGTACCGCATGCCATTCCCTCACTTAACTCGCTAAGGATTCAACGGTAAGGTTACAGTGTTCCATTCGAAATGTATGTGGGGGGATTTTATTCCAAAAAGTGGATCAGGAAACTCTTCCAGATCATATACCGTATACGGCGTACCTGGTTCATTCCCTGGTTTTCAAATCAACCGGCTTAAATCTATGGCGAGTTAAGTGAGTTAAGTGACTTGATTGACCTCTCTGAATGTTTACACGGGATGAGACTTGGACGCTAGAGAAACCATGGCTGTTCCTCTGAGAGTTTGCCATCTCCTGGTACGTACATAGAGTTTCGGAGTTTTGCTGACTTCCTGGCCGCACGAGTAAATAAATTCAGTCTTATTATCTGCCTGGATGAAGTCTCACGGAAATTTGATTTCTTATTTCGACATCAACTGAACATTTCCAATTTAACTACGGGGTATGCTGGTGCGGGCATGATGCTGCGGACTGCGGACATCCCTTCTCATTTCCTTCTCTCCCAAGTTTTCACATTCTCTGCATCTTCATTTGCGGGCGTATATCGTATGAGGCCGATGATCTGTAGATGGTGCAAATGCGTTAGTCATTTGTGTCGTCCTGGAAGCGTGGCTTGGGACATTTCTCATTGCCCATTTAAAATTCAAGAACCAAGGGTCACCGGATGGAGACCTAGTGGTAACGTTATATGATATGCGATTGAGCATGGATCCTTCACAATGACTATTAAAGAGAGGATTCTCTCGCTCAATTAACTAGAGCATTATCTCCTCAACGTCCGGCAATTTGCTACTACGTTAAGAGTTAGTGACGGCAGCTCGAACTCAACGAGCATTAGCAAGCTCTGCTTTTAAACTCTGCTTTCCTCCACTGCTCATCAGCTTTTCACTTGACCACTTACTTTCACCGCTGCTCTCAGCTCTTTACCCCGTTCTTTCGCCTCTTTACTTAAACCTCTTGCATACTTTTGGTTATTTCCCTTCGGCAGAGCAATCATGATGCATCTTTTCATGCAGTACTCAGTACTGGCTTTGACGTGTTTATCCTCTTTTGCATCTGCCTCCGCGGTTCCCCATGGACATTATTCTAAAAAGTCTGGTGTAAAAGCTGCATTAGGAGGCGCTGTACACACCGCGACCGGGGGATACCACAATACAGCTTACTTTGTCAACTGGTGAGTGTTTCTTCTTGCCATTTTTTTTATCTGGTGGCAAATGTGTCCTCTAACTGGTTTCACTATAGGGCAATCTATGGACGAGACTATCAACCTCAACAATTGCCGGCCTCCAAGCTGACCCACACCATATACGCATTTGCTAATTTGAAAACGGATGGCACAGTGTACGTCTACCTCCCTTCCCAGAAACATTTTCCAATGCATACTAACCTAAAATCAGGTACCTCTCCGACACATATGCCGATCTTGAGAAACATTATTCCACTGATTCCTGGAATGACACCGGAACCAACGTTTATGGTTGCATTAAGCAACTTTACCTACACAAGAAACACAATCGCAAGATGAAAACTCTTCTAAGCATCGGCGGTTGGACGTACTCAGCAAATTTCGCTGCTGCCGCTAGTACAGACGCAACTCGTGCACAATTTGCCTCGACAGCCGTGCAATTTGTTCAAGACCTTGGATTTGATGGCATTGACATTGATTGGGAGTATCCTGCCAATGATGTCGAAGCTGCCGATTTTGTGCTTCTCTTGAAAGCTATTCGCTCTGCTCTTGATACATATGCCGCACGCTATGCTCCTGGCTATCATTTCCTTATCACTGCTGCAACCTCTGCCGGTCCAGACCACTACAATGTCCTTCATATGGCAGATATGGATAAGTACCTTGATTCCTGGCACTTGATGGCGTATGATTATTCTGGGTCCTGGGATAACACCACTGCTCACAACGCGAATCTATATCCTAGTGTGCTCAACCCAAAAAGTACACCATTCTCGACACAAAGGCCCATCGTTGACTACGTCGCCAAGGGTGTTCCAATTTCCAAGATAATCATGGGTCTACCAATCAATGGGAAGTCATTTTTGAATACCACGGGATTAGGAATGCAATCCAGTGGTGGTGGTCCAGGATCATGGGAGACCGGAATATATGATTACAAGGTCCTGCCTCGGGCCGGTGCCACCGAATTTTATCTCCCTGATGTCGTTGCAACTTACAGTTACGACAATGTTACTAAAGAACTCATCAGTTATGATAACGTCAAGTCGGTCTCCATGAAAACGAAATACATTATGGCTAGCGGAATGGGTGGTGCAATGTTCTGGGAGACTAGTGCGGACAAGACCGATGATGGAAGTCTCATCTCAACGACCGCCCGAATTTTCCCCGCTTTGGACCAGACCCGGAATCTGTTGACGTACAATGCGAGTGCATATGCAAACATGGCAGCAGGTATGCCTGGTGAGTAAGCTTGCGATGCATTTAGGGGGCAGAGAGTTTGTTCGGCTATAGGCAAGGCAGGAGATACCTCGGGTTTAGTTTATCATCTGGCGTATATATGGCGTCGCTTTACCATTTTCATCAAGTAGAATATTTTTAATTTCATTACATATATTTTATTAGACTTGGCTTTCCGACACAACACGAAAGTTTTTGCTGCCGGCGGATGCCTGCCATTATCTCCATGCTGTGTTGTGATCATCTGGTTACTGTGTTAACCCATTTCGTTTTGCTGCTCATGTCTTGTTGCGTCGCTCATCTGCGTGTCGTCTAGCACACGTTGCTTCGGGCTCTCAAATGCAGTCCCAAAATATAATACCATCTCTGCTTACTGGATTTTATTACGCCAAAGGAACATTCACTGCATCTCAGATATCTCTTCTAATTGAGCTTCCATGGACTAACGCGAGAGAATCATGGGGTAGCTGTAAGTTGAGTACTCCAGGGGCGATCTGCATTGCTCAATGGTCTTGATTTCCGCTCCTTGGCGCTCCCTTCCTCTTCCTCTCCTCTCCTATCCCGCTCTTAATAGTTGAAATATCGCGCTCCTTCCTATCCTTAGGGGTATGATGGGAAAGGAGGGGTATAATGGTTAGAGATGCATAGCATTAAACGTGGGAGATTGTCGGTTATCTATATAATTGCGACAGACTGAGACACTAATAGTGTCCTAACTCTACGAAATAGGCTAGGATAATGATTATTCTAGGATAGTTACCCTAGGACAATTACATTAGGATATCAACTATCCTAAGGAGGGGATTATCCTGAGGCAATTCCAATGGGATGGGATTGCTAGGATTAGCCTACCAGGATAGAGATCACGTGATGGAACCTCCAGGAGCATGGGCTCCCTTAGGCTCCCTTAGGCTCCCGGAAGGGATTAGTATATAGTCAGAATAGTTTCATAGTTTAGGAGCGGCGTGCTCAACTTAGTTATCAATTAGCTTACCTACATTCTACTTGATCTAGTAACAAATTCACTTTCAAGTGAATAACCAGTGATTAATAGCCTTAACCTACAACTACCAACCATACGAACCTCAGCCAGCCGCTGCCTCGACCAGATCGTTACATGTGAATTGAGTTGAAGGATTTCAATTGAGTTGAGTTGAAAAAAGCTCCAACTATTGAAATCATCAAGTCAAATTTGCCTGAGGCTGTAAGGTTTCCTTATGCCAAGCTTTTTGTTAGATTTATTTACCGGGGTATTTTAGACCAATCAGATTGTTAGGATCGCGACTCATTTAAGCGAGTTTCTCATTTTCTATCATCTACACCGGGTAAACCTCGCGTACAGCAAGGTTATAGTGTCGGCAAGCCGACAATAATTCTTCAACTTTTTCCTTCTCCCCCTTTCTTCTCATTTCCCTCCTTTTTCTCTTCTACAAAATCCCCACTGTCACCGATTTCCGAAGATATGTTATAACTATTCATAAATGAGTATTTATTGAAGTAGGCAATGAAAATGATCGAATAGAAAGAGAAGCGGATAAGACCCTAAAAGGAGAATATGTATTCGGATTCGAGTAAATGTGTTCAATTACCAGAATGAAATTGAAACAACTTACGTTTTGAATCTTATAATGATTTGCCACCTTAGAGAATTGAAAGGTTGAAAGACCGAGAAGTTAAAGACTCTTTCAACGCCACGATCTAGAAATGAATCTCATGCTATTTGTGAATAGTAACAAAGTGCTACTCGGTGTTAAGCTCATGGCAAGTACGATTGTGGGACTACAATCAGGAATCGTGGGTCCATTAATAAGACAACCCCCTTCATACCTACAATTAATATACTAACCCCTTGAAATGGCCATAACATCACTAATTTACTGATTTTATGCTTCCAAAGGAAGAACCAAGAAAGCTGAAGCTGTGTTATTGTGTAAGGAACGCATTACCCATCCGTTGTCTACATCACAATCAAGCTCCGCTCGATGGAGCTTATTTCAAGTTATTATTTACTATGGTTTAGTAAAGTAAAATTATAAATTATTTGATCAAAGTGATTGTTAAAAAAAGCTTTAGTCAATAAATAAGCCATCTAGAAAAGAGATGAGCTTTAGACGATAGGGGTGTAGATTGAAGAATAGAACTGACAGGGTATTTATACCCGGATCAGCACTAGATCTAAACTAAACTAGCGTACATGTGACCTGATAAAATTACTCTTGTTACAGTCTTGGGTGTTATGCCTAGGTAGCTTAGATGCGTTGATGATCTAAATAAACTTTGCAGCTAGAGTATTGATGAGTTTAAGGTCGGATAGTTCTGAGAGCCTACACCATTTTTGCTTTAGGCATCTTTCTCGTGGGGAGAACCACGGGAGATCCTCACGTAGACCAGGTTGGATCAAATTTGCGGGGGGAAACCCTCTCAGTGGGCCAATGAAGCCTCTAATAAATCACTAACTCTTAGGAACTTTCAAGGAGAATTTGAATAAATTCGGAGGCTCGGCCTGTACCCACTTTCGCGCTATCTACCTTGCGACCTTGGGTATACTTTTTTTTCTCGAATTCTCTCTTTATTAGAAGAGAAATCAAACTCTATATACACATTTCTTTACACGTTTCACAAATCCTACACAGCGCTGCCCTTTGGGCATCGCATTAAAACAAAACAAAAAATGCCTCCAGCCAATCCCTTCGAAGGACCTCTTCAGAAGGCTCTGATGGAATCTGTTGTGGCAGTTTCCATCAGAGCATCCGAAGGGCAGTCCCTCTTGGATCCAATTGCTAAGTTCTTGGATCAGCACCGTACCAACAATCAAGGCCTCCCTCAACACCTGAGAGAGGCCTTAGAAAAACTCGGCGACGAATTTGCGATGGTGGCTACGAACTACTTCAGAGTATACGTATCCGGTTCTACACCAAACAGAACCTATGCACCTAGGGCCTCGCTTTGCTCTCCAAACCCTCCTACCACAACCAAAACTACATACGCAAAGGCCGTATCTACTATGCCGAACGCTATAGGAAGTCACAAGGACGGATCCTCTGCTATGAAGGTTAAAACGACTCAGAAACATAGCGAGGACAACCGACTCTTCGTCCGACACCCCCAAACTCATCCGGCAAGAAATATGTATATCTACGCTATCTACACTAGCCTCAAAACCCAACTGAAAGCACACGGAGCTGCCCTTAAAAGAAATACAACATACAAACTCAGGCCTAACTCTCTATCCTAGCAAACTAGACTCCATCAATATACTGGAATCCCAAATACAAACAATCAAAAACTACTTCGACTCCCCCTTAAGAAAATTTCAAGTAGAACGAAACACACAATGGCTATCTTTCTGCGTCTCCAACGTCCCCAGCTACTTCGAAAATAACGTGTACACAGTCGGAGATGTGGAACCAAAAATGCTGAGCACAGCCATTAAAGAAACGACAAGTGTCGCCCATTGACACCTGCCAGTAGTGCAGGCCCCACTAGCGCAATACGTGATTGGTTCGTTAACTTCCTATATAATACCAAAACAAAGCTAATCCCAAGATTATTATATATCTTCGGCGTTACCACTTCAACTCGACTATTAACCCGGAAAACTAAAACCATACAGTGCGACAAGTGTTGGAACTAGCACAACGCACGAAGCTGTACTAGGACAAACAAATACCGACTTTGCACAGAATACAAAACATATACCCATTCAAACAAATGCGACACACAAGGAAAACACACGTGCCCCCCTCGATGCCTTTACTGCTATGGCCTATACGCCGCAGACGATCAAAATGCCCTTATATACAGACAAAGGAAGAGCTCTTACCAAAGAACAAAAAATAGTTATCAGAAAGACAACAAATATTGCTCTAGCCAAGGCAAGAAAAGATTAAGGATACATTACTAAACCCCACAGAACGCCCAATCCAAAACCGACGGATATGATAAACACGATTGAAGCATTCAACACCCCAAAAACCTCCACACCCTCCCCCCAACCACTACCAAGAGCACCCCCCTCCACTACCTGCTTCACCAGAAGCGATCGGAAGTTTTAACTCCTTGAACAACGATGAGTAAATACCAATTAATTATCTTTCAACTGAGCACAAGCAAAAGCACAACTGTATATGAAATAGCCCTCGCAACAGCACATAACGAAAACTTAGATATCATCCTGATACAAAAACCACATATCTCATATGATCTCTCCCATCGGATAACCAAATAGCATCCAGTATATCAATGCTATTCTCCCACTAACAATTGGGAGAACAGTAGAAAACCCAAAATAATTTCCTATATCCGGAAAGAACTCGGATCCCTATTACACAATTTAAACCCCCTACGAACGATCCCTATACTCTCTCAAACCTACTCCTTCTTCAACTAAAGGACAGATCCAATCATAGCATAAACATCTACAATATATACAACAGCCCTCGCAGCTCTTCAATTCGCCTACAAGCGATCATTTAAACTCTAATGGACATCCCGGACTCGTACTTCGAAAAGAACGTTTTTCGAAATAGAGATTTCAACCTTCCGTATTACAACTGGCAACCTATTTATAAGGGCAATCACTACCTAGGAGCAACGCTCTTCATCAGATAGCTAAATAGACTATAACTACTCTTCTCATCCGAAATTGATAAGCCCATATATACAATAGGCAACATCCTAGATCTAGTCTTCTGCTCAAAGATCCTAATACAACAAGAACTCAATACAAGGGTGGCAAACCATTTCGATTCAACCTCGGATCACCTTCCGCTCCTTACCGACATTCCTTGGGATACAGAGGTATCGCATATACAACGACAATTGAGATTCGGAAACGTCGACCCCAACCTCTTCAAGGATCTCCTAAAAGAGAACCTTACAATGCTGAGTACCTCACCACAAGATGAACATGAGCTCGATCAATTTACCGAAACCCTCGTCGCCTCAATACACAACACCTACTGCGGAGCGGCCAAGAGAATTTTAGAACAAAACAAAGGACAACCCTGGTAGGTTGAGGAATGTAGCGAAACATATATTCAGTATCGCCACAATTAGATTGATAAAAAAGATTTCAGATGGATGATTAAACGAGCATAAAGAGCTTTCTACTGAAGGAAAATAGATCAAATACAGCAGATTAAAAACATTTTCGCAACAACGAAATAGTACAAATCCATCAGATATTTTTACTCTCTCTCTTTTAAGGACTCAATAGAACCCGATTCAGCATTTACAATAGGAACTTCAGAGAGATAGAGAATCCTAATGAATAATCTGTTCAAAAGAGCAACAGAAATCGGCGATATATCCATCGATTGCTTTACAGTCCCAATGAACTTACTCCCTTCTTCGATTATCAACAGGCTTTCAATACAAAAAGCAATTCTGAAAACAAGCAATACTACCCCAAATACACACGAACTTTTAACGGCTATTCTGAAAAATGCTTAACCTTTCATCGAACCTTTTGTTATCAAATTATATCTTTGTCTACGAATCGACCATCATCCGAAATCCTTCCGAAATGCGATCCTAGGCTCTCGAGGTGGTTTATAACTAGGCGTCAAGCAGGGACTTAAGTAATGACAATAATGATATGCTATTCGTAACTAATAGTAGAGTATACTAAATGGTTGATCTTGAGTACGAAGCTCTATACAAAGGAAATCCATCTTGATTATATAGACCTTCGTGTTCCAACATTGAGTTGGAGCGATGGAGCTGGGGAGCGAGATTCGAATCTCGCTCCTTCGCTCCCTCGCTCCCTCACATGACTATTCACATGATCCTGTATCACGTGATATTGGTTTGTGACGTTCCGGCGCAACACTTCGATCCCAGCAAATCCGAACTAATTCATTTCTCAAAACACAGAATAAACCAGGACCCTAATACAACCTCGACGATTATTGTAAGAGATCTGACAATCAAAGAACTTAGCAACAGGAGATTATATCTCAAATGATTCGGTATCTTTTTTGACAAGAAACTGTCGTTCAAATAGGATGTAAAAAAGTTTGCCGCAAAAGCGATGATAGTAACTAAAGCCCTCAGATCCCTCGGAAACTCGATAAGAGGAATCCCCATCAACTTATTATGGCAAACAGCCAAAGTTTGTGTACTCAAGAAAGTGTATTACAAAGCTGAAACCTGGTGGTCAGGTAGAATACAATCTGGTAATGATTATTGTATCAATAATGGAATCGACAATTATATCAATTTCCTCAACAAGATAATCTTAGAATATTGCGAGAAAGTTGGAATTATAGGCCAAATACATTAGGGATTTTTAACTAGGCAATCACGTGACCTCCCATAGTTAGATATAAGTCCCCTACCCCACATTCCGACCACTTTTCTCACCAAAAATAAACAAAAATCGACACCAAAACCTTGCTGCACGCGTAGCGTACCGCAATTTACCCGGTGTAGGTCGTAGAAAATGAGAAACTCGCTTAAGTGAGTCGCGATCCTGACAATCTGATTGGTCTAAAATACCCCGGTAAATAATCTAACAAAAAGCTTGGCATAAGTCTTACAACCTCAGACAAATCTGACTTAAAACTTTTTTCAACTCTATTGAAATCATTCAACTAAAATCATTCAACTGTTACGAAGGTAACAAGCTTGGACCCTATCGAAAAGCAAGGCGATTTGTATACAAATTTGTATACGCCTCACGCGGTCTCCCCCCTCAGTAAGCTTGGACATATAATCTAATCCTAGTCACATGATCATAAGGATCTAGGGGAGCTAGGAAATCATACTCTAGGTCCATTAAATCCATTAGATCCATTAGATCCAAGAGATACCATCGATACGAAGATCTATATAACTAGGAAAGGATTCCTTTTGTAGAGCTTCGTGCTCAAAATCAATCATCTAGTATACTCTACTATTAGTTACGAATTGCAACTATTGATATTATTTAAAGCCCCTGCTTGACGCCTAGTTATAAACTATTCGAGGATCCAGGCCACTTCCACGTGATCTAGATCACATCCCTCGTAACACATTTGTTCAAATTTGGAATCGGTAACTAAAGGTATCATATGCTCATACATATGCAGTCTACAGCCTATAGCGATAAATAAACAAACAAACAAACAAACCTAAGATTCAATTTACCTATTTTAGTATAGGAATATAATGACCTTAAGATCGAATATACACAACCATACAGCTACCGTATAGGTATTTTGTATATATATATGGATGCTCCTTACAAGCCATAATTCTTCAGTTATAGATTCTAAGGAACATAATTGACCCTGTTTATTCAGCTCTCATACGGCTCTTGTGCATCACATAAAAGGGTGGTCCGAAAGAGGGGTGGTCCGAAAGTAGGGTACTAGACTTACTTACGATTTCTGACCGTTCATTGGTAATAATGTTTTGTTTATAAACATCGAGAATTGCTTGATTGGCGATTTAATTTAATATGTTTTCGGTTAATAGCAATTGCTTTATAGGCTTTATTAGGTTCAATAGTTTATATATGGAATTTGGGTTGCTTTTGGAAATAGTTGAAGGAGCATCGATAATAGGTATACACCGGTCTGTTCCATCAGAGCATTTAGCATAAGATAGCTTGAGTCAAGGTAGCCACAAAAAATATATATCTGGTGTTTGATTAAAGGTAGCTTGAAAGAGAAGGTCTAATTGATTCGCGCGATTCAAGTATGTTGAATTTTGTAGAAAAGATATCAACGGAGAGTTGTCGGGGCCTCTAGAATCCACGTTATAACAGAGCTGAACCTCATCTCCAACCCTTAGCATAGCGATTTCCTCCTTATTCATGTTTTCAAGATGGAAGGCATCTTGTCCGGGAACCTCTAATTCTATCATCTCCTTGAACACTTTACAAATCCTTGTATCATGAATGATGTCGACTTCTAAATTGGCAAGTCCCTCCCTTCAGCTTTCTAAGCCGCTGAAATATCTCTCCATACAATATGCCCTTTTGAAAACTCTGAATTGCACTCTATCTCCAAAGTTCCACAATTGGATCTTGATTAGCTTTCCGCCGTTGTATAGTCTTCACTTAGCTTACCATAATCAATCCTTTAGTACTTCCCTGTATATTCAGAAGAACTCTCAGATCTCTCCCCAATATAATTTTATGGTCTCGTCTATCTCCATCAGAGATCTACTTACTTCGGTACTAACATCATTGTTTATTTGAATTATTGTATTGTCGAATATAAGTGATCTGGGTGATCAAAATTCTGTATAATAACGGCCCATTGACCTGCACATAAAGTCCAATAAAGCACTACACTCTGTCTGCCTCACCTTCTCATGCAAACTACTTTCTAGAACATTCACTTCATGTCTTCCTACCTGGTTGGATCTTTTGATAAACTAAGAGGCTCTGGCCCCATATGCAAATGGATAAAATCTTGCGATGGATCTGAGACCGACGAGGAGCTTCAATCTATCTGGAGTTGTATTCCAGATAAAGATCCGATGACGAAGAGGAATCTACTTGAATCTCCATCTGGAAAAACAGTCATATAAATTGGACGGATATAAAAGGCACTCTTCACTTCTCTCGGCTTTTGATCGCTGAGCGTAACAAAGCTAGATGCCGAAGAGGATTGAAGTGGATGACCGTAGTCGTTTTTCGAAAGGGATGATAGAGGTTTAGCTTTACAAGAAAAAGGAAAAAGCGCCAAGTCCTCGATTATGACAGGGGTGAAATATGTGGGGAATGTCGGAATATCGGACCTTGCTTAATGGGGTAAGGGCCTTCAGAACGTTCCCCCGAGAACCGTGTTTGAACGGGGTCGGAACATACAGCAGGACCCCTCCGTCAAATAATGAAGTCTTTCATCGGCCCGTCATCGTGTCGTAAATATAAATTATAAATAAGGCAGTGTCTTCTTCTGCAAATATCACTAATCAACCTTCTCCGATCTTCTCTTCTCTCTCTCAACTTTAACCTGCCACTCATTTACCATATCGGAAGTGGGCTGGATTCAACATGACAACTTTGGAAGAGATACCTGGGCCTCCTGGACTTCCTTTCCTAGGGAACGTCCAAGATGTTGACCCCATCAGTCCACTTGCTAGTATTGAGCGTTTGGCAGGAATATATGGTAGGATTGATGTAACCCCCTCCTTTCTGTTAATGTCGCTGATCGTATTTCCCTCTAAACCAGGTTCCATCTTCAAGCTTAATACTGGCGGTACTGAAAAATTGTGGATATCCTCGCAGGCACTCCTCAATGAGGTCTGCGACGAGAAGAGGTTCACGAAGATAGTGTCTGGCAGCTTAGAGCAAGTTCGACATGGTGTCGGCGACGGCCTTTTCACTGCCAAATATGGCGAAGAAAATTGGGAATTAGCACATAGAGTATTAATGCCAGGTGTGTACCAGGAGTCGCAACAATTTGTTACTGCGAGTTGACAAGATACAGCATTCGGGCCTCTATCCATTCGATCTATGTTTGGTGAAATGCATGATATTGCTTCACAATTACTTATGAAATGGGCGAGATTTGGTTCGAAAGAGAAGATTGACGTTACAGATGATTTCACGAGATTGGCACTGGACTCCATCGCTTTGTAAGTCATACATTCGTATTCACGATTCACGGGGCAACTGAACTTACCGGGAACTCAGGTGCGCGATGGGTACCCGGTTCAATAGCTTCTACCGTGAAGAAATGCATCCCTTCGTTGGCGCCATGAGTGGATTCCTTGTCGAATCTGGTGCTAGAGCTCAGCGACCTGCTATCGCCAATTATTTTATGCGCTCTGCACAAGCCAAGTTCGATTCTGACATAGAGCTGCTTCAGAGTGTCGCCAAAGAACTGTTGGCTGAGCGACGGGCGAATCCCAATGATAAGAAAGATCTGCTTAATGCCATGATCAACGGCAGAGATCCAAAAACTGGAAAAGGCCTCTCAGATTCGAATATTTTGAACAATATGATTACCTTTCTCATTGCCGGTACATAAACTTTCCACTGTGTATCGGGTACCTCTATTCTAACCATCCTCCCAGGTCATGAAACGACAAGTGGAATGCTCTCTTTCCTTTTCTATTATTTACTGAAGAATCCTTCAGCATACCAGGCAGCTCAACGCGAGGTCGATGGAGTTGTTGGCAAGGGACCCATAACCATTGATCACCTTTCGAAGCTCCCATACATAGAAGCTTGCCTGCGGGAGACACTGAGATTGAATCCTCCAGCACCGGTTATCTCCTTCTATCCCCTGCCTGATTCAACTGAGTCGCCTATAATCATCGGTGGTAAGTACGAAGTGAAGCCAGGGCAATCAGTAGTTGCTCTCATCCCCGAAATTCACCGCGATCCCACTGTCTACGGTGACGATGCCGATTTGTTCAAACCAGAACGAATGTTGGACGAGCCATTCAGAAATTTGCCACCCAACGCCTGGAAACCGTTCGGCAATGGTATGAGAGGGTGCATCGGAAGACCTTTTGCATGGCAGGAGGCACTTCTGGCCGTCGCTATGCTCTTACAAAACCTCAATTTCAGAATGGATGATCCAAGTTACAATCTTCTCATCAAACAAACATTGAGTATCAAGCCAAACGGGTTTTACATGCGCGCGAGTCTCCGGGATGGCATTGATCCTCTTGACCTTGAAAAAATGCTGCATGTTGATACTTCCAAAGAGCGACTGTCAGAGGGCGATTCAAAACCTGGCAAGGATTTGAGCAACTCGGGAAAACCAAAACAACCGATGTCTATTTTCTATGGTTCAAACTCAGGAACATGTGAAGCCTTGGCTCGAAATCTTGCCAGAGAAGCTAGTGGACGTGGCTATGAGGCTCGAGTTGACCCTCTTGATGCTGCTGTAGACAAAATCCCGAAAAACCAGCCAGTAATCTTGATATCGTCAAGTTATGAAGGACAGGCTCCTGATAATGCTCGCCATTTCGTTGAGTGGTTGGAAAACCTTAAAGGTAGTGACCGCCTTAAGGACATTAAATATGCTGTTTATGGCTGCGGAAATCGTATGTGCTCCCATACTTTGTAGCTGTTGAGGAAGGGAAAATGATCATTAACAGTTCTTCCAGATGATTGGGTAGCTACTTATCAGCGAATTCCGAAATTGCTCGACACCGAATTGGAGAATAACGGCGCAACGAGAATCGTAGATGCTGGGGTAGGTGACGTTGCTGCTGGAGATATCTTCGAAGCTTTTGACAAGTGGCAAGATAATTGTCTTTGGACTCAATTAGCTAGCAGTGCGGATTGTGAAGAAGATGTAGGATTGGAAATCGACATAGATTCTAGTGCCCGGTCCTCTAGGCTTCGACAAGACGTACGCGAATCAATTGTTTTAAGCAACAAGGTTTTGACCACACCGGGAGTGTCGGAGAAGCGTCACATATCACTCAAATTACCGACAGGTATGGCATACCGTGCTGGCGACTACATGGCAGTGCTGCCGATAAACAATTCAAAGAATATCCGACGGGTGCTGAAACATTACGGACTTCCCTGGGATGCTATGTTGAATATCAAAGCTAGTGCTAATACTACTTTACCAACTGGACACCCCATATCTGTGTGGGATGTCCTTGGGGCTTATGTTGAACTTAGTCAAGTTGCCACTCGGAAGGTACTATTTTCCCTCATCCTCCTATTTATCAAAATGCTAACTTTGGTAGAATGTTGCAAAAATAGCCGCAAGTACCCCTGAACCAGACGTGAGAGAAAAGATCGAGTATCTGGGTAAGGAAGGCTTCAATCAAGAAGTTTTCCTTAAACGTCGTTCGCCATTGGATATCCTCGAAGAATATCCATCTGCCGCACTATCTCTGGGAGACTTCCTAGCAATGCTTCCGCCCATGAGAATACGTCAATACTCCATCTCTTCATCACCGCTTCATGACCCCACAGTCGCCACCCTGACCTGGTCTGTTCTCGACGCTGTTTCAAAAGCCGGAGAGTCAAAGCGTTATTTGGGGGTAGCATCGAATTACCTTTCTTCTGTTGAGGAGGGAGATCGTGTGCATGTCTCTGTCAGACCAAGTCGTGGATCTTTTCATCCACCCACAGATTTGGAGAACACTCCGGTAATCTATATTTGCGCCGGGACTGGGTTAGCTCCCTTCCGTGGGTTTGTACAAGAGCGAGCATTGCAGACCGCAGCTGGACGAAAACTAGCCGCTGCATATTTGTTCATTGGCTGTGGACATCCCGATAAAGACTCTTTGTTCTCCGAGGAGCTAAAGCAATGGGAAGCGGATGGAGTAGTAAAGCTGTATTACGCCTTTTCGCAATCTCCAGAACTAAGTAAAGGATGCCGCCATATTCAGGATAGACTTTGGGAAGAAAGAGAAGAGCTTAGGAACGCTTTTGAAAATGGTGCAAAGTTGTATGTGTGTGGATCAAGTATGGTTGGTGAAGGCATCTCGGTCATGACTAAAAAGATTTACGCGGAGGCTGCCGATCTTCTCGGGAAGACCAAGACTGACGAGGAGGTTGAGGATTGGTTTCAGAGCATCAAAAATGACAGGTTTGCTAGTGATGTCTTCACTTGATGGGATGTGTGAAAGCGTGTTTGTGGCATGGAGTAAGATTTAGTTGAGCCTTTAGCATTATTATGCCAAAGTCATTTATCGGTCATTAACCAATCATTTGAAATCTATACATATATGACTTGTTGGAACGTTTTTCTTGGTCTGACACTTTGGTGAGTAATATTTGGTATTTGCACAAACACCAACTAGAATCCTAGTCATCCACCATTCGTTTTTGACAAAAGATCGCATTGCACGTTTCCGCTACAATTACTTCTAGCATTGCTTGTTTTTTGATTACTAGTAGGAGAATTCGAGACAGTGTTTGTTTGGTAGATATTTGAAAAGTATAAGTACAAGTGAAATACACTCACTATTAGACATTATCAGAACACACAGGGAAGTTGTATGTTTTTTTCACTGCTGGAACTGTGTCATGTCCGCGAGGTAGTCCTCTACTCGAACTACAATCGTAATGTTAAGTAAGCCTGGTGGTGGAATTATGGTAGTGTCGTTTGGATCTTCGGTATTTGATATATAACAGTATGGTAGTTGTGAGTTAATAGGATTGGGTAGATTCGGCTGGTTGCCTAAACATGTACACATGGAGACATTTTATATTATCCGAAAAAGCTGCTTTGAGATGTTAGCCCACACTGTGCTTTCACCGTGAAGAGCCGAATACTTAAGCTGCGTTGACGGTAGGGCGAAAGGTAAAAATTTCAAGTTCCCAACTGCTATATTTCTTCAGAGAAGAAGAACTGGATATAGAAGTGAGGATTGTAATGTGATGTTCCCACATACCCTGTGAATGAGGCAATGACGTATAAGGTATAGATCAGCTCATTCTACATTTTGTCGTCGAATTAATGCACGACTAGCGCCTTGCATTGTGTTTCGTACTCAGAAGAGGCAGGATAGAAAGGGAGGCAAATGCGTTGACAGGGACTGTCTAGCTAAATCGTGTCTTGATGATCATTCGAGAGGCAACAATGGGGCAGAGTATAATACCTAAAATCACGACAGCAATAGCAGACATAAGACATCTGCCTTCTGACCTATGACAAGCCTCTGCAGCCGAACTCCCAAGGCTCTGTGCTAAGACTGGTGAACATACCAGATCCAAGCATGAGAGGTTGAAATGCGTTGAAACTTCAAAGATAAAATGTACTTCCCCAAATTCTGGCCTTATAAGGGGCGAATTTGATTGGGACTATTTTACCCGCAATGACTCATGGCGTATGTCCTATATCGATGCCATCATCAGGCTTCATTAGGAGAACTCTATTGTAGCAATTTTGCACTTGCATGAGCAACAGATTTGCCTTCACACTACTCGCCGGCTGGACGTTAGCTCTTTCAGCTTCTTTTGAGGTCATTAGGGGTGAAGGAAAGAAGTCCTATCTCTAGCAGAGAAAGCGTGGACAAGCGGCATTGTGGTTCAGGCTCACGTGTGATTTGCCTGGGACAAACTAATAGTGCCCTCCACAGTAGTGTGCACAGGGCGTTGGCACTCTAAATACACTGTAATTTAAATCTTGGGCTCGTTTAACCCTGTTTGGTAGTCCGGAGACATGATCACAGGCTTGTTGTCGTGTTAGAGAACCTGTAAGCCATCAGATTACAGGCCTTGCACAGTCTCACTTCTACACTCACGTACTGTCACGTGATAAGAACAAATTCATTTTTCCAAAATTGGCAACCTCCAAACATCAACCCACGCGATCATAGGATCCTTCATCCCATCACATTACATAATTTTATCAAGATGGCACAAAGGATAGTCCCCGAGATGGTTCACTATTCACAACAGGCAATATTTAAACCACGACTGGGTCTTGACCCGAATGCACTCCGCGTACCAGCTCCATGGGAACGGGTTAAACCTGTAAGTCAGCACCACTTGCTTATAGCTGCATATTTCGACGAAACATGGACGCGGAAAGTGCTTGCCGATGAGAAAATTGGGATTCTCGCGAAGAGACATATGTTCAACCCGCGATTTGAACCTATCATTCGAGAGAGAATTCCTAACAAATATGCTTTTCGTCTGGATTGGGTTTTGAAAGAGCTTGCAGATGAGCGATCTAGCTTCACGATGGATCCTTCTGAGGCCGAACCTGAATTAAATATTCATGAAGAAACCGGAACGGTTAGGATAAATGTCGAAAGAAAAAGAAGCAGTGCATATATTCCGATAACCTCCCAGCCATTCGTTGAATTCCAAAGGTCTCTACTTCGCAAGATCGAAAAAGAATTCCCCCCGAGTAAGATTATTGGACAGAAGCCTGAAGGATGGTTACGTACTTGGTCAAACTTACCAGAAAGGCCATCAAAGCTTTTTTCATTTCCAACGAGAGGAGTTCCAAGTCACATTCTAAATGATCTAGAGGATATTAGGCTCTGCTTGGAAACGATTGGCCCAGCTCGAGTTAATGGCTTCAAGCTGATGCACTTCAAAACCCAACGCGTTACACAAGAGCACAAAGAGACGATCATCAAGTATTATCCGTTCAAGGATTGTTTGGATGACTACCAAAATCGTCCCCTGTTTGACACAGTTTGATAAGATCTATGTTCAACAATGAGGGATTTATGAACAGCCTCTCTTCACCACCTCTCTTCTGACCTTTGGAGTTTCACAGTTCATTCTCCACATAATACTTTTGTGTTACCTCGGAACAACCTCGAATGCCGAATTTGGTCACTCATTTGGTGGGTTATTTCTAACTGAGTTCGAGGGGAGGATCGCAATAGTCATCCGAAAATGCTATTCCAATTATATCATCATAGGAGCTCACTCTTTCCGTTCATGGCATCAAGAGAGTCGTAGGTCGGTGTTCGAGGCGCTTCGGGCTGGAATGTTTTACATTATGATAGGTCGCTGTCGCTCTAATCAATTACTGCGGCCTCCAAAGAGTTTCGAGTGAGCTCTTGCATTGGTGACGAGGTACCTTGGAGGCGATTGGAAGGGCCAGGGGCGTCCAGTTGTATTATACCAGGCTTCGCCTCGAAATGAGGTTTATCAGCCTGAGTGTATCTTATTCGTGAAGGATCTTATAGTGCTCAGATAATGGAATGGGACGCTGCCTTATGATTGCCAATTTTACTAAATATGCACATAAAATTTTTAAGGTACTCTAGTTTCTACGCTTATCCTATATTTACACGTGCTGCCCTTTGTCATCGAAAGATGAACTGCCGGTTTTGGTATCAAACCTTTTTAACAATTCCTTTGTACTTATCTATGATCTGATCAAGGAACTCTTGATTTTTTTATTGAAACGTTTTTCTGCCTTTTTTTTTCTTTCTTTCTTTCATTGACTTCTCTATCTCCTACCGAGCTGTTGAAAATTCTTCACCCTTCATGCTTCCATTACCTATACTTGTTTGAACTAAGGCAGTATACACCGAAAATCACATATTTGATCGCCGATCTTCCACAAACTTAGAATAGACGCCACGATGCTTCCTCCTGACACAACCGACAGCAGAAGAATATGGCGAGAATATGAGGCCAGCAATTACTGTCAACACCAAAACCACGCCCATCCCGAAACACGTCCCCATTGTCCATGCTGGTCCAATTGGGTTTCTGACCGCGTAGTCAGTCTTGAAACAGAGTTAGATAGGGTACGGGGAGAGGTCAACTTCAATCCACAGGAAGAGATGACGCATTTGCAGGAAGAATTAGAATCTGCACAGGCCAGGACAAGATCTCGAATTGCGCAAGAGACTCAGTATCGAGACGAGAGGGATAGACATTTTAATCGACTACTGGATATGCAGCGACAGATTCAAAGCTGTGCTGCCGATCTCGAAGCTGCCCGGGCCGGTCCAGGGCATAAAGTAGTTCTTAACAAAAACGTAACGCTTGAGGAGTTCTTGAATGTAGTGCGCCGAGAATTATTATTCCGAGAAGAGAGAGAACGGAGTGGTATTTCTCGAGAGGAAATTGAAGTTATACGTTCGGATTTGCATAAGCTCTGGCAACTTGCCGAAGCTGCTGCCGGGGTAGTCGGTATCCATCTCAATCAAAGTGAGCTGAATATCCAAGAATATATTATCGCATCCGTGCAAATGATCAAAGCAATGCAGATGGAAATTAAGCAGAAGGATGTTAGTAGTGATTATGTCATGTTTTTGCAACAGCGAAACCGAGAGGGGGCAAGGGTGATCAACGAGATGGGTGAGCAACTGAGGGGTGTGTGGCAAGGAAATATGCCTGGTATGGGAGTTGTACCTGGGAATTTCACCGCTGCGGTTGGAGCTGTCAATGTAGCACCACCTATCGATTTTAAGTCATTCAAAGAACTTATATGGGGTATCTATCTAGGGCTTTTCAGTTCGGAGCGAAACCTCACGAGTATAATAATGGATCGACAGATGGAGCTACCAATATGGGAACCTGAACCTATTCGTATTGATTCCGAAAATATAACTTCTTTGAACAAATGGGAGTTCTGTGCACAACTTGTTCGGAGAGAAGTTGACCGATTCTTGAGACGAGTGTGGCAACTCTGCTTATATATCCGCGAGATGAATGTACCAGGCAGTCAGGATTATTGGAACGGACCACACGATGATGACCACGGACGAGCAGTACATGTGCACGACGCGATGACCGCCGTTATAGGACGAGGACTTATCGCACAGACGGAATTACAAGCCAAACGACAATACATTGAACCAGCTACCGACGCTGCATACAAGACCGATCTCGAGGAACGTATTGATCGACGATATCCCATCTACCGAGACCTACAGGCCTCGATCAACAATCTCACTCAAAGAATCATAATGTTTCGTCAAGTACCCCCGTCATGGCCCGAACAGCACGAACGAGACAACACCGCCTTCTCACCCAAGAAGAGTTTCGATTTATTAGCCTTGATGCTTTCGCGTATTGAGATGGAGTATTTGAGCATTCGGTTGATCCAACTTCTCCAAACGACGAATAACTACTGGCACCTAATCCCTCGGGATGACCCCGAAATGGCCCGGTATATGTCTAATGAGATGAGTCACGCACATGGTGTACAGGTAGCTTGTGAAGCGGAATTAACACGACCATCTGAGATTGCGCCCCCTACTGCATATCCAGGGAAGATGTTACCGCCGCTCCCTGCCTATCAGCCATATGGAGATCAAATTATTCCTAAATTGACATACAATAACACTAACAAGGGGAATAAAGACAATTATAATGATGGCAAGATTGACAAGGAGAAAAAAGATAACGAATCTAAAGTAAGAGGCAATATTAACGTTTTGGAGAAGGCCCTGGAGAGTAAAGGTATCAGGAACTTTCAGAAAATGGCAAGAAATAAAAAGGCAAATTTTGCGAATGCACCTAGCGACGCCTCAGCGGATGTAAGATTACAGTTGGAGCTAAATAAGTTGCACGAATACAGGAAAACGCTGGAGGGATTATACACCAAGCAAGGTAAAGGGAAGGTCGCCGATATCAAAGGTTACAAGAAATAATCTGGAGGTCACAGATGTGGCATTTGCTGTTTGCAGTTTGCTGACGTAGTGTTCATTATTGTTACATAGTCTGTGCTTTAGACCATTGGAAAATGTCTAGCTGGTTATTCGATCTCCGTCTGCTCCGGTCTCATCTCTAGCCAAATCATGTTCCTTCAATAAAGTCGTAATCTCATCCGCACCCCAGAGGTGGTGGTAAATTGTGCCATCCTTGTTCTTTCCTACTGTCGCAAATTCAACTGTCCAAACGTTAGCAAGGTCCTTCCAAATTCACCCAAAACCACATACTCTTCTCACTGCTCAACTTCGTAGAATCCATGGTTTTGCTCAACACCTTGACCGCCATTCCACAAGCCTCCTTTAGATCACAGTCCTCCTTGTAATCCTGCTTCAACAAACTCTGCGCACTAGCATTGTTTGCACCAACACTCGTAGCCTTCCATCCTCCATAATTACCACTGGGGTTACTTTGGTAAAGCTGGAACTCTCTCTGTGGATCGTAACCTGCATAGATAAATGAAACACCAAAAGGACGAAGACCACCATGTTGAGTATAACCTTGCTTCAAATCACATAATCGACGCACGAGCTGTTCGCAAGGAATGTCTTCATTATAGGTAAGGAGGTATCGTTGAGCGGCTTGGCGGGCATAGTTGATGAGGATGTTGGCATCAGCTGTCATACCTGCTACTGCGCAAATCATATTGCTGAAATATAATGTGTTAGTAGATCTGACTTTGAGAAGTAAGAGCTACCTGACATACTCGTTCAAAATGTAGAGCTTCTCGGCCGAAGTATCTTGCTCCAATAGCTTGCTAGTAACCTTTCTCTCTGCGGCTAATACAATCCCATCCTTTGCCAGAATCCCTAATGCGGTTCCAGCATGAGAGATAGCTTCAAGAGCATATTCGACTTGGTAAAGACGTCCTTCTGGGGAGAAGATAGTAGTCTTCATAAAAATCAGCTGGATTCCTGAGGGAGTAGTGATTAGATGGAGCTTACTCTTGAATCGTATCTTCTGGACATGATTGTGATTGATTGAAAAGGATATGTGGTTGGGAGAGAGGGTATCAAGGAAATGGGGACGAGAAATGAATGCCCTGGATCTTTAGTTCAATACGCCCCAAATATGATTGTGGGATAATTGAAGTCAAATGTATCAACCTCTTTTCGTTGGCTGGCAGTGATGTTATATCTGCTGTACCGGTATTGTTATCGTATCTCCAAGCTCAACTTCAACCAACTTTCATATTGGAGCTCCAGGCACGACCCGAACCACGCGTAGTAGCTAGTGCGGAGCTTAGCGCCGGAATCTCCTAACTCTGTAACCTTATTGGCCTTGCAGTCTCGTGTCACAGCCTCGTGATGTAGCCTCACCCAGCAATTGAGCCTTACATAAGGTTAACCATATTTTTGTATCGAGGTCATCTTTTCCCAATGCGCTGAGCGAAATGCTGATTCTACCACGATGAAAATTGAAGATATACCTCAACGTATTATTTGACGACTTATGCGACCACATATTAGTGTTGTGCTGACGAAATGTTAAAATCAACCCACAAACCAACCCTTCCTCCTCCTTTACCACCAGGATGGACTGAACACAAAGCACCCACAGGTGAGAAGTATTCCCTGGCATTCCTACTACCGCATAGCATAGCTAATATGTAAAGGTCATTCTTACTACTACAATGCCGAAACTAAACAATCTACGTATACGCGACCGGTACCAGTTGTGATGCCTCATCCACCAGCTCCAGATCCAACCCAGAGCTTCCTCCAATACCAATCTGTTGGAAATTCAATACCAAGTGCTGGAACGAATTTCAACAAATTTGTTTCTCGAGATCAAGAGCAGGTCCAAGGTGGTAGAGGTGGTTTTCAGGGGCACCGAGGAGGTAGAGGCCCTCATGATCGTGCGCGCGAAAGTCGACCACAGCCAAATGACAAGCCTAAGTCGCGATTTCCTATTCCCGGATGTGAACCTTGGGTTCTTGTACACACCAGGTATGGAAGAAGATTTGTTTACAATACTGAGAAGAACCAAAGTTTTTGGCGAATACCAGATAAACTCAAGGATGGAATCCTGAAGCTTGATCAATTAAGAATCAAGGAGAAGGCGGAAGCACTCTTGAAGGAGAGAAATGCTGGAGGAATTCCTGAAATTTCCGGTCCTGCGCAAATGCCAGGTATGACGAAGTCTGCTGCCGACACTCTGGTTCGCGATGGAGAAGACAGTTCCGAATATGAAGAGGTAGAGGTTACGGATGATGAAGAAGAAGACGGCCAGGAAAATCCATTGAAACGTCAACGAACCGAAGAGCTCGATCATGATGACCCGGTGGAGTTCAACGAGGACGATATCGCATACCAACTTGCAGCTATGGGGCAAGAATATGGACTAGATCCAGGCGAATATGATGACGGCAATATGGATGAATGGGAACCGGGTGCAGAAGGATTGGAATTAACGTTTAAAGATTCGGCGGCCCTCTTCAAGGATTTGCTCAACGACTTTGGTATAAATCCCTATTGGCCATGGGAGAAATTGATTGAAGATGGGAAAATCGTGGAGGATACACGCTACACAGCTCTTACGAACATGAAATCGCGACGCGACGTATGGGACGAGTGGTCGAAGGAAAAGATTACGCAACTTCGAGAACTACGCGCCAAAGAAGAGAAGAAGGATCCCAAGATTCCTTACTTGACCTTCTTACAAAAACACGCAACGCCGAAACTTTACTGGCCAGAATTCAAACGGAAATACAAAAAGGAAGCGGAGATGCGGGACGCATCCTTATTAGATAAAGACCGGGAAAGGCTGTACAGAGAACATATCAATCGACTGAAATTTCCACAATCGACTTTGAAATCGGATCTTTCCACGCTTCTCAAGTCTCAATCCCTGTCCACCTTGAATAATGTGACTCTTATCTCGCATTTACCTCCAGAGATACTTGGAGATATTCGATACATTTCCCTCGAGGCATCCGTGAGGGATCCTTTGATCGAAGCTTTCATCACCACTCTACCGCCACCACCTGAGTCCGTCGCGGTAGAAGAAAACGAGGAAGCGACCAAGCAAAGATTAGAAAAAGAAAGAAGACAAAAGGCACTCGAGGAAAGAGAAAGAAGAGTAGCAGAAGAGAGACGGAAGCAGCAAAAGGCTTTGGAGTTTGGAAGAGAGAGGTTAAGGGATGGAGAGGCGGAAATCCATCGTGCTATGAATGTGTCCAAAAGAGGTCTTATGGGACATTTAAACGAAGGGGATGTAGAGAAGCAGAGCTCGTGATGTTGGAATTTCGAGTAAATCATTGGAGATAACCGAACGTATTTAATACCCATAATATTGGTCTAAAAATGATATGGCAACAGCTTCGAAATTTATTTGGTTGATTCTTCACACAATGCTTTCAATCTGGCTCCACATATTTTTAGTGTACGATATCCATCCATAACCATTGGATTTTACAATTTCTTATCTTCATTCACCATTGCACTGTTAGGAATTACACACAGTTTGGCAAGAGCTGCAAATGCAACTCTTTCACAAAAAGTCTGTTTTGGGAAAACAAGGGAAGGTCAGTCAGTAAAGATTAGGTAAATCTAATTAGGGTTACAAGGGAGAATAACATTTCATGATAGTATTTTCCTTCAGAATCGCACCCAACTCACTTCCAGTTGTTTCCCTTTCCCCCATACCTTAAGACTACCTGAAAAATACTGCTGACATCAACCAATATCTATCTACCCATGCCCGTTATGAGACGAAATCGGTGGCAGCATATCAGTACCTTGAAAAATTGATTGTAGCATCCGATATTAGCCTCCCGCCAACAGCTACTCTGAATTTCAGATTTGCCCCTCTATCACCAAAGATAGTATGAACCTGGAGGTAGAACTGATAGACCATCTTTTTCACACGAGGGTTATACCTCGACTCGCTATTAACACCGTAATTGAAGTCCGCAGGAATCACAGAGCGGATCTGGCCGACTAGCTTAACACCTTAATCTATTAGCATTGTGGAGTTTGCTGGTAGTCACATCCCGGATGAGAGGAACTTACCAGGGTAATCTATTCTTTCAAGTTCGGTATCTGTTCCGCAACAGTAGAGTCTGACCTTAAAGTGTTTGGCTTTCCCCGGGGTATATATAAGGAAGCAGTTTTTTTAACATTGTGTCCCTTGAATGATAGGATCGCCCTAATAGCATTAGAGAGATTTAGAAAATGCTGATGAGAAAGAACACCCTACTTTAGAAAGACACTATTGTATCTGACCTGCACAGTATTTATCGTTGTCGAATTCGCCAATAAATGCATGTTCCTCCCTATCTTCACCGTCTCGAAACGGTAAACAAATTTAGAACCCATAAGAATAAGCGATCGAGCCCTCGGCGAAATGACATGAAGCTAAATCGAACGAGACTTCAATGTCTTCCCCATGAGCCAACCAGAAAACAACGGTTAATACGTTGGGTTCGACATTTAAGCCCACACCGTCAGTTGGGGGAGATATTAAAACCTGCAACGAAAAGTTGTCCCGAGGAAAGCAAAGTTGGAATCGCATCTGCGAACCTGCTGGCATGAGAGATCCCTTGCGATGACTTAGAAAAATGCTCCCATAGTAACGGATGGCAAGCAGCCTCCAAGCACATCTCGACTAGGTTGACTACGACTCCACCAGGAGATCACAATCCCAACTCTTCACTAGAGCAGAAGTTAGTCAAAAATACGGAGGAAGCTATCTCTGACTCGGAGCAAAATAGCGCGATTTCCGATAACCCTTTGATTAGTGGTGAAGGATCGAAAATCACGCAAGCACCCGATGCTCGGCGTCTGTCAACCCACTCGGAAACTGGCAAAGACTGCACGATATCACAGACACCACTCTACGGTAATACATATTCGAAAGTTCAACTCGGCCATCCACAACCTATTGTACATTCAATCCTACAGCGCACGTGCCGAGACAAAGCACAGTCTCCACCTGCTAATCCGCCACGCCCGAATTTACCAACAAAAATTCACACCGGGATTTATCCGGAAGTGTCACTTTTAGGAAGAATAAACAGATCAGGTTTCTACGAGATGGGACAAAAAAACAGAAGCGTCGTCGAATGATGACTAGAATCCTGAAGAATGAAATCGTCAACCTACGAGAGAGTGAAAAGAAGTTGCAGCAGCACTTTGAAGGGGAATTTACCCGGGTAGTACGTGCGCTGCAGGAAATATCTTTCAAAGGACTGAAACCGGGCGATTGGGTCGCCTCTACAAATGGCGCTGTTAGAGACGATATTAAGGGCATCAATAGCGCGATAAGAGAATGGAGCACCGGTGCAGTCAACAAGAACGCTCAACTGCTCATCCAAGACACATATCTAGGAGAACACTCAGAAGTGAAAAAGGGGTTGTGGCAACAGCTTGCAAAAGTAATGGTATTTACGGACACGGAACTTCCTGGAAGGTTGCATCCGGAAAAAGCAGGTAAACTCTTACTTACTGCCCTACTTTCACACAATATATACTGGAGCATTTTTTCAGATCCTTTCTTTTTTCTTGGGGACAGTAGCTCAAGGTTGAATAGCTTCTATTCGATAAGTCAATCATGTATGGTCGCACATTGTCATCCTATGCTAGGACTAACAGATATAGGGACTAACGAAGCGGCCCACATATGGCGCCCTGACACCTTGTGACTCTTTCCCCAAGAATTCAAACACAATCACAAAATCAGAAGCTCTAGGCTACTCATGCAAGCTTGCCTTGACAAAGTAGCAGATTCTTATGCTGAAGGGTTTGCTGCAAGTGCGGCTCGATATATTTTCAGACTAGACTCGTCGGACGTTATTAGCAAACTTTACAAAGTTTATCGACAGGCTGCGAATCTTTCTTACAACCTCTGGACCCGCAGGGTCCATCTTAAAATAACCACATTGGAAGGTTTGGAAAAATGTTCGATGACAAGGATCCGAAGACGATTCTTCATACTTCGGCAACCGAAGATGAAGACAAGCTGACAGGTCAAGCTATCACCATAGTTGTGCACCCCCTAGTCGAAGCGTACGGAACCGAACAAGCAGAGCATTTCGACCGCTCGCGGATATGGGGGCCTAGCTGAGGTATGGTTGCACAAATCTTCGCCATGCGAGTCTCAAGTTCGTGGCTCGGAATCACTATGAGGGCAATGTGTGGAAATGGTATGATAACACGGGGCAAAAACGATGGCATTTCTCTTTGACATAATTCCTTGAAGGAAAAAGTAACGTTCACTGGAAGAAAAACACGACTGGAATCCGTACTATTTATAGACTCACACACTTTATTTCTTCATTTTATATTGCGTAAGGCACTACATTCTAGACTATGAGGGCTATCAGACAATCTAATTGCAAATCAACGATATTAAATATGACTTCCTTTGTATTCATCATTATAGGGAAGGTATTATAAATAGAAACTATTCCTATTGATGCTTTCGTGTAACCCATTATACAATCATGTGAAACAAAACAACAAACGATACACCTGCACTCCAGATAGAAATCAATTCAACCTATTTCATAAAGAGAATTGAGGAGAAGAAGAAGATCTAGCGGCACACTCCATAGACAGTACCAGTGTAATTTATTATCATCATCGAACCTAGCATTAATGATCATTCCTACTCCGGACCCTCGGCCAACTACGAGTACAAAGAATTAAATATTCTTTGTGTGGGTATTTTCCAACATCCTAGTTCTTCAACAGAGAAATCAAAATATTGTGCTTTCAATTTAATCGCTGAAAATGGCGCGATAACACTTGGAAATAATCATCAAGAGAAGCTTAACTTCATGGAAGCCAAAATTTCTCATCTACAAAAAACTCTGAGGCAGAAAGATGAGGTGATAAAAAGAGCTCAAGAAGAGCTTATTAAAAAGTATACGTCACGCGAAACTTGGGTACCAATGGATAATATTGCAGACATATTCCAGTATCTTAGATACGCCATACGTCAATGGTGCTCGGCACAGGCCAAAAAGGATTATAAATTTGATCTAAAGGGGAACGAATGGGAAGTATTCCTTCAAGAATTAGCAAAATTTTGCTTCTCGAAGGAGCAAATCAGCAAGAATTTCCAAAAGCACTACTTCGTGATGGCAACCTGAGAACGAGAGTAATTCTGGAAGGCCTCTTTGCCCACCATCTATTTTCAGCATTTTTCCCCGACCCTTTCTTCTTCCTAGGATAGCAAATCTCCAAGGGCCTCAACGACATTTTTTCGTTAGCTGCATCATGTACGTCCTGAAAGGTTCTCACTAATTATTAAAAAAAAACTAAATACTGTAGGGAGCCTGCGTGAAGCTCATAGTTGGCGTGCGGAAACTTTGAGACTCCTCTTCCCACAAGGCACTGATTTCAATGCTACAACAGTGAAAGCGCAGATAGAAGCACTCATTCATAAAGCAGCCGTTATTGCAGCCAAAGAATTTGCAGGAAGTCCAGCGCGCCATGTCATAGATGAAAAGTCGGGAACCTTTAAAAAATTGGAGGATGTGTATCTTCAGGCTGCCGAGCTTTCTTATAGGCTCGGGACTCAAAAATAATACATGAAGCTCTCTACCGGATCCGTTTTCTTAAGTAGGCTATTCAGAAAGGCTAACGGAAATCACACCAATAAGGGTTCTATCGGGACCACCGCAAAATGAATATACACCATAGTTGTGAGGATGACTGTGAAGAAAATCAACCAATCTCCATGGTTGTATACCCTCTAATTGAGGCATTTGGCCGCGCGCCAACTGGACCAGAGGAGGTATGGAAATATTTTCATGAACCAAAGATTTGGTCCAAGCTCGAGGTCTGGCTGGATATTCCTGAGCCGGGAGAGCCTGAGAAGAAGAAACCCTTGTCTCCCAACGGGTGCACTCCTCAAAGTTTGAACCGCCGAAACAGCTAGGTGCAAGGTTACTGAAAGACCTGGAGTCCACTACTCTGTTAGAGCTTGTTAAACCTTACATAGATGAATTTTCAAACAAAATAAAGCCTTTAGTAGAAGGGTTACTCAAGGAAATAATGCAACTTGAGGACAAATGCGACGAGAAGGATTTGTCTATTAGGTTATGGCAGGCCAAAGCAGAGGATATGCAAGAGGAAAGAGATCAATGGAGCATTCAGAAGGAAGCTATGTCGCTGGAAATAAAGCACCTCGGATCCAAGTTAGTCCTCAGGGACATGGGGCAAAAGGGTAATGATACCTAATTAGAGAGGATAAAGAGGAAATGAGAAATTTGGCGAGAGAAGTACGAATGTATAGAATATATGTACGAACATTCAGCGAGACATTGAAAAATACCAGCCAGAAGAGCCTCAGCCAAAATGAAACGTAGAGCTAGCTACTTTGACAGATAAGATATGTTCTGCGCCTTTGCCTTTCTGGCTTCCGTGATGGTATTGATAATCTGAAAGCGATAAGGAGAACTTTTATTGATTTTTCACGACGCAGGGTGCCACGTGACTTTCCTTTGAAGGTGCTCATATCCAGCCATTTGATGTGAACTTCATGGGAAGGATATCCGTCATTTCACATTCCATTACCGTTTCGATATCATGATGCTTAGACTTACATTGGATCGACTTGGTGATCTTCCGCATATTTCAATACGGGTGGACAAAGGGTAAAAATACGCCGTCGACAACTGCGATGCATGGATAGATTTTTAGGAACGAAGAAGCCATGAGTTTTCCATAACTTCCATAATGATTTTCGTGCTGAAAATGCGCCTTTATGTCTATCTTCGACCATTGAAGCTCTAACAGATCTCTGGGGTCCATCTCGGAAAATAATGAGAAATCCTTAGCCGTGCCGATCAAGCAATATGGTATGGAAATGGTGCCGTCATACCATGGAAAGTTCAAGACGGCGGACGTGACAACTGCTCTGAATAAGTTTCTTCCAATGTCTTTCGTAGCTTGATACCATTTAAGGATTGGGACGAAGACGAAGTTGAAGTCAGGCATCCTTACCGCGGCGGTATCTTTTGTCTCCTGATATGCTGCTAATTGGCGCACGAAACGATTATGGTCTTTTTGATAATGTTAATGGTGTTCCCTCTCCAGCAAGCATCTTACGAACAAAAAGTAGACTGTCAGATCAGCAAGCTATGCGATCTAATACTTCTCGTGCTAGACGATATGTCGAATACCACGCGATTCACATACAAGGAAGTGCCATGGGGTTTATTTCTGGTGCAGGCCAAGTAATGTATAAAGAAGGAGCAGACATACGATGAAGGGTGCTTTGGTGGAGTGATGAAGGCATGGTCTTCGAAATCCCATTGGCCTTGAGGTTTATTTTGGTCGATTATCTTCATGCCGTTTCTTTTGTATGGGACGCCGGAGCGTGTAAACCTAAAAGCATTACGCTGTACAAAAGGTTTCTGAAAGTTCCGGAAGCACATAAGAAATGGGAGCCAAACATTGGTGACGGAATTTAAAGTGCTTAGATGCGTTACAGAGAGGCAGGTATTGATGGGGATAGTCAGGATTAAGTGCGACTTGGTTAGCGTTATTTAATGCAGTGGGGACTCCAAATGGGGCGATGATGATGCTTTCGTTGGACAGCACGACGCCGCCAAAGACGATGACAGTGACAGTGACGGTGGGAATCAGTAGGCAGCGCAAGTGCTACCGGCATGCCCACCAAGGAGTTTGATTTCATTAAACTCATGCTTATGCAAATTCTTCGAGGAATGGATTGTTGCCCTTTTTCTATCCGAACATAAGACTTACATGGACAGCATTTCTAGAGGACTCTGCAGAATCATTGACAATGGTGGTGGTTAGAATGAACTGTCTTGATTTCCATGACCGAGGTGGCTTTGGACGACGCTGCTCACTTTCGTCAAAACCTAAAGGATATCCAATCCGACAAAATTCACTACAAATCAATGAATCGCTACTTCCTGGCTATTTCGGAAGGCTCAAGGAATAAAAGGTCGATGGGAGTAGCCAAACCATCTGGAACGCCAAGGAATTTAAGAGGAACTACATTTTCTCTGGGAAATCGTGGAAGATTGGAAGTCATATCTGGGCCTTCGAAGTTGTGGAGTGAACGGAGTAAAGGATCATAAAATGTTGATGGGCTTATGAAGGAGGTAAAGAATGTAGGTGTCAATTAAAATTTACTTAGATAGGACGTTCAGAAGCATCATAAAGAGTTTACAAGGGATGGTGGGATGTCAAGCCATTACCAGTGTTGATTTTGAGCAAGAGTGCAAAGGTTATATTCGGAAAGGGCTGACTGGATGGTAATTCCGCCATTCAATTTGTAGTCAATTTATACCATCTCGTTCATATATCGGTATCAACAACAATATAATAATCTTTGCTCGCTATTACTTCAAAACTTCTATGCCCCAGATTCCCCTTCCTCGCTTCCCACAGATACCTTTCCTTCAATCTCAGATCCATCTCCCCGATTAGTCATCCTCGTGTGAGATCCGCCTGGTAGTCTGAATTTTTGACGTTGATTAACCCAATCAAATGTATCTTATGAGTGGTGGATGTATCCTGGAAATTTCAAGTGGCATACTTACAACATACCTCTGGTAATATCTACTATTGCAACACTGTCAAATGATTGTTTTACCAGCATAGTCTTTAGGAGCTTTTAAAGACATATAATTAATAGCTGTTGAGGCATGTGTGTTACTACAATCTACTTTCCAGTATTTCTTCTAAGAATTGCAACCTGAACCTAATCCAATCATAAAGGCCCATTCCATCCCATATTTTTCTGCCCATGTCATATTCGTGAATTCACCATCTGAAGGCACAAGACAGAATCACCGGGAAAAAAAAAGTGAGAACGATTATTACTACTTTTGTGGCCATTCGCACATGTTCAAGCTTAACCTAATCATCAGTTATCGACTTTATGAGCTCCAGGATCTTGTGTTGATAGAAGATTGGTACAAAGCTCTTTCCTTTCAAGAGAGCCTTTGCCCTCTGTGTCTAACCTTGCTATAAGGTCTCTTTATTTCTTCAACCTTACTTACATAGTGATTATCGATCCTCCCTATTAGCCCCCTTGGACCTACCCTTAAGAGAACCACTTTCAAGCAACCTCCGGGGAGTAGTGACGTGCTATATATCTACCTCGAACTCAATTTTGTCTACCATACAGCATAAGGACTACACATACTCAACCATTATAGATATGTCACTTTTTCATGGTATCTATTCTTCTTCCGCTCCGCAGAATATTGGTATCACCGTATACGATTCATCCACACACAATCGTGCGTTTAGATATGTCGTCCCACAAACATCACCATGGCATCACCCCACACTTCCAGAGATTCGACCTTTTTCTCTAAATCTCCATATACTAATCGATGATAAACAACACCTCCGTTACTACATTCTCCGACCTCCACCTGACAAAGAGCCGTTCGACGCTGATCATTTACCTACGATATCCAGTGTTACAAATATTCACGACCCGGCTAGGCTCGATTCAGCAGCTAAAGCTGTCATCAGAGAAGTCCATAATGCTTTCGGGATGCAGAGGTTATGGGATTCTAAGAATGGATTGTGCTACAATCTTTTAACAGCCCGTTTTGCATCAGATGCTCTTCATTCAACCAGCGCCCTCAGCTCAACCACGGTGTCCGCTATGCCTCATCATTCGGAATCTTTGCAGACAAAGCCATATGTGATACGACCTGCCACTGAACTACCGCAGGTACTAGCAAGTGGCGATATATATCCTCTTGAATACGGATCGCACTCATTGGACGTTCCATTCAACGAGTTACAATTTAAGAGGGTTAGCACTGAAATCTATGGCTGGTATATGTACAGTTGGCCCTGGCTTGCCAATGCTCGTGCAAAGAAGTCTGTCCGTGTTAAAGCACAGAAAGACTGTCAAATACTGGCTCAACAGTGCCGTTGGAGGAACGGAGGTTGGTTACTTGATCATCAAATTCAGCAATTTTATTCTCCTAGGGGGTTATGCTTTCCAGCTTCGTCAGTTGACTCTGGCGAAGCGACCAATCCAGCCGACGATGACGCTGTGATCTCTGCAAATCCACAAGATTACATCGAGGGTCGCTGGATCGTAGATGGCCTTTATAAACGCGCTCGTACTGCGCTCCGTCGTAAATACCTCATGGAATTTCCTTGGTTCGAGCTCTCAAGTCTGAAACGCAAAGTTGAATACGATATAGGCTTCTTGCACGTGGCATGGCTCGTAGTTGGATATCCGTATATGAAAAGCAATGACAAGGAGAATATCCATGTGGAAACATTGCAGGATAAGGAGATAATTACATTTTACAACGCGGATATGTATGATTTGGTTAGTTGTTGGCCGGATGAGAGCGCGTCTATGGGAAAGGAAGGCCGACTGCAGAAGAGAATGGAAAAGTGTCGCCCCCACGTCGACGTAAACTTTGATGCTATGCCCCGCAGCTGGAGACAGTTGATGAGCTTTGGTGATGAGTTATCGTGAGTTTTTCTCGCTCTAGATTCACGAAGGATAGAACATTGCACACAGGCATGGGGGACGAAAGGAACCACACCATACGACAGGGAAAAATAATACGATGACGACGATAGAGCTCCATAGAAAGATCGTGGTAAACTTTGATATAATGGATGCTGGACTGAAGGAAGTAATTTGGTAAACTCGCTGGAACGTGAAACTTTCAATGCTGTTTTTCAATAAAGGCTCATGAAAGTGTTCTGGTGGTCTTATAGTTGGATAGAATAAGGTTATTGGTTTGGAGACGTCCGCACCAACGGTCAATGGAACAATAGATTCATAAATATTATACCATAAAGCTTCTGTTTCTAACCTGGGTCCCTCCTCAGCCCCAGCTCTTTCTCCTTCGCTTCCACAATCTTACACTGCTCCAAGAATAAGGAAGGAATAAGGTGATTCTTGTCGAATTGGGCGAGGGGGATTTGCAAGGGGTCAAGAAACGCAACTCATCTGAGAATATTCCGTCTTTTGCTGCCAAACCAGTGGTAACCCCCGCGCCAATACTTTGACCCCAGAGAACAATCTCACATCTAAGGATTAAGGAGTGATTAGCTAAACGGACATTCCCCAATGCCCATCGATAACGACCACTGCTACTCACCACGATCCCCTCGAAGTCTCTCTCTTATGGAGCCGGCACCCGCTGCCGAACATCAAGAATGGGCTTTCAAAGGGTTTCTTGAACGTACCAGGATTGGGAACGATACAACATACAATCTCGAGTTTCAGCTGCAACATGTTCCAGAGCATCTTCATCTCCCTGTTCTTTCCGAAGCAATGAACATTGGTTTTCATAAGAGGACATTCACAGATGTCTCAACCCCTTGCAACGTTCTACATTCCAAGGTACATTCGGCACGATTATCAGCTAAGAGGAAACGCGTTCCATGGGAGCTGACAGAATATGAAACGATACTTAGGATGAAAAAGGATGATTGCTTCTAAGGGGAGATCTATGATGTCCTTCCGCGTCGAACTCCAATGGCGATCCAGTTACAGTACTCTATGAGACTCAAAACGTGATTATAATATCAAAAACCATCTTTTTTGTAGTATAATTTTTGTTAAGAGGGATTCTCTTAGCTCATCCAATAGCCCCATTCCAACTTACCACTCCGCCATCCACCATCCACCATCCAGCTTTGTACTATTCCCAAACAACAAAGGAATTAAAGCCGTCTTAGTTTATTGCCATTCGCCGATTTGAGCTTGCGAGGTTTCGAAGTCTAATATATTAGAACATTATAATCTAAACTTGAGCATTTTCTACTTTACCTTATTCTCTCTGCATTTTCTTGCAGTATTTTCTTCTCTCTTTGTTTCGCCTCATCTTCACACTGACGTTTCAATTGAAGGCTGTCCATCAAATAACCCACCCTTGCTTTGTTCATACTTCCTTTCCAGTTTGTGTCCTCGATTATACATTGTTCCAAATCTATAATGATCACTCGATCTCCAATATCAATAGCATTATCCAATTTCGGATCTTCATGAGTAACTCCATACGTAGTAAATGCTTTACAAGCCTCTTCTAGCTTTCTTTTGAATTCCTTGTTCTCTTTAGGCTTCATAGTAAAATCAAATAATCTTCGGCCAACGATTTCGGATAAAACCAATGTTGGTGATCCATCATATACCGCTTCACTATATAAACAAGATATAAATTTTCCTTGAAGAGGTGGAAGATGGCGATATATAAGCTTTTCAACCTCGAACTTTTCAACCTCGAACCTTTCACCCCAATCAGACTTGCGCTTTTTAAGAATAACAGTCGGTGGCAAAAACTATTCAGGATAAAATGTTTTACCTTCGGCTACAGATTTGAAAGAGATACAAATATCTATCGAATATATCGAATTGGGATAAAATCAAGAATCGACGGCTTTTCGAGTTTCAAACGATAAACGGTTTGTCATGGATCAATTCGATCAGCGATAGTAGCAGTTACCAGTCTGTGGCCCATGAGGAATTTCTAAAGAATAATCAACACTTACTCTAGATGGACCGTAAGAGCAAAAGTAATCTTACCAATGGACCGTGGACGTTGTCAGAAAACAATTCAACCATGTTTTTTGATGAATCTGATAGTGGGCGAGTGGCGATGGAGAAGAACTACAATCACTATGATGAATAGCTTTGGCTGTAATGAAGAATTGAATAAGATGTATGAAATGATAATGTGAAGAACTATAGAAGAAGAAGAAGGCCGTGAACTATGAGTACGTCCATCCTATTTGTTTGCACCATTCTCATCCATCACATTGCTTCCTTGTCCATCAACCCAATACCATCGATCTTGGCCCAATCTTCGCATGTACCCGTCTGGATGATCCATTACTTCCATATTCTGAGGTGTTCGTGCTAGAACACAACAATCAATAGCACAGTGTGCTGATTTGATATTGTTGCCATCTTTGGCTTTGAATTGAACAATCAACAAATGCTTTCCATCCTACGCGAACACCTGCGGACATTTATATTCGAATGCATATCTTTTCTTCTTAGTAACTTCATATTTCACAAGTACAAAACGGAAAAAGAAACCTACCCTTTTATTTCTGTTCCTAACCGTACTGTCATAGGGGTCTTTGGTTTCCTCCCTTCCCATTCATCAGTACGAATAAAACGATATTGCTTCGTCTCTCCTATCACTTGGCATCTCTAGTTTGCAGCAACTCCTTCCACTTGTTAGGAATACAAAGGATCTACAGTTTTATCTATATTTGTTGAACCCCAAGGGCCAGATAATGATCTCTACCGAAATTATCTATTCTTCTATCAAGCAAGAGAAACCGGTAAAGCAAAGAAATAAAAAGTCTTCCAGTCAGGTTTGAGATTTGTCGTTTGTAAAAGCTGATTCGATCTATAGCTCTAGAAAACAAGAGGTTTATAATCAATATTTCGGTTCCGAGAAGATAATCTACTATGTGAAGTTATCTAAGGCTGCATCAAAGAGGGGAAAATTGGAAAGAGACGGATTTCTTCTTGGGTGAGACTACTATGCCGATGTTGTAGATATTAGAGTCAGATTAACCAAGTATTGCGAGAATTAACTGTTGTAGACAAGGTATATCTTCATTTGAAAGTATTACTTGATTAAAGAGCATCGGAGTTAGAGGTGAAGATACCTGCCCTGTAAATCAACTACAATTGTACAAATCCTTGTCCGCTGCGTTCTTTTTTTCGATTTTTATGTCACCAAATTCTTTACCCGCAAAAGTACATTATCGGAATCGTCGCGGATGATCCAGCATGCATGACGAGAGTACGAGTCAAAGAATGATAAGTGTATGGTTCCAATATAATTTAGGGATATTTGTATATGGGGTTCCATCCTACAGCCTACCTGCACTAGCGTCTTCTCAGTCACTTGTCGGGCTGCTAGGCGAATCGCATGAGCGTGACGACGAACCCCACCAAGTCTTTACTTCGTTTATATCTCGACAACATCGCTCTATCAAACTCAAAACGAGTCTCTAGTTTTACGATTCGCCATTATCTGTTCTACGCAAAATAAACTGGTCTTTTTATATCCCAAACCCCTCTTCTACTGTCGAAATTTTGCACTATATTATATCGAGCTATCATCATTACCTTGAGCCTCCAGCCTTCCTATCAACCTCATTACAATAAGAAATACTTGCAAAGTAGTATATATTCTTTTTTATTCTTCTTGCTCATCTATCTACATTTCAGAATAAGAGAATGAACATCCTCTATTAAATTTAGGTTACTATTGCTGACCTGTATACAAAAGAACAGTCCTCAAACCCACTATCAACAAAGCCTACCTGAGAATTGAGCTTATTATAATGTCTGAGGTAAGGATTTATTTGATCAATATCTATATTTTTACAAACCCTGATGCGATGAACGCAGGCTGCACAAATCAACGATGTACAAACCAACGATGGAGCATACAAATTTCTCACATACAAGATATTTGGCGCAGTTGAATATGAGAGATATATGTCATGGGAGGCTGATGAGGTTGGAATTGATGAACCTGACAAAGGTTGTAAAAGTATTGGACAAAATTTTGTGATTTCTAAAAGATTTGGTGCAGAGGTAAAGGTAGAGAACAGAAGTCTTCCTGGGGGGTGGTTTGTGAGTGTGATGGATGCGAAATTTAAATCGGTGGCAGCAAAACCCTAAATAAGCTATTGTCTGGAAACTACAATGTTTAGGGGATAGGTCTTAGAATTGATGAGTTGTTCGTTAGGAAGCAAGATGATCATAAGGATTCAAGGATCTAAATACAAATGTGTACTGAACTAAACATCGGAATTCAAACAAATATTAAAGGTAAGCATCGAGTGCAAGTATACATTGATCTTGTGATAGCTATTGGGGATATACATGCTTGTAGATCTCATTACCTTTCTCGAAACTCAATGTCACTTCGACTTTGTAATCGCAGTTATCGCTGCTATCAGAAGATGATATATGGATAGCGCGAGTGTGTAATAGCATCCCGGTTTCAACCTCTCCCATTCTCAAATTGCTAGCGTTCATACCCTCGAAGAGATAGTTCCCAAGTATGTTCTTCCAGTCTTCAACCGATTCTATAGCTGTTTCGGAAATAGCTTTCCCGACCGATGAACATATCCAGATCTCCAACCTGCAATCCTTTTTTGGAAGGGTAAGGTGCAAACGTACAGTCTCGGTGAATCTTTTGCCCTCTTTCTGTCTCTTATGAGATGCATCAATGCCTTTTAACAGGTAACTACCAAGAATACTTTCAAGCTTGTTCATATCAGCAAATTCTGCTGTGAATATACCTTTATTGACATTCACATTGCCCGAAGTAGGTGTTTCCATCGCTCCTCCGTGTTGATTATATGTGATTCCACTTGATAAATGAGGGAGGGATGAATCAGGATTTGAAAGTGAATCAATGCGCCTTCGTTTGCTAGGCAGGTCATACGCTTCGGTCTGTGATCCCAAACCTCTCTTCATCCTTCCGCTTCTAATTTCCGACAATTCACCAGCGATAACATTGTGCTCAGACTCATTGAACACTACCTCATTAGTGCTTTGAAGTGATGAATTTCCAATCGATGACAACTGCTGGCTCTGTATAGGCTCTGCTAGATTCAATTGCGTATCTATCGAATTGTGATTGCTGCGAAAAGTACTCGGTCCTGCTTCAGCACCACTATCTTCACGTAAACCCGTGCTACCTCCAGTAACGGTCAGATCCCGATACAAACTTGAGTGCGTGTTTTGTTTGAAGGTTGAGAGATTCCATCGAAATGGTTTGAGTATAGCTTCTCGAATCTCCGCTCCAAGAGTATCAGCACCAAGATTCATCGACTTCTCGCGGAAGCATTTAGATTCAAGATGTTCGATAGCACTTTCGTAAATAGGACCTTTAATAGGCAATCTTTTTTCCCATCTAAAAATGTAAGAAAGCTTCGATTTTAGAAGGAAATGTTACTCACGTATTATCTGTTATACTCAATGGTAGTAGAAATGGAGCTCCATAACCCAACGAATCCGATAGTTGGGAATAGCGAAATCCAGCAGCAACCCAACGTCTGAGATTCTCCCGTATTTTTATTGTCGTATCCTGTATTGCCGTCACGGAGCAGAGGATGTCAACAAGCTGGTTTTCCAATGATTCCGTGAGAATTTTTCTGTTCAAAATCACTACAAGGTCGTGAAAGAAAAGCGTAAGGAATCTCCAGATGATAGTATCCCATGCACGCTGGGTTTCAAGCTGATTGATACCTAAATACACTCTACGAAAAAAGAATTCAATCGGTTCAATTTTATCTGCTGTAAGATCGAATTGGATTCCTGCCCAGGACCAGAATTTAAACGGGTATTGTTGGCATTCTTTGTATTTTTCCAGAACTTCACTGGGCAGTTCGATGTTCGTAACCTTTCGAATTAATTTCAAAATTTGGTCCGCATCTTTTTTTCTTGGTAGTTTTGAATTGAGTATGATTTTAGATATAACAGTTCTTGCCTTTGGCAACAATTTTATCAATTCTGTAATCTCCTGTATAAACTTGAAAATATATTAGTTATGTTCTTGTAGTATTTTTTATTCTCTTACTTTTGAGTTATCTAACAAGTCTTCAATTATATCATCTTCATTGTAAGCTTGAAGCTTTTGAATAATTGAACGAACAGTAGTCATCGTGAATACTAAATATGTAAAGAGGTTTTGATGAGGAAATGAAGAGGAAGTACAAAAATCCCGTATCGAGTTTTTATACTACGTTTGGTGTTAGGGTAAAAATATAAAACTGACAACCAATGTCCTTCGGATTTCCAGAAATGGCTTTCAGCTCCGGGGTTTTCACACCCCCTTCCAGATCCCCATCTCTGTCCAAGCGACACCTTATCATCAATCTAAGCATGCACCTCTCTAGGTAGTACTCCCGGAGCCCTGACCTAGAAAGTAGACCAACACAGGCCATTCGACAAGAGCGGAACGTCTCACTGCTTTTTTTATCCTTGACTGGGCAGGTAATGAATGACGACAATATAGATATTGTAGAATTTCCAAGATATACTAGAAACTCTCTTATCTGATATCTAGAACGCTGTATAATTTTCCAACTCTTTTGACAATTTGGCATAGTGTTACGGACCTTTGTTATTTCTCGGGATATGCATGTAATTGTTGTTCTCCTCGAGTAGGAGGGGCGCAAAGGCCTCAACAACAAAGTAGATCAATTGATATATAAAAGCAAACGATAAAATAAGACAACCAGTATATACTCGTCTCATCTCATAATATTACAAGACTTTGATAATTCGGCATATATACAATTCAAAGCTCTGGTGGTTTTTTAGCTTCGGATTTAGCTGTGTCACCACCCATTAATACATTATGCATTATGCATATTGATTGATTAATGGGTGGTTGATTATAAGATTTATGAGCAATATTAAAGTTATCACTGAAATAAATGAAGTTTAAGGCTAGCCTTTCCCTTGTGGCCAATTTCACCGGTCGTCCTTGGAATTTTTCGATCATAGGTATCTTTACCTATATATCGTACATTAAGAGGGGGTAGGTAGTGAAAATGAACAAGAGTACGCGAAGAAATCAAGTTAGAACTTAGAAGTCTGTACGTTGATTGATGGTGGGGAAGTTAATTAGGTGATTAAGTATAAAAAAATATCGCTTATCATGATTCATGCCCCTGAATAGTGGATCTGGTGATCAACTCTCAAGCACGTCTAGACATCTATGGTTACCTGCTAGGCATGTTCGTCAGACATGTAAATAAAGAGGTTTATAGGAGACAAAGTCGAAGAATGTATAAATGCTAGCTTGAGAGGTTTATGTTATTGGAAGTACCCAGATAGATAAACTTTAGCCTACTCTTTTCCTACTTTTCTCTGAAACTTCATTCGGTGTAATCCTTCTTCGGCATGGGTTTTCCTTCATCCACCATCCTTCTATTTTTTCACAAACAGGGTGCTTTGCTCCCCCAGTTTGCAGATGGAAATGTGCACAACTTCCAGATTGTCATTTAATTCATGATCTCATATTGTGAGAAAGTTGGAATTATAGGCCAAATACATAGAGGTTTTTAACTAGTCAATCACATGACCTCCTGTAGTTAGATATAAAAGAAGAGCTTTTTGCCTCTTCTTTCCACAATTTTCAACCTTCTACATATATACATTTGAACCCACATAGCACCAACCCCAAAACCATTGTGAACCCCGTTTTCTCCATAAGTGACGTATTACAATGTAATCTAATTCAGCTTTCTCTTCCAATTCCCTCCTCACAGCGTGCTATCGGGACGCACGTATCTCGACCTACCACTTTTACAATATGACACAATGGTTTATCCTTGCAAGCTACCATTTCATTGTACCCAGTAATTAGGTCTAGCCCTATTAAGCTGTATTTTCAAATTTAGATTATTGAGAAAATGAAGGATCTTGCTTCCATATAATGTCCATTGAGCTGGTCCATACAGAGATATGCAGTACCGGTTCAAGAAAGCCCTTTCTACATAGATGATTCAACTTCACAGCATGTAGCGGTCATTACATCGCAAGAAAATCAGTGTCGGCATTTAAGTAACTAATAGCCAGGGTATCATTGCTGTCAAATCCTGAGTCCCAAGAAGGTTGGTAAATTAAAATTCATTTTCGCTGTAGTGGTATCCAGAATGATATACACCAAAATTCGCGGCTCAAGTCTTCCCTGGACGAGCATACAGGTAACGCCTTGCTGAAATCTGCTTCCTGATCCAAATTTATCCACACTTAACCAAAGCACATTATATACCCAGAATTGACATATATTTAAACATCAAGTTTCTTCTCCTGCTCAGTAGGAGTAGCCATCTCATCGGCCCAGTCGCCAGCTCCCACGAACGGAGAATTGAGACCGGATTTCGTAGTTTTTGATGTTGATGTAGTTGGCAATGATGGGAAGTCCTCTAACGCAGGTACAGTTTGTGTTTGTTGTGCTGAACCACCTCTTCCACCCCGTCCGTTACCTCCCCCCCTGCCTCTTCCGCGCCCAGATCCCCGACCTCTATTATCATCATAAATGTATGAAGACATATCATCTTCTGGCGCATCATTAAACCTACTACTAGCCAAGCCACCCCGACCTCTAATCACTCCACCATGACCACCTCTAACATATTGTGAGCTCCTTCCCTTATTGTCCTCGAAATCTTTCTCATCCTTGCCCTCATCCCACTCCCTCCCACCCATAGCCTTTAGCTTTCTCTCTCTATTCTTCATTCTCTCGCCTTCCATTACTCTACCCCTTTCGATCTCTTCTTTTCTCTTGCGCTTTTCTTCTTTTTCCTTTTCCGCATAACCTTCTCGATCTTTCTCACTCTTCCGGAACGACTCGGCCTTTTCTGCATTTATAATCTTCATTCGCTCGAGCTTCGCTGTCAATTCTTCCTCGGTGAGCTTTTTATGTGAGGGACCGCCAGTCAAAGAACGATCCCCTCGAACTGACGGTATAGATTTTTGTTGTGGTTGTGATTCGACAGGAGATTGTACTGGTGGAGAGGTCGAAGGCGCGACTTGGGTTTGTTCAGTTGCGGATTCAGCAGATTGGGATTGATTGGCGACAGGCTCCGGGTCTTGAGACGCATATCTGGATGATTTCAGACCATTATTTGGTGCACCACCTCGACCTCCCCTTCCCCCTCGTCTCCTATCCGTGCCTCGTTCCCGCTGATTTCTATGATTATGGTTGTTTGAAAGTCCTGTTGATAAAGAAGATTGTGAGCCATTGGTGTGAATATATGTTTCTGCTGTAGGCGACAGTTTTGAGACGGATTGAATTGGTGCCTCTTCTATGACTGTAGGTTCCGACGCAGGCTCGAATTCATCGCCGAAGAGATCGTCGTCTTCTCTTGATTGCGCAAACTCATCCATGTTGAATATGAACTGGTGGGGTTAAAGAAGATTATTGGGACTGTTGACAGCTTTTCGAGAGTATTGCGAACAAGTTGATAGATATCCTAGTCGTGCGCTGTACTCTGGAATGCGTGAATACCTTGTATTACTGTCGTATACTTTTAAACTATTGTTGGTGGTGAACAACCAACCATATATGTGGGAGAGTTTTCATCACAAGGTGGGATAATCGGCTAAACGTCGGTATCCGGATTAATAATACTCCATGTCAACGATGACAGGGTCGCGATGAAGCGAGGTAAAGTTAAGGGGAATAGACTGCTGCATTATGATCTATCACCATGAAAAGGCAAGACCCTTCAATGCATCTGGGCAGCGGAACCATAACCTCAATTGGCTACCTAAGGAATGTTTACCAACTCGCTCGCCGAATGAATTATCGCAACCGTGCACAGCCGTTGCTCCCGTTAGTTAAAACCACACCATTTTGCCTTAATTTCAATTATTAAAACGTCCTATATAATTCATTATATTTACTAGCTACATACAAAAATAGTGATATTCTATATATTTATCTATTGAATAAAATTATAACAAAATAATCTTAGCTTGAAAAGTTCTTGATTTTCGTTTATTTTACTCGTAAACTTTTATCTCTTATAATTCTCCCAATCGAATCCAGAAATTGAAAATACATAAAAAAATTTAAAAATAAACTTTGTAACTTTTAATAAAATTCAAACGAAAAGGAGTAGATTGATATAAAAACATTGATACATTATTAAGTCTCATGATATAAAAAGTTTAAGTGTTTTATGAGTTTTGGTGTGATTTTGATGAACGACGAACAGCTGTGTGCAAGTACTGTAGGCCGTGTTACCTATAAGACTCTTTTGTTAAAATTTTGGGTAATTCACCCTAGGTAAATTTTATAAGGCCCATGGTTGGTTTCTCTCTTGACATTATATTTACTATGGAATTTCTGGAAATAGATTATACGGAGAAGCTGTAGACCATCTTATCTATACAAGAAAGGTCTATAAAGATTGATAATAATTCTTACATACACATTTTCCCTTTGCACTTAAATAGATGGCCAAATTATTGAACTCAAGATGGATATTTGGGTCATTCTAGACATGTCGCGCTTGGAGATTCTTCAACTTTTCCTACACCTCATTTCAATACTCCATTCTTCCAGATATGAACATTAGTAAAACAAGCCCAGAGCCGTAGCTGTATCCCACTTTGAAGCTTCTAAAGTTGATCGTCTTTTGAATGCTTTATCTGCTCAAGAACTGAATATCAATCAATCCACCATTCCCTTTCTGCGCTTACATCTGTGAAAACCCGACACTTTTGCCATCTTGAGTTTCAAGCTCATGGCCTGTCTGAGACCCATAAAACCGGCACTACTGCTACTGTATGCTACCCTGACCTTCGAAGGAGCGATTCAATGGAAATTTTCTCGTAGACTTTCAAGTTACATATTTCTATCCTTTAGTCTTTCAACTTTTCGTTTCAATATCTTGATTTCAGCTACAGAATTTGGGAACTTTGAAATGTAAGATAAAAAGCCGTAAGGTAGCTTTCCTTTCGAGCTGTCTATCTGAGATGCAGCTTTGAAGATTTCTAGTAGTGGATGTAATTCTACTTGAATAACAGTAATTAGAGCGACTAATTGCCTTTCTCCTGCAATTGAGGAGTTTACATGGCAATATTTTGAATTTAGAGTTAAAGGTCTGGTATGGTATGGAATGGTCTCTAGTGGCGGCGGTAGCAGAACGTTGCCCGACTTTCGCTGAGATGAGAGGTTTGTTAATGTCGCTTAGGAGGTGCTCGCTAGATTCTCATGAACTCTGTATATATACTATTATACTTACCGGCATAGAGTTTACATTTATATAAAGCGGATTGAGGGTAGTTTCAATGTGAAAATCTTCCGAATTGAGAAAGATCTATGTTAAATTTATAGTTGGGCGGGACTACTTGAAGCACAGCACGTGAGCGTCTCAATATACTTACTACAAATCGAGCACACAACATCTATAATTTTCATAGAATCGATAGAGGAATCTTGAATGAACCAAGACTAGCTAGCTAACTTTTATTACATATTGAATCACCCCTTCCTCATCAGAATAACCTCCAGCATAGGCAAGAAGGGTTTTGTTAACGATCATATGTTGTCATAAAAAATCGACAAAATCATGACTTAGCAAGATACATAGAGTTCAAGCAATTGATGTCCAAAAGTAAAAACCGATGAAATTGATATTTGAACTGTTCAAATCATTGACTATATATCTTCTCATTGTACAATGTTTTCTGTCAATTACGGCAAAAATGGAAAGAACCAATTTCTGGGGCGGTTCTCAAGTGGGCATGTGGTTAGTAGACTCCCAACCTTGAGCTAGCTGGAGAGCAAAAGCAGTGGCAATTGTGTGGCAACAGTTTAGCAAAATCCGTTCCCAGCGCCAAAGATCTTCCGAATCAGCCACAGGATGAAGTGTATCTGACACCAAAATAATGTTCCTTCGATGTCGGTTTATCAGTGAAGCTTATGTAGCAAGTTAAATCAAACGCTGTGTGGAGTGCGGTTGTCCCCAAAATCAGCGATCCTTCGATTTTGCTTAATCAGTTACATGGCTATCTTTTTATCGACCATGGGCGTATTTCAAATCAAGCATTGTGCAACTAGTGGATGATATCAGTACCAGAGAGCTCCTTCAGTTTTGATTGTGACATTATCAAGATGTTTCAGCAAAGCAGAGAAACAGCCTTGATATCAGCAACCCTTCGATGTGACTTGCTCTTTGGTTAAGATGATTATCATTCTTATCTACAAGCGTAATCTAAATCTGTGTGAATGATATCAAAACCACAAATCTTTCAAATTTTATTATGAAATTACCATGATGGTTGGCAAAGCAGATAAATTAGGGCAAAATGTTCCACTGTCCGGAATCACCCAGACAGTGTAGTCATTGTGCCCCAGAACCCACCACCCCCCCTTTCAGCGATCCCTTCAACTGATTATCATTACTACCCGGAGGTAATTCAAATCAGCCACAGTGTGAAGTGTGTCTGACATAATTTTTTCATCATATAAGAGAGGCTGCCTCTCTGGGCTTTTAGTTTATTGTCTTTTTTGAGTATTTTGCACGTCCACGTTTTCCTCAGGTTCCTCACGATTTTTGGTTAATTCCCCTCAACTAGATAGGAATCTACATCATTGGAAAATTATCACAATCCACGAGTGTTTCCTACATTTGATGCATGGGACGGCCGAATTCTATCTTTTATTCTTCAATGGATTAAGCTACGGTATATGCGGAAGGTAGGAGCTTGGGTAGCAGGGGAGTCTGGTAGATGGGGAAGGTGCAGTGGGTGTGCTTCCCTTTTTGTGTCCTGAAGCGTGGGTCCGGAGAATAGGGATATCGGCTAAGATGACGTGACTCACTATTCTGAAGGTATGTGAGTAAGTGATGACTCGACTAAGCCATGAACTCTGTCAAGTGACAACGAGAAGAGAGAAGAGAGAAAAGCCAAAAGGGAAACGGGAAAGGGGGCGTGCGTTCGAGGGCTTTTGAGTACCTCAGCCTGGATGTCCTTAAAAGTCCAGCTTTATAATTGCACTGAAGAGTTACAACCTTACATGCAAAAGGATAATGTGTCAATGCAGTTTGAAGAATTACTCTGGGCAAATCACAAAACATCACATCACAGAGTAGCAGCAGATATTTCAGGTTAAAATTATCAATGATGCTGCCGCTAGCGTTTAGTTATCACTAAACATGGCCTTTTTTTCGTACTGAGATTGATTCACCTACCGTTTCCTTCAGGAGAGGCTTCAGCCAAACCCGTTCAGCAATGGCGATATTGAGATGGAGAGACTGAATGTTAAACAGCAAGAATGCCTCAAGGTCTAGTAACGCAAAAGGTTTGGACCCTGAAATTGGAGATTTTTGCATCCATTCTGTCGCAATCCACATCGCAAAGACAATACATCGTCAACCCAGTGCGATGATTTCTTTCCGTCTTGCTGGCAAAAGAAATACCTGGACAGTTTTCAGTGGAAGTATGATCGCATGAACACTGTATTTGAGATTCGGGCGACGTCCAGTAGAGGCTGCCAAGTCACACAAATGTAAGCGTTGATATAATTTCCATGCACTTACAAGTCATGGCTCGATTCGAGATATCCCATAACGATTAAGTAGCCTTTGATGTCCACGTAACCACCGAAACTATGGCAATATTGGACAGCACCTTGTGGCCAAACGTGGTGTGGGAAGACGAAACTGCTTCCAAGATCGATGTGGCCGGAGAAAGTTGAAAATTCCGCGACTGGCAATCTTCGTTGCTTTGCGGCGGACCCCGAGGCGAGTAGGAACTGATGATAATTGGTGTAAAGGAAGCAATGCGGTAGCTATAGGGTAAGAGAAAAGAACCTTTCTTCGATCCTAAATCTTTAGAGAAAAGAGGTAAAAATTCAATGCCGGAATAAAATTCTCTTGGTACAAGTGTTAAAGTTGTGTTGTTGAGACGTTTGGTAAGGAAAACCTTATTATTAGTCAGCCGGGAAGCGTCCCTTGAAGTGATAGACACGGAATATCATTTTACCGGCACCGATTCATTTTCCGCGCTAGTAATTTTAGCAGCGATCATATCGCCATCGATTAAAAAAGTTGTTGAATAACCAGTAAGCAGTTTAACAGCCACTAAAACCTCCTCTACGTCGCAGAAACTCTTACAATCAATTTAACGGCACCCATATCCTGAACACCTTAATTCTAACTTTATCTGCGACAACTTCAAGGCGTCGAGGTTTTCACAGCCGGAACATCGAGTGGGAAGAAGAGAGTGAAAAGTCCACTGCAAAACTATACGAAATGGATCACACACGAGACCCTTGTCCTTGGGTGGCATTGAATGATTTTGGAGGAGCATTCTGTATGGGAGTATGAAATCGTACAGTTTCTTTTTAGTCTTTCGAGGAATGCATGGAGTTCCGCAATATTTAAAAGTTTAAAAGCACAAAGGCCATGATGAAGGAATGCTGACAACATTTTTTCAGGCGATTGGAGGAGCAGTATGGCATGGTGTTAAAGGTTTTCGAAACTCACCCTATGGCGAAAGAAGAATCGGCGCACTCACAGCCATAAAGGCACGAGCCCCTGTATTAGGAGGAAATTTTGGTGTCTGGGGTGGACTGTTCTCGACGTTTGACTGCGCTGTAAAAGGGTTAAGGAAGAAGGAAGATCCATATAATGCTAGTAGGTTTCCTCTATCGATAGCGCCCTTTGGGTTTCGAAATGGCAGACTATCGGACAGATACAATACCGGGGAAACGAAAAGCTGACATAGGAATAGTCATTGCTGGATTCTTCACCGGTGGTGCTTTGGCAATTCGTGGTGGTGCAAAAGCAGCAAGAAACTCGGCGATAGGTTGTGCAGTTCTTTTGGGTGTTATTGAAGGTGTTGGGATTGGTTTTCAGAGAATGATGGCAGGAAATACGAAATTAGAGGTAGGCATTTACTCCCCAGTTCCCATCCAGTCCTAAACTAACTTTCAAATAGCTGCCACCTCCACCTCCTCCACCGTCTGAGACCGGCAAAACTGGTTTTCCCGCTGTCGCATAATCCCCCTACTTGACCTTGCAACGAATATAATACCTCATGTTGGTCAACTGCTCCAACAAAATTACACAAACTCTACTCTTTCCGTCCAGCCAAGAGAAGGCTGTGGTCGCATGTATTCTCCTACCTTATAATATTGTGTAGGATACCAGCGCTTGATACTGGACTTGTTTGCATAGCTGGGATTGGTGTATGTATATCTAGATTTGACCTTTTGGACCTCACCCCAGAACTGAGGAAGGTCGAGGTCATCAAGCGTAACGAAATGAAAATGAATTGATTTCAGCCTCTGGAATGACTTGTGTGCTTTAGGCCTAGGAGTCGATCGGTCTAGTGCCGGTCCATTATTGTTTAGCAAGCCACTGTTTCTCGTTTATACAGTCTTCTAGATACCGATAAATGGGCTATTCAATTCGTTTTTCAAATTTGTGACAATTGATATTTTATTCCTAACGCCAGTACCATGTATGAGGCTACCCTATCTCAGCAGCTATTTCCTCGCTCTTACGCACGACTGCCAATGACAATAATCAACTCTTCCAACTTCCTATCTAAAACCTCCGCTGCAGCTAATAATTCACTGTTGCCTTCATCTACAGCAGCAATCATAGTACTAGGTACTTGCCATATGATCTCCGTTCCTTCCCCGTCTGGTAATTCACGAACCATAATTTCCACGGGTACAAACAGCCCGGCGTCGAGAGATTTGGTGGATTGAGAAAGCATAGTAACGGCTATTAGTGGATTGCCGATTATGATACGTTTGAGTCCAAGCTGTGGATTGGAGTTGACATTAAAGAGTGGGAGCCAGGTGCTGTGGTTTAATTCCTTTTGATTTTCAATTAACTTTCGTTTTCTTTTACCTTTGTGCTTGCCGATTCAACCAATTTGGAGCAGATGCAATCGATCAGGGTAGACATACAATAAAAATCATGAATCCTTCAGGTCCAACCGCTGCCTCAACTTCCTTGATAAAGTTTTCCCTCGAGGCGTCGTCAAAGGATTTAATGTTTGCGCCCATGGTAAGCCATTTCATGTCTGTAGGTCGTCCAATCGAGGTATAGAGATTGGACATGACAGTTTCGAATGGGAGGGATGTATGAGAAGTCTTCCGAGTTACGGAATAAGTAGACGAAGCTATCTCGTTGTTAGTACCCATAATTTAAAAGGGCAATATGAGAAAGAGGATGATTGTGAGGAAGGATGGGAAGGAGTACAAAAATCCATTTTGTATGTATAGTGTGATGAGAGTTTAGTTGAAAGATGTGATGAATACGATGTACTTACTCCGTACGTAGGTAACATTAGGTACCTATTTGATCATGATTACTTTTTCATCTGATTGATTAACCGAGGCTGATTACTAATTAATCTTCATCCCGCTCCAGATCTGCTAACTGCTAACCATTAACCTTATACTACTAGGGTACTAGGAAATCCATCGCCGGACAGTGAAAGGGTTGGTTCTAGTTTAGGTTAGGTATGAAAAGGGTTGTCCACCAGGTCTTATTATTGGAGCTACGATTCCTGATTATATAGACCCACAATCATCGTACCTGGTGTACTTGCCATATCAAGCCTAACGATACATGGATGGAGTACGAGTACTTTCTTTCTTTCTACTTATAAATTTAAACAAGTAATTACGGAGAAGAAAAAAGAATACTTATTCATTTATCCTAAATTTTATTTTGACTACGTATACTCGGTAAAAAAAAATCTTTACGGAATTCATCTTTAAGGAAGCATTCGTATTCTCGATTTCTTCGCAGTCCCTCTTTTATGCATGTAATCTTACGTCCGTTCTTAGGGAATCATATAGCGGTTTAATAGTGCGATGGCACTTGTTTATGTTTACTGGGGCAAGTCTCAAGATATCGAAATTAATCCAATAGCTAGTGCAAGTATGCCACTAAATGGTTCACCCGTGGGCCATGAGTAAGCCATGCAGTGAAGTCAACAGATCAATTGGCCTTCCTCTAATTTCTATCCACAGAATATTCCCGACTCCCTTAATCTATCTCCAATTTTACATTTTCCACGCCACCAGCACTACAGCATACCAATAGAAACTACTGATCCATCCCATCCAACTCGACCAACTTCAAAACCACTTCCACCACCTCATTCCCCGACAAATCCAGACCCGGCTCATCGATTTTCCTCGCCAAAACATCATCCAGCATCCCCCTCAATCTACTAACTAGTACACCTATTCTTGCCCAACCTCTTAGTCTCAGCCAACCATCTACCAAAAGACCTCTTCCCAATGTATCCAATGTAATTGGGCCCGAGAAGAGTAGCGCCGTGTATGCATTGAAAGGTGTTAAATCTCTAATGAATATTTTACTCGTCGCCATCTTGTTAAAATAACTCATATATTTGCTATTACCCGGGAATGTCTGTGCGTCAAAGATGGTACTACTTGGATGTACGAAAACACGCCCATTTTCTTGATTGAAGTATTTGATTGTCTTTGCTTCTGGATCTAATTCGACAGCACCTGAGACTGAGGCTGCGAACTTCTTGTCTGGAAAATCGATCCGAGCAAGTTGAGGATTGAAGGCTCCTGCGCAAAGAGATCTAATGAGAGCATTGTTTGATGATTTAGCGGATAAAGCTGGTGGGAGAATGGATGATGATGGAATGAAACCGATTTCACGAAGGGATGTGAGGTATTGGGTCCGATTTGAGGAGATATCATTGAGTGTTTGATATGAAAGGTAATTATCATTGCACCAGTTTCGAATCTCTCCTTGTCGGTAACTATTACGATTAGCATTGCGTATCAATTGCGGTGGAGGAATGCATACTTTCTATTATTGATCATCTCATACCACTCCTCAAAAGCTCGAAGATCTCCAATTAAATCACCTTGATTCTTGGCAAACCTCGCTCTTGCAGATTTTGACTCTTCTCTCTTATCCTGAGGTGATACGAAAGGCGATTTAACGGTCAAGATAGCTGCAATTGTGACTGCAGCATCTAAACAACCAAACATAGCACCATATACCATCAATTTACCGCAACGAAGATCAGCAGGAATCATCGAAAGATGACGACCTAATGCGGTAAGATCATCTCCATCAAGAGCACCCATTCTTCCCAATAAATCCATAGCACCATCAACAGCCATACTTTCAGGAGGAGTGATTGCACTGGCCAAAAATGATCCAACTTCCTTTACGCCCATAGCACGTACAGATAAACATAGTTGTTCTAATGGTACTCTTCTAATCTCTGGTTCCGGTCTCTCCATCATTTTCGACTTTTCGGCATTTCTTGTATAAAGCTTGTAACATTTTCCGGCTTGAACACGACCTGCTCTACCTCTTCTTTGTTTACATGCAGCACGTGAAGCCCATACTTCTTCCAATTTTCGCATATTGTTTTGAGGATCATAACTTGTCTCTTTCACGCGACCAGTATCTATTACTGCAACAATATCATCAATTGTGATAGATGTTTCGGCAACATTCGTGGCAACTATAACTTTCCGTTTGCCATAAGGAGCATGTGGAAATACTTTTCGTTGATCTGATGATTGTAAAGAGGCGTGTAATGGTAGAGCATGTAAATTTGGTATCGTCTTCAAGTAATCAAGTGTTCGAGTAATTTCGACGAGACCGGGCATGAATATGAGAATCCCACCATCTTGTTTCAGATGAGTTAATTCAGCATCAATCTCTTTAACTGTTTGACTGATCAAATCATAATTAATCCTCATACCAATACTTTGAATGGCAGCTGCGACGTCCGAATCCATACCAGATGTCTCCTGATTATCTTCCTGGTATTTACCACCAAAGCCCGGATTGAAATTAGTCATTCGGATAACATCATCAAGATAATAATCTTCCACTGGGTACGTACGACCACTAATTTCGACTCTGCCAACTTTTCCACCACTCTTGAAATAATCTTCAAAGATACCAGCATCCAAAGTGGCACTCATCAAGATTAATTTCAAGTCTTGCCGTTGACGAAGAACATCCCGTAGCAAAACAAGTAAGAAATCTGTATCTAAAGATCTCTCGTGAACCTCATCAATGATAACATGACTGACATCTGCAAGTGATGCTACGACATCATCACTACTTCCCCCGGACGTTTGTAATCGCCGCAGAAGTACACCTGTAGTCACAAAAGTGATCTTGGTATTGGGTGAGGCTTTTGACTCTCCTCGGATAATGTATCCAACTTCTTGACCAACAGGGGAACATCGTTCATCACTAACACGATCCGCCAATCCTAATGCAGAAATACGTCTAGGTTGTGTACAAATAATCTTTGCACAGTCTCCAAACGCTCGCTGGTACATGTCATCGAGAATAAATTGGGCTGATTGAGTTGATTTACCTGAACCAGTTTCTCCGGAGATGATAGTAACTTGATGGAAGTTCACGGTATCAACGATAATATCCTTCATCTCCCATGCCGGCAAAGTTCTCCGACCTTTTATCATGGATTCCAACTTCGGATTTAGCTGTCGACTAATCCAGTCCTCCTTGCTCCTGTCGTTGGCAATCCATTTAATTGCTCTAGGATGTCTCGAAACGTTTTTCCTTCTTCGACGAACTGGCTGGACCTCACTAACTGTCGATGCAGCCGCAGAAACATCGCTGAGCTTTCCAGGTCTTTCAATGATATTGTAAAGATTTTGTTCCACCCAGTCAATAAGAAAAAATAACATGTGCTCGCCAAGTAAACCTTCCATAGCGTGATTCAACGCTTGCTTCATAATACTCAAACGAATATATGCGGGTAATTGAACGTGGATAGATAGGACCGGAACTTTTAGAGGGTACTCTAAAGATCGTCGAAATTGAATGATAGGCTCGACAGGGAGATTTGTTCCACGATTTGTCGGTTTAATTGTGATCCTGCAAACATCCTTCGATGGACGGGAATATTTCTCTCCAAAGACAGATTGAAGACCTGTCATTTCCTCTTCCCAGATCTCCTCGGAAGATTCCTTGGCATCTTCGGTGTCCCATGAGTCTTCGCTTGGAATAGTTTCCACATCTTTCCCACTTGACATGAGTATGTGTTGTAAAGCCTCAGAAGCTTTGCCTTCATCGTTATGAATGTCAAAGATCTGCTTGCAAAGCTCAAGAGAGTATCCAGCTTCAGCCAGTCTCTTGATAGCGCCTTCACGCTTTAAGTCACTACTTGCCATACTAATGCCAGCGACATATCCTTCTGGCAATGCCCATCTTGGTAGATCATCTTCCGGGACATGGATAAGTAGCCATTCAAGAGTTTCCTCTCGATCCTTGCATATTTCCACAGCCTCTTCAATATGACTTTGCCGGAAATCGAGAGTCTTGAATTCCTTCACAATTGAATGCTTTTGGAAATCTGATAACTTGACATCATGTGGATTCCAAATAGCATGTCTCCTTACTAGACTTTCGACCTTCGTTCGCGTTCGCTTGCCCATTTCGATTTTTGGAACTTTAGTCCATCCTCTATGAATGTTGTTATGTGATGAACCTCCCGCTTGACTCGTGCCATTACTTCCATTACCACGTAAAGCCAAACCTACACCTCCTGGTCCTCCCGATCCTGGTGTATTCATAGCCTTTTCCCTGGCCTTTTGCTGATCATTTCGTTTCTTTTCCATTGCGGCTTTTGCATCTTCTCTTTCCCTCAAGGCAGCAAATGGATCGGCCTCATACATCCATGCCTTTCCTTCCTTAATATCTTCTTTCTTCAAAACTTCAAACTCTCCCTTCCATAAATCTCGATAATCGGGTGGAAGTGTCATATGAATGTTTCGCATATTGAGAACCCGGAAAAGTCCATACGTAGCAGCAAAATGTCTAGCCTCGAGGGCTGTAGGTTTGACCGCAAGATGTTTATGCGAAGGAGGTAATTTGAACGGAGCTAGCGATACGAGTTCTTGAGTTTTTGGATTTTTAGCTTTGAGAATTACCATTGAAGAGAATCCTTCGGGATTTTTGCTCTATTCCATATCATTAGCATGGGCTATTCTTTCTAGCAGAAACATATGCAAATCTCTGCAACTCAAGAACACTCACCATAGTATATTCCGGCTTTTCCCATCTTTGCTTCTGACAATGTTCCGAAAGTAAATTGACAGGTAACTTTCCGGTCCACGATTGTCCCCCAATCAACTTCTTAACATCTGGCCTCTTCGGTGCCTCACCCATTGGATCGGATCCATCTTGTCCTTGAGCTGGTGGTTTTCTCTGCTTTGGCTCTTTATCGGAATTTGAAAAGACGATGAAACTATCATCTGCAGCGGGTGCTGCTGTTGCTGGTTTGTTCTTACCGGCAGATGTACCTGGTTTTGGTCCACCTTTCGAGGACTGTCCCTTCTTGACCATATTTGGTCTCTGCAATCCTTATGATAGGCCGATCCATCAAAATAAAATTCAAAGTAATGAAGGTGGTGAGTACCTATCTTCGGGGTTTGATACATTCACTCACTAAATTTATTCATTCGAAGTTTCCCCACAAGGCTGAGAAAACTGTAAGGTTAAGGTTAAGCTTGGGCGTTCCTGCACACTAGAAATAGAAATGTGCGTCATTTTTGGTGGAGCTTTAAGCTTACGGGAGCAGCCTCGTACTCTGTAACTTAACCTTACTCTATGCGAAGTATTCATCACCACGCGCAAACACACTGTACATGCCATTCATGACACCGGCTACCCATATACGATCTATTACTTTGTCATTATGGCTTCAGAAAGATGTGAAGATGCGATAACAAAAGCAGAGAATGATGGAACCTCTCAAGCCTCTTCCAAATCAATCCAAAAGTCATCCAAACCCAATGCATGTATTGTAACACCATTTGCATTGTACCCACGCTATGTGTAGTACTAATAAAAATCATTACAGTTACCGAATTAATGTCAAACTCACGATCCAAACGGCCCAACTCTTCCCCAACATCCTCTCCTCCTCCGAAAAGGGTCGCAAATTCAAATCCCTTCTTCCCTGGCAGTGCAGGTCTAGGGGTCTATATATCGGATCCATCATCACACCCTGCCTCTCGCGTCATCTATCATACCCATTTATTTGTAGCAATCCATGATTTATACCCCAAATCCTCAGTTCACACCCTTCTCATTCCACGAGAAGAGAGATGGTATAACATGCACCCTATAGCCGCATTATCCAACCCCGAATTTCTCGAGATGGTCAGACCGGAAGCAGAAAAGTTAAAAGGGATAGTTGCATCGGAGTTACGTCGAAGATATGGATCAGAATCTGCACAAGATATGGAAAGGGAAAGGATACTCAGTGGGGAAGTCAGTTTAGATGATGATGCTGAAATGCCAGAAGGTAGAGATTGGAAGAAAGATGTTATGGTTGGAATTCATATGCATCCATCAATGGAGCATCTTCATATTCATGTCTTATCTGTGGATCGTTATTCTTCATGTATGAGGAAGAGGAAACATTATAGCTCATTTGCTACACCATTCTTTGTTAATCTATCCGAGTTTTCTCTATCTAAGGAAAGGCAAGAAGCTTTAGGTAGAAGTGGCCAAGCTAAGGCATGGTTACAGGGTGATATGAAATGCTGGAGCTGTGGACTGAATTTTGGGAATAAATTTGCTAAGCTAAAGGAGCATTTGGAGTTGGAATTCATTGAATGGAAAAAGAAATGAAAATCAAACAGAATTCATCATCTACATTTCCCCTTTATCAAATGATAACCACCAGAGAAAAGAAGAAGTGGAAGCAAGAAAAGTTTCGTCTAATGAGCAAAGGAACGGCAGGAGACGAACATTGGTCTTTCTTTGATATTTATTGCCAAAGCTTCAACGCCTAGATATTCCACCAGCCAGCGCTCTGCAGTGAAGCTGTCTATTCTCCAATCCAGATTCACCTCACCTCTTCCAACTGAAAAACCTCGATATAGTTATAAGCCGCGATTCACCAAACAATCCACTCAGCAAGATATCGAGCAGGCAACCCGAGATAGTTTCAAATCCGCCTAAGTTGGGGAGCATTAACCAGCAAGCTCCCTCATTATTCAATTTCCCAAAATATTCAATCATCTTTCCTCTAACACTTCTTCTCTTTTCCATATCTATCGATTTCTTTTTAATCATAAAATATCTCAATCACCTCTTCTGTTAGTGGACTTTTCCTCCACGCATTGAAGAAAGATAAGTAGCTTTCACACTTCACGATGTGAAAATCTTCCGTATGATCAAGTTCGTGACGGTTGACGAGGAATAGGCACAAAACCCGCAGAAGAAGTATTTGAAACATGATTGTGTGGAACGAAAATGCACTATATCTGGTTTAACATCTCGATGACTATCTCACTGCAATGCCTCGTCTATTAATCTATTTCGAAATTCCTCAGTAATATCTCCCGCTATTTCTGGTACCAAGTGCTAGTCCTTTACAGACTGAATTTCTCAGCTGTCTTCCCCGCATCACACACTTCCATCGGAATATACAAGCCAAGAAGTAATTGGCTTCCATCATACACAACATTTGGCCCAAAGCCCTTCTCTAAATCCAAGTGAAATGGCTGCTTTGGAGGCGCCTTACCCTCCTCAAGAAAGTTGGACTGACTTCGGAGGTATGATAGAGGCATTGGAAGAAGAACGAATCATCTGAGAGAGGACTTGCTGCTTCCGCATCAGAGCATTCGGTCGTCCGGATTACAGTCCAATAATGAAGGTCATCGATTTTTGAGTTTATTTTTGAAGAGTTGTGCTGCATTGCATGTCTTTTATGCTACAGTGGGAAATTATGTTTTCAAGCCTAGCTTTGAGCACTCCTAGCAGTAATTTTTTGCGACGGTATATTTATTGTTTACGGCTTGTGGTGATTTGATTGTTAAGAATAGCGGAAATATCGGCTACTCCTACTATTCTCTAATCAACCAAATATCCAAAGTTATTCGGAGTCAGGATGGGCACCGATCCATACAATTGTAGTTTCTTTACTTTCTTTCAGTCAAACCTAAACCAAGCGTCCGATCCACAACAGCAACTACTGCTTCATAAACTCCCAAATGTTTAAACCATTGGTGTAATCAACACACAACACGAAGAAGAAAAAGCCGGAAAAGAAACCAAACAACACCTACACAGAACTTTTTCTAGGGATTTCTTTGTCTAGAAAACAAACAGTGTAATCCTCTGTCCTCAGCCCCTTTTGGTCTCGCCTGTAGATTTAACAAAAGGACTCCCCTTCATCTCACTTCCTAACAATGTCGGAACAATGCCTATTATAACAAATTATAACCACATCTAATCAATCCATGCCCAGTCTATCACCACTCACAAACTACCCACAAATCAGCATCACAGCACCTCATCCCCAGATCCACCCACCCTCAAGAAGAAAGATGTCAGCCCAAACAAACGTCGCAGCAATCGTGGCCCTCTTCCTAATCTTCCTCACCATCTTCCTCATCTACATGGCCTACCCCAGAAACATCTGCCACCGATTAAAAGCTCGACGCATCGCCGCTCAAAAAAACCGCACATCTATTCCACCCGCGGGCCAACTACGCCAAGACCGCGACCTCGAGATGAACAAATATCCATTGCGGTATCCGGACCCGGTGATCACGACAGGAAACGACAAATTAGATGATTGGCCACTGCGCAATCCGATACCGCCACCGGCGGCGTCGATTTTGGCGAGACGAAGTCTGCGGTCCGAGGATTGGCCTTTGAGGACTATAGAGCCGGTGGTGGTGGTGAAGAGGAGACAATTTATGGATCCGGATGAGGATGATTTGAAGTTTGGTGGTGCGGGTGGTAGTCTTGAGGGGTTTCCTTATCGAGTTTGATAGGTGCGGGCATTTATTAGACAGATGAGGGGATTCAGATAGGTGAGTGAAGAACGTGATGCTTGACGTGGACATTTTTCTCACCAGATGAGTTAAGTGCAAGTGCAAGTGCACTTGAACATATTATCCTTTACCTTACATTCAAAAATTATTTTCCTACTTAAAACTAGACAATTATGAAGTGAATACAATAAATCGTGAAGAATAAATACATCGTGAAAACAAAACAAAACTTTATACTCTACTCGAGTAATAAATCTCAAAAATGTTATTGAACACACAGAAATTCAATCTATCTCCCTGCTTATGAAACAATGCAAGACATTCCACCGATCTACGTACAACTGTAAAGCTAACCGTTTACACAACCCAACATAAGATACATCAATCCAAGTAAGAACTAGCATCGCAACAACCGCAAACCACATCAACAGCGTATCATACCACAAACCGAACACCCAAACACACAATACGAGAAACCCAACTTCTGTACTCGAGTATCTCACACCGAGTTACACAAACCATGCCGATCGAAGCCCGTATGGAATATATAATGATCTCGTGGACTAATGAAGTAATAAGCATGCATCGCTAGCTGCAAGCAACACGAGAAAAGTATCACGATAGGAAAGGACTTACCGTTGCAATTGCGGTTGTAGGATCTTTTACTTTGTAGGTGAGAGGGATAATGCAAGGTGCCGTATTGATACGTATTGATAGCCAATGAGATTATGTCCTGATGTGATGTGTATGTACCTCTAGGTAGTTTCAATTATCATTCTCGAGTACCTACCTAGGTATCTAGTAACCTTAGGTATATATATGTAGAAGATTCCCTCCCAAACTAGGTGACGTATACAGGTATAAGAATTTATATTTACTAATTTACATTGCCACTTACCAGTCTCCAATTGCAATATCAATACCAAAGTCATAATAAACAATATTTTATAACCTATTCTACTCCACAAACTTCAAACTGACAATGCATATCCCAAAATTCCTTTTCGCACTCATCTCATTTACTCTCACCAAGCACGTGAGCTGCTCCCCAACACAAATGGGTACACTATCCACGCCCCCACCGCCAGGAGAAAGTAAGCTTGAGATCCCCCCCTCCCCCACAATCCCTCTCCCTTCCCATCTCCTAATAGATACCCACAACCACAACCACCCCCCACCCCACCATCACCATTCCTCCCGCTCCGCACCCCATCAAACTAACCCCTCCCCTTCCCTCCAGCCTACCTAACCAACTACCCCATCTGCGCCACCCCAGGCTACACCGTCGTCCCAGGGTCCTACAACGAAAGTATCCACCAGAGCAGCGGCGCCACGCTAGGTGGCTGCATCAACGAATGTCGGACCGCGTATCCCGGTTGTAAGAGTATTGCTTTTAATGCGGAGTATACGGAATGTTTGTGGTATGATAGGCGGGTGGGTGGGACGCAGTTATATGAGGATGGGGGGAGTGGGTTTGTGCATTATGATTTGATTTGTGTGGTGGATGGGTGTTATTAGGTTGGGGTTACTGGTGGAGGGGATGGTGGGGGAGTGGGGATGGGGATGGGGATGAGGGTTAGGGGTTGATGAATTGAGGAGTGAAGTGAAGTGAAGGGGAGAGGGGCTGTGTTAATGATAATTATGAATGGAGTTATGGTTGATATTTCTGGTAGACGGAGAGTTGACAATGGGATGAGGAGGCATATTTAGATGGATTAATCTCTTCTCAAACTAGTTCCTTGGTAACCACTATACAATCAATACCTACAGACAAGTTCACCATGAACTCTTAATATATATATACATGCAAGACTTCTTCCACAGCAACGCTATCATTCAACGACGAACTGTAAGTCAATCTATAAATCCTTTTGAGTTATTCTGGAAAAAGAGGTGAACAATTGAGACATTCTGCATAATAAAAGCAATTTCAGAATGCAGGGAAGTGATGCGAAAAGAGTTAGGAAAAGGCAGGGAGAGAGATTGAGGAGAGCAATGACTTAAATGGTAGTACATGATGGAGCTGCTGGTAATTCCTGCCAGGTCTTACCATTTATGTGTACAGAACTGTCCGACTCTGTTGCATTGACGGTAAGAAAACGTGAAACCTCACTATGAAGACTTGCCAATAGTCTAGAGTAGAGCCTGGATTTGACAAGCTGTTGTATCTTTAAGTATAAAATAATGGTCATATATCAAATATATTCAAGATAGTATCATGAACAGAGTCTCGAGTTACAGGCTCTTATTCTCATTCGCCCTCCGCCCCCACAACCACTCGGCCATTAAAAGTTAACAATATAATTTCACCTATTTCTTCTCTCCTTCATTCCTTTCTTTCTACTCTCTCTTCTTTCCCTCCCCTTCCTATTCTTGGAAATCCCTCTCCTCTGTATTGTTCTCCTGAACCACCACAAGATCATATCCCTCATCAAAAAACAAATAACCGCAAATGCAACTGGTAAAGCTATTTGCCAAAAGTATTTTTCATTATGTTCAATACTTGGCATGTCGGTAAAATTCATCCCAAAGTAACCTGTCAAGAAACTTAATGGAAGAAAGATGATAGTGACAATCGTGAGTTGTTTCATCGACTCGTTTTGATATGCTGATATGGTGTTAAAGATTAAATCAATCATTCCATCGGCATTTCTTCGAAGTTGATCCAGAGATTCTGTGATTAGTACGATATGATCTTCCACATCTCCGAGGTACGTTTGTGCCATTTGACTAATCTTAACAGCCGATGCTGCTTTTTGCACATCACCTCTTTGTCCAGCATATTTATGATCTCGAAGAGAATTAATGAGATTAGCAATAGGATTGATAAAGTTACGCAAGGTAGTGATTTCGCTGGTAACGACGTATAATGATGTTGTGTGTTTGATATTTGGATTTGTCAAGACATCTAGTTCTAATGAACCAATTATGTCTTGATAGGCAAAAGTAACAGGTATAGCAAGATCAATGATAGCATCGATAACGGCCTGCATTACCATTGATGCATCGCATGACCTGCGAAGTATTGTATCAAAGTTGCTTAATCTGTGAAGGATGGGTGTCTCAATATCATCCGCAGAGTTTTCGAAAAATGAGATGACGGTATTATCTATAACATGTCAGACATCAAACTCCATTATATTGACATTGAGGGGCTACTTGCCAGCAGTTAAAAATATCGATACTTGCTCGGCACTAACAGCCAACTTCTTTTGTGTTAAAGGAGAAACTTTCTCCATGTGCGCCGCCCTTTCCTGATTTGGACCTCCATGATATCTCTGTAAGGTCCTCAATTTTTGGACCGGCGAAGACTGTACACCATCCGTCTGTCCATTGATAAAGTCATTGGTAGTATCATGAACACCATTTGCGAGCTTATCGACCTGTACCACGTTGGGATTCCTTCGTCTCAACAAATTATATAAAAGCTTCCGAAATGGTGCTCGTTTTCTTTTATTTGGACTCTCCAGTGTTACATCTTTCTCGTCCTCTCCATCACTGTCCGTGTCGCTATCCTTGTCCGGATGCAAATGAACGAGTTTCTGTAATGTCAAAACAACATAAGTATGGTCGGTATACCTATCTACTATTAGTCCTCGATCATTGGAAAGTACTGTACAACATACCAATCTGCTTTTGTCCTGTTATTAAGATTTACCATATCCTCGATCGCCAATCTGTGTAGCTTCTTCCTCTTTCCAACTGCTTTTATCACATCCCAGCTGAGTCCATTAATATTGATCCATCGACATTTAATCCATTCCTCCTGTTCAATATCCAAAAATTGAACCAATTCATCATTATTGAATTCCCTCTTGACCATTTTATCTTCACTGAAATCCACAACAGTTATCTGACATTCCTCGTGTAAGTTGAAGCCTGTTGTCCTTCCACCATCAGGTTTCGAAGGATCCAATCCAGGTTCTTGTCCTGGATGCCATTCTGGTTGACGTGGTGAAATATCAACTGTGCGAAATGTATTGGATCTTGAGCGGGTTGTGCGACGTCGAAGTGGTGATTGTCCCATGATAGAGTCAGGGGAAGATTGACTTTGCGTCAAGGGTTCGAGATCATCTGCAAGTTGCGGTAAGCAGATTGTCGCAAAGTGCGCATATGGATGTTTTCCATGGAAGGAAATGATGAAGTATGCGAAAGTTCTTGAGGAGAAGGTATGCTTATGTCGCACAAATATACTATTGGTTAGAGCTGTGAAAGAAACTCACAAGCCGAAGGGAAAGCCTCCAAATCAAATCCCACAGCTCTTGACGGTGAGCTCATACCCCCAGGTGAAAAGTCTCTGACTTCCGGTTCAGTCATTTTTCCCTCCTAATATTATTTGTATGCGATAAACTGGTTTCTGCTGTATTGACGGACTGTTGCTCCTTTCCTCGAAATCAAGATTTGCGATTTCTATCTTCAAGCCTCGACTTTCTTTGCAATGAATAAAAATGAAATTACGCCACGCCAGGGGTATCAAATAAGAGTGAATGAATGGATGAATAAGTGAATGAATTGATAACAAATATAAACAGAGAATACAGAAAAACAATTAAATACAGATGAAACGAAGACGACGATGTTCAATCATTGAAGTTGTGATGATATTATCTGATAATATTTTTGTTGCCAAGCCTAAGTGTCTAGACCCCACCCGCTTGTTCTAGCTCTGGAAAAGTCCCTGGCGACTGTGAAGATAACCCCTATAACTTTAACGAGCCTGTACGGAGTAAATTTAAGGTCCGAACTTTATCCATTAAAGGAGCGATATCAGGATACGTTTCAAGTATTTAAATCATAATGGTGTAATTATTTCAACAGAAGTACTGTATCTATATAAATACGTATTAATCATCGTTCCAGCTCAATTGATGACGCTCCGCTAGGCCACTGCCGTGGAGGCTTTTTCGCTTCGCTCTAGAAAAACTAAAAATGGATGAAGGGGTAATGTTGAGAAGCAGCAAAGATGTTGTTTTCGAACATGGAATAAGGGGTAACGTCATGATTTGAATGAATACGAACACGGGATAGCTAAGGTGGATGTTGGATAATGGACAATACGAATGAGAATGGCAAATAAGACGAGAACCACTAAAGGATGTTACAAACAGATCAGCTTTCACTGAAGCTGTCTAGATAATGCTATGATCCGAAGTATCTGGATCGTAAGAATACCAAAAGCCGGACCCTTGGTTTGCTGAAGTTAAAATTCAAACCTGGTTAGTCATCATCTCAACAGCCGTGAATTTGACGTAAAAAAATGTTTCATATCACCAACATCACACATCATCGCAACAATACCCAATACAGTCGCGGTACGAATGAATGATGCGAGAATAGCACCCCCTTCGTTTCAGATACTTTATTTAAATACAGTGAATGAAGTCTTTTACGACACAGCTGATGACGAGAACAGTGGACCCCACGAAGATCATTATATCCTGATATTGCTGACTTCTACTTTTGTACACAGCCATCCAACATTACCTACCCAACAAGCCCCTTTTAGGCCCCAAGATATAAGAACTCCCATATCTCATTTAATCGAAGAGTAAATAAAGAGGCTGAGTAGTCTATAAACTCAATTAATTGATGTTACAATATCTTATTTCCCCTCATTAAGGAAATGATACCGTAACCGCCGGGGTGGGGCAAAATTTCTTTTATACAGTCGCATCTTGGCATCGATATTTCACTGGAAGCCTTGTTTGGAAATTTAACATGCCTGTACGAGTGTCGCGCATGGGTAACGGGTCTGGGGAGAACATTGATGATTGCAAGAATGGGAAGTTAGCTGTCGTTCTGTTGGCATGATGCTGCATAGTCGGAGCAAAGTCGCTGGGGGGAGAAAAATCTTCGGATTTACACGTCTTGGAATCAATGGATGGAGTGGATCATTTTTTTACATGCCATACTTTTTTTGAGAAAGAGGAAAAGCCGGATTCGAGTACCTATTTCAGTTTACTCTCAAGCGTCTGAGGTAAAGGAAGTCTTGAAGAGCAAAAAATTCATTTGGTATCATTTTCCATTTCGCCTTTATAACACCCCACTCCTGAGCCATATCCTCCCTTCCTATTCTTTTTAAAAGCCATCTGCATTAATAATCCTTAATTCCGAAGCCATTCCTATTTCAAAGGGTGATCCCACATTGACATCCAACTTCAAGAATGAATCCCTATCCCCTTCAAGTCCCTCTCCATTAAACTCCGATGCCGAGTGCGAGGTGGGTAGATTCCATTGTGTCGGTAGATCAACAGGTACCATAAAATCATATCGTGATTCACAGGTATCGATAGGTCGTAATAGAGGACTCGCGCAAGGTGTTGATCTAGTACTTTGGAAAGCGGATGATGTTGGGGTGTATGAAGGTGATCCACATGTTGATCCTTCGGAAGCAGTACTTCCTCTCCTTCTACGTGCGGCGTCACCGGATGCCCGAAGGAGGTCAAAATCCATTGATGAGGTCTTTTTTATTGGTCTTTGACTTCGTGCTCCTTGTGCTAATTCTCCAAGTTTCATAAAGTTGTCCATATCTGAAATCGAAATGATTGGCCCGCCGGTCATTTGTAAGGTTGTTGATGAAGACATGATGTACTGTTTTTGGTTAGTCTTTGTTGGATAGCAATTTCGGATGAATCAACTTACATTTATGAAAATCGAGAATGAAATATTAAGAGAAATCCCGACTAAAGTTTGAATTGTCGAGAATGAATGATAGTTCTGAGTGCTGAGTAAAGTTTCCCGGAGAGTAAAGTCGTGCTGATATTTTGACAGGTAGTCGTAAGTGAAAATGAGATCTTCGTGAAAATTTAATAGTCGTAGATGTTTACAGTGAATCGAAAACGTTAAGGATAGTATCTGGTTTATTATTATACAATATGATATGATATACAAAGAATGAATGTGTTTGGTCTGAAATACAAGATCCAAGGAGGAGGACCAAAGGGATACATATATCAAAGACCCAGACTCATCGTACAACCACATACGCATTCTACCTAGCACGAGTTTGAGTACCCCATGGCCAGCGCCTATAGATTTAAGATCTGCCTGCCACCCGGGCCACCCCACTCGCGCTTGACACAATCCACCCGAGATCCACCATAAGGCTGTCTCCATTCCCGACCCAACCACGACTTGCTTATATTAAGAAACGACCGTGCTTTAAAATGAGACGTGAGAATACCAGGCGGTTGCAGTTCGCTTGTCCTGTCGTTTCATATCAACACCCACGTTTTTGGGGGGATATGCGTCTAATTTTGTGGGCCTATCAATCCGCCTATCGACCTTGTCAACAGGGGCAAGCGAAGGCTGTGTTCTTGGGTCCCCTGAGCCATCAAATGAAGTAAATTCCTACGATTGGTTCATTCTTCCCAAGGATGAGGGTTACCGCTGATATATATCAAGCTCATCGGATCCTTGTTTTAGACCTCATCATAACCGTTTGAGAAACATTGATATCCCATGCAGTAAGTCACAAAGGAGACACAAGGTGGAAGTGGATATATGTGAAACTCTCACGTGTTGTAAGTCATGTACAATATATTGTTTCTTCCTGGTGGATTTTTTGTGCACGGTAAGTTATACACCAACCATATTCGAAAAATTCTAGCCAACTGTTGGAAAAACAGCTTCCACATTTCTTAACACGTAAATGATGCGTCTACTTTTCTGCGGCCGATCTGTCACTTCGAAAGAACGTGGTCTAGAATTGCTCAAAACAATCGAATCTATTGGTCTACATATCAGTAAACAAAACAATCCTTCATGTCGGAACATTCAAAATATCAAATCATCGATGAATGCCACTCGGGTTCTTAAATTATTGTTGGCGCTCTTCACATCATGACCAACGAAATCCCACTATCGAAGTGCATTCATTGGACACCGCGAATATTGAAAAGTCTGGATATCATCACCACGTATATTAACTCATAACCCGTAATGCATCATATCAATCAAAAATTGACATATCATAGATTTATGATATCGGGAAAATTAGATCCATAATTACCAGGAGGATTTCTGATCAATACTGCGCAATCGTCGCAAATGCCTCCTTTTGATATGCACATAGAAGAAGATTATTCTGCATGAAATTCTATGTACCTAAGGCCTATTTAGAATTTGACGTGCGTTGTATTATTTACTTAAGTTGTGATTATCACAAGCATTGTATTTATAATCACGAGATAATAAGATCTTACATAGTCTACTCCTTTTAAGTTCTTGTTATTTGCTATTTGCTAATTATTTGCCATTAACCCGATGACTATCCATCCATTCCATTGCATTGCAGCATATGCTCCATCCAACTCGAAAACCAGTAAATTCATCTTCAGATAGTATCAATATCAATATCAATATTCGTTGGTGTTAGTATTAGTATTAATATCAATATCATAAACATCGTAATTCTACATCTCACATCCACCCAACCATCTCTTGATTGGAATCAACAACAAACAAACAAACAGCCAACTACTCAGCCCCTCGGTTAATTTTCCTTTCTCTAGCCAGCAAATAAGCTCTAAGATTGGTTCTAAGATTGGTTCTACAGTCCCGAGTCCCGAGTCCCGAGTCCCGAAGATTGGGAAATTGGTATATTGATGCGTAATTAATGTAATGTGGTGACTGCAAATAGGCAATCAGGGAAGAAACAAGCGCTTGCGAGGTGAGGTGTTGGGTTTACGATTTGCTCTGGGATGAAGGGGTGGATTTGATAGCACGCTTTTGGATCTTTGTTTGAGAGGGATGTGGGAAATCGGTGTGGTGGAGTAGTTACTGTTGCAATCGTCGTGGTAATTTGGTGGGTATTTTGAAAAAATATCACGAGAAGGCCGCGGGTTTGATCTATTGTTGTGCTAGTAAGGTAAACAAGAGTCGTCACGAAGAAATATTGTCCATGTTTGTAGAACTGAAATATGCGAAATCGTCAAGCAAATTAGGATGGCTCTAGATGATAAGGCTGGCTTCGGAAAGCACGCTCATAGATAATGTTGGATGCTACAGATTTGGTGAGACATTTTTCTCAAGGCATCATTGTCCATTTTCATAATCTGCCGACTTCTCAATAGATCTTATTGGAGGACCATTTGGAATTAAAACTTCGTTCTCAAACTTTGAAGACTAGATCTACTTTATCATTCGCACATGCGGGCGAAAATTCATGGAGAAAGTCAAATGCTATTAGAGAGTACTAGTTGTATCCAACTGATTTTCTAGTCCCCTGTTTGCTAAAACCCCAACGGACCATTAAACCTACCAGCTTCAATGTTCGATAACTGTTGATAAAAGCTCTTCCAAGCAATTTTACCTTGAAGTGAGCGTTTGCGTACCGCAAGTTCCTCGAACTTCTCTGCTCAGATACCACCAAAAAAATCTAATACTTCGAAACTAACAAGCCTGAGCTGCCACTAAAGACGACGATGATAGTTTAAATATCCACTAAAACAATAACAATTGTTATTTCTCAATGCCTCTGAAAAGATGAAAGAGAAGATCTTGAATATCATGGCCCGTGGTGAGATTATCTCTTCTGCATTAGTAGCACCCACTTAAATAGTACTAACAATGCGATGAAGATGAATCGAAAAGGTCAAAACTCTGTACTTAGAGCCATGAATATGTAACTTCTCGAAGAACGACAGACTAGTAGGTAGTCCAAGCTCGGATCCTCTTGGCGTCATGGTTCATCATCGTCCGGTGTCCATTGTTCGTGAGTGCCTTGGAGATTCCGGATTTGCAATAGTAGCTATCTCATCTGTGTATCACAAAAATTCAGCAAGCATGTCTGACCTCATCAGAAGTAAAAGTGTGAGATGAAAAATATGAGAGAAATCAACCCTTCCAAAATCCTGGTACAGAAAAACTTTCCTAGCTACTAAGTTTTTAGCTATGATCAGCACACACCAAGATTTAAGTCCAGAAGGAACGAAACGGCACAATTCCTTGTAACAATCGGCCACTAGTACCCGTTATAGCGTCGAACAGACCCCTAGCCATCGCCTCTCGGCATGAGGATTCCCCACCTACCTAGAGTAAGTACCCTTTATCAAAACATCAACCACTTACCAGAAGTCCAAAAGAAGAGAAAAATGTTTACCATTCCAAAATCCTTTGACTTCAAACCGAATATTTTTATGAATGACTTAAAAAACCTTGAAAACAATGCCGATTAGAAAACTATATACAGCCATTCCCGTCGAACCACCTTCTAAATCCGCAACACGACAAAAATCGCATCATACAAAGAACCCAAGTTACAGCTCCAATTGTAGCATATCCTCTAGATCTTTAAGTTCTTCTGATACCTCGATTTGTTCCTTCGATTCGAAGAGATTGGAAATTATGAAAACTCAAACGATAGAATGGACTTACGAACCTGCTTCACATTTCAGCGAGACGGAGAGAGCGGAAAATAATTCGCATTCATATCATACTTGGGAAAGAATAGGTTCGGATAAGACTTGTATTGGGAATTCTGAAAGTGGTATTTTCCGTCGAAGAACGAAAGATGCACCAAGGATCGAATGATTATTTCACTGGAGATTGTATTTCCATGTTTGAACAACATCAGCTGGACGGCTTCAAGAACCAAGATAGTAAGGACGCCTATATTTATGGTCTTCAGTTGGAACATTGGATTTGCAAGCCTGAGAATAGAAGCGATATCTCGAGGGGAAGCCCCGTGGCACATTTACACTAGCACATAACGGGGCAGAATAGTATAATTTGAGTCCCAGCATCTCATACGAACGTTCTCTAGGAACGTTTAGTCAAAAAAGATGGGTTTATGATGCGGGCACATTACGGGGCATATGCGAGGATCTAGCTTCCAACTTGTGATTGAATCATTCCGAGCTCGCTTAACCCTGTCTGGGAATGCTGAAGAACGCGACACGGTTGGAGAGACAACCGACAGCCAGGAAGCGAAACTTGGATGAAAATGTGGTAGAAATCATCGAAATGGGAGAAAGGTTAAAAAGAAGTGAAGAAAAGTCCCACAAGCTACCCAGAATTCAAGACTGAGGATGGGATTGGGAGACAGGATTCGAAGAAAGTTACGATGAAGAATGGATCGGACGGCAAAATACATTCCGTCTACATGATATTTCGAGGCACTACTCGATGCTAGCAGTTCCACAAAGACTTCTTTGTTACCATTTTTAGATAGAAAGACTTCAAAGAAAGAGATCGAAAACAAAAAGAACATAAATCTCCAATGGCACAGAGGACATAGAACAATGCCTCTGTTACATTAATAAAGCGTTCCCACCCACAATCCCCCAAGTTCCCCCAGGTTACCTATCAATTCTTCATACCAAAAAACTCGAATCATTTCACAGAGTTCATCACAACAACTTCATCAAAAAACCATACTTACCTCCATCACTACCACCACCACTAAAGAAATGGCTCTCTCAAACAAAGGCGACAGCGTCGTCATATTCACTCTCTTAACATTTTTCTTTACATTTCTCATCATCTTTTTACTCTACGTCCCCCGCTGTATCTATCTCCGTCTAAAAAAGCACAAAAAGACACCCAGTCGAAGCGAAATGAAACAATGGTTCGATCAAGGCGTTGAAGCTACCATTTCATCAATGGGAAGAAGGAAGAGAGTAGAAAATGATACTCGTAGGATTAGGACTGAAGATGGGTTTCAGGATATTGAGTTGGGGGATATATCGAGGGATGCATCGGGGAGAGAGATTCGAGGAAGAGGAAGAGTGGTTGTGGCTTTGCCGCAGCGGGCGATGGTTTCGGGTGAGAGGTTGCCGGGATAGATATAATTGCTAGCTTTTGTATCTCTCGTTGTTTAAGAAGTAGGTAACTGGTTATGATATGATGCTGGACGTTATATTGTGCTGGCAGGTAAGAATATAATTTTATGGTTTTTCTTCCTTTGAAATTTTTATTTGGATAGTAGTATTGTGATTAGTGGCTTGGACGGTGTAATAAGGTTCATGCTGCCTGTAGTCTCAATGGAACTCCAAGAAGTTCTTAGGCATTACCTATCTCCTTCTTTGACTAATAAACAAAGACTTTTGATTGTCTTTCTTCTATGTGTGAATGTCCTTTGTTTACCAGATTGACCACACGCATTAGCACTGGTAAATCATGATTCTTGAAGCGTTGATATTGCCTCGAATATTGTGGTATTGCCATCTGAAACTCCTACCCTAAACCATGGAATTTGATGTCATTTCATGCCTAGGCACAGTGTTTCAATAGACTTTTGCCTTCCAAAACGTCGAGGACAGTAATCTCATACATCAATCGGGCAGACGTGATAATGAGAACTTATAAAGTAATTGCTGTAGTCCACTTAAAACTATGCCATGCTGTGTGGAAATGCTGCAGAATTTTGCCGGGTCTTAATTGATGGATTAGATATTGCGAATGCAGAAATAAAGCGGGATGAACCTCAAAGAAAGTTAAAACCTGGGCTGCCTATAGGAGATAGCAAGGGTCAAATTAATTGACGAGGGTCTGCTTAGAGTTTGGAATACTAGAGTAGCACTGTGCCTATTATTCACCACCTAGAACTGTTTGAACTCATCAGCTATCAGTATGGTTTTTGAGTGTATATTTGGAAGACTACTTAAATAGCTATCCCTGATTCTTGACTCCCATCGGAATCCATGATTCAAAATCACAACAGACTTCTACAGACCTACAACAGTGCAAACTTTTGATAACGCAATGAAACATCAATCCCTCCTCCGAATTGTCATGACTAGTAAATCGCAGAATCTGCTCAAACCTCAAAGCCTTAAAACATTTGCATGCCCTATTTATAATGCGGTATTTGTTTCATACTGTCATCTCACGTACATCCTGGCGCAAACGCGGCAGAAACACAAACCTGTCTCCTTACTCACAATTTTCCCACCAGGCCCAGTCCATTTAGCAGAATACTCCAGCAACATACCATTCAATTCAGCAGATATCTCTAGCTCGACACGATAATGCGGTTTAGCCTTGCTTATACTACCATATTCGCCTTCTATTAATTGAATCTTATTTTCCTTTCTGAGGAAAGTCATATCGAATTCAATTCGACCGGCTATTTGGACATCTAGGGACTGTACGTCAGTATAATAAAGAAAATGGTTGCATTCATGTGTCAGAGACAAGAAACTGTGAACGCTGCTAGAAAAGCTTGCAACGATAATAAGTGTGGTACAAGATGGCTTGACTGGAGTTGACAAGGAAAACGCAAAGTTCAAAACTTTATTGTACTCATGATCCAAAGGATAATGAGAATACTTTGCTTCATCAGACACATAAATCAATTCCTCACATGTCAGCGTTTCATGTGCATCACCGCTACTCAAATCATCTGGCCAATTCTTAATGCTCAAAAGCTGTTCCGGAAAAGCTCGAGGATGTTGATCATTAATAGGGTGGGTGAAATAGGATACGGATGTGAAGGTAGTTCCAAAATCTACGCCAATGACAAACTTTTGTGGTATGGCGGTATTATTAGATTCTTCTTCAACTGTGTTGCCCATATTGACCGCGCGTCTTTTGCGAGAAGATTGCATGTTCGGGGCATTGCGTTTGATCGTGATCTTCATTGTTTGAAATCTTACTCGAGTAGAAGGACCTGTATAATAAGTTCATGAAGAGTATTGAACTTTCAAGGAAACAAAGTGAGTATGGAACACTAGGTGCCGAAAGATCTTTTGAAGAACATGGCGTTGATGTTTCACTGGAATTTCAAACATGAACAATTCAATTCGGCTGTTGTTAACCTCCGGAAAAGATTTGCTTTTGTCAAACGCAGAGAATCAAACAGATGAAAATAAATAATATGCACTCTAACCAGGATTTCCGTAACGCGCATACAGATTTGACACGGCCACGGGAGTCAGCGAATGGGGAAGTGACATCTTCAAGGATTTCCAGGCAAAAAGCTATCCGATTTTTGCATTGCGGGCCAAACAAGCCGGGGTTTGTTTCATTTTCGGGTAGTTGAATTGGTTCGATAGACAGCAGTGCAGAGAACTTGATGGTCACCGTAAAAGAGCAAACGGCCATTTAAATCTGCCCTGATAGTCAACCTTCTTCCATCTCAAGTTATCAAAATATTTTCGGCAATTCCGCAGCGATTTCAAGCAAATTTCATATGGTCAAACATTCATTCAGTAAGGATGCCAGATTGGTCGCTTGAAGAGGATGTGGTTCTCTTCGCTTGGCTCGATTTCTACAATAAACATGGAGGAGATCACTTGGCAACAATAAAACAAAAAATAATGGAAGCGACTGGCAAATGTCGCACAAAAAATGCTGTAAGATGTCGCCTTCGATTTATCGAGTGGAAATATCGTAAGTCGGATGGAAAACGCCAATTTAACCGTGATGAATTTGATTTATTCCGAAATATCAGCCAGAAGGGATCCAAGAGCTTGAAATATCCTCCCAGAGGCATGGCACGGAAAATCAAGAATGCTTTGAGCGAGTGTGAAAAGATACACGCGTCGAATGAAACTCAAAAAGGGGTAGAAGTCACACCCATGGAAAAAAAAATCAAGGTCAGCTACAAGTGCAAGTACCTGCTCGCAAATCAACCCCTGTAAAGACTAGAATCGTCCCAGCATCAAAGACCACCCAACAGGCACAAGATGAGGCAAGCCATGTTCGGAAAAGAAGCTCGCAGGAGGCTGGAGAGGATATTGCGAGAAAGAAGCGACGTCTAGAAGAGGTATGGGAACCCTTTGTCAGTACTCAATCAAGAAGTGAATTATCTTTAGTCACAATGCATTCAACTTCGCATTGTTTGGTTGAGCCGTCTAAATCATAACAGAGCCGATAAGTCTTCGAACTTTAAGCTCATTTATCGAGACAAGAGTGACTCAACGTCTTCTTGAATACCTATAAAAGTATAGATTTAGAAAACGCAACAAAACTGACAATCTATCTGATTTAGACCACTGGGACAACCCCGCTTGAGAAGCAAGATAAAAAATCTGAAATGGGACTTCCTCGACCCTTCAGCACAGCGGAACGCCCAAAGTCTCATCTTCCAAAGGCGAAGTCGCCCGCTAAGGCTGCAGTATCAAATGTTCATAAAGAACCAAAAATTTCCCTTTCATCCAAAGCTCACTCCGAGAACAGGAGTAATGACGAAGTAGTGAAATTGGGACATCGCAAGCATGTCAAGGAGAAAAGTCTCGAGAATATAAAAGAAAGTTACAGGAGGGATTTGCAGAGGAAAGAAGCAGAAATAATTGCCATTCGAGACCATTGGGATAGCGACCTTCTAGAACTACATGGGAGGATCGGAAAGCTTCAACAAACGAAACTAGAGTTGGAATCCAAGGCTTCAAATTTAGAAGCAGCAGACATCGTCGTCAGAAATGCAGGAAGATCCACTGGCTTATGAGATTGGCCAAAAGAACATAGAAATATGGATGTTGACTAATAAGATTCACCGGCAGTTCGAAGTGTCAAGCCTCAAGTAGAGAGAGGCAAAGCATCTACCGCCTCAGACTATCGACACTGCCATGAACGAGATCCGCTTAGAGTTGGAAGCTATGACTGAAATTCAAGATTTTAGGCGCATGCATAGGCCGAAAGAATGGTTCGATGGCAACTTAACGCACTTGGTGAACTCTGCTTTCACTTCTCTCGAAGGATCGAATCATGGTACGCCTCAATTAGAGAGATTGGGCGTGAAATGCGGTGAATCTGCGGTATTTAGCATTCTAGCCCTAGCTGCATTGAGGGATTGGGTTTTCCTAACGGATTTTCCACACATTGGGTTGGGATCTTTGAATCTTATTGAAGCATATCGCAACATTGCGTTTAACAAAGGCGAGCACCTGCCGTAATTTCTTTAAGTTTTTTGCTCTGATGAGAGAATATCCTGTCTTCTGTTTGGGTTAGGTTTCAATATCCTAGATACTAACTCGGATGAATCAGGCGGATGGGTTGAACTACGACTCTTTGATGTCGGGGCCTTCAAGGAACATATGAAACAGCCATACTTCAAAGATCTTCTTAAACGCACCACAAAACAGCTTTCGTGTCGATTATCAAGGACCTTGAGCCCATTATTCGGTAAAGGTCTTGAAAATCTGGGGCATGATTTCTCCTTCCATACCTGGGGAGAGGAGTCGGAGTCTTGGAAAGAAAGACAGTACCATTTCGAAAGGCTTTCCGGCACAGCCCTTGAGTTAAAAAGTGGCTCTGTAATCACGGATGATAACTATACCTTTGAATTTTCGTCCAACCAAGCATATTCCAACAAACCATTCGATGAGCCAGACGTTCCTGAGGGATCTTGGTTACGTCTTTCCATTTGTGCATAAAAATCGAAACCATTAAACTCCAGAGTGAAAAGGAAAGTGCACTGGTCCAGACACGGAACTTTTTACCTTCTCTCACTGAGGATTGTTTCTGTGATTACCGGAAAAATATATATCTCGGTGTCAGTCCATCGCATAAGATGCAAATAATGTTGCAGCCCAAAGGAGATCTAGTCGAAATTTCCGCGACATCTGACACTGATAATGAGGACTCTGAACAAAATATTCTACATCCCGCAGAAACTCATGTCTCTGAAGCAACTCACAAGAGTCGTCCTGCGGTCATCGAGATACCCATACAATCAAAGAGGATTTTGCAGCTCCCTGCTCAAGCCCCAGATATGCCATCAAAGTATGTATGTAAAACATGCAAGGAGGAATTCAGCTGTGTCCAAGGTCTAAACTCGCACGAGAGAAATGGGACGTTCCAATAATCACTCCAGGTACGAGAGACGCTGACATTTTTTAAAGAAACCTGTAAGCGATGCCATACATGTAGAAAGATCTGGCCCACAATACATGATCTGAATCAACACATTAAGAAGCACCATACGTGGCAATTCGAAAAATCTAACTCGTCATTGTCTGTAACGCGCGGCCGTGAGAGGGCCCCATCGGCTGTGTCTTCGGCTCCGAAACGAATAACAAGATCGAATCCGCCCACGGAAAGAGAGAGTAGCGAGGATACAGATCTTGATGCGAACTTCACGAATTCCTCAGAAGCTGTGGAAAATAGAGAACCAGATAGTCCTCGCGCCACACATGACTACATATCTTCAGCTGGCGAAGATACGCAAACCTTGGATAATGAGATATCCGACAGCTTTGATTCCAATGATGATGGAGAGCTAGAAGTGCGAAATTCCCCCCTTCATCTAGCTTCCATGATTGGGACAAATGATCCTAACCTCTCAAATGTCGGACGTGGTAGTTCTAGCACCAAAGGCCTTGACACCACTTCAGAAGGATCAGAGATTAAGGAATTGGCGATCGCCAAAAAGAACCACAAAACTAAGAACATTCGGAAGAGTAGCTATGAGCTTGGCGAAAACGCAGTGATACTGTCTGAAGAGCTCAGATATGGGTCTAATTTAAAAATGGACATGAGACTCTGCAGTTCATTCGGAGTCAGTCAAGAATCTCTCGAGGTCAATTTAAAAGAAAACGCCACTCTTAGTCCAAGTAACCAAAAAAAACAGAGACAGTTCCGAAAATCCAAGTACTCCTAGTTCCTGTACAGACGATGTTGAATTGGGAAATCAAGAAATCCTTTTCCCAGAAAAATCGTGCTCGACTGGAAAATGTGGCACCACAGATGATGTATTTGAAAGCCCCAGACTCATACCTGAAAGACGCAAGAGTCAATTATATTTGGTGGGCATTGAGGAGGAGGAATCTGAAGAAAGCGAGGCAGATGAAGATCATAGTGTTGTAGTGAAAGATAGTGAAAACATCAATGCGGAAAGAGCTGAGCAGGCTGACACTCCTGAGGATGAGAGCACCGAAGCGGACGAAAATGAGGACGACGAGATGGACGAAAATCAAAGTATCGAGGCTGGCCATGACGATAATTTCCAAATGAAAGGAGATGAGGAGCACAGTGTGGATAACGAGGATGCTGTCAAGTTGTACGATAATGATGATATTGAGGACGACATCTGTGAAAATTGTGAGGCAGATAATGACGGAAATGGTGGAGTGGCCGGTGAAGAAGCAACCGAGGCAAACAAGGACAACTGCGATGAGCTTATCGGCAAAGCGACTAGTGAAACAGAGAATAGCGACAATGATGAGGATAAAATCAACAGGCATTTTGATGTAGAAAATGAGGAAGATGTTGAGAATCATGACAATGGAATTCTTGAAAGATGGATCAATAGCTGCGAGGGACCTATGGATGAAACAGTTGAAGTAGAACGAGACGAAACCATTGAGTTCGATGATAATAGATATAGTCAAGCGCGAGTCGAGGAAGATTTCACTACCAATGAGAGTACCGACAGCTATGACGACAAGACTAAGGTAGTGGAAAATGACGATAACATTGAGGCTACCGGTAAAGGAGCTACTGAGGTGGAGACCAAGAAGGGCATTGATGTTGACAGCAATAGAATCCTTGAAGATTCAGGCCTCATATTCGATGTTCCCATCAGCACACCCGCCGAAACAGGGAACAGGGATAACATCCAATTAGGTGGTGAGGGAAAGCTTCAAGCGACAGAAATTAGGAAGAAAGAGGTTGCTGTTGACGAGGATATAGAAGTTCAGGGCAACAAGATTACTGAAGCGGAAGACGAGGAAAACATTGAGGTTGATATTGGTGAATGTTTTCAAGTGCGAGGAGCCGATAAAGATATTACTATGGACGATGGTGCCGAAGGTATCTGCGGCCATGATACTGCTGCATCGGAGCAGTACGAGTGCTTTGAGGTGGATTAAAAGGGCAAACTTCAGTCGCTCGAAGTTGTAGTGGAAAACGAGAACAACCTTGAGGACGAGTACAACGAATATCTGCGCGTGTGAAACATTGAAGAGAATGGGACTGCTATTGACGAGATTCTCGAACAGTATCTCGGGAAGACTAGAGAAGTGGAAAATGACGATAGCATTGAAGACGACTACAAGATGAATTGTCAAGAGTGCGAAGTTCAGGAGAAAGTAGTTCACGACAGCTTGATCATCATGGCAGAACGCCCCAAATGTGGCCCAGAGTCAGAAGCTGAACAGGAAGTAGTTGATTTGAATGAGAGCATGGAAATTGACAGCAATAACACTGCTGGATCCGAGAATGGCGATAGCAAGATGAGTCTTCAGGATGAAGAATTCCACAACAACCAGACCTCTGTGGCAGACAACGACAGCAACATTGATGCCGACTACCTTAACTATAGCCCAGCGCGAGAAGTTGGATGGGATACCACGGACAATGATATCGAAGTCAACAGCAATGAAACCGCAGAAGCAGAAAACGGGGAAAGCATCTCGACCATCGATAAACCAATATACAAGCAAGAAGAGCACCAAAACTCGGAAATAATTCCGAGCGGCGATGAGTTCCAAACCCCATTTTCCGATCTGACTGGAGTACAAGAACCTCGTTCAAAATTTGGAAATGAAGGTGTGTCCGCTGGATCTTTCCCGTGGAATATACTGAAAAATCCAAGCATATTTTCATTGCGAAAGGCCCAACAACAACAACAACAACAACAACATACGGAAAATAGATTGAAAATGCAATCGGAGGAGAATAGGGATATGGAAGTTCAGGAGGAAGAGGATGAAGTACAAGGCGTTTCGACTGAATTTGCAGACTATTAACGAGTGAGAGTAATTGAGTTGTATTTCTTTTGCCAAATTGGTATTTTATCAGTGTTTTCTTTCTTTCCACGAATATTTAGGTAGCTCAGCAATAAAAGGTAGCAATTATGAGAATGACTGATGAACAATTGGTGGCCATGATGATAATGAGAAGATTCGATGACAGGAACACCAGAAAGTATTTGCCAAGCCACTAATTTCATCTCAGAATAGCACGTGATAAACACCCAATCCATCAATTTCATCCAGACAGTAATTTAAGCGACAACACTCTCGACCGCAAACATCCATCTCCCCAACGAAACCAAGTTTCCTATACAAAAAACCAATAATTATATCAATATCCTCCCATCCCACAACCATTCAGGAAATTCCCCGAATACAAACAGCGATGTAAAAAGAATAAACACCACGCAGATAAGTTTCCGCGGAATCACGTTTCCTCAACACACAAGCAGGTACACAAAGAATCTCTCTCGTCGACGTCAGCGCCAACACATTTACTGTACGAAATAGGTTATTCCACATACCAATATCAAATATCAAAAAACCCAATAGCGATGTGAAAGAAAAGAGAATGCAAAGAAATGCGGCTGGTATCCGACAAATCACATTTCCTATCATCAACATTAATAATACCAATACCAATACCAACGATCAAACCCAATAATCCACTGCATACACTACCTCACACAGCACCACAGTATACAGCACACCCCAAATAACCTAGCACTAAACCACCTAGCCACCTAAACACCCCAACCACCAAAAACCATGCACACCACACCAAAAGTCCCCACAGTCACAACCACAATCACAATAATAACCCTAACCCTAACTCTCCAAACTCTTCCAACCCCCCAGCCCTCCCAGAAACCCCCACAATCTCAAACAGTCATCCCCCTAACCGCCGCCCCCTCAACCGCCGCCCTAGCCCTCCTCCCCCCAACCACCTTGATACGTGGAGCCACAGCTCCAATCCGATGCTATGAGCGAATCACCACGCTCGCGTCTGCGGGTGATTGCAAGCGCAAGGGTGATTGTAGGGAGTGTAGTAAGGGGAGTTTGGTTTTGACGATGGGTTAGTTTTAGTTTTAGTTTTAGTTTAGGATGGAGGGTGAGGGTGAAGATTTTGTCTTGGGAGCTTGCTCTTGGCATTGGCAAATATTGGTCGAGGGATTTGCTAGCTTAATAGCGAGAAATGGGGGTTTGAGATGGATGCTCTGAAGTCGATAATAGGGTCACCATCAAAAATGAGTAATGAAATTACTACTTAATAGTACCTTCATTGCCTGAACTATCACTAAGTTTATTTAGCACGAACTGCGTGCCTTCGAAATACCATGCGCCATAATCTACTATACTTGCTTCGTAACCCATTCCTGCCAAAAACTCCATATTATACACATCCATTCCTTAACTTCCATTTGCTTGCCCCAAAACGCCTTAAAAACTCACCAATACTTCATCAGCTCCATTCCCGATCACTCTCAACCAAATATCTCCCCACAATCATCCACCACCAATCAGCCACCTCCCAACCTTCCATATCACTTGCCTCTCTAGCCGTTGCTCCCAAACCTTCATAATCACACTTTTGCCAAACACCTTTCTCAACACCCCAGTCTATCAATTGTTTAATTTCCCATCCGTCGAGACTAGGCGCAAATACTCTTTCCAATCCTTCAATGTCGATACTACTTCGTAATACGAAAGCACCCGTAACTCCCAAGAGAACTTTTCTCCACATGCCCTCTATGATTTCCCCTTTTATACTTCTCCAAACTGGAATTGCACCTCGTGAACCTAGAGGTGGAGGGTCCGAGATTAATGCGTCAAGGTTGGGAATTGCGTGATTATAAACATAACTTGAAGTGACCGTAATATCCATTTGGAAACGATATTTCGCTTTATCAATAAGTCTAGTTTCATACCCACCTTCCGTAAGACCAAATTTGTTTGCTCTGATGTTGCTTTTTTGAACGTAGATACATCCATTAGCTTGTAGATTCGTAATAGCTAACACGGCACCTTCGTTTACACCCCATGGGATATTCACAATGGTCTCACCATTTCGAAACCTTTGATCCAATTCGCATTTGAATTCATAAGCTTCTCGGTATTGTTTTTCGTAAATAATCTTTCCGGTACGGACGAAAACCGCGTTGAAAGCATCTGGAAGATTGTAAACTCGGCCATTGGTGCGAAGACGCTTATTTTTGGTAATAATCTTGTTCTTCAACAGATCCTCTCTAGCTTTGATAATGATAGCACTAGGAAGACGATTGAGCAATTTATTGGCTGCTTTGCTATCCCATAAATGATCGGGTGTGACGGCCGCTGCCCTGCACCAGGATTTTGCTAGTGCATAGTCATTTATCTCATAAGTTGGAGTTTCTTGTTGTAAAGGATTTGCAAAGGGCACAGAGTTGACAAGATTCATCCTCTGATAAACGGCGGCAAGAGGATAGTAATATTGTTCCGACCAGTAATTACTTTGAGGTTCCGGGACTAATGCATATTTCTTCTTGAGTTCTGGAAATGAGTTCGGGAGATTAAACACCTTCTTTTCCGGGGTTGGGGTATTGATCTGGGTCATGGCCCAGTCGATTAAAGTGTTAAAATCGTAATCGACAACATGATCATAGTCAATTGATTGAATTTGACCCTTCCGATAACCCATGATAAAAACTTCCTGAAAGTCTTTTGTCAATTTCTCAACCATTGGCTTTTTCTTTGCCCAAACAACTTGCCACCATTTCTTCAAAAAGTTTAAGGAATAATCCTTAAAGACGGAACCAAGTATGACCCAATCAATGTTCATTTCCAGCCCCCCAAGCAACGCTCGAATGACAACAATACCCATGGTCAACCGTTCTTCTTCATCAGCAGCTAAACCTTGCTCCTTGAATCTCTGTCTCTTTCTCCGAATATTCATATCATAGTTTACCATCTGAGTGCCGAGTAATTCTGCGGCGTATCTCACATCTCTATGAACACCAAGAAGATCATCTGGTGCAGATGTGAGACGTCGAGGCATTACCCATTTGTTTTTTAGACCTTTACGGACACCAATATTTGGCTCTTTGACTTGTTGTCTTTTGCGTTTTGGTCCAATGATAGTTTGTTGCTCTGGTGGTAAGTCATCATTGTCCTCGAGGGCTGAGTATGGTATCGTTTCTAAGGTAAAGGCTGTACGGTCAAGCCATTGCATCTTAAGCTTTTCAACATCGGTGCAAGCTACAAATGGATGAGCAAGATTCCAGAGTCCAGCAGATTCATTCGAGAAAAGATGAGGGAGACATGGTGTTGCTGGAGTAGCTGGTATGCTAGCCAAACCAGGATTAGTTTGGCGACCAGTTTCTTCTTCAAGCGGCTTCGCCTCATAGTGATTCAATATATCAAGCTCAGTCAAGCCATCGATACTAGCTTCCATCAAATCCATAGGATCTGGTGTTAATGATCTGTAACCTCGCTTTGCACGTCCAGTAGACCTTGAAATCTCTGGATTCTTTTGTGATCTGGTACGATATGTGTAATGCCTTTTTGGTAGTCCAGTAGAGTCTGAGATCTCGATCTGACCATCAGTTCGAGCAACCAAGTCTCCCTGACGATTTTTATTGAGGAAAAACTTCGATGGAACGGACGGACGCATGACTGGTTTGTTAGGATGAATGACTGGTCGATGACTATCTTCTCGCTGGTGAAGATAATGTTCACCTTGAGGGTTTCCAACTACCATCTTATTTGGTCTAGCAAAAATAGGATTCACACCATGTCCGAAAGGTCTAACCGACCAAGAACCAGAAGGATCTTGCATAAACGTATTTGGTTCCGGAAGACGTTCTCTCAACTTGTAGCTTCGTTTTGGCTTCGAAAAAACATCCCATGCGCCACTTTCTGAGTTTTGGTATACAGTTGGTAGCGGAGCCCATGTCTGTTCCTGCAGAGTATTTGAATGTTGCCTTCTTTCTCGCTCTTCAAGGGTTAGAGGATGACCTGGGCGTCTTACACGACGTTTCATTTGACTGCCATTAATATTTGAAGGTATCGATTGATGCAATGAAGTAAACTGGAAGTCTTGCGTTGGGGTATATTCCGGAAACGGTGAAAACTCGCTCCCAGCATCGTCAGAATCCAAATCCTGGTCCATCGGGTCATCTTCAAGGTCATCTCCTGCGTCTAATGCGTGATTATCGGGTTTAAAATCATCATCTGAGGAATCACCCTTGCCTGCATCTTCATCAGGCCCTAGTATCTCATTAAGTTGTGCGGCTGAAATCTCCGGAGCCAGGGGCGGAGGCTTTCCAATAGCATTCAAGATGCCCAAAATGACACTCGGAGGGGAATATCCAGGTGGAACATAGAAATCAGGATGCTTGGCTTTTGTGTCATCTTTTAATTTGGTAATATCAGCTGACGACGGGACAGCTACTCTCGGATCGAATAAAATGCTCCTGCTTATAGTTCTGCTCCTAGCACCAGGAAAATCAAATGTAATTTTTGAAAGTACTTTATCCTCAAGTAATTCATCGAGAGCTCTTGCAAATAGTTTGTGTTCGGGGAGTACTCTGGAGGTAGGATAATATTTAAGCCAACATGCAACAAAAGCGAACCAGAGACCACGTTCACCAGGTAACGTATTATCATTAGCCCGAAGGAGACAAAGGATAATATCCTTGACAACCTTTTCTTTTGACATTGGCGAGACTACTTCTGGAAGTGATTGATCTGAGACTTGGGGCAACGGTGGAATCTTCGCGAGCTCTTCCGTAAGTGATGGTGTTTGCTTCAGTGTCTTAGCGATTTCCAATAGTGCTGGTCTTTCACCTCCCAACGATTTGTAGACTTTTCCACTTCTGCCTATGACTGGATCCCCTCTGTCTCCCCTTTGCTTTTTCGGGGATTTCTTCAACGTAGCAACTTTTGCAGCCCATTCAAAGATAGAATCATCAGAGTCGCCTCCTTCGGACTCAGACTCGGGTTCAGATTCATCCGTCGGTTCAGGCTGAACTTCCTTCTCTGGAGAAGCCACAGATTTGCTCTTCGTTTTGGTCACTTTGCTCTTCTTCTGTGTCTCCTTTGGTTTACCATGTGGTTTTGGCTTGGCGGTCTTTAGATTAAAATCTGGGTTGCAGGCCGTCTGTGATTTGGAAAGATGGTATTTAATGCCTTCTTTATTCTTGAACCTGGCACCACACTTTTCACATTTCCAAGGCTTAGTAGCAATTAATTCTGGATCTTCAGCTTGGAGTATTTGGGGATTGGCCATTTGCACGAAGATTCGAGCAGTAACCAAATTTGCTCTCATTTCGTTTGCAGACTTATGAGCTTCCTTAGTGCGAGAAATCAAAAATCGATGAACAACGATTGATTCATCATCTTTCTTCTCCTTCAAACGTAACTCCATTGGATTTGAACCTGGCATAGAGACTATTGGGTTTTCGGCCATTCTCCAAACTTCCATTGTCCAAATAGGATTAGTTGTTCCTTTAACCATTGACCAGAACTTCAATGTTGTTTTATCAGAGGACAAAATGAGGTTACCCATCACCGAATTATAAATTGAGGACATCCGAGCAAAGACTGATTCAAACGGAATGGCTTCAGCCCTTTTAAAACCTTCAACATCATCGGGTTTGGCTGGCGGTGACATTTGTTCAGTCGCTCCAGTAATGACAGTTGAAGATTCTAAGAAGGTGGGTGTCATCGCCGCTGAAATCTGTGGGCTTGGTAATTGTGCTATGTTAGGAGCTGAGCTCTTTCGTTTCCTTGGTTCTAAAGTTGATTCTGAAGGGGATTGTATAGATGGTGATCTGTGTAATTGAGCTGGAATTGACGCCGCAGGTTGGTTAGAGCTGGATTGAGATCCTGTAGCCTTGCTGGGCTGTGGTTGATGAGATACAAGATCAGGCTGGCTTCGCTCCACAGCTTCTGTTGAAACAGAACCCTCAGCAGAGGAGGGAAGGCCTGACAGTGAGTTCTGGGATTGTGTCTGGGCATCTCTTTCGCTTTCGAGTCCCGTCCGTGGTGCATGGCTATCGGCAGCAGGTTCATGCGCTGCGCTTTGGGCTGGTGTCCGGTCCTGTTCCTGGGTTTCGGATCTGGATGGGGGCGCATGACTATTTGTAGGCTCTGTATGTGGTTTTGGTAGCGCAGAATCTATGGATTTGAACTCCTGGTTGAGAGGCGATGGTATTTGCATTTGGGCGTAATCATTTTGTCTTTCTACAAGGCCCTGCAACTCTTGGCTCGTTGTAGAAAGCGCAGGCTTGGAATATGGAGAAGAGGTATATGGAATAGATTGACCAGATTGAGGCTGTGGTACAGGCGGATGGCTCGTTGAGCAACGACGACTGCCATGTGAATGCGGGCGGCTGCAAGCCGATTCTTGTGATATATGAGTATTTGAAGGTGGTTCAGAAGCATGTGACGCAGCAGGACTTGATTGCTGCATCGGCCCAATTGTCATCGGACTAGATGGGGTGGCATCTAACGGAAGAGTATTTGGAGGTAGGAAGCCAGATGGCCATTCAGTCTTTGGACGCATCTGTGATGGTTTAGGAGGTTCGGGCGGCAAGAAGCCAGTAGGCCAGGAATTTTGTGCTGGGCTTTGTTGAACCGGGCTTCGATGAAGCGGACTGTGAAGATGAGCAGGAATCCTGGCTAACCAAGGGTTTAGAGCTAGGAATGAAGGCGTAGGTTGCTGTTCTTCTTCATATGGGGAAATGTACCTGTCTGCTCGAGAGGATACCGGAGCGTTCCCATGGTATGGGGGTTGGTTATAGTGATCAGCAATGTGATCCTGCCCAGACTGTCTACTGTAGGGTGAATTATAAGAACTGATATTCGATGCTGGAGGTAAAGAATTTCGGACGGTCGAGGATGCCTGATGTGGTTCCAAAGGTTCACCCCGTGGTGGTTGTTGTGGATGATGCATGGCAGCTGTATGGGTTCCTTTGTGAAGCGAGTCATTTTGATGTCTGATGTGTGATGGTGACTCAAATGGCGGAATCGTATGCGGCATACCAGATTGAGGTGATCGTGGACGCGAAGAATCCATGTACATTGTAGGAAAAGAAGAGCTTGGTCCTGCACTTTGCGGTTTCGGAGTACTTGCAGAAGCTTTCGGATGTGTCCATGCCGTAGTCTGCTGCCCATATTGCATTGAGTTTGCCACAAAAGGGTCGATTGTTGATCTAGGTGGCCCGGATGGTTCAGGTGCAAAGCCTTGACTAGGCTGTCGGGCAAACCCACTGTTAAATTTCTCAAACTCTAGTGCCAACTCCTCGTTTGACGGGAAGGATTCGGTGTTAGAATTGGAAACTTCTAATGGCTTTGCAACCGAAAGAGCCTTAAACTTCTCAAACTCCGACGCTATTTCCTCATTCGAGGGGAAAGAGTTCGGACTGGGACCGGCCGACTCCAATGACTTTGCAGGTACGAAAATGGGGGCTTCTGGTACTCCTACATTTTCAATACTGGGAACCTCTGATGCCTTTCCAGGTTCAACAATTGGAGGTTCCGCCTCTGCAGGTTCAGCAACAGAAGCATCTAATGATTTTTTAGTTCCAGCACTAGATACCGTAAATGACTTTTCAGGCTCGGTATCTGAAGGCTTTGGGCGCTTTGAACGCTCTACTTCGGATTTCCCATCCCTTTTCCTTTTCTTCGACTTCTCCTCTTCAGTAGCGGCGGCAGTAATCTTCGCTGCTTCCGCCTCGACGATAGCTTGCAAAGCCTTTCTCCTCTCGGCAAGTACTTCAATCCATGTCCCCTTCCGATTCTCTAATAGATCCGGGTCACGAAGCTTTTGGCATTTTACCACGACGACTAATGTCTTCTTTCGAGCAAGTGGTCTTCCTTCTTTTGCATCGAGGGGATTGATGTAGACGCCATCAACTCCAGCTTTGCGTTTCTGATCGTCTTCTTCCCTTAATAGTTCTTCGTAGGATGTGTAGATTGGTTCGCGATGCCTTCGAAGAGGTTTAGATTTCGATGATGTAGGAGAATCCGCAGATTTGCCAAATTTGACAGTCGCAGGCTCAGGTTCAGGTGATTCTGTTCGGGTGGGAGTAAAGAATTGTCGCGGTTTCGGTTGCCTTCGAGATGTACGAAGTCCCGACTCCGTTATGTGAAGCCCTGTGTCGGCCAAATCTTCGGGACTTATCTCCGCAGCTGGTTCATCGACAGGTCCTTTGTGCTTGATGGTTGGTCCTCTGGGACGGCCACGCTTTTTCTGCGAGGGTTTTGGAGTTTGGAATTGTTCCAGTTCTGCAAGGGATGAGAAGCTCATAGATGCTGGATCTTTCGGGGAACTTGCCTCCACTGATAGATTCCTAGGAGTGGGTTGACGACCGGCGCCTTTTGGACGACCACGTTTTCTTTGTCCTGGCACAGGTCCATGACGAGTGGGTTCAGGCGTGAAATAGTCAATACCATCTTCGTCATTCTCGGTTGAGATAGTCTGCTGGGCAACTTTACTGGGAGTTTTTTTGGGCAGTGCGGAATTATATTGGTGTCCAACTGTGGGTGTGGATTGACCAGTTGTTGACATCTGCACTTTTGCTGGATGTTCTGAAATTTCAATGTCCATCCCATTGCGTTGTTGACCATTGGGAGTAACAGTTGCGTCTGGAGTCGAGCCAGACGAGTTTGGATGTTGAACTTGAGAATTTTTTATAACAGTACGTGTTTGGCTTTGTGGTGGAGGATCAGTCTCAGGTATATGGGTACTCTCGATAGGGAAATGCCCAGTATTCTCGACGTCCTTAGCTGCGTTGTTTGTTTGCGGTTGATTTGCAAGATTAGGAGTGTGAAACCAATCAGCTTCAGCGCGTGCTGCATTCAAAAGACTTTGTAATCTCCTTTGTGAACCTTGGGTACCCCGTGGGTCATCGGCAATCTTATACGACTTCTTATTGCCAGACCTTTGCTCAGAAGATGGAACTGCTTTTGTAAATGAACCATTTCCGACTGGGATAAATTGCCCTTTTGGCTCCGGTGATCGTTGGACTGGAGTCGCTACGTCTGTAATAATTGGCCTGGATGAATGAATCGTGGTGTCAGATTGCGCAGTCTCATCGCTTTCATCCACTGGCACCTTTTTGGACTCCTGCTCGCTAGGTCTCTCCATGACGGCCTCAACCATTTCAACATCAACAGATTCTGCTTGAATCACAACCTTCCTAACTCCATACCCCAAAGCTAGAGTATCACCCCACTCCAAACTCTTCATCACGCCAACCTCTTCCTCAGAGCCCTCTATCCTCACATCATCTCGCCTCAAAAAAGTTTGCCAGACCTCATCTTTGACCTGATCATTAGCAGCAACTTCTTCCCTGAAATTTTGGTCAAATTTCTCGGAAAGATCTTGTATAGCAATCCCTGAATTAACATAATCAGCAAAGCTCTCTCGGCCCAAGTTTCTTTTCCCTGTGGTGGAAGGGTGCAGATGATTTTATTGGTCGATCACACGTGATGGTTAGAAGATCCATGCGATTTGCTCAAAGCAACTCCCCAAAAAAGCCCCGCTCCCTCAAATGCGACTCCAGACCACTAAGCCATCATGACATTTTGCTGAAACAAATCTGCTCTATCATGGAGACAGTGTATATCGATGACCCCGGTCATCAAACATCCAATAGAGAGAATTGTCGAACTAACTTTTGACGAGGCTGAAAGTTTTTGAATATAAAATTTGACTCACCAGGCGCTCCAAAGCTCTTCACGAATTGATAGAGCCAATCCATTATTTCCTCTTTTCCTTTAGGCATTGCGAAATATTATCGATTATCATAGTTTTATGTGTTCAATTCAATTGACAGAAACAATGGAAATTTATAAAATATCAAGGTTGCAAATGTTGCAGTCGTTATTGTACTGTAGAATGTTTTTTTTTCGACATGCATGTGAAGGTCAATATTTTTCTGCGATGAAGGCTAGAAACAGAAACTTGAATTTTTAAGCGGGTAATGCGGGGTTTTTGGTAGCCTGAAGGCTGATGCATGATTTACTTTAAATATTATTGGACAGAGGGGATCTAACAAGGCTGAGATCTCGGCCGGTGAAAATAACTCGCTGACAAGGCTGATGGGAAATACTATTCAGTACAGTTGGTGAATGCATTGGTATCACCCAATGACTATAAATGGTGATAAGTAAACTCATAAAGGTTGCATACTTTGTATTATCTATAAAATCAGACTAAGATGTCTCATCTTAGTATATTACTGTAACTTGACTTTGTCCTTGTGATCCTTCATCATTTGTCTATATGATTCAACAATGTTCTTCCTCTCTTCACCCAATTCTTCTCGCCTCCTTAAACTCCCAGCTGCTTTGGGTACATCTGACACCTCCACCTTAGCTCCACGAAGTTCCTTGAACTTAGCTTTAGGAACCTTAGTAAATGTCGGCGGAGCTTGTACCACATCATTCAAACCTGCCTTCACCTCACCCCTATTCTTCGCAATTATTGCCCAAGGGTCATCATTCCCATCATCTACCTCTCCCACCAACTTCTTCTTTTTCTTCTTATTCTTCCCTGTTTTTCCAGCTGCATTAATTTCCGATTTCCATTGCATTTGTCCTTCTCCATCCATCTCCATGTCATCTTCTTCCCTCAACTCTGCTTCCTCTTGTCGTTTCTCCTGTACCTTCTTCTCTTCTTCCCTCCATTCATCATACATGCGATGCATTTTCTTCTCCGTCTTTGTACGTCCTTGTTTGAGACCTAATGGATCTTTACCACCTTTAGCACTCTTGTGAATTAATCCTCCGACTGGTAATGCTGCATCAACTCTTGCTGAAAACTCCCACATCTTCTCTCCTGGTCTAATCTTCGGAATTTCCATTTCTAGTTCCTTCTTTGGTGTTGGTACGTCTTTCTTTTGCGAATCGCCATCGTCATTCTTTGCTTTTTTGGCCTTTGGTTTCTTTAATCCATCGTCCAATCCTTTTGGTAATTTCTGCCCGGACTTAAAAGCCATAAGTCTTGCGAATGCTTTAGGTGTATCATCGTCTGCATTTGTATTTCTCTTCCTCTTCTTATTTCTGCGTGTGGAATCTATTTCACTGGTAAAGATTCCATTGGCATTGCTAGATTTGGAAACAGATAAAGGTTTTGCGACGGTGGTGGGTGGTAAGTTAATACTGTTGAGACATTGTGTTAGTAATAGGATGTGATGATTTGACATGAGAGATCATACGTAGATTTGTCCTCCCCACCTTTGCGAGTATGTTTATGAGGCATATTTGGTAGTGAATGGGTAATTGTTTAATATTCTTGTCGTTGTCTGAAACTTCATATATTTTTGCTCTGGCGCACAGAGATAGATGGGGCATTAAGTTTTTCTGCTGCATGTTTTAGGCGGTGAGATACTTTTTAGCTGATTCCGCACAATGTACGTAATACTCCGTATCCGTACTCCGTAGACCAAAATCCATCAATCATCAATCCCATCATCAAACACAAAATATGAATACAAGTCAACGACAAATTAAAAATCAAGTACCTAATACCTACGTTCATTGTTTTTATTTTATCATGCTATGTGAAGACATTCTCCGGCATTTGTCGTACGATTATCGTAGAGAAATCACAAGCAATGCGTCTTGTTTCTGACTTTTGCTCGATGGAAGATCTCGAAGCATTTCGCATTTCTTGACGGTGGCTTATAGCACGTGCTTGATGCATGCGGCACAGTGTGTTCATTAATTGTGCCTGCAGGTCTAGATTCTTTCGATGGGGTTAGGATAGATGGATTGACATATGGGGGGATGAAGACATTGAAGGTGTGCTTAATTCATAGGGAAATGCTAGGATAAATGACCAAAAACAGAATCATATCCTCCCTCCTCCGTGGGGAACATGTGTTGAGATGCGGATGAAGATGCAGACTATCAAAGGAAAGGATGTCAGCGATGACTATCCCAAAAGTGTTTTCTAGAATCATTTGATTCAAGTCAATTGCAAGTCAGAATTGAAGCAACAAGTGCCGCCAACATCTATATTACTCAGATCTAGATACTCGTATTTCTATTTCTGTTCTCCACTTCTGACTATTAACCATTAACCCATAGGTGTTTGGCTTCCCTTCATTTCTCTTCCCTTCCTCTTCCTCTTCCTCTTCCTCTTCCTCTCCTCCTTCATCCTTTCTTCCCTTGCACCTGGATCATGAAACTTCAGCTACATACCTAGCAGCTCGTATAGCCACCCACCAGAAACCTTTCCAATCGAACGACAAACGAAATCCTCACGAAATCCTCAACGCCTCAAATCCTACCTGTGTTAGCAACCATAGTAACACAACTAAGTACTCTGGGCCTAGAGCTGTACCCCCTGTCAGCTCTAACTACAATTTGAGAATGACAATTGCGGAGAACTAAACAACTTGTTCCCTTCATCGACCCATCCATCCTGTTTGATCCATCAGGCAAATTCTCTCCAACAAACGCACGGAACTTGGGTCTGCGACTCTGGTCCTCGGGCTGGCGCACTTTTAACCAACGTCAAACAGCGAAACCCGTCGCATGTCTTTAATACCTCATAATAGAAGATTAAAATCTCGTCCAGTCCAAGCATCTAACTGCTCACTACTCAGACTCAAACATAACTGTTTCATTTTGGGTTCGAAAGGAAAAGGACCCTTTTACCAATAACTTATTATCTCTATCAAATCTGATTATAAACCTTGTACTTCCCCAGCTGGAGAAAAAGGATTGGCAGACCCTGCCAAGAGTCTTGGTTCCTCAACTCCATTCGATCAGAAACATCAATACGCCGTAAAGATGTCCCACTTACCATCAATTCGTCATGACACCGGAACTACTGACAGGTATGATGAAATAACCCAAACGTTAAATGGTTCCCCGCGAGATTTCCATGATGACGATATCCAAGCCTCAATGCATTCATCTAGTTCATCAATTCAATTCAATTCCGCAATGGAGAAGCCACGGAAGCCAGCAGATTCATTGGAATATTCGGATACGCCTACCCTACAAGATGAATTTGTGTCGAGACCAAGAAAGTCCAGTCGGACGAGTTATTGGTGGAATAAGATGGCTTTAAAGGGTAGGAGGAAACAATCTTTCGATGAGATTGACGTGTTTGATGAAATTGATACAGATGTTGGTGATGGATTATTAACAGGTTTACATAAACAAGCTGAAAGGCAACGGAGAAAGAATGGAATATTCAATTATTTTGTCTTTGGAGGTATAAGTGGTTTCAGTATATTGTGAGTTCTGCAAGTACGGTTTATAAAGGAACTCAATACTAATATGTCCTAGGTCACTTCTTCTTCTCACAAACCTTCTACTCGGTGCTGCAACATTACTTTGGAGTCATGATATCGATGATGTTTTGAAGAATTGGGGAAAGCCTGGAACAGGAACTGAGGGTTTGGCATGGTATCCGACCGATTTCACACGAGATATACGCCCTGTTCCATGTCATTCGCACAATGATTATTGGAGACGAGTACCATTATTCGATGCATTACGAGCTGGATGTACAGGGGTAGAGGCAGACGTATGGCTTTTTGATAATGATCTATATGTTGGACACAATACTGCTTCATTACAACGAAATCGAACCTTTCAATCTCTTTACATCAACCCTCTAGTCGATATCCTCGAACGACAGAATCCAACAACGGATTTTTATAATGGAACTAATCATGGAGTTTTTGATTCAGATGATGGAAAATCTCTTACTCTTTTGGTAGATGTAAAGACTGATGGTGCAGAAACATGGCAATGGGTTCTGGAACAACTCGAACCATTGAGAAAACGTGGATGGCTCTCATATGTCGAGAATGATACGCTACATACACGACCCATTACAGTTGTTGGAACAGGAAATACACCATTTGATGTCCTTACCCAAAATTCAACCTATCGCGACACCTTTTTCGATGCACCACTTGATACAATGTGGGAGCCAAGACATACTACCGAAGAAATGAAAGATTGGTCTGAATTCGATGGCAATGCACCAGGTGAAGAATTAGACGAAGATGAAGAAAGTGCAGAAGATCTTGTACCTGGAACCTCTACTTCAGTTCCTCATCAGGAACCAAACAAAGGACAAGGAATGTCAGGAGTATCATCCGATACAGAGTTTAACTCATTAAACTCATACTACGCATCTGTTTCTTTCAATCAAGCAGTAGGCAAAATATTGAGAGGAAAATTAAATCATAGACAAATGAAGATTATTCGTGGACAAATTAGAGGTGCGCATAAAAGAGGTCTTAAAGCTAGATATTGGGATTTACCCAGTTGGCCTATTGGATTACGAAATCATGTTTGGGATGTTCTTGTTAAAGAGGGAGTTGATTATCTAAATGTAGATGATTTGCGAGCGGCGGCTAAACAAGTTTGGTAAGAGAGCGGATTGTGAATGTGGATTTTTTTAAGAGCAGGGAGTTTGTGAGAATGGGCGCGGAGTGGTGCAAGGTATTGTGAGCTGATGATGATGATGATGATGATGGAATAGTGGCTAGCATTGGGACAAGACAAAGAGCGCTTATGAATTTGTTTTGCTGGTGTATGGATGGCGCTTTTTTAACGGTATTGGTTTCGATATTGGTGTTGGTGTTAGGTATTGGCATTTGGTATACCTTGGGAGCGGATTGAATGGGCATATATATGATCATACGCAAACAAATAAATCAATTAGGGTAGAAAGAAATAGAATTTTTCATACTTTATTATTATGGGTGGTTTGCTGTAGAGTTTTTTTTGGTTTGTTTTTTTGCTTGATTTTTATTTATTGTGTGGTGGTAATCAGGTAATTATTGAGGACGGGACCTGGGGGAAGTTGAATGGATTGAGGGATTGAAGGATTGAAGTGTAGGAGATAGAAGGATAGGGGGAAATGGGGCGGGGTGTAGAATAAGAGTTGGAAAAGAAGTGGGATGATAGTATCTCGAGCTCGTTGCTGACCGGAATAGAGTTGGATTATAAATAATGATAATAGCAATAGTCATGGTCATGGCAATGGCATTGTCGATACATATCCCGCTATGTCATCAACGTCATCTCTTCGTCGGGGTCCCTCTTGTGTATTAGAGCAGCTGGGGTTACCTGGCTTTGATTGGGAAGGAAGTAGAAAATGTTTTTGTAAACCCGGATTTATGTATAGATGCTTTTGGGTGTTAGGGATGTTTATTCCTGAGGCGGGTTGGGGTGCGATAGGAGGAGAATGGGATAAGAGGAACGAGGTTTGGGAGTTGGGATGTGGGATTTGGGGCTAGGTTGGTGAGAGGGTCGGGGTGGGGGTTGGGCGGGAGATTCTGGATAGGGGAGTGGGTAGATGAGATTATGAGATGATGAGATGGGGGATGGACAGTTGAGTGTATGATGTGAGGGTTCTGTACGTTGATGTTTTTGAGGGGTACTGTTGGTATGTGGAACGAATGATCTCGAAAGCAATATTTCGTTTAGTAGCGAGCTGAGTTGGATTCGATGGATGGGATATGGTAGTCTGCTGTCTAATATGGATGGTGGGTTGTATGAGCTCGCTGGGAAGTTTGCTAGTGAGTGAGTGAGCGAAGAGAAGAGGTAGGTGAATTGAACTACTTCTAATTCAAACACAGAATGCAGAATTCCTGGCAGAAAAGAAAGAACACTCGATCATTTACTTATGCCTTAAGAGTTTACACCACGAAAGTATAAGCTAGTCTTTTCGAGAGTCGAGATCGAGACAAGGGCGATGTCTCGCTAAATACAGCCATCATTACACCAACCCATCAATTTCCCTACATTCATTCCCACCAGGAGAAAAGGAAAAGGATTACTTATACGTACTAGACGGATAGGAAGATGTATTCAAGGTATGCAATGCAGTGCAAAATTCCGCACAACCGAAACATTCAGCATGATCAGACAAGCGAAAAGGCAAAAGTTATTTGGATATTCATGTAGGATCTTAGCTAATCTGTTTTGTTTTTTCATCTCTAAAACAAATGTTTTCTTCCATATGAGAGAAATTATAATTAATAAATATCTCTTAGAGAATCATTTAACCTTATATGAGGTTGGGGGAATAAGTCCTGTGAGGTTCTGTCCCTTGATCTTATGGGGTTTTGTAAACAAAAAAGAAAACATCAAAACAAATCAAAAAATAAGGAAAGGAAAGGAAAGGAAAGGAAAGGGGAAAGTATTTACTGTCTCTCTTTCGAGTCCCTTGGGGTATACAGTAGATATATCTTTTGATACAGTCATAGGTGAGTGTCTTGTCTTGTATATCATCTTTTTTTATTGCGGTTCTGTATGTTTTCTACTCATGTGGTGTATGGCTGTTTCTGCAGTAAGATTATGAGCCGGTACTATACTTGTTCTATCTTCCCGACCATGTTTCCTATAATCGTGCTCTGTATGATGTAATGTAGATCTGATCTGGGGGCAGAGTTTTAACTTTTATCGAGGGAGCGGCTGTTCTTGTAATGGACGTAGCAGCGCAATAACGCAACGACATTATCTTTTTGAGGTAATAACTCTGTACGATCTTACTCTGAGATGTACCTTAGTATAATAGTGTACTGTTCTTGTGCAAGTCTATCTTGCCCTTGATTTTGAAGAAGTTCCTTAGCGTAGCATGCTGTTCTTGAGTAGGTCTATCTTGCCCCTGGATTCTGCAGAAAGTCCTCTACGTCGTGGCTTTATCCTGTAAGATTAGTTAAAATTGTCTCTCTGATTCCACGTTATGCAGTCAGGAGTGAAATCGAAATGTTCTCTTCTCTGAACGATATCTCTTATACATATGCTCTGTGTGTTGCTCGTAGTTTTTCTGTCAATATATCTCCGAACAAATCGCCATCTCAATAACTTTCTCTCTAGAACTTTTAGAAGCTTTTCTGGATTAACCAAACTTTCCATAGCTTTTTCCGTGATGGTTGTTGTTGGTTGCTATTATTGTGTAGATCAGAATATCTCTGCAATTGGTAAAGGAATATTGCTAAGGTGTGTTTATGGTGGGAACTTCCTTACGCTTTTCAAAGTGGGTGGAGGATTTGTATGGTACATTGAAAGATATACGTATTGATCAATTGGGACTAAACACATCATAGTGATTTGTTCTGAGGTCTATTTATTGTTAATTTCTATTGACGTTGTTTAATATCTATACTCTTTTCGTCTTCCCTGTCTTCTCACGTTTTCTAGACTTTGTTGAAACGAAGTAACTCGTATTTGGAACCTAAAACCTCATATTCATGAGAACCTTCCTAAGTCACAGAACTATACGTACAGAGTACAGGCCATCAACTTGAGTCTATATACCTACCAGCCGTGCTTTATGTCGATGAAGGCGTTTAATCTCTTCTTTCTATTCGTATTCGAGTAAGCAAGCTTAAATCCAACGATTCAACCAACCATCCAGGTTATTCCCCCTTGGTCGTACTACGTACGTACGTACGTAGCTACCCACCCACTTAGACTATTCCCGTCCGTTATTCATCATGATAATTTTATCTTTTTTTTGGTTTCATCTCGCGCTATTTCATCTCCTTATCCCATAGAGCGAAGCGAAGAAGCCTCCACGGCAGTGGCCCAGCGGAGCGTCATTATTATCAACACTGACTAAATGGTAAATAGTAACACATACAATCACTGTCACATATTAAAATTGGGAACGAATTATTGCTTGTGAAACAAAAAGTTTATTGTATTGGCACAATGATGATGGCACAGTAATGATACAAAAATCTAGCACGCCAACTTAGACTAAGATATCGTCAACTCCAAGAGGATGATTTATGTTGATCCTCCAACGCCATACTCCAATGTCCATCCAAGGACTTTTCACCCGTTACACCACCATCCATCATAAAAGATTTCCCATGTACTTGCACCCTAGTAAATTCTCTTAATCCAAACAAATCGTCACCAAAAGACTGCTCGAAATTCATTACCGCGTCCGGTTCTGATATTTTCGACGTCTGTGCCTGTTCCTTCATTATAACTTTAATAGCCCAAGACAACGTCATTAAAGATTCCCAACTTGAAGACTCACCACCATATCGAAGATCACAGACATCAGCGCCGTTCATACAATCGCCAGCTATTTGTTGTTTAGACCATAACCGCATTGCCGCCAACGTCGCATCCAGAAGAGGACGCGCCATGTTGGGACTGCAGGCTAAAAGTCTTCTCAACAAACGAATCCGAAGAGTGAACTTCGGGCGCAGAATGTGGTGGTCGTCTTGGTTAATGAAATCATCGAATAAGAAATCGTTAGCGGCGCCGATGTTGTCACCAGCCAGATTATCAAAGTTATTACTGAAGGCGTCGGCAATAGGACCGACCCTTTCGTTAAAGAAAGTTTGATCTGCTCCAAGGGAATCAGGATATTCGAGATGGCCATCAAACCCATCATTTGAATCCAAAGGATATTGGCCAAAACTTGTGTGATTAGAATATCCTGAGCTGAACTCATCCAAGACCGTTGTACTTTCGGTTGACACTGCAGGTCGCACAACATCGCGGCAGGATGTTGTGTCATACCGAAAGAACTGGCGCGGAATGAGTCATCATCAGTTGATTCCGTTGGTGGAGGTGAAACGGATGCTAAATCAACAGTCCCCATTGCTGATTGCATAGTATTGTGAGTATCTCTAATTGGTGTCATCAATGGCTGGATCGAGGAATCCTCTGATTCAAATAATCCTTTCGTGAGAGCGATTGGAGATTCGCCGTGGAAAGTTTCCGAACGATTTGGAGTTGCATTAACGGATGGGGAGACGAAGGTTGATGTAATGTTTTCGCCAGTCATACCGGTGAATTGTTCAAGCTTTCGACGAACTGCTTCATATTTAGATGCCATATTCGCCAATTGTAATTCTAGATCACGATTTCTACGTTCGATTTGTTGTTTTTGAGCTTCGAGAGCTTCGACTTCTTGTCTCTTTCTCTCTCTCGATGTTTGAGCAGCTCGACGATTTCGAAGGACTCTTTCGACTCGACGTTGTTCCTTCTCATCTTCTGTCTTTGCTCGTTTTCTATGAGATGATTAGCTCATGTTATGGGTTATGAAGCGACAGATTTATATTAATTACCTAGGAGGTAGGTTGGTCTTGGGTTCAGGTAATTGCTGACCCCAAGACTTTCTCTTCTTTACCGGTTTCTTTTCTGGTGCAGGTGTACCAGCTAAACTTCCACCCATCTCGCCGCCCATATCATCTCCAAACATGCTATCATCATCGAAAGATTGTGGAGTCAAGGCTTGCATTGACTCGGCACTTTGATGTGGATGAAATAATGAAGTATATTGTTGACCAGGAGTTGAGGTAAATGATTCGGCGAGAGACTCTGCTGGAGATTGCTCAAACTTCAAATTTGGGGTCGACATCTTGTATGGTATGGTATGTATAAATGATGAGTTGTTTGACGATCTCGACCTCGACCTCGACCTCGACCTCGACCTCGTGTGATGTGATGTGATGTGAGGTGAGGTGATGTAATGTAACTGAACTATCCGATTTCTCAAATATATCTCTAGTGGATCTAGATGATGGAGAAAGAGAGAGCTACACCCAAGGTATATGCAGGACAATTATGGTAATAGTAGAATGATGTGGATGGCCCACAAGAAAAATGAATGAATGAGTCAACACGATTATGACGAGGATCGCCTTAGTTGTTGGTTGCCTGGAGGTGTTTGATGCCTGATGCCGGATGCTCGAGATGCCTTAATTCAATCAACGAATAGAATTAAGAGGATAAAGGGGATAAAGAAAGAAACGAGTAAATAACAAGGATGGAAGAAGTAAAAAGAAGAGGGAAGAGGAGGGAGGAATTGAAGCTTGTGTGAGGGAAATAGGTCGAGTGGGAAATAATCTCGAGGTGGGAGATCTGTCCTCTTTATCATTTGAACACGGTGTTCGGTTAAGGGGCGACGAGGTATTCAAACACCACAACGGCGAATGGAGAGGGACCAATCAATCATCATCATCTCTGACATTAAAAGGGATGTTCTCAATAAGATCATGGCTTTATCAAAGAACGCACTCGAATGAGTTTAGCGTCAAACTTCAAATGTCGCTAAGTTCACGCCATTTGAATCAATTATTTATTAGCTTCCATACGAGTAACTTTATTTTTATTTCAGAGAGCAGGGTAGCTTGGGTAGCTTAGATAGATAGCTTCCCCCTCTTTTTACTTTTTGGTGGGTTTCCAGAGTTCGAGTTCGGGTTCGAGTTCCAGTTCCAGTTCCAGTTCCAGTCCCAGTTCCAGTTCCAGAATATCATTCATCCATATGGATTATTATGGAGTCCCTCCGTATATTGAGTACTGCAGCACGCAGCACAGTGTATTCGTATCATTTTCCACCACGTCTGGGCAAAGTGTAAAGTGTAAAGTGTAAAGTGCAAAAGTGGGCGCTAGTCTTTTTTGCTGTACAAAGCACTTCGACGACGGTTCGTTCTAGGTTTTCACTGACTAAGTTTACTCCATACCGTAGTACAAACCCAACTTATTAGTAAACATAGCCTCTATTTTAGATTCCGTTAATCCTAGGTCTGAACTCATTCATAGCTTTGAAGGCTTTGAAGGCTTTGGAAGCTTTGAAAGCTTATGAATGAATGGTTGGTGAGAACGCCATGCCAGAATGGTCCGCCCCCAGCATACGCGAGAATGGAGAAGAAGAATTATCTATATTCCTGGGAACACTCCGTATATGGCAATGATTAGAAAGAAGCTGAAAGAAGGATCTCCTTGGGCATTCATGTTATCCTAAAATTAGATGATTATCCAACAAGATCACACGATTCCGCCTCTCAGAGTGAAGAAGTCTTATAAGACGGGAGATGTACATAAACTTGATTTAAATACTGATGGCTACCTGGATGCTCATCTGGATGTAGCTGTCGGTACCACTCACTATCTAACCCTCACTGACAACTTAGTAACCTCGTAAAAGCACCATCATTATCAAGCAATCTCCTCATTTGAACGTATTACGAGCATTAACCTGTCACCATGATGAAGTTCAAGTGGAGCCTCTCCGTATATTGGGTAGGGTTAGTAGGTAATGATCTGATAAGTACGAACGCTACTATCGTACGAACACTTCCAGTACGAAATATACGCCAAAAAGAACATCATTCATGAAGGGGACCGAACCCCTTTATCTGAACTTACACACGGAGAATGTCCCAAAGCTTGTTACCGACCAGCCATCTACAGATCACAATCTACACTTGACCAAATTCCCGAACGTTCCAAGTGTCCCAATTCAAAAACCTTCCTCAATAAACTTTTAATTTCTAACCCAAAAAAGATCCAGCACTAATAAATGAACTTGGGATGTGGGAGAGATACCATTAGGAGCGATGATCATTGACCAAACATCTCGTCTTTTATTATTTCATAGAACCTATCAAAGATAAACTTTGAACTGTAATCTTACCAGGTACTGCAGAACCAAGCTCCAACAGCCGCGTGGATTTCAGCGTGGAACTCCTTGTTGGAATATTAGGTACCGATGTATCGAATGATTGATATCAGGTTCCACGTTCTTCGAACCGGGGTTTTAGAGAAGAAGCTAGGTATATTTCTTTGAAGCTGGTGCTGGCTCTGAAGCTTGAAGCTCTCTCTCCCAAAAAGATAAAAGAGCTTAAGGAATTAACCAAGATTGATCCGTAAACTTTCTGCGTACGCGGTTGCCCCTCCTTTGCCGATCAGGGGTTGAGAAATCCTGCTATGTAAGAGATTCGACTGAGGAGGGGAGACCTGGTGGACGTGCGAGGGTATCAATGCGAAACGTATAACTCCATAGAAATGGAATTGTTCGAGAACGAACCTTGATTTACTTTCTCGATATCTTCGGTACCGGTAGTTGTAAATGAATGTTCCCATCAGCCACTCCGTATATATACCGAGAGGGAAGAGGGATACAGACTTTCGTGAGGGTATACTTTGGGGTAATAGAAAGTCAATTTATCGTATCTCCCTCAAGCCTCAAGGTATCTAGTTGTTGTTATTTGGTCGGTACATGACTGCTCTTACCTTGGCTTTACACTAATAATAAGTAGATGCGGTAAGTATGATTCGAGGATATAAATCTTTCAGCCCCTAACGCCTTCTCGCTCTCGGTTCTCACTCAGCATTTTTACGCCCTCTCAGCACATATCGTACGCCATAGATAATTATAAACCGCCTCACATACATTTACTCCCTGCTTCCCTTCCTCACAAATACGTTCCTTCATCCTTCCATTCCATCGTCCTCACATAAGAAATACAACATGATGGTCAATCCCTCGTAACCTTCGGCTTTCTTCTTCTGTATACTTTCCGTTCCCGGAATTCTAGCCTCCCTAGTTGCTGATTTATTATGGTGTCGGTGCTACCAAGCCATCACACAGTATTATCAATTATTCGCCCGGGCTTCCTCCTCCATACGGTGTACAACTCGAACCTCATCCATCGGTACGCAGTAAAAAGATCATCATAAGATTACATTTATTATCAGACAACGAATTAATCCAAAATACCCAACATCCAATCCAATTCAATGCAAACCCCGAATCAAAACCACGCTACCCCAAAAGACCGTTCCACCCAGACCACTCAGCGCAACCCCCCCAACATTATCCACCAAACCTCGTGGTATTCATGACATGGCATATCTTTTCCTCCGGCCCTTCTCCCCATCTTCAACGGCGGCAGCGGCACACACTTGCCCTACTCCGTACATCAAAGTTCTTACACTTCATTATGCAGAAAGGCGGAGGGGAAGAGCAGTTGATGATCCCTTCTTCATCTTCCGCTTTATTATCTGAGAGGCTGGACTTTTTTCTTCATGCTTTGAGGCGGCACGAACTCCGCGAGTGGCAAATAAATAGAGTTGCAAGATTATCAATTATCATCCCTCCCTCACATGAATCATTCCTCGGATGAGTATCCTGAAAAAGAAGTTGTGGGATTTTTTATATACAAAACTCCGTGCGGTGTGTACAGTATTTGTCCTTGCATGGAAGTCGCATAAGTTAATTGTATACTCTTCTCTTTCATTCCATTCCATTCCATTCCATTCCCTTCCTCTCCCTTCCTATCTCCTATCTAGAATCGGTTCCAGAGTAGTATCAGAGTGGCGTGTGTGGCATATTTACATGATGTTACATTGAAAATCAATCTTTAGATCCTCCGTACAGTCAGATGAACATCATGAACCTAAGAAAAGTATTTTCCTTACCAAGTAATTGTGATATGGTTACGAGGCAATTCGAATATCTAAATCCTAGACCTCCAGATCAGACAGAAGAATAGAATCTAGAATCTCAAGAAACTAACAGCGCTCCCTCCCGCAAACACGGCATGAATATCTCCAACATCCAACATCCAACATCCAATCCACAATCCACAAACCCAAACCAAAAAAGGCACATCACCACACACACATATCTCCTTCGCCACCATCACCCAACCATAGAATTTATAACTTTATAACTTTATTATCTATCATCTTCAAATCGTTCTCCGTTCTCCGTTCTCCGTTCTCCGAATATTATCTGCACTACTCTGTAGATGAATTATAATGAATTAGACTGAAATGAAACAAACAAACTGCACCATTTTCAGTATAGATTATCACTCACTTACTCCAGTGCGCAAACGCAAAGACGCAAGACGCAAGACACGCAACGCAACAGCATGAAATCTGGATCATGATCAGCTTGGATTGCGCAAGATGTGTGATTTGATATGATATGATTTGATATGATATGATGTTTGAAACATTTTGAAACATTTTGGATCGGTATGTATTACTGTGTTAGTTATTGTACTATTGTGTTACTACCGTGCTACCTACTACTGTGCTGCCTGGTCTTTTTTGAATTTTTTGGACTTTTTGGGATATTTTTGATAAGGTTATTCGATCATTGATTTTTTGAGGGGAAATTGAAATATAGGTAACGTACGGTACCTAAAATACCTTCCTACCTATCAAAATTCCCCTTTCCTAAGATTCCTTCCTTCTCCTATCCTATCCTATTCCGTATCCCGTCAGAATACGAAACATTTCCACCCAGGCCCAAGGAAATACTCCACTCATAAATGCAATCAATGCAAGTCTCCACCTCCCGTTTCCCCCCTTCATCAAGATTCAAGATTCAAGATTCAAGAATTTCTAGACTCGTCTTTTTATACACTGTCCTTCACCGCTTACCTTACCGGGCAATAAGCATTCAGTCCACTGTCCACTGTCCACTGTCCATTGTCCAGTGTTCAGTAAGTTGTAATCTACCGGTATTGGAGTACCGTAGATATCCCCTCCAATTCCAGCTCCACCAAACACTTCATCTCCTCCAACCTCCAAGTCCTACCAATTCATACTCCGTGTACTCCCGCCCCGCTCCCTACGGTGCTGATAATTATCTTTCCGATTATTCGAGATTTCCATCGAGGATATACATCCACCCATCCATCCATTCATCCATCCATCCATCATACTACAGAACAGCACGGATTTGAAGGAAAAATTACAGAAAAATTACCTTATACCGCCCGGCAATAGGCTTCACCGCTTATGATTATTCACATAGGTATGATGTTGTAGTCACTAGTGTATATGTATCTAGGTAGTGGTATAGTTAGAGTCCACTTTGTTGCCCCTCCGCCCCTCTCTTTGAGCCCCTCCAGTCCGCCGCTGTCCAGTTGATATTGTACTAGGTATCTAGGTAGCTAGGTAGCTAGGTAGCTAGAGTTAGGGGTATGTACTTAGAAACGGCTTAATAGGTGCCAAGTTCATGATCTAGCTCTTGAGTTCCTGATAGAGAAATCAACGGGTTTGCTATTTAGATACTCACCGCATATCATATCACGCCTCTACAGTCTATCCATTGTCCAACAATATAATCTTTACAAAACCTCGATATACAGAGTACTTAGCAGCGAGCACATATCAGCAATCGCGCAAGCCGCCAAACACCCTCAAGAGTCAATCCATACCCGTACATGATAACCTAGCACACAAAAGTAAAATATGCATCACGACTACATAGCATACATACATACATACATATTACATACATATTACATACAACTTGCAAGCAGCTAGCTAGCTACCAAACAGCTCAATTGACAAGTCATACAACTGTACATACACAGTACATACTCACCCGCGTCTAAACAATTGACGTGGTACCATAATTCCCCATTGCGTTCTCCCTAGGGCCCAGAAACTGTGGAGCGCATGCATAAATGCCTTCGTTTCGCATGTTTCATTACTCGAGTTACAGGAGAGATAACATGGTGGCGTTTGTGGGGTGTATGTACGTATGTATGTATGTGTATTATGTACTCTGTAGATTTTTGTATCGAGTACGAGTCTTGTAAAGTTGTAAAGTTGTAACTTGTAAGTCTTAATTCGGGATTTTGAGGAACGGACGCATGTTTTGAAATTGGGAGTTTTCTTGGGTTTCTTAGGAGATGAAAGTTCAGTAGATATAATAGTGCCGGTAACTATGTAATAGATTTTGGGATTTAGATGATTGATCCTCGGGAGTTGGTATTGTGAAAGAGTTGGGATGGTGGATGAATGGACGAATGATGAATGGGATTGTAAGGCCATATATGTCGAGGTTTTCAATAGCTCAATCACATGACCCTTCGTAGTTGGATATAAGGAGAGGCTTTCGCCTCCTCCTTTTGGAATCAATCACCCTTTTACATACCACTTTGAAACCCCATATTATAACAACCCCAAACCCATTGTGAAACCCGTTTTCTCTATAAGTAACTAATTACAATGTAATCCATTCAGCCTTCTGCTCCTATAGCCCCTCACAGCGTGTTATCGGGATGCATGTATCTCGGCCTCCCACTTTTACAGTATGAATATTAACCTTACAGTAGTAGGTAATCTTATGTTTTATATAAGTATATAAGCTACATTGTCTTATGATAAGTTAACGTTTGAATAATTATACAGTATTTACTATTGTGTATATATACATATTATATATATAGTATCTACTTACACATTCTTTTATTAATATATAGTTCTCACTTTCCTTTTATGAGTTTTGAAATCTTTATAATGCATAATTTCTTTTTAAGTGGGATTTATTTAGAACGAGTGTTCTGTCTGGATTAAATATTAGTTGGATCATTATCGATTTGAATGAGAAAATCACAATTTCTCTAATGTACATGTACATGGTCGGTACTCATAAACACTACTGACTGGCCTTTTACTTTTTACTTTTGATTATACATTTCTTGTAGGACTTATAAGAGATACTTTTGATGGGTAATTTCTAGATGATAGTACTACTAATAAAAACCCTTAAGTAATCTTCCTCGTAAGAGTACATAGTTACTTTATTCTTGTATACTTGTATTCTTTTTTTTTGTTTGGATAGATTCAATGGGATTTATAGCGTTAATACGGAGTATATCTGATAGTTAGATTTCTTTCCCATCTTGTCCTGTCCTGGCGATAAATAACTGGTGTATGATTCTCGACTGCGGAGTTGGGATTTGCTTCATATACTGTTACCTGTTGTATGTGACATTGGGGGTTTTTTGGTTTAGTTTTCTTGCGGTTATTAGGGTTCTTGTTAGGTACAGTGGTAGAGTCTTCAATTCTGGAGGGGATTTTGGTAATCTTATGTTTGATTTGATAATGCCCATTGCCGAGTTTGGTAGCTGTCAGGGGTTTGAAGAGGGGGGAGATGGGTTAGAGTAAGATGACGAATGAGGGAATACACCGTAGAGGGGTGAAGGATAGTATGAGGAGTTCGTTTTAAGTATTTCGATGCTCCTGTATGGATACTGGATACATATGGATTATCTATATAGTTATACCTCATCCATCAACTACTTTGCGCTTTCCTTTAAATTTGAAAACATATAGAGCTTCTAGATGCGGGTACTGTTGCGCCAAAACTTAAGTGTACGGAATGCTTAGTACTTTCAGAGTGATGTCGCTGTGGCTCATGAGTTTGATGAATTTGTGGTTTCTTGGAGGTAATGAGAATATACTCAAGCGTCTTTTAGAAATAGTTTTGGTAGTTTACTTGGACTCTGAACTAGTGATTCCATTTATACTCCTAGGTAGTTACTATGTTTATTATTCTACAAACCTTTCCCCATGTATTAGGAAGGGAAGCAAGTTAGTCTCCCACTAATATGAGAAATAGATGGAATATAGAATATATGTCGCTGATTTGTGTGAATACTGTAATGTCCAGAGTTTATGATAATCTTAATATATTGAATTTACACGGCGAGAGATTCCTGTACTGTCGTAAAAGAAAATGGTGATTCATAATAAGAAGTCCAAGATAATAAAGACTTACTTTTGAGGTAAACTTGTTGCCGTGTATGTACGAAGAATTTACTTCAATAAAATAGTTATTTAAGAAGATCATATCTTGTTATCACGAGTTCGAACCTGAAGAAAAAGAAGTAGATGATGCTTTAAAGTTTACGAGGACGAGTCTAAAGACTTCCTTATATCTTTAGTATATATATAAACCACTATAGAACTATCTATCTACTCATGTCTCGATCCTTACATCGCAACGAAAGTTAGAAACAGCAACTTTAAATCTTCATACCCTTTCAGCCCCTCTCATTTCACCCCCTCCCAAAACAATATATATATATATCAATGTCTTCAAACACCGTTCTCTGCTATCCCTATCCCTAACCCTCATCCTAAGATCACACCATCCACCCTTTTTCTACACTCCTCATTCCCCTCCGCTCTAAGTTCTTATCGCCCGTCCGCCCGTCTCAAACACAACACCCCCTTTCCCTTTTCATCTTTCCCTCCTGAGTCCTCAAAAACGATACACCACAAGCAGTGAGCCCCCTTTTCTCGAACCAATCTTACAACTCATAAGAAATTGAATAAGATAATAAGATACCGTGCGACCTAAAACTAAATACCATATATGACATTTTGGGATTAGTAATTAGTAATTACTGATTAAGGACTAATTCTGGGCCGGGGGTTAGGAGGAGATAGAGTAGGGTGGATTTTGGGGTGTGTCCGTTGTTTGAGATGTATCGGTATCCAAGAGGGGAGGGAATTAAGTTTTAAGTTTTGACTTTTGGGGAGTTGGGGAGGGGGTTTGAGGGTGTGGAGGGGTGGAGAAGGGGAGGGGAAAGTTTGGGGGGAGGAAAGGAGTTAGATGTGGGTTAGATGGGAGTATGGGTGTGAGGGTGGAGGTGTTTGTTTGCTGTTTGGGTGGGCAGTGCAGTTGGGAGGTTAGGAAGTTAGGAAGTTGTTGTTGGATGGAGTGTAGGGTGTTGTTTATTCATACGTGATGCCGTCTATTAGGCGCTCAGATCAAGATTACTTCATAGATCCAGCCATTTAGATACGTGGTAAAGTCGATGTAATAAGTAAAATTATTTTCACGACATCGCTAAACACATGCCCTGTCTTTCCCCCCTTTTCATAACCACCGGGATGATTTTCCTCGATACTATATAGCAATTCATCGAGATGGATTTGGGGTAAACTTTCGTCCACCTTCATTAATGAATAAGGAAGTCTAGAGACAAAAGAACGGGTGATCTTGAGTAGTGAAATACTTCTCAGGTAGAGAATATGGGTGGGATCTGGAGTTGCAGTTCTAGCTTAAGTTTACCGGAAAGGGGCAGACTGTAGAAGCGCTCAAATGATATCTCTGAAATACAGGCGTAAGAGAAACCAAAAATCAAGTATTTCTACGTACTAGGTAGGCACAGTGCTGTGCAAATGCTGTGCAATATTGGGTGATGTATTGCGAAGATGATTGATGTTACGATTGAGTTTGAACTGACAATGCAATGAAGTGTGGTTTAATATACCATGTAAACTGCTAAAATAGAGAATGGAAGGGATTTGAGGGTTTTAGGTGTGTAGAGGATTATATCTTTCGTTCTAGGTTATTGGTCGAGTGTTGATTTCGATGATATAAATTTATTATTACATTATTACGGTGTAGAATCACCTCGAGCATTCAAACAGCTCTTATATCAGAAGTGACTGAGCGTCGCGATAAGCCCGATAACAACCTATCACGCTAAAACATCAAGTTATTGAGAGCCATCCTTCTAAATCTCATATTTCCAAAAACCATCCACAAGAAAATATTAAAAGTTTATAATGGGTAAAGGTTCGTCGCAATACCACCCTAACCCTAAAACCAGAAGCATGTTAACATATTTCTTCCACAGGCACAGATAAACTATACGTGAGTTTCTAAACTACCAACGTCAACTTTTCCCTTGCTAATACATGACATCTAGATCACCCATTCCGAATGGTCTTCCACCGATGCATTCTCCGCCAGCAGTGGATCTAATGTTTCCCTAAAAGCCCCCAATGGCTCATTCAAACGTCTTCCCTTCAACTTTTGCGCCGCGAGTCTACAACCCTTCAAACATCCCGTCTGTACAGCCGAAGGTACAATATTCGACATAGAAGTGATTTCACAATGGCTCGAGAAGCACGGCACAAATCCTATCAATGGAGAACCTTTGAGTGCGAAAGATTTGATCAAATTGAACTTTGCGCGAAATGGCGATACTGATGCGCAAGAGAGAGGTTCTGGTGGTGCTGGAGGTGATGGTAAAGGGGAGATGGTAGATCCTGTCACTTTCAAGGTTTTTACAGATAATACGCATATTGTTGCTATACGGCATGGCAGTGAGGCCAATGTCTTTGCTTGGGAAACGGTGGAGAGATTGAATATTAAAGCGAAAATGTGGTTAGATCTAGTCGATGATCGGGAATTTGGGAGGTCAGATATTATTACATTACAAGATCCGCAGAACATCGAAAGTCGAGATTTAAGCAAGTTCAAATTCTTGAAGGAGGGAGAATCTGTGTTGAGTAAAGAACAGGAGGAAGAAAGATCTAAAGGTAGCGTTAATATTAACGCGCTGGGCAGAGTTGGAGATAAAGTTTTGAGGGCAAAAGAAGCTGTGGAGAAAGCCAGAAGGGAAAGAGAAGCTGGCGGGGATGTTAATCGCGCAAAATCGATGATTAAACAAGGATCTACGACTTCTATGGCGAAACCTTCATTACTCCAAGAAAAGAAGACAGCATACAATGCAGCACAATATACAACCGGAAGAGCAGCCGCAAGTTTTACGAGTACAGGATTAACTCCAGAAACCAGTGGAGAGAGAGCAATTCTTACGGATGAAGAGTATATGTTAAAGCCAAAACGAGTCAAGATAAAGGGATATGCCAGGATCGAGACGAATCTTGGTTCATTGACAATTGAATTACAGACCGAGACGGCACCTCGGGCAGTATGGAACTTCGTTCAATTAGCCAAAAAGGGTTATTATAATGGTGTTTCTTTCCATAGGAATATACGAAACTTTATGATTCAAGGAGGTGATCCAACCGGGTCCGGTAAAGGAGGTTCAAGTATCTGGGGAAAGAATTTTCAAGATGAATTCGACGGACCTTTAACTCACGATTCAAGAGGTGTGATGAGTATGGCCAACAAAGGTAAAAACACAAATTCAAGTCAATTCTTCATCACCTATAAAGAAGCCAAACATCTCGATCGCAAACATACCATTTTCGGCCGAGTAATCGGTGGCATGGACGTCCTTGGCAAACTGGAAAAAGTAGAAGTAGACGAAAAAAGTCGACCGATAAACGACATCATCATGGAAAATGTCGTCGTCTTCGTCGATCCATTTGAAGAATTCCAAAAGCAAAAACAGGAGAATGATATTGCGGAGAAGGAAAAGGCGGAGATTATGAGACAGGGTGGAACTGAAGATGATAAAACTACCTGGACGGGTAAACGTATTAGGGGGGATGGATCGGTGGTGCAAAATGAATCTTCTGGGGCTGTGGGGAAATATCTTAAAGCTGGTGTCGGTGCGGGTGTGGGTGTGGGTGCGAATGCGAGGAATAGTGGTGGTGTTGGGATCGGGGAGGTCGAGGAGGAAGAGATGCTACCTGTGAAGAAAAAGGTTAAGTCTAGCGGATTTGGAAATTTCGATGCATGGTAGTTAGGGCGGATGGTTTATAATGATTTATTGGATGGTTCTTGAGTTGTAATACCATTTCTCGCATAGGCAAATGAATTTCTGTGTGAGCGGAGAGATGAATGAATCAAGGGATGTTTTGGAGTACTAGGTACTCTTACCCCGAGAGAGATTGGAGCAGGTAAAGATATTGAAGATATATATGTAAATAGCAGGACAGTTGACAGTTTATTGCATGTATCTATGGAGTTTGATGATGATGAAATTTATTGTTGGTCACCTAGTTAATGACTGAGTGGTAAGATTACACGATATATATAGCAGAGTGGAAAGTGTAGATGGTTAGAATTACACAGAATGTATTTACATGGAAGATTTAAGATTATTGAACATAGTTGAATACCTATGCAAGTATGTATTGATTATCACGGTCTATTTTCATAAGGCATCTACTGTATGCTTTGTTGTGCATGCCATTGTATCAGCCAACCTATTTCCCGCCCAATTTAACACAACACAACCCAGCTCCAACCCAACCCAGTCCCGTCCCATCTATCCCATCCCATATGTGCCTTGGGATCTACAAATCCGGAATTGCCCTTTGAGATACGAGATTTGAACGCCCCAATGTATACCATGATGTGAAAACCCTCCAAAAAAAACGCCATCCACAATTTTGGTACAATTTCAGTCTACCGTCGTCATATCTATCTATCTCTTCACGTGAGAATAATCGCGCAACAAGTGTTGCATGTGAGTATTTGTAGTTCGGCCGCCCTTCCTTGGAGCCTTTCTCTTCTTTTCTTTTGGCTTTGGAGCTGTTTTGACACGTTTACTTGGGTCTTCACTAGCAGGCTTTTGGCCAGCTTCGAGGAGTTTGCGAACGAGATCATCGACGCTGGGGAGTTCGGTTCTGTGCCACATGACTTGGAATTCGGATTCGACGGGGTGTATCAAGGTAGAATCGTTGATCCAAACCATTCGTGCATGGTTATCCTTCTTTGTCCTCGTAACCAAAATTCTATGTTCGGCTTCCAACTCATTTATCGCTTCCTCACAGTCTGGCCAACCATCTTTCAAATCCTTAACACTTACTCCTTGTGCATCAGGTTTGTTTTGAAGATATGATAATAGAGCGCCCTTATTACGAACACCAATGATAGGTCGATGTTTGAATGTGCCAGAATCCCAAGTCTGTGTCTTTAACTTAGGATCGGCGATCCATTGAACTCGATCGTGTCTTCGAAGGATTTGCGCAATAAGTTGTTTCTTGCTTTGCTCGACGTGTGCCTGGCTCAAATATCCTAGGATTTCTTGGAATGTTTTTGGCTCATCTTTCTTCTTCAAGAACTCGATTACGTAGGTGACTTGTGTAAATGCTTCTGTTCCATAACCAGTAGCAGCAGGTTGAGAATAGACGACATTCGATGTTTCTCTCTTGCGCTTAGCATCTTTGTTCTCACTTTTCGATGTGTTTGAAGCGTTTGACGGAGCGGGTGATGGTACGGAAACTGGTGCGGTGGGACGCTTGCTGGTAATCTTAGTAGAAGTATTTTGAATACCTTTTTGAAAGGCGGCCTGTTGCTTCTCGAGGAATGAAGACATGATTTATGGTTGAAGATGTGGGACGCCTCGAGGTTGCAGAGTCTTTGATAGGCCAAATTCCAAGAGCCTCTCTGAGTCCAGGCCTAGGAGATGTCGTAAGACCGTACTGCGTACAATAGTTCGCAGTTCCAAATGACGTCGATGCAAGATTTAAAGTCGTAGTATCGAGTCTCAGATGCACCCAATAGGAGAGACCTGTATAATACGGGCCTGTAGCAAAGTCAACAGGCGCGAAAGTTTGAAGGTGTAAGGCTCAACTTTTGTGGATGTTGAATTGAACAAAGAAGTCCATGCAGGTGATGAGGCTGAGAAATTACATGGGAGCAATTTTTAGCGTGAATAGACCACACAGGGTCCGGACGCAAGCTAAACAGTTATCAGCCATTCACCTCTACCCAAATTTTAAAGTTTGGGAGTATTAGTCAGCGCCTTCTCGTCCTGAAAGCAACAGGCTTTCAAGGTCAAAGACTCTATTCAAGAAATCGACAACACCACGATTTGACCATCGTAGGGATTTCGATACGAATTCCAAATCTATTCATTCATTCGAGATTTGTTATGGTCATACAATAAACGATAAGAATATCATAGATATTATCTAATATTTACAGCTAGGATTTCTTTGAGCTTTATTACTTTTCCACCTTTACTTCCTCAAAGCAACGCGATCAACACAAATTCTGAACCACCCTTTTCAAATGGTCCTCTACGAAACGCATCAAAAAATCGTCTGAAGGACCGTTTTCAAGATGGCAACTGCGGTACTCGATGTCGACTACTTGTCGGCATATTTGAGCGTGCCGCAACAAACTCTAAGCACAGTTATTGATAACCCTACTGCCGAATTAGTTCGTAGTGTCCTTGAAGCTGTTACTGCAAAAGCACGCGAACATGATGAGTTGGCGGCGGATAAGTTGCGAGTTGATATCGAGCTTGAGAATGCTGTGAGAAGTTCAGAGACGCGCATTGAAGGACTTCGATCGAGTGTGGAAAAGGCGCAGAAAACCGTGGAAGAGCTGAGGATTAAGCTCAATGAGGAGGGTAAGCCGTCCAATATTATGGTAACATATTGCGGCGCTAATTTTACTTTCAGAAAATTCAAGATCATCTCTTGAAAGCGAACTTCAAACCTTGAAATCTAGTTCCTCGACATCGACATCTGAGCTAGAAACTTTAAGGTCTCGAATCTCATCACTCGAATCCTCCAATCGCGATGCACTAGCCGTCATCGAGTCAAAGACGACTGCTAACAGTGCTCTTGCACAAGATCTACAGAAGCAACACCAGAAGGGATTGGAACTTGGTCAACAAATCACAGCTTTACAACAATCCGTGCAAAATGCAAATTCTGCGGTATCCAGTGCTAAATTCCGAGAGCAATCTCTGAAGCAAGAAGTTGAGCTAGCCAAGCGCAATAATGAATGGTTTGAGAATGAATTGAAGACTAAAAGCGCCGAGGCTTTGAAGTATCGCAAAGAGAAGGGTGCACGAATTGCGGAATTACAGCGCCAAAATGAAGAGTCTACTTCTAATGTCGAGTCTTTAAGACGTACCGAACAAGCTTTACGAACTAGGTTGGATGAGGTTCAGAAGAAAGCTGAGGACTCACTTCACAAGATACAACAACTTCAAGAAGCTGCTGCAAAGACTGAAGAAGGTTTCCGTCAAGAATTAGAAAGCGCGCGTCGTCTCGCGGAATTGCAAGCACAACAAACCGAGACACATCGACAGAGATTGAAGGAGGTCGAAGGAGGAATAGAAAAGATGAAGGATGATGCTGCAGAGGAGATTGGTAGATGTCAGCAAGAAGTTGAGGCGGAGAGACAGGAACGAGAACAGGCGGAGCATCGTATCTCAGAGCTTGAAGCCGAGATTGATCGACTTGAAGCTCTTGTATCATCACAACCTCGTCCTGGCTCAGTACCATCAACCCCACAACGAGGACTCAATGGTTCAGTGTTTGGAAGATCTGGTTCACCTGCTCAATTTGGTACACCTGGATCTATGCGCAGTAAGTCGTCTATTACCGCTACTCAAGCTATCGATGAGCTCTACAAAGTCAAGGGTCTATTGGCTACAGAAAAGAGACGAAGTGAACGACTTACGGTGGAGATGGAGGAAATGATGCAAGGACTCGAAGCAAAACAACCAGAGTTAGAAGAAATGCAAGCCGAGCATGAACGTCTTCAACAGGAGGTCGTAGAGATGTCAAAGTTTGTCGATCAAACTGGCAAGGAGCGTGATCGCGCCAAGAAGGATGTTAGGAAAGCTGAAAGTGAGGCATCTACCGCAAAAGCAGAGGTGAACATCCTTCGACAGCAACTCAGAGATCTTAGCGCTCAAATCAAGATGCTTCTTTACGATTTAGATGCGAGAGAAAGAGGATTAGCGACTTTGAATGCTGGTGAGCGAGCACAAATGGAGCGTCTAGCACGAGGAGAGGTTAGCGAAGATTCATTTGAAGGAATGACTGATACGGATCGATTTATCAGTCAGAGACTCACTGTCTTCCGCAGCATTAGTGAATTGCAAGAGAAAAATCAGGAGTTGCTCAAGATCACGAGGGAGCTTGGTCAGAAGATGGAAAGCGAAGAAGCTCAAGCTGCCAAGAATCAAGCGGTTCAAGACCATGAAGAAGTACAAAAACTTCAAGCAAAGGTTGAAGACTTGAAGGATGAGTTGAGATCTATGATCACCCGTTCAGAAAGTTATATTAAGGAAAGAGACATGTTCCGCCGTATGCTTCAACACCGAGGACAACTTCCAGTCAATTCCGATCTCGCATCTATGTTTGGTCAATCAGTCGATGGCAATGGTGCCATGTCAACTATTGAAAATCCAAACCAAAAGGACAATGCTAATTATGCCGCATTATTACGCGAGTTGCAAGGCCACTTTGATCAGTATCGCGAAGAACAAACGGTTGATCGACGCACACTAAGAGAGCAAACAGAACGACTTTCATCGGAGAAGGCTGCACTTCAAGCAGAGATTTCCAAGGTTAGCAGTCAATTGACACTTGCTAATGAACGCTACGAAATGTTACACTCCAACTACACACTGTTGCAGAGTGAAAATAGCGAGTTACAGAAACGTTCTCAAATTCTTTCCGAGGCTGCTGCTAAGCAAGACTTAAAGACACAGCAAGTAGCTGAGGACTTGATTGAAGCAAAGGGATTGGTGGAGAGTATGAGAAATGAGACCGCTAATCTCAAGGCTGAGAAGAAGCTTTGGAAGGATATCCAGGATCGCCTCAGTCAGGACAACGAGAATCTCACCAACGAACGCAGTAGACTCAACACCCTCATCGCAAACCAACAAACCCTTCAGAATGAACGCGAGCTATCAGAGTCGGAGACAAGAAGAAGACTTCAATCCCAGGTAGAATCTTTGGAATCTGAGCTGAACACCACAAAGCGAAAGCTTAATGATGAAGTTGAAGAGAGTAAGAAAGCTCAATTGAGAAAGGAGTACGATACTCAGCAAAATCAAAGGAGGATTGACGAGCTTGCAGCAAGTCTGAGTCAAGCAAGAGAGGAGCTGGTTGCTGCGCAAACATCGCGCGATCATCTCCAGGCTCGTGTAGATGAGTTACACATTGAGCTTAGGAGTGCAGAGGAACGAGTTGAATTATTGCAGCCAAGACCAACCCCACGGCCAGGCACCAATACTCAAAACACCGATGGACAATATACAGCTGCTGAAGATGAATCTTTAAGCCGTGAACAAGAGTTAGGAATCGAGCTTTCTGAATTGAAGAGAGATTTAGAACTAGCAAAATCAGAGCTCGAAAATGCAAAGCAACAAGCAGAGCAATTCAAATCTATCAGTCAATCGTCTGAGGAGGAGTTGCAGAGTCTCAATGCGACGCTGGATGAATGCCGTGAGGAGATGGATATGATCATCGAGGAGAAAGATGCGAAGATCCGCGAGCTTGAGCAACGAGCCGAAGATATTTCTGCCGAGCTCACTAATTCTAATAATGAGTTGACGGCCCTTCGAAACCAACAGGGTGAAGTAGCTAGACAAGCTGAGGAGGAGAAATCTGGACTCGAGGCAGAGATTGTACGTTTGAAGGATGAGCAAGAGAAACATGCCACGGCTGCAAAATTCCATCAAGAAGACCTTCGCGCACAAGCAGCAATCGCCACCAAAGCCCAGCAAGACTATGAGAATGAGCTTGTCAAGCATGCCGAGGCTGCTAAACATCTTCAATCTCTACGAGTTGAATATAATCAACTGAAGTCCGAATCTGCAACATTGAAAGCGGAGGCCGAATCTGCCAAGGTTACTTTGAATCAGAGCGAAGCCTCTTGGGAGGAACGACGTGAGCAATTCGAACGAGAGTTAAATGAGTTGAAGACTAGGCGAGATGATGTCAATGCACAGAACAAGCTTCTACACCAACAGCTAGATAATGTTTCTTCACAAATCATTGCATTGCAACAGACACGCTCCGCTGGTCCGGATGCATCGGAAGCTGGATCCCCAGTTGTGGATGGAACAACAGATCGTACAGTGGAAGGTTTGCGGGAGTTGAACACATATTTGAGGCGCGAAAAGGAAATTGGCGAGGTTCAATATGATATCAAGATTCAAGAAGCCAAGCGACTACAACAACAACTTGAATACACTCAAGCTCAACTTGATGAGGCTAGATTAAAGCTTGATCAGGAACGACGCACTCATGCTGATGGTGGTAAAACCTCCATTGCACACAAGGACCTCATGGATAAACTTAATGAGCTCAATCTTTTCCGTGAAAGCAGCATCACTTTACGTAATGAGGCACGTCAAGCTCAATCTCAACTTGCTGATAAGACCAAACGTGTTGAAGAACTTTTGGCGCAAATTCAACCATTGGAGACAAAGGTTCGTGAATTAGAACATAGCAAAGAAACCATGGAGGGTGAAATGCATTTGTTGCAGGAAGATCGAGATCGTTGGCAGAAACGTAACCAAGATATACTTTCCAAGTACAATCGAATCGACCCAGCTGAAATGGAACAAATGAAGGAAGCCATTGAAACTTTGCGAGGTGAGAGAGATGCCTTGTTAGAGGAACAACAACCATTGCGGGAGAAGGTACAAACTTTGGAGAGCTCTATGGAGAATGACAGAGCACAATGGCAAACTACCCGACAAAAGTTAATTGAGCAAGCCAAGGAGAGAAATCGCACTTTGACCAAGGATAAGAATGATCGAGCTGCAGAGAGAGATGTGGCCATTTCCGAGAGGGATTCACTTCAAGAACAACTCACTTCACTTCAGGAGCAACTTCAAACTGCCATTGAAGAAAAGGAAGCAGCAGAAGCCAAGCTTGCGGAAGTACAACAAGAATTGGAAGAAGTTAAGACCCAGCGTGATCAGGCATTGGCGAACGCTGTTCAATCTGTTGCATCTCCCAAAACTCCATCCGCACCTCCAGCAACTGCTGCAGAGAGTAATGAAGCTGTCAATGCACAGCTTGTTGAACTTCGTAAGGAGCGTGATCAGGCAATCTTGGAGAAGCAAGCTCTTGAACAACAAATCACAGAACTTAAACAACAGCTCGAAACCGTCAATTCTGAGAGAGACGCTGCTATTGCCGAGGCCGCTGAAGCACGATCACAACAAAAGGCTCAGCCATCTGATACTGCGGTAGACGATGGTGCTGAAGAAGGACAGATCGACGAAAGTCATAATAGTATCTCAGAGGAGGAGAGAAGCGCATTGGAGGCACGTATAGCTGTTGCTGAAGCAATGGCTAAGGAGCGTGATGAAAAAGCGAAGGAGATTGAAGAATCTATGGAAGCTACACTAAAACAACGTTCCGATAAGATGAAGGCGGCTTTGAACAAGAAACTCGGCGAATCCAAGGAAGCTGTTAGGGTGCAACTCGAGGCTGATTTCAAATTGAAACTTGAGCAGGAGAAACAAATTTGGCTTGCAGAGAATAAAACTGCTGATTCTTCTGTCCCACCACCGACACCATCTGCACCCAAGACAGAAGAAAATGCCATTCCAGCCACCCCCGCCACTCCAAGTAAAGTTGCTGCACCATCGGCTGATGGCTCGGATCTTTCGGATGAACAAGTTCGACATCTTTTATCGACAAACCCCACAGTCAAGAGTATTCTTACCAACAACTTGAAGAAGCTTCTTGAAAAAGAAACGCAAAAACTCAAGTTGGAGCAAGATAAACTCGTGGCGGAAAAGCTAGCTGAAGCGCAAAAGAGATCTGAAGCTACTTTGACTGAAGCTCAAGCAAAGGCTGATCACACACAAGCTCAAGCTGTTTTGATGGCGGAGAAAAAGTCCTCATTGAAACTCAACATGTTTGACAATAGAATCAAAATGGCCACTGCAAAGATTGCAGTTGTTGAGAAAGCTGCAAAGGATACACCAGAAAAGCCTGTTGGTGAGGTGTGGGAGATTGCTAAGAATGCCAAACCTCCTCCTGCAGCACCAGTTGTACCAGTCCTTACAACGTCGACGCCTACCCCCGCCGCTCAAGCGGCTCCATCTCCAGCGGTCAATACTACACCAGCTGCAGTGCCACCCCCGAATGTTCCCATTACTCAATTTGATAGCGCAGCCGCTGAAGATATTAAGCCCGAGGATACTGAAGCTTCAAAGAGTGGTATACCTTCAGGACCACGGCCAATAACTCCATCGACAAATGGGGCCTCTTCATTACCTATTAGTAATATCCCTTCTGTAAGTAAGCCCTTTAAACTCTTTTGCATCTAGCACTAACCAAATATAGGCCCCTCAAGCAGGGAATCAGTCACGACTACCACAAATGCGTGGTGGTAATCAAAATCGTGGTGGTGGTGGTGGTGGTGCTCGTGGAGGAATCTATCAACCACGTGGAGGAGCAGCAGGCAGAGGAAGAGGTAACCTTAGTGGACAACGTGGAGGAATGAACGCCACTACTCAAAGTTTTAGTCCGAATGCACAGCCTGGGCAAAAGAGACCTGTACCAGAAGGTGGTCAGCAAGGAAGTGGAGGAAAACGTCCTAGGGGAGGAGGAGGTAATTAGTTTATTGGCAAAAGTTCAGTTGCATTTGCATGTATTATATTTCATGGTTGCATAGGCAGCCATAGCTTGGCCTTTTTTTATGCTAAGAATGAGTGAAGGAAATATTCAGGGAGTTACGGGAAATATGTATGAAGAATAGTAGCGTAGCTATCTATACATATGATGAGTATTGAGGCAAATGAATATCAGGAGTATTTGGAGAAATCAAAAGGGTATCATTGATATTTAGATAAATTGCTAGGAACAAGTCTTTTAAGTACTTCCACATGTCGACCGATCATCTTCATCTTAAGACCTTCCACACCACTTTTGTCTAATCTACGCAAGCCATTACCATATATCACCGTATGATCTGGAATAATCTCGTCTTCTGCAACTTCGCACATTGGTCCAATCTTGCAATGCTGGACCAAATGTTAGTATCAAATAAATTCACATCCTTGTGAAATGCATACCTTTCCAATAACAGCTCCTTTTCCTACCTTTGCATTAATCTCAATGAGACTACCCTGTCCCACGAACTTTGCTTCAACAATAGCCCCAGTTTCTACAACGACACCAGTATCCAGCACAACCCCTTGAGCTTGTTCCTCAGACGGAGCGCTCAACATGCCAATTGAACTTCGCTCACCAATGACACATTGCATGCCAATCGCGATGGGAGCATAGGTGCTATTCAATTTTGTACGTGGATGAAGTACTGTGTGTCCCCGGATGGTTATAAGATTTGTGCCAATAATCGAAGCATGGTCGGCAATTATGATATTGTTTGAGAAAGAAATGGGAGGTTTGGGAGGTGGAGGAAGCATGGAAGATCGTTTGGTAGTGGACATGACTGATGATAGGCAGTGTATATGGGAGATTTAAGACGAAGATATTCGACACTGGGAAACACTGGGAAATATTGGCCAATTATTCGTTGTACTGGTAAACCCGAACTCGAATTGGAGCCTCTGTGACGGCCAAAGCTGTAAGATCTGCTAGAGGTCAATAGAAGTGTTGTAAGTGTTTGTACCTGATTGTATAGCAGAACGTCAGATATCAGAATGGGCAAGCTTAATCGATTTTTGCCGCTTACTTCTATGATATTTCTGAATATCATCAACCTCAAAGTACAACCAGACGATGGCTAGAGGATAAGAGGTCAAAAAGACGACAATTTGATCTATCAGTGGGTTGATGTATAGTAAACGGGCTAAGACGGGGTAAAGTTTAAAGTTCCAGATTCACACTTATCAACGGAAGTTTTCGGCTATCGCCACCATTTTGAAGCTTGGTCATTTAAACCAATCAAACATTCATGATTTCTATGATGACTTGAACCTATTCGGAAATATTTACAACCTCAACTTCCCCTCTACGACCCTTTACACTGACAACAACTCTCAATTGGGCACAAAATACATATCGAAAATGCTTTCGCGAAATGCGCCTTCTGCAAAGGCGGCCTCTACACTTTCCACTCGAATCCTATCCTCCTCAGCAGCAGCACGATTATCTCCTTCGATCTCTTCGGTACAACAATCTAGAGGACTTGCCACAGTCGCCGATACACCACCTCCACCAAAGAAGACGCAATGGGGTGGATTAAGGGATCAAGATAGAATTTTTCAAAACTTGTATGGACATCACGGAGCGGATCTGGCCAGTGCGAAGAAGTATGGTGATTGGCATAGAACGAAGGATATTCTTGCAAAGGGACATGACTGGGTATGTTGGAAAGGCCGATACTATGATGAGGTTTGAGAGTTAACATAGGAATAGATTATTTCCGAAATCAAGGCTTCAGGTTTGAGAGGTCGTGGTGGTGCTGGTTTCCCTTCTGGTATGAAATGGGTAGGTTTGATGTTTCACAGAGCAAATCAACAAGGCTAAAGCTATGATAGTCATTCATGAACTTCAAGGGTTGGGAAAACGACAACAAGCCAAGATATCTTGTAGTCAATGCAGACGAGGGAGAACCTGGAACTTGCAAAGACAGAGAGATTATGCGAAAGGATCCACACAAACTTATCGAAGGATGTTTAGTTGCAGGAAGAGCAATGAACTGTACGGCAGCATATATCTATATTCGTGGAGAATTTTATCACGAAGCTACCGTCTTACAACGCGCGATTCAGGAAGCATACAAGGATGGTTTAATCGGAAAGAATGCTTGTGGTAGTGGATATGATTTCGATGTATACGTCCATCGTGGAATGGGAGCATATGTTTGTGGTGAGGAAACATCTTTGATTGAATCACTCGAAGGTAAACCAGGAAAGCCACGTCTCAAGCCCCCTTTCCCTGCTTCTGTCGGTCTTTTCGGTTGTCCATCAACAGTGGCAAATGTCGAAACTATCGCTGTTGCACCAACAATTTGTCGAAGAGGTGGAGATTGGTTCGCTTCATTTGGTCGAGAACGTAATGCTGGTACCAAACTCTTCTGTATCTCTGGTCATGTCAACAACCCATGTACCGTTGAGGAAGAAATGAGTATTCCTCTTAGAGAACTCATTGATAAACATTGTGGTGGTGTTCGTGGAGGATGGGATAACCTTAAAGCTATTATCCCTGGAGGATCCTCTACACCACTCTTACCAAAGAATATTTGTGATGATCAATTGATGGATTTCGATGCACTGAAAGATAGTCAATCTGGTTTAGGAACGGCAGCAGTTATTGTCATGGATAAGAGTACTGATGTTGTTCGTGCCATCTCAAGATTAAGTCATTTCTATCGACATGAATCTTGTGGTCAATGTACGCCATGCAGAGAGGGTAGCAAGTGGACCGAACAAATCATGAAAAGATTTGAAAAGGGTCAAGGTAAAATACGTGAGATTGATATGTTACAAGAACTTACAAAACAAGTCGAGGGTCACACTATTTGTGGTATGTATATCTTTCGATAACATGATGACTTTCACTAACAAATATCAATAGCTCTTGGAGATGCTTTTGCATGGCCTATTCAAGGTCTTATTAAACATTTCAGACCAGAATTGGAGGCAAGAATGAAGGATTATGCAGAGAAGAATGGAGGACCGCCATTGGCTGGTGGTTGGAATAATAATGCATTGCAACAAGGTAAACTTATTTCGCCTGGACAATAGATTTTGAAGCGGAGCATTAAATGAAATGGAAGTGATGGGTGGAATGGTAGACTGTTCATAAGAGGTCGTAAATGTATTTATTGATGTTAAGCATGGGTGCTTTTATTTCAATGGCAAGCAAATATTTCTAGTTCATCTGGATCTTGAGATGTGGTGTGATGGTTGTGGTGTCTGTACGGTGAATCATGAATGCGATATGAATGTGGAATATTGAGTATGGACTTCGATGTTTTTATACGGTAATTAGAGAATACGTATTTAATAGTACAATGCTCTAATACTGATACGTACCATAGGTATAGTACTAATAAAGCAAGTAGGTCTAATGCATGTTATCTTCAGGAGTCACCATATTCTAATCTCAGCTAATTAAGCGATCTTGGAATTTTTGCCTTTTTCGAAGTTTCTGCAGCATACCAACAGTTGTTGTACGAAAATAGGTGGGTTACACAATGAAAGTTTTGTGGCTAGGAATTTGTACTTTATCTTAGGTTCTTTTTTATATATATAAATGTAAGTGTATATATAAGTGTAAGTGGATGTAGAAGGGGAGGGGTGTATTTTATATTTAGATACCTAGATTGATATTTATATATATAGATATCAATTAAAGATCTTTAAGGTTTCTTTTAACTTTTAAATAAGATTAAGGAACAAGCTACGCGTTTAGTCTGGTCTAGCTTAAGCTTACATAAGCATTTCGACTCACGAGTATTCCGGATCCCATGGCAATCTCATCCTCTCATTCTCGCTATTGTGTTATTAGGTTACTAGTTACTAGTTAAGTATTCAGTGTTAGGTATCTAGGGATGTACAGTATACTTACTTACTGGTGAAGTTGGGAATTTTTGGTTATAGATATAAAGGTACCTAGGTAGATTCGGATAGGATTATAGGGAGAGATTTACGGGGGAGGGTTATAAGAGAGAGGATGGGGTTCTTTAGACAGATGGTGGATTTTGTGGGTGATGCTGGTATGTATGTCTTCTCTCGTTCGTGATCATTGAGTGGTTTTTATCTCCTTGCTTTTCGCCCTCCTTGTTTTTAACACTTTATATCTTCTTTTATTATAGTTGGTGTTAAGTTTTTAAGACTGAGGGTGTTATTTCATTATATCTTTATCTGTATCTGTATCTCTCATTAAATTCGATTTTTCTTTTCCCTTTCATTTGGTTTTTTGAAATAATAATTGATAATCAATAAATAACTAACTGATACTCAAAAAGCGGGATTGGAAAAAACTCTTAGGTTGATACAGGCTTTGTGTCAGATATGTGCTTTTTATCCGGGGATTTTGGGGAGGTTGTTGCTGGGGATGGGGACGGAGGGTAAGGATGTGGATGGAAAGCAGATGACGGTTTTGGAGGGGCTGTGGAGGGCGAGGAGGGAGCTTGCTGTGGGTATGTTTGGTCTTTCTTTTTTATTTCCCTTTTTTTTGGCCGCGGAGGGGCGAGGCGTGAGAGAGCGAGGGGGGAAGAGAGGAAAAGGTTTATGGAGTGAGTCTGTGAAGGATTTCGAGAGACATTAAGCTCAATAAGGATACTCCTGCAAGTGCGCAAGATTCTCACCACATTACCTCCCAGATGCCATAGCTCTAGCTCAAGAACACAAATCGAGCTTTGGTGGGCAAGTTTGGGCTCGAAGGTAAAAGCTGACTATATGGTGGTTAAATATCCAACGTAGAGTCCACGAGCGAAGAAAACAACAGAAAACTAAATAAGCTAACAAAACACCCTCTACAGGACGTCGCTATCTTCGCTTTTTCCGCTTTATAGAACATCTTTCAAAAGCCTGGGATAGTCTTCTAAATGAAAACGGGATGAAGATGTTAATCAACGTTGGAAAGTCGGGGTCCATGGGTGCTTACTTAGGGTGTGAGTTTCTTTTCCTATTTGCTCTCCGTCCATACCAACGCCTCTCTATCTTCTTTTCCGTTCATTGACATGCAGAATGTGGCTAACTATGAAATTGTTTTAACAGTGGAGAGTCTCACAATAGTAAGTGCCCACCATCCCATGAAAATAGAAAGGAAAGGCGGAAAGTAGGAAAAGGAAAATTACTAATTTATGGCATGAATAGTTGGACGTTATGGACGTGTGCAACACCCCTTGGTTCCGAACTTGTGTACTCGAAGGCCAGAAATTCTGGTTTTATTCACTTTGCATATCGATATTTGGAGGATTATATGATCTTTATCTCATGCATTTTAATATCAACACAAACCCACCTCCGGACTCATCGTCACATGAAAATCCCATACCATCAACATCAAAATTAGGCGAAGATGCACAAGCCGTCCAGAAACAAGAAGAAGACAGCAAAAGAAACGAAGGAAATCAAAAGAGAAAGAACAGAAATAAGATAGTACTCAAGATTATTGAAAATATAGCGGATCTATTTGTTCCGGGAATGGTAACAGGATGGATCATTAGTGATTTAGGGGTTGTGGGGTGTGCATTGATTGTTAGTACCGTGTTGAGTTCTTGGGAGATTTGGGGGAGGGTTGGAGAGAGGGAATTGGAGGTGAATGGGAGTAGGAAGAGGTAGTGAAGGCAGCGAGGGGTACAGCTGGTAATGGGGATGAGGGGGGAAGAATGGCGAGGTAGGAAGCAAGTCGGAGATTTGGATTTGGACTTTAGTGAGTTTGTAAATTATTGGGTGAATGTATGGATAGCTTTCTGAGAGATTCCAAGAATTTGGAGCAGTTGCGACGTAGAGATTGGTTTGATACTAAGTGAGGACTTGAGATGAATACGGCTCGTTGTATTTTGTGAATTTAAACTTCCTAGAGCTATGAAAATCAGAAATGAAGATGCTGAAGATGCACTAACAATCAATCGGTGGGGATTAGCGCGTAGCAAGTCTTACATAAACATTTTCTGAGCTCCTAAGGTTAACCTTAGCAATCTTACTCCGTACACTTCCAATTAATGTCATCGATATCGTTCTGAATAACTTCAAACACATGGACGACAAATTCATTGCATTTGCAATATTTCGTTCAGGTGTTAAATTGATCGTCGATTCCCTCATTATCTTCGTCACTTTGTGGTTTCACAGCATGAACAACTTATTCAACCCCGCACAGATTCTTCGTGTTACAAGTTACAACATACACAACACCAATGGGCAGATGTATTTGCAGCCATAGCACGATGAAATCGAAATCTTTACCCCTCCTTAATATCATTTCTTGAATGGGTTGCTCAGCTTTCTCTTTAGCCAGCCACTCTTCTCATCGACAAAGCTTTTGAATGATGACCCCTCATTTTCACAATGAGCTTCCCCGCTCAGTCTTTGTAGATTTGAGGAATCTGAACCAGAAATGGATAACATGTTGTAGCGGAATACTTAGAGATCAACATCAGCTTCAACTACTAGGCTCAAGTATGAGCAAACCCCGGGTAAAGAGCTCTCCGCAGTTCATATCAGATTTCACATACATATGTGGGTGCGTAATGGCTGTTGCATCATTCTACATTCCAATACGTGGAGTTTAAGTTCTTCCCCAGGTCAAATCCGAAGATCTTTCTATAAACTCCTTCATTCACTCTTCATTTTTTTGCATAACTTCCATCCATTCCTACTTCAACTACTTCAATCATAAATCATGGCAACCTATCCTACAGATGATCAAGACTTCAAGAATGCTTCGGCAGGACTCGTGAGTCGAATGGACAATTGTATCATTCATTCCGATACCGATGAGTCTGTCGTGATCTGGGACAATCAAACCTACGAATCATTCATCAATGATGATGCAACTTGTCCTAAAGAAGTTGATCCATCCCTATTCAGACAATCTCAACTTTGTGTTAAGCAGGGACTTTTTGAAATTATCAAGGACAAGATTTATCAAGTTCGTGGCCTTGATATTTCCAATATGACCTTTGTTGAGACGATCGATTCAAATGGTGTTGTGGTTATTGATCCCTTGACCTCCATTGAGACAGCCAAAAAAGCTATTGAGTTATATCAAGGGTATCGTAAAGATAAGAAGATTTTAGCAATGATTTATACACATTCTCATGCTGATCATTTTGGTGGTGGGAATGCAGTTGTTGGTATGCCGTTTGCTCCCTTACATCTCTATGCTTTATTGTTTCGTCATTTCATCATCTTTCATTAAATCTTGGGATTTTCCATATGACATTGGTCTTTGATTGTGTTTAACAAGCTATTATTACCTACCGACGTTCCATATTCAATATGATTATGTCGACAAGGATGAGATGGAAGGATTGATTGGAAAGGTATTTCGCCAGCTAACGTTATGACCTATAATGAAACTTGAAGCCATTGTTTCGGATTCTGAACCTCATTACATTTTTCTTAAATTTTTTCCAATTTAATGGATATTGTTGTTGGTGATGGACCTAGCTTGAGTCAGAATTATACTAACTTTCATGATTACAGAGGCTTCAGGTGGTACCCAAGAGCACCCATACGATGGCACTCTACAGGACATATATGCACCGGCTGATTTCCTTGACCATGCTGTGAGCGAAAATGTTTACGCTGGTGTAGCAATGGGTCGTCGAGCTGTATATATGTACGGTGAATCACTTGAAAAATCTCCTACAGGACAAGTTGGAACTGGCTTAGGCATGGCTACATCAACTGGTGCTAGCTCATTGATTCCTCCAACAATAAGCATTAGTAAGACGGGACATAAAAGGAAGATTGATGGTTTGGATATCGTTTTTCAGGTGACTCCTGGAACTGAAGCACCTTCGGAGATGAACTTCCACTTTCCTCAATACAACGCTCTGTGTATGGCGGAGAATGCAACTCATACTTTACATAACCTTCAAACATTAAGAGGTGCATTGGTTCGTGATGCTCGAGTCTGGTCTCGGTATTGTGAGTACAATTTTTCCTGCCATCCACATCTCCCTTTTTATATCATTCAAGCGTGTTGATTTACGATATGCATTCTCCTTCCCTGTCATCTGAATACCTTTTTTATTAATGATTGTATCTAGTGGACGAAGCAATCGTGCTATTTGCCGATAAATCTGACGTTCTATTCGCGAGTCATCACTGGCCAACTTTCAAATCTGATGGAGGCAATGAAATCATCGAGTTTTTATCCGGACAACGAGATCTTTACGCCTATCTTCACAATGAAACTCTCCGTCAAATTAACAATGGTCAAGTAGGCATAGAAATAGCAGAAACATTCCAAATGCCTTCTTCTCTAGAATCAATCTGGAGCACAAAAGGTTATTATGGTTCCATCAGTCACAATGTCAAAGCCATTTATGATCGCTATATGGGCTGGTTCGACGGTAATCCGGCTCATTTATGGGAACATCCACCTGTCGCTATCGCAAAACGCTATGTATTTTGCATGGGAGGCATAGAGAATGTAATTAAACTAGCCCGAGAAAATTACATTAACGTCTCCTCACCCGATTACCGATTTGCCGCAACCCTCCTATCCCACGCCGTCTTCAGCGATCAAAGCAATCTCGAAGCCAAAACTGAACTCGCAAATGTCTTTACAAAACTCGGATATGGATCCGAAAATGCCACATGGCGTAATTTTTATCTCTGCGGTGCAAAAGAATTACTAGGTCCCATTCAACCAGCCATGAATGCTATGAATACTGCTTCTTGGATGGCACTCTCCATCGAACAATTATTAGACTCGATGGCTATCCGCATCAATGGACCTCTCGCTATAGCGAATAATACCAAATCCTTCAAAATTGAAGTCATGCTCTCTGATGTACCAATGAGCGATGCACGTACTAATACTGATACATCAGGCTGGCATATCAATTTTAGTAATGCAGTTATGACGGATCATGAGATTACGTATTCTGATACGGTGAATACGGATGTGGATTTTACGGTATGGGTTACTCATCAACAGTTTGTGGATTTGGTGATTGGTAACCGGGTGGATTTTGAGGGGTTGAAGACAGAGGGGGATGAGGAGGTTTGGGGTTTGTTGTTTGGGTTGTTGGATATGGGGAAGCCAGGGTTTGCGATTGTGACGCCGGAGGCGTAGATGGAGGTGGAGTTTTTGGCTGGAGTTGATGAAGGGGTGGTGATAGGGGTAGCGAATAGGTTTGACTTGGCTACCCTATTTTCTACTTTCTACTTTCTACTTTCTACTTATCTATCTATTTCTTTCCACTTTCCTCTCAAAAAATCAAACATATCAAAACCATATATATATAAAAATTACCGTCTCATTACCAAATATTAACTCAACACTTCATCTCCATCTCACAAACAACATCTCTATAACCTTACTACATCTCTGTACCCTTACTACAACCCTCCAATCAATTTTTAAAACCAATTTTTAACTAGTATCTTCTTACTTTTATCAACTAACAAACCATACTATATATTACATCATCTCCATCCCACATCCCCATTCCCCGTACATCCCCATTCCCCGTACATCCCAACTCCAAATCCCAATCTTCACCCCAATCATTTTCAGACCCCCAAAACAATCCCCCAATCCCAACTCTACTTCACCCTACCCTACTCTGCCCCCACGGCAGTGGCGCCCGGAGGGCCAGCGGAGCGTCATTTTTGTATCTACAGGGTATTATTTCCCTCTTTACAATTTTCTCAATTCTTTTAATTTTTAGAGATTTAAAGATTCATTAATTTAAGGATTTAAGGATTTAAAGATATAAAGATATAAAGATATAAAGATATAAAGATATAAAGATATAAAGATATAAAGATATAAAGATATAAAGATTTAGATAGATATTCGCTCGGTTATTGTGGGGGAGGAGGGTGAGGGGTGTTTTTGTATGTGTTTTGTATGGGGTTTGGAAGTATGTAGGTAAAGAAGGGAAGGAAGGGAAGGGAAGGGAGTGGATGAGGGAAGAAATAGGGGAAGAAGGAGAAGAAATAAGAATGAAGAGAGAGAGAGAGGGGAAGGGGAATGAGGGGAGAAGGAGATGGAGATTGAGATATCAGGATAATGCACGTGTCTGGTGTAGATGTGGATTTTATCTATTGTGTGGGATCTAAAAAACAAAAAGAACCTTTCATCATCCGTCGGTCAATCCATCCATTCATGCATTTATTCATTCATGCATGCGTCCATCATTCATAGTAAAAAATATATAAAAAATTGACGCCATTTCTGCATTTATCTAGGTATTCATTTCCTCTTAATTCGCTTGTAATCAATCAATCAATCAATCAAATCATTCATCCATCCATTCATGCTTAAGGCGCAAAGTCGTTACTTTTGTTACCCTTATTCAACCTCCTCGCTTCTCCATTCTATCCATCACTCCATCTAAAGTATTGTACCAAAGCTATTATATCATCATTAGCATATATCCAACCACAAGAACCCAACAAGAAAATCAAAACTTACCCAAAAGTCTGTTTAATACTCCTAACATAATATTCACTCCAATTTCTCTTAGTAACTTCCTCCTGACCAACCGGAACACCAGACCAAGAAACTCTCATAACCGTAACATTATCAACATCATTTTGATCAAAGTTAATTTCCAATCTTGAAAAATGTCCTGCTGGCCATTGATCAAGTCTCCAACTTTGTACAATTTTTGTTGGTTCGACCAATTCAAGGTATTCACCAGAAACATTTCCTCCGAAAAGTTCAAATTTTCCTCCTTTCTTTGCACCTTCAAATAATTTTGGTGCGGCCCGTGTAAATGCGGAAATTCGAGCTGGATCGGTAAATGTTTGATAAAGTTCTGAAGCTGGAGCTCTAAATTCTTCATTATCGGTGACGGTAACGGTATTAACTAAAGATGAACCTTTGTTGGTGGTGGTGCTTGTGCTTGTAGATTGAATTGAAGCATTGTGAGGATATGTCTTTGCGGCTGTAATCTTGGATGATGGATTTGCATCTGGTGCATGTTGAATATCCTTTCCATGTTCCGAAATGAGGGCAGGTCCTAACTGTGCGAATTGTTTGCGAAGTTGAGGAACGATTTTTGCACGAACAAGATCCTTAACAGGTGCTTTGGAGTTGGCATCGGAGTAGATATCAATGTCGAACTAAAACTCATATTAGATATTTCACTCAAGTATTCATTTATGGAATGAACAAAACATACAACATATTCATTTTCTTCGGTATCATGAGCAACTTCAGGAACTGTGATGGTACCACTAACGGATTCATCATCTTTGGTTTTGCCTAGTCCAATTAGACATAAATTCATAATATTGACTATAACTACAGGGCATACCTGAATACTCAATAACGAGCTTGACATCAAATATGGTAATAACCTTTCCCTTTCGTTGATTTACATCAACATCTCCATCCATACTGATCAATTTATCCAATTGAGCAGTAACACCATCCTCCTCAGCCTTGATTTCCTTTATATTATCCTCCACCCATTGTTTTGCCCATGTAGAAGCATCTTTGTTAACCCAATGCCAATTGTTTGGATTGTGAAGAACCATATTGATTGAAGTTTTAAGAAGTTGGAAATCTGTCAAATTGAATGTTAGTAACATGCATAGAAATGAACGTGACAAAATTTCAAAGTGTAGAAAGGTTTAATTGTTCAGAAGGAGGCTCGAAAGCCATAGCATTGTCTTCAAAGATATGAGTACAAATCGACTCAGACTGGTGCCAGCTTGTGTCTCATCATAAAATGGTAGAGGAGGGGATTTGGATGAGATTTCTGCACGTACCTTTGTGTTGTAGAAGAATGAATAGAAATTTAGATAATTATTAAGAAAGTTAACACAATTAATTGAAGTTACAAAGTTGATGTTGATGTGTTTCTGTATTGTTTGTTGTATTGAAGAAAGAAAGAAAAGGGTTTAAGAAGTGGTAGAAGAGAAGATGGATGTGATGCGTTGAAAGTAAAAAGTAAGAAATTAATTTGAAGAAAACAAAAGAATGAGTTGGAACTTTCTGAAGAGAATAGAGCTTCGAGGATAAGTGGGGCTGAGTTCAAATATGGTGTAGTGTGAAAATGATTGATGCCTTAATTTGGAGGATGCAGTTCTAAGGCATCTTTGTTTCTTGATATTAGCGTTAAAGATTCCATTGCAATCGTTCTTCACCCAACACTCATGATCCCCCAATAATCAAAGCGCACACGCCAGGAGAAGAAGTCAGCTAAACACCAAGACCAGTTCCATAACCGCACTGATTGGATTTCAATGAACCCTAGATAGCTATATCGCCTGAATGTCAAGCTACAAAGCTGCTACAAAGTTATATGAACTTGCCACCAGAACCAAGCCTTCCGTTCTAACCGGAGCGAACTTGTTGGCGTGAGTTTCCTTCCATCGGATGGTTGGCGGCTTCTATCTCTATCAAAGCCGGCGCTTTACACACTGGTTTCCTCTTGAAGAATACAAGCTTCGTAAGCTTCAAACAAGTCGACTTCGCGATAACCCTCTATCTCAAGCAACGGACGATCACAGCTCTTATGTCTTTCTTAGTTTTACTATTCCGCGTCCAACATATATATGCACATGTAAGATTTCCTACTCAAAATCATACCTATCAATCACACTCCCCTTTCCGAAGCGATAAAGCTTTTCCGGCAGGGTAAACACCAATCCTCACGAGGTTTCACATTCCGGATTGATATTGTGGCTGCGAACGCCATTTTCATCTCTCCCTGTCAATTCCAGCCACTCGAAGATCTTTTTGAACTTTTCATCAATGCACGATAAGTATGGATTTCCGAATCTGATCATCGAGATTTAACTTTTATAGATCTGCACTAGCTTGGATCGAGCTTTTCAGTAGGTACCTAGGTAGATAGAGTATGAGACTGCCGCATTAGAGTTTGGATGCCAAAGCAAACACTAACTCCTCAAGCTTCATGTTCTGCTGATCAATAAAACGTAGACTTTTATCTAACTTCCAAACTCTCATTCGTATATCAATTCCGGTAGCAGCTGTGTTCAGGAAGACTACCTCAAGTTGAAGATATAGAGATAGAGATAGATATAGATATAGAGATAGATATAGATATAGATATAGATATAGATATAGATATAGATATAGATATAGATATAGATATAGATATAGATAGATAGCCTATCAATCTACATGCAACTATCCGACTGATGTTCCGTTTGCATATCTTGGTCCTCCTCCAAAGTTACACATTTTGTTCCAATTCAAGTCTCCCAAGACTCCAAGGTTTCGCAGGTAACCGGTCGTTGCCACTAAGAAGCTGAGAAGCTGAGAAACTAAGAATGTGACTATGTGACCCCGTTGCTTGGGCTTAAGCACTTCCACCCCTTCCACCATCATCTTCACATATGACGTAGTTGGACGGACCCCGAAACCCAAAAAAAGGATTATCTTCTCATTTCTCTTCTTCCTTTTCCTTTTTATATCGACACAAAATATCCATTTTTGGAATTTATATCGTTACCATTAAAGGTTCAATCATTCTCACTAATCAATCAACATAATCCTTTGTTTTGTTATTCATTCTTCACTGATACCTTTCAAGGAAAAGATTAATCCACACTCGAAATAGGACACTCGAAATAGAACACTCGAAATAGAACACTCAAAACTACAACTACTCCATCTATCTACCTTCTTAATTCCCAACTAAAGAACTCCATACAATTACTTCAAAATGACGGTCATATGGGGTTTAGATCTCAAGGAGATGCAATGGGGCAAATTCAAAGGGGCTTACATGTTTAATCAAATCTATCATCTTCGAAAAACAAAGATGATTGTCTATCAAATCGCCATGATCTTCTGCGTTTGTTCCGAATCTGTAGGAACAGCTGCGTTAAGTGGTAAGAACCTTTCCTGTCGAAACTTACCATCAATCATTGAGAGTACAAGACTAATCCTTATTCTATCCAGATTATGTGGATCAACGAGATGGTATAAAATCACGATATGGTTATCATACTTCAGTTAGAGATATTGTCGGAATTTTCTCATTCAATATATTTGTCGGCATAGCAGTTGCAACCATCTTTGGTTCTGGATTCTTTTTCGATCTTTTCTGGCCTCAACGTTATGAAACTCCTGCTGTGAAGATGGCGTGGAAGATTTGTTCGGTTTTGATGTGTATCTTCACTTTAGCAGATGCTATTGCTCTTACCGTAAGTATACTATCATCCGATCTACCGCTGCTGAGTCTTTAATTCTTCATACAGGTCATTGTAGCTACACAAAGAGCAACGATTGATGGATTAACAAACTCAGAAGCACAAAGATATTTTGATTTAAATGGTCCACCAAATCCTATCTATCGTAAAAATGCATATTGCATTGCTTCTACTGTACTTTTATGGCTTGGTATGCTAGGTACATTCGCTAGGTTAGTTTTCCCTTCTGTCTGTCATGAAATCACTAGCTAACTCTTATGTAGTACGTATATCATGTGGAAATCACTCGCTCATGACAAGAAATTCGCTACACCTTTCGCAGCTGGTAAAGGACCTGCCGATGATCCATGGGATAAATCCAATCGACCAGTAACTGAATCAGAAAAAGCACAACCATCTACCGAAACCCCAGTTCAAGTTCATAATAATGATCTAGAACAAGGTAGAGGTATTGTTCATGAAGGACCTACAGTGTCAGAAACAAACCCAGTTGCCAACTAACCAACGCTTCGCCTTGCCGTCATAACCTCTACAGAGACTCTTTTCAAGCTCGGGTGTAGCTGCTCAATCATTGTTAGCCGATCAAAATATTCGAAATGTCAAGTGCGCCAGGAAGTGCGAGAAACCTTCGACGAGACAAAATCCTTCAAACACATGCGTAATTATCCTGGGGGAGAAACTACGTCCCTACGAAATTAGTCCTACTGAGGAGAAATTACTTCCTCGCGACCTTGCAAATTGCAACAGCCATTCCGCAATTTAATTCGACTACAAACATAACCAAAAAAACAATGCAATATCGATGGTTCAGTGGAGAGGTAGATAAAAAGAAAGAAAGCGATGGCTCACCATCACCACGAACAAAACCAGCTACAGCACATGAAAACTTATTCATTCTGAACATGGAATGACGGAGTATGGTATATAAAGACAAATCAAAAAGTTGGAAATTTTGAAAAAGAATAAAAAAAAATTAAAGGGAGATGGAATGGGATGGGGTGTTGGAGTATTTGGGTATACGGTGACTTTTGTACGGAATTTGGAAATGAGATGGGATATGAAAGGAAACGGGGTACAGAACGAAGGGGAAGGGAAGGGAAACATAGATACCAGGAAAAAATGGAAATGGAAATGGAAATGGAAATGGTGTTGTGGTTATGAGAATTATGAGGGGTATGATGGTTATGGGGCTTATAAGGTGTATAGATAGATACCTTACTCACCAGTTTACTTAGTTTACTTAGTTACCTTAATTAACATGGATAGTTAATAATGAAGTGGATTATAATTTCTTCACTTGTCAATATACGAGTATCAACCTACTAATTTTACACCTTATCCTACCCTACTCTTCTCTTCTCTTCTCTTCTCTACTACCATCAATATGCTATACTATACTATACTATACTATACTATACTATACTAAACTATCCTATCCTATCCTATCCTATCCTATCCCATCAACGATACCTCTCCTCTCCTCTTTATAACATAGTATAACATAGTATAGCATAGCATTCCCTCCCTCCAGACACACATTTCCATCTCTATATTTCCATCTCTATCTCTTCTTTATACTTCTAGTGTTCCATTCCATATAATCTTACAAACATCATACTTTACATCTCAGTCTAATTTCATCTCACACAGACATACATACATACATACATACATACATACATACATACATACATACATACATACATACATACATACATACTCACATCCTCATTCCCCATCCACATCCCATCCTCACATCCCATCATCTCATCCCATCATCTCATCCCATCCCATCCCATCCAAACCCACAACTTTAATTATAATTTATAAAATTGTATTTATATTTATATTTGCATTATCTTGCATTATTTTGTATTTGTATTTGTATCGTATCATTTTGCAATGTTCTGTATAGTGTGTATAGTTTTGTGTACTAATCTCAAAATATCTACTTCCCCTCCCTCCTTTCCTTCCTTCCCCTCCTTTCTTTCCCTTCCCCTTTTCTCCACTTTCTCCCATTCTCTCCACCAACTAGCGAACATATTATAGAGCTAATCAACGCTAATCAACGCTAACCAATGCAGGCAAAAGTAACCTAAGCAGACGCTCATTTTCTTCTGTTCTTCTACCATTGGGAGGAAGTATTCGCCCCAGCTCCAGCTCCAACTCCAGTCAAGTCAACCCAAGCCAGGACCAGCACGTTAGTTACAACAAGTGTTACCACATAATCGAATAAATGCTCCTCCATACCTAACTAACTATAATTCTGCACCTTTCTCTCCCAGAAAGTTCATCTTTTGGCAAAGATACCTAGGTAGTGAAGAATTCCTGTAAGCCCCATCAATCCTATCAGAATCAAATAGTCTTATTCTGTATCGGTAGGTACTCATAGGCAAAACTCTTAATCCCATCCATCCACCCACTCATATATCTCCATCTCCCATCTCCCATCCCCACTACTTCCCAATTCCATCTTCCCACCATCCTTGAACTTCCAACCCTACAATCTATCCTTTGCCACCTCACCCCCTTCCTCTCCACGCCCAAAGAAGGAATGAAAACCCTGCCAGACAACCAGTTCAAGCCAGCTGAAGCCAAGCTTATACCATACTATACTATACTATACGTATACGCATGGAAGATTACCTCGAAGAACTAAGATTGCAAAAAAGAACAAAGAAGCATATCGTGTATGTCAAGTCAAAGCAGAGAAAAAAAATGAGACGAGACGAGACGACACACGAAAAAGAAGACGCCCTGTGAGAAGAAAATCGACTAACTCCCAGTAGGTAATGAAAAAGAGAAACAAGAAATTCCTCGCTATGCATTCAAAAATGAATAATAGACCATATTAAACTCCCATTGTCTCTTCTCCTCCAAAACGCCCCATAAATCCGTCAAATTAAGGATTTAATCCTCAAAGACATATACTGTAAGAGAATATAGAGCAAAAGATAACTGCCAAATAAAAAAGGGTATACCCCATCCCCTTTCCCATTCCCATAGCCATAGCCATTTTCCCGATGAGTCTGAGTTTTATGAAAAGACTATTTCTATTTCATACATTCTCGGGAATTAAATTTCATTAGACGTTTAAAATTTCATACATTCGTTTATGCATTTGCATTATCACCAACTTCAACGATTCTTTCGGTTTCTTCTATGCTTGGTAATAAAATACGATGACCACGTTCGGATTTTGGAACACCATCTCTAGATGCACCGAAATCAAGAACCTGGAGTAATCATTAGAAAAAAAGACAAGTTTAATATGCAAATGTTATGACTAACCTCGACAAATGTGAAATTATCACGTTGAACAGCTGCAACACATCTTCGTTCATCGAATTTGACTTGCCAAACGCCACTTAAATCACCCAAAAGGTCCTTGATGCATTCACCAGTTTTAACATCCCACATCTTCAAAGTACGATCTGATCCAGAGATAACTTTTTGTCCATCATGTTGAAAACAAGTAATGGCACCTGTATGTGCACTCAATGTACTCTTGCAAACACCACTTTCTGGATCCCAAATTCGTAACGTTGAATCTGCTGCTGCTGAGACAAGACGTTCATCACGTAAATCTAAAAGGCCAACAAGTGATGTATGACCTTCAAGTGTGAATAAACAGGACCCAGTCTCAAGTGACCAAACCTTAACATATGTATCCATGGAACCACTGATACATCTGTTACGATTATGATCCAAAACAACGCTATATACCTTTGCGGTATGTCCTTGTAGACGATGTGAGACTTCACCGGTTGAGATCTTCCATACTCTCACAGTACAGTCGTAACTACCACTTACTAAAGTATCTTGATGTGCAGCGATAGCACGAACAGAATGAGTATGACCAGCTAATACTCGAACAAAGTAAGGGCAATCAGCATCATTAGTTGGTGGTCCTGTTTGGATGTATCGCTTATCTCCTTGAGCTGGTAGCTTCCATACGCGTAGTTGAGAGTCACGAGAACCGGTAATAATAAGGGGTTGCTCGGGAATCATGATAGGTTGACCAGTTGCTGTTTTTCCAGCTTCTGATGGCATAAGAATTTGTAAACATCGTACAGTTGATGTATGACCATGAAAAACTTGAGTGCAAAGACCCTTTTCAATATCCCATACCCTTACTGAACGGTCAGTGGATCCAGAAACAAGAACATTTCCTTCATATTGTAAAGCCCAAACACCTCCATCATGTCCCTGAAGCTTTTTGCGTAGAGCTCCAGTTTTCGTATCGTAGACATGAATACATGTATCATCACTACCTGTTAAAATTTTCTCATCATCAAATTGAAGGCATGTAATTACATGTGACGGATGAGCTTTGAATGCCATATGATGAGGTTCAACGGCACGATTCGTCCAGCTATGACGAAGAAAATAGTGACGACGATACAAAGATTTGAAGAGATGAAGTTTTCGTAACCCTGGAAGACCTAATTCAGGATTTGGTACCGCTAAAGCAGCAGCACAAGCAGCGCCTAACGGGCCTTCAGATTTGTGGTATTTGGATACTTCATCTAATTTTTTAGTTGAAACGTCGTTACCTATTGCTCTTCTCTTTGCGCGTTCCGATCCCAAATTCCCTGTGGTCCTCTTTCTTTTAGTGGTAGCTCGAGATCTTCTAGTTGTATCAACCTTGCTACCACTACTAGGTGTACAGACTTCTCCATTAACTGATTTGTCTTTAATGCTCAAATCCTTTTCATAACCATCTGGTCCGTAAGGATCTTGCCATGCCCATCCTTGACGTATTGCTCGCTCGAGTTCTTCGGGTTGGAGCACGAAACCATCACGATCAAAGAGTTCTTTCCATCCTGTTTCATTCGAGTCTATGACATTTCTCCATCGTTTGGAAACTTGAGCCGCTCGGCAAAGGTCTTTGTGGTCCAGATAACTTAGAATATGTAGGCTCAGTTCAGTGGGAAGCTCGTCGAGGAAATCACACATCAAAGCAGGATTGACAAACCCTGCAACAGCCCGAAGAGTCTTCTTTGAGCACCTCCGACTAAGCTGATACATCATAAGAGTCTTTAACTCACTTGGCATCGCATCGAAAGTATCTAGCATAGAGCCAATCTCCATAACGGTTGAAATTTGTGAGTGTAATCCTGTAGATGTGATACGTCGGTCTCGAGCTGTATCTTTCTCGGATACCTGAAGAGCGTACTCGTCTAATATCTCCTGACTATCACCATTATCACCACTGTCATCATTGTCATCATTGTCGAATGTTGGGGAAGTAGCAGCGGGCGAAAGGCCAGGGCTAGGAAGGCTTGCATTTTGAGCAGCTGCAGTATTCAAATGTGGACGCTGTCCTTGCGCGAAATTTATACCTAGACTAGACTCCTCAAGGTCGGATTCTGCAATTGGGGGGGTAGCAACTGCTCTATTGAATGTTTCGTCATTTGCGATTTCTTGACTTTCCAGGCTGTCGAATGAGTCGTTTTGACTTAACCTGGATTGAGGGGTGTATACACTGGTTTGAAACCGAGGAGGTAGTGTTTGAGCGACATCTCCTGAGGATAAATCTACTTCTGACATATCGGGTGTAGCTGGCAAATCGGTTAGGTGCATACCGAGACCAAGGTTCCGGCGTCGAGTCTCATTGTGGGCAGTCGAACCAGCACCTCTGGCTTCATTCTTGAAAACTTCTTGTGCCTGCGAGCTGCTAGGCCTTGAATTAATACTGGCGAGTAAAAAATCGGATATTCCTTTCGATTTCAAAGATTTCTTCAAATTGCTAGTTTCTGCATCGGACCTGACAATTCGATCTGTTCTGTCCGACCCATCTCTGAACTGCCCACGATTCTCACTCGTTTGATGACGCCGATGAAAGTTACGGAGAGGCTGCATTTGTAAATTCTAGAAAAATTCCATGATTAGTACCGCAAAGTCCAAAGAAAATGTATGAGAAAATTAAAATCCGAACCTCGTGCATGATATTTTGTAAATCATTTTCCTCATACTCCATTTGTTGTCCGTCAAGTTCATATGAAAACTTGGTAAGTTCGGGAGGCGTTGGCTTAAACGCTAAAGGATATTCCTTCGCATCTAGGCTATCAACTGATCGGGGGTTTTGAAAGAGTAATGAAGGATAAGATCGTTTGGTCGTAGTGGTGGTAGTAACAATTTTCGTTTCTATAACATCTTCCAACTCCACTTGTAACCTCGATGTATGTCCACCTTCATCATCTCCATCTTCCCATCCTAAAGAAACCGTCTGACTTGGGTGTCGAGTCTCAACACTATGTTTCACCAATTTCGAATTCGAAATGAAGGGACTCGGGGAAGCTTCCGATGTAAATTTTTGAGGTCCGGGCATTTGCGTAGTTTGGGAAGGATTTCGATGTTTACTTTGAGGTCTATGAGGAGAATCCATTTCGAAAGAGGTTGACTATGTGTTTGACTCGTAGCCGTGGGTAGGTAATTTCGAGACCTTTGAGGAAGAGTTCTAGCCTGCCCTCTCTTTAAGCCGAACCGTACGCGTTCCTGCCACGAGGTTGCCCACGCGCGAGTAGTTCGCAACCTTGAAAGAACCCCTATTATCCTATGATGCCAACGATAACATAGCCAGATCCCTTGACGTTTGAGAGGGTTATCGTGGTGGTGGTGGTGGGGGTGTATTTTTGGGTTTGGAATCGACACGGATGACAGACAACCTGCAGAATATGAATCCGGAGGCAACGTGTAAGAAAAACTGTGGTGAGACAATATGGATCTGATGAGTGGAGACAATTATACTACTGCAGATAAAGGAAGGGAAGAGAATGTACAAGAGGGGAGGAATAGTTATCCTTTTTTTTTCTGCGGTGAGTAGTGGAAGTATGGTGAAGATTTATCTCAGCGCGTGTGGTAGTTGATCGGAAAGTGGAAGGTGGAGATCGGTTCTTGAGGTTTTGTTCGCCGGTCTGAGCTTTTTCGGTGTTTTGGGTCAGAACAGACCCATCGCCTTGTACCCGTACCTTGCTTATACCCAACCGTACAGTAATGTTATTCTACATAAGCAAGGCACGGGAAGGCGGAGTCGGCAGAATGGAACGTAAACATTACATTCTCACGCATATTTAGATTTGTAAGTATTTATATTTATACAAGACTATATATACTCATATATTTATACTCTTTACACAAGCCATACCTATATTATCAATTTCATCATGGATGTTTATTCAGGTGTCAAGATAAAAGTGGAGAATGAAATGTAATCTTATCTCGACATTTTTTTACATCTCACTCCACAGATACATTTATCATCGTCACCTCTTTTATACTCGGGTTTCCGCGGCCATCACGCTATGATGAGGAAGCAAACCTGTCTGATATCTTTTATATGTACCGGTATATCAGACTTCCTTTCATAAAACATTCCGTGACGGTTGGAGTTCTTCGAGATATTCATTCTTCCTTTGGTGGTATAGTAGAGAAAGGGGCGTCGTGAGTTGTCCTCCGTGTCGGGATGTACCTGACTCAAGTCTGACTTCTGGGGGTGTGAATGGCGAATTTTATCATCGCTTCCAATTTGAGATCTAAGTGTCCCAAACTCTACTAGGTAGACCTTACCAGATGTGCCGAGCCGTCGCAAGAGGAAATTATACGACAGTGACTATTCCGTACCTGGGTAGGTAAGCTTACAGTCACATAATCAGAGACATATTCTCGCCTCTAGGCAATGAGGTCTATCTTTTTTCTGCGTTTCAATATCTAGCAAAACATCGACCAAGATTTTTTATGGGAAACCGGGGTAAACAATTGATGTTGATCGTACTCTAAATAGCACTTCCATGAAGGATTTCATTTCCACGTGGTCGGCCTCCACGGCAGTGGCCCCCAGCGGGTAAGCGAAGCGTCATTTCAATGATCGACTAATTAGGTAGTTGTATCGTGGAGGGAACGGAGGTGGAGGTCTTTAACTTTTCAGGAGTATTGAATGGGAGGATGGTATTAAGATCCTTCAAAAGTAGTGGAGTTGGGAGGAAAACCAATAGATTCTGCAAGTGCTGGAATAAGAAATCGAAAAGATTCTGTAAGAATGAAGGAGTCTACTATAGACTGAACACCACCACACTCAAGGAAGATGATACGTGGATGGAGAGGTGTTCAGATAATCCATATGATGTCCCAATATCTGTTGAAGTCAGGGGAATCATGATTGTAGGTATCTTGCAGTGCTTTGGAGATGATAGTTTCCTCGAGAATGAATGGTAGGTATCTCCTTAAATGAGGCAAATATTCAATTGAAAAATGATTCGGAAGGGACACATGACCAAGTAGGAACATAGAGTTGTTAATGAGTCTTTAGTTTACATGGTGGGAGTTTGGAAGATTCTAGAGAACATCATCCATTAGAATGAGGAAATCTACTGGATCTTTCTTCTGTTTAGAGATTATAAACTCATCCTAAGGTGTCTAGGTAGGTAGGTACTAGGTCGACAACCTCTCAGTATCTACCTATCATCCGCTTTCTATAGAAGGTATGTTTGGTCACGCGTTCTAGAAGTGAGGTGAGGATGAAGAAAGAGGCAAGGTCGGGGCCTCACGCCTTTCTACGTACCTTCCTATATCTGCATACCTACCTACCTACCTACCTACCTGCCTGCCTACCTACCTACCCGTTTCCAACCCTCTTTTCCTTAGTCAGTCTCTCCGCCACACTAAACCCCACAAATCCTCACTTTCAATTAATTAATTCAACCTTCATCTTCATCTTGGTCTTCATCTTCACCCCATCTTCACCATCATCATCTCATCCTCATTGCCATTAAAACTTCAATCTAAACGTCATCTCAATTCATTTAGTTCTCTTTCTCATATTTCTTTCCACTATCAAGATCAGTTTATACTTATTCATTCTTCAATCTTCACCATTCCATATTCATTGTCTTGAATTGTGTGTCCCTGTTTTATTGAGAGGACTTTTCAGAATCAAAGTCTTCATTGGCACTTCAGATTTGACCGATCAGAAGTTGAATGATACCTCGGACTTCTCTTTAAATCCCACTCCATTGGTTTTTATTTCTCTGAATTCCATTAGTCTCTATGCTTCATCATGCCACCAAAACTACTTAAACGTCCTATTTCTGCTAAACAACAGACAAAGCCACAGCCAAAGACAAAGCAAAAGGGAAAAGGTAAAGTCCTGACTGTTTTGGAGGCTCCTAAGACAGCACAAGATCTTTTACTCAACCAAAAACAAAGTCTCGAGTTGGTTAAGATTGGTGTCAATGCTGCTGTATGTTCTATAGAACCCTTTTACTTTTGATTTTGCTAATCGATATATCGCAGATCAGCCATTTTGTCTTTTATCGACGGTTCTTTCCAAGCAATTGTTACAAAACCCGAATCTACAATGCATCTGACGCTAATCCTACATATGAAATTTTTATGAGCGGCACAAACATTCCCAAGAACCTCAACTTAATGGAAGCTGGCGATGATATCCTTTCTTTCAACACCATTGTGCGAGGATCGGGAAACCAGGGTGCCGAAAAACTACTTGATTGGCTTGTATTTCACCATGTTCGACTCCATGATTTGGCAACTGACTGATGGCAACTTAGGAATTCGGCGTTAGTAATGCTATAGATGATAAATGTCTGGCGAAACTCCAGCTTTCCGTTTATCGTGAAGAAGTTGTCCTAGAACAGCTTGTCGAGGCTTTCACTATAAACTTCACTTACAAAGATATTGGAAATAATACCCATGTTCAAATTTCTGCTTCAACGTCGAACGAGGCTGGACAGATCATCAACCTCGGAAAAGCACAAGAGGGCTTAAGGGAGCTGGTTAGACAAGTCATGAATTGTTCTCGAGATATTAAAGGCAAATCATGTAAGTTTACAGCCATCAATCAATTAATTTTTCATATTTGTTAAACGGGAATATAGCTGGTCGCAAAGTGAGTATGCAACTATTATACAATGACAATCCACGTCCCAAGAACGAATATCGTGGATTTCGTGCTGCATCATCATCACAGATTCTCCCTGATAATTGTGGGTTGTTCATAGGCGAAATGAACAATGGTTTTAACGGGTATGAAACTGCAGTTCAGCAATATGAAGGCAGGTACTAACTTGCGTAGACTCGAGCTCAAATACTACGATGCCCCAGCGATCGATAGTCATCTAAAAGCAAATTCTTCCCGTCGCGCCAAAGAGACCCCCGGTCGAAATCGTTTCGCCATGATCAGAAGCCCCAAACCTACAACGCCAGAAGCAATCATTGATGATAGTCAGTCTTCCTCGAGACACACCCAATTCTCACAGAGCCATGGCTCGCAGGAGAGCACTGTGAGGTGGATTAACCAGATTGTAAGTGATCAATAAACACACACAATGGTTCAGCCAGTTTGTATTTGCTGACATGGCCAAATGGAAGGGACGCACCAGAGGATCCGATGACATGGATACACAACTGCTTTCGAATCACGCGAGCCAGTCAACCACCTTTGGAAAGCATATAACGTTTCCTGAGCCAAAAGAGCTTGATTATATGGACATTGAGGAAGAAGAAGAAGAAGAAGGAGAAGCGGTGCGCTGTGAGTGTACCAACTACGATGATCGTGAAAATTTGGTATGTCATTCTCTCCATTGGTTTCGCACATCCTAAGAAGTGCAAAGATCCAGTGCGAAAAATGTAGAAATTTTTGTCACAGCCAGTGCTACGGTTATAGCAAAGGAAGTGTCGTTGCAAACTTCGAATGTTATGAATGTCTCTTGGCAGAATCGGAGCAGGATATCCTTTTCGAGAAAATGTACCCTCTTTGCACTCGCAGGCGCATGGTTTATTACCTCAAAAATAACGGCTTCAATGATATGGAAGGCCTTTGCCAGTACATGAGTAAGTTTACTCCAGCAAATGTCCGTATAGAATTAACCATCGTTCTAGATTTGAACTACAAAGAGACACACGCTTTAGTAGAGGCTTTGAAAACAGAAGGAATCATCAAGAAATGTAGCGATTATTCCAAAGAGCCATTCCAATTTTCCAATCTTAAGAGACTTCTGGGTGAATTGTTTGATCCCTCAAAGCATATCTCTCATACCAAGCTTGTGAGTACTTCATTAAGCTCCTCCGGGCTCTTGGGAAATTAATGGAAAGTTCTAACCCATCATAGTTTGTATCAGCAGCAGCATCGAAAGTCAACTTATCCCAAAAATCTCAAGACCAGGTCCAAGCCCAGCTTACGCCACTCGCTCGGCGTCTCGTACCATCTGATGGTCCAACTCGCGGCGGCTTGCGTAGTGAAGGAAGTAGTACTCAGACCCCGAGCTCATGGAGAAGCTTGCATAACGAGACCTTGCGCAGATCGCCACGAGTACCTGCTCAATCAACCCCTCAACAATCTAACAAACGTGCTGGTGACGAAATTTCCGAGAATGCAGCCAAGAAGAGACGTGCTGCTCTAGATGCAACTAGTCCTTTCAGCGTCAGATCAAATAGTTTGCATTAGTCACACCATAGTCTTCGAGAAGTTTGACAGAGAGATAAGTTCTATATTGGCTGGATTGTTTAATGATATGGTTCGGGAAGGTATATCTTTTATTGATTGATAGTTTTTGCTTAGCTTTAACGCTATTGCATGTAGATTAGCTTTTGATCTTCACAACATAAATAGCTTGGGTTGATGCTTGATCAATAAAATGTCATGGCATGTTTTCTTTCATCGACCTTCCTTGAAGTTTCACCAAAAAATAATAATGATGAAAAAATCAAATTATTTTTTTGGACTGACGTAGTACTTATGATTCTCTCTAATTTCATATCAAACATTTTGGCTAAACGTGGCTAAACGTGGGAAGGGTCGCACCGTGCTTTTTCGTCGTGGAGGCCATGTATCTGTAACTGTGTAACATATGATTATTGGATGTGGTGAAACGATTAGATGTTTTGAGTATTCGGCGAGGAGGATGAGATATGGCAATGTTTGTATGAAGTATGAAGTAGAAAGTATAGGTTGGATGAAACTATGGGATGGAGGACGAGAGAGGAAGAGGGGGTGAGATATGATAGATTTTAGGTTTTAGATTTTGGATCTTGGATTATAGATTTTGGATTTATAGATTTTTATGGTGGGTTGATATATAGAGGATAATTTTATGTATGTACTGTATTTGGGGATTTGGGGATTTTATTTTCGGCCGATATTATGACTATTACCTAGGTACTCGAGTAGTGAGTGGTATGTATGTAGTTTATAAGCTATCGTTTCCGGGTATTTCATTACGAAGATGCTAGGTATTGAGTAATTAATACGGAGTTATATATGTAATCAGCAAACATATAATCTTATCTAAATCCGCTACAAGCATTCATAGGTTTATAAATTCATCAATTCAGATCATACCATATCACATCATAACATCATCATCATAATCTCATCCATTCATCCATCCATTCATTCAAAACCCATACCCCGGTCCCTTCCCTCCCCTCCAGAAGCATTCTGTGATTCTACGCTCGACCCTTTGCCCACATCCATCTTCTTTCTATATTTTCTTTTTCCGGTTTGTGTTTTTTTTTGGGCGGCTTTTTAAGGAGGGGGCGTGGTTTAGGGTGTAGTTATAAGTTAGTGTGTAGGCCTGGGGTTTGTAGGGTAGGCTGGGTTTCTAGCTGAACCATCACTTGCTTGTAAGTCTTACGCTACGGGATCTGGGTACCTGAACCAGTGAAAGTTTGATTTAAACCGTTGGACTGGCCCGGAGAAGAGGGAAGAGGGGAGGAGGGTAGATCTTTTTTTTGCTTTTTTTTGTTTTTTTGGCTTCTTTTGCTTTTTATTTATCGATGATGGGCAACGAATGGATGGATGAGGAGGGAGACCGTAGATCCGGGGGTTTTCTTTTGGTTTTGATTGGTTTTGATTGGTTTTGATTGGTTTTGATTGGGCTCTCTTGGGGTTTAACAAAAATCTTTTGTTTTTTTGGAGATGGGAATCGGAAGATGGAAAAAGTATTCCCAATGAATGAATGAATGAATGGATAAATATTATTTCTTATATCAATCATATCGCGGACTCATGTAACCGCGAAAGAGGTTCGTGATGCGGAGTAGAGAGAGTTGTAAAGGATTTGAAAGAGAACCAAATCACAGGTAACCAACCTGATGGAGGAATGTATGAGCAGGACTTTTTTTAATTTCGGAAAGGTGTCTCGTTCAGGTGTATCACATGCTTGGTGTCTCTATCTATCTATCATTCTATCATATGGTTGGTGTAAAGATGTAGCGGGGAATGTTTTAATCTATGCTATGGGTTTGGGATGGAGATTGGAGATTGAAAGGTCCCGAGTTTTGTGTGTGCTCCCTGATTCACATGTGTATGCATGCGATGCACATGGCATGCCTATGGTATGAGGATGATTTTGGTATTTTGGTATTTTGGTATTTGGTGTTTGTTATTTGGATGGGTGGGCTTTGTAAAACTTTATATACCCGGCCGGCCTACACTTTTACGTCAAGGCTTTTGTGGTCTTTCGGAAAGTATGGTATATTATTGGGAGAAGTTTAACTGATTGATTGATTCTAGAATTTCTCGGACGACAATACGCATGAGTTAGACTGTTCGATAGTTTTGAGGTCTTAGAACTTAGATCGGATGGAAGATGGTTCGTTGATTTTCTAGTGTCTGATCGGTGGTGAAGGTCAAGGTCGTTTGTGGCACTGGCACCGATGAAGGGGTTTAGGAGCTGATTCGAGAAAATCTTATATGAAATAAGCCAATGCGTAATATTTAGTAGGACTTACAGATTCTCATTTTGCTATGTACTTCTGTCTTGCTCTCTGTAAGTTTGTATCAATTGAGTGGTATCTTTTGAGGTGTGAGCAGGTTTCATAAATTCTGATGGGATGGGATGAGATGAAATGGGATTGCCAAGTACCCCTTCATGAATCATGATCTTAACGAGATCTCATCTCAATACAATACCATGCTGTCACAGTACTACCTAAGCTTCAGCAGCCGCATCTTCTTCCTATTCCATATATGTAGTTTTCATCCGTGGTACCAGCTTATAAGCAATGTTTACGCATATATACTAAACCAATTCCGTGATTTAAAGCATCCGGGCCGGTAAACCCCTCATTTAGGGAATTCAAACACCTTGGAATTCTCATTAACCTCTACTCCATATTAAACTTTAAGCCCCCCGTCTTCCGTACGATGTCTTCAATTTTAAGCGATACACTAACTATCATGGGAAAGACAGCTAGTACTAGATGGTGTTTTTAATCATCAACCTGTGACAACCACTTACGATACCCTGATCTTTGAAGATAAATACCCTGGACCGAAAACCTTTTAAATGGTAGCAAATAATCCTAGTAATGCTTCTAAATTGTTGCGCAGGATCTATTTCCCATTTGATCAAGGATGGGGCATCCTTGAGATTGCCATTATTTGACACGACCAATTCATCCTACCACTCCGTAAGTAAAACTAAGTTGCAACCATCTTCCCGGATACTCAATTTCCTGTTATGAAATAATATGAATTATTCGAATTTACTAGGAATCTTTTCTTTTTCTTTTGTTATCTATTTTGCTTTCTTGACTTGACTACTTGACGTACACTATCTATCAAAACATACCCTCTTTTTCAACGACTTTATGATAACAAATAGCGAGGACTTTGCATTGTCAGGCCTGTCGCAGCTATAGAGAGATAGATATATATACATACATATACATATATATATATATATATATAAATTTATAACCATTCTGGAATCCAACCACGTTCAGCGGTATTCATTACCCCTCCTAGTTAATTCACCATCTAAAGACAGGATGCTCGTTGAGGGACGGTAATGGTGGTTCGATTCATAATAGTACAGCGTTGTATACCCCAGATATAGCTACATCTAGCTTTGGACCTTGGAGGGAGAAGGCACATTGAGGTTGGCCATATCATTTACGAATACTTCCACTCCTACCAGATCTCAACACATTCCTTGGAGCTTCATCAAGATGGGACGAACTTCGAAATTCTCATTTCCCATTCCTGGGCGCAAGGGTACTTCGAATAAGGAAAAATCATATCAAGTACCTCCACCTATGTCAAAACTATCTTCAGGAAACTTGTCAAAAGCGGAACAAATTTTGGGAACTGGTACTGCGGAACCTGGAGATTGAAAAGACCGGATCTAGGTCTAGCCGAATGAGCATTACTATTTCAGAAACTACACATTCGGCGAGATCAATGAATGATGGCGGTAATTATGATGAGTGGGATGGAGAATCCGGTGTTTTCCCTAGACAGACGGGCCTTAGAGGAAGGGCTTCATCTAATGCATTAGGTCAAAGTTTTGGAGAAGATATGGCTACGGAAACTTCTAGTATAACACATCGATTGAGGAATGAGGATTCTACATCTACTTTGAAATCATATTATGATCGTCAAAAGTTACCGGCTTCAATATCACAACAAACTTCTGCATCTTCTGCACGAGACCTAGCTCTTCGAAAAGGACTTACGCCAGTTGTCAATAGGAGTCCACTTTTACAAGTCGATTCGACAGATCCTTGGGATCAATCCAGTCACAATTTCTCGAGTATGAATGATAATCATTTAGGGTCGCCAGAGCGTAAGAAGTCTGTGAGGCAGGGTTTGTCCTCGTTATTTCATAGGTCAGAAAGACGTCCATCGGCAGTATCACAGAATACCTTTGATTATTCCAAACAAAGTGGCTCAATTCGGAATAGGCTTGCCAAGGCGGCTTCCAGAGAGTCATTACAATCACAAAAGCCGAGCATCTCATCCACAAAGTCCAGAGACCAAAGAGACCAGGTGCAAGTTCAGCCTAGCTTGAACGATTCATATGATTACTATGAACAAGCAACTCGGAATGCTCAGATGAAACCAATACCAGAATCAAACATTCCGGAACATTTCAATTTATTTCCCAGCACGTCAGAAAAGGGTAATGGCCGGCAGCCAGGATCACTCAATTCGGAGAAACGAGAAGGACCTCGGAGACTAGAAGATCTGCATTCTAGCTCGGGAGAAAAGGATACATTTTCGTGGAAGAATGTACGTTCGAATACCAATGGAAATTTTCGCAACAGTGTGATTTCTCAGAGTACAGGTCATTCTAGCCTGGGTATATCCAGTACCGGGAGTATATCCAGTCGTAACACCAAAACATCAAGACAAACCGGAGGAAGTGTATTTTCAAACGCAGATTTACTCCAAAGTAGTGTACTGTCATTATCGTCCGATTCGGAAGAGGATTTTTCGGATGCCGAGCCATCGAAATCTCGTGATAACATATCTATTGGTAAACCTCCTTCACAGGCTGAAAGTGAAGTCATTCCTCCTGCACTTCAAAACCGCTTGAGTATAACGAAAAATCCTGCAAGGAAACAATCGGCTTTGAAGAACTCATCATCCACCAAGAAGGGAGCTGCACAACCAAGTGCATTTTTAACAATTCCGGAGTCAAATGGAGGATTATCTCAATGGCCAATGCCACCAACAACTCCGACGACACCAACGATTACGAGACTAGATTCTCTAAAGTCCCAAGACTCTCGACCAACCTCATCTCAGAGGAATGTTTCCATCTCGTCCAAAAAGTCCATACAGCAGCAACCGACACCACCGCTGTCTCCGCGAGAAATCGATACCGAAACTGATTCCGTTCGCACAACAACTAGCGGTCGTATGATGCAAGTTACGAAGCAAGAAGAAGCACTACTGGAAGCACTACGTCAAAAAAGAGCACGTATGCGCGAGAAAATTATTAAGGAACATGAAGCTGAAGGTGGTGTTGGTAAATTACCACCGAAATTTGTAGACTACAGGAATTCTTCAAGGTTTTCGAAATCTTCCTCTACGAGTACGATTAGACCGGGTACGGAACGTGTACCTTTGTATCTTGATGCACCTATTGTGAAGGAGAGAAATTTGGGATATGGAAATGGATACCAAAATGGAAATGGAAATGGAAATGGATATGGAAATGGAAATGGAATGGGAATGAAATATGGACAACCGAGTCCGGATTTAAGTGACTTTTTGAGTATGGGAAATGAAGATTTTGAAGAGGATGAAGACACACCAACGAATAGTCGAGACGTTTCGAGGAATGAAGTGAGGAGTAATACTAGTGGAAGTGCAATTGAGATAGCAATTGGAATTGAAGTTCCCCAACCAAAGAGACCGGGTACTCCACCGCAAAATGATCCGAGATTTGCCTCTTCTGGAGTGGAGGAAAGGAGGATGGGTGCTCGTAAGGAGAGAATTCCTAGTGTAGCGGAAGCGAAATTTCTAGAGGAAGAGGAGGAGGAGGTGGGATTTTGGGGATTGTAAAAGTCTTGATTTGGGAAGGGTGGGTGGGTGGTGTTTTGTGTTGTATTGTGTTGTGTTGGTGTGGTTGAGGGGGGGGAGGGAGGTTTAATGTATATTTTTATGAAGAGATATCTTGCAGCGTCTTTTTTTGGGGTGGGATGTATGTTTTAAATACCTAGGAGGATTAGAGAAAATGGTTGGCTGGGCGGACCTCTCCCTCTCTCTCTCTGTGTGTGTGTGTGTGTGTTTTCTTATTTTCTTTCACGATTTTAAGTCTTACTTTGAATTGAATTGAATGAATGATCTATGGGTTTCGTTTGAGGTTTGAGGTTTGAGGTTTGATAGATCATTTTGCTTTGCTTATACCCCTTTTACTCTTATTTTATTTAATTTATTTATTTATTTTTCTTGCGGAGAGAAAGCGGAAGTGGGAGGGAAGGGAAAAGTGAGGGATGATGGGGTTTATGGGGTTTAGTATAGTATTGGGGTGGTGGTGGTGGTGGTGGTGGTGGTCAGGCACATGGAGAGGAGAGGGAGGAGGAGAGGGAGAGGGAGGGAGAGGGAGAGGAGAGGGAGGGAGGGAGAGGAGAGAGAGGAAGATGATTTGATAGGTAACGATAGAAGAGATAGATAGGATGGATAGATAGATAGATGTTATTATGATTAATTGGTTTGTTTGATGAATGGAAAAATAGATAGATGGGATGAATGGAAAAATAGATATGTGGGGCATTAAGAGATGGATATAGAGATGAAGATGTATGATCTCGATTATGGATACTATATATATATATATATCAAAATCATTATCATTATTAAACCATTATTATATGAATATCAATATGAATATTAGATCTGGAAAATAGAATGTCGGATGTCGGATGTCGGATGTCGGATGTCGGACGTCGGATGTTGAATATTCACTCTTATTAAATATATTGTTAATGAGGTGAGGTGGGGTGAGGTGAGGTGAGTGACAAGGCAGGTAATTAGGTAATAGCTATATAATATTGTAAGATCTTATGTATTATTTATGTATTATTTATTATAAGTGTACGGAGTACAGCGTATGCGTGATGATGCTGTATGTAATACCTAGGTTCAAATGAATGAATGAATCGTGCTAATGCAGTAGCGAACCAGTTTACGTTGCGGAAAAACAAAATACATAGTCACAAGGAGAGCTTATGTACCTACCTAGGTAAACTATTCATCCTGTCCGTTCACTAGTTCACCAGTTCACCCCGGATTTCTCTCCAGCTCATGCGCATCGCTTATATTAAGGTTACCGCAATCTAGTCTCCTGTTTTTGAGGATGGGCGAGGTTTTTATGTTTGATGTTTGATGTTGATGGAGGTTGGAGGTTGGAGGTTGGAGGTTGGAGGTTGGAGGTTGGAGGTTGGAGGTTGGAAGTCGAAATGTATAGAGTAGAATGGTGGAAGCTTTGTTTTGATGGATTGTTCTGCGGTTGAATTGGGAAATATTTATCGTTATTGGACACGTTAGCAGGGTAGAAAGTAGAATGTTGAATTGTAAGACTTATTACCTGCACATTTGGTGGTGGGTTTGTAGCAGAGCTTCTAAATTTGATTGTGATTGGTTGATATGTACAACCAAGTTTTGGGCATCTAGAAGCAAGCAAGCAAGTACGCCAAACCAATGAACATGAATACCTAGAACATTAGATCGTCACTTTTTCCCAGAAGCCCAAAAATCCTTCCTCTCCTTTACAGTATTCATCTCACCGTTTGCCTTGCACACAAAGGCTTTTGCTTGTTTTTATGATCAGTAATTTTACTTTTTTACGACTTTGTTCTAGAGATAAGCTTACTGACTGAGGTTTGAGAGGAGGTTCTTCCCCACTGGTTTGGCACAAAGATAGAGAGGAAGAGGGTAAATTTGAGCGCCATGGCGATAGAAGACGCGTCGCAGAGTTGGATGGGGACGTCATTGAAGCATGTTTCTCTTATTACTGTGAGGATATACTTCTGTGGATGTCTGTCTTCAACTGATGCTAATATTTTCTCAGCTTACTTTCCAAAACTCAGCCCTCATACTCGTATGTTGACATCATCCAGACGCTTCCACTTTCTCCTCGACAAGAAATTTTGGCACAGAGAGATAGCTAATATGGATGTAGTTAATGCATTATAGTAGGATAGTGCCATTAGCGGGTGGGCATAGATATTTTACCTCGACAGCGGTTTTCCTCAATGAGATCATGAAGTTGGCTGTTTCCTTGACGATTGCTATGTACGATATTTCACGAACGTTACCCCCATCTACGCCCGCGACGGTCCTTTTTGAACAATTGTATATGTCGGTATTTTCTGGGGATGGTTGGAAATTAGCTATCCCAGCTACTTTGTACACTCTGCAGAATTCGTTACAGTATACTGCTGTGAGCAATCTTGAAGCTGTACATTTCCAAATTTTGTATCAATTGAAAGTTAGTTCTGCCTATTGTATGTGCAAGATGTTCATTTACTGATTTGACCAAATAGATTCTCACAACGGCAATTTTCAGTGTGGTTTTACTAGGAAGGGCGCTGTCTTCTAAAAGATGGATAGCTCTCGTTTTACTCACAATTGGAGTTACGATTGTCCAACTACCGACCAGCGGCCCGTCTGCATATTCCACTCTTAACGGTTCACAATCACGATTTTACTTTCCACGATCCTTTCACGAATTGGGACAAATGGGTAATGGTGCGGTGGAAGTAGCAGCCGAATTAACGAAACGTGGTATGGAGGGGTTATCCGAAGGTCTCACGAAGAGATCTGCTACATATGAGGGTATACAAGAGGACCAAGGACTAGTCAGACCGATTATGAACTATCCCATTGGTCTTATGGCTGTTTTGGCTGCGGCTGTGATATCAGGTCTTACGGGAGTATATTTCGAAAAGGTGTTGAAGGAATCTACGACTCATGTTACGATTTGGACGAGAAATGTGCAGCTCTCTTTCTATTCTCTCTTCCCGTCTTTGATATTCGGAGTGATGTTCAAAGATGGGGAACAAATTGCCGAGAACGGCTTCTTTGCTGGGTATAATGCGGTGGTGTGGACTGCTATTGTTATGCAAGCCCTGGGTGGGATCCTCGTTGCACTTTGCATAAATTACAGCGATAATATCGCAAAGAACTTTGCTACAAGTATTAGTATTATTATTAGTTTCATTTTCAGCGTTTGGTTCTTTGATTTTAATGTTTCTCTCAATGTAAGTCCTTGGGGAAATTTCTTTTGGATATTATAAATACTCACATAATTATAGTTCATTTTCGGTACATCGATAGTTTTCTTTGCAACATGGCTATACAGTGGTCCGGAAAGAAAACGAAATAGACCTCCACCAATCAATATTGCGAGTTATGAAAAGACGACCATTGATAATGGTTTTACGCCAAAGCATGAAGAGGATAGGTCGAGTTTGACGTTGGATCCATTGAGTGGGTTGAAAGGTCCAGGGGCGGGGGCATCTTTGTCGACTAGTAGGCCTAGTTCGCCTATGAGACATCATTCGAGGGTGGGAAGTTTGAGAGGAAAGGTTAAGAGGGATGATTGATCGTTTGGGCGATTGGGTACGATGGGGTGTGGCTGGACTGGGGGTTGAAATGGGTGGTGCGTGGGTGCGATTGAGACTTTTGAGGCATTCTTCAGCTATTTCGTCATTTCAAGTTTCTTGAGCGTATTGATGCTGGTTTTTGTACAGTTGGCAATTCGACGGCTTCGCTTGGGAATTGGGTTCTGATGGCGGGGTAAAATACCGAGACGAGTAAATGATATCAAGATGGGAAAATACAACACGGGTGCATACACATAGGATACCTACTGGACAGCGATGAATTATATAAATGATTATGGCAAGTCAGTCTTAGTGATTGATCTGCATGAAATGGCAATGGAGATGTGGAAAAAGGGATAGACGACACGTGAGATTTGACACGTGATAGACACGAGAGGTAGATTTCTGAATACTATCTATTCCCAAGTTTCATACATTCTATGATAATTTTCGTTGACTCTTTGAGTAAAGAATATCAATGCAGTTGTAAGTGAGGATTGAAGTGAAGTGAAGTGAAAGATGAAAGAGGAAATGACGCTAAATTTGAGGAGGGCCTCAACATCCATGGTTGCCTGCTCTCAACACATTTTACAACATCGTTCACAATCCCCATGACATTCATTTCCAGTACATATGGATAGATATTTGATATTTTTCCTTTCTTTACCTTCGTTTTATCTATCTATTGTCAACTCCCGGAAAAGTCTCAAAGATCACCTTCAAGCAATCAGGAGGAAGTCTTGCTCCAAGCCAAGTGGATGTCATCATGGAAAAAGTTTGGGATCCTCATCTTCAGAGAATGATGGATAATACAAGTGGTGATGCAGCTGATAGTGAAAATAATCATGAAGATGGTAGAAATCAATCATTTTCTACAAACTTCTTTGCAAGTAAAGACTCTCAACCGCTACCTCCAGAAGCAGGATTCAGCTTTGGTCCATCTCCGATGCGGAGTAGACAGAATCTATCTGGTTTAGTACATGGCCAGGATAACAGTGCGCGGGGTCCACACGACAACGTTAAGTTTGATCGTTCATCTGGATATTTGATGGCTCCAAGTTTCGAACCACCTGCTTCTACTGGTTTCACTTTTGGTCCGGCACCAAGGCAGTTTGGACAGAAGATGACTCCTCCTATTCAGAATACAAATGTGCCAGCTCCATTTAACATTCCAAGACATGATTCACTTCCGGGTTACTTGAGTCGGCCTCCGTTCGAGCCATCCCAATCTATGCAAACACTCCACTCATATCCTACCAATAGCAATGGTAGCAGCCAAGGCCGCTTATCTCTTCCTAGCTTCTCTTCTCATATGCAAGCAGACTCGAACTCCTCTCGTGAAGGAAAGGATTCTAGAGTATTGACGAGTGGAGATAATTACTTCAAACAGCAGATATTGCAGGATATTGAATTGAAAACCAAACCCAGAAATAGCCAAACATATCCTTCAAAATCCGGCACTGGTCAAACATCGAGTCCTCTCACACAGCTTGCCAATAATATGATTTCGCAGACGTCCATGCCGTTGCAGAGGCCTGTTGGACCTAGTCCTCCAGGACAGAACATTTTTCACATGCAGGCAGTAAGGCCTCAACAATCTCAGTTTCATAATCAACATTTTACTCCACCATTTTCTCGAGCAATGAATTTGGGTATGATCCAATTATTCCTCTTCTTTGATACATGAACTATGTAAGCTAACCATTTTAGATTCATTCTCACGTAATCCTCTTGAACGCCCGAATGTGTCTACAAACTCTTCTCCTCAAGATCTGTCGAGTCCTAGTGCTAGAGTTAGCTCACGTCGAAACTCAAATCGTCGGTTACCTTCAACAAATACACGAGAAGTACAACAGGGCTTTGGACAGATTACCCCACATACACCTCAACATCAGATCTCATCCAGTGACAGATATGCTCTATCTTCAAGAGCTTCTCAAGTACAAGGCGTAAACCGCAGCGCGGAGCACTCCGGTTTCTCTCCTGGGCAGCAAACCTCTTCTGGTAGTGCTGGAAAACTCAGAAATGATCGGCAGACTATTGCCTTTGGGAATGCACCACCAGTGGCACATGGGATCCAGCTTGTTTCTCCCCATGAACTCCCTGATCGGTTTAGACAGGTCTTCCCATATGAACTTTTCAATGCTGTACAGTCGAAGTGTTTCGCACCGATTTACAAGACCAATAATAATATCGTTGTGTCAGCCCCAACTGGAAGTGGCAAGACTGCTCTCATGGAACTAGCTATCTGCAAACTGGTTGAAAGCTATGGTTCTGGGCAATTCAAGATTGTTTATCAAGCACCCATCAAATCTCTTTGTTCAGAACGTATGAAGGATTGGACTAAGAAGTTTAGTCATTTGAATTTACCTGTTGCGGAACTTACTGGTGATACGAGGTTAGTAAATTGATTCTCCCAGATGCATTCTTTTTGGTACAATCATCACCTAATGTCATGTCTTTCCCCCTCCCCCTGCTCCATTTTCCGTCAACTTGAATTCAACCGTGTATCCTGAGAGTTTAATTTCCTGGAGAGTCAATTACTAACCTACCACCTTTAGCAATGCTGAAATGAGCCGAGTAGGCAGTGCATCAATTATCATTACCACGCCCGAAAAATGGGACAGCATTACTAGGAAGTGGACAGATTATCAAAAGCTATTACAATTGGTGAAGTTGTTTTTGATAGATGAGGTTCATATTCTTAAGGATGCGAGAGGAGCTACTCTTGAGGCTGTGGTCTCTCGGATGCATTCAATTGGAGCCAATGTCCGGTTTGTGGCTTTGAGTGCCACTGTTCCAAATTCGTACGTAATTGTGCTCTGTGACACTCATTAGATACTAACATATTTACTTCAGGCATGATATTGCCACTTGGCTCGGGAGAGACTCATGTAGTCGTCAATTGCCCGCTCATCGAGAAACTTTTAGTGAAGAATTTCGACCTGTCAAGCTACAAAAGCATGTTCATGGGTACGAGAGTCGTGCAAATGATTTTGCTTTCGAAAAGATTCTTGATGGCAAAATTCCTGCTTTGATTCAGAAGTACTCATGCAAGAAGCCTATTATGGTTTTCTGTTTTACAAGGAAATCGTGTGAGGGTACTGCGGCTATTCTTGCAGAACATTGGACTAGACAGAGAGATGTTGACCGTGCTTGGCCAGCTCCAAACAATCGAACAGTAGTAGGAAATAAAGATCTACAAGAATTGGTGGGATGTGGCGTCGCTTATCATCATGCAGGTCTTGATTCTCAAGATAGATCTGCTATTGAAACAGCATATCTGAAGGGAGATATCAGTGTAATTTGTTGCACCTCGACGCTTGCGGTTGGAGTCAATCTACCCTGTCAGCTCGTGGTTCTAAAGGGTACAGTCTGCTTTCAAGATAGTGGTCTTGTTGAGTATTCCGACCTTGAGGTTATGCAAATGCTAGGACGTGGAGGAAGACCTCAATTCGATGACAGTGCCACCGCAATCATCATGACGCGAGCAGACAACGCCGATCGGTATAAGAAGATGATCTCGGGTCAGGATGTTTTGGAGAGCACATTACATTTGAATCTCATTGAGCATCTGAACTCAGAAATCGGACTACGTACCATCAAGACCGCCTACGAAGCCAAAGTATGGTTAGGAGGAACTTTCTTGAGTGTTAGGATGAGACAGAATCCTAATTATTATAAGTTTTCTGGGATAGCTCCTAGCAGGGATGCTGATGAGCAGCTCGAGTTGGTCTGCGAGAGAGACATTAAGCTTCTTCAAGATTATAAACTCGTCACAAAGGAGGAAATTTTTTCCTGTACAGAATATGGTGCTGCTATGAGCCGATATATGGTTCAATTTGAGACGATGAAGTTACTCTTGAGTATTCCTCGTCATTCAAAGACAGAACAGATCTTGAGTGCCATATGTCAAGCAGCCGAATTTAAGGATCTTCGAATGAAACCAAATGAGCGATCCAGTCTTCGGGAATTCAACAAATCACCTATGATAAAGTTTCCCATCAAGGACAACATATCAACAACAGCGCATAAAATCTTTCTCATGATTCAAGTTCAGCTAGGTGGGATTGAATCTTTGGCGAATAATGACTTTCGCATCATCAGTCGGCAATTTAATATGGAGACTAATATTATACTGGATCGAGTTCAACGTTTGATTAGATGTGTTATTGATTGTAAGGCGTTTGATTGCGATTCAATCTCTACACGTTTTGCCCTTGATCTTTCTAGGAGTGTCGCGGCTGGCTTTTGGGAGCACTCATCTTTACAATTGAGACAAGTTCCACAAATTGGACCAGCATCATTGCGAAAGTTGGCTGGCAATAATGTCAATTCGGTGGAAAAACTTGCTGGACTTGATACAGCAGGAATTGAGAGAGTCATGAGCAAGAACCCTCCATTTGGGAAGAAAATGAAGGACAATTTGATGGACTTTCCTCGATTGACTCTCACAGCCCAGATTTTAGGGAGAGCCCTTTCGAAAGCAGGGGGGCAGCCGAAGGTTAAAGTCAATGCCGTTCTTGGATATGCGAATGACAAAGTACCAAACTGGTTGAACAGGATACCATCCTTGACATTTATAACAGAAATATCGAGTGGAACCTTGGTACACTTCTGGCGTGGAAATATCAAACGATTGTTGAATGGCAATACACAACAATTCACTGTCGAGCTATCATCACCAGACGATGAGATCAAATGTTGGCTCGCATGCGATGAGATTGTTGGTACTCTGCAATCTTGCGTTTTAAATCACGATATTCCTGCGGCTGAATTCCCTCCTCCAAAAGCTGTGGTAGAAGAGCAACCCATCATCAATAACTCAAGAATGGAGCAATTGGCTACATCTGACGAATTTGACGATGGGATTGACGATGATGCTATGCTCGCAGCAGCTGAGCAAGTTGAGGGTGGACGTCGAGTCTCTAGTGATTATGGATCTGATGCCTTTATTGACATCGATACAATCGATTTAGTCAGTTCTGACAATAACAAGAGATCAAGAGAAGAGGTCGATCAGGTAGAACCAGTTAAGATGGATAATGGAAAGTGGGCATGTAATCATCATTGCCGTGACGGGAATACATTGAAGAACGGCCTACTTTGCAAGCATAGGTGTTGTAGAGAGGGGCTTGATAAACCTAGGAAAGTTACCAGGAAGAAGTCCACGACCAGCAGTACCGAAGATCAAGGTTTGAAATCTGGTAATAAGATCAAAGGAGCTGTGACCAAGCCTATGAACACTCAATCATCTGGTAGTAGCAAGCAACTCCCGAAATTGGCCAAGAAACCTCGAATTATGCCGTCAGGTGCTTCAGGTCCCGATCAATACGATGTTGAAATAATTGATCTTTCAGAGACCTTACCTCCAATAAAATATCCTGATGTGGCACCTAAAGATTATCAAAAATTACATAAATTGCATACAAGTATTCAAAAAGACATATCTGTTCGACTTCCGAAAAATCTACCAAAGTTCTCATATGCCAGTGGAGCGATGTCCAATCTTTCTTTCATGAGTAAAGGTGCCTCTACGTTCGAGAAGAAAAATGAATCAGATCTGTTTGATTCTGATGAGTACGAATTTCCTTCACCTTCTACTCTTTTAAAAGGTGATATGCATATGGATAAGAGTATCTCTATTCCAGCCACTCAGTTACCACCTCCAGCTATGGGTGTGTCTAGATATGAGAGAAAGGATCAACAGGATTCTTCAGAAGATCTATTTGATGATTCAACTGATAGTCTCGAAGCCGCAATGATAGGTCTAGACGATTCCATGAACCTTCGACCCGCTACACCCAAACTCAATACGAGCTTCGCCAATAATGTATTTGACTTTGCGGCATTTGATTCCGAGGAAGCGTATGCTCAACAATTCTCTAGTCCATTAATGAATCAGGTACAGAAAAGAAATACTCAGGAGGAAGAGGAGGTTGATAATGATGATATGGATATTGTCATGCAATCGACGAAGCGCCAGCAATCTAGTCCATGGATGAAAGGCTTTCACAGTGGGAATATGATGAGTTATGATCATGAAAACGGAGATAAGCATAGTTATGATGATAGTCCAGCTTTGCCACAGATGAAGAGAAGAAGAGTTGATGATGGAGATGATGAGAGTGGAGATGGTGGTGTCCAGAGCACAATGAAGAGTTTGGAGGACATGAAATCTACCAGTGGAAGTAGTGCTCCAGTATGGGGTAATGAGATGGAATCTGATATTATAGATGATGAGGAGAATGAAGGTAATAAGAAGAGAGAAAAGCAGAAGTTTGGTATAAAGGTCAATGATCGCCCTGAACCTGCTTGGGTCGGTGAGATGGATCCGGATTTTATCAGTATGTTTAGAGGATATGTTGATTTCATTGATTGATGGTTTGAGTTGTTATTGAGGATGAGGATGAGGATGAGCGAAAGTTTGTGGTGGGATGATGGAAGATATGAGATGAGTAGCTAGAAGGAAGATAAGAAAAGGTGAATAGCTAGATGGGTATATTTTGGGAGGAGTATATGGATGGAATTATGGCGGGATTATATGGCTGGGCGAATAACGAAGATGATCAAAGCTAACAAGCTTGCACGACATTTATGGAAACAATTTTGTACCACCATATTAATCAGAGAGATAGATAATTAGAGCTACATTGGCTGAAGACTTATTTTTAGCGTAATATATATTATTAGAACTTGCAGATATAATAAATTACTATTATTATCTTCATTATCAATTGATATATATCCAATATAAACCACAAATCACAAGCTACAAGTAAAAATAAAAACATAAATACTCTGTAAGACTAGGTAGGTAATGAAATCAAACTATAATACCCAACAAATCCCTCTCGGAGGAGGTTTCTTCGAATTGGAGGTATGATTTGGATTAGATTTATTAATATCCTTGTTATTTTTAAGCTCTGGATATTTAATAAAGCATTTTGCCTCCAAATGACCCTTTTTACAACAATGACTACAATAAGGGGTTTTATTTTTATTTTTAAAACTAGCCTTATTCGCGTTGAAATCTGTATTAGATTTCATTCTAGCCTCTTCAGATATTAATTCAGAAAATAAATTGTCTAGATTAATATCATTATTTTGATTATTAGCTAACTCTTTAGCTAATTCTTGGTATTTTCGAGAGGTAAAACCATCGAATGAACTAGGTAAACCTCTGAAAATAAACCAGACTATAAAAGCCTTCGGAATATCATATTTCATGGATTTAAGGTAATTATATGATGATTGAATAGAATTAATATAATCATCCATGCTTTCCGATTGGTTATAATTGGATTCTATCAGTTTATTCAGATATCTCCCCATTAGTTCTAATGAGGTTTCACCGAAAATCTTATTGATAGCTTCCCAAAGGGTTTTAGCCGTAGTTTTATCCTTGAATCTTTCGACTAATTCGAAGCTAATTATAGATTTAATAGCTCCTAAAGCTCTCTTTTCATTTCGAAGATATTCAGAGGCTTTTTCATTAAATCGAATAGCTAATTCAGGACTAAGAGGTTTTGCCTCCTCATTCATATATAATGATTTATTAGGAGGGGTTTCGGATCCATCAATATAAGGCATAAAACCATTAATTTTAAGGAATAGATTAACCTTATTTATTTATTCAATATAATTAGATCTCCCTTTTAAGGGTTCTCCTTTGAAGGTTACACCAGAGGCCATTTTTAAGCTCTTTTTGAATAAGCTATACGGACTTTTAATCTAGTATATGTATAATACTGAGTTTTTTGGTAAATTTCAGTATTATTTTGAATGGATTCAGATATCAATTCGAATAAAAATCCAATTTAGATGGTTTTGAAGATAATAAACCAGCCACCTCTTAAATTAGATCTTTATTTTAAACAATATAAAATAAAGCCTAAATAAGCTAGGGCACCTTAGTATGAAGAAAATTGATATATCGCCCGCTATGGGTAGCGTATCGCTTAAATATATCGTCTAGGGACCTAATTTTATTCACTCAATTAGGTTTAGCTTCAGGGACGCAGGCCTCAGGGTTTATTTTAATATGTATCGAATATAATTCAATATATTATTGATATTATATCGATTTGGTAAGATTCGACAGCTCAATAGCTTTATAATAAAGTCTTAAATCAAGCTAATACCCCTTTTTAAGCTAGTAGTAGACTAGCCGGGCTCATAACCTCTCGGAGGAGGTTAATCGATAATAAATAATAATTATTATAATAATAATATTATTTATATTAGTAGTGGAAGACTTAGTCGTATTTAAGCTCAATAGGGTAAAGTCGAATATAATCATAAATTGAAGTCAGAATAATAGAGTAGAGATTTTATTGCTTTTTCTGCCTTGTTATTTCAAAGGATTCTTTGAAGAAAACCTTTGTATTTATAATATTTAATAAGATTCTAGTATATTCTATGATTAATAATAAGATCAGTTTGAATCGAATCTTATAGAATCATTTTTATATAATAAAAGAAATAATAACTAATAATATTCAATTTGATGAATAAGAAATTCCATATGCTTCCATTTCATTCTATTTCCTTATAAATCAATCTGATATGAATTATAATCGAAATTTCATATGACAATAAAATTTAATATAATATATATGAAGATTATTAATATATCACGTCATCATCCGATCATTGGTTCGGCTAATCTTATTAAGTGATTTAATAACTTATTAGGAAATCTCACAATCCCAGTACCAAATTCCGGTATAGTATCAAATTCAATATTGAGTAAGTAATACCTTTACTACCTGAATCAAAAATAAATTCAAGTTGAACCAAACCAAACCAAACTAGATCGACCATATTGTAATAATGTACCTGGGTATACTAAGTCGATTATAAGATTATAAGATTATACAAGAGAATTAGATAAAAGGCCTTGGGGTAATTGGAAAATTTGCATTATTCAATCGTAATCATTCATATCCATATTCATATTCATATTTATATTCATATTCATATTCATACTAATACTAGCTACCTAGGTATCATAACCCATAACCCATAACAGATCACCGCATAACCCATCACCGCGGCGAACTAAAACTAAAAAGTCTTCTTCCGACCCCCTTTACTCCGTTTCCTTTACTCGTCATCCCAATTCCAGTTCCTGTTCCAGTCCCAATTCCAGTACCCCCAGGAGCATTCCCAAGCGTACCATTTAATCCCGCCCCGCCGTCCGGTAGATCGATTTGAATCGTTGATGTATTTTCATGAGCATGACTATGACCATGATCCGTCTCATCATCCATCCTACTTCCCTTTCTCATTCTCAATTCTCAATTCTCCACCCCACCGGTCTTTCTTTCTTTCTCTTTCCCTCCCTTTCCTGTCCATGCCATGCCATGCCCTCGGTCTCCCCAATTCCATTCCCCTCTCCCCTCATCCACCTCCTCCACCTCCAACTCATCCCCAAACCCCCTTCCCATCCCCATCCCTCCCTCTCCATCCCCACTACTCCCACTACCCTCCCTAACCGCCCTCTCCAACCTAACTCTCACCATTCTATCCCTCTCCAACCCCTGCCAAACCTCTATATCACTCCCCCAAAAAGTTCTCCTCACACTACTAACACCCATTTCGAGTAAGAAAACCGCCGCTAAAATAATAATAAGTGTACACCACCAAAGAGCATTTCTTCCAAAATGATATATGAATCCGTCGCGAACATTATAGGTTAGGGCTTTGGGACTGTAGAGAGAAGAGAGGAGGAGATTCCAGAGGAACCAACCTCCTATGCTGAGGATGAAACCGATGGCCGTTATGTAGGTTTTGGTGTGCATTTCGAGGATACTGGGGGTTGTGTTAGGTTTTTTGTGGGAGTAGAATTGGGATGGAATGATAGGGCGGGGGGTTTGGTAGTTTGTATTGAAGTTCAAAATGAAGAATAGTGATCATTGAACTCATTCAATGTATTGACACCTTGAGAACATCCAATCCACTCGGATCATCAATAAATGCTCAAAACCACACCAATTCAAACATTAAACCTCCATCTAGACCGCAATCCTAAAAATACAAACAAATTCCAAAAACAAAGTACTTACAGAAGTTTCGAAACAATAATCACCACGGCCGCCGTAAAACAAAGATCCCCCAAAGAATACAACGTATTATCATTCGTAAACCTTGATTCTCCAAAAAGACCATAAGCCAAAAACCAAATCATAATCATTTCACTCGCAGCCATGAAAGTCCAACCAAAATATTTCTTCAAATTAAATCCTTCATCACGTTGTCCATAAGTATACAATTCTGGAACAGCGAGAAGAGTTGTAGCCGAAAGATCTTGATCAAAGACCCCGAGAAAAATAACACAAAGAGATGTGAAAAGCGTATTAAAGACGGTAAGAGATGCTGATTCGAAAAGTGAAGTTCCGGAATATCCATTCCATTTTTGATAAACAGCTTGGATCATGTAGAAAAGAAATTCTTTCCAGAAAGTTCCGAGGATATATTTTCCTGTTCTAATGTAATTCCAATGACCGTGAACGAACAATAATCGCTGTAGAAACCGGAATTGAGCGATTGAGTAATCAGATATCCGAGCTGCTTGAAGACCTTCTTTTCCACTAATACCAATTCCCACATGAGCTTCTTGAATCATGGCAATATCATTTGCACCATCACCAATAGCCAAGGTAATAGATTTATTAACCTTTGTTCGAATCTTCTTCACCAGAGATGCTTTTTGACTAGGACTTGCTCGACAACAAATAACTGAATCGGCTTGAACAACAAGATCGAAAAATAACAGAGATAGTGTTTGATTTGCATCGATTTCCGAAAGGGTTTGTCCATCCACGACAATAACCGAGTGGGCGACATTTCCGTTATTGATATCAACCAATGTAGTAGCCATACATTGCTCAACCTTACCTGTAGTCCAATCCAAGATAATGATCTCCGAGTAACTTTTAGCAATCCTAGCAGAATGCGCAATATTAATAGCCGTCTCCCTCTTATCACCAGTGAGCATCCAAATCTTAATATTTGCTCTCCTCAACTTATCCACTGTTTCCGGTACACCATTTTGAAGTTTATCTTCTATTGCTGTAGCACCTGAAAGATCAAAGTCTTGTTCTATCATCTCCCCTGCATTCTCAATCATGCTTTGACGATCTATTAGACTCGTTGTGGCGTCCAAATATATCTTCTTCCATGCGGTATATTCTTGTTCTTCCAAGAATCTATAACCAAACAACAGAGTTCGAAGTCCTTCACCAGCAAAATCATTAGTATGTTGAAAACAACGCTCAAATACAGCAGCATCATCCAAAACCAATGACTCATCGACAAATTCATCAAAATGTGTAGTTTGCATAGAAGTCCTTAAATCTGATGAAGCGAAAGAAAATCGACCCATAGCCATAGAAGTCCGTGGAGTTCTATAAGCATTAGCCGCTCCATCCAAATCTGGCATTTCAACATCACTTTCCCTTTCTCGCAACCAAGAATCAAGTTCATCTCGTATAGGTTGTAATCTTGTACTTGCCATACTCGGTCTCCCACCACCAATACTTTTCCGATTACGACTCATACTTGATCGTGGAAGATTCATACTAGGTCGACTAAAACTGGTTCTGGGACTACTTTCGCTCATCCTTCGTAGTACCTCTTCAGCCTCTAAACTCTTCCTTGTACTTGCTCGCCTCTGAACTTCCGATACTTTTTGCATAGCCAGTGGAGCAAGTTTCAAGCGTGGAAGAATAGAAGAATCTGCACCTTTACAGAAAATGCAAATCTTTCCATTGGGAAATCGGACGATAATTGACATTCGCTTTCGCTTGCTTGAAAATTCAATTACATCAAGAACTTCATAAGTCTCCGTGGTATCCTCTGATTCACCCGTAACAGTTAAGGTGATAGAACGTGCAGGTCTATCAATGACCAGATATCCAAGTTCTTGAGCAGCTTGTACCAAAGCCAGCTCATCCGGAGAGGCAGCTTGAAATTCGATATCTCCATTTTCTCGAACTTCCGGAAGACATGTATGACAAAGTGCAATGGATAAAAGGAAGAATTTAGCCTTCCTAGTAAATATGCTATGAGGTTTACTCTGCATATAGCGAATCATTTCTTCGGTCCGAAATTCGGGTTGAATGCGATTAGGTTGTGCTGATGATCTCCACAGAGAACCAGATCTCCTAGGAATATCGGTAGTTGGACTTGTTAATTCATCATCCTCCGGACGAGGTTTATGTACTCGTTTCTTGGAAAAGCGTCTAGCGATTCCTTTGCCCTTATGTTTTGACTTTGATGTATCCTCCTTCTTTGCATCTAGGTTAAGCTTAGCCGCTTCTCGAACCAAGTCAAAGTCATGAAGCCAGGCATATCCAGCAACACTGAGCTTTCGAAAACGCATAACATTATCAGTCAATGTGCCCGTCTTGTCGGAAAATACATAACTAATCTGGCCCAAATTTTCAAGAATTGTAGATGTATTTGAAACCATTGGAGTGTCCGACACCGGATCATACATCTCAACATCATGCATGAGAAGTAATTGCCCGACCTTGATAATTTCCAAACTAACATAAAGCGAGAGTGGAATTAATGTATTAAAGAGAATGATAAAAGCAACGATGGAGTAGCTGAATTTAAAATGTGCTCCCTCTAAATACCATGAATTGCTCTCAACATTACCAGACCATATTTGGTAAGCTATGGTACAGAATAAAGCGAGGATAACGACGAATACAACGAGAATGATGACAATATTATTTGCAATCTTTTGCATCTCGGGTGCTTTAGTTCGAGGATTTTTATTGGCATTCATTCTGATTTTACACTCTTCACCAGTGTTAAGCACCATACCAATGGCATTAGATGTATTCCTCAGAACACTTCCTCGGAAAACAATCTCGTTGGTCGTGAGTGGTAGAGTTTCGCCTTCAACAGTGACTCTTCCGTCAAAATTATACAGATCCAAGTTAGGATCTTCAATAACAGCATGAGCACGACAATCAACCAGTTTTTCCACAGTTGAGCATTTTTCCACTAAAGAAATTGGTGGTGATTTTGTCTTCAAATTTGTCTCGCCATCCAGCGCCATGGTCTCGATGAATGCGATATTGTTTGGCCCATCCGCATGTAAAAGGAGAATATCCGCTGGTACCGCTTCATCCCGATGAAGTTTTATGATATCACCAACTTTGAGATTTTCCCACTTCAATGTTGCCCAATGCTTTGGCCCTGAAGCTGTCGCTTCGATATCAGTTTCATGTACCGTCTCAGGTGAATCGATACCTAAGCCCTTTTTGACCCTATTTGACCGCGTACCTTTAGCTCTAACATGGGACTTCTCATTGATATCAACAGGTGTGTATGCGTGTAAGACCAATGTCTGATTGTTGTTCTCGACCTGATCCAGCTTGTAGCGCCGAACATCATCATACCCCTCCTTCGCCATACTAATCATGACGAAAACTAGAAGCGGGGCAATCGTGGTATAACTTCCCGTAGGTGAAAGTCCAGGTACCATTTGAAGAATGGAAACAAGTAAGAAATATGCATTTGCCAGTTTTGAAAATTGAAAGAAAAGCTGCTTTGGTATGAAATTCCATATGGTATATCGACTAGAGCGAATGGCATTGCTGATATATGGCACTCCAGTTCTCTCATCAATTAGGGAGGCTCCCTGCTGGTGAGTAGCATCCAGTTCAATATGCCGTCCATCTTTGGAAGGAGGTATTTCCCTTTGCCTGAGAAGATCTTTTAATATCTTCTCCTTGTAAAACCATTGTGACTTTTTCTTCGCTTTTCGGATAATAGAATCATTCCCCTTCACCTTGCGCACAAAGCGATCATAATTGTGTAGTTCCCTCGTCCCAAAAGTCTTCTGATCACTGTGGTTAAATGTTCTATTCGACTCCGTAGATTGGATATTCTCATTCGGTGCCTCCTCAATTTGATCATGCACCGGGCATACCTCCACCGAACTCTGCGTCTTCTTCCCACCACTTTGCGGATGTTCTGTTTCCGCAAGCTCGATAGTCTCCTGCTCTGATTCACTACTCAATCCCCGCGCGAACAATGTCCGTCTCAACGAATACCCTCTGTTCCTTGACCTCGGCGAAATTGGCGAAATTCCTAGAACCCTCCTCCCTTGTCCTGATGTCGACGATGTACCATTTGCAGCTGTTTCCGCCGCCGCTATCCTCGTATCGATACTCAAAATCGGAGTCGCAGGTCTCAGAGCAGAAGATTCAGCAAAACCTCCTCGTTCTCGCTCTCGTTCTACATCCACCGAGAAGCGCACTCTATGATTCTCTTTATTTGTCGAAGGTGCGGGGTCCACTATCAGTGTCGCAGATGGTGGGGGATTTGAACAGGACGATGATGATGATGAAATATTGTCGCATGACGACGAACTCGTACTTCTGCGTACAATTTCACCGGTCATGGCTGCGATTCATCTGCCTCGTTCTTCATCGATATCAATACTGAAGGAGAACTCCTCAGCGCCTTTCGTTTTGGACTCCACCTCTCCAGCCACGAGTGATTGATAGGCAGAGGCTGACCTAAATCTAGCAAAAATAAAGGTATAAAGAATGAAACCAGAACGACAATCACCAAGAGCTTTTAAGAACTTGTGCGAAGCAATCTATGCGAATGAATGCGAAATAACCTTCAAAGTAGTGCGCAATAACCTTATGAACGAAAGTCAAAGACAAAATATAACAATCTGCCTTGCAAAAACAAATAACAATTTAATCGATGAGGAGAAAAATAGAATAATACCGAGAAATTATGTGTACATTGGTTGATGTTTCCAAATATCTGATGACCTTGGTAGTAAATAGGCAAAAGGGCAAAAGCGAAAGGTTGAACTTGGCCAATTCAATTCTCTCCCCCATTCTGGCCAGGCCGTTTCGTCATTGCTGACTGTAGATCTGTTTTGGGCATTCGTCGTTATCTTCCAGCATGCAGTCAATGTACGTGCCACTGCAGCTCAGCTAAAAACCATCACACAACACGAGCTGTTTTTAATATTTTATATAAAAACCCATGCATATCCTTCTCTCTACATATACACTCTCTATATACATTTACACATTATCTTTATCAAGTCACACACCGGTACTCTGGTGCGTACGGGTACCTATTCTTTGTTTTCCAGGTCAAAAATCCTATACCTTATCGCCTTTGATTTGTCAATCGGACTGTCCTTGGTATCTAGTTTTCACCCCTCGAATTCTATCCAACATGTGAATATCAGACATCGGTTGAGATTGATCTCCACAGATGTGATTTCATATATACTCGTAGAATATGGATATCTACATAGTCGACAGTTAACATAAAACTAACATCTCACATACATCACATCATGGCATACATCACAAACATCCGTGTAAGAGCACCATGAATACCTATTAGTTATATGCACATTTTCCCTACCTACTCAAGCTCAAGAAATAACGAAAACGGAGTGAACAATTTTACAAAATAGATTTCCACTATTAAGCCCACCATGATTCATCAATCCATTGCTTGCACATATTGCGCCAGCCAAGCAAAACCAAGCAAAATTTGTAGAACCCCCACCATGTTATTGTTTCCACATTCAATATCGCACGCTGTCCCCCCTAAGCTTTCCACCATCCGTTTATATCTTCAATCCAACTACCAGAAATCTCCATAGACAGGAGACCAATAAAAACAGTGAAATGAAGCTGATTAACAGACATCAAGTTCGAGAGAGAAGGGCGCAAGAGCAAAAGATATCAATGAGAAAACGATCGCTGTACCAGACAGGCATGATAGAATTGGGTAAAGTCGTCATGCAAGTCGTGGCGTAAAAACAGAAGGAAAATTTGGGAATATGAAATCAAGACTATGCTACAATGCCCAAAGCAAGTGCAAAGCCGAAAGAAGAATCGACATGAAATACCTAAAACGACAGCCGTTGACACCTCCCCCATTCCGTGCACAATGAAATTCAACCAACGCCACCCGCAATTTCCCCAACAATCTCTAAGCAAAAATGGTTCCTGAAATGGAGAAATTGACCATCTCAATTTCTGCCATCTCAAAATCGTTTCCAACCAAGGTCCGAGCAACCATTTCAGGCTCTCAGACAGTTCCAAAAGTATGTTCTATCTATTGAGGCATATGCTCAGGTGAAAGGCCGTCGTGATCAACCGGGAATTGAACAAGGTTGCTCATATCCATATCAGCCGCAGATTGTTCACCGAAAGCTGGGGAATGAGGGTGCATAGTGATATTAAGAGAGTGCTTTTGGTACATCTCATTGAGTCCGGTACCATCATCGGAGATAGCTGAATCATTATGCATACTGTAAACATCGGCGGAAGCGCTTCGGTGCATCATTGACATTGGTGGAGATTGGTCAACAATTGCTGGGTCACCGTGACTCATAAAGGATAGAGGAGAAACGGATGGAGCAAGCGAGGAAGGATCGGGCGACAGGTAAGGCATCGTGTATGCTGTAAAGTTTGATGCTGGCATCGACGAAGAGGTTGGCATTGGTCCTGTCATAGGGCCATTTTCATTTGCATGAGGAAAGAAACCAGGGCTGGCATAGTCAGACGGGGAAGTAGTCGTAGCTGCAGACATTGGGTACTGTCTGAAATCCATTCCATAACCCGACGATGTATCAATTCGTAGGTTAGGGCCAAGAGGTCCGAGGTTGTTTGGTTGCTGGGGAATGGGAGCGAAAATGTTGGGATTTCCATGCTGCTGTTGGTGCTGAGATTCACCAGGATGTTGAATGAGGAATGATGGCATTGGATGATTGAACATGGAGAAATCGACAGCCATTGGGACGGATCGACTTCTTTGTCTTCTGTGACCAGGTCCCCGCGCGCTTGGATGAACACCAATACCCCACTGAGATTCTTGAAACATACCGACGTGCGCTTGCGCATTAAAGTTTGGTTGGGACGATGGGCGGAGACCAGTCGGAGATACAGGTGCTGAGACAGACAATGGTTGGTGTGCGAATGGACTATCGCGCGCGATGAAAGACTCAAGGGAGACGAGCTTGGCTAATTGACCACTGAGAACCTTGGGATGACCGCCGAGATGATGAACCATAACTTGAGATGCTTGTTGATCTTCTGTAAAATCACCACACTGATAAAATCCACCAGATCCTGATGAGTCCATGAAGAAGTTTGGCGCACGAATGAGCTCAACAACTAGTCCCCCAGGTCGTGATTCGTTATCTCCATTTTCCAGGTAGATATTTTTGATTGACGAAAATGGGTATTCAATCTTGTAACCAGCTTGGTCGTTATTGATGTAGTAAGTCATGGTCGATTTATCCGGTGAGTAAAAAATGATTAAATCCATGGCATTTTGACCAATTCGTCTCCACGATCCAATACTAAGCGATCGACACGAAAGGTGGTGAATGACTATTTGACATCAGCATAAAATCATAACGTAGAAAGACTTGGAATGGTACTAACCAACTTTTCCTTGAGGACCGTGATCTCCCCCCATAAGCATATTACCGCTACCATAAGGCATGAGGCCACCTCTGCCCAAGAAGTTACCTCCTAACGACTTCCCTGATTCCATTTCTTGAATCGCAAGGTATTGGCGCATAGCTTCTGGAATTTCACAACTCTCTCCTGTCTCGATACTCTTCTTTGCCATGAGCTTTATCTTTGCACGTCTGCGAAATTAAATTAGACCCTGCGACGTGTACTTGATGAGATGAACTGACCTGTTTTGAAACCAAATTTGAACAGAGCGTTCAGTCATGTTGATGTCCTCCGCGATTCTCTCTCTAACGGTGGCTGTAGGTGTTGGGTTCTTATTGAATTCCATCTCTAAAGTAACCAATTGATCTTGAGTGGCCCGTTGTCTCTTTTGGTTCTTTTGTTGTTGAGTTAATGTGCTCTTGCGAGGAGGTCTGCGAGAAGCCGAGCTGCTGCCAGCCGAGTTCGACGCGGTAGGGGATGGTGTTGAGATCATCTTGAGGGCATCTTCTTGCGACATGTCCGACATCTTGAGTTCTTACGACCGCAGTCAATTACGTTCGTATGTTCCTAATACTTGTATCTTCCCCCAATGTGTTGTATGTAGTATGACAAGCGATTGTCCTTTGGTTGCACGAGTCTCAGTGATCGTCGAGATGTTATGTGCGTTGTGTGCACAGGTTGTTTGCCAGGGTCGAAACCTAGGTGAGAATAAATAGAAAGGGCTATGAGTAAATCCAAATGTTGATGCGATGGATATATTTCAAACAAATGCTTCGCTGAATCTTGCAGGAAAAATAGGAAGGTAGAGATCTTGGTATGTTTCTCGAAAGATTCGCGAATGAAGCGTTGTTGGTTATGGAGAAGGACTGACAAAAGGTCAAGTTGACTCTTTTATTTTCTAGAGATTGAATGTAAAGACTGATTTTTGATGAAGCCGTATAGAAGGAGTGTTGAGCCGTTAGTTAACGACTTTATTCTTTCTGTGCTGAATAATTGTGAATGTTAAATGTAAATTTGAATTTGAATTTGAATTTGAATACTGAGAATCCGAAGGAGTGTAATGGACCCGAAGAATCCGATTAAAGGAAAGACGAGAGGGAAAGGGGAGAAAAGGCACAAGGGGGAAGTTGGGATAGAAAAGGCGATGCGATGATGAAGTTGTTTAAGAGAAAGAAATTCCACGATGCTGCAGTAAGTAGGTAAGAAAGAGGGAAGGGAAGGGGGAAAAGGCGAGCGGATCAATGGGATGGGGGTGTGGGTATAGAGAGGAGTAAGTTTTAGCGTGTGTTAGACTTTAGTGCTTTAGTGTTAAAGAGTTAAAGAGTTAAAGACTAAAAAGTGTTAAAGTCATTCGGTTGCCAGTTTATTCCAATTATTATTATTATTATTAATATTAAGTCTGACCAGTAAAACTACACTAAAATAGAGCTGATCCTTGAAACCCGTCCAGTGCCAGTGCCAGTGTCCACCAATCCACAACAACTCAACTCACCAGTGAACTTCGGCAGCACGCCACAGTCAGGAAGAGAGTGAGAACTTACTTCAGCAGCAGAAGAGGTAGAACTTATAAGCATCGAGACAAAAGGAGACAATGAGTGACAAGCAGCTTAGTGACGATAGTAAGAGAGCCATGGCTGTAAGTGGTCTTGCTTTTGCGAGTTCATTCTTACATTCTTACCACCTATGTACTATGTAGCGTCTACCTACCTACCTACCCGTAAGAAAAGAAAAGGAGAAGAAAGAGTACGGATACGGAGCAAGAGAAAGTGTGAAATCCCTGGTCATGATTGGAAAGGATATATTCACGCACTACACTCTATCTACCTACCTACCGAGTACTGTACTTTCACTCTTTTCTCTTCCAGATCCTCATCTAAGATTACTTTCAAATCCGAACCTCTCTCTACCTCCAACCAAAAACTAATTCCTCCCTGAAAAGCACACCAACAACGCATACAATTGATTGCCAGTTCATACATCCACACATGTAGGTACCTCATGTAGTTCATTGGCACAGTGAATGGGTGGGGATGAGGGGGTTTCTCTCAAAAATAGCAATGCAGTAGTACTAAACTGATTATGGTACCTTTGACTCTGCCGTCCAATACCGTTTCTTAATTTCCATTTTATTTTTACGACCCATCCACGATTACCTAAATGAACTGGTGAGTTAATATACTCTATCCGACCATTTCCTGATAGAGTACAACCGGTGCCCGTTGCAAATACTGCCTTGACATCTTCTAAATTCTCACAATGTCGGGCATCAGACGTACACCGTAACTGTACTAGACGAGGTAAAATCTTCTTCTTTTAACCAGGATACTCATCACTCCGTAGACTCGATCCCTAGACTATTGTAGTATTCCTTCAGAAAATCATGCCCCCAAAGATACCTGTGCGTGGCCCAGCTGTTTAGTCACCCTACACCAACACTTACACCCATGCGAGCACAGCCTAGATTGGAAAAGATCCAAAAAGGGGGTAAAAGACCCATGTAGATTTTATTAGCACCATATGTGCGAGTACGCACATATGTGAACTTTTTGTCCTATGTAAGTTATTCTTGCAGGTGCATGGCATGCATGGCTACAAAAAAAATACGTGAAGAAGTGCAGCTGCACCATCATCAAGCATCCCATCCACACACCAATCGTGTATACAAAGTAGTGACTCTCGTCATCCTAGATTCTTCCGTCAAGCATGGGTGTATCCCTGAATTGTGTTGCAGATTCCGGACTTATCAGGACCAGCACGAATCCTCGTTGGTGACGGGCAGCGAATACAACCGCCGCATTTTCTGTTTTGAATTCTTTCTTCGGTCTTTGCACATACATTATGAATGTTACTGGATAGACGGTGAATGCCTTGGAAAGGAATCGGAGTTGGGCGTGTGAATAGAATAGTAGTGGAGTGGTGTCAATTGGAGGTCAAGTCGCACGATGCTCTTACCGTTCATTTTGAAGAGGACCCGTCTTCTGACTTCCTGGTACCGACCCTCTTCATCCGAGTCCATTCGCATCTCTTCCGTACCAATCATGATAATGCTGCACGTTACTCGATCACTTGGTAAAACCATAACAACACATAATCAAGCGACCGAGTCATGCAAGCTGTACAGACAGTACCGTATAACAAAGTACTCCGTACACTTCTTTTCTGACATTGGATATGAAGTGACAATTTATTTGACAATGTTGCAAGTACACAAAAGACTGTGAGAAAGTAAGCATTTTCTACGAGTAAGCCTACTTTACTGGTGCAGAGAGTATGGTGAAGAAAATTGTATTGTTCGAGCAAGACTTTAACTCTTTTTCTCTTCAACAATTCATTTGAAGCCATTCAAAGTCCCATCGCGAAAATCATCCCTGACGAAACATATCTATTCAGCCACGGTTTACCGCTCGAGGAAACCAATAAGAAGCGCGAATACCGAAAGTATAAAAAAAGGATGGGACGGAGAACATCCATGATGGCATTGGCATTAAGTCAAGTATTAAAGTTGATCTCAAGACAATTAGCCTTGAATTGATTGTTTGGCCGGTGACATATCTAGACCAGAGATAGGATAGTTTGTTGTTGTTCTAGTCGCGAGCCGCACCTAGATGGAAATAGCGTACGCTTCGTACTGCATTACCGGCAAACAAAAAGGGTGAAGCATGCAACTATTGTACCTGCGTCAGCTACTCGCTCGGCGATTGTGGGACTAACGTGTGGTTCATCTTTTTTGTGCGTGGTTATGCACAATGCCAAAAGTAGCTTAGTTGCTAGTCGTGTGGGATGTTCTAGTCAGGAACGCTGCCGACTTAAGGGGGAGTGGTAATAGGGATCGTATAAATCCACGAACCAATCCACTTCACAATCAATCGGGGTAGCCTTGTCTATTCGATTCGATGGCTCGTATCTTTGGGATTTTGGTATCTATCAAGAATTTTGAAAACCTCAGTTGAACAAAGCTAGAATTCAGTCAACCGTCAGCAACAAAACCAAAGTCCTCTCGTACCTAGGTACTGAAACAGAAGGATTAAAACCGAGCAGTAGACGAAGCCGTTTTACGATCGTAAAAATCCGTATGGCTCCATTTTGAAGACAGAAAAGATTCGACGCTAACCGTAGATGGATAAAGATGCTATCTCTACCCCCACCAAAAGGATGCATAAAGGGGTAAAAGGGCATTAGCGCATTTTTCGCGCGGAAAACTAGCCCAAAACATCAAACCGCATAGCATAAGCACATTGCACAATGCACAAGCATGGGATAAGCGGCTCACGTGTTCCATCCCATCTAGAAGTTTCTCCGATATCCTTGAGGATAAAGGTGTTAATCTTTTAATATCAGGGTTGATTTCTTGACAAGAAACAAGACATTGCGAATTGTACGGAGAAGAACCGAAGAAGCTGAGAAGATCGACCCTGTGATATTTCACGGGTCATTTCACAATGAGGTGATCGCGGCCATTTATCTCGCCGTAAACATCCTTGGTGCGCACGGGTATATCCTATGCAAGACATTGTGGTGGCTAATTTTTTACCTACGCCCCTCTCACCAGGAGTGCAAACCTTCCAAACAATTCAAACTATCCTTCGAATTATCAGCGTTTGTTGCAAAACTGGCTCAGATTCTCCCATCTTCTTTTTTCTCCCGAAATGTGTGTATCGAGAAATCGCAAATTCCATTCCATTTGAGTGCAGGAGTGTCTTTGGGACCCATAGTATTCCTTGGCTCAGCAGCTCATTGTTGAGCCAAAAATAACCACACAAACTATTCAACCCGTCATGAAATGTTATGTCATGTTCTTACTAGGATTCCCTATCTTTGCATGCCAAGTTCAGATGACAATCATTGCATGGTTTACCCTGCCCATGCTATGAAAGTTATGAGACTCTGTCCCCTCCCCACAAGATCTACGCCTCCACCTGGCTGTCTAATCGGAGTCGGATAAACTTCGAGAAGGACTCTTTGAGCCCCGGCCGTTACTATGATAACGGTTTTCGATGCGTACAGTCTAGCTTCCGATTTCTCGAGTATAGGAAACAAAGCGAGACGAACTCGCTGTTTTGAGTAAACCTTAAAACTCAACGTCGAAACGAGAAACTTCAAGGTTCTCGGATTGTCTCGACCTAGAAGACTGTGGGGCTATTTCCTGGCGGAAGCTCTGACGATGGAACATACACAAGGAGGCTCGGTGTGTTCCAGCTGTTTGGTAATAGTTACTGTTCAGAGTTGCTGCCAAGTACTACACGAAGTCTTAACCAGAAACAACATCTACGTTTGTATCCGACCGTACGTCATTTTAAAGATGCGTTCCGAGTTTGAGTTTCAGCGCACGCGTAGCCATTTATGACAAACAATAGTGGGGATGAGAAACGGCGAGCCACTACTCTATCAGACATATTTTCATGCTTTCAGCAACGACGCATCGTGAGTTGGTTTTTGCAATGGCCCGGCCGCGCTCTCCATACGACAGTTCTCAACGTTTGAAAATCTGACCTATGGATTTCCAGATGAGCCGAACCTTCTAAACAAATGCAGCTAAGAAATAGGCTGCATATACCAGTCTGGGTAAGTATGCTAAATACACATAAGATACGAGAAAGATTCGAATATCAGATTAAATTTCACAAAGGTCGCCAATGTTGGCCTGTGGTTGGAGACTTGGAACCCCGGCCCAGATGGTCTGAGAAGTAATACAGTGTTCCAATGCGAGACAACCACAAAGTCCCTTAGTGTATTGTGGTGTTGAGGAAAATAGGAAATCTATAATCATCAGTGTTAGTGGGTTCCAAGCAGTTGAAATAATGCTACTTGAGATCATTAGAGTCGTCGCTTCACATTCTGCAAAACTACAGCAGGTTCAGCCATCTGCTAAGAATGCTGGTCTAGTTTAGGCCATAATTGCGGCATATAGTGCAGAAAGAGTACACGAATTGTGAGCAAAGAAGCAAACAATGCAAAACACAAAGCACAGAAAGTTAGGGGAAAGAGGAGGAACATGTCGGCTTTGTAAAATGCTTTGTTGACAAATTTAGTTCCTATAGGTTCTATCATCCTTGTAAACAAACCATACTCAAGCTGCCCATTCTCGCCATTTGACCATGTGGCTGTCCACATCGGTTGAAACATTGACAAACAATTCCTCTTCGATAACATACCTATTGTGAATGCCAATTGTTATCTTTTCCCTCATGTGACGATCAGAGTGAAGGTTCTTCAACAAGTCTCCACACTCTTTGGTCTTTGTTACTCCACTTGGGAGTGTCATAGACCCAATTAGCGCACTATGATATTTTCGCGCAGTTTATTGCCAGAATGAAAACTCAATGTATAGCAAAGTAAGGAGTCATTTTGGTTAGATGGCATTGAGCCAGTCTACTTTTTGAATGGACTTGCTGGCTCTGGCGCCTCGTACCCGCGTCGAATCAAAAATCCAGCGAACTTTTGCTCTAATCTTGCAAACTAAGGGGCACACCCATCAGATCAAACTTGAAATTATACCTATGCTACTCACCACACTTGCTTTCTCCACCGGTATAACTCCGTCTTTGATCCATACAGAATAACTACCCATCAGATTTGCCATCATGACATCAGTGGTAAGCCTGTCACCGACGACCGCTATTTGATCCGGTCTGGTGACTCCAGTCTCGGGATATTTTGAAAAGTATTCCATGATATCATGACCGCAACCAGGCTTTTTAGAAGCATGAGGTAAGACTGGAACACCTGTAGACTTCTCAACTGCAGCAGCAAGCTTGCCAGAACGATCTAATGACTCAGCACCTGCTGTGTTAGACACAATCAAAAGCCGCCGACCTGGATAAGCTTCCCGAAGTTTCTTGAAATTGTCCTATTATACATGAGCATCGAACAGAGATTCATGATATATATCACTCGAGAAAGTGAAAGGAAGTCAGATGCAACAAGCTTGATGGAAAGAAAAGCAAACTCATGTACACTGGAGCACGATGCTGAGCATAAACTGAGAAATTTCAAGGACCATTAAATATACCTGCAAACGTACATTGTAAGGCTCGTGAATATCATTTGATTCAGGATATGCGAAACAATTATCCTTGTCCAGCACTACAGCCCTAATATCAGCATTTTGATATTTTCCAAAGGCCGAATTGAGGGGTATCGGCAGGTGGTTGAAAGTGGAAATCGTTGCTTGAGGTAAAATCAGCGTCGGCCTTGCAAGAAGACGAAATATATTCACCGTCGCTGATATGTTTAGAGTATTCATATCCATTGATGTGATTCCTCGTAAATGGTTGTGATGTTCGGAGCGGAACAATAATTTTGAGGACTGTTGAGGACGGCGAACGGAATATGCCGAAAGCTTCAAAATCACTAGCGCCAAATTATTCTAATAGATCCAAAGCTTCAATCGGACAGTGACATTCACGCGCGCCAGCTTTCAACAACTTTCCGCGACCACCATTTTTCTCCATCGGATTATTTGTGATATTATAGATATCTAGCAACCATGACAAGCACAATCGGAATACCAATTAAGCTCCTGAACGAGGCCCAAGTTCGTACATTTCTTTCCTAGCCTTCAAGGCCTAGTGCTCAACATCTGCCACGTTCGCTGCTAACAATTACTGTTGTCAGGGTCATGTCGTCACTCTCGAGATCACGACTGGTCAGGTCTACCGTGGCAAGCTTTTGGAAGGTACGACCGCCCATTACTACTCTCAAGCTCTTTACTTTCAAGAGATAGGAATTATGAAGGAAAGGAAGATGCTGATTGGATATTGTAATAGCGGAAGACAACATGAACGTTCAACTTAAGGATATTACGGTCACAGCGCGCGATGGTCGCGTCAGCCATTTAGATCAAGTCTACATTCGAGGCTCACACGTTAGATTCTTTATTGTCCCGGATATGCTGAGGTTAGTCAAGACTAAGATAATTGTGCAAAAGCGAGTTTGCAGCTGGTTGGGGCTGTTGCTATCACTATAGCTAAGACTGACATGAATATTATAGGAACGCGCCCATGTTCAGGAGTAGAAATACCAGAGGCAGAGGTGTAGGATTGGCAAGAGGAAGGGCCACAGTTAGCAGGGCAAGAGCAAGCGGAAGGGGAGCACCAAGAGGTTGAGAGACTCATGGAACATGTGGATGAAAGAATATTTTGTCAAATCTCGGCGTTTGAGGGAAATTTATGATTCATTGCAGAGCCAAGCTGGGCGGAAGAGAGCTCCAGATGCTCAAATATTGAGGATGACCCAATGCACAAGCATACGGGGAGGGTGATTTTTCAATTGCTGGCAATAAATAGAGCAAAAATTGAGGAGCGTCTGTCTATTTTCTCAGAGACCAAAGATAACTGATGTACTGTCTCTATATCTTATGCCTAATCCATCTGTCCTGTTGACAAAGAAAATGACCCAGTGAAATATTGGTAAAGTTCGGATCGGGTAAATGTACTTCCGACACAAACATCAACTGCCTGTACTTGCTAGAATACTGACAACACATACAATCAACATAATGGAAATTCCACATCCGCGGCGCATTCTAGCTGTCAGTAGACCAGACTCAGGTCTTGTAGATTTGCTAAAGGGTTTGAATACCACTTATACCATCTACATGAATCTCGAAATTGACTTGTGTTTCCAGGTCTCACGGGTTCTGCACCTGATCTTTCGGGGGACTCAATTGCAGGTACTACCCATGAGTGGTCTATCAAAACCAACTACTACACCGCAAGCGTCCCAATATGGCTTGATGAAATACATGAGCCTGAGATATGGTGTAAGGAATTTTTGGCACCAGAAGCTCGAGAAGTTTTGACAGTACTTGGTGCCTTTATTGTATGTTTTCGAAAGCCCATTGATGAAGCTGAATTGCAAGCTTTTAAGATTCTTCTGGAAAGTGTGGCCGAAGTTGCCAAGGAAGGTTGTGGCTATACCTGGGATGGTGTCTGTTTAGCTGTGGCAATGCCACAGTCCACGACTCCATACTTGGAGAAGAAGTTCGACGAGTGGGAAGATTTATGCCAGGAGCATGGTTTTGAGTTTGTTGACTTTGAAAGTAAGGGTAGAAATGAATACTCAGGTAAAGTAATTCTTCCAAGGACATTTACATGTTTTATCATTGACATCCGTAGAACCTATGGGTCTCGAAAGGTTGAAAGAAGCTTTAGAAGCCAATGAATGGGATGGAGGCGACGATGATGGGGAAGGAATTGATTTAGGCGATCTCGAGGAGGATGGTGATGACGATAAGAGTATTGGATTTGGAATCGAAGCAGCTGAAATGGAGATGGAGATGTTCGGTATGAAACAGGCAATTCAAAATGAGTCTGCAAGAAAGACGAGCGCCGATGAGGAAGATGAGAATGAGGATGGAGTAGAGCAGCTTGAAGCTTTAATGTTGAGGATGCAAGCAGTTAAAGGTAAGAGATTCGTACTCAATGGGGGGAATTCCTTCACTGACATAAACAGATATGGGAGCGGATTTGCCTGAAGCGGAGAGAAAAAGGTTTGCTGCAAAAGCCGTTAACGATTTAATGAAAACGTTATAAGATGCGCTGCTGCCACATTGAGCAATGATGCGGAGACGATGGGTTTCTGTCTCATGCGGGGCTCTCTTCAACCCCGGGGCTTGAAGATTTTATATATTTCGCCGCATGCCAATCCCCCTGTAATTTTCCAATGCTCGCTGGTACTGTGGAAAGTGAAGAATAGCATCGTGTCCAACCGAGCAACTCCTAGACGTTCCGCCCGTCGAGTGCCTTATGGTCCAAAGCCTCTCATGCCATTTCAAAGCCCAATGGACCCAATTATCTCCACCCTTGGATAATCAATGGAAGGAAGCCCAGTCTCTGCACACGCCTGGGTCTTTTTTGTATCCAAAGCGTAGCAAGTTGCTCGCGCGGAAAACGGTATTCTCGGGGTTTTTGATATTTATTCCCGACTTCTGCAACCTACACCGATTTATGTATATTCTTCATTTGGGTTTTGGTTGTATGCATGGGGACTTCTTTCTAATGAATTGCTTTGAGCCTTGAACATCCAGAGCCTTTTGAATTCATTTGAGGGTGGAATGAATGCTGTGCATCGTCGATTTCCTTTCCCATCGCATCGAGTCGAACCATCGCATAATTGGGCCGTTGTATCATGCCTGGTTTTACACCGTTTTCTTCTTGATGTTGTGACGCTTGTTTTTTGGCGTTGCTTTGACCGCATACTCTTGACTGTAAGCTGTTAGTGAATTCTTTTTATCGAGTTATGCGCTCCGCTCGTTCAGCGTCTTTCAAACTTACCTAATGTAGGATCTTAATCTTACCCGAGTAGACGAAGTCCTTGATACTGGTCAATTCTTGGAGAGATCGTAACAAAAGTTCATCTATTCAGTTCTTACTAAGCTAGCAAGTCTTTGGAATCAACCTCGAATACACGGCACATAACCAGTACCTAACCAGTACCTCGAGCCCAACCTACGAAAGTACCTGACTCTGCGAAATTCCTTGTCGTTTTATTACGAATGGTCGATGAATGGTCCATGAATCCTCATCCTTTCGCATCGAGCGAGCTTTCTCTAGTCTGTTCTCATTAGAAGTACCCCTTCAAAGCACACCATCATAACCTTGCATGCCCAATCTTGGCACAAATTGCAGTTTACTACACGTCGTCGACTCCAAAAGCTACGAATACCGCCTGCGAATTCGTTTCTTTACAGCATATCCCCCGCGTTGTTCATCATATACTGCCGTTTAATTACTTGTTGACCTCTTCTTTTTGAGGATTCTTTCAACAGTCACGTATATATACCTTTTGTCCGGCCCTTAAATACCTAGCTGCTATAATACACACCTATATCTATGTAACAATGGAGTCTGGCATAATACTGATGGCGTGTTTTATGTCAATGGCCGCCTTGTACTCGATATTAAATTTCACAATCTAGACGTTGTATTGCGCGTTCCTAGCTGAAAATCCTCATGAGTGTAATCTAGCCATCGCCTTCTCAATCTCGGCTTGCACCGATGGGATTAGCTACGAATTTTGCTGTGTACCTTATTCATCGAATATTACCACTAGAGGAAGGGCTTCATAAGGCCACGGCCTCGCTTCGACCTTAATTCTCGTGGCTTTTCAATGGCCGCACTGTAGAATATTACCTCTATCGTTTCATTGTGAACGTCCATCACTATTAAAAGCCTTTCAAGCGACAAAGACACTGTTGCTATAGGCTATCATCTCTCTAAGTTATTCTCCTTGTTGTACACAAACGCTTGCTAAGGGGACGCTGTCTTGCGGTCAATACTCTGTGGTACTTTCTGAACACCACTCTTCCTCGAGTCTCGGGTAGATAGCCTATAGCTTCAGTTAACATTTGGCCACCTGCTAATATGTCCTTCAATTGTGATGCTATGATAACCTTGCTTTGCCCTGTACTATCGACTAGGAACTGTACCTTTCGCAGCGATATGTAGCTGTCAGGGGGACAAATTTATCTACTCGCTTCTACAAAGCTAGCTTAGTACTCTATAATTTCAACTTTCGAGAGATCTTCCTTCGCACCTCAACATTAGACGACCAACGTCTGCAATGGTGAGCAAGAGTAGCCGTTGTCCCGAAATCTAATAGGGAATATGTAAAATCATCTAGTATGCTGTGACTCATGAAGAATTTGATTCACTTCTGACATAACATACCACACTCACCCCTAAACCCTTTATGAATCGAACCACATCTTTCTTCCACCTTCTTGACCAGCATCTATCGAGTTATTTAAGTAAAACCAATTCTTGACATCTACAACAATTATTCAACGCTTTTTGATGTTGTATTAACCTTGGAAAGCTTTGTGAGAAATTTACTTCATATTTTGACACAGTATCATCAAGTATAGTCCTCTTGAACTCCTCAATTTAAGATCTTCCTTGAAGATTGGAACGATCTTGGTCTATCTTGACTCACAAAGAGTGTTTACTTGACTCTTTGCCAATATACAAAGACTTTACATGAGGGTCATCGCTGGAACTACTTTAATTCGAACTTCTACGGTATAAAGTAAGCGGAGTTTCGTCCATACCTCTCCTTCATTCCATTTTCCGACGGTTCATCCTCACAGTACTGACTCTATATTGCTAGCATAGCTTCCTCCGATCCCTAGACCCATTCCGCCTCCGATATACGACCATAATCCGCTCCAAATAGAAGCTTTTAACATACTTGAGACTTTCCAATACCTTTTCTTACTTTTATTGCCCTCAAAAACCACATCTCCTCACACCTACCCTGCTTTAAACCCAATTCTGAGCGATCCTCGACCCAAGCCAAGGGTTCTGCAGACCTCTGAAGCTACTTTGAGCTTTGGCAGAGGATAATAGTCTCTTGGTATCTAATCGAAAAGTTGCCAGTATAGAAGAAGCTTCCCAAAACTTCGTAAGTACTCCACCTTCCTTAAGAACCACATATCTCAAGTTCACCTCACTTTGAAGCTCTTGCTAATCGGTCTTCCATACCAAAAGTTGACCATACATTACCCATCCTCAAATTAAGCTCGCGCGATAACGCTTTTGATGCAACAATTAATCTCGTACTTCTCCGGTCTCCGAAGAACTCGACTCACATATAGTCTTCCTTGTCCTCGAATCTAGACCACCACCCTGCGATAAATCTCGGCTATCCTTGTGAATCATATTCTGTAACGCCTATTCCTGTCAAACTCAGCAATACTACAAGATGGGAGGTAAATTCTGGTCTAAAGAAGAACAGACATATTTTGAGTGCGAAATTATGCCCATGTCTCGCTTCAATGGACCTAACGGCACGTACAATCCAAACATAGGCAAGTCCTGGGCAGAGCTTGCAGTTAAGATGCAGAAATACCTAGGTGGCGAAGGCCTAGCCCGTAGAGTATACACGGGAAATATGCTGTATGAACATTGGTACCAGACTGTCAGGAAAGTTTGGGGTGAGATTCGCGCAAAGAACGCTAGAGCCAGTGCCAAAGCTGGTGGTCGTGGCGCTGACAGACAGCCGCGAACAACCCGTAGCAAGAAGCCGAAACAGAGGGCTAATAACATGCCTCCTCCGTCAGTAGTTCCCCGGGAGCCCGAACGCCTCTTGATACTTCCTACAAGACCACGAAATGAAGCCATTCCTTCCCAAGGCGACACGGAATCTCCACGCCACGCCCAAGATAATCCTCAGATGGGACAAGTCTTTGCTTTTGAAAGTTCTTTCAGAGAATTTGAAGGCCAAAATTTGGCTCAAAGACACTATATTGGTCCTTCAGTAGCTTCGGCTCAATCATCAAACCATCGATTTCACCGACATCGAGCCCCTGATAGACCATATTTAACCCATGCCGAGGGCGCAGAATCGTACCATCGACTACATCTTACTGGGTGCCTTGCGGGTCAAAGATTCTGTTTCTCTCATGAGCAAGAAGCTTGCAGCATCGCAGCCTTTCACCAAGTCTTGGCCGGTCAAGAACGCCAGACTATCATTATCAGGGAGCCTACTCCTGAAGATGATGGACAAAGCCTCTTTATCCAACAATCTCAGCCCGAATTCAACTGCAGACTTCCCATCCCGCGCCCTAATACGGAGCTAGATGCGGCTCATACTATGACGATGTTCCGTTCCCAAGAGATGACCACACTACGTGGCACCCCTTCGACTAGCCGTCAAAATCACGAAACCCGCAGTTCTTTGTGCCAGGTTCACCCCCATGAATATGAGTCTCAAAGACATGGTACATTTCCAGGACCTTCTCTCGCACCAATAATTTCTCGTCAAAACACACCACGTCAAGGTGAAATTCAGGGTCAAGTGAACCAATTGGAGGAGAATAGCAAGGAAAAGGAACAGTAAAGAGGACTTCGAGGTGATGCAGGCTAGTTTGGGGGTTATATGTGTTACTTTTACGTTGAAATTGGTTGGTTAAATTGTCTTTTAGGCGTTTTCCAGACACTTTCGAAGGAGTAAAGGGTTTTTTGAGACTTTTTCTAGATAGATACTCATGATGAAATGAAATTGCGTTGCTCTCTTTAAAAATGTTCTACTATGATTTTATGATGATTTTGACCGAATGAACATTTTTAGGCCTCTAGGACTTATCTCTATCGACCTGAAAGTCATCGAAGTGTGTCTTGAGTTTGCTACGCTGGTAGCTCATGATTATCCATGGAATATAAGTCACAATAATCCATCAGTGCTCAATACTGAAGAAAAATGCAAGGACCGAAGATAATTTGCATGGATAGATTGTTTCTAGGTCGCATCTATGACTCAGACAAACAAAGCATTATATGCAAATCCCAAGCCCTACTTTTGCTCAATCCTCCTAACATACCCCATCAACCTCTCACACAAAATTTTCCTCGGACCCGCCTGATCATCATTACTCAACGCATGACTCGCCCCTGGAATAATAGCCGTAAATTCATCATCCCAAACACTCTCCCTCCCCCCATGATCCGCAGCATCCTTCCACCTCCTCAGCAATTTTTCCTTATCCACCCAATCCGGCACCGCCTGATCCGCCCCAGAATAAAAAATAACCAATTTGTCTCTCAACAAACCCCTCTCTTTAATCATCCCGAAAGTTTTCGCCAATTGCTCATCACTCAGATCTGAGCTGAATAAATCATCTTCCTCAGGCTGCTGGGGACTTTTGGGACTGGCGAGACTCATGAAGCGTCGACAGCTAATTGGTGTGTTACCGTAGCCGATTTGAGAGGTCAGGGACATGGGGAGAATGATATCGATAGATTGATCGCGTTTGGCTGCATCTTTGGCTATTTCTTGGATTTGTCGAAATGCGGCTTGACATTCACTTGAAGGTCTTTTTCCAAGTCCATCTCGTAGGACGGATTGAATGGCTTCGCGGTCTGAAATTGGTGCTTGCATGATTGCACCGTCGAGGATCGGACGCGTGACATGTTTGAGATGGGGATCAAAGATTGGGGTGGTGGTGTGAGGATTGGGTTTATGGAGATAGTGGAGCACGAGTTGGGAACCGGTCGAATGACCCATTAGTACGGTTTTGCTGTTCGGATATTTGGAGTTCTTGTATTCTTGGATGTAGTGGAGACATTCTGCTATTTCGTCTGAATCGCGGTCGAGATGTGATGTTCCCCATTGAGCGTAAGATGATGAGAGATTGAGGGAAAAGAGAGACCAGGTGGTTGGTTGCAAGGCTGTGGCTATATCAGCCATGAATGATGTGGTTGCGAGACCATCTCCTAGTCCTCCGATGAAGAGAAGACTATGAGGTTTGGGGATGCTTCCGGATGTATACTCGAATGTTACGAGGGTCTCGGTCTATGTATTTGTTAGTTCCATGTCTGAAATCATACAGTAGACAGAATATATACACACGTAATGATGTAGGATACCTGGAAGGCCACCTTTGGGCCAGAACTTAGACGCCATTATGAGATATTCAGGTGATATTGAGGATTATTGTATATTCGGAAGAACAGAATACAACAGAGTGCGTTAATATTCAGAAGATCGGCGAATGGTTAATGTGGCCAAGTAAAGTTCTCCGTGAAGAAAAGTGGGATGGAGCTTTCCGTCAGGCAAACATCCGTGTCCTACAGAACATGGATCTTCTAGATATCTCATATTTATTTTCCAGAAACCAACAACACAACAGGGAATTCCGAGATCGGATGTATTCAGATGCAAGTCTAATTCAGGATAAAGCAACCCAACTATCCCCAGCAAACAAACCACGAAAGTCAAGGATAGATAGGGAAAGATGCTGATTGAGCGGATCAGATAAGATTATCATCTAATCAGATGACGCTAATGGAACTCGCTTGCATGCAGAGGGAAAAAATATCTTATCCGAGGTTACCAATGAGGTTGGTGCTATGGTGTCATTAGACCCGCTGTGAAAGGAGTATACGTAATGAATATTGGGAAGTTTTTGGAGTGCGGAGCTTTTGATATTTGGGATTTGTGTTGATAGAGGGGCATTGGGAATATGGTGATGGATATTCTAATGAAGTTCGAGGAAATATTTCTGAGAATGAGCTGATAATCTAAGGATGGGTGGTTTCTTTAGGAATACCTTAGAGTTACACATCGGTACGTATCCAAGTCGCTAAGGATCTTTTCTCTACTAGACACAATACTCTATATGATAGAATAAATTCACGGAACCCACGTACATGGATCACAGAAATAACAAGAGGACAATCTACGGGGTATGCAAAAACTTTTGATACTATGAAATGTTGATTACGAGGACCTCCCACCGGTTCAAAAAGAAAAGCGGTAAATCCACCACATTGATGATTTCTCAACTTTTTAGATTCTTATTATTTATACAAAAATTTAAAATAGTTCTACATGGCATTTAAAATTATACGACTGTAAACTGAATTCCACATCTAGAATACCGTACCCTTGACTTGAGTCTTTTGGGCAACATTGATATTTTTGATCATCATAACCCAAACAAAGGCTAGTCCAATAATAACGGTTCCTGCAATAAGCATTCTCTCCTGTGCATATCCATATGCATGCTGAATGGCAATTCGCGTCTCGCTTCCCACTGGATAACTGAGTTGAGTGGCGAGATCACCATAAATATTGTCGAAATCTGCCATGGCTGATTCAGGAAGATATCTCTCCAAAGCTTGTGGAAACGTGTTTGTCCAGATGGCACCGCAAATGGTGTTTCCGATGGCGCCACCGATATTTCCAACGACGTAAAGTAATGCGAGAATAGCGGCAACGTGTTGATGATCCGAAGCGGCAAGGACTGCGAGTTGTTCGACAATAATGAACACACTTCCACCGATCGAGATGAAAATTTGACACATAACAATGTAACCAATGCTCTGATGAGGTTGACGGAAGTAAATCATTAGACCCTGAGCGAAGACGTATATTGGTACTGCAATATACAGAAGCCACTTGAAGTATCCGGTCTTGCGAATTAACAACCCAACACCGATGAGGAGGATACCAGAAACAACGTCGAATGTATCGCTAACATATCCAGCTTCCGCCAAGGTTAAGTTGTTAACAACTTGTAGGAAAGAGGTGAAGTAGCTGTTCCAGCAGTAGTAAGAAATTTGATACGTCAAATCTAGCAGACAGGCGCCAATGACGGTTCGATTTGCTAAGAGGTTGACATTCAGGAAAGGTGCTCTGGCGAGGAATACTTCGTAAAGTGCAAAGATGACGAGAACCACGAATCCAACGACGATCATAGCAATAATGTAGTCCGTTCGCCAACCGTTTGGCGCAGTATCAGCAAGAGTGAATGGCAGCAGGAATACGGTGAAACCTCCAGCAAAGAGCAGAACACCAAAGGCTATTCGATTATCAGAATAATGTCATATGTAAAGATTGGTGGAAGAAGCATGACTCACCATCAAATTCTACCAAGTAATGCCAGATGTTTTCTGTAAGGGTTCGACCACTGCTCTCTCTAATCAGAACACCTTTGTTCTCTGCCTTTTTGAGATTCATCTTCAAAATGAAGTACAAAGGCGCTGCTACGAATGGCAAGATGATAGCAAAAGTTCCAAATCCCCATCTCCAGCTGATGTTGTAGTAATAATCATCAGAAACTTTAGGTCCCGCAAATGCTGTAATAATGTATGGTGAAGAAGTGAAAGCGTATGCAAGGCCTCGATTCTTCAACTTCGAAACATCAGCGGTAATGACATCAATACTATAGATCAGACCTCCAAAGCCGATAGAGTAAAACACCTAGAAAATGGTTATTAGTATTTTAAGAGACGCAAGAACCAGTCCAACAAGATGGCACGTACCTGTGCAGCACAGAAGGTAGCGATGCCATTGCAAGCAGCCATCATGATCAAACCGATAGTGGAAAACAACACCATAAGAAGGAATCCCTCGGCACGACCCCACAGATCTAACATTTTCGCAAGCGGAATGTAAATTGCGGCTGTCATAGCATTGGCAACAATGTTGATGACGGTGATCGAAGAATGCGATTGAAATGCACTCGTGGCGAACGGGATAAGATTGTAGCAGATTGAAGATTGCATAGCATTAACAAAGTAAAGTAACCACATGCTGTCATTGAATAGTTTAGTTGCTACGTCCGAACCCACGACAGCGATAAGTGTCAACTTACAGCATGAAAACGCTGACAAGGTATGGTTTAGTCCATGTCAAAGCCACTGCCTCGACTTCTTGAACACCACGTTGTGCAGTTTCGGTCGGTAAAACATCCTTCTCGACTTGCTCTGATATTGGTCCATCACTGGCATTGCTTGGAGAGAGAGCGTCGTCAGTACCACTAACTGTAGGATTCTTTTCATTCGAAGACGGCATATCAGCCATAGCTACTTCTGAACTTTCATTGATTATATCCTCGGTAGCCTTTCGACGGTATCTAGGCCTAAATTTTGCGAATGCTGGCATAATTGCGGTTCGCAGTGGAAAGTGGTTCAGAAAAGAATTGGAATGATATAGGAACTAAAAAACGATGGGATAACCGCGGAAGGAGGCGGTCACTACTAATACTTGAATCTCGGCCTCCTCGCCAATATGACTTATCCACATCGGCATGCACATCCACCATGGCTGTAGCTAAGGACAAGCTCCGAAATTGGCACATGCTGCCGCTGCTTGGGGCTGCCAAGACTATTCCCACGGAGTCCCACTGGTTAGTGATATGGAACGAACCTTAGTATGAATGAGAATGTGAGTAGATCATTAAAACCAACAAGATAATGCACACAAGGTAGACAGGGTAAAAGCAAATAAGACGACAAAATTCCTTGTAACACTGGATGCACGTTGCACACATCAATTAATGCTTTTTAAAACGCAGTTCTTCCTACGAATGGAATGATTCCCGAATGAAGGCAGGTGAATGAACAAGATGGATTAACTTGAATGGGTCAATCGGGTTGACTATTAACTGGTTCACATAGTTGATTAGCTGGCTAAAGTCAACAAAGTGGAGTCAGGTGGGATCGAGTGGGGATAATCGACCTAGCTTTTATCTAATCTGATCAAAAATTTTCATCAATGACCGGGATGAATGGAAGAAAATAAATCCCAATTATCTACTTGGTAGTTAAACTGGCAGTTCTCTAGTTGGCATTATTTATTGGAATTGGGGAGAAATGCCAAATCGCCGCTACTATAATACCAATGGAAAAAATGGGAATATGCCATTGATATTGAAGCAGGTCTCGATCTCTATCGTGGGTTTAATTCAGTTGAACTCCTTACATACACAAGGATAATCTAATCAGATTGATATGATTATGGAATTACGCTTCCTAATTTTTATCTGATCTGATCGAGATCCTCACCATGACGAGGAAGGTAAAGCTCTCAAACATCTAATGTTCCTATGATGTATCCATTATAGTCAGTTTTTACTCCGTATACGACATGACACCACAGTATCACCATCGAGATACCAAAGCGGAATTTCGTAAGCTGTGTGGAGCTTAACATTTTCGTGGGTCGTTCACATGTGCATTCACACTTTGCCCTCTTTGGCAGAAGACAAGCGAAGTGCGGTACCGGTAAAGTTATCTGTGGGGGTAAGCCCATTTTTATCAGTGTTGTCAGTAGGTAATTACGCCTCGAACGTACATAATCAGATTGATCAGATAACAAGGTATCATTGAATCCATTGGGTCAATTGGTCATGTTTCGGCTTCGAACAGTATAGAGCCTAGCTTGGAAAATCTATCAACCATGGTTTTGATATGGTCATTAGATCGATCAGATAAGATTCAAATAATCAGAAGAGCATTTGATTCTTTGAAAGTCTGGGATTGAACCTTACTAGATCGTGTTTTCCAGATCTAGCGCCTGAGTAAAACGTTTTTTTCCCCTTCATGTCGTGCATTTGAAAATCCCGATCCAATGTCGGACGAAATCATAGAAGGAGTTTTGACCATGGTGGGCATTCCGCCTGAAGGTCTAAAGGAGTACCACTTCCGCGTGTATCCGCAAAGTAGGCTTGTGTGGCATTTTTCATTCCAATTGCCAGTTGCTTCCAGTGCGAAGACCTTTACTGACTTGTATATGTATAATTGGATTTTGGCTTTAAAATCAATGGTTCCATGCAGTGTGATGTCAAAATAAGTTGACGTGGACGACCACTCGACCGCTGCAGTATTGGATCTATGTACGAGCTACCTAAATATCGGGACTAGTGCATTGTCAGAGTACTTAATTGATTAACATTTCCGGGAGCCCTGACGCTGGTGAGTTACGTAACGCGATATTTTTGGGGTTAAACACCCCTAACAGAGTGCACGGAGAAAAGTATCTTGGAGAGTTGAGCTTTTCGTCGAGCTATATAACGATTCGGTACGAGAATATTAGCAGTTTCTCCTTCGGCAGAAATACTTCGATGCAATGATTGGCTTCGCGGAGAGACACTCAAATGACAGTAATGGATAGCTGTGTAAGATCAGAATACCATATATCGTGTTACATCTTTCTCGACGTCAATTTGTAGCAGCAGAGAAGTGGAAAGTACTTGGTGGTCCAACGCGGATCGCGGCACCCAAGCATCACGATTCCTGGCGCTCAAGATAGACCTGCATTTTCACATTGAGAGATGAATCTCTCGCTCCAAATCCTGAAGTTTTATTCAAGCCATAAAGCAACAATGGGCTATGATGGGCCATACCGCCCACCGAATATGATTCCACCTGAAAAAGAAGTTTGAAATGAATCTTGCCGGTCATGTGTCATGTTTACAGCTTAAGTCTTCAGGTTCGATGAAACAAGAGCTGTTGAATATACAGGCAATACGAGAAATGGACGGATGGAACAAATGCGCTTCAATCTTCTGGTGCCGTTCCCTTACAACGATGTGGAAAACGTATCAGAATAACTCACTCGAGCACTTCTCAGGAAGCTCATACTTTCGTAGCAGCATCTCTCAAAACTTTGCTTACGCCGCGCCTTATAAGATTCTGAGGAGCAAACATCAAACGAAAGAAAGCATAGATCAAACGTATGATGCAATATGCCACAGCAAAATGGCGCTGGGAAGACTGAAATTTGATGTGGTTTGTTCGTCTAAACATTTAAGTGGTTACTCACCATAACTCACCATAACTGTCCAAAACTTCGACCTCTATCATTTCACATCTCCCTAAACGCCCTCCATGCCTCATAAACCATAATCTCATACAACCAATTTCAAAACCAAAACCTCAAGCACTGAAGACTGCCTTGAGAACATATATAGCCCCTACAACACCAACGACCATTGCAATGAATAGCGAAGCTCCCTCCTTGGTACCAGTAAAGTACAATGTGAAACCTACCACTATTTCTAGCATTCTAGCTCTTTCCCTCTTCTTTTTCCAATCAATATCAATATCAAACGGCATGTGGGCTCTTGGATCATCTCCCCCTTCCCCTGTTTCCGGCTCTGGAATAGGCAGTAGAGGAATCGTTACATCCAAAGCTACAGCTCTATGATCTGAAGTCGGCAGAAGAGGCAATGCAGTATATTTATTCGGAATAATTTTGGCTTCTGGGTTGCTCTTTTGCACCCAAGATGGCATATCAAGGTATAGAATTCTATCACACCAACTGGGCCACCTGTGTTTTGCCCATGGCCATCTATTCAGTTCACCATCCGCTGTCATGAATGGTCCTTCCGAATCGTATTTGTATGTAGGTGGAAATGACACCGGAGCTTCAATAAGCCCATGACAAGTTCGACCAGCTAATCGTTCTCGATTGAGTTGATCATTTTTGAATAGGGCTGAATAATGATTAGAAGAGGAAGCGGAATCGTTGGGTTGTGGGAATATGTTGGCATAATCATTTGCCGCAGGGGACAATAGAGAAGTTCGATAATTTAAGTCGCCGCCAAAAAAGAGATGGGATGTTGATTTATAGATCGACCCATCCTGTGGTGATATGGATAACAGCGGTCTATCTTCATCGCCTCGAGGCAAAGTCGTAGCATAATTCGAGGTTGTTGAAGAGAATACCAGTCCGCGGACAATATCCTTCCAGTCTTGATTCCGCCTTTGTAGTTTATCTTCCATAGCAGCAAGGTGGGCCGCAACGAACGTCAATTCTGTAGAATTATTTCCATTCCCGTATGTAAATCGTACTCCAATTGCTCCTTTATTTCCCATTGACCATGCTCCCACTCCAACTTCACCAGCCTCTAAATCTTGTATAAGGTTGGGATCTTTTGCAAATATCATAATTCCTGTCAAACCAACATTGCGTGCCACTATCGAAGTGTATGCCGATCCATCATCTGATAATTTCTTTGAAGCTTTTTCGACTGCATCGTGGAATCGATTGAAATATGGTACCAAGAAGGATCCGCCTATGAGAGAGTATGGTATGGGTGCGATTTCTTGCAAAGAGAGAACAAGCAGGTCTGGTAAGTGAGGGGATGAGAGGCCGCTGAAAAGTTGAGAAGCAAAGGCATCAGTGTCTATGAGGGTGAGACCACAGTTGAAGGTCAAGAAATATAAACTTAAAGCCTTCATATCTGAAGAATTTGCCATAATTATTCGAGTACTTCAGGTATCAATCAACCATGGTAATTGAGACATTGAAGTGCTTTGATGTTGATAAAATGACCAAGGTAAGTCAAAGCAAGGGATGTTCATCTCACAACACTAGGCCTTGTTTGCCGACGTCACTTGTTGTGCCCCGCAGCAACACGTAAAAATAATTCACCAGCAATTCTTCTTTATCAGCACCATCACATCAACAACTTAATTATGTGATATAATTTTAAAGATAATTATCATACAGCTTGCCTCCAAAGTTCTTCACATTGTCCTTCTTTCAATGCCACATCACACTCGTTTGATACTGTATATGCATACACCCGTGAGCTTTTCTAACTGGACTGGGAATGTCCGAGTCAAAGCAACGATAACGAGTACGAGAGTATCAAGCTCGTTGATGGTTCCGGCCATATATCAAGGGTCTCCAATAGTTTGGACCTATTTTACAGTATACCAAACTAGGCCTTGATATAAAAACACCAAGAGGCTGGGCAAGGTTATTCAGCATTCCCAGAAGTACATTTATAAATTGAGGAAAATGAAGCAACCGCTGCAGCTGAATAGCTTCCGCTTGCGTTTTTTGCTTCCCAGAAAATGGCGTCGACTAAGTGCTGATATATGATACAAGTCACTATGCTGAACTGTAGTGCCGCGAAAATTCTACCCAATACTGTTGAAAGACTTGGAATCAAAGGTTATGACCAAACTACTCATGAGATCGGGTATCTATAAACTTGGCCTGGATCGCCATCCACCCTACCGAGACCGGAAACAAGCAAGGCTATGCATACATATAAACCTAGCTCAAAGATCAAGATAACTTAGATTATGTACAATCAGCAGTGAGTAGCCTGAAGATACGTAGGCGATGCCGCAGTCTTGGCGTGCGGTGGTTTCCCTTTCAGCATGGTGCCAGTGCGGTCATCAATTTGTCCAGTCAATACCACGGAGTTGATTGGAAGGGCGCAAGATCTTGGCAGGGTTGCATACACGTTAGATGATATACTTCGTGGATATTGAACATATACGGATCATCACTTAACAGACAGCCAGCAAAGCGTACCGACTTCTTTCCTTCGTCTTCCTATTTCCACGAAGGATCCACCATTGCTATTCATCTCAATTTAGCCAAGTACTATGTTTTTTTTTTCTTGAGAAAATTCCGTCATCAAAACATGGCTTCAGAGCATCTATGCCACGGCATCTATACTCATATGGCCAAAAATCTTCCCAACTTGGACCCATTAGTATTTCTCCGGTATCAATCACAATCCAGTGACAGGCCTAGGTCATAACCTGACTAAATGTCAAAGGACGCATACTTTCTGCTATTTCTTTCTGTTATTCTTATCAACCATCACGAATTATCGGAATACCGACTCGTTTTTTGGGAGGATTTCTGACCTAACTTAAAGTTCAAATCTGTACTGCTAGAACCCTTGTTTAATGTGCATAATGGTAGATGTGCGAGCCAGAAATCTGACGCCACTCTCGCTTGCGAAATAGGTTCGCTACTTAACTTCTTTGTGAAAAGAAAGCTGTTACATGAAGGCCGGTGGAAGAACCCCTTGGATTAACAGCAGATCTAGGAAGTCACTTGCGTAGGGAATCATTTGCACAGAGAGCTCGCAATCAAACAAATACTTGGTGTGATCGCAATGGCGCTGGGTATGGGACTGTGTATGCTTGGTGGGACCGCATATTGTTCGGGTTGAGTTCATCTGAATTGCAATTCCGGTATTACCTCGAAGGTCTTAACGACAACCACAGCAGAAAAGAATCGCCGAGATATCTGCAAGTCCTCTCCCGAGATCGGAATAATTGATCAGATCGTAGTACAATAACCTGCAGTATGTCAACTGAGTAAGCTGGATTCAGAAGCTCAGGTGCGCCACCGACTTTGTTAAATGCTGAATCGCGACCGCGAACCACTTGCTTTGCATGAAGCGATTGAAACAGAATCCCAGACTCAGTTTCTAATTTCACTGAAACCCTTTAAAATCGAAGAAGAAAGGGCGTCTAACTTCTTGTAAGTCAGTTTGAAGCCGGATAGAGGTTTTGTGCTCGAGTGTTATCCTTCTCAACCTGTTCACGACCCACTGTAGTTTGCATTTGAAATTCCGAAAATTGTTGACAGGCTATGAATTAATCCCAATCCTAGCATAGATATAACACAGCATCGTGTATGGACTGCTCAAAACATCATTGATGCTGAGACCAGACGTGCATGCTACCAAGTCGGTGACAATGGCGTAATTTTCAGGGCTCGACTATGTGAGATACTGAAGTCTTTTGAGCCATGCTTTTGTTTCGACTCTTTTCAGGCATCTCGTCCCCCAAAAAACATACATAAGAATACCCACACGGTCTGGGCTTGTGTGTAACCCACGTTTCGAACTATTTCCCGATATTAACTTAAAAAGAAGATCTGTATGGGAGTGCCAGAAATTATGCGAATGTTTTGTCCTAGGTTAAAATACGACGAAATATGTTGTGAACAGTAATAGTGAATTGTGCCCGTGCATCCCTTGAGAACTGTTGTGTCATTTTCCTTTGTCACTGACATAGGTTTGAGGCACAAGCAGTAAGGTTTTAATTGCCCTTCATTGATGAAGTTGTGGAAGTATCTTAATGTTTGATGGTCGATTCTTGAATTCGTGGAACGTCTGATAGAATTATTTCAATGGTTATTGGATGATACTATGGTTGTCAGATGTCACCCAAATCCACCAACCAATAGGGATAGAAAGCATACCTGCATGTCGTAAATTCTTCACCAACTGAGTCTGTCGCATCCCTATGTTGGGAAACTATGCACACCGCCAATAATCATATGTTTTGTCGGCCTGGACTGTATACTCGTAAATCATATCAATATATGACGTGGTTATGCATAACGATATCAATAAACCCCCGCCGGCCAATAGCAAATTCTAGCGAAGAAAACAACTCCATTTGACCACTCGATGGGCATTAGTGGATCTGTCGGCCTAATTAACCAATGAGTCGGCCATAGGTTGATGGATGAGATGGGACAGGATGGAATGTCCTTGTCTAATGTATGAAGTAGGATATGAATCATGCATCAAAGACCTATTAAGAGCATGCCTCCGAGTTTCACAAGGTGCATGCGTTGCTGTTATTTATATGACCGTAAATCCCATTTGAAAGGTACACATTGTGTAGGATATCTTTTCTATCTCAATTCATTCGAAAGAATAAAATCCATTCCTAACATTCCAGCTGAAACCTCGAGTCATGATGACAGCGATCAATATTGCAGAGGAGTCCCGTCATGGTTCCAGAGTAAATCCAGCGATTGAATCCAGTTGGAAGACCACCAAGCCAATTCGTGCTACAGAGAAAGCATTCCTCGATCTCCTGGAAGGCAAAACTCCTCTCCTTCACGAGCCTGAGTTTCTTTCCCAGGAGGATTGCTTTAAGCTCACAAACGCTTTGGAGCCAAGACTCACACCATATTTACATGCCACTGGCCCAAAGTTGGCTAAAGTGGGCATTGCTCAGTTTGAGTTCCAAGCACAGAGCGAGGATGACCTGAAAAATAGATCTGGAAATGGTACGCACTCTCTTAAGCAGCACCTGCTAAATTTCTTTCATCATGAGAAACATAGACTCCACAGTAGCTGACTAAAGGTATAGAGAAGCAGCAATACTTCCAGGCAGTCCGTGAGTTGGGTGACTCCCATGGTCAATTAGCCGCAGAAGTTGGCATCAATGCGTTTGCCAAAGTCTTCGACTTCATTAAATCGATTGCTCCCGATAACTGGGAAGTCATGCTAGCCACAGAAGTGCTAGAGGATGAGACGGCGAATGGTACTCCTGCCACGCAGTCTTACTTTGCCGGCATTTATAGAGTGATCAACAACGGAACACCAGTCCACTGCGATTGGGCGCCTTACGACACTCGTACGGAATCGTGGTCAATTAGTAGAGTGACAAACCAAGTTGCTGTCAATTTATGCGTGACTCCACCACCGGAAAATAGTGGGGGAACTACCGTATACGATCTGCAGTGGTCTCCCGAAGCATTGAAATTCCGTGATCCAGAGAGTTATGGTTACTCTGCCGGCCTTGTTGATGGCCGCAAGCGATTAGATTTTCAACCTCATATTGGTGATCTATACCTCTTCAACTCTCGTAATATGCATGAGGTGCATCCGGTTTCTTCTGACACAGGGATTCGCCGTTTGGCTATGTCAAGCTTTCTTGGAGTGTTACCGCCATTGAATGAAGGCCAAAAGACGAAGTTGGTGTTTTGGGGTTAGAGGATGGATAATCTAACAGCATGAGTCGTACTTTCTGGCTCCACTTTTGAAGCTTAATACGACATGATATTTTTCGCCTTTTTGCCTTCAACATGATGTTATGTTCTTTGGCGGTCTCCATTCTCACAAAGCAGACTGTTTGATAGTAAGGTCCCATCGGCTTGCAGCTGTTTGGCTGGAACAGCTATTCACGAATTGGCAAGAATGTTACTATGCTTGAATCATATTTGTTGGACAAGCTTTTATCACTTAGTTATCAACAGCAATCATGGAATCATTCTGTGTAACTCGCAACGGACCACTGGGTCACTATCTCTAGCGGAATGCAATATTATATTTCGTGACCCGATTAAATGGAAAGAGAAGTGAATAGATGCCCTAAAACAAATAGTGTAAGCCTGGTGACGGCGACTATGAGCTTTACATCAATTTCAGATTTGCGTTGTGGTTGAATTATATACCACAGAGATATTATTTCAAGATGAAGTTGGTGTTGGTGTAGATAGGTATGTAAAGCAGTTCTATCACGTGATTGAATCCTGCCGGGAGGTGACATCGCTTAGAGATTCTGTGATGAAATTGTCATCTCTTGAAGCCTGGAGATTTTACCCCGGTCCTATATGCTGAGCACTATTAATTTCGTATTGGCCGCCGTTGTATAGATGCTGTATGGTTTTAATGGGCGAAAGAACTGAGGGATCGTGTTTGTTGGTGCTAGGCCTTCTTGCTTGCTTGACTATGTACACAATCAGCACTTGCTTCGTGTGGATGTCCGTTATGTTTTTTCGCAGAGGCTTGATTCCCATTCTTTTGCATGTTCTTTATTTTCCACTAGTCTCATCCCAGTACGGAAACCATGCCGTAATCACTTGTCAGTGATCCGGCTCAAAATCTATGTAGCCTAGGGAACCATGGTCTTGCTTTCATTCAATAGTCTGCATGCGCAATTCCTACTTTACGAGTATAAGAATCTAATGACAAAGATTGAGATCTCGACTCGAAGGCGCCGGAGCAATTCTCAGGCCAACTACCAAAGCCTTGGCATTATTACTTATTACCATTGATTTACTCGAATTAGTTTGAGGTTCGATTGTAGGCTTTAATATATAGATTTGAATATCGAATTGGTTATCCAATGTATCATATCTTGAATAACTATATCTATCATTATACACCTAATCGTTTGGATTTGTGGCCTTGGTCTTACATCGGCCAGACATCAGTCTCCTGTTTCTTCAGATGATCCTACTGGAAAGATAGGGACTCGGAGGTTCCCGGCTCCTGATGTGACTACACCATCAGTGGGAGTTACTGCACCACTTTGGCGGGTTTGATATTTTTGATGTCACGAAAATGTCTGAACCGTCCTCATGGTAATCAGTAGCTAGATTTGTAATTATGCACGAGGATATTTTGGGAACAAAGTTCATGCCAGGATAGGGCTGTAAATTTGGTTTATTCTTGAAAATCTCCTTTCGGCAGTTTTATGGTGTAATACAATTTTCTTCCGCAGCAATGTGATATGCGGTGCGGCAGTTGTGTTTCCTATTCAAGCGAGTTGAATGTTCATCACTCGCCAATTCTGCAATCATCATTGGCGTCACATCCATCCAACCAATCTCTTTCTCTACATGATATTATCATGTGATTTGCCACCTTCAACATAAACGCGCCGTCAGTGCAGTCGTGTCACGATTTACGGTTGAGATTATAGTGTGTTGAGAGGCAACAGTCAACCTAACCATATGAGCTTGGACCTCCTTGAAAAGCAAAGCAGATTGTATACAGATTTGTATGGTAATCGCTTCATATGGTCTCCCCACCCTAATCACGTGATAAGGAGCCTTGGGAGCTTCGAAAGCTCCTAGAGCTCTAGGGCTCCACAAAGCTCCTTTACATTCATTAGTATATAGTCAGAATAGTTTCATAGTTTAGGAGCTTCGTGCTCAACTTAGTTATCAATTAGTTTACCTACATTCCAATTGATCTAGTAACGAATTCACTTTCAAGTGGATAACCAGTGATTATTAGCCTTAACCTACAACTACCAACCATACGAAACCTCAGGCAGCCGCTGCCTCGACCAGATCGTTACAAGTCGATGGGTGGTTTGGATTGATGTTTAGGGTACAGTTAAGCATAGTTATAAATAAAGTGAGTTTCAAATTTTGTTGAATTATTAATTATAAATTAATTATACATTTTATTTCTAGTAAATAACAATTTAAATAATCTCAATGTATATTATCATAAGTATTTTATTTATAACTTTATTTATATAAAAAATAAAAATAATAAAATCTATTTTTTATTATTTAATTTTATAGAAATTAAAATAGAATTTTGATCAAATTCTATAAGAGTTACATGGTAAAAGAATCGATTATATTCAAATATTATAAATAAATTAAAAAATCTTATAGTTTTTATTAATATTTTATTAAATCAAAAAATAATGATGAAATATAAATTGATTATATAATTTTGATAAGTGAATTAAATAAATATTAAAAATAATATATATTAATAAATAAAGAATTTAAGATTTTTGTTATTTATAAAAATAAAAATAAAAAAATAAATAAATTTATATTGATAATAATCGAATAAAAAGATAATAATAAAGATTATTTTATTAAATTTTTATTTTATTTTGTTATAATAATATTTATAAATTTATTTATTTTAAATAAAGATAGATTTTTATTATTAGATTTATTCAAATTTGAATTAAATTTTTTATTTTAATTAATAATATTTTTATATATATATATATATTTGATAAATAAATTTTAAAATTTTTTTTGATAGATATTAATTTCAAAATAAATAAATTAAGATAAATTAATAAAATAAATAAAAATTTAATTATAAAATATTAATTATTTAATAAAAATAAATATTGAATTTGTAAATTTTAAAAATATCAAATTATAAAATAATCAATTTAAAATAAAAATTGAAAAAGAATTAAATTTGTTTTCTGATCAAAAATTAATTTATTAAAAATAATAATAAAAGAAAAATAATTGTATATAATTTATATAAAATAAAAATTAATTAATTATTGAAAATTATTTATATATATTAAATATATTTTGTAATAAATAATATAAAAATTATATATTAATATTAAATTAAAATAAATAATATAGTTTATTATCGAATAAATTATATTATCAAATAGATTATTTTTCTTTCAATTTATATTTTCAATTTTTATATATAATTTATCAATTAATTATTATAAAATCATTTAATCAAAAAGTTTAAATCTTTTTTGTTATCGAAATTATTTATAAAGATAAAAAATTAAGTATTCGAAAAACTTTTAAATTTTATATATTTTTTTGTATAATAAACCAAAAAGGACATCAAAGCTTTTTCTTATTTTTCTATTATTATTCTAGAGTTTTTTTTATATAAATAAAAACTCTTCAGTTTAGTATGAAATCTTCGAAACCATCGGTCTCTTTTTGGTTAGCCGACGATTTATATTCAAAGATCGTAAAAAATTCATAGTCTTTTAAATCTATAAATCAAGATTGAAATTTGAAATTATTTTTAAATCTTATATCGATCAATTATTATTCTTTATAGATTTTATTATTTATTTATTTATTTAATAATAAATGATTATTGAGTTAGAGGTTTTCCAACCTATTATTAACGTTTTGGGATGCGGTTTTCAAAAATAATATAGTTAATCATTTATTGACAATAGTAAAGCGCGGATAGTTATTAATTGAGCCCTCTACCTCCGTATTTTGGATCCAGCCAACCTTCAAGTGAAAACCATCCCCGATCAATCCATGAAAACTTATTGAAAAATTCGTCGAGCTGTGTCTCGGAGGCGTGAATCTCTAAGCCTTCATTTGGCGACGACGTTGCGGATAAACGGACTGATGACTTGCATGATATAACTGCGCCTATTACGCCGACTATGACCGCATATCCATCGTCAACGTTGCAGAATCAATATATGCCACGCACAGAATAATTTCGGTCACCGATTTACTGCCCACACCCACTAAACGATCCAGTGGTTAAACTGTCCTACCCGCATCTACGAGTAATGTCTGGTGACCTCTTCTTGTTGGTCTGTTCTTGGAACTCCGAACCAGTATCTACATTTTAATATGGAACTGCAGTAGAGTTGTTTCTATTTTCTACCTTTTCGCGTCCTGGATATCAGCTGCTACGTTAGCACTTGAGTAGGAAATCATGGTAATGCGACCCTTTAGAGCCTTTTGAAATGACATTTTTCAAGTCCTGGACAGTAATGGGGGCTAAAATGTTTCGAGGGGCACAAGTTGAGAGGCACAGCTCTTGGGAGAAAACCATCCTTCATCCTCAGACTCAAACTCAAACTCAGACTCAGACTCAGGAGGGAATATTATCTTCACTCTACTCTTTCCAAGCTCTGATCCTGCCCTTCCCTAACTATTGTCATGTAACAACTTCTTCAGTATCTCAACATTCATAAATAATTATCGGTTTCATTAAGGTGCTTGATAGCAATATCCTGATATTGACGATTAGAGGCTTATACCAAGATGAGCACTCCGAGTCCAACATCTTCCACCTTGGCCCCGCCTCGGGTTGACCACGAAACATTTACAGTGAGTTTTGTCAATACCCTGTCTTTTCAAACATCAAATAATTTGATTGTTTAATTTTAGGGAGTAGCTTGGGGCGGTACAGCACTATCCTTCCTTTTTGTAGTCTTCAGGATCTCTGTCAGGGTACGCACCTTCAAACGACTTTCACCTGACGATTTATGCGTCATTGCAGCGTGGCTACTACTTCTATCTTCAGCCATCGTCTGGCAGAATATTATCAAAGACATGTTCGAGCTGCTTGCGGCTGGGAGGGTGAACCTTCATCCCCTTCCAGAAGGGTTCGAAACGCGTGCTCAAAATGCTCTGCGGGACTCCGCGGCCTTCACAGTACTATTCTATAGTACTTTGTGGTTGATAAAACTTTCTTTCCTACTCTTCTTTGGACGATTGTTGGAGAACGTGGACTCTTTTATCTGGCCACGGCGCATTGTGATCGTGTTTGTTCTCGCAACTTGGACCATATGTATTGGTACAATTCCGTATCCATGTATGGTTCCTAGCTTTGCAAAAATAGTTAAAGAGTGTGCATCTTCCTCTGCAACATCATTTTATCACTTCACACTTGCCTTCAATTGCAGCATGGATGTCTTGACAGACATAATGAGTATGTCAATAGATTTACCTCCATCTGAGTCAAGGGAAATAACCACGAACTAGTTATGGCCATACCATTTTGCATCCTTTGGACTGTACGCTTAAGTCGAAAGAAAAAGCTGGCATTTGCTGGCATTTTCTCACTCGCCGTAATAACGATGATTTTCGCAATCGTTCGCGTTGCAGTTAACATTGGGAGCCCGCACTCGACCTTGTTCGATCAGAGTTGGCTATACACCTGGAGTCTTATTGAGCAAACCGTTGGTAGGTTCTAATTTGAAAGGTTTCTTGAGGGTTTTGTTCCAATGGCTAATAATTGCAGCCATCATAGTTGCTTGTCTTGCTTCGTTCCGTTCTCTATTCGCTCGCAACAACATTTCTCAGCCAGCCCCTCCAGATCCACACGAGAGTTATCAGAATGACCAGAATAGGCAAAGGAAAAAGCGTTTGTTCGATGTCCACTTTGGTCTTTTGTCTCGCCTAACAGCTCCTTCTACATACGCGGATATAACCGAGACAACCTCCCGCGGTACTGCATCAGAAGATGTATTGCTTCATTCCCAGAAAATTAATATGCGGCAAGACGTTGAGCTCCAATCCTCTGAGTTACAGGCTCAGGCTACATAAAACGCTATGGTTATTCCGCCGAGTACTGCCATTTATGAAGAACTGCGACCCTCAACTTCATCCTATGTTTATTTTGGCAACCAATTACTTTTAGAGATATGATGCTCTTTTTTCCACTATTAAAGCTGTTATACTGCTGTGCGGAAACATATAGCGTACATATAAACGAAGGTTTACTTTAACTACCAATACGAACAGACTTGGTCATACACAAATTGTGAGTGCTGTGAAAGAATGGTACGGCTAAAGGGCATTCCCATGTGTATTAAATATTGATGAAACAAAATACATATCATCTCATGATCACCTGTTTGGCTCAGTCCGCTTAAGGTCAAGGAAACACTGAAAATTCAAACATCGTACTCCTAGACCACAAAATAATTGTGCGGTTTCTGCACAAATCGCCTTAATAACTGGCCGTTCATACCAGTCAACTTCACAGGGCTTGAGAATTTGGTGGCAAGTTACCAATACAGAGAGTGATATTACAGACAATAATAGCTAAATGAGCAATCTAAAATCTCCTCTTAAGACGGGGGTGACTTACTGTCAATCCACTGACTTCGACCTTCTGCTTCGTCGTGGTATATCTGCATGAGTAGCAGAAAAGTGAGGCATATAGTGATGGCGATATGGAAACCTCGAGCGAATATACCGAACGCTCCATTGACTTGGGTGGGAGCAATTTGAGGGAAATCCTCGGAAAGCGTTGGATTGAAAAAGTGCATGGCTTTTCTGGAATTTTAGGCGGGACGACTCTGGGCACTCACCTATAGACTGGCAGGCGTCTGAAGTAATATAGTAAGAAAGCTTCAAATCCAGTAATAGAGATGAAATTTATGCTTCTGAACGGCGTATGATTTGGGCATCTTACTCCTTAGAGGCACGAAGATGCGAGTCGGTGGCATAATTCGTGTCAAAAAAGAAGTTGCATAATCTTGTGAGGAATCCAACCACATCCTCACTCAATGACTTCAATGTGTAACAGCAATTACAAACTTCATTCAAGGGACAAACCAAAAATAGGAGAAAACGGTCTGACCAAGGAGTAATCATTGATGGTTTGGTATGATTTGATTGCATCTATAGCGGGTGTAGGTGTGCGATGGAGAAATAAAAGAAAAGTATCTAACCAAAGAAGTAATAAAAGTTTGAATGATAATATTGGAACGGCTGATTATGCGGTGATGTGGTGCAGACCAATGAGGAGCTCAAGTACAAGTAATCTCAGCTCAATTTACCATCCAAATGGTGACCTTCATAAGCATCTCATCTGCCGATTGGTAGGAGAAACGAGGAAAAGAAACAACTTCAAAACCTGTGGACATCTTTTTCATTTTCTAATAATCACGATCTCGAGGATGCAGCTGACATCTTTACTTCGAACAAATTAATAAAAACAGTTGTGGCCGTTTCTTGTTACATTTTGGCTTATGCTGCCAATTACTTGGAGTGTACGAAACAACTACAGATGGTACCTCAATTATGCACAAGCTAAGAAAGCTGGAGTACCCCTCATCATCCTCTTCATCAACCCACAGAATCCCATATGGATGCTACTAGCAGATACCATCGTCCCCGTGCTCAAAGATTCAGCATTACCAAATCTTGGCCGCTCATCAGGCACGGTCGGAGATCATGGGAATTCCAAGACAAGGGTCAAATTCATCTAGAGCTCGGGGATATCTTCATCATGGTTACTCCACATAGAAATACACTTTATGTTTGTGATGCGGAAACCTTGGTGGAGATTGTACAGAGACGGAATGAATTCACTAGACCACGAGAAGTTCTTGGTTAGTTTCGCTAAACACCGTCGCTAGATAATCACTGACTTGAACTAGAGATGCTAAATGTCTTCAGTCCAAATATATCTACTGTAAGTATATACATGCCAAAAGAAAAAGAAACTGCCAGATAATTATTATAGGTGTCAGACGAGGATTGGCCTCAACATAAGAAGGCGACAGGACCACCCTTCAGCAACGAGCAGAACAACAAGCTAGTATGGCAAGAAGCTCTTCGACAGACCCAAGAAATGCTACATTATTGGACTGATCAAGGAGATTCTGCCATTCGAACTACAGCTCAATATGCCAAAACCTTTTCTCTAAATATACTCACAAGTGCTGGGTTTGGTAAATCATATTCCTTCAAACCTTCGTCACATGCGGATAACGGTACAAATCATTCCATGAGCTACAAAGATTCGTTGAGTTTAATCGTTGGAAATGCTATCCCAATACTAATAATTGGGCCTGCATTCCTCCAAAAATGCAAACGCTTTCTCCCTAAATCATGGCAAGACGTCGCTCAAGCTACTGTCGAGTTTAAGGTATACATGACAGAGATGGTACAAGAAGAAAGAGAATTAATCGCTGCAGGCAAATAGTCAACCCCAAATTTGATGACTTTCCTCGTCCGTGCCTCACAGTCTAATTTCGACTCTAAAATAGATGACTCTAGTCTCGGCTGCAAGCAATACGCTTTAACGGAAGAGGAGATATTCGGGAATATGTTCGTTTTTAACTTCGCTCGACACGATACAATCTCCCATACGATCTGCCGGGGCCATCAATCTACTTGCTGCACACCTAGATGTGCAAGAATGGCTCTCCGAAGAAATCAATGCGGTTTTCTTGGATCCAGATTCTGCTGCATGGAATTATGAAGAATCGTTTCCGAAATTAAATCGATGTATGGCTGCCACGGTAAGTAAAGGCCAATAGTAATTGTAATTTATACACTAACAAGTATAACCACAGTTCGAAACACTCCGTCTCTACCATCCGCTATTAACATTCACAAAGTCGACCGGCAACCTCCCGCGCACCGTCACGTATCACTCTAATCAGTTATATCTACCACCAGACACAATAATCTTACCCAATTTGCTTGGTATAAAATGCCATCCCCGATATTGGGGCTCCGATCGACTCCTCTGGCGCCCTTCACGATGGATTGAGGAATCCACAAATCCCAAAATGGTGAAACGACAGAAGGACTATGGACACCACCAAGAGGCTCATTCATGCCTGTAAGTTTAATTTTTCGCTATGGATTTTCCTTTGGATATCTATTTCCGTGCCACAATTTGGAGTACAATACTCTGCATCTTCCTTTATGTATCTTTCTTATTATCTAATCCGACATCAAGCTTCTTGTTTATCTCATATACTCTCAAATCTCTTCATCGATAGACATCTACTAACGCCAGATCTTGCAGTGGTCCGACGGACCTCGAGGATGTCCTGGTAAGAAATTCGGCCAAGTAGAATTTGTAGCAGCGATGGGTGGACTATTCCGCAATCACAGAGTAGAAGTTGTGCGAGAGGCGGGCGAGACGCAGGAAGCAGCTGAAAAAAGAGTACAGGAATTAGTTGATGATAGTGCGATGGTACTTTTGTTGCAGATGATGAAGCCCGAGAAAGCAGGGCTGAGATGGGTGAGAAAGGGATGAAGGAAATGTAATTTAATGTAAGAGGAGATCTCTGATTTGGGAATATATCAATGACTAGAACCATCTGATCTAAACTCCACCCAGCCCAACCCTGGCATAAAAAAACCCAACATCACAAGAATCTCAATTTACATTTCTACAACCCTCTAGCTCCTCCATCTACTCCCTATGCCCCTTTCCATTTCCCTTCCCCCTCTCCCTCTTGCTCTCCTCCTCCCTCCACCCAGGCCTCGCAAAAACCGCCCCAACAACCGACAACACACTACTCCTCCTCAAAAAAATCGTATACATCAACGTAGCACCCACGACCACGATTTCCTCTCTAAACCTCTCATTTCCTAGCACATCCTCCCCCAAAAACTCAACACATCCCACATGTGTCAGCGCAAGAGTATTAGCCGAGAATCTCGCAACAGGCATTTGTGATGCGTCTAGGCAGATGAAATCCCAAGTTTTCCATCCTGTGCTGCTGGTCCATGTCATTTTTACTGGTTGTTGTTTTTTTTCTTGAGTATCTGGATTCGAAATGAGTGTGGAAGTGGAAGAAGAAGTGGAAGTGGAAGAAGAAGTGGAAGTGGAAGAAGAAGAAGGAGTGGGAGTAGAAGTAGAAGCAGAACCTAAACAAAAAGTATGCGACAAATGCGCATACTCCGTCCTCCACCTCTTCAGCGCTTTAATCTTAATTTTCCGTCCGCGAACCTCGCAATCCGCATCGATGGATATGGGATGAATGGTTCCGGTACCGAATGTAGATTTATCGCTTGCGCATTTGAAGACGAGATGGGGTTTGAATGTTTTGTAGGTGATGGTGTAGAGGGGCTGGTGGGGATTGGTGGAGGGAGTGGTGGAGGGAGTTGAGATGGTTGATTTGAAGGTTTTCCAGGAGAAGCTTATGGGGAGGCTTTGGTGGGGGACGCTCAGTGACTTTAGAGCATCAAACTCGAACTCAACATCGAAACGACTCATTGACTTAGAAGCAAAGCTACTGCTTCCATAACTCAATAAAGAAGATCGATCATCTTCGACTTTTTGTATTATATTTCTGCTCTCACTGCGACATAAAAGAAGATTTCGATCGAAGGAGCTCCGGCTGTTATATTGTTAGTACAGTTCCAATACTTTCACTGAAGTAGTCTTCCTGGCGCTAGTAACATCTCAGGGACATACCATTGTATTGCCAACAATAATAAATTGAGAGCATTGATTTGACTGTTCAGGTGATTGCCGAGTTCTCTCATTTCGCCCTCATTCCAAAGTAATTTGATTTTCTCTTCAAAATTCAAGCCCTCTACGCAATTTTGGGCGAAACGATCGCCTAACAATAAAATGATAATGTGGCAATTTTTGATAGAGCTATTCAAATCATCGACGAGCTGCTCATACTCAACGTGCCCTCGTAGACTTGTCGTAATCCAATCTGAAAGTTCACTCAAAGCTGCTTTGATGATTGTCAGCTGACTAATCAAAATACTGAGCATCAGGTTGGCCATTTCATATTTCGAACGAAGTGTGATGAGGCTTTTGATAAGATTTGCGATCGCTGTTCCGGCTTTCAAGGCAGAGCCGGCTAGACCGATAATTGATACTGGATCCATTATGTCGCGAGTGATGTTTTCAAGAAAATGAGTGAAAGAAAAATTGAAAAATTGTAGACAATTTCAGACTATGTAGATTTAACAGATAAGCGCAGGCCTACCTAGCTCATTGTCAATTACACAACGTCGCATCAAGAGCGCCCGACATCATTGAGCCGCAAGCCGATAAGCTCCCACCTATGTATGGACTTTGTGACCAATCTCGATTGACCACATCATGTAATAGACCTACATGAGGCTGAGAATTAACACTAGCTTTTGTCAACGATTTGTGAGTTGTGGAGGAAGATAGAAAAAAGAGGACTAAAACTTCATATATAAAAGATTTAGCTCCGAAACTAGTCCTGTAAATGATTACACGTCTCCGTTTCCTATTCTGATTCCTGTGAGTGCGTACGTACTGATAGTGTTGTGAGATGAAGATATGTTCCATTATACGAAGCATTCATCCACTTATCCCATGTTCATTTGCAGCAGCGGTAGCAGTAAAGGGCCAGAAACCATCTAGCTAGATCGAACCACCAATATTTATAATCTTCTTATCAAGCTGGATTTATAAACATATAATATCTTGACAACGCCACTATGCACAACCCGTGGTATTCCCGAATCCACTTAACGCCATAGATAACTGTACCGAATCCCGCTCCTATTATGGTACCTAGTAAAAATCATACCTACTTGAAACCTTACTTTGTGCTTCACTGAGTAGCACATATACGATGAGAACTAGATAAAATTGCAGCCTCTCACATGTTGAGCTCATAAGGTTCATTCAGATGCTAATGCACCTCCCTTTCCTCCGAACGAGTTGATGTACGGAAATGATGAAAGTCCTTTGCAGTAGCTGAGAGTCTGGAGTCGAGATATTCAAGTGGGAATGTTGATCTCGTATCCAATCATAACTTCAGTCGTACTACCTTCCCAACCTCGATTCCCGGCAGCTGATATCATATATTTGCAAGTTGGATCGATATGCAGCGCAGCTATGACACCAGCTCGCGGGGGACCAGGAACGATAAGGAAAGGTACGGATGAATGTGATTTGGTCTGTGGTTGCTTAAGATCATATAAACGTAAGATATCGTGCGATGCACTGTTGTCAATTAGTATCGTGAATGGAGCAGAGGATAATGCTTAACATACCAAACCAAATGCCTGCCATTAGGCATGGCTCTCATAGCACTAACTGCACCACTTCCGTTTGGAAATTTGAATGTTCTTTCGGGTTGTTTCAGACCTTTATGCAGACTGAACTCTTCCACTGTGCCGTTCCTGCGACCAGCATATATATAGTTTCCGTCAGGTGACCAGCAAGCAGCCATACACCATGGGGGAACCCCTGTCCTAGTCAAGATTCGAGCAACTGGGTTCGGCTGACGTCTATCCCAGACACGAATAGTCCCGTCGATAGAGGCAGCAAGGAACGTCGAATCAGATGTCGCATCAGCATCTTGGGTTTCGGGCTCTATTTTTGCTTCAATTATTTCATCAGAGTGAGGTAAGCCATTGGGTAAATCTGAATGTGGTTGTTCAGATGGAATTTGAAGGGAAGTAGAAGGTTCTTCCTCAATTGGTGGAGGTGGTGCATCCATCATGGACACATCACCTTGAGAATCTTGACGTGCATCTATGTTTATATCTAGGGCTTTTGAGAATTCGTCCTCATCGTCACCAAAATTCCCTCCGGAGGGAGCTCCCAGCCCATCTGTGTCTCCAAATAATGAATCTCCACCCCCAAAAAGAGAGTCTGCAGGCGACCCAGGAGCATCCTCGTTACCTTCTGCGTCACCACCAAATCCATTCGTCCCATTAATACCACCGGAAGATCCATTCAACAATGCCTTTTCCCCATCATTGCTAGAGAAAGTTCCGTTTTGAGGCGTAGGTTCACCAGACTCTTCGGGAACAGGTAATGTAGAAGCCGGCCTTACTTCAATTGCGGAGATTTGTCCTCCACTACCATCGAAAGCGCGTTTGACTAGCCCGGTATTCAAGTCCCAATCTAGAACCTTTTTATCCCAACTTCCTGATAACACTGATCTCTCGTCACGAGCGAGGTTCAGTACCGAGACCGCGGATGTGTGCTTTGAAAGAACAGCAATTCTCTTACCTTCATCATGTCGTACTGACTGTAAATTTATGCTTCCCGATTCAAGTCCAGATAACATCCAAAGAGCCTCAGATTGTACTGCCAATGAATAGACCGGAGACAATGAAGGCTCCTCTCCTCCAGGGCCTCTAATTGATTCTTCGTTGTCCCAGTAGCTCATAAGTACGCCAGCCTTAACCACACTATCAACGAAAGGATGCCGTTGAGCAACAGTCAGTAATGTTTTGCCATTCACTGTGTCAACACCATTGTACTTTCTTATAAAACAGTCCGAGCCTCCACTGAACCAGTATCTCATATCAGGTGTCGCCGTAATCGCATTGATCGATGTACTCTGTGGGGCAGCTATCGTAGGTACAATGTCGTAAGTAGAAGCAGTCAGTGCTTCGGGCCTAACTTCATATCTGAATATCGGGGATAATAATGGAGCCGAAATATGCTGCGGCGAGGCGGAAGTCCTTATTAAAGTCGGATGTGAATGTGAGGTGGGACCCCCACCATTCATTTGCCCTAGCATTGTATTGTCGTTCAAGTTTGAGCTATGGTTTGAGGTGTGCAGGCTTGATCGCTGGATTTGCGCAGGAGAATCGTCTTCACCATCGCCATCATCTTGGTCATCCTCACCATTATCGTCGTCATTGTCATCATCATCCACATCTTCATCTCCATCAGCATCCCCGTCCCCGTCCCCATCCCCGTCTCCATCTCCATCCTCGCCGTCCCCGTCTCCGTCTACTTCAGGGTCTAGGTCATCTGCATCTTCCATCATATCATCTTGTTCATTGTCGGAGCTCGCATTGGACCCTGGCAAAGGCGCGAGTCAGCACTCAATAACATATAGTAGGGGTCGCGAGTACCTCGATCGTCGTCATCTAGCGCGAAATCCACCATTTTAATCGCCTACAATCCCTACTCCACAAGCCCAATCTTCGGGTTGAACCAGCAATGAATTCGCGTTGGCGCAAACTATTTAGCTTGAAATCGATTATGGGCAACGCGGGGCGCACAAGGATGTAGCAGCAGAGGCTCTGATACTCGGGATTAGAAATGAGGAAGAATTGGAACTTGAACAAGTGAAGGACTATGCAGATTTTCCGACGATTTAAAACAATGGAGTTACAAGTTAAATTACAATTGATTAAGGTCCTTTGTACAATTGACGATAATTATATTGAAATAATACAAGTAGAATTGATCCTTGAATTGTAAGATCTTATCAATGAAGACAGGGTTCTGAATACTACATAGACTGCACTGCTAGAAAAGTCACACTAGCGGCCGCATGAACCTTAAATGATGTATCACGTGGAAATTGCTAAGTCAACCATGGACTACCAGCAATCAACCTGGAAAGGCTGACCTGACTACTCTGTATCGCAGGTACAAATAGAGGTAAATCTAACTTTGTGTGTCGCTCTACACACACACTTCTTGGGCAGCATCTTGATCTTCCCTTTTGTTGAATCAAGGGAATGTGTAACATTGAATTCAGAAGAGAGTATTGAGAAATGAAATCATCAAGGTTAATTCAAAGCTGCTAATGTCTACTGATCATGACTGGCTTCTGATGTACCTTTATCTTCCAAATCTCAAGCTCAATCCATTCTCATTTAGTCCCGAGACATTCCAACATTCTAGAGATCTCTAGATGCGACTTTGAGATATGCACCGAGCGATCAGACATGATTCTGAGGTTGCATATATGATCTTATCAGTGACCTATCCATAGTGCTAGTATGCGTTTGTTGGTTGAACAATAGTCTATACTTGATGCGTCCACCGGATTCCATTCTATTGTTGTATTTTTCTTAACAGTTTGTAGAGAAATCGTAAGGTATGACACCTGGGCATCAAGCCTCGTTTGTTCAGGAGGTGCGTCCAAGGTGCATCATACACAAAATCACCATAATTTGACTTGGAAACCACCAAGTTAGATAAATAGATGGGCTAGATGGACAAACTACCTTGGTGAGGAGCTCAGGTATAATAATCTTCCGCTTGCTTCAGCATTTGCTTTATTCATAAAAGCAAAGTGTTAACATATGCAAGATCCCGAGCCAACTCAAGGGTAGATAGAAGTCAGTGGAAAGTGTGCACTCTTCGTTATCGGCCATTGATAATGATATTTCATGCTTTCAAATTTTGTTCAAGATTTCATTTCCAAAGAACTAAAAGCAGATTTTGAACTTATTTGCTACATCGTGACTATTTATTTTTAATATTTCTTGCCTCCTCAGAACCGCAGATGTTTCGTCATTTCATTTGCTTTCTCGCTTGCATTTAATTGTTTTGGGAAGCCTCTAGATAGAGTGAATCCTTCCTAATTTTTCTTCTTTGGAGATTCTGATCTCATTGTCAAGGCAAAGCAACTTCAAAATACTAAGATTACCAGGTGGGTAAGATTACACATCTGTACGCCTCACAAATCCTGGAATAAAAACCAGCAAGAAGATCATCTTGGATCCTTTTCATGAGATCAATTGCGTGTTTCATGGATAGGCGGTTGCAATCTTTCACATCATTGCTTGATTGATCGTGGTAATTGCATCGAAGGCTTCAACAGGGGTTCAAGAAATCTCATCTTTCCTCAAAGCTGCAAAACCACTTGATCTCTGGCGGCAGCATTCCCGGTGAGAGTAAGAAATTCTCTCCAGTTGATTCAGAATGAGGGAAATAATGCTAACTGTCTTAAGGAATCTCAAGGTCTATCACTCTTTGGATTCTCGTCCTCCAAACAAAGTTGGTATTTAATCAGGTATTCCAGTCGCCTTTTCTATCAGCTTGTGTTTGAAACTGAATTCCATCTTGCAATTTCACAGCCTTGCTGAGATATCCTTATATCACTTCTAGCTTGTTCAAAATCCTCACGACATACCGTTGTTTTCTGAATAGCAATCGCTGCGAACTTTACCATTTACCACACTTGGTGTTCCACCCGAACCAGAGATATCATTCACTTATATCGGTCCATAGTTCGATATTGCAGTCTATACTGCAAGTATCTAAATCCGAGCGTACACTAGGATTCATGCGCCAAGGTCAGTGAAATTATACGCCTCGCGCAAAGAAATGAAATATGGACTTGGCTAACTATTGATTCCAGGGGAAGATAGCCACCATGGTGTACAACAAGTCTTTTGCTAACAAAGTCTTGCGAGAGCATATAGAAAAGACTTACGCGAGAATCAATTTCCGTGAATCTTGGAGAAACTTACCCGAAATTCCATCTGGTGAAGAAATCCTTCAGGATGTATCATGGCAAGACATGGAAGCTCCGGAGCAGCCGTTGGATTATCAAAAGCTGGCGGAACCAAAGGAGTTCGACCCTCGTCTGCCCCACAACAATGTCGATGGAGCTTGGGATTCCAAGGAGGATTATCTTGGTTTTCATTACCAAATTCTACGTGAAGATGCAGTCGCTCCTCTTCGCCAATCTGTCGCGGAATTTAAGAAAAATAATGAAATGGAAGATACACAAGATACTTCTATTTATACTGATGTACGTCTTTCGGTAGCCCAGCAAGCGGCGACGCACTACTTACTGACATTTTTTTACAGGTCCACCTTGTTGGTTTACAATTGTGTCATCTCGGTCCAGCATTCCGAATCGAATTCTCAAGCGACAGAGCTGGAAAACAGATTCGGTGGGAGCAGTCAAGCCGGCTTACGCAGGGCAGCCTGGTCTGCCTGAGTCCAACTAGCGACATGTTTCGTTCTGTTTGCAAAGTTGGTACGGTTGCAGCTCGACCTATAGAAGGTGGTCTGGATCGTGACCCTCCACAAGTTGACCTTTTCTTTGGTGACGACGAAGATATCATCTTGAACCCAGTGGATTGTAAGTTTCATGTATTTTAATTTTGGTAAAGGCTAATATTTCCGGCAGCATATGTCATGATACAGGCTCGTGTCGGATTTTTTGAGGCGTACCGCCATGTGCTTGTAGCACTTCAAAAACTGACCATTGAAGAATCGTACGTAGATAGAACTGGCAAAATACCAAAAAAGTCAAGGCTAATGAGAACAGACCATATATTGAAAAGTATCTGATTCAACTAGACAAGAATATTTTACCACCTGATCATATCAAGGAAAGACCTTGTCTTGACCTTCGCTCGATTGCTATATCGAGTAATGAACATCATTCTCCTCTCACTGACGAAGAAGACGAAAATCTATGCCATGTTGACATTTTGAAGGAGTTTCCAAATCTTCCCAAATCAGGAATGGATGACTCTCAGCTCGCGGCTTGCAAGCGCATGCTCACTCAGAGTTTAGCCATAGTACAGGTGAGAAACTCATATTCAATCATGCTAAGGTGTTTTTTGAAATTCCATGAACTAACTTTGTATCCCGTCTGTAGGGTCCACCTGGTACTGGTAAGACATTTACTTCCGTACAAGCCCTGAAGGTTATGCTGTGCAACAGAAGACGTGGACCGATCATTGTCGCTGCCCAGACTAATCATGCTCTTGACCAATTGCTCACCCACATTTCCGGCTTCGAAGATAATTTCGTGCGTCTTGGAAGTAGATGTGATAAGGGGAATCCTACCATACTAGCACGAACGTTGTATGAGCTGCGTCAGACGAATAAAGATATGAAAGCTAGACATTTCACTGGCTACAGGTCAGCTGCAAATTCACACGATGCTATGGTTCTCTTAATCGAGAAATTACTTTCTGATGTCACTGAGGAAGATCTTCTATCAGGCAAAGTTCTGCTGGAATGCAGCATATTGAGTCAACAACATTTTGATTCTTTTTTCGAACCTGGCTGGTCAAGCTCACTAGATAAGGGTGATGAGAGTATTGACCCTCTCCTTTCTTGTACGTATTGAAGATCTCAAGAATTCAATCGCTGATCTCTACTTACTTGAATTATAGGGCTCGGGCCTGAGCAGATAGTGCGTATGCCGAGGACTCCAGGAATCAACAGGAATCTTGAGGTAGAGGATCCGGATCAGGAGTTCGAACAACTCCAAGAGGTAGAAGTTGAAGTCCAAGCGAAAGACAACAAAGAGTCTCTTAGCGGAACATGGATTCCATTAAGGCGTGGATATACAGGCAAAGTTAAGAGCCGCCGATTCAAGGGCGGCAAAAACGACCCTAGAAATATACTCGCCAAAACTGAAAGTCTCTTTGATATACCAGAGAAGCATCGCGGTGCTGTTTATTGCTACTGGGAAAAGCTTTACTATGATCAACTTACACGTAAGCTTATTGAGAAACTGGCTATGTACCAAAACTCGATGAGATATTTAAAGATGGCAAAGGTACTCTAATCATTCTCGAAATGGTCTAGTATGATGCTAACAGAAATAGTGGACGCGCGATGTCGAATTCATTGATCATATTGGCACTAAGGTTATTGGATGTACAACAACTGGTTTGTCGAAATATAGGGGACTACTTTCTGCTCTGAATCCCAGCGTCCTACTCATTGAAGAAGCGGCAGAAACTTTAGAGGCAAATGTGACAGCAAGCATTATACCGTCACTGGAGCAAGTTATACTTGTAGGAGATCATCGTCAACTCACGGCAAATACAACACTCGACCGCTTCATGTCGCACCCATATTTTATGTCAATATCCTTATTTGAGAGACTTGTGAATAATGGTATGGGCTACACAATGTTGAACAAACAACGCCGTATGATCCCAGAGGTCAGAGAGCTTCTATGTATTGACCCGAATCCATTCTACGTCAACCTTCATGATCATCCTAACGTTCTCGACCGAATCAACCATCGTCCCCCGGTCCCTGGCATGAGATTTGATTCATTCTTCTTCACTCACAAATGGCAGGAGCGAAGAGATGTCAACATGAGTTGTTACAATGCACCGGAAGCTGAAATGGTTGCTGGGTTCTTCAATTACCTAGTCATCAATGGCATTAAGCCAGATAAAATCACTGTGTTGACGGTATGGAATAGCACTGACGAGTTTATATGATGCATCACTGACAGATCCTTAGTATTACAACGGTCAACGAAAATTACTCCTTAAGGAGCTTAGTCGACGTGTTACAAGCGTCACAGCACCATACTTTAATGTGTACACCGTTGATGCATATCAAGGCGAGGAAAATGAAGTCATCTTGTTGTCGCTAGTAAGAGGTAATTCTTTCAATTCTGTAGGATTTTTACGCAGCAAGAATCGTGTGGTTGTCGCTCTGTCACGTGCACAACGAGGTCTTTATATCTTTGGAAACGCACTCACTGTTGCTGGACAAGAAGGTGAAAATGGTTGTCGAGAGCAGTTATGGATGCCAATTCTCTTGCATCTATTAAATGAGGAAAGATTAGCGTCTAAGCTACCTATTGTATGCACCAAGCATCAAAACCTCACCCATGTCTCTGAGCCTGAACACTGGGAGGATCTAAGCGGTGGCTGTCATGAACATTGTGGTGGCATGTTACCATGCGGGCATTTATGTCCATATAAGTGTCATCCAAATCAGCATGATCAAATTGTCTGCAAGGAGCCTTGTGAACGGATCTTGGCCTGTGGTCATGGTTGCAGTACCAATTGCGGAGAAGTTTGCCGGTGCGATGACTGCCGTGCATTAGCTCGCTTGCAGACTCTTGAGCTAGAATCTGATTCACGGGAAATCATCGAGGAAGAAAGAACTGAAAAATTGGCAGTCAAAGTTACCTCTACTAAGCAAAGACAACGTTCACCACAAAAGTTCTTCTCTGAGTCCTCGAGTCGCCCCAAGACATTCAAGCAAACCTCTCCCAAGAAATTAGACCAAAAAATTGGCTGGAGCAATTCATACACACAGTCTACATCAAACCAATCTAATGGTGAAAAGCCGTATTTTACATTTGTATCATCACCTCAGAAGAGAGAACTGTCACCAGAAAAGGGCCGACAGGCTTGGGATGCCTGGGATCCCATTCGCTCAGACAATGACATTAACCAAGAACGTCTTGAACGGGAAAAGTTAGCAAGCGAGAATAAACCAAATCCGGAGGACTTGGTCTTCGAAGAAACTCACAAGCCGGTTACATTTGTTAACGGAAAGAGAATTGTTGGTCCTAGAGTCCAAAATATCATTCCTCGCATGCAAAGCAGTAATGTGGTTTCTGGTAACAAAAACGAGAATCCTAGCAGTGGAAATGGAAATTTTGGTAACGGTAGTGCGATTACTCTCGGAAAAAATGAGATTTCTAGCTCCGCTAACAGTGTCATTCCTCACAACAATGAAGTTCCAAGCCGCAACAGCGAAGTCCCTCAGAGTACTAACGGAGTCACTTCCAGCAGCGAAGTTACTAGCCGTAACAATGGGATTGATTCTAGCAGCAATGGCGCTGTTGCCAACAATCAAATTACTGCTCCTCAAGCATCAGGAGGTGAGATGCTCAATTTGACGAATGACGATTTCGACTTTTTGGAGGGCCTATAAATTTTAAGCTTGCTCGATAGTGTTTAGAGATGGATCAGATCACCGGGATCAATAGCTTTACTGTAGCCCCTCCCCTTTTTTTCTCGCTCAGGGAGAGTTCTCAAGCTTTAACAATATATCCAGCGACTTCACTTTCAGTGCTAGCCGGGGAGTAATTAACGACTCGTTGCTTGCTTGCTTACTTGCTAATTTTACTTGAGGTTTGTTATTTTAAGCTATGGTCATTTGATGATTCTGACTTTACGTGCAACTTAAGATCTTACCACGACAGTAAGGTTAAGCAGACAGATAATAAATAATAAGAAGCAAACCAATGGCAAGATTAGAGAAGAGATGAGATGAAATGAGCTCAAAGAAAAGAAGAGATAATACTAATCATTCTGCTGTGACTTTATAATCTACCGACATATTTACATCTGTAACTACCCGGCTACCTAGTATTTCTACAACTACAGGTCTTCCATAAACTATTAACCTATAGCTAATAACCAGCCATAAATCTATGATCCTGCACGACCTTAGCGGCCAAATGAACCTGACCCCCAGCGGCTATTCTATCCCGATTGTATCTGAATTCGGACCTTTTCTTCAAAAGTTTCCCCAAAGACTTTCTCTGCCTTCTTCTTCTTGAACTCGTGTCTCCGTATCTCCTTCTCCATATTCTCAATTTGGTTTCTTCTGATTTTCCAGTCTGGAGACGTACGTGACCTGTATATGTTTGATAGGTGATTTCTCCTCGCAGGAAGGACTTGTATCTTTTGATTATGGCGGGGACTTCTTGGAATGCCCAGTTTGCGTGGTATTTGGAGAGGACTTGAGATGGTTTGTAGATGAGATAATTGATCCATTGTCGCATATACATCCTGCTAATTTTCAATTTGAAGTGATGGAATGTGAAGTCTCTTTGGCGGATGCTTGTCATTACGGAGTCGGGCTTTCGTCGCATTAGACTGTTTTCATACAGGATTCTGTAATGATTTGATCGGCGGACCAATTCGTTATGTAGTTGATGAGCTTCAGTAATGAGTATTTGGGCTTTTCCAAATTTTCGGGCAGAGAGTAAGTGGCGAATGTAAATATTATACATGGAAAGATTAGGTCTGATGTTGTAGGGCTCCGAAATCATATTGTCCCAAACTCTGTCCATGCTGGCCGAAGGTAGCATTCCTTCGCCAAAACCTCTCTCACGTTGAGAAGCACTTGGCCGTCTCCCAGCAAAAACTGCAGTCCACTCCAGTAAATCTTGCCAAGTTTCTTTCGAAATTTTGATTGAATACTTCTGTGATACTTGGTCAATAACATTCATAGCCATTGGCAAATCGTTGTTTATGCAATATATATGAGCTATGGTTCGTAGTAATCTTTGGGATGGATGCAATGGAGAATCCGGAAGGCGTGCATTGAGTTTTAAATTCTCACTACTCTTCAATTCGATGTCGATTTGCCACACCCGTTTGAGAATTGTTTCAGCAGTCTGAAGATCTCCCTCCCGACTCGCAGAAACCATCAACAAGCAAAATGTCTCCTCGTCTCCCATCAAACCAGCAGCTGACATTTCTTGGAATAGTCGAGTGACCAAAATTCGGACTCCATCATTGGAGCCTATTCGGTGTCGACTAAGTTGATAAGGCCTGTCGCCCCATTGGCGAAGCTCTTTATAATGGGAAATGACTCTTAATCTGTTAGAATGGTAAGGACTGAGAATATCTGACCAACACATAGTAGCCATGTAATAATTAAAGCATTCCACATCTGGTATAACTTGTCTACTTCCCATGATCTGATATCGATTGGACATCATAGACTTCCATGTTGAATCTGCTACTGCTTGATGCCCTGTAAATTTTGCAGCTTTGAGAAGCATTTTGTATTCGGAAAGGGACGGTGGATATTTTATCCGGCGTTTCATAATAATCCGATGCAAGTGCCAAAGATAGACAGTGTAAGCGCGATGAGTTCCATCAGAATCGACCGTATCAATCCTCATCTCTAATAACTCTTTGTGCTTGAAATTATGCAATAACCGTTGGTGTCTTCCGAAAAAATGTTTGGGATCCAATAGTCTCAGGATTTCGGAGAAAGTATTTGGAGGAATGTCCAGTAAAGGGGAGTAATTCACACCAAAATTGTCCACATCAGAAAGTTTCACTAAAACTTTAAGAAGCTCGTGGGGGTCTCGTAATTGAAGTGCTCTAAGCACATTTTTGTATCCAAGAACCATTTTTGCTTCCTTGAGGAGAATTCTTCGTTGAGCAAGACTAACGGGTAATCCAACCCCGACTTTTCGAATAACAGAGACCATGTCAGATTCATCGGATGATTCATCTGTTTCCTTTGTTGTCGGGATTTCGATTGGATAGATATCTCCATATGCTTCTTGACTTTGGGATTTCTGCGTTGCATGCTTTCCAACCCACCAATCTTTTAAATTTTCTGGTTTACTCCATGCTGGCAACATCCATTCTGGCGTTTTGAAAAAAGTCTTCACATCTCGAAATTTATTCTTTATCTCGTATCTTCTCCAATATTCACGTTTTGGTGCTTGCAATCCATCATTGGTGGCCTCGTCTCCCTCCTTCAATTGATCGATCCCGGTATCTTCTTCAATGTCCGATTCTCCCGGCAGAGACTTATAGTGACCATTTTCTGGACCTCTGGAGTCGTATAAACATCTTTTCCCATAATATGATCTGCCGACTTTTGTAAATGAGTGTGTGGTATGGAGGGCTGTAGCGATTCTGGACTTGCGCGTCTCAAAAGCGCGCAAGAAAGGTCCCATCAGGTATGGTTTTGTAAATCATCATTCTCTCTTCCTTTCCCTCCTTAACTCGCATTGACCATGTAATTGATGATCAATTTCAATGAAATCCGGGGAAAGCTGGGGAAAGCTCAAAAGGGTCCACTTGGTGTTGTTGATGGCGGGAAGTAAAAAGTTATTTCTTAGATTTTGGTGGACGTGGGACTTGGTGGTCTTGGCTTGGTGGCTTGTGGAGGATTTTCGGTAGAATATTTGAAATTTTTAGTGAGGGCCGGAAGTTGCCGCATCAACCTCTTTGCGATTTGAAGGTAATTCAGCACGATAATCCAAGAAATCTTCCACGCCAACGCACCTTCATCCGCACAAACAAAACAAATATGGCAGATATTGATGATGGTACATCCGCACCAGCGGAGCCCCTTGATTTGGTGCGACTTTGTCTCGACGAGGTTGTTTATGTTAAATTGAGAGGAGATAGAGAATTAAAAGGAAGGCTTCATGTGGGATATACCCTTGCAAAAGCTTCCAGAGGTCATACTAATTATTGGTAGGCTTATGATAGTCATTGCAACTTGGTATTGGGTGATGTGGTAGAGACCATATATGTTGTGGAGGAGGGTGAAGAAGATGATGAAGAGGAAATCATAAAGGTTGGTCTATGTTCTTCTTAACAGATGCTTCTGGCTAACTCTTGCTCCCCAGACCGTCGTTAAGAAATCCGAAATGTTGTTTGTTAGAGGTAAGTTCTCTTAAGCTTGGAGTTGGGTCATTATCCTATATCTAATATTCTTTGAATTAGGCGACAGTGTTATACTTATTTCACCTAGATCCTCATGATATCACATATCGACATGCCACAATACGATGGAAAGTAGACATCTACTGGAGAGGAAAATGCCACATCAGAAGAACCCATGAAGGATGGAATAATGAGAACTACGGCGGGCATAAAAGGGACAAAATTTCATAGCGGGCTGGCGACAATTACTAAAATTCGATATCTCCATAGGCCATGAAGGATAAATAGGCGCGAGAAGGAAACACGAATAATATATGCAAATACTTCAGTCAAGATACGTGGATTCGAGTGGATGTGAGCTTGTGGTGCTATAGGTGCTTGATTATATCTAGCATTTCTGTGATTGGTTGCACTGATCTCTACATTGCTGTTCGTTTGGAACCGCGCGGGTTTAGCATACTGTGAGGTGTTACACCGGCACTTTTTGTTGATGCATAGTTGCATTGATTCTCTTGCGATGCCTCTATCGAAGAACTCCGTGAGGTTTGCTTCAGGCTGGTTAATCCTACTTGAGTTTTATTGCGCAGCTGAGATGCGCCAACTCTTGCTCACCATCATCTGAGATGCTCATTGCGAACAGTTAAATGTCAGAGCAAGGTACATTTAGCAAAGCATGGAATAGCTCCAGAATATTCCGGAGGAAAGAGTGTGTCAAACTATGGTTCGTGGTTTTGGATCTCATAACATCGGAATATAACACTGGTAGCTCCCTGCGACAATGTTTTCTTCCATTGACATCATCTGCATCTTCAAACTCTAGCTATACCTGAAACGCGTTTTTGACTTTACATCGATTTTATTATAACCTAAAGTGTCAATGCTCTGGGTGAGCAGCCAGTATGGAATTCTCGTGCCAGTGACCGTTGTATTTAACAACATTAATTGATTTACGCACATTTGTTTTGCAAGAAGCCCGCATGAATATGTAAAAAAAACCCAGATATTGTACAGTTTCCACATGCCCGTATAATAAATCATTCTCTATTCTGCACATGCACATGCACTGGATAAGCTTAAGCTATTGTGGGGGTTCCAGAGGTTCTTGAGCCTCATGTGTCACTTGTGCTCCGTAAGGCTACTTGCTATTCAATATATATATATATATATCTATGTGTTCGATAATCTACCATTGGCACAATTACTGAGGTTATTACTTACGAATAGGATCTTTACATGTCCAAAATGGAAATTTATGAAAAGGCCTTTTTATAGGAGTCATAATAGACAGAGAAGTATCAAAGCCTCGGCCTTCAAATATGACTCAAGGATCAATGATTCATTCATCCAAAGTTCCCTTATCGATAAAGCTTCACTCCAGACTTCACACCGAACAGTCATCACTTACAGTAACTCACACTTAAGAACTTGTCTCCCCCCTTTGTAACTCTTTCCCATTATATTCATTATTCCTGAGTATTGTTTTATTCTAATATTTCTTGAAAGTACTCTCCCATGATCCTTCGAATATAACATAAGTAAATTGAGTTATTGCCACAGTACTTTTCTAGAAAGCAGGCAAACGAGACCATGACTTCAAAAGGCAAACAGCTTCCACATGAGCGGCGGAAAGGCGAATCTGTACTTTACCCCTTGGCAGAATTCGTTTCATATCTCTAATCAAGAATAGGCTCTCAGTGAATTCGCGGAATATGTTGAAAAGCAACAAGCACTTCGATATCCCTCTCATTCTACTGCTAGTTCAACCACAGCAGTTCCATCAACCACCGCATCGTCTACCACTTGTGTGGAAGATCACGCTGAACTTACGGATATCTTAAATTCTCTCGATATAGCAGATACTAGTCCTCAAGTACGAATAAAAGATTTACTGCTCTCTACCGAAGACGAGAAATTGACAGTCCTTCAAAATGTTCTAGAGATGCGATTGGAGGAGGGACATGGAGAGACTATCTTTGAGATTGGATTCGAGAATAATGGTGATATAATGGGGTTGAACAGAGAGGAGTGGGATGCTGCTCTTAAAAGGTTAAGAGAAGCTGCAGGGAAATGTAATAGTGATTGTCAAGTACTTTTGACGAAAGGAGTGGGTGGCGAGGTAGAGGGCGAGAGTGGAGAGTCAAAAGAAAAAGACTGTACAGGAAAGATTCTAATACGACAACATCCTGCTAGTGTGGAAGAGGTCATCGAGACAAGAATTGCTGTTGTAGGAAATGTCGACGCAGGCAAAAGTACCATGTTGGGTGTATTGGTGAAGGGTGGATTGGATGATGGAAGAGGAAAAGCAAGAGTCAATCTCTTTCGACATAAACACGAAATCGAAAGCGGAAGAACCAGTTCTGTGGGAATGGAAATCATGGGCTTTGATACCCTGGGGAAAGTTATTGCATCCGATGTCCCGGGGAGGAAATTATCATGGGAGGAAATTGGAAAACGATCAGCGAAAGTTATCTCCTTCACCGATTTGGCTGGCCATGAACGATACTTACGAACTACTGTCTTTGGACTTTTATCTTCATCGCCAAATTACTGTTTACTGATGGTCGCTGCAAATAATGGCCTCATTGGTATGAGTAAAGAACATCTTGGTATTGCCCTTGCGTTGAATGTACCGGTTATGGTTGTCATTACCAAAATCGATATATGCCCTCCTCAAATTCTTGAACAAACCATCAAACAAATTACTGGAATATTAAAAAGTCCTGGAGCAAGAAAAATTCCAATTTTTATCAAGAATCGAGAGGAATGTATTAATACCGCCACTCAATTCGTTAGTCAACGGATTTGTCCAATCTTCCAAGTATCTAACGTCACTGGAGAATCCTTGGATCTCGTTCGAGCATTCCTTAATATTCTCCCTCATCACGGCCATTATGATGCCGAGGCACCTTTCGAATTTCATGTCAATGATACTTTCTCTGTTCCATTCGTAGGGACCGTAGTATCAGGGATTGTCAAATCAGGTGTTGTCCACGCTGGTGATACGGTACTCATTGGACCTGACTCATTAGGTCAATTTACAACCACAACCATTCGTTCCATTGAACGTAAACGAATACCAGTCCCAGCTACATCTGCTGGTCAATCCGCTTCTTTCGCACTCAAACGAGTTCGAAGAAAAGATGTTCGAAAAGGAATGGTTGTTCTTCCAAAACTCGAACATAATTCCCCTAAAGTCTATCGAGAATTCGTCGCAGAAGTTTTGATTCTTTCTCATGCTACCACTATCAAGACAAAATATCAGGCTATGTTGCATGTAGGACCGGTTAGTCAAACATGTGCTATTATCGATATTGATCGAAGTTACATTCGAACGGGCGATAGAGCAACGGTTGCATTTCGATTCGTGCAAAGACCGGAGTACTTGGCTCCGGGTGATAGATTGTTGTTCAGAGAAGGTAGGACGAAAGGATTAGGAATTGTGAAGAGTGTAGGTTATGATCCGGCGAAACCGTTAGGGGGTGTTAAACCTGAATCTGAAGGTACTGAAACGGAACCTGTAAAGACGGATACACCAGCTGAGGGATCAAAAGCTACTTAGGGGTTTGGTGCCTGACTAGACTATGTTTTATTGTTTTATCGTGTCATGGAAGCTGGGTCAGAATCATGCCAAAGACCGAAGATGGTGATGGTGTATCAAGGAGATGGAATAGATTACTTCTTGTGTTTGTGTCTTCATTAAGGTTACTTGCTTGGTTTGGAGATGAGTTTATGAGTTTATGAGTTTATGAGTTATTGTCTAGATATTTTTCCAGCGTGCGCGTGCGGATTAAATGCATACAGCGAATACCTATAGATACCAAAAATATTATATGTTGCATGGATCCTCTCCCAGTTTTGTGATTTATGATTATGATTAATAGCTAAGGTTAATAGATTATAGTCTGTCTTTTTCTTCAGGTAGAGATAGAATATGGAAGATTATAACACTGCTATACTATATGGAGTATGGAGTACGAGGTAGTAGGTAGGTATTGTATTGTATTGGGTGTTTTTAGTGTGTAGGATTTAGAATTTAGTTTGATAGATGATAGATTTTACATAGAATTGCAACTTCTAGTTATAATCTTAATTCGAGATTTTCACTTCTTTTTCTATGTATAGTCAACTTGTCAAGTCATAGGCTCATACACCGGTCGTAAGAGTAGGGCTGGTGGTTCTATACATGTGAATTGTAATCAGAAACTGCAATATTACCACGTGATTAATGTTAACATGTTCACGTGAGGGGAACACACCCCAAGCCAAGCTGTCCTATGACGTAGGAACAAGAATTGCGGGGTACACATACAACGTCATCTATGGTATCATACTGGGATAGGAGTTTATCTAAGGTTAGGATGGATATTTGATTGGTAGGTTTTTTAATACACTCAAATTTCAGTTATATTCTGTTGTGCTACTGAAGGATGGATGGTGGAATTCCCCGAGAGAGCAAGAACAAGGATTTTAGGGAAACTTTTTTCTTTTGTTGTGGCTTGAATTGTCCAATTGAGTTGGTTATTTTCTCCTTTTTGCTAGGTAGGTAAGTGTCGGAGAAAAGAAATAGGCCAATGAGAATTGGAGTGGTTACTCCTCCTACGTCAGCTTGGCGTCTGTGATACTTTGTGTGTTTGTGATACTGTGGAGAGAGGGGATTTTACTTCTTGGTTTTTGTGGCTTTGTGATGAGGGAGATGAGGATAAGGATGGGATGGGATGGGATGGGATGGGATGGGATGGGATGATGATCATGATGATTGGGTTATGCGTTGGGTTTTGCGTTTTCAATGCGGCGGCATAAATGAATAAAGGTCTGGAATTCCGGTTTTCTCCAAGTTATCTTTTTTTTCTTGTTATATATACATACGTAGCTTTATACCCATACTTCATATAAAACCTTTGATAAAAAAGGTGTCATCCATACATACATACCTCGCCCAACAAATAAAAGTTTCTTTGATAAATCTCACTCCCACATTCCATTCAAACTTCCTTTACAACTTCACAACTTACTCATCCAAAGACATCGAAATCGAAATATCACAACGCAGAAACCATGGAAACGGTAAATAATACGGTTAATAATATCGCAGCAGCTGCTTCGAAAGTTATTTGGGGTGAACCTCAGGAAACTACTGATGCAGCGAATGCAACGGTGGTGCCGGAAACGAAGGGGACGGAACCGATTAGTGGGGAGATGGGTGATACACTGAAGGGAGAACCTTATGATAAGGGAAATTTAGGTTGGCTGTCCCTTCTTTTTGTTTTTCTCTTTGTGCGGTGATGTGGATGTGGATGAGGATGAGGATGAGGATGAGGAGGAGCGAAGAAGAGATGAAATAAATGAGATAAATAAACAGATGGACAAACTAACACACAACCACTAGATTCCACCAACACCGACCCAACAACCACAAACACAAGCACAAGCATAAAATCCACCCCCACCACCACCCTATCACCCCCAGGCCAAGCCGCGCAAACCATCGACCCCTCCCGCGCCTCCTCCACCTCGGACATCGTCGCAAAAACCCTCTCCGATACTCATATTGCGCCTCTATCATCCGAAAACCCCTCTACGACCAGTTTCAAAACTTCTTCTGAGAAACCGTTAATATCAGCTGAGAAGCCTTTGATTTCTGAGAGGATTAATCCAAATTTACCTCTTCGGTCGGAGAATCAGTCGGCTCGAGTAGGAGGTGCGGAGACTTTGGGTGCGCAGAGTGGGGATGTTGTATCTACTGCAGCTGGGGAGAATAAGGGATTAACTCCTGGAAGTGGAGTTGGAGTTGGAGATGATAAACCAAGTAGCACATCTAATGAGCAAGATGTAAGAACGGATTTAAAACCCGTGAGCCCAGACACCAAAGCGAATGTCGCTGCAGAAACACAAGATAAAAAAGAAAAACACATCACGACAACAGGAACCGCGGCCGAGGGAGGAAATTTCGATGCTACCAAACCCGGTGCGGGAATCGAGGCAGATAGATTATTGGGGAAGGATGGGAAGACGGAGAAGATGGATGCGGGGGTTAGTGGGGGGACGGTGGGGGTACTTCGACTGCTGATGATGAGGGGGTAAGTGGATTGAGTGAGCAGGGTGGTAGTGAGGAGGAGCATGATCATGAGCATGGGGAGGGAAAGAAAGAGGGAAAATTGGCGCATTTGAAGGAGAAGATTAAGGAGAAGTTGCATAAGCATTAGGGGTTGAGGTTGAGGTTGGATGGATAGTCATGGGTGGAGGTGTGAAAGATGTTGCTCTTGACCTTGGATTCGGTGCTAGGTTTATTCTCTTGTTTGGCTTGGGAAAGTTTATTTATTTCATGTGATTACGAGTATGTGTTATGATGTTATGAGCTGAGCTGAGCGGAGCGGACAATTTATGAAGATTTGGAATTTTTGACTTTTGAACTTTTAGCGGGATAGTGAAATAAAATGAAGTTTGATATGCTCATCGATTATTCAGACTTATCCTCATGATATAACCTTACTTACTATATTATAATAACAACAACAACAACAACAACAACAACAACGGAACCTAAATGCGATATATACATACACATACCTAGGTACTCGAGCATTCCCAATACCTTAAAGTTAATAACTTCCGTACCAGGTACCTAATTAGTGTCAAGCAACCTTCCTCTTACTTGATCTATATACGTCTTGATTATATCCTTTAGATTAAATCTATCGGTTGTAATATGATATATGGAATATGAACTTATCTTCTTCTTCTTCTTCTTCTTCTTCTTCTTCTTCTTCTTCTTCTTCTTTTATTTAATAATTATAATTTATTTGATTTTGTGAGATAGATAAAGGATATCCTATCTGTCTTTCAGCACGGTTCTGAAGCAGTATCTTACCTACCTACCTACCTATCTAGTATAGGTTATAAGAATCAGAAATCACAGTTATGTATTATTGAATTAGCGGGTGTTGATTCATTCGAGGAGCTTAATTTCTATCCATCTATCCATCACAGATCTAGTATCAGTATCCTCATCAAGCTGAATGCAGCTACAGTAATAATTCAAGAGGAGAGAGACAGACATGATGTTTGATTATTCGAGCTATCTATCCATCTCTCTAAAACCCATCTCTTCAATCAAAATGCCCATTAACATGATGCGCGACAGCCACCTCATCCCCTTCAAATTCTCCACAAACAGGACAAATACTCAATACCGATTTGAAAATTTGGTCACTTGATCTCTCCTCCCCTGCCTCTCCATCTCCATCCTTCCTCTCTTCATCTTCTTCGTCCCTATTATCCCCCTCATTACCATCAACTTTCTCAAGATCTTCTACCACTTTACTTCCTTTCTTCCCTTTCCCTTTTCCCTTCTGATTTCCTTTTACAACGATATAATCTTCCAAGCTAGCGCCGGCAGTACTAACCGCGGAAGATTCGTCATATCCGTCGTTGCGGAAATCGGTGTAGGTTTTGAAAGGTATTGCTTCTTTCTTCTGCTCTTCCTACTCCTTCATTAATCGCACCTCCCTCTCCATTTTCTCCCAATCCCCTCCTTCCGCCCTCACCTACCACCGCTTCTTCCTCTGTACATAATCTTTGGACGCGCCTAAACTTCATTAGTAACCCATCATCCATACGCATCAATCACCAATCACCAAACAGGAAACATTAAAAAGCCACTCGGAAATTCCAAAACCCCTGCCATCTCTAAAACCCCTTTCCCCAACGAAAAAAACTAAAAACTCACCCAACCCGTCCATCCCTCAACCTAACCTTCACCCCCTCGGATGATCCCCCTCGTAAGCAACTCCCCACAAACCCCTCACCTCCCTCCCACTCCCTGATCCATTTTCAGAACAATTGACACGGGTGTTCCGGGACTCAGAACCGCTATTCGAGGGATTTGTTCTTGGGATGAGTGAGGTTGTCGATTATTATAATGGCCCCTACCGCCACCACCACCACCACGACCACGTGCTCTAGCGCGAGTTCCTCCGCGGGAAGATTGTTGTGGCGTGTTCATTTTGTGGTGATGTGGTAATTATAATCAGGACGAAATGGATTGGGTTATCAATGTCAACTCCGTCTTTATACCCCGTGACTTTATGAACTTAACATATATTTAACATGTTGAATCACGCCCAGCGTTAATCCCTAATCTTATCGCCGATCAAAATGATACCACCCCAAAAAGAACGTCAAATATCTCTCTTCTGAGTCTTAGTTATCACTCACAACTTCTTAGAGTAAAGCTTTTGATTGGAATTTGGAATGGATGTTAGGAATTAGAAATTAGGAATTAGAAATTAGGAATTAGAAATAAGTAATAAGTTATTGGTAGTGTTTACCTTGTAATCTTATGCTAAGATATTTTGATTCTTTTAAGGTTATTATCTAGTAATTATTTCTACACAAAAAATAACCATAGCTAGTTCTAGTCCTAGTTCTAGCTCATCTCAAAAATAACAATTCTCTCATCACAATCCCAAAAAACACATCTAAACTTCCCTCCTCAGCACACTCCCATTCTCCCAAATCAAACCTATCAATCATCCTTCTCAATAAGCAAATCTTCTCTGCCCCTCCATAATTCTCCTATTCATCCACGCATAATAAACCCTTAATCCCACACAACCTACACAAACAAAATACAATAGACCGGCATTAACCCAATGACCTAAGGGAAAACCCTCTTTTGCCTGATCTGTCTTATAAATCCAGACACCTGCGATCTGTCCTGTTGCTCCTACTGAGATGTTAAGCGCGATAGCAAGTCCAATACCAGCTGTTGAGAAGGTATTTGAAGTGAGGAAACCCAGGAGAGGTGGGATGCAGGAGAATGCTCCTGAGGCGGCAATGATGAGACAGCCGTAGCGGGAGGTGTAGGATGTTGGGGGGAGGAGGGCGGAAGCGGTGAAACCGATGGCGCCGATTAAGGCCATGGTTGAGGAGTGGAGGGAGCGACTAGATAGGTTAGATGGGTTAGATGGGGAGGGAAGTAAAGGAGAGAGATCGGGAGGGAAAGGAGAAGGGATTTACTTACGCGTTGAAGTGATCAGCGGACCAAGAGACGAGAATTGTTATGACGTCTGCAGAGAGGTCAGAATATATTAGAAACAAAGAGAATGATAGACGTACAAGCAACAGCGTATGGTGGAACCGTCATAAGTTGAGCCTCTAGATTTTTATACCCAAGGCCAGCGGTAATACTCGGAGTGAATAAAGATAAACTCGAGAAAGGTGTTGAGATACCAAAGTAAATCTAACTTCAGATTAGAAAATCATTAACCATCGTGTGATATACGATACTCACTGCATAATGAGCATATAATCTCCAAGTACAAAGAGTTTCCTTCGCCTCTTTCCACGTCAATCCCTTATCACCCGCTTTAGATCCTTCGGTAGCAAGTCTACTTGTAGCCAAATCCTTCTCATCCTTTGATAGCCATTTTACAGTCTCTGGATAATCTGGGAGGAAGAAAAATACCAAGATGGACGATAAACAAGAAGGGATCCCCTCAATTACAAATAACCATCTCCAAGCTGACATTCCATCTGTACCATTCATATGACCAACACCAAAAGCAATAACACCACCAAAAGCTCCAGCAAGTGTTGCGGAAGCGAGAATAAATGCAACGCGAATCGAGCGTTCTGAAGTACGATACCAGAAAGTAAGGTAGTATACAAGACCCGGGAACAATCCTATTATGATATTAACGACCGCCCAATGGTTGAAAAAATTTTGCAGTTTACCAGCTTCGAACATCCCAAGAAGAAATCTCACAGCAGTTACACTAGAAAAGTTATGGGTGAAACCAAGTCCAATAGTCGTGATACCCCATGAAAACATCAGAAAGGATATCCATTTACTCGGACTAAGCTTTTTGAGGAAGTAATTGGATGGGACTTCAAAAATTGCATAGGCGATTAAAAAGACCATTAATGCAATGCTACCATCCGTTAGTAAACCGACTGATGAGAAAGAAGCCCAGACATACACATATTGAAAATCAGTCATGTCTGTATCCGAGAGGAGATCATCGTGAGTAGAAGAATTGAGTGTTTTGGCATTGCCTATTGTTCATTAGCTACACACACACGACATAGTTTTACATAGTGGTACTAACCAATATTCGAACGATCAAGGTAACATAACAAGTAGATACCAGCACAGAGTGGCACAATCCTCAAATCTTGTTTCCAAATCAATGCTTCGGTATTTCCCAGATTGTCTTCTGTTGTGGCATAGTCTGTTTCCTGAACTTGCTACATCGGCTTATCAGATCGACGTGATGAAACGTTGCGGAGAATTAGACTTGCCTCTTTTCCTCCTTCAACGTCTAATATGACTCCCATGATAGAAGAATGCTGATGAACAATAAACGAAATATCAAATCAAATTAGATAGCAGTATATGAAAGGACACAGTAAGAGAATGTAATTATACATAAGAAGAACAGCGAGAGAGCTTGATGAGACTACACCGCTAGGATAGTACTGCATAGTCGATGAAATCTTGCCTCTTATTAGTCCACGGCACACAAGAAGAGCGGGGTTCGCTCGGATTATGTTGGTATAAGCGCTGATCGGGGTCTGGGGTAAAATCAAAGGAGGACTAGCGTATTGATTAAGCATTTTATTTTCCTAGCCTTGCATAACTGTGGCTGAAGAGAGAAAACAAACATGATGTTCGACACAAGCCTCGTTCGATCACACTGTGATGAAACCTATGTTAGTACAAACATCAGGATAGATAGTAAAGTTTTCAAATGCTAGAAGCGCACAAACGACTGAATGTCGGCCGTGTGCTATTTAGATTGAAAGATGCGAATTGAGAAAGAAAATTCCAGTTCGGAGCGAAATGGCCAGTCAGAATAGTCCTCTGTCCATAACATCCAGCGTTTCTGGAATGTTAATTTCTGTAACTGATGTTGTAGCAGTGATGCATGTTCGATTCACATACTTACCAGATGCTGACAGTGAATATTTCCCCAAGTCAAGGCATCACCTTTGTAACATACAACGGGATTCACAATTGCTTCACGGATAGGATCAAAGGATCGTTCTGCACATGAGGAGGAATTCCAGATTTATATGTCCATGATGAAAGAGCTTGTAAAATTTGAAGAAAGATTACTGGAACTGGTGGCAGAAGCGGAATTGAAGGCTAGTACTGAAGATGATCAATGGAAGAAATGGGTTTTGGTACCGAAAAGTATGGCATTTAGAACGAGTGCAGCTATGTCATGCCTACTCCTGAGGAGGAAAGCTTTGAAATTAGTTAGGCAAAGAGATGCGAGAGTTTCTTTTGTCAGATGAGTATGATGTCATCGTAAGTGTAATATCTGAAGTATAAGGGGCTCGAAACTGACTAAATTAGGCGAGTTTGAGGCCAAGAATCACGGCAAAGAAACCAAAAAAGTTAGACCACAAAAGACTTGACTGTCTTGAACGTACATTTTATTCTCAACGTGAGACGCTAGATCGATTGGGAGTTTCTGGTATACCGATTGATGAATCGAGCTTGAATCGAATCTGAAAATGTCATCATTAGGCTCTTCAAAGCTTTGAATGGATGATTCCCACTACAAAGTCCAGTTCTGACAGGAAATGAATATAACACCGTTAATAGTGTCGGGAATTCACGATCTTGGGAGCTTTCCAAAACCAGGAGGGATGACCAATTAGCGGGATATTAGTGTCGCCGATATAAGTCCAAGAAAGATTCATTCCGCCGCTTCCGGTTGATAAAGTCGAAACATCCATTGCTCCTTTTCCTACCCCCCTTTCTCTCCAGCGCATGCAGCACCATCATCAGAAAGAGCAAGAAATGTGCTTTTTTAATCCAGTTGAACGGGACGTCTCATCAGTTGGTGCTGGACTAGTGACCGGCGATGCCTTGGTTGTTGGTGATGGTATGTGGGGAATCAAACGGAACCTCCTGCATTCAGCACGGAATATCTCTCCCAGTATCCAATATTATATTCTCGACTAAAGGAATGCATAGTCTTTGACCTTAAGATAGATGGCACAAAATGCGACACTAGGTACTGCCCATAGGATGTTCAACTCAATCACAGACCATATCCAGATAGTTCCTATTGGCGGAGCTTGCTTCATGATGGCGAAACTACCATATTCGTTTGTAATATGTATAAGATAACATCCGGCAGTTATGCTAGCTGCGAAAAAGGAGATTTCATGTAGGTATTGATACGCTTTGGCAGGTAGTCTGGGAAACAAGTGGGAAGGTTCGGGATGTGGATGAAAGGCATAAAAGAGGAGCCAAATAACTGTGAGAATCAGATACTTTATTACTATATCCAAACACAATGTATAACTTACCAGGGCATGCTTGTAGAGTTCTAGATATTACCCCTTTCCAAACAAGTTCTTCTGCGTATTGATGAGTAACCAATACATCCAAGGTGAAATGTAACATGGAAAGACTAATTGTCCATAATATCGAATCTCCTAGTCTTCCTATTAAAATCTCTTCGTTTTCTGAATCTAATTCAGCTTGACGTTGCCGTTGAGCCTCACTCAAATTTCGTTTCGCTGCAATGTCGAGGAGAGTTTCGAGTGAGGGATCAGGACCAGATCTATCGGCCTGTTTGAGTTTGATTTTCGGTTCTTTGCGGGGCATGATGATTGATATCTCGTGATGAATGAAGGTATACTGTCTCCGCCGCTATCGAAGGGAATATAAATACAATGGTGTCCTGCGAGCCTTGTCGTCTGAAGGTGGTTGAAATTTGATGCAGATACGTACACCGAACAATCAAGGCTGATGAATTTACAGTCAGACGAAAGGCTGCAGGATACTCGATTAGTCCGTGTTCATGCAAAAGCAACAAATTTCATCCCGTACATATAAAAACCTTGTCATTTTGAAGAACATTGGTCAGTTTTTGATCCGATCCCTTGCAGTGAACCTTGATTTATTTATTAGCGCAAGGCTCGAGGACCCATTTAATTCTTGACCGACGAAGCGGTGATGGATGAATTGATGATTTCCACTCGTTTCTATCCACCAACCCCTCACAACTCCAAAACAACCCCAATTATTCTCTCACACATAATCCATTTTCATACTCGCTGTCGCTCCATCTCATTATCTCCACTTCCCCAACAAATTTCTTCTCTTTAATACTTTCGACATGCCCAAAATGCAATGGACTTATTTGCTCACTATCCCCATCATCACTTTCGCTGCATGGCAATATACTGTCACAGTTGTTAACTCCAAATTTCCAAAACTTCGTAATAAGAAGATATGTTTATTAATAGCGCATCCTGATGATGAGGCTATGTTCTTTGCGCCTGCTATGCAAGCTCTCACAGATCCCGAACTTGGAAATCATGTTAAAATTCTTTGTTTGAGTAGTGGTAAGTAAACAATGTGCATGACTCGAGATGGAGATGAGCATATATTGATGTGCAGTAGGTGATGCAGATGGTTTAGGGGAAACAAGGAAAAAGGAACTTGTTAAGAGCGGGATGCAGTTGGGTTTGCGACAAGAGAATGATGTTTTTGTTTTTACAAGTCCGTACGTCTTCCTGAAATCCTGTCGCATATGTAATCTTACTATTATGCTAATCATTTTTCTTAAACAGAGATTTCCCAGATAGTATGACGAAGACATGGGATAAGGAAAAGATAGCTAATCTTCTCGCCTCTGCGTTTTGCCCTCCTCATACAAGAAAAGCAGATCTTTCGACTGCGCCAACTGCAACTATCGATGTTATTTTGACTTTCGACGCTCATGGGGTCTCTTCGCACCCAAATCATATTTCCCTATACCACGGTTCTCGAGCCTTAATCACATCTATGATGCGAGATCGTCCAGGATGGCAGTGTCCTATTGATCTTTATACCCTCACCAGTGTCTCCGTTTTTCGAAAATACACATCCATATTAGATACATTAAATACTATGGTAGTCACTGCATTCTCAAAGCGAGAAATAGGCGATCACCCAAGTCATTTGTTAATGATGAATGGAGTTGGGCAACTTAGAACTGCGCAAAAGGCCATGACGACGGCACATAAGAGTCAAATGAGGTGGTTTAGATGGGGATGGATTGGAATGTCAAGATACATGGTCATTAATGATTTGAAGTTGGAAAAGGTTGTTGTGTAAGAGAGCATTGGGAATGCACAGGTAGGGGATAGGAAAAAGAGAGAACGAAAGGAGAAGTGTTTAAAGTGCAGTGCACAATACAAACCACCTTGATGAACATCTCTCTTGCGCATAAGAGAGTATGAATGGATGAGAGATGAGAAATGCGTATACGATGTCATCAATTCTTTTTGGATCTCGTTTCTGTATTGTTTGTTATTTTTTTGTTCTCTTCAGCAAGATGCCTACAGACCTGGCTAGAAAGTCATCAGCCTTTCATCAAACTTGCATATTGTATTTAGAAAAATCTTACTTTACTTCATGATACCGAATATAAACTATGATTCATTTCATTTCATTTTCTTATTTGCTCAATTCATTGTCATGCAGGAGATAACCGAACATTCATAGGTCAATTTGATCTTCAGTAGTTGTCATATTACCAAAAAATCTAGACATTTAATATTCATCCTTTTTAAATTCCGGTCGCATAGTATAAAGCTCATTACGGCTCCCAATTTTCCTTCCTCAAACATCACCGCCGGCCATCATCAAGTCAGCCATAAAACCCGGATACAAAAGCAAATAAACAAAATAATCGTTAGGCAGCACGGAAGCAAAGCAGAACAGTTAATAGGTTGTTGCATCAATTCATCCCAATATGTCTTCAAAACACAGTGGGGAGGTGGTAAGAAATTTATTTTTTCCTTAAGCTACTTTTACAAAATCTCCAAATCGCGTTGGGTGGAACTTGGATTTGCATTTCCTGAGATTTATGTTTTGAATACCTAGCTAGCGCTCAGTTTTTGGAGTTCCAAGTTTATTACTGGTCTATTTCTTATTCATATCTATGCCGTCTCCTGACCTATTTTCTAGTCTCGCGAAACTCCTTCAGCACCCAAATCGACAAGTACTCTTATATCGGAATCAAATACGCAAGGATCACCGTTGTTATCTCAATCTTCCCACGCTTCCGATCAAAATATTGATCATAATGAGCTTCGATCTCCGAATCAGCGGCAACAACGAGAAGGAGAGCAACAAGCTGAAGAAGAAGAAGAAAATGGACAAGATCTCGACTCAATAGGCGAACTCACATTAAGCAATGCGAAATTAGAAAAAATGTCTGGAAGTTAGAGGTAGGGGGGAAAATGTCACAAAATAGGATTGAGTACCTGGAGAATAGAAAGACTTTCGGGGGAGAGGGTTGAGGAGCTGGAGAGAAGGATGGGGGAGTTGGAGAGACGGAGGGATTTGGATGTCAGGATGTTGTTGGGGTTGTGGTGGAGCTGGTGGGGTGGGCTGTGGGTGGTGGGAGGGAGGAGGGGTGGGTGAGCAAGAGGAGGGAGCGAGAGGGTGGAGGTGGAGGGATGGAGGAGGGAGTGGAGTGGGTTGTGAGTTGTGAGATTGAACAGGGATTGAGAGACGAATGGGAAGGGTGGAGGAAGTGGATAAATTGACAATAGATATTATATGTAAATTATATGAAAATAACGTTACCAAATTTATCAAAAGTGCCTTGCAGATCTCAAATCAAGAATTACGAACAATAAACAGAAATATAAATATAAATACAAATACAAATACAAACACAAACAGGAGAGATACACAGATAATAGATAGATTGTGAATAACTGCCGAGTCTCCAAATAGTCACACTATCGTCATCTAGGTATTATGCACTCGTGTCTATATTTTATGCTAGGTAATTTTACAACTCCAGTCCCTGGCTGAATACCTGGTGTGCTGAATTATCCAGCAGCAAGTCGAAATGTTATGTAAGATCTTGCAGAAAGGAGTAAGGTTAATCATCCATAGGTAAGTTATTAAAGAAATAAAGAAATAAATGCATTTGTATGAATTGGACTGGATTCCGTAATTGTCGTAATTGTTGTAGGAATAAATGGAAATGTGTACAGGGAGAGAGAAAAGCTGTCATTATATCGAAATTTCTAATATCCAGACATTCATGGGGAAATCATGGAGGATATCGATGTATTAGGTCATCTTTGGCAAATCATCACCGTGACTGGCAATACTTTTAATGAACAAATTTCAAAGTTCCTAAGACGATAAGGTTAACCAGGCAGACTATAAAACGAAAGCTATGGGAAATATCTGGAAAACTGTATTCTTCAAGAATTGAGCTTATTGCTCTGATGCAAAGTTATCATTTAAATTTCTAGTGCTCTCAATACCTACTGAGAGTAAACTTCGCTACTCGTTCTTTATACAGTTTACACGCTATTTACAAGCTTGAATAAAGAGGGCTGTGGTATCCTTAAGTGACAGTTCTATCCCTATCTAATCTCGGCGAGTAACTGAATTAGTGTGCGATGGCTCAACATACCCAGGTAGCAAGCATTGGAAATCCTAGGGCACTAGCCCTTCTACTACATTAGTAGGTTAAATCATACACTCGTTATTTCGCAATCTCTAGGAGATCTATGCTATATCCTGGATTTACTCCGTCACTTTCCACTTACTTCACTGTCATTTTCCCTTCAGCGATATTCAGGATTGACCTGTTGAGCCTTGAAAGCTTTGGTACATGCTGCATATCTCTTTAGAGTGTTCGCCCTCAAAATATGTTTAATAGTATAAATAGCCTACGGTGCCAGGTATAATATCTTCTTCAAAGTAGCTGAAAATATATAGACTGGATTTACAGCAACTTGTTGAAATTAATCATGAGGCGAATCAAAGTAATCACACCCCTATTCTCTAACTCTACGCCATATAGATCCGGGAGGTAACCGCCCAGAGCGCCTGTACTTTCGCCGTATCAAAGCCTAAAGCACCAAGCACTAAAGCCTAGCAATGAAAACATGCAGGTGTGACGTCTGCCTATTTTGCTTACATAAGCATTTTCAAATTGGTCAAAGCTCAAGCTCAACTCAGGGAAGCTTCAAGCTCCTTCAAACCGTGAAATTAATTCTCTCCATTCTTCATACAAACAACCAACGAGTATTCGAATCAAAAGTCTACTTCTTTTTTAGCCTTTATTGTGATATTTTGAAATTCTAAGAGCATCTTCAATTTTGAAACCTCTCCATCTCTCACGTCTCAGAGAGCAAACAGAGAGGTTATTGTGTCGGCGACTGTTTGAAAAGAAGTGCGGCCCCGCCTTTGGTGGTGAGCTGCAAAAGCTTGAGGAAGGAGATCAGCCACTGATCTGAGTTGATATAAACACCTTCATTCGATCCAGATCTTCTCTCATTTCTCAATATACCAGCAGCAAATATGTCATCAACTTCATATCGTGTTGGTATGTATTTCCCTTCCGTTTTCGTCACAATTGCAATACTCTTGTCTGCACGTGACAGCGCGTCCTGTCCTCCAACATCGCTGAAGAATCGTTGGTTCTTGATATATGAATCTAAATATGAGTTAAAGTATTGATTACTGACTATACTATAGAACTCGCAACTACTGCACGAGCTGGATGCAATAATATTGAATGTAAAGATGCTGGTGTTAAGATTCAAAAAAATGAATTGAGACTTGGTACTTGGGTTGTGATTGGTGATCATGGAGGTTGGCAATGGAAACATTGGTATGTTGATATCATTTATTCATTTTTGATTAAATTTATGGTTCATGCATATTTCTTTCATATCACAATGTTCTTTACATCATTCATACATTTCTACGAGCTGTTACTAAGGTGAAATTAGGGGATGTGTCACTGGAAAACAACTTGAAAATATGAGAAATTACCTTGAAGATGGTGAGGGTGGTTACATGTGGGATAAGTTGGATGGTTATGATGATGGTGGAAAGGGTAGTTTGGATGATCATCCTGAAATTCAAGAGAAGGTCAGAAGAGTTGTTACTCAAGGATTTATTGACCCCGAAGATTGGAAAGGTGTATGTATTTCCATTTCTTCCTTCTCCCTAAAAATCCAGATCAGATTGCCTAACAAAAAACCAGGATCCAGAAATGAATACGCTTGGCAAATCAGGAACTCGCACCGCCGAATCAAAGAAAAAGTTCAAGGAGCAGAAATCAGCCGACATGGGTAGTCTAACCGAAATTCAAGCAAAATTGGACGCAGCCCTAAGAGAGAAAGAGGTATTGGTTAAAGATGGAAAGGAGAATGGTATGAAAGTAAAAGCTTTAAATAAGCAGATTGCGGACTTTTCGAAGGAAATGGACAAACGTCGCAAGGAAGAAGAGAAACAAAATGCGAATAGAGAAAGAAGTGCGGTTAAAGCTGAGAGCGCTAATACACCAAAGAAGAGAAGTAGAGTGAAGGAAGAAGATGTTGATGAGGAAGAACAAGTGGATGAGAAACCTGTGAGGAAGAAGAGAGGTGGAAAAGTTAAGAAGGAAGAAGATTCCGAAGAGGAGGTTATGCCAGTTAAAAAAGCTCGTGGAAAACAGATTGTGGTTGAGAAGGAAGAAGAAGAGGATGAGAAGCCTGCCAGAAAGAAGAGAAGTGGGAACGTTAAGAAGGAGGAGGATTTGCCAATTAAGAAAGCTCGTGGAAAAAATATTGCGGTTAAGAAGGAAGAAGAAGAGGATGAGAAACCTGCCGGAAAGAAGAGAAGTGGGAACGTTAAGGAGGAGGAGGATTTGCCAACTAATAAAGCTCGTGGAAAAAATATTGCGGTTAAGAAGGAAAAAGAAGAGGATGACGACGACGAAGAAGAAGAAGAAGAGGTAAAACCAGTTCCTACTAAGAAAGCCCTGGGAAAAACATCTGCAGTCAAGAAGGGATATGGACCCATCCTCACACCAGCTGGCAGAAGTTATCGCGTCAAAAGAGAAGATACTGAAGACGAGCAAGAAGCCAAACCCATTCCCGCTAAGGAATCTCGTGCCAAGAAACCAGTCATCAAAAAGGGAGTCAAGAAGGAAGATGACGACGAGGATGAAATCTTAACCAAATCAGCTCCAGCCGCGAAGAAAGGCCGCAAGAACTCGAAGAAAGTTAAGGAGGAAGAACTTGAATCAGGAACTCCAGATCTAGTTTCTGATGATGATACTTCCAGGAATCAGAAAGCTGAACCACTTGATGAGGAGATGAAGGATGCGGAAGATGAAGAAGAGGTTAAACCGGTAAAGAAGGCTAGAGGGTAAGTTTTCTGCATTCTCTTTTTCTATATTCTCAGGATAGATGAGTGTGTAATACTAAGGAATTAAGTAGAAGACCCGCAAAGAAGACAAGAGCTTAATGGAATTTCTGCGAATTTTTACCCTCTATCAGACATCGTTTAGCATGATGTATCGAGGTATTCTCTCAAATACAATGAACTGCATCCTCTTGACTGTAATAACAAGATCGGCAAGTCTTCGATGGGGAAATCAATGAATGGGTATACCTAGTATTTAAGGAAATGGAATGGAACAGAATATTATGATAAAATTTTGAGGAACGGCGTCATATGAGCGAATGATTGCTAATTATGGAGAAGAGCTGTGTAAGATAATAAAATGAATGGGAATAAATTCGGCAGTGATAGCTGTGGTTGTGCTTGTAGTTGTACTTAGTTGTGATTATAATATAACTGTCAAAGAGGATTCCTGGGAAAGAATTCGGGGAATGGATTGTAAGAAATAGTGATTTCACAAATAAAAGAGTATTTGAATATTGAGATGGATATTATATTATATCATATTATATCATATTATATCATATTATATTATATGTAGGTTTGTAGGTAGGTAGGTAGGTAGGTAGGTAGGTAGGTAGGTAAGATAGTCTAGATATACAAGTATGATTAATGATTCATTTAATTAGATTCAATAGATATTATAAGATGGTTCCTCTTTTGTGAATCATTTGTGTTCAGTCGAATCAATTGTTTAATGTAATCTTATTAATCTACTTACTGAATTTGAATTTACATTGTTAAATATAGTCGAAGATCCTTCATTTCCCTCCCCTTTTCCCCCCACAGCTTGCTACTGGGAAGCATGTATCTCTGCTCTTTCAATTGTATACTACCCTACACACTCCTTCTATACCTTTCCCCTCCCAGCCTCCTCAACAACATCACCTATTTTCCTAACTACTTCTTCTAACTCCCCTCTACCTATACCACCCACACCGCTATACCAATCATAAGCTCCCTCTCCCTGTTTCAAATCCCTTCTCTCTTTCCATTCTTGATCAATACCAGTGGTCCACTCCCACTTAACTGAGATTTTAATCTTTTCTTCCCCCTTTTCCCCAACCTTACTCGGTTCTTCCGGGCCAAGAATCGGGATTGAAGAAACTTCAAAACTCATTTGTTTAACCCCTCCTTCATCATTTGGTCCGGAGAAGATTTTTCGAAGAATATTAGCTTGTGTTGTTACTTTCCATCCCTCTTCATCTTCTTTTGGAGAGGGGGAGGAGAAAATATGAGCTAGCCAACAACCCACTGCCCATAGAATATAATCTTTCGCGTAATCCCATTCTGCAACTGCTGGTGGAGGTGGACAGATTTGGAGAAGAGGGGAATTATCTGGTGTGATGCGTAGATAGTAAACTGGGCGAGAATAATTTTGAGTAATGGTCAGAGTGCGGATTTGGAGGATAGAGGGTACAGGAGTAAGTGGTGTGGTATGGGAAAAGGATGACGGAATGGAAGAATGAGGTGGTGATGAAAGAGGAAATGGAAATGTGATGGTCGTTAGGAATTCCAATTGATTCGTTAAAGTTGTGAGTATTCTTTCCGGAGTTGAAAGGTTTTGGAAAGGGGAAGAAGTGCCTGGGGTGATGGTATAAGTTGGTGGAGTTGAAAGGCAGGCGGAGGTAAGAGTTGTACAGAGAGGCGTGAGTAGTGAGTGAAGAGATGAAATTACGGTTTCATGAGCGAAGCGGGTTAAAAGAGAGCGTAGGATTGGGAAAGGATTGTTTGGACGAGGTTGACCAGAGATTGGTGGTGGTGGATTGGTTCGAATACGATAGTGTCGGCGATGTGAAAGAGAAAGGAGAAGATGAAGTGTTAGATAGATACCATTGGCGAGGTATGAATCTGGTCGTGAACCTAAAACTGGCCGAAAAGGATCGGTAGGTAATGTTTGAAGTTCGATTAAAATCTTCTTAGTTGGAGAAAGTGGAAATGTGATTCTATTTGTTTTGAAATCCGATTGTAGACCATGGGATGCGAGAGTTCTTACCTCTCGAATCATTTCTTGCCAAAGTTCGGATGCAAAAATAGTATTTCGTGCTTGAAGAATTAAATCTTGAATAGGTGCACCTTGCGGGACGGCTTTGGGAAGTATAGTTTCCCCAGTTGTAACTCCATTAGTTTCAATCAAAACTCGTAAACTTTGAGGTTCCGGACTTGTGATCCCTTGGTCAAGATATATTGATCCATTTGGATTTCGTCTAAGTGCTCCAAGACTACGATTTCTAAATGTTGGCGAGGCTATAATATGTTAGCTTGAGCTAAATTATAAAGGGTTAAATGGACCAACCTTCTGCAAATCCAAATCTAACACCCAATGTATGCTTTTCTTGGGGCAATCGACATACTGCCCATCCACTTTCACTAACAGCCAATACTTCTTCCCAATATTTTGTTTCCGCATCAATTTCTTTTTCTAACCTTGTCGCCGATGCTAAAATCGCATCCACCGTCTTGCTTAGATTTGATGCTTTCCAACCTTTGGCTATTTTTTTGTTTTCTTTCTTTTGTTCTTCGGTAACTCGTGATTCTGCTGTTTTATCTGTACCCAAGGTACCCATTCCGGCCAATTCACGAAGTGATGGTGATATTGATAGACTAGCTTGTACAGGCGCATCCTTTGATAGAAGTAGGGATATAAAATCAAGAGATATCATGGCAGCATTATGTGCATGTCTATACGTGAATCAGTATCTGCGCATTGTATTTTGTAAAAGGTAGCATACTCAAGTTGACCCAGAATTTCATCTCTTGCGGTCAAGAGTTCCTTCATACGATCAGGCTCCTCTTCTGCTTCCCCATCTTCGCTGGAACTTTCATTCTCCTCATCATCCTCTCCAAGTTCAGCTTCAGCGATCTCTTGTCGTAAACTATCCTCTGAAAGATTGCGAAATCCACCTCGTTCGGCATTGATTCTTGCGATCAATAAAGGTAGTGGGATGGAGCTATTAGCTGGAGTTGGTGCTGGGCGCAAAGAAATTGGAATACCATGGGGAAGGGAAGTCATCCTGAGAGATGGGATAGCATTCGGTATGCGATTGAATAACGAAGACTGAATTGAGTATGGGGTTATCTATGATTGATTGAAAGTCTTTCCTAGGCTTAGAAGGTACGGAGTATTGAGGTCTGAAGTGATGCTATGGTTCTGCGATACAGTAGTTGATGTGAGCATCGACCAACAATCCAAACTACCGACCCGCCTAAAAAGAACATTCACCGCTTTTAATTACTGCCAAAAAGGAGCTGCAGTGGGTATTTGATTCTTACGTAGTAGGAGGGGTTGTATACCAAGATTACTAGGTACATGCTAGATACATACATACCTCATCTATCTTCATATGCAACATGTTTTTATTGTTGATAATTCTTCCTTTCATATATACGCGTCCTCCAATCAAATACTTGGCTCCATTAATATTTATATTCACCATGTCCAAACCATGCTATCGTTCGTTTCAATGGCAGTTACCTATCTGGGCACTCCAGGACTACTTGGTACTCGGTGCTTGTGATGTCAGATGTCAGATGTCAGATATCAGATGTATGCTGTATGCTGTATGCTGTATGCTGTAGCGCCCGAATTGAGTCCGGTAACTAACCTTGGATATCTCTCAGGTACCAAAATATCACCAATCATGGCAACCATTAGGGGATCCGCCTTTATAAAATTCCGCAGAAAAAGGACTTGACACAGGGAAAATTAGAATAAAAATGGAAACCGATCGATTATCGAGTGGGTAATGAATGGATCAATCCTCCCTGCAGAGTATACACTCTCAAGATATTGTGATGCGGCCGCCGAGAATGGAATATTGGCTTGGGTTGCATTTGAAGTGAAGTGCGTTTGAAATATGTAAGAGTCTTACTGCCTTGCTGCAAGAGAACGCACACTTCACATCGTGTTACCATACAAGTTAATGATACCTACCTAGGTAATATACTTGCATCGACTGACTCTTGCATAATAAACATCCTCCTTAGAAAAAGCCTTTTATATCTTCTTTTATCTTCAATATAATTGGCTTTTCACTTTGATCCCGATAAGCAGCCATTTCACCCATTTCCCCCCCCCTGGTAACAAGCTTTATCGTAATAATCATACTCATAATTGACAAGGCCTCAGCCCACCAAAAAGGACATGGACCCATCTTAAAACTCTCAACTTTTCGTCATTCCCTTGAAAACAATCCTACTTCAAATCGCCGGACCTTGTCAATACACACATCTCATATCTTAAACTTTATTCCTCAGTCTTCACTGCTTTTTAATTATACCCAAAATCCCTTTCGTCCTCTTCTCAACCCATCTCAACTTCATTCCTTTTACTTTCAACACAAACAACTCAAAAAATCATCATGGCTCCTCAACCCCCACCACCCCTCGAAGGGAAGAAACGACGCATCGCCATCATGACCAGTGGAGGTGATTCTCCTGGTATGAATGGTGTTGTACGAGCTTGCGTCCGAATGGCAATTTACAAAGGATGTGAACCATATTGTATCTATGAAGGATATGAAGGTTTAGTCCAAGGAGGAAAATTGATACAGAAGATGGGCTGGGAGGATGTTCGTGGATGGCAATCGGAAGGAGGTACTCTTATTGGTACCGCCAGATGTATGGCTTTCTATGAACGACCTGGCAGATTGCAAGCTGCAAAAAATATGGTGTTGAGTGGTATCGATGCTCTCATTATTTGTGGTGGAGATGGTTCCTTAACTGGAGCTGATAAATTCAGAGCCGAATGGCCCGGCTTAATCAAGGAATTGATTGAGAAGAAGGAATTATCTGAACAACAAGTCGCTCCATTCAAACATCTCAATATCGTTGGATTGGTTGGTTCAATTGATAATGATATGTCCGGCACGGATGCTACGATTGGTTGCTTTTCAGCCCTTGGCAAAATTTGTGAGATGGTGGATTATATTGAACAAACCGCTTCGTCACATTCAAGAGCTTTCGTTATTGAAGTTATGGGTAGACATTGTGGTTGGTTGGCCTTGATGGCAGGTGTTGCTACTGGTGCAGATTTCGTTTTCATTCCGGAAAAACCAAGAGCAGATAACTGGAAAGAAGAGATGTGTAAGATCATTCAAAAGGTATGTCTGGTCTATCATTATAAGATAAACTTATCCTAACAATCACACAGCATAGACAATTGGGAAAGAGAAAGACGATTGTTATTGTTGCTGAAGGTGCTCATGATCAGGGAGGAAACAAAATCTCTCCCGAATTGATCAAAGATCTTCTTGCAGATAAAAACGGGCTCGCGCTTGACACCCGTATATCTACATTAGGTCATGTTCAACGTGGTGGTTCTGCATGTGCTTATGATCGATACCTTTCTACCCTACAAGGTATTGAGGCAGTAAATGCTGTTCTTGAAGCCACCCCAGAAACAGTAACTCCATTCATCGCAATTAACGAGAACAAAATTACGAGAAAACCACTGGTTCAATCAGTCATCGATACTCAAGAAGTAGCAAAGGCTATTGAAGCAAGAGATTTTGATAGAGCTATGTCATTGAGAGATGCAGAATTCTCTGATTTCCATGATTCTTACATGACTACCACAGCTACTGATCTTAATAATGACATGCGTCTCCCTGATAAGAAGGTCAGTGATATCAATACCTTAGCTCTACTAATACTAACATCGAATAGCACATGAGAATTGCTATCGTACATGTTGGAGCTCCAGCTGGTGGTGTTAATGCTGCCACACGTGCAGCAGTTGCTTACTGCTTAACTCGTGGACATACACCAATTGCTATTCATAACGGATTCGCTGGATTCGCTCGTCATCATCAAGATAATCCAGGATCTGTTAGAGAATTTGATTGGTTAGAAGTTGATGGATGGGCTAGTAAGGGTGGTTCAGAAATTGGTATGAATCGTGAACTTCCATCAGAATCCGGAATGCCATTGATTGCATCACTTTTTGAAAAATTTAAGATTGATGGTCTTCTCATCATTGGAGGTTTCGAAGGTTTCCACGCATTATCCGAACTTCGTCAAGCAAGAGAGATATATTCTTCCCTTTGCATTCCCATGACTTTACTTCCAGCAACTATATCCAACAACGTTCCAGGAACAGAATACTCAATTGGTACTGATACTTGTTTGAATGAACTTGTTCGTTATTGCGATACCATCAAACAATCAGCTTCAGCTTCTCGTCGTCGTGTTTTTGTTATCGAAACTCAAGGAGGTCGATGTGGTTATGTCGCTGCAATGGCTGGTCTTGCTGTTGGTGCATCAGCTGTTTATACTCCTGAGGAAGGTGTTAGTATCGCTATGCTCTCAGCAGATATCGCACATCTTAGAGAAGTTTTCGAAAAAGACAGAGGTCAAACAAGAGCTGGTCGTCTAATTCTCATCAATGAGAAGGCATCAAAGGTTTATCACGCTAAACTAATTGCTGACATGATCCGCGAAGAAGCCGGCGAACGTTTTGAATCCAGAGATAGCATCCCAGGTCACGTTCAACAAGGTGGTACTCCGTCCCCAATGGATCGTACCCGAGCTGTTCGCTTAGCTATCAAATGTATTGAACATCTCGAAAAATACGAAGCTAAAACAGATAAAGAAATTATCGAGGATAAACAAAGTTCGACAGTTATTGGTATTAAGGGTGCACAAGTAGTCTTCTCTAATATGGTTGATGTCGAGGAGAATGAAACGGATTGGCCTAATCGAAGACCAAGGGATGAATTTTGGTCTGGAGTTAAGGGAGCAGTAGATATTCTTGCTGGTAGACCTGATGTACCAAGACCGGTAAGAAAGTTGGTAGGTTGGAAGGCGAAGGATGTTAAGAGAGGTTTGATGTGAGGGGGTGATGGGGTGATGGTATGATTGATGGTAGAGAATATTTTTATATGGGATGATTGAGGTACTGGGTATTTGTCCTAGAATGATGAATTTGGTTGGGAGAATGATTCAATCAGACGAGATGAGAATAGGATTAAAAAATGAGGAACGCGATACGAGGAAAGAAATTGATGGGATGCAATGTTTTGATGGAGATGAATGAATGACTGAAATGAAATGAATTCAGTTTAGGTGAATTGAGTTGAGATGCAGTAACTAGTATAAATACAAATATAGGTATTCATAATCAATTTTAGCTAGTGGATAGAATGATTGAATAATTTCAAATGATTTGAAGCTTTAAAATTGTATAATTTAGAGTATTGAAATGTTATGAAATGAAATGAGATAAGATTATATTATTTTGTATACTCGAATAATAGATTTTATAATATAATAGTTTTAAATCCTATGTGTATATACAAGGTGTATTAATAAATATATGATTTTAAAACTATATATATATATATTTCTTATATTATAAAAGTAATAGGTCGAGATATATTTTAAAAGTGGTAGGTCGAGATACGTGCATCCCGATAGCACGCTGTGAGGGGGGAATTGGAAGAGAAAGCTGAATTAGATCATATTGTAATATGTTACTCATAAAGAAGACAGGGTTTACAATGATTTTGAGGTTAAGGTTATATGGGTTCAAATGTATATGTATAAAAGATTGATTGTTGTAAAAAGAAGAAGTAAAAGCTCTCCTTTTATATCTAATTACAGAAGGTTATATAATTGATTAGCTAAAAACCTTCATGTATGTGGCCTATAATTCCAACTTTCTCACAATATATAAATAATTTATAATCTATAAAAATAAATATATTCATCTCTTTAAAAACTTATAAAACCATCTTATAAACCCTCTCTCTATCATATTTATAATCTAAGATTACCTAGGGTAATATCACAATTACCCTCGACCCCATCATACTGTACCTACACCATACCTATCTACAACCCTACACCCTATACCCTACATCCCTCCCAAAACTCCCCCGCTTTCTTAACCGCCGCCACCGCCTCCTCCTCAAACCCCACAACATCCCCGATCAACATAATATCATGCACCGCATTCCCATCAATCTGCAACTGCGTCTTATTTCCCAGCGCCGTAAACTCCCCATAAACCCTCACAATATCATCAAAAAGCACCTCACACTCACCCGCCGTAAAAAACATCGGCGTAGCACTCTTAAACGCATTTCCTATATAGGAAATACACGCGTCCGTTAACTTAACCCCTGTCCCTTCTAAAGGCGCCAGTCCTTTCGCTCCCCAACTGGCCAATTTCTCATGCACGTAGTCGCTTGCTGCGCGTCGGTTTTCCCGGAATATTTCTTCTTTCATCCCCCTGCCTACATCTACCCATGCGGACCATAACCATGCACAGCCGGGATTGGGGAGTCCTGCGCCCGGATTATCGTATATGTATCGCAAGAGCGTTAGGGTTAGATTTCCCCCCGCACTATCTCCTGATACGACGATATTTTCGGGAGGAATCTGAAGCGTGGAGATTAAATAGTAATAACTAGTTACGGCGTCCTGTAACGCGGCGGGAAATCTCCTACTCGCATCGTTGGCGAGTCGGTATTGCGGAATAAATACGTGGGTGGCGTTGGTGTGGGATAGGAATGTTTTGGCGGCAAATCCGGAGTCTTTAGTTCGTCCGTCGCCGACTACGTAGGCGCCGCCGTGGAAATGGAGGACGATTTTTATGTTGTTAGTGGGGTCTTCTGATGGACTCGGTGGTGCGGGATACCACGTTCCGCCGATTATTTCTGGGGTGATCGAGGGATTCGAGGTGCTAACTCCTTGGTAGTGAGATGCGGGTGCGGGGTTAATGGTGCAGAATCTTGTGCCCTCGGTTTTGGGGAGGAGTGTTAGGATGGTTCCGGATTCCGTCAAGGAAATGTATTTTATGAAGGCTTTGCCGAGGAGGATTCGTATGGATTGGTTGTAAGTCCATTTGGAACAGGGTCTGTTGGAGGGGAAGATGTAATATGTTAGGTAGAAGGGAAGACTGATGAGATTTGAAGTGAGGGCGGTGATGGTGTAGAGTTGCTTCCCTGGGAAGGTTGTATAGAAGTGGGGTGAAGCCATGACGGATACAGAGGATTGAGCTGTTTCTCAGTGTGTTCGATGGACTAACTGACTTATTTTCCCTCTTTTGAAATTTTTTCCATCGAGGTTCACAAAATCACTTCCTCGTTGAGTTCTGGTAGGAGCGTCTACTACGTATATATACATACAGAACCCCCCCGTAATGCGTCAGGAAATGCCAACACAACAGCTTGAACCCCACCAACAAACTTCAGGCCGGAGTTAGTAATCTACTTCGGAAACATGTCTCGGCAGTTAGTGTAAGTACCGTATAAACTCAGCTACAGTAGAACCTGGATATATCGGACTAGAATATACCGACCGGATCCTGAGTATATCGGAAGAATTTCCTGGTTTGATCGATTCTTTATATACCTTGGAATACTGGATTTTTAATATATGTTTCGGAATTGTATCTAATATAAGTATTTGAGATATTTCTAATATAACAATTTTTTGTATAATATAAAGAAATACAAAAATTGAAAATAGAACTCTGGATTAAATTAGATTTATATATTTTTATTATAAGTCTCTTTATATTAAATCTAATCAATCAAATACTTCTTTTATATATTATATTTCACATTATATCTTTTTCATCATAGAATAAGTACAACAAGTATTTTCTTAAAAGCTTCGGGTACTAATTCTTGTTTCCTATTTCCGAGTCGAAGATTCAACTCATCAATCCACTTTTATGATTCCATCCAATTATACTCCGTATGGAGTATAGATTTTGACCGAACCATTTCAGTGGTCGTGCTTTAAGGTTTCAGGAACGGGGAGTTCACGGAAAAAGCGGCTTATTTATTCTCTCGGAGCGGATGTTCAATTAAGCTGTCTGTGTGTTAGCGATGGATTTTTCTATGAGGGAGAGGTTCATTCAAATATATTGGTTTAACTTCTCATGAGTTCAGGAGGATTGGTTTCCGAGGGTGTTTTTAGGCTTTAACTCTTATATCCGATGAATAAATTCGAAATATAAGACCTGTAATTCTAGATCATTGCGGGTCGATGTATATATATTTATACACCTGGAGGAGGGAAAAGAGCTATAATTTCGATTCTTCCGAGTGCAGACTGTATACTAGCGGATATTGTCGACATCAAGTAGGGATAGGCCCTTTACATAAAGCAGAACTAGATTACAATAAAGTATAATATAAAGTTTTTTACCAGATTATGCGTCATAATTACGTATGTGATCATTATAGCCCTGTAAGGATGATTAATCAAAAATGCTTATTAATCATCAAAGACAAAATCATAAAAATTAAGAGTCGACGACGAGGTCAATTGGTTCAATATAACCTCAAATTTACCCCACTATATTAGCCTTATGTAATGCGAACTAGAATATTATATAAAGCCAAAATTTTGCTTTACATTGTGAATTATATAACTTTAAAAGCCCAACCATAATATCAAGGGATTAAGCTAGTACTTCGTTCTATTATTTCTACGACTTTTGGATTTTTGACGAGTCGAAGTTTTATACGCGCATAAATGATAACCTTATACATACAAACTAATACACCACCAGCTTATTGATGAAGAATGTATAGATTACATATAATACCACCTGCTTCAATACACTCAATTAAAATATTATTCATATAAGAATTGGAATAACACACAACTGCATTTCTTCTCTAAATCATCATATTTCCCAAAAAAGAAAGGAACCTCAAGGTGTGTTCCAGATTAGCTATAGAAAAGAATAAAAGTATATCTCTATCCAAAAAGAAAATCTCTCTTCTCTTCTTCATACCATGTAAATTACCTAGTACCTCCCTTCCCTCCCTGACTTTAAAATTACCATACGCCTTCCCAGCAATCCCTCCAAAGCAAAAATCATCCATTCAAAACCCCTCATATCCCGAAAAATCTCAAATCTACAAAATAATCATCAGACCAAAAACACCACAGACTACAGTAACCAATATTGCCACATTAGCATTAGCAAGATGGGTTGCTGCGCCGGTAAATGGTACGTAGGTAGAATAACCCAAGATTGAAGAAGTTCCTGCTGGGCCTGCTGGAATCCGGACAGTGGAAGAAGCTAGTACTGGTTTACATCCACCGGGTGGACAAACGGGTACAGTGGTTACTGCATGTGTAGGAGCTGTTGAGGGAGCAACATAAGTGATGATTGTAGATGGAGCTTCACCTTTAATTTCTGACACGATGACAGTGGCGCTTGGACCGGCTGGGTAAGTGATATAAGTAGTGATGCCGACGCCGTAGATGGAAGTTGTATATGTAATAGGCGATGGGGCAGGCACATAGATGGAAGTTTCGGCTATACGAGATGCGGGTTCGGAGTGAGTTCCGAGTGTGGGAGCTGGGACGATGTAGATGGATGAGGGGGGAAGTGTGCTGTATATTGGACATGTGGGCATGGTGTATGGGAGACAAGTTTTGCATGGGAGGATGGTGGGTGGAATTGGTATCCAGGTGTAGGACGTTGGGACTGCGGTTTCGTGGCATGATGTTGTGGTGGCGGTGATGAAACCTCCAGTTGGGCATGGAATACCTGCGCTGGATAAAGCACATGCGTAGCAAGGATATCCTACGGTTGATGTACTCCAGATTGGCTTATGTTCTGTAGAGCAATCACTTGTGATGTAGGAAGTGACTCATTTATTTGTTAGTGGCGTTGATAGAGAATGAAGGGTAGAGAACTAACCAGTCTTGTCTCCAATGGTATGACATGATTCAATGATGGATACATAGACGATGATTTCAACACCTACTATCTTGTCTCCGGTTGGACATGATGGAGTTACATATGGAGGAATGAAAGTTCTGAAAACATTTAGTAACAGACTATTCGCCAATCACAGATTACTTACGTAGTGACAGTGGAGACATCATGAATGGTGGCAGTCACAGTTCTGTTATTATCGATAGTTGAAATGACAGTTTTGTTTCCATAAGGTCCAGAAAGCCCACCAGATCCTGATGGATGGTATGTTGGAAGAGTGGCAGATGCAGATGGAGTGTGAATCGGAGTTGTGGTGTTAGGTGTCAAAGCTGGAAGACAGTGTCCATCACCAGTCGGGCGACCAGATTCACACTTACAACTTGCCGAACATCCATCACCAGCTACTGCATTACCATCATCGCACTCTTCATTCAATGACGCTTCCCAAATCCCATCACCACATCCAGCTGGAGTTGCACCACGACTAATGATATATGGTAATCCAATTGTCTTGTCACCGAAAGTTTGCGACCCCTCACCAATAACATCTTGAGCAATAGCAAGAGCTTCGAAACCATTGATTCCAACGGATGGATAACTAGAAAAAGCTTCATGGACACTGCAAGACCAACTGGATAAAGCGGTATCATCAAGAGTTCCGAGTGCTGGGGAAGATGCAACAATATGAGCTTTGTTGTAGCAAGCAAGGTTTCCTCGGACGGTGAAATCTCCAAAGTATGAGAGAGATTCTACTTTCGCGGAATCCACACCGTTGTAGTAACAAGACAAGGCATAATATAGACCAGTCTGTTGAGCACCTGCAAGACTTTTGCCAGATGCTGCGAATTTGATGGAGTTGTCGATCAAAACTTTAGCGCCAGGTTGAGCTGAGAAGTGGAAAGTAGGATCCGTGCCTGATATACAGGTTAGTAATCATGTAAAGAATTCAAAAATTGATGTGAGCTCCTACCAATAACGACGATGTTTCCTTGAACTGCTGGTCCCCAAGTATTTTTGGTATCAGTCAAGAATTGAACATCACTTGGTGATGTTGAGCAATCTGGATCGGCAATGACAATAGCTTTGAAAGCAGCAAACTCGGCTGTTGTCATTGTCTTCCATTGTGCTTCACTGACCACCTTTGTGGTATATCCAAGGACAGATGTTGCCTCCACAAACTCTTTATATTCGAATTTATCGACAAAAAGGAGATCTTCTGCAAGTACAGAAGCTGCTAGACTGACCAGTAGGCCACTAGTAGATAACTTCATTGTGGCAAGACAAGAACTAATGAAGTAGTCGAAATATATTAAGAGAGATTATCTATGGTAAGTAGAAAAAAAGAGTGTATTTGTTAAAGAGTGACTAAAGGAGAAACGAGTGACGATAATGGAAGTGGATAGAAAGGCTAGACAGGATATAATATATAAGCAAGGAAATCAAATACTTTCTTCTTGTTTCTACTCATGATTTTGAAGTGATATTCATGGCTTAGAAGGCTGCGAGGTAATAGAAAGTAACAGATAGAGGGCTGAAGTGTTATAGACAAATTGAATAACGGAACAGCCCATATACGTTCAAATTGTCTGAAATATCCGTATGACAGATCGTATATCAACATCGCACCTGCATAAATTCGGAAATCGTTTGCGCCTCAAAACCCCTGCTTCTCCTTACTGCGATCATGTGTGTTGTTTTCAGCTCAAGAGCCATATATCTTGGCAATGAATGGAAAGGTTTCACGAAATGCTTTTTTGTGAAATTTAAACCAAATTTAGAGAGATGAGGAGATTAGTGAAAAAAATACGACAGCGAAAGCATAAAACAGTTTTTCCAGTGGTTTGTATTGCTTTGTAAGAACGGGGTTGTCAGGTTTTGGCGGATTAATGCAGGGAAAATTAAAGCTATCTCCTCCAGAAAAAGAGATATTGACAAGCTGAGGATACGCCAAGTGGAAACTGGATTGATCTCAGTCAGGGGATAATTGGAGCCTCAAATGGAGATGGCGAAGCTAACAAGTGACACTTGCCAACGGAGTCGACCATGCCATCAAGGGTGTCACGTCCAGAACTCCCAATCTTATAGACCTCAAATATAATCTTATACGATGTAAATATTATCTCCAATCATCAACTTTGAAAGATATGGGCTCCAAAGTGGGCAATGAACAGTCAACGGAAGGATTGAAGGAATATCGTTGTGATGCGAAACGGGGCGCGACATTTTGATCCGTCTGAATTGGCGTTGATTTCAAGGCACCAGAATTCGAGAAGAGATTCATCAAATGATGACAAATGAATGATTAATGGCATCTACCATGTCTCAAACTTGTATTTACTACCTCCTTCACCAATTTTTCTATTCAAGCAACTTCATGCAGCTATCGAATTCCAAGCTTTGAGGTTGTTGAACCATATGGAATAGCATGAAAGATATACTTTGATATATACATCTCTCCATAGTGCATTCGACTTCTTACCATCAAATGTTTCCAATCGCAAATTTCTTTACCGCGCGCTTATATCAAATTACTTTCCTGACCTTTACTAGCATGACACAGATCATCACTACGTGAAGCTCCTCTTCATGCCTATATTTCTTTGCTGACTATGAATGTCGTAGGATTTACTTATATGGAGAAGTATTCCACAACATCCATACATCTGAAGATGGTCAACATTTTGAAGCCCAGCAATGGGGGTTCGGCCATTGAATTTCAATTTAAGTGAGAGACATATTTCTGTCAAATATTACTTCCCGATGTTTTTTTAAAAAGCCGTTTTGTTTTACCTTGAATTTCAGTTTCCAATTTATTTAATCCCATAAAAATGAGCGCCTCAATTCAACCCACCCATCTCCCAATTTTTCCACACTCCTCCTCCAAACCAAATCCGAAAGCTCAGTTCCCAATTACCCACCTCCCATCGGACATTCTAATCACTCTTCTCCGCCTAATCCCCTCCCCCCAGACCCTCTCCGCCCTCTCCCTTTGCTCAAAGCAACTACACCACTACACCATTCCATATCTCTATTCCCATTTCCAACACCACGGCGAGACTTGTACTTCTCTTCCCTCATTTCTCCATACTATCCTCCACAAACCACATTTGGCACTTTATACCAAAACATTTACTGCCGATGCACTGTTGGGCTATTGTACCGACATCGATATGTCTATATTCACAACCAAAGATTGGGATACTCTCGCACGCCGTCTTAAAGAAGTTCACATTTTCGAAAATGGAAAACGAGATCCGTACTTCAATCCTCATATTTCTTCCCAGTGGTATTCATTTATAAGACAAGGGAATTGGGATGCCATCGTTACATTTATACTCTGCCTTCTTCCAAATATACATGCACTCAATATAGTCAACCATGCAAGTGGTTGTCCGTACGGATATCCATATCTCGAAACCGTGCTCCACCGAGCAGCAAATCTACAACACCAACGACTTGTCTCTCCGGATGGTCCACCGCAACCTTATTCATTCCCTTACTTACAAAATCTACATCTTGCAAAGCACGATTTAATACATTATCCACTAATGGGGTTTGAAATCTTACGTCTACTTCCCTTCTTGGCCATTCCTTCTGTTCGGAAGGTTGAGACACATATGATTTCGGATTATCATTTTCCTTCTTCTATTCTTCCCACTGACCTCCTTAACCAAAGTCGATCACAACAACCGATCCATCAAACTTCCTTTCAACTATCAACGTTCTACTCCTTTCCCCTCCCCAATTTCACATTCACAACTACCCACCTAACCCTCTCGCACACCGTTCTCCGCAACCCATCACTCCCTACATTCTTCTCCTATTTCCCATCTCTCAAATATTTATCCTGGGAATGGAATTACTCCCCACAAAACGCCAGCCGAGAAGGATTGGTGTTTGATTTCAACATCACCCATTTCCTGCACTCTATCCACCACTTAAGAGATATACTTGAGGTATTGAAGGTGCGCATTTGCCCTGAGTCAATTTATGAAGGAGAGGACAAGAAAGAAGGTAGTCAAAGAGAAGAAGATGAATGGATACCCATCCTTAGCTCCTTTACGAAATTAAAAGAGCTTGAGCTGGATATCCAGCCACATATATCTCTTTTCCACAAATCCGACACTAACACTCCAAAAACTCTTACGGAATATCAATGGAGAACATCCCCTTCATCGGCTTCAGCTTCAAGAGAATGTATTGAAGGAATTGGCGAGCAACCGCGAGGAACAACACGAGAAACGGGGGAAGAAACAGAAACACACATACAAACAAAAAGAGCAAAAGATGATTCTTGCAATGAATGCATACACCGAGCCATGCAAACGCGTTCCCGAAAGATGGCCATGTGGATGGTTTCCAGTGGAGAGGGAGAGCATGAAGCTGTACCACGGAGGATTCTACGATAACATTACTCGAGTATGTTATCCCATATGACGAATGTCCTCCAGCATGTCGACTGCACTATTTCCAAGAGAAGTAGAAGTTGTCATATACCGACAATTGTAATAACAAACGTTCAATTCTAATTCAGACTCATTATGTCTATGCTACTGAGAAACCAACTGAAAATCTAGAAGCCCCAAACCAAACAATGCACTGGATTGTAGTACTAAAACCTTGTATTCAAGAACTGTAATGCCCATATCTGCTGATGCCACGACGAGCTACACCCTTCCATAGTTTTAATTCCGACAATATTCTTTTTTTTGTATTCACCCCATGATCTTGGCTTGGGATATTGCTGAATTGAATGTTCTCTGGACAAATTTCCCCGCCTGATTGACGGGTTTCCTCCGCAAAATCCTTAAATTCGATTCTTCCCCAAATGCTTCGATGAGGAATCCCTGAATTTCATGTCCAAATTAACAATTGCAACATTTACAAAGCTTTAAAGTCTTGGATTGATGGGATCGGCGTGGGGACGGGCATTCTCAGGGGATGTAATGTGTGGGAATGCTGCAGAATGTTACATTTAGAATTGATAAAAAGATATTTCAATTTCATCCATTTCATGTGGACGGCGCACGAGGAACGCATACATCGTATCTCCATTGTATGTCCAAATGTAAAGAAGACGAATGCCCCGTAAGTAGCCACGGGGTTTCAGACCACTCGGTTTTTGTTCTTCAGGTAAACTTCTTAGTTAATACTCCTTGTTACGTATGTACTAACATCGCACGATCCATTTCACATATCTGTGATTTGAACTTCTCGAATATTCTCATCGTAATAGAGCATCATGTCTGAATATTTATGCTGCTTTTTCGAAAAAGAAGCACCCCAGTCACCGCCACTGGTACGCAGGATTTCACCTCAACATCTTAGGAAATCATTGTGAATGATCCAGGAATAGTGTGAACATGGAGAATCAATCCCAAACTTTTGGATGCAACAAAATGAATGTTGAAGACTTGAACTGAAGCAACCATGCAAATGTTATTACCAGGCATTTAAATGTGTCGAAGGAGAAGGGGTTTGTGAATGATGCTTGGAAAGGAGTCCGGATTGCCACATTATTGCGAACACTGCAAAACTGCCAGGCCAGAATGGCAGGAGTAGGAGTTTGGAGATAACAGGTCCACGTCGTAGCAAGGATAGAGGATAAACAGTGTCAGTTGCAGCAGACTCATCATGCTGAAATTGTGAATTCAATCTGTCACTATTTTGTATATGTGAATGGGGTTACGACCCGTATCCAATTCGAATCATGAGTGGAGTAGGTTGTCTTGACCAAAGCAAGAGCTCTTTCAGTATCGAGTACCGGAATGTCTGACCTACTACCTAAGGCGTCACGATGTAGGTCTTAAAAGATGCCTTTATTATTTGGTCGTAGCTTTATATCGCTCGTATCATCGTCTGAGGTGAGAAGTTGTTTTAAAGTCCACACAGCTCAGAGAACTTGAGCCACAATATTGCGCAAATCTTCGGGTTCGAGATTGGTGGCCGAGGGCTTTCTTTGCCCCTACTCTTCCTTCCTCTTCCTCTTTCCCTCAAACATCTGATTATATTTTACCATCATGTTCACCTGGAAGTCTCTTGACTCGCTTTTGCTCCCAATCATCTAAATCTTTTGCCGCAAGCCTCTATAATAGCATCAGAAATCAGTACATTGTTCCCAAGCATAATTGTATGATGGCACACTCACGTAGTATTCTTCTTTCATATCCACTCGCCTTCCAGTCTTGCCAATTCCAAGTTCCTCGTCTTTACTTAATCTTTTCACACGTTTGTCGTGCTTCTCATATCTGACAGCTGTGGCAGGAGTAAGGAAGAAGGATCCAGCAACCATGGTTAAAATAAATGGTAAACCGAAGAGGGCGAAGGGATGTTTGGCCAGAGCACTACGATATTTTGCGGCAAAAGTATTTGAATGTGCAGCACCACGAAATTTCTTGCTTCCAAAGACTGCCATTTTGTAGATACTTCAGAATTTAAAAAAAAAAGGGCCAATGATAGGCCAGTTGTATAAAGCTCGTTGATATTGGATTGAGAATCCGTAGATATTATTGAATGTTGTTTTTCAACAACCGTTCTTGGGCGGCCGAATAAAGCTTTCTAATCTTAAAGAATTAAAGTCACGTGCAACCGTGAAGCTTTCAATTGTCTTTCGTGGAAGGAACGCGTCGACAACTTCTTTTTCCAATAAGTTACTGACCAATCGCCAATTCCTTGAGAAAACCGTCGTGATAATTGATGGTCATGGAAAGATGGGGCCTCAAGACCCGCCAGTCGGCACTCCAGGAGTTTGGGAGATCCCTCCATCAACTATGGCCGCACAATTAATCAACAACCTCTCCACGAAAAAACCATCGCGACAGGTCGACCATGATGAATTACAATTGCTCATGACGGAAGTTTCCAATCGGGAAAATGATCCTGCTGACTTTGCGGATCCGGATGCTATGCTTGAGCACAAACATAAGCTTCTATATGTCATCTCAAAGGTAGTTTTGGAGAGACTCAACAAAGATGATCCTTTCATGAATGTCCAAAATGTCATTGATCAGGCTTGTGAAGCATTGGATGTTTTTATTTCGACTGTCAAAGATGTTCCTAATATACTCAATTATGTATCCACTCAGGATCGACCACTCAAAACACGCGGCCGTGAACCTTTCTGGATATGGTTATTTCCACGCGTTCTGTCATGTCTAGGCCGTCGAGACTGCAAAAAGCTCAATGAAAAGATCGAGGTGTTTCTCTCTACCTCATTTGAGGTCGTAGCAAGATCTCCAAAGCTTTGGGGACTTGGTTCCGTCTTTTTCTCCTACCTCAAGGATAGTGTAACTAGTAAGTATACCTACAAACGTTCTTCACTTAACAATTGCTTATATTTCCCAGGCATTCTCAATATTCTTCACAACTTTAGCCTTGTTACGCATGGAAGGCCAATTGACTTTGTACTACCCTCTGATCAATTGAAAGTTTCAGCCTTTTCCTTCGATACCGAAGAAGATCTTGATGAATCATCTCTCCTATGCACATATAGACTGCGCGATGCACCAGGCGCGATTCAACATGCTATATGCATTTTGACAATTTTAGTAAAGGTTTCGATCCAAGCCGCGTCTTTTCAAGATGCAACACCCGCTTTTCAAGACTACCTAGCATGGATGCTTGACTCGTTCCATTCAACCTGGGAGTTGCATAAGGTCTGGATATCTCCTGCCTTCTTCTTGCAAGATAACGAAGTCCCAACGATTGCGCTCTTTTGTGCACTCCACGCTCTACTGTCATCCACCCAAACTTCGTTGTCAGAGTCTTTGCTTCGCAAGGGCTATGCCTACCTTGCACTTATTGGTGCAGATCTCATTAAAAACCCCTCAAATATTATCAATAAGGATGTAAATCTTGTATTCTGCCAGGCCCTGTTGCATTTGGCAAATATATGTAGGGTGTATGACTCGACCTGCAGAACCGTTCGTTCGTTCTTACTTCCAAAACTTTGCACTGTGATCGCTGATGAGGAGGCAAGCGTTATAGTGGGAAATGACTTCCAGGTTTGTGACATTTCCATGTTCCCGGCTTTGACTTACTCTAGCATAGAATGCTTCAGCTGTTTTGACTCGGGCTTGCCGTTCATCAGAGAACACTGATCGCGAGCTTGTTCCACTTCATGTCCGTTTTGACACGGATTCTCTCAATGACGATTTCAATCTACTCGCGTTAAAGGATACGGAAGCCCGATCGGCTCAATCATCTCCACCTAGCAAACGTCGAAAAATACATTCCGAAGGTCTTTTGTATGAAATCACCGCCAAGCTATATTCTCTTTTCGGTGACCAAGAGATAATGGACATGGATGGTCTAAGCAAGCTGGCCGAGTTAGTATGGAAGTCTATAATGCTTATTTACTCTAACTTTCTTCTAGACAACGTTTCGCGGGCTTAAAAGATCCTGATCGGTGCAAAGTTATTGATTATTTATCTATGATACCATGCGCGGCATATGGTTCATTAACTGTTACAAGAGACAAGTTAGAAAACATAGTGTCATCCCAATGTTTCGTGTGCGAAAAACTTCAACCGAAAACTACAGTATTGGACGATGATCTGTGTCAGAAGACCGGCACTGAAGCAATTCTAATTCTCACTACGTTAATTAATTCGCCCGCCTTTCACGATTCACGGCGGACAAGGGTCTTAGCAATGGTAGCCGTCAAGGCGTTTGCTATACATTTTAGGGATGAAGAGTTCTTCAATCTGGAAACTTCTGCTATTGGGCAGTGGTGTTTAAAATCTCTGCAAAGTTCTATGCGTGAACTGAGAATCGCTGCGGGGTATGTTGTTGCTCACCTGTTGTAAATTAGACTTTTGCTAAATGGTTCCAGTCGCACATTACCTGGATTTCTCCAGGGATCGAAAGCTCCACAAGATCTGGTTGTGAAGAACAGAACAAACGTACTGATTATCTTGCGAGATCTGTGTGAAAAGCACACCCTCCACTTGCAAGAGACATGTGTTCTTGCTTGGGGTCAACTTGCAAGGTCCGTATGGCTCAAAACACACACGCACCGTTCTCATGCTTACAATGTTAGGGTTTTGACTGATGGCGACCTGAATATTGTGCTGCTAAAGCTCGTAGAATATCTGGGACATTCTAACCTAATTGTGTCGAACGCAGCTTACAATGAAGTAGGTCGAGCTGTAATGTAACGACGGAGAATACTAAATTTTACTTAGATACTGAAGTTAGCAAACCTTAATGGTACTGTGGAAAAGCCCGTGGAACGGCTATTTAGTCCGTTTTGGGATAGTGTTGCGATTGCTGCAGTGAAGGACTTGCTTATCCGGCCACAAACTGCTCAGTTAATGGCCGATTTGTTAGAAATCAACGTTCCGGAATTCCTTATTCTCACACAAGCATACACATTGCCATGGCTAGTGCTGTGGCGTGATGGGAAGACCATTAAAAAAATTGCTCAAGCTCGGAACGAGGAGATTTGGCGAGTTTGTACGGATAAACCTAATGTTTCTCATATTATGGCATTGTTGCTTGTTCAGGATGTTCGAGATATTGAAAGCCAAACAATGTCCGTACTAAATTTCGTCTCTCCGGACTTCGAGGAACGAGGACTTGATTTTGAATATTTTCTGAAAATGGATCTACCAGGCACTTTCCTTCACCTTCTTAAGGTGGCCGGGCATGCTGATGATAGTAAAAAGTCAAGGGTAGGTAAATTCTGTAAATTATCCTTTGTTGGATGCAATGGAAGCTAACTTTCTTAGATTCGGCTTGCTTTGCAATTTCTTGTTGAAAATGTTCAAAGCCCCGACCAAAGTCGAAAGAGAAACAATCCAATGGCGGCATTTCTAGAACATCACAATCTTGGTCTTATTATTCGCATATCGGAGATCATTAATGACATCAGGGATGAACAATCTACTTTTGAGAAAAAGAGAAATGTGAAAGCGATTGAAGAGATGGTTACGATTGGTAAGACCTACATGGGAGCAGCTCGGCCACAAGTAAGCAAATCCCGCTCAATTTTCATGGTTCGTGGTAGCTCATTACATCTAGATATGTGCTTGCCTGCAGTCCGCCTTGGCTCAAAAAGACCTTCGAACATCAGCCTTCTCAGCATGGTCAGCTATGCTTCGATATCTTGGCGATGAAGACGTAGAGTGGATGCTTGAAAGTACCTTCGTCACCATCATACAGTATTGGAATTCCTTTGACGACACTACGAAAAAAACGGCCGAGCAGATTTTGCAGTATCTCTTGGAAGAGAGAGCCCGTCTTATTCGAAACAAAATCGTCGACCTGCCATCCCTTTCCGATTTCCCGCAGCTCAGCGATATAGAACGCAGACTCAACATCATAAGAAGGCCTACAGATGTCAGTAATGCATTCCAGATATTCAGTCGTAGAATTCGACATGAAAATTCTGGAGTTGTCGCCCAAGCTTTATCCGAGTTAAAGAGTCTGCTTCATTCACAGCAGTCATATCTTCAGGCATCAGCTGTGAGTGAACAGCCTGATGTGGTTGTTGGTAAGCTTGTGCGTTCAATAATGGATGCGTGTGTTAAGTTTAACGAGTCTCATCATGAAATCGCTAAGCTATCCGGAGAATGTATCGGCTTGATAGGTTGTCTTGATCCAAACAGAGTAGAAGCAGTAAGGGAACAGCGGGAGATGGTGGTTATCATGAATTTCCATGATGCTGGGGAGACTACCGATTTTGTTCTATTCACTTTGGAAGAGGTTATCGTCAAGGCATTTTTATCTGCAACCGATACAACCTTACAAGGTTTCTTATCCTTTGTTATGCAGGAGCTACTATCTAAAAGTGGGTTTTCAGCAGTCTGCGCACCAACTCTGATGGGTGGGAAGAAGGATGTCAATAATCCCCTTTACAGGAAATGGGAGTCTCTTCCGGAGAGTGTGCAGGCTACTCTTACGCCTTTTCTTACCTCAAGGTTCCAAGTGTTGAAAATGGAAGTTCAAACTACTACGTACCCCATATTTCGACCCGACAATACTCAACCTGACAGAATAAATAAGTATAATAATTGGCTAAGAACTTTCGTTCTTGATCTTTTACAGAAACCGAAAAATCACAATACAGAGTTGATATTTACTCCACTGTCTCGAGCCATCCGAATCAAGGATCTTTCTGTAGCAAGTTTTCTGCTGCCATATCTCATTCTCCATATAGTAGCTGAAGGAACAGACGAAGAGAGAGATACTATTGGTGCAGAGTTGCTTGGCGTTTTAGAATATGAGCCGCCTTCGACGTCCCATATCAAGCAAGAAGAATTAAAGTTGTGTAGTGAGGTAGGTGCCACAGTTATCTTGAAATAATTTCTATTTCTGACATCGTATAAACAGGCAGTCTTTAGAGTACTTGATTACCTTTCCCGCTGGATACAAGCGAAGCAAATTGCAATTGTTCGGGACGCACGAGCTGGTGGCGTAACCACCGACGGTATAGAGCAAATTGAAAGAGTCACTAGGCTTATCGAAAGTATTCCGGCTGAAATCGTTTCTGCTCGAGCTATACAATGTAAATCATATTCTAGAGCTTTATTTAATTGGGAGCAGCATATTCGACATGTTCGAGCGACCAAGAAGAAGGATGCTTCAAGAGAAATCGCAGACTTAGAGAGACTGCAAGAGATATATACCCAAATCGACGAGCCAGATGGTATCGAGGGAATTTCGGCTCACTTACATGTGTTAGATATTGATCAGATAGTCCTTGGGCATCGTAAGGCGGGACGCTGGACAGCAGCACAGGGTTGGTATGAGATTAAACTTGCAGAAGATCCTGAAGATGTCGACGTTCAACTCAATCTCCTTAACTGCTTAAAGGAATCCGGGCAACATGGTCAGTCTCATAAAGTGTGCAGTTCTCAACTGATACTAACTAATCCTAGACGTCTTACTTAATTATGTCGAAGGTATGCAAACTGCCACCAAGACAATAGAAAAACTGTTGCCTTTTGCCGCAGAGGCTTCGTGGGCGACAGGTCGGTGGGCTGCCTTGGAAAAGTATACATCGATAGCTGGTCGTAATGTAGAGGAAGATTTTAATGTCAGCATTGGAAAAGCACTACTTGCTTTACATCAGAAGGAGTCCACGCGGTTTGTTTCAACTATCCAGGAACTTAGAGAGCAAATTACTTGCTCTTTGTCAACGGCTACCACTTCATCAATTGGATCTTGCCACGATACTATGTTGAAGCTTCATGTACTCACCGAGTTGGAAATGATCACTGGTTTTGATCGCACTGAGCCGTCACCGAGGGAAGAGCTCCTCGAGTCGCTTGACCGGAGGCTCGAAACAATTGGTGGTTATTGGAATGACAAACAATATTTATTGGGGATAAGACGAGCCGCCATGCAATTGTCCAGGTAAGCTATAATTCATCTTATGAAGTTTTGATACCTCTAAATTAGCACTTCTAACTTTCCGCGCAGCCTTGAATTTACAAAGGGTGATCTCGCTTCTGCCTGGTTGACTAGTGCACGCCTCGCTAGAAAAGGAAATGCAATACATCAATCTTTCAACGCTGTACTCCACGCCTCACAGCTCGGGGACGAGTCAGCAAAGATTGAGCATGCACGACTTTTATGGAAGGAAGAACAGCATCGAAAAGCGATTCAAAGTCTTCAAGGTGCAATCGATAGTAATGCTTTCATATCTCACAATGAAATTAATAAGGCATCTATGGCAAGTGCTGATGATATGTACCGAAAACAGCATCAAAATCTCCTTGAGGCAAGAGCTCATCTTCTGCTCGCAAAGTGGCTTGACCGTGCTGGTCAAACAAATTCATCTGCCCTACGAGCCCAATATCAACTCGCTGCAAAGACACATAACGCATGGGAGAAAGGTCACTACTACTTGGGACGCCACTACAATAAGCTGTTGGAATCAGCCAGTAATTTACCATTGGAGAGGCAAGATGATAATTATCTTTCCGGAGAAACCGCGTCACTAGTCATTTCGAATTACCTCCGATCCTTGGGCCATGGTACCAAATATGTTTACCAAACTCTGCCTCGTATCCTGACACTTTGGTTAGACCTTGGTACTCAACTAAGTCAAAAGATCGATCCGAGGCGTCATTCTCAAGAGTTTGTCAGCAAGATGACTCAGCTCCGAACGAAGACGTTAAGCGACCTTCATGTACGGTTCAAGAAATACATTTCCAAAATGCCGGCCTATATATTCTATACTGCTCTGCCACAGATTGTATCAAGAATTACTCATCCACACAAAGAGGTCAATCAATTCCTTCAGTTGATTATGTTAAAAGTTGTGTCCGCTCATCCCCAACAATCACTCTGGAGTTTGTTAGCTGTAAGTACTTCAAAGCAGATAGATCGTCGAAATAAAGGGACCGAGCTACTCAATAAGTTGGAAAAAGTATCAGGAAGGAACGATAATAGTACTATAGATATCAAGGCACTGATTAGAAGCGGACAAGCTCTTACCAATGAGATACTGAAGATTTGCGAAGTTGGAGATTTTCAAGGATCAAAGGTGTCTAGACCGAGTCTAACCAAGGATCTACAATTCAATCATAAGGTCGTGCCATGTTTACTTGCTTGCCCAGTTGAGGCTGCATTGACAGCAACCTTGCCAACGCTCACTGACAAAGTATCAACACATAAAGCCTTTTCTCGCGATGTCATCACCATCAATTCTTTTGAAGATGACGTTTTGGTTCTGAATTCCTTGGCAAGACCTCGACGATTAAATGCTTTGGCTTCAAATGGACAACACTATGGTCTGCTTTGCAAACCAAAAGATGACCTCCGAATGGATCAACGTCTGATGGAGTTTAATGGTATGATGAATAGAGCTTTGAAGCGCGATGCCGAATCAAGTAGACGTCAATTGTACGTTAAAACATATGCCGTCACCCCTCTGAACGAGGAATGCGGTATCATAGAATGGATAGAAGGACTTCAAACACTACGTCAAATACTTTTGAGTCTATATCTACCTACCGGTAAAAGAATTAATTATCCGGAGCTCGATGCATATTGTGAACAAGCAATGAAAGGCGACAAACAACTCCCATTTTTCACCGAGAAGGTTCTCGGTGAATTTCCTCCTGTCTTTCACAAATGGTTTGTGAAGCAATTTCCAGAGCCCTCCGCTTGGTTCGCTGCTAGACTTCGCTATACTCGTTCCTGTGCCGTTATGTCCATGGTGGGCACCATTCTAGGACTAGGGGATCGTCACACGGAAAATATACTCTTCGAAGAAGGAAACGGAGGAACCTTTCACGTGGATTTCAACTGTCTCTTCGAGAAAGGCAAAACATTCACCAAACCCGAAAAAGTCCCCTTCCGTCTAACTCACAACATGGTTGATGCAATGGGTATGTACGGCTACGAAGGCCCCTTTCGCAAATCCTCCGAACTCACCATCAAACTCCTACGTCAACATGAAGAAACCCTCATGACGATCCTCGAAGCTTTTATCTATGATCCGACGCTCGATCTTATGAAGAAAGCAGATAAGAAGAAGAGGGATACTGCTAATGATGGTATGCTTAGTGCGCATAAGGTCTTGGATCTTATTCGGAGGAAGGTGAAGGGTTTGTTGCCCGGGGAAAGTGTACCGCTTAGTGTGGAGGGCTATGTTGATGAGTTGATTAAACAGGCGACGGATCCGAGAAATTTGACGGCTATGTATATTGGGTGGTGTTCGTTTTTTTGAGGTGGGAGGGCTGTGGAGGGGTAAAGGAAAGGGACGTGTGGTATTTGTATTTGTATTTATTATTTGGTGGGGAGGTATAAGTTATTTTCTTTTTTTTCTTGGAAGGATTCATGTATAACAGACACTTAAATCATTTCACATTGTTGGGGGATATTAGAGTAGCAAAGTTTGAGTATCTGAGTTATATTGTGTAATTGTATCTTATCTTATCTCGTCTCATCTCATCTTATCTTGTGCATCCTATCTCGTATATATCATTCCTCATACATATAAGTATATCCATCGTCTTATCATCTCATCAATCTCATATATCCATCATCGATCCATCAATCCATCCATCTCATATATCATCCTATCATCTCATCTCATCTTCATTCCATAAATCCCCAATCCCAAAAGAAAGTATGTATCCATCTGATCTCATCCCATCTCACTCATTCATTCCTCCCTCGTTCCTCCTGTCCAAACCAAACCAAACCAAACCACGACAGAAAAAAAAAGCCAAAAAAAGAAAAGAATAAAAATATTCCACCCTCAATCAATATATTAATAAGTAAGTAAGTAAGTAGCCTATAAAAACAAAAAACAAAAACGCCCCCATGCGCTTACGCAATGATATATATTCGATAAGGATATCCTGTAATAAATGATAATGATATAACGAAGGTATAAAAGGTATAAAAGGAAAAAGGAAAAAGTAAAGAAAAAAAGGGAAGGAAAAGGGAAGGAAAAGGAAAGGAAAGGAAAGAAAGGAAAGAAAGAATGACTTCGGGTATTGAGTATAGGATGCCGATAGATAGCTGTATGAATAGCTAGCTATATGAAACGAGTGTTCTGTGTATAGAATACCACGCCACAGCAGATAGACAGATAGATAGAGCATGGAGTAGTAATACCACGCCACACCATACCATACCACACCACACCACACCATATCCAAAGTACAGCAAGTACATGCGGACATCCGTACATCAGCACCGCACCTCAACAAGCTAGTAAGCTAGGAATCACCCCCGCGAGCTCCATCCATCCTGCATCCATCTGCATCGAATCCGCGTCCAGACCACATTCCGAATTCGTTGTCAAGTGGGTCCATGCATGCGCACCCGTTACAACTAGCAACTAGCAACTTACAAAACTAAGCGTAATCCGATGGCCCCACGCACCAAGTGCTCAGGGCGTGTAGAGGACAAAGCAGAATGGAGCTTTGGAATAAATAGAAGAAGGGGAGGAAAACGGAAGAAAAGGAATAGAAATCAATAAGTAGGTTGGTTACTTATAATTCCTAGTGTCTGTTCCTATCCATTCATATCCATATTCCTATCCCTATCCATATCCAAATCCATCCATTCAATCTAGAATTTCACATCGCCATCTCCAACCCCATCCAAAACCCACCAAGCCCATCCCAACCAACCCAACCCAATCCAATCCAACCCTAAACCTTCACCCTAACCCTCAACAACTCCCCCAAAACACCCCTAAACCTACCCCTCCAAACCTTCCTCTCAACATGCACTGTCTCATCATCCCACTCCCACAATTTCTCAAAACGCTCCTCTAGCGTCCCGAAACTGGCATCAGGGAGCGAAAAATGAACCACAGACATCTGTTCGAGAGAGGCATCGTCCGTGCCATCAGCGAGATGAAGTTGTTGGATGGGGATTTTAGAAATCATGATTTCGGACATTGCTTCGTTTTCTTCTTCGTCTGCGGAGTCGTCATCGTGATGGGCGTGCGCGGAGCGGATTTTGGAGATGGAGTCGTGGATGATGAGATTTTTGGGTTCGGGTTCGGTTTCGGTTTCTTGTTCTTGCTCAGTGTGTCCATTTAAATGAGTTTCAGATCGTTTAGGACGAGGAGGAAGAGCAGGAGGCGCGACTTCGGATCCAACTTTTGCTTCAGCTTCAGTCTGAGCTTGAGCCTGAGCTTGCATCTCAGCATCAATTTGCTCTTGAAGCTCTCGTTCCGTTTCCCGCTCCATTTCTCGTTCCATCTCCATCTCCATTTCACGGTCCATCTGCGCCTGAATCTGAGCTTGCATTTGGGCATCTGTGAATTCGACGCGCAGACTAGAGCTTGGACTCTCATTTGCCGTTGTGGGGGAGAGTTCGAAGGTTTGAGGATTGGGGAGTGGTGTGGGGAGGGGTTCGCTGTGCACTTGAGATACTTCTTGTGTTGCGTCTGTAGGAGGAGGGGCGGAGATTGGAACTTCGGCTTCGATTTCAGACTTTGGCTGAACTGGGATCGCAACATCTGAGTTCGATGGAGCAATAACAGTAGCAGCGGAGTTAGGAGTAGTTTCTACATGAGCAATTTTGTCATGTGTAATTTCAGTCTCGGTACCAGCTCCAGTCTCAGCTTCTTCTTCCAAAGGAGGAGCTCTCCCAATTCCAGCCGGATTCGGGCTTTGCCTAACTTTCTTCCCATTATCCCTTCCTCCATCCCTTTCCCTAACATCCTTCACCACAGCCCCCACCAATTTTCTAATCTCTCCACTAGCTCCTTTAGCCTGTTCAGCCAGAACCGCCTTCCCAGCTCTAACATCCCAAATATTCACCGCGCGTTTCCCCTCATGTTTGCGTCTGCGCTCATCCGTACAATTCAACTCATTCCTAAGTTGATATTCCAATTCTGGAAAGGTAAGAGCCGTATGGTGGATACTCTCGTGATGATCCCCATATCTCCCATTCTCATTCTCGTTCGAATTTCCCAGTAAAGGCGTTTTTGAATCCGAATGCGCAGAATGTGAGCGCATATTCGCCGAATAAGGCGGTCTCAACCAAGCATCCATGAGATTTGTTGCACTGTACAGGAGCGAAAATGTGCTCTGTTCCTCTACCTTCTTTAAAACACCCCTCCTAATTCCCTCCCTAAATTGATTTCTCTCTCCCCTTCTCCCTCTTTCACCTCCTCCAATTCCCCAAGTACCAAGTCCCCACTTCGGAGGATTTTGAATGGGAATATTAAAATCCGTTTCGTCGTGTCCGAAGACTATGTCAAATTTCGCATGTGGTACGATCCAAAAGACCGTTCGTTGTGTGTATCTCGACAGAGGAGAAGATTTCCAATGCAGGGTTAGATCTCCCGTCATGGAGTCTGGATCTTGATTTTCCCTTCCGCGAATTTCTTCGCCGATTCCAAAACCCATACCAATCCCAGTACCAGTTCCCATTCCTTCGAGATCTCGTTCTGCTTCTTCGGCAGTCCCTTCTGGTTCCTCGGAGATTCCGTCGGGTTCTTCGGTAAGGATTGTGGGGACATTTGGCATGGGGGTCACGGGATGTGAATTTAAGGCTTCGAAAAGACTTGGTTGTCCCTCTGTGTGAGAGTGTAATGGTTTTGGTCGTTGAGGCATTCGAGGTGGTGTATCAACGACCATTGCACTAAAAGTAGCTCCGGGTCTTGGTGAAAACGGATTTAAATCTGAATCTGGAAATAATGGGCTAGTTAAATTTGATCTTGAGATAGCTTCAGGTGTTGGTTCCAGAAATGAGAAAATTGGAGGAGCTTGAGAGTTAGAAGGCACAAGAGTAGCAGTTGTAGAAGTCCTTCTCGGTGGGACTCGGGGTGGAAGAGGTGAGCTTGTTGTGGATGTAGGAGGGGGTGCATCTTCCTCAATCGTACTTTCTCTACTCAAAGGGGAGAAAATTCTTCTTGAGAGGGGTTCCGTCCTCGATCGTTGAAGTGGTTTAATTTCAGCAATTGGTGCAGTTTGAGATCTTGCCAGGGTCTTTGGTTTAAAAGGAACTCTTGGTTTTGATACGGATTTTGACCGTGGTTTAGCTTCACGATCCGCATCGGGTTTTAAACCGAGGGAAAAAGCGAAGCGGGAAGAAATATAGTTGTAATCCAAGGATTCATTGTAGTAAGCTTGGGTATCGAATTCTGTGAATTCTGGTGTGAGGTTGGTGCCGGATGTAATGGAAGATTTTGGTGATGGCATAATTTTAATGGGGAAAGTGTAAGTAGTCTGAAAATTTATCAGTATTTTCCATGGAAAATCGCATTTTGAATAAAACCCGTGATAATTCAATAATTAAAGAATTGAAAGGCATGAGAATATTGAACTTACCTTTCTTCTATCATTCTTAGGTCTCTCGATTCGTTCATTGCTACCAGCAACAGCCTCGGGTCGATCAGTATCCATCGTACCGTAAGCCAAATTGTCTTCGTCCATGTTCGAAGAATTGGCAAGCTTCGCTTTACCACTTGACTTTCGAAGAACTTTGGAAGGAGAAGGTAAACAGTCGAATATATTACTACAGGACATGAATACCTTTTCCACCTTTCCGCCAATTTAAAATTAGGTGCAAGACCCAAAAAGCGGTGATGATACGTGATGGTGGCAAAAGTCACCAAGCAACCAACTAACCAAGCAACCAAGCTGTCCAGCAGCTAGAGCAAAAGCGAGGGGCGGGGGTTGGGAGGGAAGTATCGGTAAGTAAATGCAGTAGAAATCCAGAAATATAAAGGCGCAGTGCGTGCACTTTTTTTTCAATATGTAAGAATATGTGAATCAACTTTCTCGGTCTCGCACTTTTGGATGAAAAATCGGAAGATATGAAGCATGAACAATCTGCAAGCACAAGAGGGGAAAGATATGCGGTGAAATATATTCATATTCCCACTTCACAAGCATTGAGCTATCCAAAGCAAACATGTGCAGTACAAGCACAGCACAGCACAGCACAGTACAGTATAATTCTAAACAATTCCGAATTAATTTCATTCGACTCCCAAGATTTTTTCGCATCGGAACGACAATCTCGATTCTCATTCGTGGATAATGGGGACGCTTTAAAAAATGTTTCCATTTTCACCTGACGTGGTTCCTATCATCACCCATCATCACTCATCACCACCTGTCAAAAATTGAAGAAACAAGCAAAGCAAAGCAAGGCAAGCGATGAACGAACAAGACTTGCCAGCGAAACTTCTCGCCTCACGATGAAACACGAGAGCGGAAAGAATCGTCTAGTGGAGAAAATATCTTAGCAACATAACTAGATTTTGGTCATATTTGACGAAGGGTATGGAAGGGTACTATGGCAGGAATGGTAGAAGTAGAATGAATGGTATGAATGGTATCAATTGGTGATGTGAATAACTTCGTAATCGTAATAATGAAAGAGTCATTTCATTATTGGGAAAGCCGGTAAATGGAAATTTTATTCATCGTTTCGAGTAAAAATCCGCTCAGATGCATGAATTTGCTGTACTTGTCGACTTAGCACCATGCGAGTCCTGATTAGCTGCAGATGAAGAAAACTTCGCTGCAGCTTGTTGCTGGCTTGTTGGGTTAGGGCGTTGGGATAATTATGGGGATTGCATCAAATCCTTTCGATGCCATCAAATAACGGTGAGAGAGGCTGGCTGGCTTATGACTTCTGTGAGGCTGTGAGCAATTGAGCCATGTACCAAGTATTATAGCTGCGCAAGGGTATGGATCGACTGCTCCCCGTACCGTTTGTTTGCCCTGATACAGATAGGTACATGGTGCTATTCTTGCATTCTCGCAGCATCGAAATCCAATGAATAAAATCATTCGGAATAAGGTACCCCAGCTTGTCCAGGGACCCCTCCAAGAGCTTGTGAGATTAAGGAACGACCAGCACAACAAAACGGCCATCTCAGTAGTCATGTTTCGTAATTCCTGTCGCCCATCGCAACCTCGGCATCTTGATTCTCGAATCCAGCGTTGACATGACATGATAAGAACAAGATAAGATGTGAACTCACATGAACAGCGCAGGCGTTGGCTTTTCTGTTGGCTCGGTATAGTTCGTGGGATGTGGAATGCGGGAGCAATCTGAAGCAACTTTGAAATCAAACCCCGTACTTGGACGAGTATTCAGTGCCCACGTCACTTGGTTGCTGGTTGCTTTCCCCGGTTTGTCTGGGTACCCACGAGGTGATTGAACGTGAGATGAGGTATATACTATATATGTATGGGGCATGTATGAAAACCTTGAAATGGGAGAGGATTAACATGTATCGGGATTCGGTATCATGTAACATCTAGCTATGCACGAAGTAAGGCAAATGGTTTTAGTTGAGATATGATATACAGAGATCAGGAGGAGGGGCGATGATCCAATACCTCCTCACATCATGTATGTGATTGTGTATTTATGTATATGCGAGTATAGAGCAGAATTTCCCATTGACATAATAACGAGATAAACACGCATGCGATAAATCTTCAAGTACCTGGGTAGACTTATATGGTTGGAATTCGAGGTGCTCCAGTTACACCAATGAATATAGTTTACCCAATGGGGGTAGGTACGAAGTCGTCGAGTTCATAATTAATGGATTAATTGCCCGAATGCAGGAATATGCACCTATGTATGAACATCCTAGGTATGTAGATGGGATCGCCAAACAAGAAAGAATTGCATGTGAATGTAGGAACATGCATCATGGTGTGTTGTGTGAAATAAAGATGTGTATGAAGAATGGAGGGGTCATTTTGACGCCATCAATTTGTGGAGGGAGAACGAGAACCAAGGACTATCATTACATCATGAACAACGATTAATATAAGCATTGCTAGTGAAAAAACGGGCAAAGGAAAATATACCTACGTATTTTCTTGTTTTATATAGAAAGTATTGTATCAAGTAATGAATATAGTGAGATTCCCTCACAACCTCCCAATCTATTTTGTATAATGCTATCGCGCACACAGAAAATCGAGAGAAGCGATATTTATCCCATCCATTCGGCCTGCCATTGTACAAAGTGTTGAATCCCAAAGCCCAAATCCCAGATACGGTATTTTGCCAGCCCATTCCAGCCCCTAAACGCCGTGGTCTTGACAATAGATCATTCCATAGAACTCCGTCCATTGCTCCCGCCCATTTCTATATTCTTCAGTATAATATATTCTCAATTCCCTTGGCATGGCACCATCAAGTCTGCTTAGCTTTCTTGCCCAATTTGTTGGCCGTCATCAACTTAATCGATATAGGGAATGTGCCATTTTTGGGTGGTTTTCGGCCAGGCAGGCTCGTGGTGCTTACTAAAGTCCGACAAACAGGACATGTTTTCCTACCATTATTTCCTGCATGTAGTGCTGAGTGAAGACATTCGGAACAGAAGAGATGGCCTATATTGTATTAGAAATGCTAGAAAACGCATGTTATCAAAAACATACCACAATGTGTTACCGTCAAATCTGTAGGGTTGTCCATACAAATAATACACTGAAAATCCACCAATTTGACTGGCTTCGTTGCTTCATCCTGATTTTGTTGTTTGATCAAGTCTTCCTGCCGTTTCGCCTTTGCAGCTTCGTATTCTTGTAAATTTGCATTCTCGGCAAGATCAACTACTTCGACATCATCGTCCGGTTTTATTTCCTGTGGTGAAAGCTTGCGACGTTTCGCAGATGTGGATCTTGATCCTGCTGTTGGATTTCGTCGTTTTGGTGATTTTGCTCGTGTGAGCGTAGCTGGACGTAAACTAGTGCCGGAAAGAGCTCTGCGTCTTTCTGATGGAGGAGCCATAGCTGGTGATGAATCAGTGAGATCAACTGCGCCGTAAGGATTGGATGCTTGACTAGGCATTCGTGGTGGCGACGCAAAAGGATCGTCAATATCGACGTTGGGTTGTGAAAAAAAGGAATCCCAGTCAACGTTTGATAGGGACTCTGCGTCCTCGTCGTAGACAGAGGAACCTCTTGGTCGTTGTGGGGATGTTCTTGAATTTTGTCGAGCCACTTGATTTAAAGATGGTAGAAGTGGAGGTGGCGATCGGTTTTGGTTGCTTTCATCAAAATGATCAAAAGAAAAAAGATCGGGGGGAGATGCGCTCCGAGGTCGTTTTATATGACTTCGACCACGTTCTGGATTTGAAAGTATTGTGGATGTGGATGTGGATGTGGATGCAGTTGCAGTTGTATTTGCGATTGCGATTGCATTGGCATTTGTGTTTGCCGTTGAACCATAAGTTTGAGAAGATAGTTCTGGTTGTACTTGACGTGTATGAGTTTCTGGCATAAAAAGTGGTGATGAGGATAAACCGGGAAGCTCTAATCTATTCCCGGAATTCGTCCGACTGATTGGGGGTAAGGTTAAAGATTCATCTGCCTCTGCTCTACCAACAAAAGATTCATTGTTCCATAGTGTACGCTGATGTGAGAATGAGTTTCCGATTGGAGCTGTGTTCGGATTCCCATTATTGTGATGAGGTGAATATGGATAGCCTGAGGTCATTCTGGGATGTAGAGATGGATGAGAAATGACAACATAAGTACTCTGGTGGATTCGAGTACAATACACACAGACAGTTAGGAGCTCACAAACAAGACTCAATGTGTGTGATTGATGTGAATGAAAGAAGGGAGGGTTCTGAGTAGGTACTTAGTATCAAGTGAGTAGAGAAATAGAAATGAAAATAGAATTAGAAAGTTGGAAGTTGGAAGGCAAAAGATATCAAGGGATCGAGTAGCCGTCCTTTAATTGATTGTTGAAGAGATTTGGTTCACATATAAGCGTACTGTCAATATGTCAGTAGGTAGGAGGTAGGAGGTAGGAGGTAGGAGGTAGGTAGTGAGAAGAAAAGAAGAAGGGATGAGGTTGGAATAATAATTTATTTGTTTCTTTCTTTCTTATCATGTTCGGAGAGGGCGAAATTCAATTCCCCTAATAATAAGTGTTGGTGCTGTGGTGCACGGTGGGTGGTGGTAGTGATGTGATAGTGTTGTAGTAGCAGCTAGGTACCTAGCTGAAGTTTATTAGTAACTGTTACTCCGTACACTACTTACACTACTCCGTAAAAAGGAGCTGCGAGCTGCGAGGCCCGAAGTCTCACTGATATGGGAATAAGTAGTAAAAATGTGACTTCTGGTGGGCAAAATGCAAAATGTCGGATGATTCAATGTATGATGTATGTCGGAAAGATGGGTGTGGAAGATGGATGTGGTGGTTAAACAATAATTAATACCTATATAATTATTATACTCGCTAACATAATGAATAATATCATCTACCTACAGAGAGGTACCTAGTAATCAATCGATAAGAGTGAAGTGAGGGGCGAAAGACTCTTATCGGCTTAAGCAAGCAGAGATTGTGTATGGCCAGCCTCGTGTAATTCCATGTAGCCTCGTCAGACTTACCTGTGGCCTCGTAAAGAATTTGTCATCGATTCATCGTAGATAGCATTGCGCCCCCGCTCGCAAAAAAAAGAAAAATTATTATTGAGAGGGCTACAATTCTAGAGGCTCCCGAGGACATCACTAGTAAAACAATTTGTTATATCGTGTTTGCTTGATGTTTCAATTCAATATTGTTCTTTAACTTCGTCATAACAATGATTTAATAAAAGTAATTTTCTTTCATACCATGCTTCTTTCATTTCGCGCTGGTCGTGCAAGTAGGCCAAGCGCAAGCTTTATTCGTCTTGCAAAGTATCGAGCCCAGAAGTCTCAACATACCCTGATACCTTTTAGGCAATGGCGAACATATTCCACGGAAGCAGATGCTGCAACAGAAGAGTCAGCCAGTACAATTGGTCAATTCGGTATGTGAGGAAGATCTCGACATTTGACTTGAACTTCAGCTAAGCAAATGTAGAAGACCCAGAACTTCGATTAAATGAGATAGGAGTACAACAAATAAGTCGTCATGTGTACTCTCAATTATTCACGACGGAACAATCGCCTCCTTCCCAAGAACTCATAGATCTCTCAATGGATCACTTGCGAAGGCATGAACTGCTTGGGAAAAATACCGACCATGCCCCTCCAATATGCTTCGACCTTCCCGAACTAAAAGGTGACACACTCGATGAGCATTTCTTCAGATTAGGTAGTGATGCTTCTGAACCATACTTGACATATGCAAGGGATTTTGCCAAGGTGGAGACCCCTCCTCGACCGCTAGAATGGTCACATCAAAGCGGATGGACGAAATATGGTATCGATGGTTCGATGGAAATTGTTGAGGCACCAAATGAGGATATGTTATGTTTCGATACGGAAGTGATGTGGAAAGAAAGTTCCTTTGCTGTGATGGCTTGTGCCGTTAGTCCTACACATTGGTATACTTGGTTATCGCCATGGCTATTAGGAGAAAGCACCAGCGACCGTCAATTGATACCTCTCGGAGACCCGACTAAACCTCGAATCATTGTCGGCCATAACATCGGTTATGATCGGGCAAGGGTAGCTGAAGAATACGACATAGTTCAATCGAAGAATAACTTCTTGGACACCATGTCGTTACACGTTGCTGTCAATGGAATGTGTTCACGTCAAAGACCAACATGGATGAAACATAGAAAAGATCGAGAGTTACGCGAAAAGATCGCTGCGGAGACGGACAATGCGGAATTAGCATCATTGCTAGGGCACAAGTCTCTTATGGAAGAGGAGGAAGCAGAATTATGGATAGGCAGAAGTTCTGTCAATTCATTGAGGGATGTTGCTAAATTTCACCTTGGGGTCACAATCGACAAAGCGGAAAGAGATGCGTTTGGTGAATGTGGCCGCGAAGAAATTATGACGAGGCTTGATTCGCTCTTAGATTATTGTGCAGCGGACGTTGACATAACCCAGCGAGTTTACAAAAGAGTATTTCCCAATTTCCTCGATACATGCCCACATCCCGTCAGTTTCGCCGCGCTTAGACATCTGTCATCGGTAATACTCCCAATCAATAGGTCATGGGAATCCTACGTCACGAATGCCGAAGCTACATATCTCAAATTGTCTGATGCAGTGCAAGAGCGACTTCTTGCGCTTAAAGAGAAGGCGTTGGAGATCAGGGATGATGTTAAGACATGGAGTAATGATCCTTGGTTGAGACAGCTTGATTGGTCCGGTCAAGAGATCAAGTACCTGAAGAAAAAAGCAAAGGATGGGGGATTGCAGCGAGCTAAACAGAAGATGCCTGGTATGCCCAAATGGTACAAGGATCTCTACCCGACAGCCGCCGGCCCTATCAATTTATCAGTCCGTACTCGAATTGCACCGTTACTTCTACGGCTAGCCTGGGATGGTTATCCATTAGTATGGTCTGACAAGTATGGCTGGACCTTCAGAGTCCCAATCGAAGAGGCACATAAGTATACTGAAAAGCAGATGCAAGAGTGTAATGCATTTGAGGCTCCTGATATGGCTCTACGAGATGACACTTCCGCCGCTTACTTCAAAATCCCGCACAAGGACGGACCATTGGCAAAATGTGGAAATCCAATGGCGAAAAGTTACATGCAATACTTTGAGAGAGGTATACTTTCATCCGAGTTTTCATATGCAAAAGAAGCACTTCAGATGAATGCTTCTTGTTCTTATTGGATAAGTGCGAGAAAACGTATACAGTCCCAGATGGCTGTCTATGAAACGGACGGAGCAAAGGGCCCTACAACATCAGAATCGCAGTCAGAATCGCAGTCAGAATCGCAGTCAGAATCGCAGTCAGAATCGCAGTCAGAATCACATGCGGAATCGCAGTCGGAATCACATTCGGAATTGCAATTAGAAAATCAATTAGAGTTGCAAACTCAGTCGCAGTCGGAACCGCAATCAAAGCTACAGTTAAAATCGCAATCAGAGCTGCAGTCCGAGTCGCAATCGGGATTGCAGTCAGAGTCACAATCCGACTTGCAATTAGAATCGCAATCAGAATCATATTTGGAATCGCATTCGGAATTGCAACCAGAAAACCAATCAGAATCGCGGTCCGAGTCGCAATCGGAACCGCAGTCAGAGTCACAGTTAAAATCGCTGTCAGAGACGGGCTATATTTTACCACAGGTCATTCCTATGGGGACGGTGACCCGGAGGGCTGTGGAAAATACATGGCTTACGGCAAGTAATGCCAAAAAGAATCGTGTCGGCTCAGAACTAAAATCAATGATAAAGGCTCCGCCCGGTTATTGTTTTGTTGGTGCAGATGTGGATTCTGAAGAATTATGGATTGCTAGTCTTGTTGGAGACGCCCAGTTCAAACTACATGGCGGGAATGCCGTCGGCTTTATGACTCTAGAGGGTACCAAAGCAGCTGGTACAGATCTTCACTCTCGAACAGCGAGTATCCTTGGTATCACCAGGAACGATGCCAAAGTCTTCAACTACGGTCGGATATACGGGGCTGGTTTGAAGTTCGCCTCAACCCTGCTCCGGCAATTCAATCCTAGTCTTTCGGAATCTGAAACTTCGGAGACTGCTGCCAATCTCTATAAAGCTACTAAAGGCGTGAAGACCAATAGAAAAGCTCTTCATTCCGGACCCTTTTGGCGTGGGGGAACTGAAAGCTTTGTGTTCAACAAATTGGAGGAATTCGCAGAACAAGAAAAGCCACGAACCCCAGTTCTTGGTGCAGGAATAACACAAGCCCTGATGGCACGCTACGTTTCAAAGGGCGGCTTCATGACATCACGCATCAATTGGGCAATTCAATCGTCAGGAGTAGATTATTTGCATCTTCTCATCGTATCAATGGACTACTTGATTCGTCGCTACAATATCAATGCCCGTCTAGCCATCACCGTTCACGACGAAATCCGATATCTAGTTAAAGATGATGACAAATATCGTGCTGCATTGGCATTACAAGTATCGAATTTGTGGACGCGAGCTATGTTTTCGCAACAAATGGGAATCAATGATTTACCACAATCCTGCGCCTACTTCTCCGCGGTGGATATTGATCATGTTCTAAGAAAAGAAGTCGACATGGATTGTATTACCCCTTCACATGACACCGCAATTCCCCATGGCGAATCAATAGACATCCAAGAACTTCTTCTCCAACCTACCGCGCGCCTCGATCCTACCATTGTCCCCACAGACCCTCCAAACCACTCCAATGTCCCCTATGAACCCCGTATTCCAGTCATGGCATCCCTTCAAAAATCTACCGACTTGACGTTCCTGAAAGCGCAAATCACTTCTAGTGACCAAGAACTCAAGGATATTCTGAAAGAGAAAAAGAAATTAGATGAAAAGAACGCACCAAGAGAACGAAAGATTAGAAAAAATGACGTTGTACCATATCATACGTACGCGCATTTGATGGAGGAACCCATAATGGTCAGCGATGCGCTGAGAGTGGGCAGGTCATTTGATGCGGCCAAGGGGAGAAGTTGGGCGTGGGATGTTAAAGGAAAAGTGGGTGGTACGAGGAGTGGTGCAGGGGCTAGAATGTAGATGAAGGGCTTGTGGAGTTGTGTGGAGGTGTATTATTTTGGGAGATTTTCATGCTTCTTTTTCTTCGGGATGAATTCTATGTATGAAGGATATTTTGGGCTCAAGGGGGCGGCGAAGTGAAATGTACTAGGAGTATTGGCATCAGTATTGGTATCCAGGCTTTTTCTTTTGTTCATTAATTGGCTGATTTGTACTACACGATTCACTGGGACGGGGCGGAAACTAACGAGGGAGAATTTGAGGATTGGGGAGGATGATAGGAGGGGAGGCAATGTATAAGTATGTTTTTACAATACAAGTAAACATCGAATCATATACTCGAGGCTTAAGCACATCTCAATGTTTCTTGCCTTTTTTTCAGCCATCACGTGTTAAAATGATTGATGAGGTGTAAGCCACACAGCTAATCCCGATAAGGCTAGTAGAAACGAAACGTCGCACCGCGACTTCTCGATATCATTCTTTTAAGACCATTTGTGCACTGTTAACAATAATCTTTGATACATCTATGAGAGATTTGCAACCACAAAAACACGATATTGGCGTCAGCACAGCCATAGAATGTTCTTCACTCATCTACAAGCAGACTTGAGCAAGATAATATGAGTCAATGGATGTAGATGAATGTTCATTTAGCTAATAATAGGTATCTATAGGAGGGAATGTACCAACCTTCAACTTCATTGTTGTTGTAACCACAGGCCAAATCGTGGAGAAAATTATGGTGTAATAATCGGTTCATCCATTTGCACCAGAGTATCACACGCTAGACTCCCTGTAAGATTCAGTCTTACATCCTCGACTCTTTGATACCAGGCATTATTAAAAGGTCTGCCTGCGATCCTATAACTAGATCTTTGTACCAACGTTGGGCAGTGGTGAAATATTCCCTGGCGGGAAGTTTTCCGATGGTCACTATTAATGTAGCTTTATATTTGGTGCGAGGCGGCGCAGTTGCCTTTGCCGAAATAGATAGGTCAACTGTTTTGGTTTCGCTTTTGCTGACGGTGCCGGTTCGTGTGTAGGAATAATTTACTGCGACGTTCCATTGGGCTGAGGCGGAAGCTATTCCTTCTACACCTGCGGCCATGGTTTGGGCAGACGAATTATTGAGGGTTACGGTAACTTCTTGTGGTGCATCGGTGTTGTTCGAGTTACTGATGAGACCGCCCTCGGTCGATGAATTTGAAGCCGTAGTGTTGAAGGGTTCGATGATCTCCTTTACAGGGTTCACACTCTGCCATTTGAAGGAGCTCACAACATCGTTCAGGCGGACGTCAGAGAGCCGCGCGATTTCCTTCGTGGTACCCCAGCCTTTGGTATTGTTATACGAGACTCCGGTTCTATCTGCACCATCGTATATTGTAGCCGTCTTATATTGTAGCCGTCTGTCAATCTTTTAATGTTTCCCAACGGAACGAACTGACTATGTTTTACAAGTTCTAGTTTGAGTTGAATCAAGAGTATCGAAAGCCCACCCGCTAAGGGAAATGGTTGAACGTCTACCCGTAAAATCGGCAGCATCAAACGGTTCAATAGCACCCATGTTAAGATCCAGCGTCCTGCAAAAAAACATTGAGATCTGATCGTTCAAGCCGGCAGGAACCAGATCAGCAGCTTTTGTCTTTCCCGTTCTAACCAGATCAATGCATGTAAGTGCATTGCTTAGATCTGCGATTAAACCATCTGTTTTTATGGCAGCAAGTAATGTCATCACTATACCGACAGGCATGTTGTATAAAATTCAGGAGGTCCTATCGTATTATTGATAGGCTAGGATTATGTGACGTTGATTGGGCACATAGTCGTCGATGATAAGATCAGTTTTTACGCTCTTCCAATCCCCCTGAAACAAAGCCACAGTGCCGCTAGCTATTTGATAGGGGATGGCAGCGGAGGGACGTGGTGGTGGGGTGAGAAGAGCCACTAATTCGGCGGGAATGGTGGTTGTCATATCGGTATCATCAGATCAGGAAGTAGAAGAGAAGTTTGAGGCTCGTTGATATAATGATAAATATCTTTGATTCCCATCTGTGCTTATATGATTATTGATGTGCACATCTAATCATTTCACATATTTTCCAGCTACGTTAGAATACAATACCCAAGCGACATGCAGCCAGAAAGAATCCCGCTTTCCATGCTCTCTCCTACATACACCAGTAACCTCGCTTCCCTTCTCTTTTCACCCCTCAATTTATCCACATGATCTCTGTACGAAAGATGAAGTACCCATTAAATAGCATAATACCTCTCTTCATCTTTCCACTCCAAAATACCCCTTAGCATACGGAGTATCCCAGCTCAAACGAGTCCTCCAGACTCCAAACTAAACAAACCCATTCAATCTGAACAACACAGTCGAGCTACTCACGCGTCTAGAATCATATATCTCATAATTCATCACTCTACTGAGTCTACTCGAGTAGTACTTGTATACATAAATATAACCTCGAGTAACCTATAGTCTACGGAACGTCGGTCGAACTTGTAGTTCTAGTATGTGTATGTGTCTAAGCGTGGAGTTGCACATATGTTATTTTCTTTAGACTTGAATCTTTAGGTCTTGTGTGGAGAGAAGGTATTTTGTATATGTTCTTATTGTGGGTTGGCTTTTTGTTTGGGGCTGGAGGTTTGGAGATAGGGGAGGAGAGGGGAGGGATGGGGATGGGGATGGGGATGGGGGATCGATTTTGTTTTTTGTCGTTTGGACTTTATGTTCTGGGAATTAATGAATGGTCGTTCTTGTTCTTGGGTGTGGGGACGGGTGCGGCTTGCCAGCCTAGTAGGAATATCATATAAAAAGTCTTGGGTTATCATACACAGATCTCATTTCAATTATGTTTATTCTTCAAATCTATCTACATAGCAAAACACAAAAGTGAGTATTACAACGAAAACCAAACCCATTAGCCAGCCCTTCATCAAACACTAAACCTAGTAAGTACCCATCACATCACATCAATGATTCACCCTTCTCTTTCCTAATAACTCCGCAATCTAACAACTACCACAACAACTTCGTATAACCCAACAACATAACTAACACACCAACAATTAGCAAAATGAATCATTCTCGCATTTTCCAACTCCTGCCCAGCCGGTATACCATGCGTGAAGAGGAAATCAAAGAAAACGAGACATACCAAAAAAATAAGTTCCCGCTACAATTGGCAAAACCCAGGCACTCTGCGCAAAAGCGAATCCGGAGTTTGTATTCGAGATACCTGCTAGACCGGCTAATGTAATAGAAAGGACGAAATTAACCGCTATGCGGATTTTATCTGCGCGGGTCATTTTGGGTCGGCTGAGGATGTTGAGAATATTCATTAGAATGAGGGTTACACCTGAGGCGAGGAAGAAATATGTAAACTACCTGGGTTAGTGCGGCTGATTTGGGATTTTTGAGTTGGTGTTAAGGGAATGGAGAGGGGAGTTATTGAAGTGAGGGTGAGGGATAAAAAGTGCTCGCTGATAAGTGATGCGTGATGATGAAAAAGAGATTTAAGAGCTTATTAAACCTACCACAAGAGCAAGAACCCCTAAATTCTCATTCCATTCTTCGTTGGGATCCGTGACTGCATTATCACTTTCCGGTGGATCAATTCCAAAATTATCAAACAAGGAATCTTGAACGGTAGAGAATAAAGTCGTAATATTTCCCAATTGTTCTATTGATTTAAATGTTGCGTTGCCAATATTGAACAAAGCCTTTTCAGTATCCGTAAACGTTTGTGTGAACTCTGGTGAAAATTTCTCAAAGATTTTTTCAGTGATGTTTGTTAGGCGTGTTTTGAGGTCGAGACTATCGATGGCTGGGTTTTTCTTGAAGTCATCCACATATTTTTTGCTGACTAGACTTTGGGGATATTAATATCGGAGGCCTTGACGAGGAGGCGTGTTGAGTTGAAGGACTCACTTAATTACTTCGACAACTTTTCGCCATCGAATAAATTGTGCAGCACCTTCAACGAGGAAAACTAGTGCGAGATGGAATGGAAAGTGTAAAAATGCCCATATTTGTTGACGCATGGAGCCGAAATGGGATCGGTTGAGCCAATCAAAATATAGCATGTAGAGGAAGTACTTGGTTGGCATAGTCAGTGGTTGCGCGAAAAGAGTGAGAAAGGGAGACATACAATGATTCCAACGGCTGATACGATGGTGAGAATTAGTGGTGCGGTCCATGACTCCTCCTGTTCTGCAATCTATATGAAAGTCAATAAATCACAGCCATTGATCAACAGCTTTGAGGAACTCACATCCGCGATGCTTTTGCTAACTCCAATGACACCCTCCCCCACTGCAACAAGAGTTAGTGATCATTCATCTGTGTCTCAAGACCAGTGCTCACAAATAATCAAAGTCAGTAAAGTCATTCTTTGGACGAGATGGGATCCTCTAAAGCTCAAGACCTTCCACTTCGATGATATAGCAATGTTTACGGCTGTCTCCATTATAGCCGCGATATACCAAACAATAAACACCTTTCCAGTCTTAGATGTTTCCTTCGTGAACCCACTATGGAACTATTAGCTAAAAATGATGTATAAGAATAGGCGAGTGACGAACAAGAAAGTAGCAAAATATATCATTGCAGCTATACAATTTGCTACAACGACAAGAAAGAGTGGAGTTTTGGAATTCTTATAATACCAAACGTGGTACTGGACTTTGGTTAGCTACGGAGTTTTCTATCAAAGGGCCGGAGCAGCTTACCAGTATAACTGAATACTGAAAGCTTAAGACAAGCCGTGAGAACATTAAAATGATTGCCAATGAACGAAAAGCTCCGGGCTTTTGGTCTGATGAATTGAAATCCGGTCCGACAATTGCCAACCCAATCATAACACCAAATTGACACGCCTTTCCAATCCTCTCCAATACACTATCCGTAACAAAACGAACATCATAAAGGCTAACTTGTAACCATAAGAACCAAAGAATGCAAAAGAACCCTGCATATGACTTCAGTGCATCAATCTCATTGACATCGTGAACATCGTTGAAGGTTGTCAAATTCGCAACAAAGAAAAGGTCATAGAAGAGTTCCATATTGGTTGTCTCCTCATATCTTCGAAATTCGGGAGTTTCGAACATTTCTTCTTCCGCATCATCCTTTGGGAAAGGGTCGATCTTTCTATCATCATACTGATTTTCGGCTAATTCGTCGTATGATTGTTTTCGAGCGATATTAATAGGACCAGATATGTTGTGGATGGCACTCGGGGGCGTAGGGGTAATCGAGTATTTTCGTCTGTCATGAGCCAGAGGACTTTCGAATAACTTTAATTTTGGCTGAGATCTCTCGTCTTCCTGGTACGTGGATATATTACTGTGGGTTTTTTTCAGCGGGGTTGTGCTGGAGACTGAGCTTGATGAAAGATGTCTGTTTAACTTATGATTAGCCAAAGACGACAGGACTCTCAATCTGCTGCTCCTCATCGGATATATCTAGAACCCTACCGACCTTTCGTGTGACGACATGGTATTTTTCAATAAGCGACAAATCTTGAGATATCACCTCCGAACAATTCAATTGTAGACCACACAAATAACTTGGGATGCACGACAAGGACTTAAGAAACGATATTTATGTGATCTTCCCCATAAATTATAGCAAATAGAAAAAAAGTAAATCGAAGTAAAAAGCATTCGCGGCACGCACTGCACAGATCACTAGATCCGGGAGCTCTGTATCCGTGCGAGTTTGAGACGTTGTTGAGTTTATTTACCCTCATTAACCACTGCAGATCCCCAAGGCATTAAAATCAGCGAGAGATCCCAGTCTCACAGCAAATAAGCATTCAGACTTTTCCACGTTCTAAACCGATATGTGCGGAAGAGATTGTCGTGGAAATGTAAATGTCGATGTTTTATCACCCTTTCGCGACGAAGACCCATCATACGCATTGTCCACGGGAATGCTTCATGAATCTTGCATTTCTCTCTCAACTTCCCAATTGTGGAATCCGATTCTTTCTGACATCTCGGTTTCTTCTCATCCACAGTTCATCTCTTCTACCTTCCCATTCGCCAAGTCTTATTATCACCAAGAAAAAGCTCTGGTTCATTAAAGATGATTCGACACACCACTGTTTCAAAACGCATATACTTCCCACAGACGTTGTCGGAAAAGCTTGCCACCGCTTGAAACGAGTGAGAACGGGCAAACTCATAGAATTTAAGTTCTTTTAAAACGCGGCTTAGATTGATGGGTATGATAACGATAACTAGAGATTAGTTTTCGAGGGTTTGTTGATACATGAATGAGCAGGAAGATTATCTTTGGACACCGATATTCCGTCTCAGAACTTCAGATTACGCGTACATGAGGATCATCATCATGAACTTCCGTATACTTCAGGATTCAGGTACACAACCATCATTTCTTTTCGCTATATGTTTTCCGATACCCCCGGCGTCCTGGATAGCTACGCTCTTCAGAAATTGATACATGTCCAAGTATGCTGGAATATGGTGCTTTGAAGGCTAGATTATAGACTAGAGTGATTTGACTTTCTAAGAAGCTTTCTTTTTATGTCTGAGGTCCCTGGATATAGGACATTAGGCAGAGGGACTGGGACCACGGGCTAGAGGGTTATAATACTGTAGTATCCGCTATAGAATCTCCTCTTTTTCAGTGTCTTGCTCTGGATATGTCACTTGATATAAGAAGAACTGCCTATTTCGAGGACATTCTTCAAAGTCCATGAATTTCTCTAACAGAGGTGTAAAAACTTACAGAGGCAATAGTGACAGAGTAGGCACTATTCCCCGTATATCCAACTTGTTGTTCGCTTGGCTTCTATGCTTCTGCTTCCAGAGCCCCTCCAGCAAGTATCGCCTCAACCATCGATTCATTCCTCTGCCTTCCGCTCTTCCCCAAATCCTTGGCTTTCCTCACCATACTCCATTGTAATTTACCCGCAAATTTACCATTTACGCATTTATAATCCTCATTGAAATCCAATCCCGTCCCTACAAAAAGCCGATCAATAGTCTCCAGCGAGTGTCCCGCCGTCTCGGGATAAAAACACCACACAATGGCGGCATTCACCACATTCAACACCGCAAAAATAACATAGGTCTTATACCCAATATTCTCCAAGGCCGGCGGTGTAATTTCCACGACTAGAAAGTTGCCAAGGAAATCGGCGGCTGCGGCTAAAGAAGCACCTTTTGCGCGGATTTTCAAGGGGAGGATTTCAGGGGGATAAATCCAAACTGTGGCCATCCATCCCCATGTAAAGCAAGCTTCAAAGGCAAAGATGAATATCACCGCAAGGATGCTGGCTGTAGGTGTTTCGAGGGAAACACAGATCGCTTCGGCAATGAGGACGAGACACATTCCGATGGCGTTAGTTATAAAGAGTTTGCGACGGCCCACACGGTCGATGGTCCACCACTGTTTTGGTTAGCTTTTGAAAGGGGTGAACATCGGGATAGTATATGGGGATCTGGAGTGATGACGAACTGTAAGGAATGATGCAATGATATAAAATAATTGTAAAAAACATCCTAAAAAAAGTGACCTTTCTTGACTCATCCCCAGACTATTTTGAAATAGGGTAGGAGCATAATAAGTCACGATGTTAATACCTGTTGAAATGAAGATTAGACCACGAAGATATGTTACGCATCAAGACAGACTCACCACTCATCTGCTGCATAAACTGGATCCCCAAAGCCAGATAAAATCTTTTGTTAGCCTTAATACCATTGTCCCTAAATAGATCTCCCCACGTGCCTTCCTCCTTCTCTTCAATCATAATCGCCCCCATAATCTCCTCCTTCTCCTTCTGAACCCCAACATCATCAATGCCCACGCCTTTCAAGCTAGCTAACACCAGGAGCCCTCTATCCTCATTTCCATCATGCCTTATCAACCATCTCGGCGTATCCGGTAACCAGACCGTAACCACTAAGATATAAACCGCAAAGATACATTGAAAAGCAAGGAAATCGCCATTGCAGCTCAGATTTCCGAAAATAAACCCCATAATTAATCCAATAAGCCAACATGAGGCCGAAAAGCATAGTGCTCAATTGACAACAAACCTGCCAACCTCTCTGCGCCGCGGCCGAAATCTCGCTTTGGTAAACGGGTGTTACACTGGTAACATATCCGATTCCGATGCCTGTAATCACGCGTGCAACCATAAATTGCACCCTTTCATAAGAACTCCCCATTAATACACCCCCTACCATTACAATAAATGCCCCCAGGAGAAGTGTTCTTTTTCTCCCTAGGTCTTCTGTGGTAAATGCAGCAGCGATGGCTCCGAATATAGCACCCACATCGTAAAGTGCCGTTATTGTTCCAATCATTAATGTACTTGGATTTCCCATACTAGAAAGCCAGTAGGATGATATTACAACGCCGGACATGACACCTTGATCATATCCGAAGAGGAGGAAGCCAGCTGAGCAGACGGAGGTAATGGCTGCTATAAGTGGTGGTCCGTGGAGGAATTTATGGCTAGGTTTCGACGACATTGTGGAGATTTGGTGGTGGCGAAGGAGAGGAATGAAAAGTTAACAAGCTTTTGAAACGTCCTCAGACAAACAAATTATATTCGGTAGACTTTCCATACTTCTTTTCTCGGTCAACGAAATAGCGAGAGCGAAGGATGTGGCCACCATGACAACAAACAAAGATGATGTCGGTAGTTGTATCTAATGCTAATCACTTCCTAAAAACCATAAGCGAATGAAACCCTACGTTCGTCTCCCACGGAAATTCGGTGGATGCGGGGGGCGGGTGCCGACTGTGCGGGGAAAAACCTGGAAAATTGGAAGTAAGTGGGAAAAATGTCAAATTAATTCTAATCAATATCTGAAATATCTAACCCAAGTTAAAAGAGCGAAATGCATTCCCAACCCCTCCAGATCTATCCCGTTGCAATAGCAGAGATCGGCCACTCAAGGACCCTGCCCTATGATTTCACCCCCGCATCGGCTCCTACATTTGATTCTGGGCCTTTTGGCAAAGGATTGTACAACCAAACTTCCGCTGGCGTCCATATCCGTGGAGACTCATAATCTTCACCATCTTCCGTGCCATACGAGATAATGGCAGGGTTGACTACTAAAGTAATAGGTTGGCCGGTTAGCTTATTTTCGACATCTTCCTTCACCATGTTATGAAGAGTCATCATTCGGTCATTGATGTCAAATGACGGGTTCAACTCGTTGAGCGTCAATATTTTAAGCACTGCTCGGCGGGTCCAGAGGTGATAGGACAGATTACCCGCTTCCTGGTACAAATTCTGAAGTTTGATCATCAGCTCTGGGGTTTTATCGAAAAGGTTATTAGCAGGGCTGTTGATGAAGTTCTCAGCTTGAATTTTTGCCCTTTGATCAATCAATGTTTGCATCTGTAGTCTGGCAGCCTCAACTTTTTCATCCTTTGAAACTTCCGGGAAACCCAATCTCATTGTATCGGAACGCCATCTATGGGCATCTTTAGGACTCCCTGTCTATGTTAGCTGATTCTCAAACAGGAGTGATCGTACATACAAGAATGGCCTATTTCATAAAGCATATTTAAGCCAGATGACCAATCTCCGAGGAAGAAAAATGGCGGTGAGAATACATTCGAGAAAAGATGGTGAGCAAGAAGTGCTTCCAGCAAGACTTTACTCGCCTTTCTCTCGGGGAGCCCTTCGAGGGGTATATTGTTTCTAATGACCATCACTTTCGAGAGCTCTTCCCCGAATGCATCCATGACCTGTTTATCTCCTTGAAACACTGTGGATAAATAGCCCAGCCGAGGGTCGTCCTTGATCGCGGCTTTCGTCCATTCCCTTAGCGTTCTCTTAATCCTGTGTATTTCAAGCTTGATAGTGTCACTTGTAGTAGGAAGCCATTTTGCTGTTCTGAATGCCTTGAAGGACATCTCTTGCATAACACGTACCGCTGTACTACATTCATCTCTATCCCTTTGACTTATTCGCAGCAGTTCTTTTTCGTTTTCCTTAGCTCGGCTATTTCCATCTTCATTGTTTGGCATTCTTCATACTCCCGCTCCATCTCTTCTCCCAAGCCTATGAAAAGACGGCGAACGGACACGGGTAGATTAAAGAGAGGTATCAAATCTTCATGATGATTTGTGGTTTTCGGTAGCTCTCTTGGAAGATCACTTGCTGGTGGAACTAGGGCCCCGCTTCGATCGATGTTCTGACTTGTGGAAACGAACTGTGGGGTTCCTCGAGGATCGGGAGCAGGAGATAGAATTTCTTGATTTTTGGTGGGATTTGTGTTATGTGTAGAATTGCGATGCGCTATATCAGCTTCGAGGCTATGAGGATTCCAAGCAGACGATACAATTTCCTGACCTTTGGCGTGATGTCCATCATGTACAGGATCGTGATGGGCCACATCGGTTTTGACATTTCGGATATCTGAATGCCTATTGAGCTCAACCAAGGGCGAAATATCGGTGTCCCCAGATGCAAGCTCAGGTGTCTCGCTTTCGGAGTTCTGGGAGATCGATGATTTCATTTGACTGTTGAGAAATCCTGGCGATGAAGCTTCCTGAAGATGATCTTTTCCCTCTGTGGGATCCTTGGACAGATGATTTACACATGTCGCCGCGGAAAGGTTTTCACTCCTAGTTTTGGTTGTTGATCCACCAAATGTACGGGGTTGGAAGTACTTGACTAGGTGTCGAGTCTTGCTGGAGGAAAATGGCTTTCTGAATGACAACCCAGAAACGTGTCCCGGTTTTGATTGAATTGGTCTTGGGTACATATCTCGATTATTCGGACTGCTGATCAACTGTCTAATTATGGATTGCAGGAACATACTTAAAATTTGCTCTTCTGATTAGGAGACATAGGGAATGCAAGTAATATTTATGATATTAGCAATAATTAAATAGAGCGCCTTCTCGACCCAAGTTCCTGATTCGACAAAATTCGGTGGAAGTTTCGCCAATCGTCAAGGCAGCACTAGGATTGTTTCATATTATGTGACCCCCAACAACCCATCATTCCTAGAAAATTCTAGACTTTTCCTGTTTTAAAGGTGTGGCACCAGAAACACTGAAAGGAAAAAGTGTCCTATAACCGGCCCAGTTAGGAAAAGAAAATGTCCTTTTTCCTGAATATCATCAACTTCGAAATCAAGATTAACGGTACTGGTACCGATCCAGAATTCACAGAATGTCATCTCTACTTTTTAGCGGTCTCCGAAGCAAACCACTAGCTACAGGCCTACCTCCACGACACAAAATCATTGTTGCCATAGATTATGGAACCACATATTCCGGTATGCATCATGGCCACAATCCCTCCTTTTCACTGCTCATGAATGCCTAGGTGTCAGTTACGGCCCCAGCAACACACAAAACAGTGATATCGTCATGTATAAACCATGGTTATCCCCATACCAACAAGAAATTCGAAAAGTACCGACCAGGATTGCATACGAAATGGAGAATGCCACAATTCCGACATGCAGATGGGGCTTCGAGGTGGAACCAAAGCACATCTCCTGCTCTTGGACGAAGCTCCTTCTTGACAAGAATGCTGTCATGGACGAGGAGAATGACATAACATCCGTGGGAAGCATCGATGAAGGAATGATGCACTTGCCACCACATCGCAATGCCAATCAGGTCTGTGAGGACTTTCTCCGTAAGATGTATGATGCTTTTGCTGCACATGCCAAGGAAACTTTAGGGGTGGATACATTCAAAATGACACCATTAGATTGCTGGGTTACCTTGCCTGCCATCTGGTCTGATGAGGCGAAGGAAGCCACTCTGAATGCTGCAAAAGAGGCTGGATTTGCAAAAAATCCGTTGGATGAGATACACACAATTGCGGAACCAGAAGCCGCAGGTATTTCAACCCTGAAAGAGCTTGCTGCCCCCGGAACTCTCAATGCTGTACAGGTGAGCCATCACAGTATCCCAAGTGATTAAGGGCTTGCTGACATATGGGCCCAGAGTGGCGATAACATCATGATCTGTGACTGTGGAGGAGGCACTGTAGACATTACCACGTACACGATTACTTCGGTTGTGCCGAAGCTAAAGTTTAAAGAACTTTGCATTGGAACAGGTTAGTATCTTCATTCACTATGAAGGATGTTTGGCCATCAAGGTAGCTTTGGCGCGAGAAATAGCATTCGCTGCACGGTGAAGACTTAGCTAACTTATCGACGTCACAGGCGGAAAGTGTGGCTCAACCTACATTGACCGTCAACTTCACGCCATGTTATCCGAGCGTTTCGGTGATGCATTTAAAGCTGTCTCATATTCCAGAAAGGGTCCTGGGAGCAAATTCATGAACGCTTGGGAGTTGCTCAAGAAAGGCTTCGGCAATGACATGGAGAATCCTAGGATGTTGGACTTAAGTCCGCTGTACCTCAACTTTCCCAGTTCGCATTTGTATGACAACGATGAACATGCTATCTACCTTTCACAGTAATTTTACTCCAACTTGCAGGTGTGAAAGCCATCAGTGTCGCAATAGTTACACTCTGCATACTCAGGACATGAGTAAGACTTAGGATTCGTGGTTGGTCAATGCTTTCTTCTCGCAAGGTTCTAACAATCTTCAGGGAAGACATGCAATTGTTGTTTGATCCAATCGTCAAGAAAATACTGAAGCTAGTGCTACAACAGACTGAGCAAGCATACAACCAAAAGAAAGCAAAAATCCATGTAAGTATCGATCTCAAAAAATAAAAGTCCCCTCCTGGTTCTGACTTTTGTGAAGCGGATAGTTTTGGTTGGTGGATTGGGAAGTTCGAAGTATCTGTACAATAAGCTACTGTCGTGGTGTTCTTCAGACGGTAACAACATTGAACTTTTATGCCCAAACGATCCGTGAGTATCCTCATACTCTGGTAGCTGGTGTACATATGCATCTAATCTTTTCCATAGTGAAACTGCAGTTTTGAGAGGTGCTGCAATTCGAGCATTAGAAGATATCGCGCCTTCTATCAAATATGCTCGTCGTCATTATGGTTTCCACATTGGTCTTCGCTTCCGGGAAAACATTGACGACGAAAAATACGCATATATTGATGACTACACGAACCAAAAAATTTGTGCAGGTCGAGTGTTATGGTGTGTCTCAAAGGTGAGAGACAGCTCACAGTGTATCTGATTATATTCTAATACTCCTAGGGCGATGAGATAATTCAGGACTGGTATCACGCAGAAGAATGTACGTCCTCGTACAATCCCGGAGAAGTCGTAAAATATACTATTGGACTCTACGCATGCGACGGAGACCATCAGCCTGATAGAATAAATGGTCCAGGTAAGTTTCCGATTCTTCGTCAGACATGACACCGAATACAATTCCCTGTTCTAAACGGTTAGCAGGGGTTAAGAGGGTCGGTGAAATAAATTACGATTTCGCCTCAGACTTCAACTTTTCTGAGAATAGCGAGTCAAGAATCAACCCTCGCCTCAAAAAGAGGGTTCATCAGTTTCATTTCCAGGTCAAAATCATTTTTGGTGATAGGGGTGCCAATCTGCAGTTTAAAGTAGTTGTTGGTGGTAGAACGATATCTGACGCCAGGATCGACTTTCCCGACGTTTGAACTACCAATGTTGGAATCTTCGATATCGCATCGAGATCATTGGGAAATGGCAAGGGGCTGCAAGCGAGTGGGATATCAATGTTTTGGACTTGAATAGGTTTTGCATAGAATTTGAGGTCATATGAGCACTCGATCATGTTTTCAGTTAAATGCGATAAATAGTGAACGAGACAGCTTTCAAGCAGATAGCCATGCATTCATCGGTCGTTTCAATCGCAAAATTTGCCTTTTGTCCTGAAAAGACTCTAGAATTGTTATTTGGGTGAAGCAATGGTGTGCATTTTTGGCCATGAAAAATCAGTAACAGGTTGAAATATCATTCAAAATAGAATTCGCCGTAATAATAATAACAAACAGAAAAACTACCCACAGTCCTGCTTCTTTTATCCCTCTTTCTTTCTTTCTTTTTTATTTTTGTTTTTTTTTTGTCATTGGCAAAATTAGGATTTGAGGCATTCTTATACCCAGCGACATATTTTCCTCCTGATCCTGCGGCTCCTGCTAAAGAGCTTTGATGCCCTCACTGTTTTTAATTTTCATCGCAAGTAAGGTCAAGTTCGAGTTTCGGTCACCACTTAAGCACCGGATCTAAAAGCTTTGCGCTTTTTGCGACTTTCGTCTTATCAACTTTTGAATCTTGACGCGTTCATCATTGAATTCTGCTATGTGCTGGCGCAACCTCCTCTACCAAAGGCCTTAGTTGTTCGGCAAGGTCATCTAGATAAGGCTTTACAAGATCTAGCAATGTCGTCTCATCTAAGCCCTTGAGCAACCTTCCGCCTGCGATTTCGGGGCTCGTTCCAACTCGCGGAACAACTCTTGGCTCCACGGCTTCCCTACCATGACCAGGCTCGCCTGGGTGAGGGAGATAAGACCAGATAGTTGCAACTTTAGTATATGCTCCGGCAAAGTACCATCGCGTATCTACACCAATACGCGATGGGAGGTACCCAAATACCTTGATATGAGGTGATGTAACCATAGTTATTGGCTGACCTTCTCCGTCCTTTTCGTATCTCACGTCGATTCGAGTGTGCAACTCCACGCCCTTGTCCTGAGGATCATATGGCTGGCCCAAGATGTCTGAAGGGTCCGAAACTTCAAACATCGCTCTTTGGGTCCAGAGTTGGTACGAATACTCGGCAGCGAAGGTATATGTGCGTTGGAGTTCCTGAAGCGCGCCCGGATTTTCATTAATAATATACTTCGCAGGGCTCCGCATAAAGTCTACAGCTCCACGAATCCCTGATTTGTAAATGAGCTGGTTTGTTTGCGCTTTAACTCCGCTCTCCTCAACACCATTTTTCTCTGGAAGAATGAGTCTTAGTGTATCTGAACGCCAACGTTGAGCATCTTCTACATTCCCTATGCATCGTTAATCTCCTCTAGCTAGGACTGTATTGGACAAACCTACATGCATTTCCCAACGACAAAATGTCGTTAAGGCCTCGAGAAAGCTCTGCCCCCAAGAAGAAAAAAGGATCTGAAAAAATAGTCGAGAATAGATGGTGGTTAAGCATAGCATCAAGAACATAGCACAAGATTTTGCGGTACCCTCGCATACTCTTGGGAAATTCTTGTTGGCCCAATTCATCCAAAGTCATTATTTTCGATGCCTCCTCAAAAAACACTTCGCGGTCGTGGCCCTGGAGATCAAACTGAGAGATATCTTTTGCGAAGTCTCGACTCCAGCTTCTAATATCAGACATTATTCTGCGTATTGCATCCTCTAATTTTGAAAGTCCTATAGGAGTCCAAGTAGTTTCAGGTAAATTGCCGAAGTCGAAGGATGGTGGTGCAGCACGGAATCTGCGTACCATCTCGAACACGGTGTCGCGTTCCCCCGTGATTGTGTCTATTTCCGTCTGGCGTGCATGCCTTTCAGCTCGAGTATATTTCCATTCAATCTCCATATCATGATTCAACTTCACAATTTCATCCCTCAACTTCCCAACTTCCTCCTTCAACTTTGCAGTTTCATCCTCCATGTCGAATTGTGATCACAAGTCTCAAATGCTGTTATCGTATCTTTTTTGTTGATGGATTCAAATTGTTTTCGCAATTCCCCCAGTCTCTCTTGAACAAACATAAATAGAGGAAATTATTTGCATAAAGAGCTTTGTGATTCCTTCGAATTTTGCGAGGCTGCGGACGGTAATGGGAAATATACATCAAAGAAAGTCTTTGTTTAGTCACCCCATGATACTCAAATTGGCTAACAACATTCCAACAGAAATAAATCGGGAGACTAAAGGAATACCTGATGCAAAAAAGACTTCCCATGGGAGAAGTGGGAAAGCGAGCCAAGTACGAAACCACCCGTATGAAGTACATGCATGAAGTGTTAATCCCATTACCAACTTTGCGTGTTGTGTAAGATTAAGAATTCGGACCAAAAATGACTATGGCTCGAACCCAAGGACCATCAGATATGAGACTCTGGGAAATCTTGAAGGGATTCTAATGAAGATGGCGCCAGTACATACTTGATTCGGTAGCCACACAGCTACCAGCTACTGTACTTTGTGTGAATTCTGGAATTTACTCATCGTACACTATTCGAATTCGTATTGGAATCCCTACAAAATTGTGTTTTCTTATAGAAAGTTAAATATCGAAAAACGTTTCTATCACGGTGTCGGACCTAGATAAGATGTAAGATTATAATATTGTGTAAGGAGAGAAAAAGATATTAGAATAACAATTATTATATAATAAAATATAAATATATAAGATATCTATTTTAATTATTATAAACCTATAATAGTTTTCTAATATTGAATTAAATTGTTAGAGATTAAAAATATAATTAATTATAATGAAATTATTAAAAATTAATATTTTTATTATTCATGTCACGATTCACGGTTTTCTTTATAGTAGTATTATTAACGTCGGTGATTTATAGGCCGACTACAGGGGGGGTGTGATTTAACCGTTGCTTTCGAGGGTCCTGATTACTTAAGCCTAGGACCCCAGGATTCCTAGGATAAATATCCTAGGCAACCATAGTAGAATAGGACAAGTGTCCTACCTAATTGGTTGTAATGGGACTATCACCCTAGAGGATATCGTATCCTAAGGCTATGGTTCCTAGAGGGAAAGCTCCTGGGACAAGTGTTCCAGGAAAGGAAAGGCCTTGGGATATGAGAGGCCTCAGGATCAGTCACGTGATGTGCTAGCTCTGCTAGCCAGCTAGCAGAGCTAGCATCACAGGAATGCTAGCCGTGCTAGCCAGCTAGCATAGCTAGCATGGGAAAGTGATTAGTATATAGTCAGAATAGTTTCATAGTTTAGGAGCTTCGTGCTCAACTTAGTTATCAATTAGTTTACCTACATTCCAATTGATCTAGTAACGTATTCACCTTCGAGTGGATAACCAATGATTATTAGCCTTAACCCACAACTACCAACCAGACGAAACCTGAGGCAGCCGCTGTCTCTACCAGATCGTTACAATTCAATATCTTTTTTCAATTTTCTTTTATATAAAATAAATAGTTTGTTTCTTTACTTTTAATTTTGTTGAATTTTTATTATATTCTAATCAATTGTCTTTTTAAAAAATATATCTTGTTGAATTATCTTGTTTCTTAATATATGTAAATAATAAAAATCTAAAAAGTTGAACAACGGTTAATTTTGATATGATTTCGCTTAGTATGCGGTGAGTGGTTTCCAGAACTCTTATTACTCGTGCGGCCAGAAAGTACAGAACCCGTTCCTAAACAAGACCATTTTTAATTGAAAGGGGTGTAGACCTCATATATCTATACTCAAAACAACAAGGTTGTGAATTAGATTGTATAAATGTCGATATAAGCGAACATTCTACTCATATTTTCCTAGTATTTTCTAAAAATCCCTAAAAATAAAATGGGATCAAGGAAACTAGTGAACTTCATTGGCGAAAATAGAGTTTTTCCCCGCAGTCTTGCTTTGAAATCAAATCTGCAAATAGCTATAGCGGGATATCCTTGCCCGAGTGAGAGCTTTTACTGGTGCGACTGGACAAACAAGATTAAAGCTAGTCTAATTCTAAGAGTGGGAGTGGGGGAAGGGCAGACAATGAGAGTTTCGGAAGAAGGGCTTGCGATCCCCCTCGTGATATACAATGTCCCGAGAAAGTCTTACAATTTTCTGCTGTAGTAAGGTTCTTACCATACATCTGGAAGTTGCAGCTTGGCAAGTCGGAAGTTGTGAAGTGTGCAGAATATGGAGTTACCTGAGGTGTCCGGAGTAGAAGAATGGGTGACTCAGCGAAAGTCATCTTCTCCCGTGTTGTTTGTTCTTCTCGGGCAGCTCGGTTGCATCCTCTCCTTCCTTTCCTTATTTCTCTCTCCTGTCTACTCTCCTTACATTCCATATCGTTTGTCCTTCAATTCAATTATCTCTATATATCTTCAGTCACTATATATGCTCATGCGGGCGAATGGAAACACAGGAACATGCGAAAATCCCAAGAGTCATCTGAACAAGTTAAATCGAAAAGGGTAAGAATTTCGAACTTCCTCTGGGTGACTTCTGGATAAGGTTTGTGGGGCAAACATGTCTGGGCTCTCCACATGCACCTAGTCATCTAATCATCGTTTCTGATTGATGAGAAAGGAGCATTACCCATGTCAACACCCATGTCAAACTTCCCCAGATTTTATGGGTTCGCGTCCTCAGGTCCTGGTACTGCATCGGAGTTGATTGAAAAGGTTGAACATTTTGGCGTCGGAACATATATGCCGAAGTGGCTAAAGGCACTCAAAATGTCCGTCTTATTCATTACCACAAGTGTGCTTCCGTTTTCCAAAATCTCTTGATTAAGTTGGCTAGGAACATGAGGTCTAGTTTCTATAGTTTATAAATAACAGAATCTCCCATGATGGAAAGAGGGCATTCTCCTTCTCTGTACATGCTTTTGCGCCCATTTCTTTCTGTACATTCTCAGCCATGAAGTTTTTCTATTCTGCATTGGCCTTTGCGCCACAAGTTTTTGCTGCTCTCACTTACAAAGGAGTTGACTGGTCGTCCGTTACTGTTGAGGAGCAGGCCGGTTACTCTTACAAAAATACCGCTGGCACTACACAAGCAATCGAGACTATCTTGGCTGCTTCAGGTGTCAACACTGTGAGACAAAGGATATGGGTTAACCCGTCAAATGGTCAATACAATTTGGCATACAACTTGGCCCTCGCCAAACGTGCCAAGGCTGCTGGATTAAAAATATACCTTGATTTACATTTCAGTGACACATGGGCCGATCCGAGTCATCAGGTAAACAAACCTGTCTTCTCATAACCAATCTTTAATCAATTGATACTAACTTCTTCCTCACTAGAGTATCCCCTCCGGCTGGCCTACCGACACGGTCGGCAACCTGGCATGGGAAGCCTACAACTATACCCTCGCTGTCTCTGACGCTTTCGCCAGTGCTGGCATCTCTCCCTCCATAATCTCCATCGGCAACGAAATCCGCGCCGGGCTCCTGTGGCCCATCGGCAAAACCTCCTCCTACAACAACATCGCCACCCTCTTGCACTCCGCGTCCGCCGGCATCAAAGACTCGACTCTAAGCACCAAACCCAAGATCATGATCCATCTCGACAACGGCTATTCCTGGTCCGAGCAAGAATATTTCTACAAGACCGTGCTTGCAGAAGGTCCCCTCCTAACCACCGACTTCGACATGATGGGCGTATCCTACTACCCGTTCTATACGTCCGCCGCTACGCTCGCTAGTCTCAAGACTTCTTTGACAAATATGGCTTCAACATGGGGCAAAGAACTTGTAGTCGCCGAGACAAATTGGCCATTCGCTTGTCCGTCCCCCGCATACTCCTTCCCATCCGACGCAACATCGATTCCATTTAGTGCCGCGGGCCAAACAACATGGATTAAGAACGTCGCCTCTATCGTGGCGGGTGTTCAAGGCGGAGTTGGCCTCTTCTACTGGGAGCCTGCTTGGATTAACAATGCAGCTTTGGGAAGCAGTTGTTCTGACAACTTACTCGTTGGCACTAATGGAGCTGCGAGATCTAGTTTGTCGGCTTTTGCTAGTATCTAGTTTTTGGATTGTGGATCAGAGGTAGTAAAGTAGAGAGGAGGCAGATATCTAGTTTTCTAATTGTTTTGTATATACTTGAACTCTATTATTTGTACATAAAAACATACCACATTATTATTATACTGCTGAAATGCATACCTACCTTATTACAAGGCATCAATTTTCATCATGCATTGTAAATGACGAGGCCGAATTTATTTATTCAATCATTATCACGACAAGTATGCATGTCATTAGAGATAACCTCACGATCTTCTTATTTCCATTTCGTTGTAGATACAGAAACATTCCACAGTTATGATCCAGGTATCATACTCCAAACAGTCTTCGTAAAATACTTCGTATGAACCACAACATAAAAAACAATGTCTTTCAGTCATTCGCTTACATTCACCGACCATAACACATCAATCATTAATCATTTCTCATGAAGCCTTGATAGACACATTGAGATTTGTTCACCCAACAACTCTAATTCCATATGTGGAGCTTCTGTATCTTTGGATGAACCCGAGGACTTCAGTACTCTTTCTTGAGCAGTTTTCAAAGGGATAAGATATTCGCTCTCGACTTGTGTCATCATTCCAGGTGGTATGATATTTGCATATTGCTCTGCTGTGATAAAAAATAAGAAATTCAGCGCTGCCATGTGGACTGCAAATGATGCCATTAAATTATTAGTCAATTCTTCATCTGAATCATCAACAAGTGATGAAAGATTTGGGAAGATATGTGATTTAGTCTCCAGTAGGGCAGAGCTGGTGGAGAAAAGATTTTGTAATTTCCTCTCATGGGCTGTAATTAACTCCTCCTTGAGCCAAGTGATAGCAGATGCTTTCAGAGCTATCGCGCTGATTTCATCCGGAGAACCTTGGAGCGTCTTTGAGATAAAAACCAATCTCATAGCATCCACGGGATGGGCATGTAAGATGGCAGACGTGAGTTTATGTGTACAGTACCGCAGACCCGGAGAAGGATTTGTGGCAGACCATAATGATAAAGCCCGTAAATGTGCCATATAGTCATTGTCCTTGAATTCTCCAGACACAAATTTATTTGAGTGTTCTAACCATAAACCAATCGCAACTACAGCATCAACGATGGCTATAGATGATCCATCTGCAGACTCAAAAAGTCGAGCGACTAGTTTCGCATGATCAGGAAATATGGCCATGACCGGCTCCGGTGTTTTCGTTTTGAACATGACTGATGAGAAAATGAGAGAGGTGAGGAGGAACAGGCAGCCGACTGGGGAAAGTGGAATGTCATCAGGAGAATCTGGCAGATTATCTTCGGGGTTTGGGGCATGTGCGATAGGTTCTTTTGAATGGATAGTATCGAAGAGAAGATCGTAATTAGCCAGCCCGAGGTCGCGGGATAGAGACTAAACTGTTAGATACACCACATCAATGAAGAAGCATGAGGACTTACCACAAGCTGCCCAGCAACGGTTTCCCGGGTTTGAAGCTCGGGTGTCGTCTGAAATGCCTCCGCCAAACTCGTCCTCCCAGCCACAACTCTTTTCGGATCAAAGGATTCTTGCAGGCGTCCAGCCCATTCTAAAGGATAAACATTGATGTACATTTCCAGCATATGCGTCACGAGGCCTTGCAGCAGCTTCTTTTGTATGTCAGATTCGTATATATCCTCTTCTTGTGCTTCTGGATCTGGTGCCGATGGCAAATTGGATTCTATCTCTGGGCGCATAACGCTGGTGATACCGAGGCTAGATTTTCGTCCTGGTAATGTAGGTCGCTTTTTGCCAGAAACTATGTGCGCAAACTTGCCAATCGCCATGACGGCTCGATGTGATGGATGGAATGCTTGCATGATGGCGAGTACGGTACTTGCAAGAATACGTGAAGGGTGCTTCGTTTTGATTCGAGGGTGGAGAATAGAAAGAAGACTCAGTAAGAAGCAAAATCGGTCAAGGTCGTTCGGCGCTGAGGGTTCCTTTTCTTCTCCTACTACGGATTCTTCTCCATGCCAGTCATCTTCAATATCATATAGATCCAGCTGTCTCAGTCCCTGCAAAGCCCCGATTATGACTTCACGTGGATTCGCAAGTCTTGCAATTGTTATGAGACAGTCATCCGAGCCGGGAACTTCAAGGAGAAGAGGCATGGCTTCCCAGCCAACGGCATTGGCAACGTCAACATCCTTCAAGGCGTCGTTCAATGCGGCAAGCAGTTGCGATCGCAGATCTGGTGTAGGCTTCCTCGTAATCAGTACCAAACGAAGGAAGTCGAGGTAGACGAAAAGATCTCCTGCCGGTGGTGCGATAGATTTGATATCGGCAACAGGATCAGGACCAGACTCCATGTTTTTCTGCCAAATACGTAGATCAAAGAGATTGGGTTGCCGTTGTCGTGATACGAAGACCAGATGATAGATAGCTGTACGTGGGGAACTCGCGGCAGAAAGCTTCTGTAGCTAGTGAAAAGCGGTGAGTTAATTATTGCGCTCCCCTGGGCTAAATATAATATTGCTCTCGCCAACATGGCAACATAGCCCACTATTCTTCCACCGATGGATCAAGTGTGCAGTTCACGATGTCACCTCACAGCAAAAAGCCTTGAGCCTCTGTGAAGATTCATTCGCTACCACATGTTGAATATGATAGACCATGCATCGACCCTTGCCGTCACCACTCATTTCTAGCCAATCTTCGGCGCCTACACATGGCTACAAACCACTTCTTGAAGTATCCCCTGTTGAAGTGGATGGCATATGTTGTGCCGTTGTTGGAAATGATGTTCTTTCCATTCTGTCCTTCTACTTTCCATTTTCCTTCAATTCCGTGCCTTTTTTTAGATTGCAATGTTTTACCTGTCTGTATTTCTGTTCTAGTCTCTGACTTATTCGGCATGAGCCTTCCCTAATGGCAGCCTTTGGCTGGTCAGTCGGCGATTTGGTTTCTGCCATCTCTGTCGTTGCGAAGGTATCAAAGGCACTGAAAGATGCCGGCGGGGCAGTTGATGATTATCACGAGACTATTTTATTTCTGGAAAGTCTAAAGATAACTTTAACTACGCTTCATGGCCTCTATGAAGCAAACGTTGATCCAAATGTTCTGTCAGGTCTACAGTCACAGCTTGAACTTGTACAAAAGCCCATCGACACATTCACGAAAAAGATAAAGCGCGAGCTTGGATCAGCTCTCGATGGCACGAAAAAAGACAAAGGAGTTCGCACAAAGCTGAAAAGAACTGCGGGCCAGCTAGAATGGGCATTTTCGCTGCATGAACAGTCCCAGGAGCTCAACAGAAAGATTTTGGTTCCACTCAGTGGAATCCAGATTCAACTTGGCATTCACATTCAGTCCGTTTCTTTCCCATTTCGCGAAGTATATCTTTGTCTAATCGTGTTGTAGCTCCGTGCTTTTGACCGTTACCAATGACATTTCCGCTAAAGTCGAACAAAGGATCAACGATGCTTTGCCAGTGTTGCTTCAACGATCCTTAGCTTCAATCACTGCTCTAGAGTATCGCCGTCATGCAGATCAACGCGATACAAATAGAGCGATATACCGAAAAATCGAATCATTGTCCCAGATTCTGACTGATAGCGTAAAGCAATCACTAAATAAGAGTCAACAAAAAGACAAGCTACAGTCGCAAACCTTAGAAGATCTCAGCTCATTGATTGTTAAAGCAATTGACAGGATCGATGAGAGATTGCAAGATAGCGTTCACAATCCCGCCAAAATGTCTGCAAGTACATATCCGTTCTCACATGAGCCGCAAATCTGCTCATCGCCTTTTATACCCAGTGAAACGATATGTCGAGCAAGACCTAAATCTAGTGAGATTCACGTGAATGATGGCAGTTCACTGGAACTTGCAGAGTCACTTCACAAAGGCATGATTCAGAAAAATACCGGTATTAGCATCGCTAACGTCGTTGGATCGAATTATGTCAAGCAGCAAAGCATAGACCAATCATTGGTTGCACCTAAGCAAGCTTGGGTAGAAGCTACAATGCATTTTAGGCAATTGTTTGTGATCCGATCCTCAGAATGTTATCAGTTCCGCTAACAGAGTGAAGCGTTTCCTTGCTAGTTCAAGCATTCCGAGAATATTTTATTGGATTATGGTATGGAGCAACACCATTTGAATTATTTTAGCTTAATATAAGTAGGCCTATGTTCGCATGCTTGCTATATCAGGCGAAGCTTATGCAGAGATGTATATCTCAGCTACCGAGTCTACTCTCTAAAGAGAACATAACTTTCGTGGATGCCCTTGGAAGATCACGACGAATTCCGTATGTGACTTACGGCCACTGGGAGGTAATATTACTGTTGGTCTTTAGAATATAGCTTGGCTAAAACTTTTCAATTGTTAGACATTCAACAACTTTGTTTTGGCAGATTTCCGGAAGATACCTGGAGAAAGCCATGTTCAAAAAAGTCGATACCAACTTATAGCTTCAGATGGCTTCACTACCCTTGACCAATTTAATTGGAAGAGATTTGTAGTCCCCAATGCCGACATTTCAATGGTTGTCCATCTAAGCCTTTCCGTGTCTGATCCCAAGTGTCCGAAATGTAAAAGCACATCGAACATTAATGTGCATAGGGGCATTCGCCAGGGATTAACTATTTGGTAACATAATTTATACCCTATTTTCAACATCTTCTAACTACATTTCCCAGTGACAACCCGAATTGTCAACTAACATATCGCTTGGTACCATACAACGATGGCCAATCGCCCCAAACAAGGCTTAGCAGCAAACACTTGGACACTTCTTCTGAAGTCCACGCATGGCTCGAAGTAGCTAATTCTTTGAAAAGGGTCGAATATGCAAACATGAGAGAGAAAGTAAATGCCATTGCTTTGACTGATGCAAGCAACAACCCTCAATTCCAATCCAACGGACCTGAGCCCTACAGGCACCTATTAGGAGTGAAGCGCATAAAAGACCAACAATCTTACATTGGGGATGAGATTCGCGCGCACACTGGAGCATTGAAGGAGCGTAAACAGGAAACTACTGAGTTTGAGCTGTATTTCAAAAGTGTGCAATGCAGCATATTTCCTCAGAAATGCGAGCTCTGCGGATTCTCTGATTTCAAATACCCGAGCGAAGTGCCAGAGCATATGCTTCAAGCACACACCTGCATCTACACATGTCTCTTCGATTTTGCTGGCTGCAAATATGCGTTTGCTCGCAAAGATCAATGGGAATGCCATGTCAAATCAGAACACCTGAACTGGTTATGCGACATAGATCAATGTCCAAATGAGAGATTACATCCAGTCAATCACTACAAGAAAAATTGGTATGCCAAAAGCAAGCCAAGACACGCTCTAGCACTTAAAAAACGGGCTGATAGCGCGAATGCTATTTTACGAGCTTCTTTGGGAAAGAAAAAAAGTCTAGCATCGAAGTTAAACTGCCCAATAAAGGAGTGTGGGAGGGCTTTTGGTGGTGACACGTGTTGGGACGACAGGATGGAACACATTGGAGAGCATATAATTGATAACACGATCGCAGTAGCTGGATATTTGTGTTCGCAACCATTCTTGGATAACACTATCGATGAACTATTCGTTGAATGGGCTTTAAGTGAGCACATTGTGGAAAAGGTTAGGCGAAATTTCCGATTAGTGACTCCAGAGTAAATAGCGTGTGGTTTTCATTTATAGAGGGCATTTATGATGTCTGATTCCAAATAAGCGCAATGGAAGTGTCGCGATAGAAATATGAGTTGCATGCTTATCTAATTGGCACCTTCGAATTACTGTAGCAGCTTGTCAACTGCTTTTACCTACAAGATTTCGAGAGTTGGGCTCGTCGTGAGCTAGCTATATGTAGAGCTTAGATGACATGAGGTTAATGGACGAAAAATGACATTTTATGGGGCGGTGAGCGATCGCACCCGACATTAGCGGTTCATCTGAACATATCCCTCTCCTTCACAAAATACGGATCATACATATTGGCTCTTTTAACCCGTTCCTCCATTCCCCGACCATGATTTCCCAATAGTCCTCGCATCCTGTGAGAGTGTATGTCCCTTCCAATGATAAAAAGACCTCGCCAAGTTCTCACTACAAACATTAAACTGCGCCATGGAACCCGCGAATACGGATTGATGTTTAGCCGCCAGAACATGACACATGGAATATCAATAAAAGCATCACGTTCATTCCCGAAAAGTCATGCTAACCAAGCTGCCAACACAGTTGCCAAACCCCACCTCCCGAAAGATCTGTACCTTTTATTTACGGCTCTCACCCTTCTTTATTTATATCACCGCGCTCCCACTACCATAGACGTAGATACTATAACCGTGTTTCCCAAATAAACGTAAATAACAGCAAACAGTACATCAGATTCCACGATTTAGCAGATCTGATATACGGAGTCTAAAACCCTTTTCATACTTCTTCACACATCGACTGAGCCTTCAAGAATCAATCTACGCAGAACATCTCCCCCATCTCCCCCCGGAAACACCCCAAGTGCGTTTCACAATATCCTTAATATCCTTTCAAAATAATCCCCTGTATTCCACACGATACTTGGAACCTGGTAGTGGAAAGTAAGAATAGCATAGATATCGACACCGAAAGATAACACACACTAGGAAACAATAGAGAAAACAAAAGTGCTTAGTTCCCGACATATTGAGATAGATCCCAAGTATAAAGTTTTGATAGATTTCGAAACTCTAGGTATGCATCTTTAAACTGTGTAGAGAATTGGGAGAGAGAAATGCGTGGATTTTTGCGCTTCGCGGTGCATTCTAGATCAGGATTAATGATTTTCATAATGAGTAGATGGATGAATACTAATGAGTATATCGATTTACTTATAGTATTATGATTTTTAATCCCTATAAAATCTAAAAGCATAAATAAAAGTTTTTTGATATAAAATACAAAATATTATTTTATTATATAATATTTGATTTAAAGATTTCAAAAAAATTTATAATTTATTTTTAAATAATTTCTGTTAAAAAATTATTTAAATTTTTCAAGATTTTAGAATTTGTATACAAATCTTATATAAATTAAAAATTGAAATTTTGATTTTCAATATTTTAATTAATAAAATTATCAAAAATCTGAAATATTTAAAATATATAAATAATAAATCTATATTCAAAATTTCAAAAAATTATATTTATAAATAAGAAAGCCACAAAGACCGACCCCAGTCACCCCCAACAGAAAAAAGTGGTCTAAATTAAAGGTGGCCCGAAAAGAGAGTATTAGACTTATTATCTATTCGTTTAAAAGCTAGTATACTTATAATTATTGAATAAATTTCCTACTACCAATTGCAAAGACTATATTCCCAGATAGACTTTCATTCCAGTACCCGCCATTTTGTTTGAATACTTAGCTCAATCCAACTCAATGACCTCTAGAATTTCTCTCCTAACCTTCTTCATCAACCTACCATTACTTTCCATGTCATCTGTCTCAGACTTTACATGTTCGCTGATCCAACGTGGAGGAACAGCACCATGAAATTTATTATCGTCATTCATGCCAAATGAATCATTACCACCACCACCCATGTCACTTCTCTCTCTAGAACTCAGGCTCAAAGTCGCAATCCTAGCTCTCTTGATTCCTGCTTCACATCTCAAGGGCGCAGGTGAAATCTGTTCTTTGAGTCTCGCCACCTCTTCAACCAAATCATCTATCTTAACACGTAGTTCATATTTTTCATTAAGTGCTTTATTTCGTTGAGTGACTACCCTGACTGCCCGACCATTTGCTTCTCGAAATTTTTCTTCTACCTCTTCAACTTTATATTGAAGCTGTCTGATGTTATGCTGCAGTTCATTGATGAAAGCCTGTGCTTTTGGTGCTTCAAGGTCTGGCCTGTCTCGAGTTTGAAGCTCATCGAGGCGTCGCTCAAAGATTTCTTTTTCGGACTGAATGGTAGTGATCTACCTCGAGAAGTTCTAGAAATGGGTTGTACAAGCAAAGATATGAACGATAGTATGGCCGGAACTCATGGCGAAGGCTTCAAGCTTGCTCCGTTGCTGATGATAAGACATGGTCATCAAGCTAAGTTCACTGCATCGGGGTTTTACTGGAACTTTTGCTGGGGCAAGAAGGAAAAGAAAACCCTGTTGTGCTTTCTGAGCAAAGTCAAGAGAAAACCACCTCAGCAAGAGCTAAGCTCGCAAGGCCTAGACGCATCGCAGTTCAAAGTTGCGAATCCATGGGAAGATGTCTCTGTCAGAATGGGGAATGTATCTGGCAAGAAATCGAAGTCGATCTCCGAAGCCGAGGTGGTAGCATAGCTCAAAGTCTGCCTTCATTTCGACCGCCCTCAGGAAACCATCTACACACGATTTAGCACTCTAATATTACAGCAAGATTTTAAGGGTAAATTTTACCTCAAGGGACTTATATTGGAGAAGATGGCCAACTCAAAATACTTTAGATATGGGTATGACTTTGCTCAAGGCCAAATCGGGCAGGATAGGAAGGGTACGGATGACCCCGAGCAATTGGGATATCACTTAGCAAAAATTTGGGTAGAAGCAATTACACAGGACAACTCCAAGTCACTTGACATTTATGTTGCCATGCTTTTGGATACAGAAAAAAAATGGTGGGATGTGAGTAATATATCTGGTCTAATGACTAAAACCATGGCTGAAGCTATCTGGAAGAGACTCCTAGAACAGGATCCACAAAAAAAAGACATTTTACCACGGATCGCAAAATGCTGACAAGGTACGAAGTTGCAAAAACTTTGGAATTTCTTGCATACACTGACTAAAAGGATGATAAGACAGATCATCGCTAAAGAAAAAGCCCGTTCTTCTACCAGACAGAATATGGAAACCATTGAGAAAGTACAACCTTGCTCCAACGCCATTGGAATACAGGAAAGAAATAATGTGCAACGCTGAGATCGCTTCCTCTCTACCCACTCCATATTGCTCAAGTATAATGAGAACACTCAATGCTGCTTAGCTTTGTATACGCGAACAAAGTTTTTCAAATTAGTGTTCAAGAAAGCCGGTGACGTTGGGCTTGATTTGTACCTAGATACGGACCACTCCCAGCTACTCCTACACAAAAAGTAGATGGATTTGGAGAAGCCATGCAGAAAACGGTAAAGACTGTATTCTTTCACACATGCGAGGTCCCGGTGATGATAGCCCGATCGAGGTGTTTTCTTGTGATCATATTATTATTGACACATTTGCCCAGGTAATACAAGAGTTAGACAGAGGAGGGGCTGGTAAAAGATCTCTAGGTGACCAGCGCTTGACTTCCTTGCCATTACAGGTTGGTGAGTGTCTCAAAAATATGCTACGTGCGGTTCAAGCTCGTCCAGGCCCCAAGAAAGGAGAAATCTGTGTTTCTTGGGCAGACAACGAAGCCGAGAAATTATTTAGGCTTCATGATGTGGAATAAACTGCTGTGTCACTCTACACCTAGAAAGTACCTGCAGTCACAAACGGCCGGATTTGATAACGAGACGTATGTCTAGTTTTACTTGAAGCTTCAAATCTAACTTTACTAATGATATTACACAAGATTGAACATGCCGATAATGATTTTGAGAAAGACTCGGAAGATGAAATGGAAGCATGGAAAGTCTGTCAATGTTTACAAAAGATTGTGAATTGCACAACTGTGGACAACGAAGTCACATTCAGTGATCTCGTCCTAACACAATCGTATTTTCCCATGATCTCTCGAGCACACCCACCGGTCGCATTTTTCGGCCTCCCTCCTCCAGCTCAAAAGCCGGCAGTACAACAGTCAAAATTAGTTCTGAAGCTGCATTCGACGAAACAATCTGCGTTTATCCCAGAAGCCAAGAATGAAAAAAGCTGCACTGGTCTTGGCGAGTCTTCAAATCACATTGACGACGAACATTTTTGGATTCCAAACGACAAGCCAAAAAAAAATTACCCCACCCCTGAAGACACTCTCGACTGCGGTGATGATACCCTAACAATGACTTCATTAACTGCCAGATCTCTCCCATAGCACCATTCCCAGGCTTTGCCAATAGATCCGGATGCACAGGTACCTCTAGCCAGCCTTTTGGAGGCCGAACAGGGTTTGAGAGGTGGAAAGAAGAGCTCGGAGTAGCTCGGGACCTTCAGAAGGTACAATCTGAGCTCCAATTTACCCAGAAGACTCTCAAGGTTCCTGAAATGGAACACAGAGATATGAGTCAGCAGAATGCGAAATTGAAGTTGCAAATGGCTGACGATTCGGCCGAATGAATGAACTTAGAAATAAAACATTTCACTGAACACCCAATTAGAGTTGGCCTCGACTAGGGAATAAGAACTTACCGCAGAAATCATCACTATCCAGTCTCAAACGAAAGATGTTGAGTCACAAATCGCCACCATAATTACAAAGCTCCAACATTCCCCTCTTTCTGTGAAATGCCAAAAATCCAAGTACCTTCGTCTTCTCTGGATTATAAACGATGATTCTAAACTCATAGGTCAAGTTTTTGCGCACATAAACCAGCTCCTCGCGAGACAATTCGCAAGCTTTGATCATTGCATTCATCCTGTCATCATGGCAATAATTAGTGCTCGTGATGAAATCAAGGCAGATTGAAGACAGAAATATAGATGAAATACCAGTTTTGGCAAGACTCCCGAAATGCATTTGCTTTTTCCCAATCCCTCACATATTTTGAAGATATACCTAAGCGTTGTTGACATGGTTTGAGTGTGGTGTGGTCGTCATTCTCATGTGGGAGACCGAGATCTTCCTCATCAGAATCCTCGTAATCAGCCATATCCAGGCCAAATTCCCGCAGTCTTATTGATGGAACCTGGAATTTGGGCAAATATCTGTAGAATATCAGTAAAATACTCTGTCCGTGGATCTACCTTCGCTTATGCAATATAGCAACTTGCAAATATGTATCTAAGAATAAGTGGTAGAAGATAGAAAAGAATATACAATCGTCGATAGTGAGATGGGCAAATTGAAGAAGGTTGTGTGTAGTAGGAATCGATAAGGACCAGGAACATTGTAAATCGACTACTTACTTCTCGAAGCTGCCAATTTAGGAAAGATGAGTAGACCAGGGAGAAAAGATCTGTCTGCAAATGCACAAATAGCAAGTGAAGCAAATAAATTCTCTGAAAGCAATAATGGAAGTGAGAAGAAGTGTTTTCAATGTAAACAATTTCATGTAAGATTACTTGAAATGCGCGAGAATACCAAACAGAGTCAATAACAGAGTACGTAACTGGATATCTTGGACATGGGAACGTAATAAGAACTTCTTCGATGAAAAGCAAGTATTACTTTCTCATGATTGAAATTAATAAGAAATTTGATAAAAGAAGTGAAAGAAAATCGAGGTTTCCAAGATGACAGCTTTTTTTCACTGGCAGACAAACCATGCTTCCGTTCTTTCCTAGTTCATCTCATCAAGAGTGAAAATGGCAGGTGCAGCCATAATAAGATAAGCACTTACCGATAAGTCAACTTCAACATCAAGGCGTAGTGACACTCATAAGGAGAATTTGATCATAATTATATATATTTTCAAACACAGCACATACAAAGTTTTTCTTCTCTATGACTCTACAACATCAACCAAGCTACGGCTCCCAAGACCGAGAAACTTATCACAGACTGTCCCAAGACCATTCCAGTTGCTGCATTACCACTTGCTGAAGCGCTAGCACTTGCACTCGTGCTCGTGCTCGTAGAACTTCCAGAGCTACTCGTAGTTGAATTTGAAGAATTCTGAGTGGCTGGTGCTGCCGCCTCACTGTGAAGCAGTCCCTGCACATAACTGAGAGCATCAATTTGCTCCCCGACCCCGGTGGAAATACTTTTGCCATTACCACTCCAATCTAAAGCGCATCCATTATCACCGCAAGTTTTGGCAGCTGCTTGGGCTGTGCTGATAAGTTGTGTATTGATAATACTGTTGGTGTATGGAGCGACTTGAATGGTATCGACGAGCCATTTTCCAAGTATACCTTTGAAGGCGCGTTGATCTATGTTGCAGGCGTTCTTGCTTTCGCAGGAAGTTTCAGTGGCGATTCCGGATGGGAAGAAAACGGAGATGGTTCTGTTTAGGAGACCGTCAAGGGACTTTTTCCATTGACTATCTCCATTGGTATGATTATACATGTATGCAGCGCCAGCAATGAATGTACCTGCAGTCTCGGAGAATTGAGGTTTGTCAATGGTCGAACAATTTTTAGTAACATCGGCACCGTCGAAAACATTGAAATCCTCGTCAATGAGGCCCGTCGCTTTAGTCCAATTCCATACTTTGGTTGCCCAGTCGGAATAAGTGCCATTGCCGGTGTAGGCAGCAAGACGAGCCGAGAGTTGGAAAAAGTTTCCATTTGATATGCTATTCTTGTAGGTGTAACCGGTGTTGAAAGTAAATATCTGCCAGCGGAGACCTCCATTGCAAGTCTTTTCATCCCACCGAGCGACTTGTTCGTTAAATACATTATCGGCAAGATTGAGCCAAGTGACGTTCTGAACTTCTCCCAGTCGTGCCTCTGCCGCTGACATGGCTGCAAGAGCCCAAGTTGATTGATCATCATTAGCCAAAAAGTTTGTCTGATTTTGTGGCATAAAGCTGTTATCAATTCCTTGTTGATAGACTAAACCTTGGGTCACAATTCGATTGTATTGGGAATCTCCTGTTAGTCGCCAGTATTGAATCAAGGTATCGAACATGGCTCCGCTTTCCCACCAGTAATATGGGGCATTCAAAACACCGATGGGATTTCCGGGAGTTTGAGACTGATTGTAAAGACCGACTAAGTCTCTTGCGATTGTGCTAGCTGCTGATTTGATTGAATCTATACATCAGAATGGTATCAGCTTCGTTCGATTTAGATGCCTCTCATCGCTCATAACTCACCAACGCTGGTGACATTTAGATCAATGCACTGGATAGGGACTATGGAAACTGCTGCAAAGGCAACGAGTAGCTTGCTTGAAACCATTTCTGATATGACGAAAGAAAAAAGCACAAATGTGAAGATATTTTATCAATATGTTGCATCAACCACAGCAGCGACGGCGGAAGATATAAGAGGGACTTGGCCTCAAAGTAGCAGGGGTAGCATGTTTGACGTACTTCGTACAATTCATAGCAAAAGGTGAGATTTGGCAGCGCTAAAACACTTGATGAAATTAATTATACGAGATCATAGCCCAATAAGTTTAAGCTTAAGGAGGATCCGCAGTTAGTCATCATAAGCGAGTGCGAGTCTGCTAAGTGAAATAAATGGGGCTTAGCATTGTAGGTACTAGGTAGGCTTATTCGGCTTAAATTACCGAGTGAGTTGTCCTTGTCCTAACTTTCATCATGCTCGTGTATGTTGGACCATATCATCGGCAGAGAAACAAAGAAAGCTCTCTGGGTAAAGCTGCGCATGATGATAGGATACATCTGGATACACGAGCATGATATGAACATGATGGCGTGCCAATAATCAATGCTCACGTGATAACCACATCACATTTTCCCAAAGTACCACGAACTCTAGAAAGGGGATAGGAAGTCCTAGACTCCTCTTAAAAACATGGCCGTCTTAGCAGACAAGGTACATGAGAGCAATGACATTTCGGGAATAAGACAGCTACTTCCGTCCCAAGACCTTGTCAAGCTAGAACCATATGACCTGACAATACCGCTCATCCTACACTCTCAGATACCAGGAAAGGCAACAGGCGCTTGCAAGACTGTCAGTGCGTCGGAGTCAGTCAGCCTTGTGAAGGATCATATTGTGGAGATTCTACCGCCTGATCATGAGCCTTGGGACTTCTCGTGCAGAAATAAGGTTAAGTAGAATTTGAGGTCAAAAAATCAACGACGCGAGCGAACTAAGGCATCCAGCTGACTAACCCTAATGTTTTTGACTAATACTCACATCTTCTAGACGCAATATCTTAACAAACTCCTCATTAATGAAAAATAATGATATTATCTTCTCCTTTCGCGATGAAATATATAATTGATAATTCTTCCAAAATCCTATATTCTAGTTAACTATATCTAACTACAATAATCCATAAAATGAATAAATTTATCTATCCTTTCCTTACATCTGTACCATATTCTAATAAAAATTACTCCTCTTCCCACAACTTCAACTCCTGTATTGGATCTTGATATGCCTCAGAATCTTCCTCGCTATTTGGCAGTACCTACCTACCCACTGTGGTTGATCTTTAGAAAGTCTGTATATATATATAATCGATAATTACAAAGTATAAATCTAGCTTTTGTAGCATTGAAGATTCAATACTAGATTTCCCGCCGGCGTGGTGGGGGGTTGTTATGCAAGATTCTGATATTATAAATTAATGAATCTCGTTCAGAATTCCAATTCCGAATAATGATAATAATCTCTACTACTTCTTCCTCGAAAATTGGATCTGGAATACTCGTATCGATGTATCCCGTATACTAAAATTCCCCTACATAAGCTCTACATATTGATGGCTTCATCAACGACCACCTAGTCATCGGCTAGAATACTTAGTTCCTTTGGCTGATCCTAGAAGATCTTATACACGAAGAATGATTTCTAGATTCCAACTATATATGATACAATAGGATACGATAACATACAATATCCTGCCAAAAATAAAGATAATACTTATCAAATCAATAAACTACTCAACACCCAGAACAACAAATCCTCCATCTAAAACGGCGACTTCTCAAATCCCTTTTCCGCCTCCGCATAAGCATCATACCCATACAACCACTTCTGCGCACCACCAAAATCCTGCCATCGACTCGGAAACCCACCATTAACCGACGGACCCGCCAATAAAATTTCATCTCTCTTAACCTGTTCCTCTCCGTCCACCATATGAAAACTTTCTCTCTGTCCCCACGTTTCCCTCGCTATACCTTCCCCTCTTCCCTTTCTCAATTCCTCATATATCCTCGCCGCTTTCCGCAATTGTTCATCTTTCGTCTCTACATTTACTTTTCCCAATAAATATCCCATGACGGCTCCATCTTCCAGACTCGAATTAGCGCCTTGTGCGAGATAGGGAAGCATGGGATGACAAGCATCGCCTGCCATCCAAAAGGTTCCCTTTTCGCTAGTCCAGCGTTCGAGAGGTTCGAGATGCATTAATCGCCATTTGGCTACTTCTTTGACTTGTTCTAGGAATGCTCTGAGGACGGGATCCCAACCTTCGAATAATCCTTTCATTTCTTCCAGATCGCCTGTTGAGCGTGAAAGTCCGGGTGGGAGATTATCGGGACAGAGTAGGACGATGTTGAATAGATCGCCTCCGCGCATGGTGTACGATACCACGTGTGTATCTGGACCTGCCCAGAAGTTGACAGAGTGGGAATCGATAAATGCGGTGAGTTTTTCTGCGTCCGGACCGCTCAATGTAGATTTATCAATGACAATTCTATATGCGAGATCTCCGGTTGGATTTGGCGGACATGAATGGCCTAGGAATTGTGATCTAGTAGCTGAATAAATCCCATCTGTGCAAAGTATAACGTCTCCCTCTATCGTTTTTCCTCCTTCCAACGTTATAACTGTCTTTTCGAAATCAAGACTCGTGACTCTCGATGATAAACGAATAATGACGCCTAACTCATCGCATCTAGCGCAAAGCGCACGCTGTAGATCAACTCGATGCATTCCCCAAAAAGGAGCTCCATATCTTTCATTAATTTTTTCTTGAAAATCCGAAGAATATGCTAAGCGTTTCGTTCCATCGAATCGCCACACGGAGAGAGCTTTAGGAAATGTAGCTTTTGGTGCGAGATCATCGTATATTCCCCATTTTTTGAAGAGCCGTGATGCATTAGGTGTTATTTGTAGTCCTGCCTACAATATCTGTTAGCATAATTCGACAGAGTAATATCCCAAGATTTGGAGTTTGTCACTTACCCCGACTTCCGCCAATTCCGAGACAGTTTCCAGAATCGTCACTTCATGTGATGGGTTTGCAAGTTTTGTAGAAAGTGCCGCTGCTAGACCGGCCAACCCTGCTCCAACTACTAAGACACGGAGAGGCATCTTGGTCTCTGTAGAATTCATTCCACTTGACAATGAGAAACTTTATAGTTGCGTATTCTTCGAGGCAAAATGTTTATGCTTATGCTTGTGTCACGTTTGCCCCGCAATTGCTCAATTCTTGAGTGACGAGTTTCGAGAAAGATTTACTTTTTGGTACAGAATGGTCAGAAGCAAGAAGGAATGAGACTGAGATAAATAAAAACAGAAATCAGATAAGAATATTATATACATACACAAAAGATAGTAAATAGAAACAATGAGCTAGTACAATTACGGCATGAGAAGAGCATGTGATTATGTGGTTATGTGATTATGTGGAGGAGAAGGTGGACGGCGCTTGAGGTTGATGGCGGGAAACACCCACCCTAGATTGTGGGGATGCGGGGATTTGCATCATAGTCCCACTTGCTTGGCTGGGTTTTGACACCAATCTCGGAATCTATACACGGCAAAATTAATACGGAGAAGGGAACTTGTAAGGTTCGGCCTTCGCTCATATATATGAGATCCGAGAGCAAAGTGGCCGTTATTGGCTATATTCCTTCTACTATGCCGTGGAACTTACTTCAACTCCCAAAAGACGTCGCCAATATAGTTGATGTCTTATTTCCATTGGTATATACCTAGAATCATCGTGAAAAGATGAATGCCCTTTTACACCAATTTTGATAAAACCGCCAACGCCGGAGCTATGCTATGCAAAATATATTCCCTCAATAAGACAGGGGGTCGCTTGTTTTCCCTCCGTGCTCTCCTCTTCCCGCTTTCCTTATCCCCTCTTCCGCCCCACTAAAAAATCTTTTCCCAATCAGGTGTAACGATAAACTTCCCCATAACTTTTCCCAATCCAGTGGCAACACCCTCTGGTGCCTCACCTTTAGGTTCCTCAGCAAGAACAATTTGACTCAAGAAAGCAGCTGGAACGCCACGGCCTACCGCCATACTTGTGCCACCCCAATCTAATTCCACCTTGCCACTCTTCCTTACGACCAATCTCCCAATATACCCTTGTTCGCTAACTAATGCCTCATTTTCTTGCGCGACGTTTGGTTCGGTCTTGATGATGACTTCTTCGGATTCCTTCTTAATTCCTTTGTCCTTGTCGTCGGTAAGATCAATTTGCTCAGAGGATTGAGTCACAACAACATCTTCCGACTTCTCAACTTGAGGATTAAATAACCGAGGAAGAACGGGAGGAAATTGGAATAGATAGATTCGACCATCTGCATGATTAGCTTCTGGTTGAGATTCATCTTGTTCTTGTCCGCCGTCCATTCCAACATCTCCATCCACATCCACAGCCTTGCCTTTTCCTTTTTCCTTGGGTGATTCATCCACATTTCCTCTCAATAGACGAAGTTCCTCAGCAAGTATGTCCACATCCTCAAGATAACGTTCATATTCGAATTTGTCCTCTTCGGTTTGTATGACTGGAACTTCATCCTTCCTTCTGCTAGGTCGTAGTAGTTTAGATTGTTGTGGAGAGTCAAGCTCCTTTTTGAGACGCTTCTTCTTTTCAGGGGAAGATGGTGCTTTGAACTCGGGCAACTTTGACATGGTTGGAGATTCGAGACCAGGTTCGTCTTTTGCCCTTGGCTCCTCAGCGTTTGCCGCTCCATCCATAGTCACCTCAATACCTCCCCCAGATTTATCACCCTCTGCTTCACCCACTTGCTTCTTTGCTGCCTCTGCAAGATCTGGATCACTAACCATCATGTTGGAACGTTCCTTGTGTTCTTCACGCTTGATTCGGATTGGTGCGAGGGACCGCGATTTGTAACCACCTTTGCCTCCTCTGCCAGACCCAACCATATCATCATCATCATCCTCTACTAAACTGATCATTTCAATATTGACTTTCCTGACTTGTCCATCGCCTTCATCGGGATATTCAGGATCGAAGGTAGAGGAATTTTCTGCAGATAGCACATTTACCCCTCCATTTCCTGATCCAGAGCCTCCACCACCACCACCACCACCACCTCCTCCTCCTCCTCCTCCTCCTCCTCCACCTCCAAATCCGCCACCGCCACCTCCTCCTCCTCCACCACCACCTCTTGTACTTCCAATGGCAAACCCATCCATACCACCCTTTCTGTCTGTAGAATAGATATTAGCAAAATTAACAACTAATCAGTAATTGACTTACCCATTGCAGCCGGTGCAACACTGAAAATACCAGTAGCACTCGACATTGGGGCTCCTCTTCCCGCCCCACGATTTTGACCCATTGCATCACCTCTACCCCTCCCAATTTGTCCTCGTCCTCGTTGAGATCTACGTGCTTCTTTTTCTGCTTGTGCTTGATTTGCTGCCTTTCGATCCCTTTCCTCTTGCTCTAATCTCTCTCTGTCTGCTTGATCTCTTCTAATATTCTTAGGCTTGAATCTAGCCCTTCCGGTTGATTCTCCTCGTGCCCTCATAGTTGCCCCACCACGTCCTCTTATGGTCGCACTTCCGGCTCTCGATGGAAGTTCCGCAGAGGTAGTCGCGAGGTCTTTTGCAGGTGTTTCGGCAGGTATCATTGCGGGTGAGGTATTTGGATCGAATGCGTCATCGCTGGGTTCGAGTTTTGGAGTAATGGTGCCCGTAGATTGCGTCATTGGCACCATCGGTGCAATTGGCGCAACTGGCGCAGGTGATTGACTAGATTGAGAAGATTCTTCGGGAACGCCTCTAAGTTCAGGTGTTTCAATTGCCTCGATAGCAGTTCCTCTTCCCCTTCCTCGTCCTCTACCTCGAGGTCTACCCCGCGAGGTAGCTCCTCTCTCTGCTTTTGGTGGCATCCTTTATCGCTTTAATGATCTGAATGAAAAATGTTGAGAAGAATGTTTGTCACCGCATTGAATGTAATAGATGTATGAGGAAATATATTTGAGATTAATGAAGTAGATTTGAAGAGAAATCAGACCAAATTTTATGATTTGCGACAAATATTTTGAAAGAGCTTCAAAAGTTCAAAGGTTGGTGGGGCCCGATATTTTTTAGTGCAATGACATGACGCACGGACTATCCCTGCATGATTTAAGCTTAGTCAGGAACCCATTGATATAATAATTCAATTCCTTCTAAGTACAGTAAACGTGCACTGTTACTAGCAATAAGCCTTTTTATATCAAAACTCACTCTTTTCATCAATTTATATCAAAAGAATTAAACTTATCAAGAAATCTATTTGTAAACTTAAAAATATTCATTTAGAAATTTCTATAATCTTGATTTTAAAATTTCAAATTTTTAATTAATAAAGTTTTATAACTCTGAATTTCAAATTTTTATATTTTATTTATTTTATAACAAAATTCAACTCAAAATACCAGGGGCCTGCGCCCCCCGGACCCTGGCTTTTCGAGAAATTTTAATGAAAATTTAAGTTTTAAAAAATTTATAAAAAATTTAAATATTGAATATATATCAGGGTGCAGGCAGAATATCAGCTTATTTTTGATAATTGAGAGTTAAAATATTTTATAATATTTATATTATTTATATTATTATTATTATTATTATTATCATTTATAATATTAATTATTATTATTATTATTATAAATTAAATGAGTTGAATGATTTCAATTGAGTTGTATTGAAAAAAGCATTAAGTCAGATTTATCTGAGGTTGTAAGGCTTATATATCAAGCTTTTTATTAGATTATTTACCGGGGTATTTTAGACCAATCAGATCGCGACTCACTTTAATAAGTTTTTTATTTTCTATCATCTACCAAATAAATCTTATATATAATAAGGTTTTAATATCAACAAGTTGATAATAATATATTTATACTCTTTTATTTTAATTTATATATTTTAAAAAGAGAAAATAAAATTTTAAGAAAAATAAATTTATAAAAAACATATTTCATTCTAATTAAACTAGACATTAATTAATTATATATTAATTTCTTATACAAAGAGTATTACTTTCTTTTCTTATTATTAATAGATTTTTAAAACGTTGTTAATAATAAATTAAAAGTTTTCTTGAAGATTTCCTAAATGAACAACGGAGTAGAACGAATATATAGAGTAAAGTGTTGTGAAATTTAGAATTAGATGATACCATTGCACCCTGAAATCTCCCCAACATAAAGCGAAGTATAGATAACATTAAGAAAACTGAAGAATGTGTTGATTGCCCGAGAAAATACTAGCTAGATATCTTCTATGCTGGCCTAAGATGCGCTATCTTTGGATATTATCATATAATAGCCCTTTCACCAGTTTCTCTGTCTCTTGAATAAATAACTCCCAAGGACTAATCTCTTCTAAGTGTTTCAAAGAAGCATTCTGAACTACAAAATGTTCATCACATCCAGCATCGCAAATACGCTGCAGCTGAGCACCAAATTTTCGATAGTCTATGTGTTGAGAGACACTCGGAGTTGATTCCAGTTCCAAACGCACTGCAGCACACTGCTCTAAACAGAAGGACACAAAACCTAGATGAAATGATCCGACAACGCTTTGAGAGAATGTCGAGTCTAATCTTTTAAGGTCGTTAGATATATCCTCGATGAAATGCAGCGTGAGCAACAGGATACTGCGTAGAATTTGCTCCTTCCGGTAGAACGACCAACGATGGTAAATAACCGCAAAACTTCTCATGTAAAGATATTTCAATTCAAAAACAAGAGGTTCAGTTTCCTGGGCTAGGAGAGTATCTTTGGATAAATTTCATTCTGAAATAAGATTACGAAGTCCGACGAGTCTCTACCATGGAATTAGTCGTCGAGAGAATCGCAACGAATTTGTGCGTAGGAGGCAACATACATGGCTTTCCCATTGCCGGTACTTTCGACTCGAAACATTGACAAGATCATATAGGCGATTTAAGAACGATGAATTGAAATGAGCATCGACAGCTTTGGCAGGAGGGTCGTTGCTTACCCGCTTAATAAGCGGACTGAGGTTTTCACTCGTGAAACTGAGCGGTATTTGGCGCTTTTTTCCAGAGTCCACAGTTTCCAGAGAAGTAGCTGTCGAATCTTCCATGTCGATATCCCCTCCTGTATGATGCATCATACCTTCATCCACTATTGTAGGTGCAGGGGTATCGCAGGCGATATAGCCAGGAGTTTCTGCATCAATCAGTATTCAATAGTAATTAATTTAGGACCTCGAGATTTGTACCAATATCAAACCCAAGGATTGACTCCTCAGTAGTTTTGTTCCTCTGTGCGAAGCGTTCAATCTTCTGAGGCTCGACATCGCGGCCACTAATTTTGAACTCGCTTTTCTTTCCTTCGCGCTTTCTCTTTAGATCTTTTCGTAGGATAACCCTCATGTCATTTTCCTTGATGTTTTTATCCAGTTTCCATTGCTCAATTCGTCGCTTGTATTGCCGTGGTCTGTAATTGGCAAGTGATTAGAAGTTGTGTGTGTACTGTTGCCAATGCCAGGAACACTCACGTTGCACGGAATCTATGTTTTTCTTCCATTAGTTTCATTACTTCCTTCAGAGGTTTGTCTTCTGCAATATAAAGTTGAGTGAAAGTTGCTCTTTGACGCTCCCAATCTTCCGCAGAGTGTCCAGTGAGGGCAGGCCTACGAGCGGGCTTCGGTAGTGATGGCATATAGTCGGACGTAGGCGGCATCTTGTGAGCAACATTGGTTGGAAGTGCGATAGGAGGTGCGTGATTTGGTGTTGACTGATTCATAGTTTGATCAATCCTGGAGAGCAGTAATGAAGATTGAGACACGGGAGGTAGTGGTGTGCGGAGATTGTCAGTTGCCGATATTGTTCGTCCAACATCGCGACCGAAACTATCCACTAGACTGAACTCCCCTCTGTATTTGGGTACAAATTCTTGCTGAGATGCAAGATTATCATCGAATAGGCTGGGGAAACTGAAAAGAGGATCTTGAAATTCGCCGGCATTCATCTTGATGATTCCTCCCGAGCTCAAATAAATTAAGATACTCCGAGCAAGAAAATGAAGACTCCACGCAGAAGCTTAAGAATAATTGCAGCAGTGAAAATAAAGAAGACATTTTCAAAACGTCGGAGAAGCCAAAGGCTTTATACATTCCAACCCAGAGCTTTCAAGAACCTCAGCCTTGCTAACATCTCAATGTAATGCGCGGTCCTTTTGCGTCCAACCCACGAAAATCCCGGTACTGACGGTACCTTTGCAATTGCTATGCGACAGGATTCTGATATGCATGGGACTTTTGCATTTGCGCTGTGGCTTGCAAGGAACTTCAAATGCTCAAGCGTATGGACCAGTAGAAAATACTTATTTATCTCATCCTCTTCCAATAATCGAAGAAACCCATGTACATCAGACCGAAAAGAAATACATCCCGATCGAACCGAAAGATGTGTGATGAGAATGAAACCTCAATTTTACCGACTTTTCATCGCCCTGGAATTCGAAAATCGGTAACCTAACCTGCCTGATAGCTAAAATAGGATGAACAGAAGACTAATAGCTCTTCTCAAAAACATACCTTATCTACCAACCGGTACCTACATAGAGTCCAGATGCCACCAATTCAACTCATAAAAAGTACCGATCCATCTAAAAGAAATCTCCAAATATATACACCCAATAAGCAAATAAATATATATATATATAAACCTTTCATAACCTAATATTTATTTATCTACCTATTTATCTACCTACCTAGCCACCCACCCACCATATCTATCTAGAGAACCCCCGAAAAATCTAATAGATCTAAAGTATCTAAATGTACATTCACCCACCGCTACCCTCCATCCTCATCCCTTGGTCCCCATCTCCCCATCCACCTCTCATCTTTCATTCTCTCACAATGATAATCCGCCAACTATCCATTGAACCTATCGATTCCATCCCATGATATCTATTCATTTCTCTCTAAACCCAAGGGCAGGTCGCAGACAGACGATAGACACCATCCAATTAATCCAATTCTAGCCATGAATTTTTTTCCTCTTTCTCTCTTCCTTTCTTGCTCTCATTCCTTCGTTACTCTCTCATTTCCGGACTTCACGAACTTCTATCCCCTCTAAGAACTAACACCTCCATTTCCGCCCATCGCCCTAGGTAATCCCATCCACTTTTCCTTACCAGGAATCTTCACTCTCCCAAACTCCTCATCCAAATCCAAAATAATCTTCAATGCATTTCTACTTCTCAAATAGTTAAGTGGTCCCTCTTGACCTGGTAATACACCAGCGACCGCTACACCCACGTGAGTTCTCTCATCCTTTGCTTTACCAGGCATTGGAAGAACGTTTTGAAGAACTTCATATGCCGCGAGTGTGAAACCGAATTGAGGAGATGATCTAAGGATACGAGCTGGTCCACCCTTGAAGAATGCTTTGAAACCTTCTTCTTTCCAAATTGTCTTCGCAGCGTGGCGTAGGGATGTGTACTGTGATTCACCCTTTCTGGCTTCAACTTGTAATCTGGTTTTGATGACATCACAAGGAGTAGTAAGATAAGCGGCAGGCATACCGGCAATGGCACCTGCAGTTAACAAATGCAAGACACCAAGTTTCTTGGTTTGACTTTCACCAAAGAGATCGCGCTTTAAATGATTGTATGTTGGAAAGTAAATCGCCGAGAAAGGAACATCACGGAGAAGACAAGCGGATGCACCTTTGTATAGACCGACAAGACCTAGATTACGGACAATCCACATTGCTGAACGGCGAGGAGTGCCTTCAAGATTTTTGGCGACTTCTCCTTGAACTTGTAGACGAATTTTAACAATTTCAAGAGGATTAGTGAAGACCTGCGTGGGAGTTTAGTATACTTTGCACAATTGGATCGAGGTAGATGTTAACTTACGACTTGACATCCACCAGCCATACCACCAGCAATAATTTCATGCTTAAGAAGAATGCTACCATCCTTAGAGGAGAAGTGACCACGAACAAGATCATTGACTGTCAACTTAATAGCCTTTTCCGGAGCAACACCAACAAGTTGAGGTAAGACACCAGAATATAAACCCTTGAATCCCTCATTGCGCACAACCTTCTTAGCACAATCCCAGGAATTCTTGTATAGCATTTCTCCAACTCTTGAAGATCTTTGATTTTGCATACGAGTCTTGACGAGATCAATAGGGTATACCATGAATGCGCCAAAAGCTCCTGCCAAACTTCCCAAAGCAAAATGATGAACAGATTCGAGAACGCTAAGGAGAACGCTTCCAGTAGCCGTTTTTACACCATTGCCACTACCAATCTTTTCATAGGCATTGAACGTGGGGTTGCGCCATGATGCATCGAGGACCTTTGCAAAATCCGATAATCCGAGTCTGCCAGAAGGATTATCAAGACTGGCAAAATGAAATAAGATATCAGCTTCCATAGGAGTGAAGAGTGAAAATCTAGTAATTCTGGCAGCTTCGTTCAAGAAATCTGTCCTGGTAATCTTTCCATCAGTGCTTTCAGCAGTTGCTTGCCTGATAACCATCTCTACCAAATCCATCTCTCTAATCATATTCTGGAAAGCTCTAACATTTGCATATGAGATCTTGCTACCAGTCGAGATATTGCAAAGAGTATGTAGATTTTCGAGAAGGTGATCCGAGAGCTTATGTTTTGCAGTTTCCAGAATGATTCGCTGGAAATCTTCAGGCTCAATATATCCATCTCCATCTTTATCAAAGTGGTGGAAAGCTTGACGTATCCTCTCTCCTTGCAGACCTCGAAGCATCTGCGAGAATTGTGGATAAGTCAAGTCATGTCTTCTCTTCTTTCCTCCACTATATAAAGTAGCCCATTCGCAATTCCAATCGAATGGTATGGTATCTGGTCCCTTGTTTAATTCATATAACTTCTTCAAATCCTCGTATTTAACAGTGCCGGTTCGATCGACATCGAAGAGACGGAATGCGATCTCATATTCGGCATCAGGTTTGGCAAGAAGATTTTCGAATGTTCCCCAATCATGTAAACTGATTTTACCAGTATTTCTGTGATCAGCTACACGGAACAGGATCGCATATTGTTCGCGTTTGATTTTATGCTAGAAGAAAATCAATTCCGTTAGCCATGACTCTTAGAAAGGAGGAAGGCACAAAAGTGTAGATTCACTCACATAGTCTTCGCCGGTCGGCGCAATGGCATCTACAAAGTCATCCTCATTCATATAAGCCTCACCCCCAGACTCATCCTTCCGCGAATGCTTTTCAAAGGTAGCTGCCGATTGAGCAGAAAGCTGAACATCCTCTGCAACAGTTGAGCCCAACAAAGACTCCTTCACCACCTCCTTCGCCGTTATGAGATCTGTCCCTGCCATCTTTGACACGCTTCGAATCTGCCACTCTCCGCGGATTATAAAAAGGGTTTAAATTCGGTCCAATGGATACTGTTTACTTCGGATGAGTCGTTTGAATGAATGACCGACTTTCGGAGCAAGGTCTGCGGGAAATTGTGGAGTTTCTTAAGTTTCCACACCCAAATAGGAATTGAAATGCCGCCTTGTCAGACTTGAAATAATTGTTTTTTTTTGGCGCGGGTGTAGGTGAGCGTGCAGATGCAAACAATTCAGGTATGTACGAGTAAGCAGAGTAAGCAGACAGACAAGCAAAACTCAAACAGAGTCAATTTCAATAATGACAATTCTCAGTTGACTTTGGAGAAGAAGCAAAAACAACCAGGAAGGCAATGGTAACTATTATAGAATCCGCACAATTTCGACGACTTCACAGACGGAGGGAAATTAAACACTGGGGAAGATGGGGTGGAAAGTCGAAAATGATCAGGGAAGTACCGGTATGACTTGAGAGAAATAAAAAAAAAGATTTATCTACTGCAATGAGAGAAATTATCGGAACGGGGCAGCACATAAATCTGCTTGGCAGAGAAGACAACGGAGGAAAATTGATACGTGCGCATGTACATGATGTATGTTATAGTAGTTATACCCATAAGGAACCACAAAATAAACAACAGAATACAACCTCACTATAAGAGAATTTCAGCTATTCTCAAAGAATTAGAGCACGACTCGAGATGGTATTTCTGCAGTGTGTGCGTGCTTCTTTCTCATTGACAACCAACAACATTCAGATTAACTTTCTCGACTGTAAAAGTGTGGTGAGCATGTGATTGGTTGTCGATAGGTGAGTTACATCGAATCCTTTTTCCTATCAATGACTGGAAAACATTGGGGATGTCTTTGTATCTATGTATGTTTATCTCCCGAGGTCTTTGTATCTACTTATTGTTGCAAGTCTGACTATCAAGTCTGACTATCAAGTCCGACTATCAGTCCTTATCCATATATACATCCATGCACCCACTCATCCCATCCATCCATCATCCATTCCGCTATTCCGCCATCTGTCAAAATCATCACTAATCAATCCCCATCCTGTCACATCATATCCCTCACCATATCACAAACATCCATCCATCCATCCATCCATCCATCCACCCATCTCCACACCAACCCTAAGCCCTTAATCCCTTATTAAACCCTCAAAAACGCCCATCCTCACAATCAATTATCAACTATCAATTCCCTATCAATCCCCATCCACCCAGCAATCCACTCATCCATCCCCCCCGTCCATCTATCCATCCCACCCAAGCACAGCACAGACAAAACAATCATCTCAGCCCCCCAGGACCCGACTCTCCCGTGGGCCATAAATCCCGTCTAAACCCCACCTTCAACGGTGCAGAAGTTAGAACCACCAGAACCCTAGATTAAGATTCCAAGGGCCACCACGGCCGGGCATCAGAAGCGAGCTATCCAGAAACTTCCCCTTTCCCGGATCATTCACGGGGATATAATATACATCTACTCGGTGCTAGTTTTGTAAGATTACTCATTCACGTGCCTCGAAATGCATTGATTAATTTCCTTGGGCTTATGGCTTGGTATCGACCGAGTATGTGTGTGAATGGTGTTGATATTGGCCTTGGTATTGGCATTTGTGGTGATGATGATGGGCATGTTCATATCCATATGCTCAAGATGATTGTTCTCTACCTCATACAATATAGCATAGCATTTCATACCTTCATACTTTGCACCTTCATTCTCTCACAGTCCAATTCATTCCATTAATATTTAATTATCTTAATTTTATTTCTTAATATGAAGTATTTTATCATATGCTAATACTTCACTCCTGGTATCTTGAGTACAATCCATCCCAACCCATCCTTGGATGGGTAGAAGAACTCCGACGTTGAACAATTGCAATAAGGAAAAAGGAAAATACAGAATTGTCCCTGCCATTAAACCCCCCATATTGATGTAAGATGTTAAGCAGTACATATCCCACCGAAGGACATATTACTGCCCATTTTGTTTGATTATCCTTCGCACCCTCGACCCATCGTCGATTATGCATCAGGAGGAAAAAAAAGAAATAACTCAAAAAGTCATAGCATCATCAGATCATGAAAGTCATGATGCTGCAATGGTATCAGCCTTGACTCCAGAAGAGGATATAAAAGCCATATCATTGAGCAAAACCTCCCTCACTGAAATACCAGGAAGGAGAAGAACAAAAATAGTAAAATAAAAGCCAACCAACATGTGCAGTGCAAAGTGATGACGGCAACCAATTGAATTTGTATGCAACGCCGCCAACGCCACTGTGGAGCAATATGGTCTATTGAAGGGGTATTGAAAGGGTGTGCTAAAAGTGAATCCAGATGTTGATTTAAATCGAAATGCCCAAGGAATGGTAGTCGGTTCAATATCGTATCTGGTCCAATAAAATACAAAGAATTGAATGTTTTGTGATGTAGTGTTGTAAAGAATTATTGCAAGTAGGATTCTTAGCTTCTTGCTTGAATCATTCGCTGTGAGTTTTCCTCGATGGACAACAATGGATCAAAGGCAACGGCTTGGTATTGAGGTTCAAGGCGTAAAGGAGCTGGGATGGATGGTTGACGGCGAACGATGCCTGGGATTTGAAAGCCTTTGATCATCTGGTCCTCGACGTATGTGGAGGCTCTCTTGTAACGGCGGTCGGAATATTTCTCAAAGACAGCAGCATGATGCTTCCGCGCATTCTCGCAACACTCAATGACTAAAGATACCAATGGCTTCAGCTGGTTCCAAGTATAACCAGAATAGTAAACATGAGCCGGAGACCAATCTCCTTTGCCGAGCATAAATCTAGCAACGGCGTGAGATGCAGCAGCAACGAAACTTGGTGGGCTACCAACGAATCGTTCATCCATGATGGTGACCTCCAAGAAGTACTTCGCTAATGTTCGTGTCTCAAGGTCATAATCATCAGCCTTGCTGATGCGGCGTAAGAAACTCATTGGTCCCGGCCACCCCAACTCGAATTGAAGCATGCTGAGCATGAATCGTTCTGCCTTGAGAATCTCTTCACTGCTGTAACCACCGTCAACCATGTAGACGATTTCACCAATCGAAGGGCAGTTGATTTCTTCGTACTTAGCAGCAACGAAAATGGCAGTAGCACCAACCAATTGAAGCTTGCCAAGAGAAACAACCTTCTTTGAAAGGAATCGATCGATGTAGTTGACGCAGAGGAAGAGAGTCTCGGGGAGAAGGGAGAATCTCTGGTGAACCTGGATTAACCAATCCATCAGAACAGAGCGCATTGACCATTGGATCTCTGCTTGTGTGTCCATGTAATGTGGGTCAGGTAGAAGCTTGTTCTGTGATTGAAGGTGTGTCAGCAAAGCATGCATTAAAAATAAACAAGGCAGGTGATTGCGTAGAGAACAATTTGCGGCGAAAATTGTTGCTGTTGTTGTCTGAATTTTAGACACACCAACGCCTTGTTGGCCAAAGCATAACAAGTGAACAGTAATGACTAACCTCAAGTTCACGCATGTATGAGAAAATCTCTTCGCCATACTCAGCCACCATACTAGTATCCCACATCTCATCTTCGATATCTTCCTGGGTTCGAACAGACTCAACAAGAATTCTGGCATCCTCAAGCTCCTTCTTAACCTTGTTTGTGACCTTTGGAACGATTATAGTTGTTGCTCCTCCAGTAGTATTCTCTCCTCGGAACGAGTGGGCAGTTGTATAGCCTTGTTCATCATAAGCTTCTTCTTCATCCTCCGGCCAATATTCTTCAGGTTCCGGGGCGAGTGGTAGGGCTGGCAATTGCTTTTGTGACTTCAACTTCTCGATGACAGCAGACTCTTCCTTTTCCCTAATAGATCGGAGGTGGGACTCGTTGACATTTTCCTTCAGAGGATGCTCGGGAGCATTGTGATAGATTGCAGGTTCAACATTGTCGACAACATTGTTCAATTGCTTGCTCTGTGTTCGTCGTAGAACTGGTTGCTCAGCCTTGATCTCAGGTTGACTCTTGGCGTGTCTAGGGCCGAGGGTTTGTTGGGCTGAACTAGTCGAGGCGATGGGCTTTTGGGCGAGTGGCTGGATGTTTTCAATTCCTGTGTCCTTGTACACCGCACCCTTCTTGCCCAAAGTGTTGCGCTTGGTTTGATTTGTTTGAAATTGTTTTGGAAGTGGAGCGATAGAAACTTGTTCAGAGGTAGATGTAGCTAATGGTGCTCTGTGGCCATTGTTAAGTGGTCGTTGTGCTGGTTTTAAAAGTGCAGCTGATTTATCCTGAATAGCAATAGGCTTAATGGCTTCAACTGACTTGCCCTTAATACCAGACTCGTCATGAATATTATTCAAAGTCTTTGCGGTATTGCTAACATCTCCGAATGCAGTTCTCTTGGCAGCAGCCTTGAGTCCTCCGACTGCTAACATACTGGCTAAGGTTCCTGTGGACTTGTGTTTTTGATGTAGGGTTGATTGTTGTTTGGTGATTAAAGGTGCGATATTCTCATCACCATCGGTATTGGTATGAGTAAATCGTAAAGGTCTTTGGGGCTATTAAAACATTTAATGTCAGTTTGCTTTGTCTGCAATTGAATAGAATCTATGAAACTTGGAAATGAAGTTGACAAGGTGATGAATTGGAATGTAGATCGAATTATGAGGAGATTGTTAAAAGAAGATTGAATCGAATTGGGGAATTGTTTTGAAAAAAATGAAATTAGGAGGAGGAAAGAGCGAACCACCACCACAACATCGACAAGGAGGTAAGAACTTACTCGAGCGTCCATGATTGATTGAAGCTATTGTTTCCTCAAGGGATACAATAGCAAAAGCCGAAGCTGTTAGGCGATTTGATTTTTTGATTTATTTTTGTCTTTGTCTTTCTTTCTATTCAAGGTGTAGGAGATATCAAAAGGGCAAAGAAGCTATCGCGACCAAGATGTCATAGAAGGAATGTTGTTGTGAGAAAGGGATTGCGTCAACTGGGGCAATGATTCAATAATTATTGGAGATATGCCAATCTTGCTTCGATATGCAATGTATGAAATCGAATAGTTCAAAAGAGTCCCTGCAGGTTTATGATGACTCAAGCATGAAGATGGATACAATATGGGGTAGAAGAAAAGAAGGTGAGGTACTAGGTAGAATTTGTGGAGAGCGAAGATGAAGTTGTTGATGTTTTGGTTTTGGTCTCGACCAAAAGTTCTTGTATGGTAGGTTTAAAGGTGCATGCAAATTAATATTGTTATGTTTGGTTGGCGGGGACCAGATGGGTTTTCAATTTGATTGGCAGAGGAGGCATAACAATAACATGGCCCTTGCTTTATTTTCTTAGCTTTATTTACACTTTTCCTCTTTCTGCTTAGCTTGAGATCTTGCTTTGGTAAGACAAGCCATTCGCGTTTTTCCTACACGTCTTCCCAAGACACGAGAAAATATCAATTTCTTATATGAATACCAACATATCACTGGATTCTAATAAATACATGATAAAATACGGTGCATCTAATCACGAAGAGAGTCGACATCCAATTGTCAATATTCTCCCCCATTAATTCCCAATGTTCTCATCATGTATAGAAATATGATGATGTTGTCTGAGCGACGTTCTCCTTATCGGATAAAATACGCCAAATCACGTGGTGATAAACACAGCTCTTAAATCGAATTTGTCAATCCTTCAAGACCCCTCGAAGACCCCTCGAACCCCTCCATGTCATGTCAGAATCATACTCCGTACTCGAACGCTTCGGCTGGGCATCGCAGCTTATCCGAAAGTTTGCTGGTCATTCTATGCATTAGGTTGGGAAGACTTAACCCTTTTCAAAAGGTGGATGAGAGACTTAAGGAAACTGAAAGGCCGAAGAAGGTGCCACGAATACAAAGATGGTCGACCTTTTATCAATCGTATCTCCATATCTCCACATTGAATCATGCCGGATGAACTCTCTCTTCACGCACTTTGAGTTGAAAGTTCGAAACTACAAAATTCGAAATGCCGTGATTGGTTTTCAATGGGCAGGATCCCCAACTTCGTACTTAAGAGGGGCAATTTAATTCTTCTTGATTTGCCAAAGATTTTCGTATTTCGAGCCGGGCCACGCATTTTTCGAATCGGGAAAATCAAACAACTTGGAAACTTTTGCGCTTATGGCGCAGGCGCACATTATTGTATCATCTATCTCCCTATCAACGCGCGACTTTTCTGGATGAATGAAGATAAATTTGTCGCGAAATGCTGCTTTTTTGTTTATGGTTACTCGAGAAATCACTCCAGAGTTGTGTTGTGCTTCCAAAGGTCGAGGTCTGCGGTCTACCGGCCAAGTCTACAGTTTCGCGATGGGAGGAGTTTCGCAGAGCTCATTGGATGATCTTCATCTACGCAATAACGGCGTCATGGGAGTGAATTGAAGGATTGCGATTGCGACGGACATACGGAGTGTCATTGCGCAGATCCAACCAGAGTCAATTAGGGTGCACAACACATTGCGCCTTGCACAAAATGTCCATACTGTACTTATATTACTCGCTTGGTCACTTTAGGTTTGAATTCTGAAATGTTATCTCTCAAGGTAGATATCTAATACAATCAAGATTCAACAGTCCGTACTCTACCTACCTAATAAGTTTCCGTCCTGTGCCGGTAGCTACTCCAGTCTCCATACCACCAATACTAGCAGGTACATACTGTAAGAAGAAAGTAAAAATTTGATGTGTTTGCGATCGAAGTGTCTAACCTACTAAGTAGAAACTCTCCACTCTTTTGCATTTTGCCTCTTCCAAGCCCCTCATCATAAATCAACCTGGCTGGACGGATTCAGGATGTTACCATGCTTCAAATCAAATTTTGAGCCAAACTATGTCGCACACGATTGAAAGAGAATATGCAGCATTACAAGAACAAATAACTTGCATTCGCATTCTGCACTGTTGATAGGTCGTCACGAATCATGTTTTCACCCCGTCCTGTATACTTCCAGACTTCAATCCACAACTCACTCGATTGTATACTTGATACTCTTGACCTTTGCGCCATCCACCCGTTAATGTACCTCGATCATTTTCTAGTGGCGGCCGTATGATTTTGGCCTAACTTTAGTAGAGCGTAGAGGAGCCATTTTCTTCTAATCAGCTTCGAGCATAAATGCTATTTGAAACCCGTGGCCAGCGCATACCATGATCCCGGGTCGCAAATCTTTCTTTCGCGATGAAGGGGAAAAAGAATTCAAGCAAGTTGTATTCCTACACCGACAACCATAAATTTAATTGAAAAGGTAACATCTATAACCACAATAAGAAGAAGGGGAAATGCGCGATCCTCTTGATTAACTTTGATGATCAAATTGACTCTCTTTACCTAACCTAATTTCGAATCGCATCTTTTAAGTCGCTCGCGAAATATTACTTGAGCAAATGTCAAACGACTACGATGATAGGAAAATCGAACGGTTAACCCGTGGACACACCCATGATCACCCCCAAATCATCCCTGCTTTAGAACGTTGGCGCATAAACATTATTGGTTGATTATGATGATTTACTCAAGCACTTGGCCTTTGCTTCCCGTGAGTTGTCTCGACCACACTGGTTATTTTTGAAAAAGTAATAGCTGAATCGAGCTACCGGTACGTTTGCATGGAGGAGGGACAGACTATGTAATACTGTGTGTGAATGGAGTTCTCTCAAGGTATAATTTGTTTAATTTCAGTCGCATGCATGCAGCATTTTGCGCTCGGGGACTTTGATGAACTTACGCACAACGAGGCGACAGACAGACAAGGTGGTGGACATCTCCCACGATGGTTGCGTTGCGTTGCGTTGCGTTGCGTTGCGTTGCGACTTTTCTGATAACTCATCATTCATCAATTCAATCATTCATTATTTGAGGGTAGAGCACATTTACGAATGTTCCGTGTATTTCCCTTTCCCTGCGCGTTCCCTTTCCGTTTCCAAGATCAAGATAATAAAAGGATTGCTCAACATAGCCAGCCCGAAACGGGATGGATCGGGACTCGAATCGTGTCTTAATATATTTCAGAGCCGAAACTTGACCACTCTGTAGATGGGCAAGATCTTATGTATGGATTTTATGTTGGAATACTCCGTAGATCCTCCTACCACATACCGTATCACTCACTACAGTACTTCTCCTTCCAACGGTGGCATTTATCGAGCATGGCTGGTGGCCTGATGGCCTGTGTGAGGACTGGGGAAAAGCGGAGAGTAATGACAGAGCAGAGCATAGCATAGCATAGCCATACCATACCTATGAACAAGCAAGCAGGCATACGAGAGCAAATGAATGAATCGCAGTCAGCTTGAGAGCTTGGGACCATCGATGATGAAAGTACTAGGTAGCCCGTAACCTTACTGATGAGCAGATGTATGGATTTATATGAATTTATATGCAAATATGAAAATGAACATAGTGAGGATCGACTCCTTTTCCCTTGGAATTATATGAATTAGTGACTTGATGATTAGATAGTCAATTTCATCAGAGACAATTTAAAATAGGAATGACGATGAAAATATGTAGATTTTTAGGCATTATACTTGATGGTGTGCTTGAGCATAGAAGTTATTCAAGTCAAGCCATATTTATGCAAGCAACTAACATATTCTGAGTAACGAGGATCGACTTCTTCCATCTCATCACACACTCACTATTAGAAACAAGACACCAAAAGAAACATACGACTTGATACATTTCAAGTAAGTCGAATATTCATTCATCAATTCTACAGTATTCCAAGTCAATCACCTCGGGATCTCTTTTGCTTAACCATCCAAGGTTACTCTCTCTAACCATTCTCTCTTCACAGCTTGTGGGAGACGACATTTTGACAGGACGACAATTTCCAATGCCTCGATAGGGCCTCACAACAACATTCTTTCTCATCACCAGTAAGTTGCCATCCTACTTTTACTCTATGCGATCGAGAAAAATGAGTTCAATATCACCCTCGAGTCTCCATTCCATTACAACCGATCTTCCCAGTCACTGTCGCAGAAGGATGGAGTATGTTCGGCAGTGCTAGATTGGACGACAATGTCATCACTTCACTTCCCCCTTCATCAGATATCCCTCCAATGATTCTCGTCAAGTCTATCATGTGTAATGCTAACAGTATTTTCTAATCAGAACGAACATTGCCCACCATTCCCCTCTGTCCTTGTCTTCTCGACTGACTTGCGACGACGACGACGACGGCATACTCTGCCCAACATTCAGGATTTCCGACACCAAACATACATAATTTCAATCAATCACGAACATCTGCGACTGAGTTGGCTCTAGATATCTTCTCTACACACGAATGAAATTAGTCAACATTATAACTGGGTCATTACCTTCTTCAAACGCACCAAATCGAAACGCCGAATCTACCGATCCACCACAGCGACCAAATTCGTACCCAACCCGAAAATCAATCATGTCCGGAACGGATATGCACAATGGAGATGGGCGAAGAGGTACACCACCTGCGCCTTCTTATGCCGGTGGCAAATTCAACATGAGCACTCCACACTCCAGTGCCATTTCGCCTACCGGGAGTCCTACCCCGAAGAGTGTCGCATTCGAACTCCTCTTTACACAATCCCCCCAACATCGCGCGCGACTGCCGATGCGTGTTCAAATCTTCCCTCATGATACTACAGATTCAATTATCGCTACTGTCAAGAACTTTTACGGCCTATATGCAGATGGCGGTGGTGCGAAAGGTGTAAGCTTCGAAGACGAACAAGGGAACACCCTCATCGCACGATATGAGAACTTCAGGAACAACATGGTTGTCTATGTCAGAGTGATTCAAGAAGAACCTTCTGATGCATACGGCCAACAATCATACAGCGCTGGTTCCCCACGCTTACAGCAAGCCTACTATTCGAGCGACGCTCAGAACTTACCACCCCACCAAGCTCTCAATTATGGTCAACCTGTCTCAAGACCGACTTCGAGGACATCGCGAAAGCGTAGCACTTCTCCTGGCCATGGACGTGGCCGCCGCAGTGCCTCTGCCAGTATCAATCCACCTCTTCCGACCAAAAAGAGTAGATCTCGATCGGGGTTCAAAAGCCGTGGGTCGAGCACTCACGGTAGCTTCCAAGAGCTTCATAGCGATGGATTGAACGGATACAGCAGTGGTGATGGAGGTGCTGGATCCGTCACTAGCAAGGCTAAGAGTGAGCACCTTGGCAATACCGAGATAAGTCTCGATAATATCGTGGAAGGAGGTCGACGAAAGAGAGCCAAATTTGAGAGTTCTGTAAGTTACTCGGTTGCACATGGGCGGACGATGTCATTTAAACAATCATACTAATTATAATTTCCCATCAGGAACTTCCTTTGTTTGCGCCACCGCAAATGCCTGCTGCTACTTCGAATTCTTCCGTTTCTCCAGCACGTCGCATGGAACATCAACGATCGAGTTTTCCTTACACCGGATTTTCTCAAAATCCTTTCTCTAATCCACCTAATCTACAATCCCCCCAGAGCTATGGCAATGGCTTCGGGGAGCCTAACATGTATTCTACTCCGGCACCGCAAGGTCGCCGAACGCGCGGATCCGATCCCGTGGGACGTCAATCTATTAGCACCCCAGGGAACAGCTCTGGCATACTACCTACTCCAGATCCCACCGTTGGGAGTTGCATGTCGGAGGAGGATAAGGATGTCGCTCTGCAATTGATGAGACTTGGTGACATGTCGAACATCTCTCATGGTCGCACATCAGCATCTACTCTTGATGATACATTCAGTGGCCGTGCTGATGCCGCTTCTTCTACTGGCGCTACTAGTGACAGCGAGAGTGAGAGTGGAAATGAACTTCCACCTGCTCGTCGAATCAAGCGTGAGCCAAGTCCAATCCTGCCACCAGGAATTTGGAAAAAGACCCTTTCACATCTGGATGACAACCTGCCGACAGATAGCACCGAGCCAAGCAGCGATGAGCGTGACTATGAAGATGGTCAGGACGGAACCTTCAAGCCAGGGCAAGCGGATGATGCTGTTGATAACGAATTAGCAAAGCCCAAAGTTGTTAAAGCTAAGACCGCTAGAAAGCCCCTACCTTCTTCCTCTATCAAAAACAAAGTGAGCAGAATTAGCAAACCAAACAGGCCAGGGCCTCTTGTTAAACCCAAGAAAGCCAATAGTGTCTCTGCCTCTAGCAAAGGTCCAATCTCACCGACTTCTTTACCATCGCAATCCCGAAAAACCTCCGTGGCATCTACGGCAACTCATCAACACCATCTGGGTGATGATGAAGAGGATCTTTCATCCAAACCACGTTGTCAACGCTGCAGAAAGAGTAAAAAGGGTTGCGATCGTCAACGACCTTGTGGCCGTTGTCAAGATGCGGGACTTAGCATTGATCAGTGTGTCAGCGAAGACGAAGGGAACGGTCGCAAAGGTCGTTATGGGCGCCATATGGGAGTACCTGTGAAGAAAGATGAGCTTCCTCAGGTTCCAATCTTTCCATCAGCGCTTGCTGCCAATGGTGCAAGCAACCTCGAAAAGAGCAAGAAGAGAAAGAGGTGATCTACACCCACTGTACCATCAGCTTGATCATTTCACTTGAAGTATATTAAATGAACCCGCGGTTACATTTTGTACCAAAAGTTATTTCTCTTAGCGGTGATGAATTGGATTTCATCAATTGCCCGGCAATTGGTCATCGTTTGATGGCACTTCGAAACCAATGTCACCTCAACTATAGCCAGCAAAAGTCTTTTACAGCGCCATTTCTTGTGTCACAATCTGGATCAACAAACTTTCCCTCGCAGCGTTCAGAAAGCGTTCATACTTCTTCATTTTGTTGTAACTGCTCGTTCTCTCTGTCTAGGTTAAATGGCAAGGTGTTTCTTTTTTCTTCATTATTGTACTTTGGTTTACCTGGTGGAGCGCTTCAAGACATCTCATTGTTTTTTACACAATCCCGACAATCCTTTTATTATGATTAATGGGTCGACATGAACATATTTATGATTTTCCTTTGTCCTTTTTTATTTGAACTTGCTGCTTTCAATTGGTTCTCAATCCTCAAGTTTCAATGATACTCCTTTGCAGCGAGCAGAATAGTTTCCATTTGTAAGCCCATTTGCCTGTGGTAAAGTCATTTACAACTTGTTTGTATGGTGGAAATGGTTGTTGATGTATGTATCAATGGGAGGGAAACTCAATTTCTGATGCCAGCGGAGGAAGGTTCATCATTTTTGAATGACAAAGCGTGTTTTTTTTTGTCTCCATTACGAAAGTTGTCTATTTTCCATTTCATGGTTTTGGTTTCGATTCTTGTTCTAGCCCATCTCTACTCTCAGTCACACTACAACATTTGGGTTGCTTTTAGGGAGTTAGATGGGATGCAATGGAATGGGTGGGAAATTGGGGATCGCTAAATGGGAACTCTTACTGTTTTTTTTTTTCTGATCGCGATTTGGGTGGGATGCAATGAATGGACTTGGTTTGCGAAAATAGAGAACCAGGAGGATGAATTTGAAGGAGCTGGTGGATGAAAAGAAGGTCTTTGTTATGACTGATTGTATCGAGTCATATTACATTTTCCTTTTTAATATTGAACCTGAACTGATCAAACGGAGGAAAATTCATGGATACATATTATGGAATACATTCAATGAGAAAAAAATATTTGAAATTTATTGTCTGTATTATACTATGCTGTTTTGTATATGCTGTGCTACGTTACATCTGAAATTTCATTCATGATACTTTTATTTCTTCATCTTTAACAGTTATTGAACAAGTTGAATATATTAATTAATATTATTATAATTATTATATTTAAATATGCTTTTATAAATAAAATCTCATACTTGGTTTTATTATTCAAAAAAATAAAAATAAAAATAAAAAATATTTAATATCAAAATTAAATATTATAAGATTAAATAAATCATTTATAAAATATTAAATGAGATTCTTAAAAATTTAAAAATTTAAATAAAAATTTAAATAAAAAATTTAAAATGGGGATTTAAAATAGGATTTTAAAATAATATCAATAATAAAATAAAACCTGAATAGAGATCAGTTGCGGTGTAGGGTAGGTTTTCTTTGATCTTTGACTCTGCAGCTATTGGGGTCACAAGGTGTTGGTTTGGTTTGAGGTTCGAGAAAGCCATGTGTTAATAGGTTAGGTTACTCTGTATATTTATTGGTGTAACTGTATATATGAAGCCGAGGATTTACCGGTTCGGGTTGTGCGGGTGGGGCTGGGTGGGGCTGGGTGGGGGTCACCTGAGTGGGTAGGATGTAGAGGGTGAGGTTTTATTTCTCTTTTGGTTTTGGTTTTTTTTATACTTGATGGGTGGCGGGGGATGTGGAGGTTGGATGTGGATGGTGTGTATGAAGTAAAAGTGGTAGTTTTGGGGATGGAATTCTGGGATGGGGTCTTGATTGGAGTGTATTGTACTGTATTGATTGTGGAATTCGAATGTGGGGGAACGGGAGACGTGGACGGTGTTGTAGGTGAGGTTGAGATTGTGGGGGATAGGCCAGGATGAGGTCAGATGAGAGGAGGTGAGATAACTTGAGTCGTTGAATTTGGTTCGAGTTTTTGGATGGGATGGGATGGGATGCGATACGATGGAATGCGATGCGATGCGATACGATGGATGGCTTGTGGGGATGGCTGGAGATGGAAGTACAAGTTCAGAACTAAGGGTTCTGTATAATGGGTCGGGGATTAGATGAATTTGTAAGCTGAGGATGAGCTATGGAGGAGAGGAGAACGATGTTTGACGATGTTTGACGTGATTTGGTGCAGTGAGAAGGTCGGGTACATTTCGAGATTCCCTATACTACTCTCTTTCTTTAAGTTGGGATAGTTGTTACGTCATCAGCATTGCAGTTTACTGAGGATTCGACTTAAGCCCTGTCATCACGTGATGGTAAAACTCGTATCTATTCTCATACTCTTCTCTCTTAGTATCTAACAGTTGGAATTGCGTATTCGATTTCAAAACAGCAGCAATCGGCTTCACTTGGTTGAAACCTTTGGCAGGACGAATACCTAGGTATCTAAGTCACTTTCTTTTGGCACCAACCTCACTTGTTGTCATTTGTTTATCTTTCCTTCCAGCTATTGATAAAATTCGACTCTGTCAATCATATTGGAGCAGTCCAGGATATGCGAAAATGAGACACAAGTTGTAGGCTCTCATCATGAATGTCAGTCACGTCGAAAATTATTCAACCAATCCCAATTGACATTAGCAGCAGAACCAATACAATCTCCCAATCAAGTCCTACAGCTGTAACCTGGAATGGACTATCAGACCCCCAAGATCCATTCAATTGGTCCCTTCGCAAGAAATGGCTCGTGATAACTCTCGTCCTCCTCGCAAGCTTCATCTCCTCCATGAACGGCACCATCATATCTGTTGCCAATAACCCCATCAATAAAGGATTTGGCATCTCCGATTCTCACTTCCCTAATTCCTATTGGCCAATTGCATCATGAGGAGTTGGAGGCGCAATATTCTCACTTGTCTTGTTTCCTGTTATGGAGGATTGTGGTATTAAACCTGTATTTCTTGGCACGTACTTTGTATTTGTGTGTTCATTGATTCCAATTGGATTTGCAGAGAATTTCGCAACGTTAGTTGTGGTGAGATTTTTTAGTGGAGGTTGTGTCCAGCTTTTGAGTAATGCTGTGGCGGGTGTTATATCGAATGTTTTTCGAGACGATAGGGAAAGGAGTGTGCCGATTAGTTTATATATAACTACATATCTTGTTTCGACAAGTATGGGACCTGTTATCGGCTCTACTATTCTTCAATATCTTGATTGGCGTTGGATTGGTCATATCGAGTTAATTTGGACGGCGGCTTTCTTCCCTCTTCATATTCCGTCTTCCCGAAAGTCGCGGATCGGCTATTTTACTTTCCAAAGCGAAATAATTACGGAAAGAAGGAAAAGGGCATACACAGCAGAGGAATTTCAAAAAAAGCCCATCCACCAAATTCTCATCAGAAGCGTCCAAAGACCTCTCTACATGCTCTTTACCGAATCCGTCGTTTTCATCGCCACCCTTTGGGCAGCCTTCCGCCTGGGAACAATTTACCTTTTCACACAATCTGTCGAACAAGTCTACTCCCAAATTTACGATTGGAATAGTCTCCAAGCAGGTTATGTCCAGCTCGCAATCGCTATTGGCGAATGTATCGGTTGTGCACTTTGCATGTATACAAACTCCTGGTACTACGATTCGGCCGCGCGAAATACAGAGGTTCCTGGTACTCCCATTCCCGAAGCACGTTTATATCCCTCTGTTATTGGTGGTTTCTTAGGTGTTACAGGCGGAGTGTTTCTGTATGGTTGGACATCCATATCTACCATGCACTGGATAATTCCCACTCTCGGCCTCTCACTAGGCTGCGGTACCTCGGCCATCATCATCAGTAATGCAAATTACCTCGTAGATGCCTATAGCAAATATGCAGCTAGCGCGTTAGGTGTTGTTGGTCTGGTGGAAAATGTAGCATTGGCTTTTATTCCACTAGCGAGTTCGAGTATGTATACAGATCTAAAGTTTCAATGGGCGAGTTCGCTTTTGGCATTTTTGAGTTTGGCTTTAGTGGTGACGCCTTTTGCGGTTTTTATATGAGGAAAGGAAATTAGAGGTCGGAATCCTTTTATGAAGGAGGCGGTTTTAGAGAAGAGGGAGATAGCTTTTGGTGGGATTGGTGTGCTTGAAGGTGCGTAGGGATTTTTTGGTACTGAAATTGTGAAAGGAGAACCGAAAGGTACATAATATCTTACATCGTATTTCATTGCTGTAATACTAGCAAAGCCTGCTGAAGCACAATAGTTGGATGATTAGCTAGATAGCCGTTTATTCTGTATTAGTTTCGACTTCCTAATTTCAGAGGTTGAAGAACGGAAAGCAACTTCTTTTAAGCACGGAGATTTACATTCCTTTTGATGTTCTCTTGGCTCATCTGACCTTGATAAGTTATGAATAATGGGTTGGATTTTCATATTTGGATTTTTTAATGGATGGATAGTATCTATTCTTCTCAAATTTAGTTCTTTTGTAAAGGTTTTTCCTCCCTCTACTTGATATGGGTATAGAATTTAATTTATTTTCTTTTATTTTACTGCCTTGTATTGTATGTATTCTTATTTAATTATAAGATTTTATTACATAATTCTTAAAGAAAAATAAATATATTAATTAGAGTAATTATCAATAATTTTGTTTATTAGATTAATCCTGGTGTATGTATGATGTCTTCCTTAGTTAGAGTGGTTCTGAAATGTATACAGAGCACTGTATTTGCAAGGTGGGGTGGCACTTGGATAGTATGGTTCTAGGTGGTGATAATGAGGTAAAGGGGTTATTTTGGAGTGTTAATTTTGTATGCAAAATTCGGGGTGTTTTGATGATTTTTAGATATCTTTTTGGGAGAGTTGCAGGATTTTTAAATAGTATGCTTATATTTCTTGGACAGTTGATTTCAAAGGGAATATAGAGAGTACTAATATGATTGACGATAAGTTTTGCTTTGTATGGGTACTACATAGGATTATCATTTTTTATTTTTTCAGACTTTCGCTTAATACATCCCGACCCCTAAATATCATATTATGGAAACAGTAAAAATATCAAATTGTTAACCTATCCTATAATTCCCCCTTCTTGCTTTTCCAATTGTAACCCCCGAATCCCATCTCCACTTCCCTTCCCTCCTTCCCTTCCCACCCATCCATCGCAAAACCATATCATAAAACCCCCTTCACAAAATCCCAACACTCCCCACCCTTCCTCCCCACCGCATCAATATCCATATCCACATCCCCCCTAACATCCGCCACCCCCCTCTGAAACTCCAAATCTACATCCGCCCTAATATCCTCCGGATTTCTCCCCGTCGCCTCTCCCATCTCTTCATAGTCCGTACTGGTGGCTATTTTCGCAATTGTTTCTTTTTCAGAGAGAGGTTTAGTGCCTAATCCTGCTATGGGTGTTGGTTCTTGATTTTTGGGGGGTGTTTGTGATTGCGATTTGGAGGGAGATGAAGAATATTGAACATTTGAAATTCTCTGTTTGATTTCCTGGGCTTTTTTATTATATTTGGATTCCCGGTGCGAGGATGATGAGTTGGGAGAGCTTTGGAATGATACTTCTTTTTTTTGGTTTTGGGTTTCAGTTTCGTTTGAGTTGGCTTTTTGGTGTGGTTTGGAAATGGATGGTTGTATGCCGAGGGTTTTGTGGAGGATGTAGATTGTTGACCAGTAGATGAAGAGGATTGTGAGGAGGGAGACGAAGAATAGACCCAGGAGTGTGGAGGTTATGTCGAGGAGGTTTTGGAGTTGGGTGAGTACTATGGATGGGGAACTGGAGGTTAGTGGGTGGGGATTGGAATTGAGGGGTAAGGTTTTGGGGATGCGAGAAGGAGAAGAGGGAGAAAGAGAAACAGTGTACGTGGAAATGCTGGTGGTGGGATGGGGATTGGAGGGATGGGTGGGTGATGGGGGGGGGAGAGGATGGAGTGGTTGTGGGGGTTAGGATGGGTGCTGAGGTTGAGATTGAGGTTGAGATTGAAGTTGGGGAGGGATTTAGGATTGAGGAGGAGGAGGGAGAAGAGGAGGAAGTGGCGGAAGAGGCGGAAGATGGAAAGAAGGCGGAAGGGACAGAAGATGAAAAGGCGGAGGAAGACATTTTGATGCGGGTATGGTTGGTAGCTCTGTGGGTTGGATATTTAGTTTTCAATTGGTATTGCGTTGTGTTTTTTTTGGCTAGATGAAACAGTTCGATTATCAGGTTAAGTTATTTTATCACGTCGAGTTGAGTCGATTCAGTATCTCAAGAGGCAAAGAACTTAAGTAAAATCAATGTTCGAAGATAATTAAACACAAACATGTATTCAGCACATCATCCGAAACTCAAAAAGAGAACAGAAATGAAGAGAAGAGCGAGCTAGATGATGAATCTCAATCCGGTAGGCAGAGGAGAGCATAAATTCTGAGAACAAAGAAACGAAAGTGTTGTTGAAATATAATGCGGGGTTCTTTCAGTGTTTGAATAGTAGGTAGGTGGTTAATATATTTTTCTTTCTGTTATAATTGTGCTAGTAAATGAGGCTTGGAATGGGCTGATGTGCATGTGTCGCATGTCATTGCTGTTGGAAATGGTACTTTTAGGTTCTTCTAGGGTTGCCAAGGGTTGCCAAGGGTTAGCTAGATGTGCAACAAAATGTTTTTAGTAGAAAGTAGAAGGATAAGAATAATAATATGATTAGGGATAGCTAGATTGGTAGATAGAATGAAGTTTCATGATATTATGCTAAAATAGAGACTCAGTTTGTTCTCCGCGATTTTGAATTCTCCAACAATCCGATCACACCGTATTCATATATCCTCATCTCAAATACGCCCGCTCTAACCTTATCCCTCACATCCTAGTATCCATATCCTCAAACCTAGGAAATGCCTCCACCTCCCCGTTCCTCAACAAAATCTTCGCTGCCTCTCTAGCCCTCATCTGTTCCTCTTCATCCCAATATCCCGCTTTTTTTCCATAATCCGCTCGATTTTCCAATTTTTCAAGCTCTTGTTGTAGTTCCTGCGGATTTTGTATGAATACTTCATCTTCTATCCATTCTTCGATTTCTTTCCTTTTTGGATTGGTAGAGTTTTCATCTCCATCTTTCAGTTTCGATTCAGCTCCTGATTTATACTTCTTAGCATCTTCAGCTAAATCAGTCCCATAATCCATCTTCCCTACTCCTCTTTTCCATGCGACTCGTCGCATCGCATCACGTATTTGTGCTTTTTCGCGCTCACCCACTTCATTTCTTTCGCGGAGTCTCTCGGTTCTAGCTTCAGCATTTTGTCGTCGGAGTTCTCGTCGTTCTTCATAGACTATCGCAGCTTTGCGTTTTATGATGGTGGGGAATCGGTTCCAGAGATAATAGAGGATGAACGTCAGACCGGTGAGATTAGAGATGAATCGTATGGTGTAGAGAAGATAGGTTACGATGATTAAAGCGAGGAAGAGTATGATGGCGACGAGTTGAATTAGTGCGTGGGTTAGAGTTTCGAGGGGGAGGTAGAGGATTTTGCTGAGCATGGTGGTCATGGAGTTGAAGGTTTGTGTAGGGTTTTGGGACAAGCGGAAATCAATATTTATGTGGATGGGGCTGCGGGTTGAGATTGAGGAAACTTCGTAGAGGGTCTCAGGGTGTAGGTAGGATATCATGGGGTGTTTGCTATAAAATGAAGCTGCTGGTGAAAGATGTAATTATCGTATATGATGTAGCATTACAACATTAAAATAGCTTAGACTCTTGTAGCAAATCCTGACAATATATGATGGTTTCCACAGGTCATAGAATGAGAAATTCGTCGGCTGAGACGAGAAGCTTGAAATACTAATCAGACAGGGTACACAGAAACAAATAGACGCTTCATCTAAGATCAGCGCCTATACATCAATGATATATAATAGGAGAATCAACGATAAGCATGTTTGCAGACAAAGAAACAAACTTCCGGAACCAGTCACAGGGCTTCCTGCGTGAAGAGTCCGAAAACGGAAAGGTGGTTTTGAGATTCTCATTGTTCGCAGCTTTGCGATATTTCAAGCTTTTGCTCGGGGGAGACTAATTTGAGTGCTTGGAAATTTGAAGGATCTTGAGTGATATTGAGCACTGTAGTGTGTAGGGGTTGGAGGGAAACGGGGAGTCCGTGCTTATGTAAACCATCTTAGTGCCAATAATTCTGCCCGAAGCGGTCACTTATCACGTGTTATTCTGCCAACTTCTCTGAGGACAGAATGAATTTTAGCGTACTCCTCGACTGATCGACTTCCTGGTAAATGCATCCCTGTCTCCCGAATCCGAAAAATCGGCCTACACCGCTTTGGCAGAATGAGGAGGTTTAACATTCGATCGTCAAGGCCAATTAACTTAATTACTACCTACTCGTATGCATACCTAGTAGCTATTCAGTGATTGCCAATCGAGACGTTGACTTATCCGACTCATTCGACCTTTATACATGGTATTTGTTTATGCAGCTTTTGATCCGACCGCAAAGTCTTCAAATCTGTCATGTAGGGCCTTCTGTCCTCTTCAGGAAACTGGATCATCGACATTTCATGACAATATGCCAACTCGAGGGAAAGGTCATTGCGCTTGCGCGATGAGCGTGAAACTAAGGCATTGGAAGCCCTCGTGTACTGTGTAGACATAGGTGATATATTTGATTCTCATCTAATTAATATCTCCTGTTATCGGCCATGCTTTGCCTCGCAAAAGTTTGCGAGTGATGGTGGTGAATTAATTGATAATGTGGATATCAATGGAGATCCGCAGAACGTCAAATATTCCTGTCTTCTATGCCCGAAAACCCCCCCAAAATTCATTACAACAGAAAACTTGTGGGCCCAGCTCAATGATTGCTAAGAATGCGGTCTTGCGAGCTGCAACAAAGCTGTGCAAAGAGCGTTGGACTAGACCAAGAATCACGAAGTTGAGGAAAATAGAGAAAGGGAATTAGAGGCTGTGATTGCCTTTATTTTTTAAAATTTTATTGTGTTTAATTCTCGCATATATCATAGCTTTGCTATCCTAGAGAGGTTCATCATTGTCATCATCACCAATACCGTCCTCATCCTGTGTAAAGAAACCGTGATGCATCACGCCGGGCCGGTTAACACTCCAATCAACTCGTTTTCTGTTCGTTTGTCCCAGCTCCACAACCCCAATCCGATGAAATATCACAATGGAAAATGTTTCTTCGAGCATCCTGTATTTCCTCAAGCTGATTCTCCATGTCGTCAAAAGCAATGATGAAATTATCGGCCCATGCACCGTAATTCCAACCATCTTGGGTGTTAGTCATAGCATCAATCACGGCTTGAATGGCTATTTCCCTGGGCTTGGAACTATAATATCCCTCAAATTCTGAACGTATTCCTGCTATTGTTACTTTTCCAGAAAAGGTCAACTCGCGCTTCAGTGCATCCGCCTAAGCTTCAAGTAGCACACAGCCTTTTGCTGCATATCGCTCGATCATGGTGTCCCTATACTTTCGATCGTGATTTCGCTCGGGCGAAGATTCAATAAACTTCATCTCCCTATTTATATCGAGTAGACCATAGGAGACTTTTTGTATGTAAATGAATCGATGTACATCTCTCGATGCCTTTACGACACGTCGGTACTGGCGTTCTAGATATTGCAAAACAAGACGACGTTTTGCTTTGAAAGCGGTGGCATCATTGTCATCGACCGCTTGGTTGCAGTCGCCCAGTCCGCTTTCAACAGGATGTGCTTCATGACGACCAGAGGAATCATGGTAAGACCAACATGGGCTCAACCAAAATTCTCTCGGCAGCCGATTTTTGTCATAAGTCTCTCTTGGGAAATATCTATTAAATAGAGAGAGACGGTGTAGGGTTTCTTCATACCTGGTCCGATTTATACCCATGCCGTCTCTGTAAGGTTTGTAGCGTTCGTATGTTTGAGCATAATTCAGCAGGCACTGATTCATATTGCATAACAATTCAACTGGAGAGTTTCGGTTACTAGAGATCTGAGTTCGGCTTGCAAAGATAAAGGAATTGGATTGTAAAGGTCGGTTTTCAAGGTATCGTCCATAACGCGGTATTTTATTTCATATTCGTGGCATATATGGAACTCAGGGCAGTCAGCAGCTTTTGCATTGCTGAATCTTGATGCACCGATGTTTCTCAAGATACGCAGTGCTTGGACTATCTCTAGCAAAGATTTCCAGATCCCCTCGCTGATTTTATATGCAGGAACAGGTATTGCAGGTATTGCTCCTGTTCCCTCCTGTTCCCTCCTCTGACATGATGAGTATTTCTAAAGAGATTGGTGGTAATGAAGCATTGCAGATCTCTCTGCAAAAAGGCGAGATTCCATTTCCCCCAACTCGTTGCGAGCTCAATGCCACCGATTATTACTCTCCACCTCCTGACCTTTTGCATAGATTCAATCCATCTAGACCACACCTTCAGGGTTTTTGAATTTCGAGAGTTGATGCCGTATCTGGTGATTGAACATCGCTGGCAAAGATCGTGACCATAGTCCACTTTACTCCCGCTCACACAAACGAAGAAGAAAGTATTGGAACCGTACAGAACCTCTGAGGCTTCGGCATAAATCTGCCGGCAAGTTTGTAAAGCTCTGGGCCATAGATCGTAAACTTCTCTAGAAATTTCGCCTTCATAACCTGGTTGGACTTTGCCGAGTTTTGGATTGGAAAGTAACAGCTTCCAGATCATCCTTCTTACTTCTGGCGACAGCGTTTCCAAAGTTCCGCATCCTCCCATAGTTTGACCCTCTTCCAGTTTGGCCATCGCATTGGCTTCGAATACTGTCCTTTCTCCCTCCAAGCTCGGGACAGCACCTTCAAGCGTTCCTTCCAGCATCTCACTTCCACAAACTACTCTACGTGGTTCTTGCTCGGTGAATGCGTCAGTATCTACTGATTTTTCACCTCCATCCATAATACTACCATCAACCTCCAACACGACATCTAAGTGCGCTACATTAACTTCAGTCATCGTTCCACCTTCCTCCGTGTCTCCACTGACTGCTGACTCTGGATTTGGGGAAATGTTCCCCAGCTCGCTCTGTTTTGATGCTCCATCCGCACTATCATCACTCTCTACCTGCTGCGCTGTGTCGGCTACAATTGAGGTATCCTTTTCACCCATAATTCCGCCTTCTTTTTGCTGGAGGGTTGCTTCGTCCACGACTAACATCTCGACTCCACTCATTTCCTCACCAGCTTCAAGCGCAGGCTGCAGAATAATATCTCCCGGCTTTTCATTTTCTGTTGTCGGAATGATGCTCATGGGGTTTTCTGAAGTGGGTGACGACATGGTTGTCTAGGTCTGGTCAGTTCTGAGCCCCTGTTTCTGGTGTTGATGTTAGCTGCTGAGATGTTTGAGGATGAACGATGGCTTGGTTGGCTATCTGTGCTCTATCTGAGATGGAGACCAGGAAGGCTTCAAGATCTTGCGATACTGAAAGTAAAAGTCTAGCTCATAAAGTTGGTGTAACTCTACTTTAGAAAACAAGTGATAGTTGCAAGGTAAGAACGGAATATTTAAATATCAAGAGGAGGATACCGGTTAACGACGCGCGGGGTTAAAATCAGACAGTTTCTGTTCTTCACTGCAAGCGAGAGGGTTTATAGTCACATTTGAGTCAAGCCATTATATCGTGAGTTTTGTGTGAATTATTTGAATGGTGTCACTAAGGAAGTCTCTCATATTCAATGGTTGCGGGGCTCTTGGCACTTGGGAGGTAAGTCTTACTTGTATTTTCGGAACTAAAACAGTTAGAGATTGGCTGTATGTAGTAGTTATTCATGTGTTTCATGTGTGAAGTATACCTCAGCAAAGCATGATCTCATTCACATCTGCATACTCGACCTCAAAGTGAGTCAGTCATATGGGGTATTTTGCTTACAGGGAGTGAAATTAGGAAGATGTTCGAAGATTTATCGGTAGGTTATAGTCTTATTAGACAGCGCACAACCACTGATCATACCTCTCATAATGTGCATATCTACGGTTTTACCGACTTCATAGCCACTGTAATATCATCGATTTTTCCAACCCCTTGAGGTAAGCTCATTTGCTGCTGATGAAGTTTTCATCATTATTTCCTCGACTATTTTACTTCAGTAACTGAAAATAGCTGTAAATCAGCTTCAACAAGAAGATGTAAAACGTCAGCTCATATATGTGGATCACATATGAATGACATGTGTGATTAGCTGGAAAGAAAATAAGTATTTAAACTATCGGGATGCCAGAGACACCTATGAAGTGACACGTCAAATAGAAAATAAGAGCCTAATCGTGAAGTACCAGAAATATGGAGATTTGGGTGTTGGAATGGAATAATTATGTTGAGAATGTGGAGGCGGGAGGAACAGGAATGGGGAGGGAGGAAGAAAAAATTAATCGCTGAACTGAATGAACAATATATATATGCCGAGGATAGAACCGAGTATCCTGTGAAGATTGCATATATACACCAAGACTGACTAAAACTGTAGTGATGAATTTATTATTTATCAGTTCTCGGATAGTCCATTCAAAAAGTTATCATGCTGTGCGGTTCGCAAAAGGGGCATCTGAATAAGATTCGCTTATTTATCTCACCCGTGTACCTAATCCAACAACATGTCCCGACAAACATCTTCCAAATTTGCCATCTTCATCTTATCGACTGTCATCATTATCCTTCTCATCATAGTAACAATACAATACGACGAACTAAGCAGAATCCAATCAATTTCAACAAATCCATCCAACACCAGCTTGGCTACCTCCGCAAACCTCACAACATATCCAATCATCTCTCCCGAGTTCCCCAAAAAACTATGGTATAAAGTCGGAGCTCAAGGTGTCTCAAGCGAAGCAAGGAGTTTCAGACACCACTGTCTCAATATCAACCCAGGATATAAATCCGAGATACTCAGCGACGCGATCGCAGACGAATATATTTGGAAATGGGTATTCGCAGCGACCAGACATCTTGAATATGTATTTTTCGCTCAAAATACCGACTCTACGAGCTGATCTATTGCGATATTTGATTTTATATGCTTATGGGGGAGTATGGTTTGATTTGGATGTTTCGTGTAGGGATATTCCTATGTATAGATGGGTATTGGAGGAACGTCGCGGAGCGGCCAGTCTGGTTTTGGGATTGGAGTTTGATTGTGAGTGGCAGGATTATGGGATTTTGTATTTGCAGTTTGCGAGTTGGGCTATTATGGCGAAGGCTGGGTCGGTGCATTTGTTGCGGGTGATTGAGGATATTGTGGTGGTGCTTAATGGGATTGCAGGACGGAATAATGTGTCGGTTGAGGGGTTGCAGTTGAGTATGATTAGTGATGTGGTGGATGCGACGGGGCCGAAGAAGATGACGCTAGGGATTGTGAAGAGTCTTGATAGGATTCTAGGGAGGAAACTTGATGATCGCGATATCGGGGAATTGAGACGTGCGAGATTGATTCATGATGCTTTGATCTTACCTAGAAATACGTTTACGGGGACTCAAAATGTGTTTAAGAAGGAGAAAGGGGATGTTTTTGTTAATCATCATTATGCGGGGAGTTTGAAGGATACGTTTGGTGGTGAGGCGGAGAAGGGGTCGGAACGAGATAGGGAGATTAAAGAAGAGAAAAGAGTTGAGCGCGAGGGAATTTTGGGAAAGAGAAGGAGATTAATAGACACGATATTTTAGGGCAAGAAAACAATAATAGACAAGAAAGGCTATCTGAATAAAAGCAAGAGCCAGCATACCCTAGAAAATAACCAAAAACCAAAACACCAAATCAAGCAAAGAATCTAATCGAAACAAGAAAAGTCTAAGAGCTACTTACTACAGCGCATATATTTCCCCCCCAACAGAGATCTAGAGGGAGAGACCACACCAAACATCTTCAAACCCAAGAAAAGATAAACAATAATACAGCAATACAGCAATAGAATAGATACAAGAACCACCAGCACAAGCTCACAGAAAAAGATCCAGAGAAGATACCTAGGTAATTGGTAATTATAATATACAAGTACCTAAGCATCGAGTACCAAGTAGACCCTCTAGCTATAACTACAAGACTCGCTACGTAACCTTACTCAACCCGAAAAATAAAAATAAAAATGGGCAAAAACCAATAACATAAACTACTTCCCATTCATCACTTGAAGAAGATTCTCCAACATATCATATCATATCTGAAACTATAAATTTCTTCGGTGATGTATCAAAAACTAGTTATAATTACTCCTTCCTATATATACTTTCCTACCTATGGAGTTCCACAGAATTGGGGTGAAAAGTGTCAGTACGTAGGTGTGATTTTCAAAATATATAAGACTTATGTATTCGAGTAAAATGCTTCAACAAATATAAAGCACATAATAAAACAGAAGAGCAGAGTCTAAGATTAACAAGCCCTCTTTACATTTCTATTTTAACGCTATTAATCAGTCAAAGCAGTAATTATAATATACAATCCACCCACACCTACGCATTTACACAAAAGCAACCATAAACACTAAACCTTACACCCTAATAAATAAACCCCAACCCCCAACCCCCAACCCCAACCCCCAACCGCTAATCTCTAACCCATCACATCATATCAACATCATCATCCTCATCAAAATCCTCATACGGCAACCAATAAAACGGCGTAAGATCCGGTTCATAAACAGTCCAATCAATCCTATCCAACGAATAACCCAATTTCCTATCAAAATCCCCACATTCAAACTGGCCCAATCCATCAAACTGAAAAACTTTCTTCCTCGCTGCGAGGATCTCAAGATATTGATCATCGCACATATCGACCGCCGTGCTGAAATCATTTATAAAGTTAAGGATTTTGCCCGTTTCAATTTCCCTTGCCATTTGAGCGATTAGACGTTCGCGTGGGAGATCGTAGTGACTCTCGAAGAGACGACGGTTGGGGATAATTTGCGCGCGGGTTGTATGGGTGAGGTCTCTTTTGAAGGAAGCTGCGTAGTCTTCTAGGTAGACCATTGCAAGCGAGATTTTTCGCACTTTCTCGTGATCATAAATTTGGGACGCGTTGGCGTTGCCGTGGGTTGTGGAGTTTAATTGTTCTCTTAATCTTTCGGCTATGTCGAATAATCCGCCTAGGACTTTTTCCTCTTTGATAAATTCTGTTATTGTACGATTTGCATTTTCGATTCGGGTCCATTGACGTTCTAGATATGTGAGAACATTTCGACGGTGTGGTTTAAAAGTGTCGTCTTCTTCCTCGAATTCAACCGATGCCTCTTTGCAAATTTGGAGGTCATATTCAACTGGATGCATGGTTGGATTAATGAACGGGTTGAAGGCACCTGCGTCTAGAAATTCGGCGTACTCGATATCCATATTGCCAATCTGTTCGATACTTTCTCGTCTCAACCCCATTTGCATCTTATATGGTCGATATCGCTCGAATGCTTGTGCATATGTAGTGAGAGATTTATGCATCATGTGACGAAGATCGATAGGTTCTTGACTCGTCACAAGAGTTTCTATTTCAGTCTTCAAATTTTCAGGAATTTTATAATCAATACCTCTGGCACTTATAGCCTCTATGATGTCATCACCAGCAAGTCGAATAATATCAGGAACGTCGCTTGCACAGGCTTCTTTGATGACACATTTTTGGAGATTGCGGAGCAGTCTCAGAGGACTTAAGACATCATCACACTCCCAAAAGGCATAACTTTCGTTCTCACTATAGTCCAGACCACAAGGAAGAACCAATACTTCTAGAGAAATTGGAGGTTGGGCACTAATAGAAAGACAAAAGTCGATCAAGCACCATGTTGGATCCCAGTGACCACCAGGATCTCTGATTCTGCTAACCACCACGCGCCAATTTCGGACCCTAGGCACCGTGGTATAATGGCAGAGGTCTGGAACTGGATAAGGTACCACTGTTTCGCAGTTCTCGTATCTTGTGAGAGGACATAGTTCCACTTGAGGCCCGTCAACTTCAGTTTCGTAACCTAACACCCGATCACTTTCATAAAACTGTCGATAAACACTATCAAATGACTGATCGAAGACAGGGTGATTATCCACTCGAAAGCATGAGATATAGAAGGTATTCTTTCCGTACAAAAAAGGTAAAGCTTCTTTGTAAATTTGGCGGCAGAGTCTCAAAACCTCTGGGCATAAATCGTATTTTAGGTCCGCTCCAAAACGCGATGTTTGGGTTACAGACTGTGCCATACCTAGAATCTTTCTGACTAGCAAGTATTCATAGACTTTGAGCCTTATTTCGAGAGGAAATACATGCAAAAAGGGACACTCCCTGTTGATGATTGCATCCATCTTTAAGTGGTGTCTAAGCCATAATTAGTATATTTTGAAATAACCTGCGACTAAAGGGCTGACGCACCCTTTTTAATGTCTAGTTTTATTTGGAAGAATGATTCCTCGAATGATGTTTGTGGATTGGGAGGAGTTGGATTGCAGTTGTTGTGTTTGTAGTTATGCAGGAAATCTTTTGAAAGAGTCCTGCAGGAAAGACTTAAGGGGGATTCAAATAGAGACCGAGTTTTACATAGAGAGTCAAGGGGATGGATCAAAATAGAGAGATAACTCCTAGGAAGGAATCAAGAAAACTACTCAACACAACCAAAGAAACAATTCAAAGGCAGAGTTAGGAGAATTCCCCAGGAAAGATTGAAGGTGATTTAAAAAGAAGAAAGGACGACTTCTAAATTTCGAAAGAAAGAGCAAAGGGGATATGTCCCGAAAGCTCTTTCCATTTCATCATTGTCGATCTCTGACTTGATCGTAATTGAATCATTCAATATATTTAAATGATTAAAATCATTTGGTCTAGTTTACATCAGGGATTTTAAACACTTCAGCTCATCTTAAATATCCCATCAAACCAAAAGCTGTAAAATACACTCATCTAGAAATCTGAATACAGTTGAAAGATTGTCATCATTTTGATCGGAGAAACTTGATTAAGCTTGGATCCTTGAAATATATATATGTATTCATAAGAGACTGCATCAAACCGAGTTGAAGCACTACTGCATTATATTATAAAGATCTTTGTATTTCAAGAAATAATTACATTAAACCTGCTGGCATACCTCACTGGTGTTCTGCTTCCAACAATGAATATTTGAAAGTTCCAATGTATTGGAAAGGTTCACTAGTCTCTAAGCATGAAACCCTGGGTCCTTAAGAATCCATTCAAAATCCAATACTAGACGCCATAGATTTAATTAACTGATATCAATATGACCCCTTTATCGCATGAAGTTGGCACGATCTCAGAAACATAAACATTTCATCCACTACATCCTGAATATGAGGTACTCGATTGAAGAAGATGCAACCCACTCAGATTCATGGTTTGACTGGGTCTCGATGACTGTTTGCTGTTTGACATGTTGATAGCCAAGTTCCCACAAGCAAGTTTCTGTACACAAGTTTCCGTAGAAATGAGCAAAAACTACCCAACGAAGCACTACTAGCTCAGATACTTGATGAAGGTACCATATTGTGTGTTTGATCATTTGCAGCCTACCATCAGACCAAGTCCTTTGCATATCCACCTCTAGTGCATGCAAACTGGACACAAATTCTTAAATTTCCAGCCCAGAGAAATTCAATGATTCCATCTTTCTACCCTCAAACGGAAGAATATGAGCATCCTCTGGCATCTTCATCACATCCTTCAACCACTCAGCATACACAGGGAAGCCAGTCACACTTCCAGAAACATTTGTTTCCTTCACTCCTCTGACATTCTCAAAGAGCCTCAACGCCCTGTAATCCGAGCCCGAGCCCCTGTATGCAGATTGCTCCACCCTGATTGTCAATTCTTCCATTCCACTAAAGGCATCCATTGCTTTTCTCGCAGAGAAATTCGGATCGCACTCCAGTCGCACAACGATATAGTATTTTTTGATAATCGAGATCACTCTAGGCGAGCTGATCGGATCATAGTGCCAACGCAGACGCGGCAGGCCTGTTAGGAGATTGGCATGGGCTATAAAAACATTGCAGCCGTAAAGGATTTGTTCGGCTTCATCGTGGACTTTTCGGCATACGGATAATATTTGTGGACATATTGGTGGGTCAGTGAAGAGAGGACGGGGAATTGAGATGGGTCGGATGACGAGGAGGATGTGGTAGATTTGATTACGAATCTCTCCCGGGAGATCAAGAAATGTGAGTGACGGCATTGTTTTGATAGACTTCTTTTTATGTGTTTGAACTGTGAAGTCGTCTTTGTGATATGCTGTTATGATTTTGTGCAGTTGGAATTGTATGTTCCGAGCAATGAGATGAAGTGGGGGTTTGTGAGGTTACTTACTCCCCGTACCTACATTACGGAGCACATTATCTACATGGATGAAGGAATCTTATCTCGGCCATCTGATAAGATAGGTGATAGGTGATAGGTGATAGGTTATCAATTACTGATAGGGTAATCTGCCTATTGTCGCATGTGTAACCTCTAAATAAGACCTTCCTCTTCCAATGTTTTTCAAGGTGCCGGTTAGTAGGTAGGAAAACATCATCACAGCATCACAACATCAGCATCACATCATCACAACATCAGCATCACATCATCACATCCTCACATCATGTGTTCTTTTTTCCTCCTTGCATTTCTTACCCGTCTTATTTGGCGCTCAAGGGGAATTGAAAAGCTTACTACTTACTGAAACAACTTTATTGATATTGCTGGCTCTGATAGGATATGAGATTATGTAATCAAAAATGACTCGTTCCTGTCTCCATCTCACCCTGAAAATCTATGTAGGACGTGCTCGCATGTGATGGTCCAGGTCCTATATCAGCAATTGGGTGCTATCGATATCTCAGTTCTCTATCAAAAGCTTTCTCTATTATCAATCCCTTCTCTTCTTTATATTACTACTACCTAGTATTCATGACACCGTCTTCATAATGGCAACTTCATTCCTTCAGTTTCTTTCCTATTTGTTCGGTTGGATATACACAACATGTTGGTCTTTTTCTTTCTATCCTCAACCACTCTTGAACTATAAGCGCAAATCTACTTCAGGGGCAGCAATCGATTTCCCCTTCCTCAACGTCATAGGCTTCGCTGCATACTTTGTATCTACAGTCTCATTCCTCTACTCGCCGGAAATCAGACGTGAATATGCTCTACGAAATAATGGCCATACTCCAACTGTTCAGTTCAATGATCTTGCTTTCGCTGCCCACGCCTTCTTTGTGTGCTGTATCATAATGTCGCAATATCACCTATCCATCTGGAAATTCGATAAACGTGGTAAAAGAGGTCCTGGCTCCAGAATCAGCACATCGATTTTGGGTTTGGCTGTAGCATGTATTGCTGGGGTCGCGACTTCTGTGGTTATTGTCCTTGCGCGAAAGGATGAGGATGTTGTAACGGGGTGGGCATGGATCGACGTGGTACGTTGGATTCAGACTGCATAATCTTGTTACATTTGTGCTAATACCGTTTTCACAGGTTTATGTCATATCATACGTCAAGCTCATTATCACGACGGTTAAATATATGCCTCAAGTTCTCACGAATTATCGCAATCGATCCACGACTGGTTGGGCAATTGGAGGAATATTACTCGACTTCTCAGGAGGAGTTTTATCGATTTTACAATTAGGAATTGATAGTTATCTACAGGGGGATTGGTCAGGAATAGCAGGTAACCCAGTGAAACTAATGCTGGGCAATGTGAGCATCTTCTTCGATGTTATCTTCATTGTTCAGCATTATATTTTGTACAGAGGGAATGGGCGTGATAAACCATTCAATGAAGAAGACCCTCTGCTTGAGCCGGATAGGGAGCAGAGAATTGATTAGACAAGGCGCATTTCTTTCTGACATTAGAGATATCTAGCGACTGGATGATAAATAGAGGTGGGCATTAGCGTTGGGTTTGTCGGGTTTTAAGGTTAGCTATCTGCGCTTCGAATCTAAATATTACTTAGAGGGTTGCAAGGTCAACCGGTTTTCATTCTTCAACCCAAGTGGTATCGTTGCACCATGACATGTTCTTGATATTGATCCATACCTTTATAATTTTACCCATGATTGTGTGCTAGTGCTCGAAATGAAAAGGAACAGCAGCCACGAATTGATCATGAGAAGAAGTCGAACGCTCTCTTGGAAACTAACCTTGAAGCTCAAATTATTCGATAAATAACTTTCAGTATATTCAATCATTATCATCTTCCACTCATCAAACAACACAAATCTCACAGCGGCTTTAGCTCACTTGGGAGAGCGCCAGACTGAAGTTGACTTCAGATCCTCAACAGATCCATCTGTTTATCTGGAGGCACTGTGTTCGATCCACAGAAGCCGCATTCTGCGAGTTGAGGTCCACCTCAACTGTTAGCCTTTTTTACTTTTGAACATCTTTTATTTTTGCAGATCTGTTCACGTCACAGTGAATGAAGATTCTGACGAACGAAAAAGCTTATTTTATACTCTGCTGTTGCTTCTTCTTTATGACAGCCCACCATGTGTCCATGACTCCACCACAAGACGCGTACAGGGACTCCATGATGGATATCGGCGGGACATTTGAACGAATAAGAGGATTTGAAATGATGATTTGGATGGCCCTCCAGGAATCCGGAATCAGAGTGCACCGATAGACAAGTGGCAAGGGTTCAACGGATAAGCAAGAAAAACGATCACTAATTAATTTGACCCAATCTTCTCTCAAATGCCGAAGATTTCCCATTCATAAAATCTATCTTTTGAGCGAGCGAACCTCCCGTACTAAGCTTGGCCAAGCTAAGCCCCTGAATGCTTACCGTTGACTTTTTCCTCTGTGCTTTTGACCTAACATGAAAAATTTACATGAGAATTTCAATTTTTTGTGGCAACTAACAAAAGAACAGGATGTTCCCCCGATGTCTAGGTTCAAACTGGGGATTTCTCTCTCACATTCGACAACTATCTTACTGATGGCGTGCTCTTCCAGGGATGGAGAATTTTTATTCAGCATGGAATAAAATGTCAAGTAATCCAGACGCAATGGGGACTTCTTTACTTTTTCTTCATTATTCCACAACAACCTCCATTATTCTGGGGTTGTCTATATCGTATTGGTGAATAGAGAGTTGAATCTTAGCTGCATTCAAAGTATCCACCATGTCGAACAAGACTCAAGATTTAGCCATCCATAGATCGCCTTCGCAGTCGTCTTTGGGTGGTCCCGGGAAACCAGATATTGCTAATGGAGAGGTCGTTCATTCGGCTTCTGGTCACCTCGATGCGGTTTATGGTGTAGGTGGTGTGGGACATACTCAACGTAGGTTGAAGGCGAGACATGTTACCTTTATTGGTTTTGGTGGTGGTATTGGTACGGGTCTTTTTATCGGTACTGGTGCAGCTTTAGCCAATGCTGGACCTTTGGGTCTGCTTTTGTAAGTCGAGGCTTGCTCAGATTAAGTTGACGATACCTGGTATTAACAAGTTGCAGGGCTTACAGCGTGGTCGGTCTTCTTCTTTGGTGTGTGATGGAGTCAATTGGAGAATTGGCCACTCTGGTAAGTTGACAAGATTAATCACATGATCACCAGACTTAAACTTACATTTTCAGTTTCCAACCGCTGGATCATTCCCTCATTTCGCTACTCGATTCGTCGATCCTGCTCTCGGTTTTACTCTCGCTATTTCTTATGGTTATTGTTACACCATTGCAATCGCCTCGGAAGTTTCAGCCGCAGCTATCGTAGTGTCTTACTGGACAGATATCACACCCGCCGTCGTAATTACCATAGGATTAGTCGCCATCTTCCTCATCAACATGGCCAACGTCAAATTCTATGGCGAAGCCGAAGTCATCACTGCATCTATCAAAATCCTTTGTTTCCTGGTCTTGATTATTGTTTCCCTGGTTATCACAGCTGGAGGAGCACCCAATCACGAGACTATCGGGTTTAGATATTGGAAGGATCCAGGTCCATTTGTTCCCTTCGATGGTATTACAGGGAATAAAGGTAACTTCCTCGCATTTTTCAGTGCCTTCATCAATGCCAGTTTCTCATATATTGGTGTTGAGACTGTCGTTGTCGCCGCCGCTGAAACTGTCAACCCACATAAAGCCATCCCAAAAGCAGTCAAACGTGTTACCTATCGAATCCTATTTTTCTACGTCCTCGGTACGCTCCTCATTGGAATGATTATTCCATCTAACGATCCCGGTCTTGTCAGTGGATCCGGTAATGCAAATTCCTCACCCTTCGTCATCGCAATCAAGAACTCCGGCATCTCCGTCCTCCCATCCATAATCAACGCCTGTATCCTTACCTCCGCCTGGTCCGCCGGAAACAGCTACTGTTACATTGGTGCAAGAATGATCGTAGCCATGGCAGTCGACCGACAAGCCCCTCAATGTTTCGCAAAGGTAAATCGCTGGGGTGTACCATACTATGCCGTCCTCGTCTCTTTCGCCTTCGGTCCTCTCGCCTATCTAAGTCTCGGCTCAGGTGGAGCAGCCCAAGCTTTCACCTGGTTACTAAATCTCAGCACTGTCGCTGGACTCCTCGCCTGGATGACCCTCTGCATCTGTTACATCCGCTACCACCACGCCTGTCTCGCACAAGGTGTCAACCGCGACAATCTCCCCTTCAAAGGACGCTGCCAACCCCTCGCCGCATACGTCGGCGCCATCGGCTCAGGAATCATAGTAATATTCTCCGGATTCGGCGTCTTCGTCAAGGGAAATTGGAACACGGCTAATTTCATAGCGAGTTATATCGGTATCGTTATTTATATCGCTCCGTATGTTTTTTGGAAAATTTTCAAGAGGACGAGTGTCTCGAGGTCGAAAGATGTGGATCTTTTCTCGGGGAGATTCGATGCTAGTTGTGCGCCTGTAGAACCGATTCCTACGACTGCGTGGGGAAGGTTTTTGGATTGGTTGTTTTGAGGTGGTGGGGATATGGACAGGGGGAGAGTTAGATATATTTTTAATATTAGCATTTCGACATCGTGCACGATATTTGGCCTTTTAACAACACTTATTTATACCCAATCAATTTCTAAGTTCTATTTTTCTATTATAGCTACAAGGAAACTTTTTCATTGTTATTATTACACAGCTATTTTCTAAAATTCCTCCAGGCTACATATTCTTATACAATCACCTTATTTCTGATTCCTGATAAAATGTTATAGTATCATTGGGATTTGAACAAGGAGACCGATGGTTTAGTACAAGTTCTCTTCAGATTCTAAGCTTGGCAAGACTGATTTTCTCTTTGGCATTAGTTTCTCCATCCCGGGGGAGAAAGGGGAGATTGTGTTTATACAGACAGGTAAGTAAAAAAGTTAACTCACAGGGTCTATCAGGTTTATCAGGTTTATCAGGTTTTAATTTCACATCTCATTTTAGCATGTGGTAGTCTCTTTTATAAAAATGTATATATGTACATACATATATATATATCTATTAATTTTTTGTGTGTATTTTTTATTCTATAATTGTTCCAAGTATTCCAAGTGTGCATTCCATTATGAATCCCTTTCAAAAATCCTGGAAAATTAACAAAGAAAAGAAAAGAAAAGAAAAGAAATGGAAAGAACTCCTATCTCATAATAAGCTTGTTTCTAATCCTTCCAAGAGAAAACAATAACAAGAAGTAAGAAAGAAAGAAAGAAAGAAAATGACAAATGGAAAGAAAGAAGCTCAAGGTAGATTATCAGCATCATATTCTTCAACTACTTCTTCAAATACTGTATCTTCTTCTTCTTCTTCTTCTTCTTCTTCTTCTTCTTCCCATTCAAGTGCTCCGGATCGTGGTGAGATACCCACGATGGTGCGGCGAGCATGAGATATGTTGTCCTGTTCTCTTTCGTCCATCTCAACTTGCATGAATGTGCCATCGAAGAAAAAGTTTCCATTTTCATTTTCTGGTTCCCGCTCCCGTCGCTGTTCTTCCGCGAGTGCTATAATTCTTTCCCTTCGATCGTGCATTTCGCGAACTATCTCAGAGGCATGTTCCGCGCTTTGTCTAACCATTGTCAATTCGGCTGGTGTGAGCCAGGTATTGCTCTCTATTCGATTGGATAGGAGGCGCATCGCCGGGAGGATAAATGGTGATGCGGAATAGTATTGATCGGGAAGACCTCGCATGAGGGTGTTGGATAATAGAAGCAAATGTCCAAATTCTGCGAGGGATTGCTGAAGACTTTCTCTGATTGATGTGTTGTGATATTCCTCATCATCGAGTCCATCGTTGGGAGAAGAATCATCGGCTCTGCCTGTGAGAGCCCGGAACGTGCGTGCAGCGGCGGTGTTCCGTGTGACGTTGAAGAGCGTGTGTTGTCCTGGGGATATCTGTGCTAAGTAGTCTCGATAACCATCAAGAAGACGATACCAGCGTTCAAAAGATGGCCTGACTGTTTCCATAGCGTTATCGTACTGGACCACCCACTGGCGGAAAGTGACGCGTTCGGGCATGTTTGGTGTGACCCCGGCGAGAGTATCACCTCGCAAGAAGCGGGCGCTTGGGTCGAATTCGAAGGTCTCTTCGTCGAGAATGTTTTCAAGGATGACCGCTCCGAGAAATTCATCGACCATCTCATCAAATCCTCCCCGGGTCATATCATCCACATATTCATTGATCTCCCCACGAACTACGTCTTCGGTGATGAACTGATCTGGAATTTCACTGGCCCACTCTTTAAATGTTGGACCGAGGTTTTGTGCCTCGATGACCAATTCTAATGCATGGTCAAAGTGTGCTAACTTGCCGATTTCGTGGAGAGAGTATTGTTTGTCCGACTCAGTCATGGTTCTGACACCAGAATCAATTTCGGCTTGTAGCCTGAAAGATTCATCCATCATCTTTTCCTGCATAACAACCACCGTGACTGCTCTTTCGGCTGCTGGACTCAATTGTTCTTTGACTTTCAAGCATTCTTCCTTAATTAGTTCGGCACGGTGCGAGAGATTATGTCTGCGTTCGGCAATCAATCTTTCGTGCATGTTAGTAAACCCAACACAATAAGGATGAAGCCTCTCACCTTTATTGTAAAGTTCGATATACCTATTAGAAATCACGTCATCAGTGAATGGAAGTGGCCGTTCCAATCGCATCCATTCGAGGATAGCCTTGGCTTGTCCATAATGAAGGGGGATGTTTCGTGATTCTTCCTCGACTCGTCGTTTTTCCTTACGCTTGCAATCCTTGCAAGCTCTGATTCGACGATGTCGTCCGCGAATGGCGTGCGTGGCAGTTTCCCTGAAGACCTCGGGGAATTGGTCGCATTTGGAAGCGTACCTGATGATCTCAACGCGACATTTTTTGCAAAACGATCGGTTTGCGAAACACATCCTGAGTGATTATTTGTTCTGACAGAGTTAAAAGTCTGGCTACTAATTCTGAAATGTTGTAATCTAGATAAGTTGTTTGTGTATGTGCTTACTTAACGAGAAAAAAAAGGGGCTCAATCTGAACCAACTTTTCGGCTCTTATAGCAATAACAATAGCATTGTACTTCTACTGTGGTGTCAACCTCTTTGTTTGAACGATAGAGAAAAATTCCATCTGCTTCTTTGTTAAACCAGTGAGGCATCGCCCCACGACTCTGAACAACGTTGTTTCTCGTAACTACTCAAAATATAGTTGTGATCTGGTCGGTTTTTATGTTAGCCATATCTCCAATAGCTGTGGACAGTTGTACAGAACCTGTACTTGGCATTGTTATTTCCGTGCCAGCGATAGCTATGATACTAATACCGAAATACACACCATTGGCACTAACTTAGGGGATGGTCAAGCGCTGTGGCCTTATATCCAATAATATTTCTCCTCTCCATAGAATTTTTCTTACATCAATGTGCGACTATCATCGTGAAGAGACGTAGCAACAGCCAGCTTCAATGTTGTTAACCAAAATGTGGAACATAAGAAATGCGTCAAAAGACAAAACACATTGTGAAGAATATTCGGGAGCTCAGGCGTTTGGCAAGCGAACATCTTTAATACCCCCTTTAAAGTGAGGTTCGATTTTAAATCGAAGTTCAAGCTTCACTTGAAGTTTGAAGTCAAGTCAAAGCAAAATCCATGTCTCCCATAGCAACAAGGCCGTCCAATCATTCAACGATTATCACCCCAAGTATTCATCCGAGCCTCCTCCCTCTAAATTCACTTTCCCTACACACTAGCCACTCATCGGCTTTTAAAAGAAAAATGATTCAATTTACCTTTCTTCAATAACCGTATTCAAAATCCTATCCTCTCATATAAATTCGCTTTATTCATCACCATCTTCAGAGTCACATATTGAACTTTCAATCCAATAACAATAACAAAAACAAACCTTTAAATCTTTATTTCCTGCAGTTTTACCTTTAATTTTTTCCCCTACTTCGACTTCGATTAGAAAGATATTTCAACTCCCACAATAATAAATAAGACATAGCTCCCGAACTCTCAAATCACCTCAGCCACAATATCTACACGACCAAAACCAAGCACTAGCGTCCCAAAACAAACGCTCCAACAGAACGACCAACCACAAAAAATGTGCAATACAACTCACACGCATTACGCCTGTTTCTGCATCGCTCTAGTCGTTCATTCCTGCGCTTACAACTATCCGCACGGTCGTCTCGTTTGTCCTCCACCATATTTAAAAAAGAAACATATATATGTCTATGCAGATTGTGATGATTGTTTGATAGCGGCTGAGGAGAGGAATGTTAATTTTGCGAAGAAGGCTAGTAGAGCATGGATGAGGACGGGTGAGCGGGAAATGAATAATGGTGAGGAGAGAGAGGGTGAAAATGGAGACGGAAATGAGGATGAGGAGGGGGAGAGCGTGGAGGAGGTACGTTTGGAGTGTGAGGAAGGCGGAGATGAGGCTGGGGAGGGAGAGATTTATGATATGGACAGGGAAACACGATACAACGTGACGAAAACGAGAAAGAAGCACCAACATTCAAAAACAAACGAGGACAAAAACTCAGACGAAGACGCACAACTATCAGCCGCACAACTAGCCGGATGCCAATTCGAAATCGAAGAATCCGAGAACTCTCCCGACGAAAACGATGATATGGCAGCAGCAGCACAGTTACTATCAGCACTTCGTCAAGAACTTGGAGATACTGATATGATTATCCAAAGCGGAGATGTAGAAAATGAAAATGAAGGTGGGGGTGAGGATGAGGATGAGGATGAGGATGGGGATAAGGATAAAGAGTACAAAGAATATAAGGAGCATGTACAGACGATTCTGGAGAATTTGGGGAAGCTGAGGGATGAGAGGAATACGCACATGAAGTAGTCCGTTGATGATGGATATTGAGTAGGAAGGAAACGCTTGGTTAGAAGTTTTGAGCAAGATGGCTGGTCAAGTTTGAGTGCTGATAAGCGGTGTGATTTTGATTTGTCGTTGAAATTGGATTGTAGTTGGTGTATTTAAGTTCATGCACTTGCATGGAAAACAATTAGAGGTAATGAAAAGCCAATCAATGGGTTTCTCCAATTATTCGTTGCATTTTTGTCCCGCCTCGAAATTTAATGGTCGTCGTTGTCGTTCTCGTAAAGCATTTTTGCTTTCATGCCGTCTAATCATCCTATTTCACCCGTCATTCGACTATTTGAACCAACGTGGCATAGAAAAGCTAACATCTTACAAGTGACAACAATGGCTCATATACAAAAACAACGTGAATTTCGACTGCTAAAGGGGAATCTTACATCATGCTATGAACAGCCTCATCTAAATAATTTGCAAGCGATGCACCAACCAGTCTAATTTTGACGCCAGTCCAAATCCACAGCGCTCAATTCCCAGTCCATAAATACAATTAACATAGTGAAATCATTAATGCGAAATATTCCATGTTAGCCCTTGGCTTAATTCCGATTGATACTATCCAACTCCGGAAAATACTGTGCTAGCTTGTTTCTACTGTCAGAATTCCTTGTGAGCTCTGGTGTATCAGGTGTGTCCATGTAATCAATCCCTGAAGTTCCACTTGATACCATGGAATCCATACTACCGGCTGGGATTTGTACCAGCGCAGGCACAGGTGCAGTCGTACGTTTTTTCTTCGTGTTTCCCTGCTCCCCAGATTTGTAGGAAGTTATGGCAGGACGGGAGGGTGCTGGAATGGCTTGCCGAATGTCCGAGATTGCTGGTGTATACGATGTGTTGTTCAATATGTTGGGATTATAGTTTTCTCTCGGTGACAGCATAGCTGACGATGGATTGAGTGATTTGGCGAGTGACTGATGTACTGACATAGGTGTGGTGGGAGTTGATGTTGTAGCTGGCGTTGATTTTTCGTTGGTGACGAGGCCCTTGTCGGTAACAAATTGGGAGGATCGTGAATGATACGGATTGTGGTTATAGTATTCATCAATGATCGGATGTACCATAACAGTCTGCTTGTGAATTGTCAAAATGGAATTAGTCGGAACCGTCACCCAGCTTTCTGTAAATGTATTAGCAACGTTTTGTCCACGTGGCATGCAAGAATAATGATGCCAAACAAGCGAGGAAATGAGGAATGTGCTGAACTTCGAAGAGGGGCTCTCTCGAAACAAGCGAGAAAAGTATGGAGAGCTAAAAACGCTAGCCACCTCGCGAATCTATCGACATGCGACAACACATGGGGCATTGGAACCTCGCCTGAGTTTCGCCTATCTGCTGACGTGCAACATAAAGAAGATTTTCCAGTTCTAGGTTCTCGTTTAAGAATTTTCATGGGACTCGCGGGAATATCTAGCGTCTATTGTCTCGGCCCTTGGCAAGATGAAGGGGCGGCGAATGAAATGCACGAAGGTAAGAAATAAGGGGAAATAATTACCTCTCTCAAATGTTAAAGGTTCGCTTGCAACGAGAACGATATCAGCGCCCTTGTCTCGACGATCCATTTGGTACTCGCCCTTATTACCTTTGTCCTTCCATGTAGTACCGGAAGAGTAATAGAGACTGGCTGCCTCATCGGTCTTGCTACTGACATAACGGGTACAGACAACACTATGGCCATCAGCAATTGCAAAATTCAACAAACTCCGGATGTCCAGATTTTCTTCCTCGATTGTCTTCTCCGGGATCGCTGCAATAAAATCGTTAATCTGTTTGATGGTAGCCAGCATGGCATGCCTCAGAACAGTTGGGCCAAATCCTTGAGCCGGTGGAGCACTAGGATTGTGACCCATTCTCTCAAGTGTGTCCAGATATAAAGCGAATGCCCATTCACTGTCGGTACCTCCATGAACACCAAGATACCATTTATCGGCCAGTCTTTCGCCCAGGCGTCTTTTTATATGTTTCCAACCACCTAATCCACCATTATGCATCCATAGTAAACTTCCATGAGAGAAGGGATGACAGTTGTCGTCGCTAAGGGAACCCTCGGTTGTAGCTCGCACATGTGCGAATATAAGCGGTGAAGCGGTCTTTGAGGCAATTCGTTGAAGGTTGATACAATTCCATGCAGGAATGGTAGATGTGAAGATACATGGCTCTGGTCCAAGCTCAGGTTCTGTGTAATAACCAATTCCAAATCCATCACCTGCAAAACTGTATTAGTCACCGTGTCCTCAGATGTAGGAATACCAGAGACTACTAACCATTGTGAGGTCTTCTCATGTCTAATCGAAGACGTGAGTCGAAAGATTGATTGAGGATTGAGTGAGTAGGATCCAAGATGATTTTGGACAGTAAAATAGCATCTGAGCCTTTATATACCTTACTATCATTAGTATTCTGTTGCAAATCAAAACTCGAAGCGCTTGACTCACCAGAAAGCGGCACATCTTTCCTCTGCTGAAATTCACAATTTTGCGCTTAACTGCTATTGGAAGTTCCCCTCGAAATTGAAATGTATGTGAATGGGTATTCACTTTGTCGTACTTATAGCTAACGATTTGAGAGAGTGTTGGAACCTTTTTGCTATTTGAAGGGAGAAGCCGCGAGGCTGAAGGTAAATCAACGGTATGGCGTAATTTGTTGGGTGCCGAGACATAAATTAAAGATCAAAGCCCAACGGATAAAACAAATTCGATAGGTTGGAAAATGTTGAAGAGAAAGTATTTGGGTTATTGATACAATAGATTCAGGAGAATTTATGGTCAGGCTATATGATATATGTATGTGTATGTATGTGTATAGATACAAGGGGGAAGGGCAAACAAAATGATGTATTTATTGTGGAGTTGTTATCGTCAGACAGTCTGGATAGCCTCATGATCAAGGCTGGATGTTATGGATATTATGGATATATTTTGGTGTTCTTCTTTTCAAGATTTCAAGGGTCCATCAGATTGTCTCCAAGGTTCCTCAGCCGCCCGCCAAAATGAAGTTTATCAAGCCACAATCCATAGTCCACTAGCCACAGATAATGCACGCCACCTCTGATTCGACCTTTATTCATGCAAGACATGTGGAATTCAAACCACCCAAATACTTAAGTGGACAACAAAACCAGCAGAATGAAATTTATTGCTTCATGATTTTACAATCTTTGGAAGGATTGATACAACCTTAGGTCCGCCCAGTATGAGTGGGAGGCTCTTATCAGCGAGGCTTCTGCCCGCGGCCCAACGTATCAGCTCACAGTCTGCCAGACATTTCCATCACAAGGCGGTATCAACCGCTGGCGGTCTTCTTAGATCAGAATCTGCCGTTCGTATTGCAAGAGGAAGGATATGGCCAGCTGGACATACAAGATTCTCGAATGCTGTAGTTGTTCGAAATGCTTCATTTGTTCGCATTCTGCCAAACATATTGTTAAAGTTTGCAAGAATACCTGCACTTTTCGCTGGAGTGACTGTCGGTGGTCTAGCATATATTCAATACCAGGCTACTCGTTAGTTTCCTCGTTCCCTTATCTGAAGATAGTACTAATTTTACATATCTGCAGAGGCTGGTAATTACGTTGCAGACATCTTTAGTCAAACGACGAATACTGTGTCTGGCGTAGCAGGCGGTTTGTTCGGCAGCGCAAAAGATATCGCGAGTCAAACACGACAAGGGTGGGAAAAAACAAAGGAGTCTGTTGAGTTACCAGAATGGATGCAAAAAGTATTACGGATTCATGAGGAGATTGGGGAAGGAAATGGTGGAGGTGGGGGCGGGGGCCCTGGAGGGGAACCGCCTAAACAAAGTAGAGTGGGAGCTGCCGCTGCAGGAGGAAGTGCTGCCGCGTATGGATACGACCAATATGCGGAAGACGACAGGACTCCAGCAGTTGCTGCCCGGGATGATCAAATGATGGTTTTGACTAAGAAAATGATTGAGATCAGAAGCATATTGCAAACTGTGGGGCAGTCGAACGCCCTTACTTTGCCCTCGATCGTTGTTATAGGTTCGCAATCATCGGGAAAAAGCTCTGTACTAGAGGCAATCGTTGGACATGAGTTCCTACCGAAGGGTTCGAATATGGTTACACGACGACCGATAGAGTTGACCCTCGTCAACACCCCTGATTCACAAGCGGAATATGGAGAGTTTCCTGCTCTTGGCCTGGGAAAGATTACTGATTTCTCACACATCCAGAGGACGTTGACGGAATTGAACTTGGCTGTTCCTGATACGGAATGTGTTTCTGATGATCCAATCCAATTGACCATCTCGTCACCCCATGTTCCCGACTTGTCCCTCATCGATCTACCAGGGTATATTCAAGTTGTTGGTGAAAATCAGCCTTTGGAATTGAAGCAAAAAATCTCCGATTTGTGCGACAAGTATATTCAGCCTCCTAATGTCATTCTTGCAATTTCTGCTGCAGACGTGGATTTAGCCAATTCCACAGCTTTGAGGGCAAGCCGACGAGTTGACCCACGAGGTGAACGTACAATCGGTGTTGTTACAAAGATGGACCTTGTCGACCCTGCCAGAGGAGCCGCCATCCTCAATGACAGAAAATACCCCTTAAGGCTCGGTTATGTCGGTGTTGTATCACGAGCACCGCAGCAATCACAAACCAGATCATTGTTCAAAGCAGGAAGCGAAAGTATCTCGGAAGCTATCATAAAAAATGAACATGCATTCTTCTCGTCTCACCCAATGGAGTATGGGCCCGATGCCGGATTAAATGTTGGCACGACAACTCTCCGTAAAAAACTTATGCATGTACTCGAACAAACCATGGCGGCGAGCCTTCAAACTACTAGTGATGCTATTCATCAAGACCTTGAGGAGGCTACTTATGAGTTTAAGGTCCAATACAATGACCGCCCTCTGTCTGCAGAATCTTACCTCGCCGAGAGTCTTGATGCGTTTAAACATTCTTTCAAAGAATTTGCTGAAACTTTTGGGAGGCCACAAGTCCGCGAAATGCTAAAAGAAGAGCTTGATCAACGGGTATTAGATCTCTTAGCAGCTCGTTACTGGAACAGACCTATCCAGGATCTTTCACCCTCACCACCAGAACCCAACTCACTTGCTGAGCTCCCAACCGCTGATCCTGACTCCCTCTTCTGGCACCGTAAACTTGATGCCTCTACTTCCGCCCTCACCAAACTTGGTATCGGTCGTCTTGCAACTCAAGTCGTGGCCAATGCAATCCAAGCTCATATTGACCGTCTCATATCTCAATCAACCTTTGCGACCCATCCATTCGCTCGCCAAGCTATCACCGATGCTGCAGCTGGCATCTTGAATGAAAGGTTCTACAGTACGAGTGATCAAGTTGAGAATTGTATCAAACCATATAAGTTCGAGATTGATGTTGAAGATAGCGAATGGTCACGAGGTCGAGAGAATGTCACCTCTGTGTTGAAGAATGAGCTCAAAGCTTGTGAAGATGCGTCAAAGAACTTGGAGCAACATGTTGGTGGAAGAAAGAAGCTGAGAGATGTCATGAGCTTTGTGGACAAAGCTAGAAAGGGCGAGATAATTGTTGATGGCGATGCCAGTGGTGCCGGTGGATTCAGTTCCGCGTTATTGCAAAAAGGTATGCTCGCATCTTTCTCTTATGCCCGTTTTTATATCAGACACTAACAGGCCCACCAGGCCGTGAAGCAGTCTTCCTCCGCGACCGGGCCGCCCTTCTGGCCATGCGTCTCAAGGCTCTCAAATCAAGCCAATGCGCCTCCCTCAAAAACAAATATTACTGCCCTGAAGTCTTCCTTGACGTCGTCGCCACTAAACTCACCTCTACGGCCGTTCTCTTCCTAAACGTCGAACTTCTCTCCGAGTTCTTCTATCAGTTCCCTAGAGAATTGGACCAGAGATTAGGAAGAGGATTAACCAAAGAAGAAGTGGAGAGATTTGCAAGAGAGGATAAGAAAGTTGAGAGACATCTAGAGGTTATTAGGAGAAAGGAGTTATTGGAGTTAGTATTAGGAAAGATGGAGGGCCTGAGAGATTTGCGCGAGTTAGATAATGGGGAAGCTAGGAGGCCACAGAGAGGAGCGAAGAACGGAAGAGGCAGTCATGGAAAAGAAGGGGTAAGAGGACCGGGCGGAAAAGAAAACGGAAGGGGTGGATGGAGTTTGTTTTAGTCGTTAGAAACTTTTGGGCCTTAAATGGAGCGGGAGGTTGGATTGATGAACAATTACAAGCAAGCAAGCGAGCGAGAGTAAACAATTATGATTTCGGCGTTAAGGAATGATTGAAGAGGAATAGTACGAAAATATTGTATATCCTTTTTTGGCTGGTCACACCGTGGTGGTAGCATTGAAGAGATATTATTTTAACCCACTCTACATGATGAATGCAACGATTTTCTTTTTGTGATAGATATTATATTCGTATTTGCGTCTACGTGAATTTTCGTTGCGCATTCATATTGAGATTTGAGTTTGAAGTGGTAGATGAACTTGGATATCTCATTTCATGATTCAGGCTCTTGTGAGGCAAGGATGAGTTTCAAAAGATACTGCTGGATGGATTCAGGTGGTTGTATATGTGATGTGCATATCATATGCTATATGCACTGTAGATCGATTGATTCTTCTCTTTCAGTAATTCCCCAATGCGCCTTACTAGCCTATGGTAGCGAAATTTAATACATATGCATTGACGCCCGTCAGATTTCCCGCCTGACCAATACCATAACCATAGAATCGTACAAGAAATATAAAACATATCAGTGCCCGAACCAATAAGCTCATTTCCCATCAACGATCAATTGTGTCGTGACTTCCCATTTCATCCCTGCACCTTTTCCATATCCTCCACCGAGTCTATTCCTAACCAATGTCTTGATTCTCTCTCTTAATTTCAATACACTTCCCTCGTCTCCCCTGACTCTTAATTTCAGATTCGCCATACATAATCCATAGTGTACTTGCCAGAACCTCGCTTCTTCAACCGTGGATACAGATGGTTCGGATTCGATCTCCTTCATGACCTCTGAAACTCCAGCGCCGGAATAGGACATCAAAAGCATGAGGCCCTGGGCGGTAGCTAGACGGATTCCAAGGAGGAACATGGAAAGAGCAATGGCAGTACAGAGGAGACGATCGAGCCAGATATAGAGGGAGATTGTTAAAAGAGGGAGGAGAAGCATGATGGTGCTGCAGCTAAGAGTTAGGAAATGAGAGGGATTTGAGAGGACGGACGGGAGAAATGATATGTAGGCAAAACGCATTGCTTTGCCTATTCGTGCGTGGTTTTTGAGTCCGATTGCTGAGACAAGAGTTGCTACTATTGAGAGTAACGCAGCGGAATCAACAGAGCCGGGGCTAACTCGTTGATGAGAATGGGGATGATGAGGAGCATGGTCGCCTAATCCTTCCAAGACGTGTTTTAAATTGTGGGATATGAGATCAAACCCCATGAAGAGGAGAAAAACGGACATGGCAAATCCTGCTAGTACTTCTGCGCGTTCGAGTCCGAATGGATGACGGATGGAGGAGCGTTTCCATACTTCGAAATTGCAGAATACATCCACCACGACACAAATTGTTGCTGATACGGCATCGAAGAATATAAGATGGGATAGAGCCGTGAGAGCAAGAGAGCCTTGCGCGCTGTAAAGAACGAAAGCGGATATTAGGGCGTGGCAGAGACACCAGGCTATTCGAGTAGTTTGTTCTTTGGACATGCTTTTCCATGCTTCTTTGAATGTGGGAATGGGCAGGGAAGCTGGAAGGGCGAGAGGTGCTCTAGGCGGCGGTTCGAGGAAGATTTGATGTTGAGTCGAGACACTACTATGTTTGTATCTATGACCTCTTCGCTGGCCAATGTTCTGGTGCATTGTGTTAGTTATGGGTATAATATGATCATTTGAGATTCGCGTACAGATTTGGCAATTGGCGCATCTTTTATAGTTTGCGTCTGAAAGTTAAAAGGATTCGCATCTCCTCTGGTAGGTGGAACACTCATCATTCCATCCGGTTGCAGGTTTGGACTCGAGAAACCTGAAGGAGGAGACATCGGGGTACGCATTGAACCAAATCGACCTGTGCTTGAAATTGCAGGCGAAAGAGCATTTGGATCCAAAAGAATCTCTGAATGCACGGTTCGTGAAGTGTCATTATGATTATCCCATGCAAAGCTGCCTTGCTGTTGTGGAATAGGAGTGGGTGGAGTGGGTGTCCTCGGAGGTGCTGGAATAGGAAGGCTCGCGGCCATAGTTTGATATCTAGTTGATATCTAGTAATTTTGAGGTTTCATGAAAACACGGTTCATTAATTGGTCGTGAATATCCTCAAATCTTTTATTATTATGCGCAATTGTCACGAAACGTTTCGTAATTCGTTATGTTAGAATTGGTTGTGATATATAAATGGATCTGTAATTTACTTACTTCCCCTTTTGGATTTTTAGACCAGGGGAAATGTTTCACCGCCCAGGTATTATGCGGTTTGTTGGATTATGTAAGCGAGATTTTACCTCATTTCAACCTCATTTGGCATGAAGAAAGCTCTAGACCCAACAGACCCCATAGCCAAAGCTTTCTCCATCAAAACCATCAAAAATGGATTGATTGAACACATCCTTAATGTTCTTCAACACAAAAGTTCCTCGGATTCCGGATCGTTAGACGTACGGAAGTATCATATACCTGATATTTGGATCATCATCGATATCTGAGGCTTTCATTCACTGCACACAAAACATCTAGTTTTCTTAGGTGCTTCGCTGAACAACTGTTGTACGAGCAACGAATTCGGCCTGGGCAAGTTGCTTCTTTGAAGAGTTCCTTTGGAATATCTCAAGACGAGTCTGCATTTTCCAAGTTGCAAAAACACGTGTCCTTCGACGATCAGAGAAGTGTGGTCGAGCTTTTTGGTCCTTGACATTTTCCGTACAGGCTTGGTATTACAAGCGCTATACACACCTTCTCGAACATGAGTTCGTCTTCGTAACGTCTGTTCCAAGAATACTACGAAATCATGGAGAAGGAGGTGGGTTCAAACGGTATTTCACATGACTATTCTGGAGAACTAGTCCACGAACCTGAAGAAATTCAATCCGAAACCAGATCCGGGAACCACAGAAGGACACTATCTGGAAGCATTATGTCCAAACTATCGTTCTTATCGGGGCCTCGCAGTCAGCAGTCTCCGCCTCGCGATGAACCGATATCACCAAAGAGATCAACTAGTAGAGCTATGGCTGTTGCAGTTCAGCAGCAAAAGACCAGGAGGAGGAAAGGTTCATTGAGGAAGGCCGCATTACTTGGTCGAGGGGCACAACGAGATCGAAAAGAGTCCAAAATAATTCCTCAGGACACCAATCAGCACAGCCAATACTCCAGCAATGCACTGCTAAGTCCTACCTCACCTGAAAATATTCGGCCTGTCAGTGGTCTTGGCTTGGGAATATCTGACGAAACTCCTCGGCCTTCCATGGAAGGTCTGGCCAATCGTAGTAATAACACCTTACTACTACCTATCAAAACCCTTCCCATGGGGGCTAATGACCATATCGTCACATCACCAACAACGGCTACAAGTCCTACTTTAACCTATGCATCCACTACGGATGAAGAAGACTTGCTCAGTATTCCATCACACAGCCTGCCAGCTGCAGCTCGTATGCCAACTCCGTCGTCTAGTTCAGATTCATACTTTCCGCTCAGCGCTGGCTCAGTAGTTCGTCGGCGACTGTCTCAGAAGCAAAAATCCCCACTATCCATTGGTGGATTGGCCGCAAGTCCACTTCCTCTACCAGATGCAGAATGGGATTACTCGGAAACTGAATGGTGGGGTTGGGTTATACTGATTGTAACATGGATTGTGTTTGTTACTGGGATGGGTTCATGTTTAGGGGTGTGGAGTTGGGCTTGGGATGTTGGAGAAACTCCTTATGCTCCTCCTGAGCTGGAGGATGATCCAACATTACCAATTGTGGGTTATTATCCTGCATTGATTATTTTGACGACAGTAATGGCTTGGGTTTGGGTAGTTGTTGCTTGGGTTGGTATGAAATACTTTCGGCATGCGAAGATTAGTGGGGATTGAAAATGCCATATTTAATGATAATGTTAATTTACAAATGAAGTCACACTTCCAAGGTTTTTATGGAAGTCTTATAGGTTATTCTTGGTCATTTGAACGTTGACCTCCCAAGTCAACAAGCGTTAATGACTATTTTCAACGTGCAATAAAATGAGATCGTCATGGCGATGATTGAGCAGACTCAATACTTCGCTTTCTTCTTCCGACGACTCCCGCTAAATGTAGAAGAAATGAGGTGATTTCTACAAACTGAAGGGCTCAGCATTACCAACCATGATTGACAAGATCACCCAAACTACGAAGTCATCCTGCGCATTGCTCTGCTTCAATGGAGTGGGTACACTCGCTGGTGGTCGTAGGCTGGCCCTATAAATACAAAGAAAAGCTAGCTTACCATTGAATTAGTAAATGTGGGATTGGCTCCTTATTTGCTGAAGCCCCAGGACCAAACAGTATATATACATACCTAGATACGAGGTCTGGTGTGACTGCCCTTGGATGGGTGGTGCCTCTCATCGACGCAAAGGATGCATTTATTGATCGTTTGCGGAAGAAGGGATACTCTTTTTCGCTTACGATCGAAATGAGATGTGTCGCGCTATGAAGACTGTGGAATATTGTTATTACATGCCGGCCAAGAGCTGAAGAGGATGCAAGCTTACTGTGACATAATTTCGACGATGGTATGGAAAGGCCATGGTCACTCAAGTACTTGAGACGAGGACGCTGAAGAGAAGAGGATATCACTAATCTAATAGCAAGAAAGGGCAAAAGCTACGACATATTAGTAGTTGAGATGTAAGGTTAGAATCTTTGAATAGGATTCGTATCTATGATGATATAACGCTCGATGTTTCTTTTGATAAAAGATCTGATTGTATGATTATATACATATAGTTCAGAATGCAAAGCTATTCAAAGACGAAGTCTATCCATCTAATGTAGTAAAGCTGACGTGCACAATTCTACAATGAAGTTGGTCCTGCTTGCATAATTTGCATAATTATATGCCAAGGCGGTGAGACTTAGCGTCAATCATAATGGTCCGAGCTCGAAAAAAAGATTCCCGCATCAAAAAATAATTCTCGAATTTCAGAAGCTCAAAAACCAACACTGCTTAATTCCCAATTGAGAGTGCACAACACAGTCAAAATGGTTACCAAAAGTAAATTGAAGATGGCGCTTGCAGCCGATAAGAAAGTCGATTTTTCGAAATTACATCAGAAGAAACAAGCTAAGCTTGCGAGGAAGGGAAAGGCCGTGAACGGAGAGGAGAAGAGCTCGGAGAAGGGAAAAGTTGAGCAGGAATGGGAAGATGTTGAGGAAAAGAGTGGAGATGAGGAAGAGGAGGAGGAGGAGGATGATGCTGAAGAAGGTGGTAGTGAGGATGAGGAGGAAGAGGAAGAAGGAAATGGTCCCACTGAGGTACTTGCGCTTTCGAAACTAGTGTTTACCAGTACTAATCAGCAAGCAGATTGACTTCGCAGCAATCGACGAAAGTGACAGTGATTCTTCGGTTGGCGGGGATGAGGGAGATGAAGAAGAAGACGATGAAGACGATGAAGATATTCCTATGTCCGATCTCGAAGATCTTGATGACGAAGAAAGAGAAGATATGATCCCTCATCAACGTCTCACCATAAACAACACAATCGCTCTTACCGCAGCCCTCAAACGTATTTCTCTTCCCGTCGCCACTCTCCCATTCTCTGAGCATCAATCTGTTACCTCTGATAAACCCACGGAAATCGAAGATGTCTCTGATGACTTGAAACGGGAGTTGGCATTTTATTCGCAATCGCTTGAGGCTGTGAAGTCTGCGCGATTACTGTTGAAGGCTGAAGGTGTACTATTTACTAGACCTACCGATTATTTTGCAGAGATGGTCAAGGCCGACGAACATATGGAGAAGATCAAGAGGAAGTTAATCGATGAAGCTGCTGGAAAGAAGGCATCTGCAGACGCCAGGAAACAGAGAGATTTGAAGAAGTTCGGAAAGCAAGTTCAAGTCGCTAAATTACAAGAGAGAGATAAAGAAAGGAAACAAACTTTGGATAAGATTAAGACTTTGAAGAGAAGTATGCTACAGCTCATTTTCAAAGTAGTTTAATAAACATTTTACTAACATACAACAGAACGTCAAGGCGCCGACAATGAAAATACAAATGAAGCAGATCTCTTCGACGTAGCTCTCGAAGAAGAAACCAAATCCACAGGAGGCCGAAATGATCGCAAGGGCGGACCAAACAAGAGACAAAAGAAAGATGAGAAGTTTGGGCACGGCGGTAAGAAGAGGTTTAAGAAGAGTGGTGATGCGATTAGTAGTGGAGATTTAAGTGGATTCTCGGTCAAGAAGATGAAGGGAGGTGGCGCTAAAGGTGGCGCGAAGTCTAGACCAGGAAAAGCGAGGAGAGCGGGTGGAAAGAGATAGTGTGTTAATTTGAGGGGAAAAGTATCTATGGGATAATTTGAGAAAGGCGTTTTGGGGGCATATTCAATTGTCCGGGAAGATGTGGAACATTGTGAGGGAGGGAGAAGAGAAGAGTTGTAGAATACCATGAATGTCTTTGTCTTCATTACATTTTTTTTCATACTAGTGATGAGCATTAGTTTCATCTCTTGATGCCTATGGTCGGCATTCGCAGTTCAATCAGCTATTGAAAGCAGACATCGAACTTGGGTGAGGATTATTGTGTGAAGATTCTTAGCCGAAGTTGGCAAACAAATACATATGCCCTGTTTCTATGAACATTATACACACTTCTATCTTTTTACATTTTTTTGCCTCTTCTCAACTGTATTCAATATTTCTCTTCTCCTGAATTGTTTCTCAATCGTTGATGTACCAGAAACACGAATGCAATGTTTCATTTAGGGTTAAAATGGTTGGGGTTTCCATGTTTAGCATTTCATATCTGAAAGTGTTGGATTTATATAACGCCTAAGGTGGATACGGATTGATATCGAGATGTGATTTCAGTCGCAATAAAAGATTAAATGGTACCCATTTTCGCCGTTTTGATTACTTAAAGATGCAGCTAATACTCCTGTGAGAGTTTCCGTTGCAAAAGAAGAAGAAAAGATCGCTGCTCGATGTCAGTAACGTTGTATTTTCTGGTGGCTAGTGACGAGTCCTTGGGCTACGATTCAATGCATTAGTTCAACAAAGAAAAGGAAGATCAGATTCCTCTTTCCTTTTGCTTTCTTGAATATATAATATCGTATAATAGTCGGGAAAACTATCAAATGAAGATACGAATGGGCAATATGTTGGAAAAATGGATATATTTGTAAAGCGAGACTTGGAGTTGGAGATTCGTGGAGCTGGGATTGGAATAGTGGGCAGTATGGAGGGGTATTATGATATTGTTACATATTAAATAAACACCTTGGAATTTGTAAAAGTTCACAGTTCAAGCTAGGTATGTTAATGAGAAAGTCAAGAAGTGGATGATGAAGTAATGGTGTTCTGTAGCTCTTAAGCGAGCTTTGCGGATGATGGAGTATCAGATCTAGAATACGCAGTAAATAAACTTTCTGCATATGGTCGGAGGTAGGAAATTAGCTCGATATGTCAGGTGAGCTAGCTCTATCTCGCTACTACTAGCTCAGTCTATCGTTTTGTTGCATCTTAGGGAGCTGATCGTCTTGGTACTTACTCCTCGCTTCGGTTTACTAGCTTTGGTCTGTCATTTATAATTGTTATCTTTGACTTCTCATTTTGTTGTATATCTGATGATTTTGGAATTTCTGGCTTCGGTATTGCTAGCTTCGGCAACGAAAGTGCCGTGTACTAGAGACGTGCAACAATTGTCTCTTGAAGACATGGGCTAGTATGGCTAGCTTGCCGTTACTAGTAATGATAGGGGTTGTGAAGCTTGTAATAATAACAATAATACTCGGTAAATATTTTGATTAAATGAGGTTGGAATTGAGCTTGGGATGAACTTTTAGGTTAATGGATTTGATGAACTAGAAGTCTGCAAGAAAGATATAAATATGTACCATACCATACCATCCTTACACCTGCAGATTTTTAGGTACAGGGTTCTGCTCATATGAGCAAGCAATGGTATTAACCAACTGTAAATATTACACAATCGTCATCTTATGTTCTGTGTCCAATATTTGCACCAAACATGCATCCAACATACAACCAATATTATAACCAACATCGTATCCATTCTTGTATTGACTTTGCCACATACCTACCTATATTTTCTAATGACAATCACCTTTTGCTTTTTATAAGGTACTCGGTCGCGGAAAACCGCCTTTTCTGTGTAAGTAAAAATCAATTCATTTACATCTAATCAACTATAGGTGTCATTTATCATTAATATTGAACACCCACCTATATAAAATCGAATATCATTGCTTTGAAAACGAGTCGAAGTATCTACTGCGTTATAAATACTGGTGCAGCTACAATTTCAACAAAATTCCATCGTCCGTCTCGTGTTTTTGGTCGTAGGCTACACTTTCACTACTTCCATCTACTTCACACATTGTCCATTCCTCGCCAAAATGTTCCTCGAAAGAATTAACCACTTTTGAGCCAGTATATTGGTCACATTGGCAATGAGCGCACCTCGAACTCCTTTCATGTACTCTCGACCTTTTTCGCTGTCATAATTACGTGGGCCACATGGAGGGTCTGGAAATTTACATTAAAGCCAGCATTATATCCGGATGATCCAAAGGAATATCCGTACCTCATTCCAGGTATACTTTCATTCTCACACGGCTGGACTAGGTCTTAATATGCTAATTGTTACTCCAGTACTTGGTGACTATTCATCTTCACTGTATACGCTTCGACTTACTAACCGATGCTACAGGCCAAAAGCCAAAAGAAACTTCTCGCGCACGCCGGTGAAGATTTCTTCAAACAGCAACTTCAACCCGGTGGACACCTTCAACCATTATTCAACACTATCCAGATGAAAACCAGCAAAAGTATACAATGGAACCAACTATCACCAAAAACCATCATCTCAACCAAAGAAAACACCAAAAGAATCTCCCTTCTAGCATTCTGTCACGAGGTCCTTGTAAAGCCCGTATCAACCGCTGTATTTGGTAATATTCTCTATGAAGTCCAACCCAATCTCAGCGCCATCTTCCGAAAATTCGACGACAATAGCTGGAAGATGAATTATGAGTTTCCGAGATTCGTAGCGCCGGACGTTTACGATGCGAAAGATGAAATTCGTGAGGCGATGCTACGCTACATTTAGCTTCCTAGTGAGCGCAGGAGTGATGCAGCTTGGATTATTCATGCATTGGAGGATGAATTAAAAGGTGCGGGAATTAGTGAGGGAGATATAGCTTCGTTTTTCTTTGGGCCATTCTAGACGTAAGTTTCTCCTTTTTAGAGCTCTCTCCCTCCTGTAATATTCCCGTACAAAATATCAAATTTCAAAATAATGAGCATGCTAAGAACAGTAACCTTACTTATTTAGTACCATGGAAATGTATATAAACATATCTTACATTCTATTTGATTCTACTCTGCACAAATTAATTCTCACCGAGATCGAACCTGCAGTAGCCGAGCGTTTTCTACGAAACAGGGAATTAAACAAAAGTAGTTTTCGACCTTTCGGAGGTGGGATTGCTCATTGTCCTGGTCGATAGCTAGCTATGAAGGAAATACCCGTTTGTGTTGCATTATTTCTTTCTTACGCGTTTTGAGGTTGAGCTAGCTATAGATGGTGTTAGAAATGGTTGTGCGGTTCAAAGTTTTCCGAGGGTTGATACAACTATGCTTGCTTTAGGGGTATTACCACCTATGAAAGGGGAAGATGTTCTTGTTAATATTCGTTTGAAGGGAGTGAATTAGGGTAGGGGTAATCTGCTGTAGGAATGTTGTGCTGCGAGTTCTTTTCCTACTACGTACTGCAATGGGAAGTTTTGGCAGCTTGAAAGCTCATTAGGTTAATGTAGTAGTACTTTCCATTCCGAGGGACTAGTGGATATTAGTTTTATTTAGTTTAAATAATTCCAATCTACCCACATCTACAAATAATTCTATACAAATCTTATACATTATTGTCGGCTTGCTGATATCAAAATCTTGTTGTATGCGAGGTTTACTTGGTGTAGATGATAGAAAATGAGAAACTCGTTTAAATGAATCATGATCCTGATAATCTGATTGGTCTAAAATACCTTAGTAAGTAATCTAACAAAAAGCTTGGCATAGGCCTTACAACCTCAGAACTTTTTTCAACTCTATTAAAATCATTCAACTCACTCTGAAATCATTCAACTTTATTCATTCAATTCATCTCATTTATATATTCATACCTATTCCTATCCTCATTCCCATTCCCATTCACTACAACATCTCTTTATTTGTGTAGCTTCAATATCTTGTCTGATAATCTCATGCCATCTCTTTCTTATTATTTCATACACTCATGCTTTCATACATTCATTCACTATTAAAAAAATAATCACATCTATTTTTACAATCATTATAATTGATTATTCACTTCATAAACTTAATCTGGTATCCATTTTCATCTTCTGCCTACACGCCTGCCAAAAAAGCATTATGCGATATATGGTATGGTATTCATTCTCCCTTTCCTTTCCTTTTCCCTTTCTTTTCCGTCCTTTCTTTTCCTTTCCATCCCTTCATTCCTTCCTTCCTTCCTTCACCTCTATCCCCATCCCATCCTATTCCTATCATCCCATTTCGAGGCTTCAACCAATTTGCAACCTTTCAACTCCCATTCACTCTTTTCTCTTTCCGTCTTAGCCCATTCATTCCCCATCCAATGTGATATCTCTTGCGCACCATGTAAAAGATGCTAAAAAAAAAAGAAAAACTCCACGGCGCCTCTCACTTTCGCCCCAACAATATGCATCGATCCCAATCATTCCATCAAAACCATCAACACTCCCTACCATCCACTCAAAGATCCCCCAAGACGTAATCAAAGTCGTCCAACTCCCTATCCCATCACACATGAAGATCCAAATGAAAAATATTAAAGTCAAGTCGATTGAAGCTTTCCCAAGAGAAGATTAGATCGAGGAGTGGAAGAGGGATTGATATAAATGTGGCGTAATGTTGATCAAGAGGTGGTGATGATATGAATTTGAATCATCATGAACCATTTCATCCAACCCCTTCCACCATTTTAGGTTGGTGCTGAATGAAAAGGTTTCAAGAGGTAAATCGAGTTCTCAAAAAAAAAGAAAAGGTATGCCAGAAAAGGTATAACAAAAGAAATTCGTGCTCCATTCGTTGATCATTCGAATCGTATGCTATCATATTCATATTTTAATGCCGCTTGCGAATCGAATCGAGATAATCTTATTGGAGGATGTGATAAACAAGCGTAAAATGAAAAAAATTGTCGACCCAAATCAATCATCTTGATTTCGACTTTGCATGCTGCAGAGGTATCGTATTGACACCACCTATGATATTAGAAACGCCATGGAATATGCTGATGTTGCTGATATGATTTGACATAAGAAACCTCGATTGAGTTCGCTGGTGTCATAAAGACATTATCGAATTGGGTTCCCTCTCCTATTAATTTATAGCCGATAGCTACAAATAAAAAAAACGTCCGCTATTTTTTGTGAATGGTATGATCATTGAGATGCTTGAACACACCAATGTCGATGAAATACCCACGCACTCTTTTGACATTCTTTGCTGCAATATTTTGTCCTTCTACATCTTCTGCATTTTGCGAATTGTCTGGTAAATTCTTCCCACTTCCCACACTGATAATATGCGCATTGTCTGATGCCTCCTCGAGCATCATCCTTTCGGCATAAATTCCTCATAACAACTCCTGCCCAGTATTGCATATCTTGACTATGATGTCTGACTGTGAACTTTTCGACCAATGGGAAAATATTGAAATCGTCTGGAAGTAAATATTCCTCTTCTTCGTCTTCGTGAGAGTGAGAGGAGCATGCGGTTGAGGAATTAGCATTAGAAGAGAGATTTTCATCAACATCGAGTAGGTGAAGTTCGGAGCCTATTTTAAGTTTTGGAACGAGATGAGATTGTTGAAAGTAAGATCTCAAGTTGCAATATTTGGAAACGTAAGCTAAAAGTTGAAGAGACATCAAGACATCTTCATCTCTTGGCATAGCAGCCAAAACTTGTCCTTGCGGTGGTGTTGGTCTATCTAAGAAATATCTAGGGATTGTCGTAGGAGGCATGGTAGGGGGTGTATTAACGGTTGTGGGTTGAGCTGGTGAGAGACCAATTGTTGGCCCAGTTGGGGTTGTAGCGTCATTAATCATGCTGCCATCAATGGCAGATCGGTGGGTAATGTTGAATGTTCCGGCATCCTGTGCTTCGGAAACAGTGGGAGTGGTAAGACCAAGCGGTGTTTCGACGGCTGTGAGCATAGAATCGTTCTCATCCATGTTAACATCCTGAATGTTGACATTTGTAGATTGAATTTCTGCTGTGCTTACACCGGTGATATCTGGTTCACCAGATTCATCAGAGGCCATGCTATCAGCGTTCATGTCTTCTGTATCGGCAGCAGTTGAGGCTTGATGTCTAATGGATGGGCGTCTCCGTGATCGAGGTGTACCGACGGAAATTGATGTAGCCCGAACAGTAGGAGACCGGATTTGTGCAGGTAGAGGAGTTGTTGGAGATTCAGGTTGAGATGTCAGGCCGCCTTGAAATCCAGGTACCATTGATGGTAAACGGTCAACATCTCTAACAGGTCTGATGTTAAATCCATCAGCGGCATCCATAGAAGGAACTGCAGTCGCAAGTGGTTGGATATTATGGCGTGGTGACAAGAAGTGCTGCCTCCCATCTTGGTTTCTATGATGGTGATGATGTCTGTGGACGGAGAATGTGGTTCGCTCCGGAGGAGATGTAAGAGCGAATTGAGGCCCAGTTGGTGTGATATCCATGGCGTCTGAGCCAGCCGTCAATGGAGCACCCGAGAAATTAGAGGGGATATCGATAGAAGGTGGAGGTGGTTGACGTCTTGATGCTCGAAACTCGGATTCAAATCGCGATGCTCGATTGCCGAATGAAGGTCCCTTGTGTGTACTTCGATGGTCTCCTGATCGTCCGGTCTGATGTCTATGTTCAAGTAAAGCTTTCTGCTTAGCTTCTTCGGCTTTCTCTCTGCATCTGTCAACCACTTTGATGTAATTATCAAGAATTGTTGCGATAACTGGAACCATATCCGCTTCGACGACCCTGGTTCGAACATTTTCGGAGCCTCGTACACCAATATTGACAACGCATTGGAATGCCAGATTCCATTTCCACATGTCCATCATATCTTTGCTTCTCCCAGCCTTGAGAAGGCAGACCAATCTTTCGACACCTCCATCGACCGTAAGGATATCTCTAATTCTGGCGGATGAAGTGGTGAGATAGGCAAGATGATTGAGCGAATTGATCAAAGGTAGTGTTGAAGTACAATCGAGGGCTCGACGATCGTACAAAGCTGTCGTGATACCGACCGAAGCCTTATTAACATTTGGAATACTGAAATTGACTTCTCTCATATTGAAGTTAATCCGCAGACGGCGGTTAATGGAAAAAAAGGGATTATCTTTCGCTCAAAGTATTTCGGAGGCGATCCTGCCACAAGATGGGATTATATTTAAGATGTTATCGTAATACAACGATATGGTTTGATGGATTGATGGGGGTAGCTGAGCGATAGTAGGATACTTGCGGATTTCGAATGCAAGTATTCGAGAATGTTTGGTCTCTTTGTTGATGTATAATGGGATGAATGGTGTGAATTTGGACTATAAGCTGAAATCTTAAAAGGGAAGAAGATGTCGCAAGCCAGAAGTGAGACAGTAATCACTGAATCGTCATTGATAATCCAAAGTTATTGTACAAACGTCCGGAGAAATGTGTTACGTATAGAATTGAAAATGATCAAGAGACTCGACTCGAATTACTCTTTGATGGGTGATGGGTGATGAGTGATGAGTTGATGAGTGATGAGCGATGAGCGATGAGAAGTTGCGTGTATGTTTGTATGTGTGTGTGAGAGTGTGTGCGTGCGTGTGTGTGTGTGTAATGGAAGATTTTCCCTTTCGTGTGCGTGGTTTGTTGTGAATGGGCAGGTAGTTAACTGGGTTATGAATCGAGATGGTCGAGTATGGAAGCAGGAGAAGGAAAAGGTTGGTGGCCGTTGTCGCGGGTCTATTTTAACTAATCCAAGCGCTCTGGTTGACTAGACAGACTAGTAGCTGAGAAATTTGAGGGTACTGTATATAATTTGGAAATTGAACCTCTCTTTTTCTTCCCCCCCTTTTTTTTTATATATTTATTTCTTTTGATAATCAGAACTTAAATTCCAGTCCAACATCAAATTGCTTGATAAGCTGGAGACGGGAATTATTGTTCAATTCTTTCCAAAACAATGATTGATGGATTGAAAGAATGGTCGAGCTTGATGTTGTCGTACTAGTCGAAAGAGAGTTGTGCAGGTGTGAAAGAAGAGAATTAATTAGTCGTGAATCCCCTTACTACCAGGTTCGCAGAGTAGTAGGCCCAAGGAGTAAAGAAAGGAATTTCTGGATTGCTGCCGTCCCTTTGCCCGTTTGCCTTTTTTGGCCCTTGAGGAAGTATTGATTGACTCTTAGTAGGTTTTTGTCTTCCTTGAATAGATGGCGGTACCAGGAATAAACCTACTAGGTTGCTGGTAGATAGAATGAAGAATGAATTCCTTGTAACAAATCGATTTACTTTTTGCTTTGCTTTAATTGATTGACTGATTAAATTGATTGATTGATTGATTGATTGATTGCTTTATAACGAAAACGACCGTGCTTTGATTACAATTGATGATGGGGTTTCTCTCTTCAAACCTATTATGATGGACGGGTCTTTTTTCCGGGTTATAATGTGGGTTTAGATGGAATTGCGAGGTAGGCGCGCTCTAACAGATGGAGATAAATGGAGATGGAGATGGAGATGGAGGATGGAGATGGAGATGGAGATGGAGCTGATATGATGATATAAAACGACACTATGCGATAACTACTATGCTAACCATCCATGAGGCTAAATCCGAGACGAACGGTAAGAGGAAGTTTGGGAAGAAGGCTGAATGTTTTAATGATGATCGAGTATTTGGAAGAAGAAACAAAATCAAAACAAAATGGTTCAAAGGTAGGTAGGTAGGTAGGTAGGTAGATATTGATTGATTGTATTATGCTGGCTCAAATAATATAATAATAATAATAATAATAATAATAACAATAACAACAGTAGTAATCCTTTTTCATATATATGCTATACTATTCGATATCCACAAAACAGAAAAGGTATAGACACCGAGGTATATATGATATCAATGTATCTCAATTGTTGTGAATGGTGCTGTTTTGCCTGATGATAACGAGGTCGAGGAATTCGTCATATCGGATTGTCTGATTGTCTTGGAGTTGTAGTCGCAGGTAGTTCGAACTTCTACCAACTGTTGCAAGATTGATTATGTATGGAACCACTTGTGCATTGAACCTTCGGATTGTTTTTTTTTGGTGGCTTCATTTCTTGTCCTCCAGAGGACGTCCTTGGTTCTTGGCTCTTGGTATTTTTGCTAATTCTTTGCTTGATCGGCTCAATTAAATCAACCAAGATTCATCGATATTCAAGAATGGGATCCTCTTCTTTCAAACAAAAGTCTGGCTAGCTATGGCTATGGCCGAAAGGGGTCCTTATTTCCTATTCACCCTTCACTATTTTCGTGGGCGACGTTCGAGGCTGAGGCTAAGGCTAAAGCTAAAGCTAAGGCAAAGACTACGGTACGGTACGGGTACGGGGAGAAGTTTTAGAACTATCAAGGGGTGGTGATGAGTAGGTACTCTGTAGTGAACACAGCGGCTGATTTTAATACAGATAATGTACCGTGTATTGGATGTTTTATTAGATGAGCCTTGAATCTTGATGAGTTCGGGAAGAAGGGGGGCGAAGTTCTGCAAGAAGACGGATCATCTCTTTCACTAAGCTGGAACCGATTTGGTGGCGATACAAGACTACGCAGTAAAGGTATATTTGGTGGGTGATGGATGATTCTGCAACGGGATTTCGCTGCATATGGCAAAAGTATCTACCTCATCCCTATGTAGGTACAGATTAAACAATCTCGCTCTTCCCCTTGATGTTGAGACAATGAAGTATTCGGGATACCGGAGATGTAGGTAAGTAGGTACTTTTATACTTTTATACTTTTAGAATTTCTATATCAGATGTAGGCTGGACATAACGATATGAAGGATATGAGATGTAAGGATGTAAGGATACAAAGAGTTCACGCTTACGAGAAGATAAGCCAAGACATAAAAATCATTTACTTCATTGAGACAACGCATAACCTCAATCTTGAAAATAATATCCAAGGGATTATAAATAACAACAAACCACATAAACCACATGTGATTTAATCCAATCATCATTATCAATACCATCCATCCATCCATCCATCCATCCATCCATCCATCCATCATGATTTGCTTACACCGCTTCTATAAAAAGAGAAAGATATGAAATCATTTCCATCCATCCATCACGAGAACAGAACGTGTTTCAAATCAAATTCCGAGACCGAAGATTACCTACCTACTCCGTATATTCCTTCAAAAGCTACAGAAAAACCAGATATTGGATATTGATTCTTTGTAAAAGGATAGACTTACGCTTAATAAGCCAAGAAATCCATTTTTTGATATGGCATAACTCGGATGCGCAGGTATACTTGGGACTTGGGAGTTGGGAGTTGGGAGTTGGGAGTTGCCTCGAATCTACCCAGGCACATCGGCTCCGTATGTCACAACAACATCTCCACCATCCCGGTCTTTTGGATCTCCATTTCAAAACAGAATGATACTTTGAATTGTCAACATCTCATCCGGAATATTGTTGGCCCTTGAATCCATCCATCATCAAACGTCCGTCCTCAATTATGTCCCCACCACTGCTGTCAAGATTCCAAACTCTCTCTTCACCGTATCTCCACTTTAACAGAAATCCCCTTGTCGTCAAACCGCCTGTGTCACATGTCACCCACCTTACTCCTCTTTACTCTTTACTCTTTACTCTCTCGCCTCTTTTGCCATCCAGAAAGTCTATCTCGCGAATCTTCTACCCGAGAAAGCCATCCGATCGTAGTTCCCGCCGGGTCTTGAAACCTTGACGAGAGACGAGAGATAAATCACGCAGGAGGTATATTATATCAAGAACTCAAATTCCAGGTCGACAACTACAAATCTCTTCATCACACTCATTTGAGAATGGGCTCATTATTTCCTTTTCCGCATGTCGCCAATCACCATGCGTATGTGATGTTCAACCCAACTCTATTGTCCTTCGGCGCTTACACAACCTGAACACCTTCTCCTTCAAATAACCTCCAATCACAACGCAGAACTTCTTTTCCATACTCATACCTTCCATCCCACAGCTTCTTTCTAAGAAGCCTCAACTCGAAAGGTTAACCTACTTTCAAATAGCTACCTAATAAGCATTTCAAATGTCGGCAATAAGAGAGGTACGTGCCCTGCGGTCCTTCCGGCTTGAGATGAAATAAGCACCCAAAAAAGATGGAAACCGAAAAACGTGCGTGACATGCATGCACAGTATAAATTCCTTGCCTGCAATGCATCAAAGAAGTTTACAGAGTAATTATTTTGGCGTCGGATGCCGTGGCACGTGTTACAAGACATGCAAGGAGAACATGTAGGATGACTTCTGTACTTCTTCTTCTTTCACTGTTCTCGTACACCCACCGAAACTTTTCTCATAGAGTAAGAGAGCGCAATCATCTAATTACTGAAAAACAAAATTTTTGTTCTTTCCAAGTGACCCGGTGTACGGCTCGAGCTTTGCTATATTTGAAGCTTCTTGTCTTGATCTTACGGGACATGCGAGCAATGATGAAACTGAATTGGTTTGGAGATGAGGGGTAAAAAGGGGTTGTGTGGTTCCCAGCGGAAAGTTTTCGGTCCGTTGCCGTTATTGGTGTTATTGCTTTTTTTGTTGTTGGATGTGCGTGCGTTTGTGGCGGCGTTAGTTTGTTTGCTGATTTTATGGTATCCTTGATGCTCTAGTAGAGCAACCGCCATCTCCGCCGACTTCAGACATTTGATTAGCCTTTGAATGTTTTGAACTTTGGTTGGCTAGCATGAACACTTCATTTCTGATTTTTCGGGTAGTTCCCAGATTTTGGAATGTCCTGGACTTTGGTGATTATGCCGGCTCCGAATCTTTAGCTTGTTTCATCTAACCAGTTGATCCGGGTATGTGGATTGGAGAGTGTTTAGCGATCAAGTACCACTTCTGAATTCAGCGTGAGATGAAATAATAATCACCTAGCTACTGAGCCGAAGGTCCAAAGGTCTCAGCATAGTCATGTAATGCCGGGATTGTATCAACGTTATGTCCAACGGAACATTGTACGTGGATTATGGCACGTAATTACATAACATACTTGTCTCTTGCAGACCATGGCGTACAACCGTGCTCTTCTAATATACTAGAACTCAAGCTTAATATACTTGCCAAATCTGGAGCTATAAGGTTTGAAAATATGATGTTTGTTACCTGAAGCTTAAATCTTCCATCAGTGTTTAAACTCATATTTGTAGGCATAGTTGAATCCTATCCACTTGCGCTGTTGATTTGGAGGATAATAGACTTACCGCAATCGAGATAGAAGAAAAAGGGATTATAAATTATTCTAGCAATAAGTTATATTTAATGGTAGAAGTTCTAGATTTCGAAGATGATGTTTAATTGAGTAGAGAACTGGGTAGGTGAAGTATTTTGTAGTTATTTTTTTATTAGCTGTCTTCAGAGCAATTATAAAAGAATCACTCCCTGCCCTCTATCAGCCTGAAGAAAGACCTACTGAAACAAAGTTATAAATCTACAACTTATACCAACTCTGTGACGCACAATAGCCGTATAAGAGCTGAATAAACAGGGTCAATTATGTTCCTTAGAATCTACAATTGAAGAACTATAACTTGTAAAAAGCATCCATATATATATATACAAAATACCTATACAATAGTTATATAATTATGTATATTCGATCTTAAGGTCATCATATTCCCATACTAAAATGGGTAAATCTGATCCCAGATATACAAATTATCAGCTCATCGATAAATAAAAGAGTTACATAATCGTTCTTATAATTCGAGATCTATATATTAATGGGTTTTTAAATTTCACTGTCAAAATAATTACTTTATTACTTTTATGATAATAATAAATTGTTATTTTAAAAATAAATATACTCACTTAAAAATATATATCTTATTTTTATTTATTTATTAAATTAAAAAAAATTGTATTTTTTATTTATTTTATTTGATTTTAAAAATAAAGTTGTATATTTTATAATTAATTACTTTAATCTAATTTGATAAAGATTTTGAAAAATAAAAATAAAATAAATAATATAATAAATTAATATTGAAATTATTTTATATATTATCAATTTTAATAATATCAAAATTAAAGAGGTTTATATAACTTTTGATATGATTTTAATAAACGACAAATAGCTGTACGCAAGTATTATAAGTTCTCAGGGTGCTGAAGCGATATTTTCAAACTAGATTAAACATTGAAAGATTTTCTTATAAAGTTATATATATATATTGATATAGAGGATTATTATCCCCGGAGATAATATAAAATAGTAAAGACAAATTAACTATACAAGCACTTCACCCTTAACATTAACAATCCTCACCGTTTCCACCCCCTTAACCTTCCAAACCGCACTCGTCACAACACCATCAACACCCCACTCAAAATCCAGCACTCCCCCCCCTCTAAGCCTCAACCCGTGCACCTTTCCCCCAGCCCACTCCCCCGGAATAGCCGGCCCAAGAACCACCGTCCTAATACCCTCGGTCCCCCCATCCGGCAGATCCACAACCAACATCCCCAATATCGCGCCCCCAAACCCAAAATTCGCATCAATCTGAAACGGTTCATTTTTCCCAGAATACATACTCAGTCCATTCTCCGCTATGTTATTCCGAACCGCTAATCTCAACTCCGCATACGCTGTCTCTGTATCGTTTAATCGCGCCCAACAGGCTGCGCGCCACACTTTTTCCCATCCAGCGTTCGAATCGATGATGCCTACTCCGCGCGCTATAAGGGTATTGCGCACCGCGGTGGAAATGGTGGTGTTGGTGTAGCCGGAGAGATAGGATGAGAGGGAGGAACCGGGGAACCAGCCGATGAGATTGGAGAGGTGGCGATGAGTGGTGTTTTCGTAGGTAGGGAAGTAGATTTTCCATTCTTGGATTTGGGTTAGGGGGGATATGTGGAGGCCTTTGTCGAGGGTGGTGAGGGTGTTTTGGAGGCTGCTTTGAAGTGTGTTGTCTGTGCTTAGTGTGCGTGCTGCTTGGAGGGTGGTGGTGAAAACTGAGTGGATCAGTTGTTGGTAGTGTGTACAGCCGAATGTTGTCTATGAATCATGTTAGTTAAATCTGTATATCCATCACATAACCGATATCAATCAATCAATCAAGCTCTTAAAAACTTACAGGACCATGTTCAGGCGAAGAACAAGGATTAACAACCAAAGTCCCATCATTAAAATACTCATCCTTCTGAAGTTGACTAAGCCAAAACTCCGAAATGGCTTTGAGTAACGGATATCCTGTATTCTTCAACCAAGTTTCATCGCGAGAATAATCGTAATAATCAGCTACATGTTGCATTAACCATGACGCAGCAGCTGGATAATCAGCCCAATACTCATCACCCGTTTTCATACCCGTATGACCAAAAATATTTATCTCATCATGGACCACCCAGCCCGGAGCATCATATAATAATTTAGCCGTTTCCGAGCCGCGCGGTGCCCATGTTTCTGCCATGTAGCTCCATAATGCAGATTGCAAATCTCCGAGACCGGTTTGCACGGCGACCCAATGGTTCATTTGTAGATTGATGTTGGAGTGGTAGTCGCTGCCCCATGCATTCGATAATCCATATGCCCATTTACCTTGGAGATTAGGCGGGAGTGAATTTTCTCGCGATGATGATATGAATAGATATCGACTGTAGTCGAATAGGAGACTCTCTAGCCATGGATCGGTATGGCTATTTTCTGTGGTATTATATGCTGCGATCACAGTTGCTGTTTCTTTGTTTGCTGATCCAAGGGGATCAGGAAGACTTAGTGTGAAAGTGCTTATCAGGGCAGAGAAATCAGAAAGATGACTCTCCCTGAGGGTTTTGAAACTTTTCGAAGCTGCTTTTGCAGCCGTGGTGGAAACGTAGTCGCTTGGATCTTTTCCTTTGAATGAGTAATTATGTGCAGCTGTGCCTTTAGTAGCGTCGTAATTTGTACCAGCTGAGATGACTAGAGACAGAGAATATTGATTATTAGATGGTGTTATACTAAGAATACCTGTAGTATTTGAACAAGAAACCGATTTTGTCAGTTCAATGACTCGTGCCTCGGCCTTATAAATCATGCCTATGTCAGCTTGAGTAATACCACTGAATAGAGCTGATTTTGAAGACGTTGAACAAGATGACTTGACTAAAGAGCTGTCTGCTTGTAAATTGTCAAAGTGAATATCAATTCTAGGAAGTGTGGCTGTTGAATTAACTTGGTAAACGCACACACTGTCCGGGTAAGAACAAAAGACGGCGCTGGTGATTGTTAGCATTATACTAGGGGCTTAGAATAGAATTACCGACGTAGTAAAAGAAGCATTAGCAGTGCTGAAGGTAGTCGTATGAATTCCAGTATCCAGATCAAGGCTTCTTTTATAGCCAGTAGCGTCAGATATACCTTGCAAAGACACGGATAAATTTCCAAGAACCTGGAAACTTCCATAATTATCATCTGAGCCCATCAACGTAGTAACATTTCCGGTTCCATTTCGAAAGATCCAATCTCTGATACCTGGTAAGGAGGAAGCCACCGAAAAGTTTGGATTACCGCCATTGTAGCTTGCATTCTCAAAGGGCCCACCATTCCATAACGAATCTCTGTTGAGATTAAGTTTTTCTGAACCTGGCTTGCCAAAAGGTAGTGCTGTATTTTATTTAGTATATGAGAAGAATAACATGTTTAAATGCATACCAGCTAATTGACCATTTCCTACTGGATACGCTGTCCTGATAATATCCGCGAAACCTGCCGGCTGAGTGGACCAAAAACTTTTGCCCTGCACAGTAAGCGAGAGCTGTGAAAGGGAGAGGAACGTGATCCAGGAGCTCGTAGGCATTTTGAGCACCTCAGCTTACGGAAAATTCTACCTTATAATTTTTGATACATCCTATTATGGCACGCAATGCGTGGTTATATACGTTTACGGAGGACCTCGGGGGCAAATAAATGAGGGGTATATCGAAGGAACATTTAGCCGGTTCAACAACGCAACTTTAGCGGGCCTTGGTATCCACCATTTTACCGCCGAATCAAGACCGGGGAGAATCCCACAGGTGCGAAAAAACGGGTGTTGATAAATTGCGGGAAAACTTTCGGCCTAAATATGCCAGTATCGCACGGTAAATCCTGTGTAATTCGATATTAAATAACTCGATGGCGAATAGAGAATTTCTATTTCAATCGAACAATTTAGGATATAAGCAGTTCTTAATAACAGATCAACAAGTTGCCGAGATAGGGCGGGATATCAAAGTTAAACATAAGACATACAGCCAGTATTGATAGTGAATGAACCAAAACTCGCTTACCAGAAAAAGGGGAACAGTCAGACAAGAATCTGTAGTGCTTGAATGAACACTCGCTACATATCAGAAAGATCGCTACGGAGAATCCAGCTGTCAATAAAAAAGAGAATGGCAATGATTAATATCAAAATGTTTGCATCACAAAAAGCATGCAACAAGAGACGCGGCAAGCATTCTAACATCAATAGTTTTTAGGTTTTCTTGTCTACCATTCGATTCTTGGGAAGAGGTTAAGATTAAATGCAACCTTAGATTGTCGAACGATAACCGTAAATCAGCTGCTGAAGAGTGACATTAGGCAAATTAATCGAAGTATCTGTGTCGAGTAGGATGATAATGTCCCGTGGTAGATTAGATCTTCGGAAAAGGTACGAATTCCTGATATGATCTGAACTATCACATGATATATGGTGAATGTATGAGCTGGCTGGAAGAACTAGAAATGCTCGTCCGAAATAGACACGTTCAAAGCGAGAAACATGATTTCGAAACAGAAGCATGATCGCCCTGATATATGAACGCAAGATAATATACAGAACTTTAATGCTCTAGAAAACCATTTATTCGTCCAAATGCAAGAAACTCCATCCCGTGGTATCTACTTATCGCTCAAGATAACGCCAGTCTGTAAATGACATTCAAGTATCCAAATCAATAATCAGCACGTTTAATGCGAGAAGGAACTACACGACCACTAATGATCTCTTCTTCCCCACCTAGCTCCCAAACACGCTGCCACGCAGACTCTACCGTCAAAGGAGCCTCAATATCAAATCTAGAAGACGTCTCGCCATTCTCATCTTCCTCCTCTTCCTCGTAGAATTCAAGCTCAAGGTTTCGATTTTTGGGTGGTCTTCCAACACGTCCACCTCCGACGCGGCCAATTGGACGAGGTGGTGCTAATTCTCCAGTGAAGATATCCTTGACCTGTAATTTTGTAGAGCCACCAACTGAATTGGCACCGGCCCTTTCTTCGTGCTGGGGATTTCGACGAACAAGGTAAAGTCCCTCAGCACTATCCATATATTCTTGCCATTGGGCATCGGTAAGCACGTGCTTAGTGTAAGGTGGATATCGAGTACGACCTACTTCGCGAAGTCCATCGGTGAACTTTGAACCCAGAAATAGATCAGGGTGACGTTTTTCCAATGTGTCTGCAAGAAGACAGCCGATTTTATAGACAATACATTTTGCAGTACGGGGTCCGGCACTCATACCGTAGTCAGGAATCTTGGTCTTTATATAGAGCCTATTCCATAGTGACGCTAGGGTAATCTTCTTAACAGGAGTTCCATTTTCGATTTCTTCAGCAACCAAAGATAGTAGCATGTTTAAATGGTTGGTTTGTACGTCGCCACCGTCGCTAATGACAGGAGAAGGGTCTGGAATAATAGGAGAGTCGACAGTCATTGGCTCCGGTCCAGGCGGAACGTGCGTATTCGCTCTGTCATAAGCGGTCTACCAGAATTAGTTTTGCAGGAGTGAAGCACATAATAGAAATACATACAGAACATTCATTCCTGAGAAGCTGGTAGATCTCTGTATTGGACCATTTCATGCCCTTAGTCCTTCTGTCTACCAATATCTCTTCACGAAAAGCTGATAAGAGGAAGAATGCATTCGCATCCTTAGTCAAAACTTCGATGACATCGTCTTGTAACAATCCACGACCATCCTCACGAGCATACTATGATTTCAAATTAGCATTTGAATTATAAATTGATCTTGCAGAACAGTTAAAACTTACTTCCCAGCATAGTTCGACTAGGTCATCCTTACATTCTCCAGCAAGTACACGCTCGTAGTAATCGGTAACAAAATGCTTGAGTTCAGCACTTTCTACCATGGAGGTGAAGTGTGCTACGTACTTTTGCGAAGGTTTTAGTTCAATCCAAAATTTAGTTGTGGAATCTTCCACGTAGAGTATGATAGCTCCAAGTTCATCTCTCTCGTAGGAATACATTTGGAATTGAACTTGACATTGTGTACCATTTGGTCTCTTGACTATTAAAGGATTAGATGTTGATTTGAAGATGTCAATGAAAGAGACATCAGTATCAAAAACTTACATTTATATTTTTCTGCGTTTTCTACCCAAAGTGCACCCTCAGCGCGCAATTCTAGGCCAAGGACAGAATCGAAAACATTGGCAATAGTCCCATTTTTTTGATAGACAATTGTATCTTGAAGAATCAGCCTTGGTTTGTCATCGACATCCACATGATCGGCATTTTCTTCTGAAGAGTTGTTGTTTTGATTTGGAACACCATCCGGCGCGCCAAACATTGTAGATGCTAAACCATTCGTAGCTTCACTCATAGTTCTGTACCTATCAAAATATAGAAAATATTGCAACACGTGACTTAATCTGGTCTGGCGACAGTGATTCTAGCAGATTCTAATTCAGATGAAACAATTCTCTTCAGCGTATGTTTGGATAAGATTTGCTTCCTTCAAATTCAAACTTGATCAAGTTCACGCTATGGCTTCTGTTGTTTTCGATAAGATCGATCCTGATAGTCGGTCAAACTATTCTCCGGAACCGGTAAATGAGTTGTTCAAGCTCCGCTACCAATTTAAAGTTTAACCGAAGCTTATCCAGCGACAACAGGTCAAATCACATGCCGATAAGGATGCATGCTTAGCTAGTACAAGTAGCTTGCAAGCTTTCGCAAAAAAAAAGCTGGAGAACCTGATAAACTCCACTCATAATCAACAAATACCTACTACCCCCATTAATAACATAACATCAGCAGATGTCCCGACTTGCTTGGTGGACAATGACAAAAGGAAAGGTTATGGAAGGCGTTTTCGGTATGGATATATCTTTTGTCTATACAATTGATATCAACAACTAACTAAATCCCACAGCCATTAATAAACCCACCGGTCGTTCGTCCGCTCAAATTGTTCGCGATCTTCAAACTCACTTTAATCCTTCCGAATTATTTGCGCCATGGATCCAAATAGAAACCAGAGCTCGAGAAAAAGAACAACATAATCAAAGACAACGACGTAGGAAGTCAAATAAGAAAGTACAGGTCAAGATTGGTCATGGAGGAACCTTAGATCCATTGGCTACAGGAGTGCTCATTGCTGGTATTGGAAAAGGCACAAAAGAATTGGGGAATTTCCTTTTATGTACAAAGACGTATGAGACGGTTGTGTTATTTGGTGCCGCGACAGATACATATGATAAAGATGGGAAGCTCCTGAGGAGAGCACCATATGAACATATCACCCGAGAAATGGTTGAAAAGGGACTTGCTAAATACCGAGGAAAGTTTATGCAACTTCCACCATTATTTTCCGCTCTAAAGATGAACGGCAAACCTCTTTACGAATATGCGCGCGAAGGAAAGGAAATACCAAAAGAAATCGAGAGGAGACCGGTTGATGTTTCAGAACTGGAATTGCTAGAGTTCTATGAAGGTGACGAACATCAATGGAAAGCGCCAACTGAAGAAGCGGGGTATGCGGAAGTCAATGTTGCGGCTAAATTGTGGAAGCAGGAGAAGGCTGAACCGGCTACCAATGGAAAGGATGTAGAGAATGAGAGAGCATTGGAGGATTTTGAGAGCAGAAAGAGGAAAATGGGTGATGATCAGGATGATTTAGTTGTGGAAAGACCAGTAAAGAAAACCAAGGAAACGGCCGAAGAGGAAAAGGACGATGTGATGATGTCAGGTGGTCTTTCCTCCGATAAAACCCCAGTGGAAGATCAACCTATTCTCTCCAAAGAAGGCATTAAAAAAGGACCCCCAGCAGCAAAGATTCGCATGACAGTATCATCTGGATTTTATGTTCGATCATTATGCCATGACTTAGGTGCAGATTTAGGATCAGCGGGATTGATGTGTAGTTTGGTTAGGGTCAGACAAGGGCAATTTGAATTGGGAAAGAATGTTTTGGAGTATGATGAACTGGTAAAGGGTGAGGGTGTTTGGGGACCACAAGTTGAGAAATTTTTGGATGAGTGGAATGGAGAGACGGCTGCGGAGACGGTTCCAGAAACGGCTACCGAGCCACCTGTAGAAGAGACTCCTAAAATGGAGATTGAAATGAAGTCCGAGACGGTCGAGGATATAAAAAAGGAGGTTGAGGGCGGAGAGGTTGCAAATGAGGCTGAGGCGAAGGATGAGACGGTCGAAACGAAGGAAGAGAGGATTGATGCATAGAGGCTAGGACTTTGAATGCGCTAATATTGCTATATAATCCAAGATTCCGCTGCATTAGTGGGCCCTTGTTTTAAGGCTCAGTCGGCACCTAAAGGGATATCTACTGGCGTCGGTGCGGAAACTCTACCAGTTGTATTATACGAGCATTTCAGAAGAAATAGCCCTGATCAGCGACAGAGGCATGCATATAAAATAGAACCGCCATCGAGATAGAATCTACCAACATTTCACTTTCCAGATATTTTTCAATGTAGTAGTAGTACACAGCTCACTCACCCTCAATTTTCCATCCCCGTGCTTTACTCTTTCCCTCCATTCTCATACAACCCCGCATACGTAGCCCTCAACCTCCCCATCAAATGTTCATCCGCTGTAATCCTCTCTCCCTTTTTCCGTCCAACCACTCCATTTGCTTCTCCGAATTCTTGTACGTGTTTGCTAGGGACGCCTTCTAAGATGGTGGTGCCGACAGGATGACAGAAATAGGCTATGCTGTAGCGATCTGTTGTTTCTGGGGGGAGAGTGGATTTGGAAGTGGATTTTGGGAAAATTACTCGGTGGACAGTGGAAACGAGGAGGTTGTTAGTCCAGTGGGAGAGGAGGTCGCCTATGTTTACGACTAGTGTGGGGGTTGTTAGTGTTAGTTGGGTAGGGGGTTAGGGGTTGGTGAAGAGGGTTAGTAAGAGGGTTCCGGTATGGGAGAGGATGGGGAGGATGGATTGCGTGGCAATAGTTTGGGTTTAATTTGCGGTAAATTAGATGGGGTTGCTTACGGATTGGGGGAGAGGGGTCAGATTCGGTTGGAGGTGGTTGGATGGGGACTGGAGTCCATTTTGGCTCTGATGAAGAAGACGGAGGGAGGATCTCGAGACCGGGCTGGGAAGGTCGTTCTGAAAGGGTGAGAATTAGTTTTTAGTTGGTGGGTTAAAAGAGTAACGACGTACGGAATAGAAGGGTAATAGATCCATAATCCGAGTGAGCACCAGCTCGAATGTCAACATCAGGTTGGTAGTCGGAGTTTGGTGGTAAGGAAGGATAGTAAAGAAGGCGAAGGATGCATCCTGTTGGGCCGCCTCGGTGTCGAGAGGAAAACCAGGTGGAACCGCCAGCTGCGGGGTCAATCTATAAATGGTCAGTTGATGTTAAATATTGCAAGGTGGAGGGGAAAAAGGTACCTCAAGACCAATAGCGAATAAGGTAAGGAGTTTAAGACAAAGCTTGTGGCAGTAGAGTTGAAACTCGTTAAGCTCTGATTCGTGTGGAGATAATGACGGTGGAAGAGGCTGTTCCGCTTTTCCATCGACAAAATCGCCTAAATTGAATGATCTGGGGAAGAGGAGTCAGTTATGGTATTACACGGAGGTATATTTGGAGGGAGGCAGGCTACTCTTTGAAGTCTCCAACCTGTAATTGTGTTAGCCTTAAATCTCTGATCAATCTTCAGGAGGAGAACAAACCCTTTGATTCTTCTCATCAAGTTTCTCTGTGTGCATCCCAGACCATCCCCTATTCTATCTCCTCATCAGCTGTTATCCATGGCGAGGTATAGAATGATATCATATGACATACATTCTCCTTGATTTTACAAGGTTGCTTCTCTTCTATTGGAGACGAAAAGAACTTTCGGGACTATACATGTTTTAGCTATGAATTATAACATAGTCTAGGAAATAATACCAATTCAAAGGTTCTGTCAATAGCATCGACAGGGATATCTTTCCCCAGATTTCTTATGTAAACGAAGCCGAAGGTTGCCGCAGCATCCACAAGCTGTTTAGCAACTTCTGCTTCAGGTACGGAGCCTGAGATATCTATAATTGGTATTTTTCCTTCATCTGTAGACGACATGATTCCTGAATCTTGAACAATTGTAAGTGGGATGGTTTTTCTTTTCTTTTAAAACTCCTTCTGTTAGGGTGGGATGAATGTTCTTCATTTAATTTTACAAAATGGGTTCTGATAAGAATTGCTTATCGTATATTTCACGTGATGGGTCCAGAAGATAGCGGCGGCTAGCGGCTCCGCTTAGTCGTGGGCCGTGGCACGCCAAAATAGATGTTCATTCAGCCTTTTATATGACAAGAAATCAATAGGATATTAGGTATTTTGAAATAAATCACTCGTGGGGTATTGAAGTGGTGTATTCGAGCATCCAGTCCCAGTCTCAATAGATACAGTATCAGCTGATATTTTGTTATTCTTGGAAAGTGTGCCATAAGCCAGCCGAACGGAGCCGCGCGAACGCTAATCCTTGATCTGCTTGGAGCTTGGACGGCTCTCGAACTGTGGTCTGAACTTCTAATCCAAAATATATTTTGGAAGTACATACATCCATACATCCATCCATCCATCCATCCATCCACCACCTAACTCCTAGAGTACCTACTGTGCATCTATCACATTCACTTCAATTCCTGAAATATAACACTCGTCTCACTCCAATATACCCTTCATTACCTCCTCACACTTATTTCTAGCGTATATTCCCAATTTATACGGCAACTCACCCTTCACAAGTCAAGTTATTGGTCTCACAAACCGTCCAACGTTCCTTCCCGCAAACAGCAAACACCCCTCCAATATTGTTCAGACGGCCCACGATTACGACATAACATTTGGTATCTTTGATTTTTGGAAAGTGCTTGGGAATCGAATCATAATTGGAAAGAATTAGTGAATAACTTTCAGTATTAAAATTTCAAGATGCCTCGTAAGTTCCATTTCCTTCTCGATTCTAACCTCAACCACGACCACAACCATAAGTGCAACTCAAATTCCAAATTTCACCTCCACCTACACAAAATACTTCAGCCTCGAAAAACAAAATGGATGACTGGCTGCAGATTCCAAAAGATCCAAAAGATTTAAATATGCAGGAAGTGGTTACCCCCGCTGACTCGGTGGTGACCAATCCCTTCAATAATGACCAAGATGGAGCTTTTGCACCGGCGTCACCAGTCTCTGAGGATGACTATGGATTTCTTTGCTTAAATCTTCACTCGCAATATGAGACTGATTGGATATATGTAGTAAATACTGGCGACCCGTACGTTGATGCTGGGGTAGTGTAAGATATCAAGTGCTCTGCAAGGGAATTCGCTGGCTAATCTGCGACAAACAGTTCTATGCCACTCTCCGATTTAGTAAATGCGAAAATTGGTGTTGAAGCTACAGCTTATCTCTCGAATCTTTTGAAAGGCACCGCCGATGAACCTTTACTTGCAGCTTTGGGTGGTCATCCCATGGCATTGAAAATACATATCGAGAACGATTTGGACAAATGGAAGGAGCATGAAATGGAACCACTATTTGTATTTGAAGGTCAATCAATTGTTGGCAAGAAAGAAATGACTATGCGCAGTCTAAAGTCTGCTATATCCGAAACAGAACAAGCATGGGCATTGTACAACGACGGCAACCCTACAGATGCTGTCGCAGCTTTTCGCAAGGCTGGTGAGTGTCTGAATATCCAGGTATTTCCTTTTACTAACCAAAAATAGGCGCCATCCAAATCACCGACCTATATCATATCCTACAAGAAGTGCTTACTGCGAGAGGCTTAGAGTACCTAACTGCTCCATTCAGTGCTTGTGCTCAACTTGCGGCTCTCGATCGTCACGATGAACAATATATTGATGGAATTATGGGTTCTCAAGAACTACTTCTCTACGAAATTTGGGACGCTGTCATGTTCCCGCCGAACTCGACAGATTGGGAGAACAAGGCTCTAAGAGGAGTTCTCAAATCTGAGTTACTCAAGAAGCTTAATGTCACATCAGACATGCTCTCCGATGCACTATTGATGACTGGAACATCATTCTTACCACCATTTCCACCGCTCCAAGACCAAACTATCATCAGTCGTCAACCTTATAATGTTGGCGATGCGATCAATCTACTCCGAACCTCGGAAAAGTCGGTTAGTGCGACTTGTGCAGCTTTCAGCGATATTTTGAATGTACGTGATCGAGATTGGCTTGATAAGTACCGAAAGGCAAAAATGGGTATCAAGCATTGTGTTACTGTAGACACAGACGGAAACATTCATATCAGAGATTTCGATCACCTGACTGGCGACAATCATGAATATCTTGGTTTACAGCTGCCCGCAGAGTTATACTCTTATCTACAAAAGGACGTCATCGGTCCACGTCTCATGAATACCTTCAATTCTCTCGAATACCATGTTCTTCCAACTCTTGACGGTTTTGTATCAGATGAATATCGAAAGTTGGTTACAGAATCTCTTTTACCACTTAGAGAAACTTTTGCAGCCCTAATTGCCCCTCGAATGCATCGTGGTTTTCTCTATAAAGATATCACTGTACGCCTCTGGTTTGACGATAACAACAAGCCAACTTTAAACCATAAACGCTTACAACCACAGACTAACGACTTAGTTGACTTGTGGGGTGTTAAGGATTCCGAATTAAAGAAAGTGGAGACCAAATCTTTGAAAGCAGGAAAGATTTCTTTTGCTGCGATATCGTTACTTGATAACAAGGATCTTCCTGCTAAAACTATAGGTAAATCAAAAGCGACCGGTCTTTCCTCAAAGTCAGAAATTCTATCCAATTCGTTATGGCGTCTACTTCATCTCAGGGGCTATGTCAATGATAAACATGAGTTGACGAATTGGGGAAAGGCATTAGCCAGTACTTTGAAAGCCATTCAACCTATCTCTGAGAAGTACCAGGATGTTTACCTCATCGAGGAAGCAGCATTTATGGCATACGAGCTCATTCGTTTTCAAAATCTTCACACTCGTGACCGTCATCCTGAACTAATAGGAGGACCATTGCGAGGCGAAGATGAGGATCAGGCAAACTGCATTCTTATTAGTCGCTCTGCCTGTCTTCTTAAAATTAGACATGCTCCTATCGGATATACTGGTCCTTTGAGCAAGAATTTTCTTTCATATCATTCAATCATCAAATCTATTCGGGAAACAGATAGAGATCTTATTGAAGCAATTGTTGCATCGATGCTATTGAGTGGTCAAGTTACTCGGAATGTCAAAGAATATCAAGGTCTAGGTCGCAGGTACGTTTCTTCTCGTTTCTTCCCACTCTCATATTTTTGGCCACTCTCTACTCCAATTAGTCAACTCACTGACATTTCCGAAACAGTCTTCCATTCGATAATGATATAGATGTCGCTTTTGGAATAGCCGTCAAAACCTACTTAGATGATCGCATCAAACCCGACATATCTAAAGAGGAGAGGCAGGTAATGAAGAATTCGTATAGTTCCACATATCTTCCTCATGCAATTAATTTCGCAGAGGATCTTGATGTTGCATTTGGTTTCTTTGACGCATTGCATAAGGGGGTGAAAACTTTATCGGATAAAGAGATGAAGGATGCGGAGAAGAAGACATGGGATGATGCTAAAGCATATCTCGAGTTGAGAAGGTAAAATTGATGAAGGTGGGTTGGGCGGCAGTGATATTCTTCTTGGTTTGATGAGGTGTGGGGAGGAAAGAAATGATAGGCTACGTATGTTGACGGATAGGAATATAGGAAACAAATATGATTGGGGACGGATGATGAATGAATATAGCAGATGATAGTTGGGCTTGAGAACCCATGATATGGTATGGGAGTTCCTATCCCTATTGCAATGGGTATAGGTCTCATGGAGAAAAGGAAGAAGTAGACACAAGTTAAAAGAATACACAGTCGTCAACCACATCTGTCTAGGTATTCATAAAAACTCTACTTTGATTTATAAAAGTTATATTCTAGCCCTGAACGAATCCAACCCATACCGGGTACTCATTAATGATCCTTATATTACATTTTAACTTTAATTTCAATTTCAATCATTCATCTCAACTTTAGAATTTAAAGATTTGATTGACTTGTAGTTATTATTATATCATTTATTATACAATTATATAATTTATTTATAAACTTAAATTAATAAAAGAATTTTATAATTATATTTATTACTATCAAATATTTAATCTAATAAATATTTTATTATAAATGAAATATATATATAAATTGATTAAATAAAATAAAATATTACTAATTGTCTTTTAAAGATATATATTTATTTTATAAAATTTGAAATTGTATTTTTATTTAATTTTTTTTTTATATATTATTTTTCTTTTTATTCTTTTGGTCAAATTTATATTTGTGTCTAATTTGAGGGAATAGGTAATGCTTGTTTATGTATTAATTCATATATATATATTACACCCGATCCTACTTCAGAGTACTACTATATATAATATTGGGGAATGAATGGGTGGGATTTGTGATCATATATTTGTCAATAATTAAGGATCTATACAACCTTCAAGGTAATCTTACAATTTTTCTATACCCCAGACAAAGTATAAGAACTTAGTTTTTTCTTATAAATATCTACAAGGAAATACTTTGAAGAAAGACAGGAAAGAAAAGCTTTACTCCGTTCACATTGAACTATCTGCACCCTGCTTCATTTTGATTAAAATGAGGGGTATTTAAAAATGGGTAGTTAATAAGGCAACTGATATGAACGCTACGACTCGCCAAGGTACTCATCCTACTTGGAGTGGAGGGGACATCAGGAATGAGAGGTAAATAGTAGAGTAATTTGAAGTTGCCTGTGCACTCATGATGGAGAATTACTTTGGTGAAAAGATAGTCGAGCAATAATAGCTGATATTATGGTGTTTCTGGAGGTGTGGTTACATATAGATTATCGAATTCCAAAACTGGACACGGCATTGATGCTTATGTAAAAGTTGTAATAGCACAGTTTGAACATGTCTCAGAGAGTACGTTATCAATCTTGAAGAGCTGATGAACTTGTGTGTTGCTGTTTCAGCACAATCAGTCAATGTAGATGGGGTGATCTTAACAGTGAAATCGATCAATCCCATTTAATACGACGGTAAAACTTTAAATGACATTGAAGGTCAACTACCGTACGCGTGTGTCTGATGCTTGTAAGGAAAACGATGTTGATCGCCTAGGACTGGAGTTTTTGTGCCAGTATTTTTATCATCTGTTTGAATTCGAAATATGAAAGACGTGAAATAGGTGAACGTAATAAAATGAGTATTTGTAAGGCAGCTCACTCGATTTACGAAACTCTTCAAAATTTGCGCACTCCGGTACATACAGTCGACACCGCACGCAAGTAGTCAAGGGTGCCAACTTATCTTTACTGGAATCCTATACGGCAGCTGCTGTGAAATAACTCGCAAATTTTTGGAAAGCAAAAAAGACATCATGGATAGAGATTACCATACAAGGCTCTAGCTCAGAAGTATGGAGGTAAAAGCAATTACTTCGGCAATCAAAGACATACAAGGAACGGCATCTAATCGGGAGACAATAAAGCTACCATGCAATGGATGATTCTGGAAAACTCGTAGCCAAACTAGAGCCAAATCCATCAGCGCATGGGTTCATCAAATAAAGCTAAGAGCTGAAGATCGAGGTAAATACAATACAAATAAGTCCAAGCCCAGTCATTTGAATTAAGATTATATCAATTGCCCTGAGCTTAAAAGCAATAGTTGGAAATGTTGGTGGAGACGTGGTTCATCAGTGGATGCCTCTAACTGATTTGAAAGATTGATAAAATAGCATGGACAAAGAGATATACGAAGTAGAAGGTATGACCACCTCCAAGCGATTAACTGGGGTCGTGATAGGACGATTGGAAATAGGCATTGCAATTTCGAGTACAATAGCTAAGTGGGTAAACAGTATGGCAGAGCAGAAATAAAGAATACGACGACAGGACGCGCAATTGGAGGAGGGAGCCATGGAAAATGATGCGGCTTTTTCCTACAGAACGAAATTCAATTGCATCACAGACAGTGCCGCAATGTGTAAACATCAATGCCATCAATCCGCTCCCAATATCCGCTTTGGGTAGGCCATTAAAGTCATGGAAGACTTTCCAATCATGGTGAGTGTAGCTGTTCATCCGCCTCAAACCATAACCCTCAACATAGATGAGCCGCGTTGTGAGAATTATGTCGTGCAGAAACAAGGGCACGTAATGATTTGGAATTTTCGGTTCCACGGTAAATAGAAAAAGGCAGTCTTTCCGTCCAATGTTGAATACCACCTACCAGGTTCACGGGTACGTGTGCAGTGTGCAGTGTGCAGTGTGCAGTGTGCAGCGTGTTAAAATGAAAGCAGTGGAGTGAGAACTTGGATGAATGAATGAATGGGCGTGTTTAGCTGAGGTGGAGTCTGAGATACCTAGTATCTATCCATCACTCTTGCATTTCCAGAATTTCCAGAATTTCCAAAAGTTTGGAGAACTGATGAAATAAATGAACAAAATGATAAATAGAGCAAAAGCGAGAAAGCGAGAAAGAAACAAAACGACACCTGCAGGATTTGAACCTGCGCGTCCGAAGACATAGCATATCTATTATCCTGTAGTAAGCTACAGGAATTCGAGTGCTACCCATTAACCACTCTGGCAAAGTGCCTTGATCGTTTTTGAATGGTTCTTCACGAGCTGTTACACATTATATTATCAGCCCCACTTCACAACGATTCAGATGAGGTCCATAAGCTCTCTTTACCCTTTACCCTTTCCACTATATTCCAAATTGATTCAAATAAAATCTAAAACGGACATTAATATGGTAAATATTGAAGCAAATTTCATGTCAAGCTCATGGCAGAAATAATGGGTTTTCATTGACTTGTCGGAATAAACAAACTCCGGGTTCTCAAAAAATTATCTACAGCGTCATTATTGCGGCCCCTCAGGTTCTTTCAAAATTGTAAAATCTTATTTTGCAATCTTCATAATAGACCTACAACACTTAAATTACCACGAGATTCTATTCAATTAGTATCTCTTCCACAACAATGTCTACGTCTCAACCCTCTCAGTTCACTCAACCTGATCCTGCGAATCCACGAACTACTCCTCTTCTACACAATGCCTCCCTCGCAGCCCTCATCATTTGTCCAATCGTTATGAGTAAGTTCTCCAATTTATTCAATTGCAACTTATACCTCACATCCTTCTATATGGATCCTTGTATCTATCTGCAAGACAAATTATCGTCCATCAAACCCCATCTCTCAATATTGAGCTAACCCCTCCATAGTGATACCACCCCGCAAAATGGACGTCTATACCTTCGCTCTCATGGGCACAACATTTATCGGTGGTAATCACTTAGCCTACGAATACACTGGTGTCTCAATGATGACTCGCATACAAAATCGAGTGGCTTCTTTTTCAGGTACAGAATTGCCAGAAAAGGCAAAGGAAACTCAAAGAAGAATACGAGAAGCGCAGGAAAAGAAAAGGATGGAGGAGAGTGGAAAGTTTGTGGGAACGATATTTAAATCACAGGAAGGTGCAAAGGGCGAGGGAGTACTTGAAGCATTGGAGAAGAGAAGTGCTGGTCAATCAACGGTAAAGAAGGTTCAAGGAGAGGGGAAAGAGAGTGTTTTGGAGAAAATATGGCTAGGTGGCGAAGGAAAAGATTGGAAGGAAAAGAGAGATCAGAAGGAGAAAGAGGCATTGGAAGCCGGGAAAGGATACGGTGATTTGATTATGGAACAGATTTGGGAGGTTTGGAATGGAGGAAAGAAGAAGGTGGAAGAGGTAAAAGAGGTTGATGAGAAAGTGGTAGAAGGAAAGAAGAAATGAATGGACAGGCAATGTGGTTATACTTTCTGGGCGGGACGAGAGTAGTATGGACACAAGCTGGACCGGGTAAGGCGTTCAAGGTGCAACAGGCGTCGATGTATATCTATCGGACACCGGAGTCTAAAGAAGAGAAGATAGGGAAAATTGGGCTCTATCCACTTGGTTTTCTGGTCGATTTTGGACGACAAAGTCTCTTCAAATCCGGCCATTTATCTCAACTTCACTCCTTTTCGCTCTGCTTGCCTCTGAAATATTGTTGTTCGCTACAACATGGTGAGCAGTTCTAGTATATTCCAAAGATTGAATCAACAACAGTCTATCGCATATATTCTATATCCTGCCACATCCCATGTTCATCGAACCCTCGACAATGAACGGATTTCACCAACGTTCAATGCAATTATTGCATGGAAGTACCACTAGTCTAACCACAGGGCGAAGCGTTGACGATCACCGCGACTGGATTACAAGCACTACCTTGCGTTCGCACACGTTTGCGACAATTAGGAAACTCGTATCACCCACAGATCCTCATGAATCAAACTCTAATTCTATCAATAACCTTACGAGGCACGTGTGCCCAAAGGAAATTCTTCTAAAATCCAAAGTTCGCACAGACATCGGAGCGGACTTAGGAAACTTTACCTAGTACTCCCGTTTCACTCTATTGGGCTCTGACCATCATTTCTAAGCTTCAGTCCTCTACAGTTTCTTCATCGCTAAACACCGAATGAAAATGTTTTAATATGGATGATACAGTTATTTGGATCTAGGTAGTTCCTTGAAAAGAGCTGGTTGTAATTTTTTACAACAAGCCAGCTTGAACAACCAGCAGAGAACTACTTGATGAGGGGTATTGTGATGACTATGCTGATCTTCTTCATCCCTTATCCGAGAATAATTTTCTCCGTCTTTCATTTGATAGACACGGGAATTTTTTTCAAGCTAACCACGGTCCATGTGGTTTTGAGGGAAAGTTTCATGCGATAGTTCCGCATTCTTGTTTGCGAAATATAAGTACGTAAGGTCTGGCAACAGCCCTTGGCCTTAACAGTTCGTAAAACCAGTCAAAACCTACATGTGAATTTAATTTGTCATTCTTTCCCCAGCAGGCTGGCATTCTATTTCTATCATTCGTTCATCCTTTTCTTTTGTGCTTTCTTATCGTCATTCTTGGCTTTTAATACTTTATTGATTTAGACAATCCGTTCTGGAAGTTGAATATAAACTTTTTTACGCTATAATCGAGTTCAAATAAATTAGCATTGTATCTATCTACAAGATGGTCAATCACAATTCAAGAGGCTTGGTGATGGACTTGGTGGATGCCGGTGTATATGAAAAGGATTTTGAGTTAGTTTGGGCAAACAAAAGAAATGTTGATGGAGGTGATGATGAATCTTCTTCTCCATATACTCCGAATACACCGGATGCATCTAGTCCTATAGATAAACCTATAACAAAATCAGAATATACAGGTTGTTGCGACTCAACATCTACTGTAAGTTCTTGATTACTTTTCATCTTAACATTAACTGATGAAATCTTATAGACCGCAGCATCATCAACAGTAACGTCAATGAGTATTGTAACAACAAGTGCAATCACCGCTACGTCACCTATTCATACACAAACCTTTCAAGACGCCTCTGATAGGTCTACATCGATGACTTCCATATCAAGTTCATCTTGTTTTCCTAGCAGTACATCCTCCATATCGACCCCAACCATGGACGCCCTAACCTCTTCTCCAACATCAACTTCAAATTTAAGCCCTAACCCAACTACAGCGAGCACAACTACTAGTATTATGAATGCTACTGCTCTTAACGAAAATAGCTCTACATTTTCCCCGCTCCCAGATACCCAAGGCACGTTCACAAAACATGAACATACATCTTCCGCTCTGGCAGTAATTGTGAGTGTTACAGTCGTTGTCAGTTTAATTGCCTTGGCTGTTGTAGCATTTCTTGTTAGGAGGAAATTAAGGAAGCAAAGTAAGAGAAATGAAGAATTGGAAGAAAGGGGTGAGAAACCAGTTACGGGGGTGGAAGCAGGAATGGGTATCAGGAAGAACGAAAACGGAGGTAGTGGGGGAGATACCGAAGCGCCTCGGCCCGAGATGAAGAGGAATCCGTCAGTTTCCGTGTCAGAAGCCGGAAACGAAGCAACATTGGATCGAGCGGAAATGGAAACTGTAAGGGCACGCTCAACAATAAGTTCAGGATGGGGAGATGGACTATCTATTCATTCACTCGAATTGAATGAAAGTGAACCAGTTCAAGGTTTGAGCATCCGTCCTCAAACCCGATCGCCTCCCGGTCGAAATGAATATGATAGCGACATAAACTCTTATTATGAGGCAACGAAACACGGCCACGATCCCTTCGCCGATCCGGAACCTGAAAATGGAAATTTAAATATGGTTCCGGGGTTTCAACCAATCAATTTACGAAATTTGGATTTCGACAAATATCGGAGTGATACAAATCCAACTTCTCCTGGAGATTTGACGAGAGATTATCTTCGAAATAAAAATGCAATATTAAGTGGAAGGAGGGAACCAAGTGTCACGAGTGAAACGGATATATTAGAAAGGCAACGGGAAATGGAGGGGGGAGATAGTGGTGAAATTACTGAACAGCCGAGGGCAGGAAGGTGGTCGAATCCTTTTACGGCGAGGGAGAAGAGAGGGACGAGAGCATATGAGGAAATGGGTGGGGAGGAAAGAAGGGAAGGTAGGTGGAGAGATGCGAGGAGTTGGGTTAAGGGGCAGGTGGAGAGGGTTAAGGATAGGTGATTTAGCCTTTGATGGAATTGTGGTGGAGGTTGTAATGTGAAGATAGACGTATGATTGGATGAGAGTGATAAAGATGGATGGGTGGAATAGGATGGGATGGGATGGGATTGCATGATTTTGAATGTCCGAATGAGGAGGGGATATATGAGGATGAGGATGAGTATGAGGATGAGGATGAGTATGAGGATGCGGCCCGGGACTAACCTAACCGATTGTGTATACTTTGTATATATGTATATATCTCAATAGAAAAAATTTAATGCCTGTTCATTTGTTCGGGGGCTTTCTTCACTGTTTACCTTGCGTGCACAGCGTGCGTAGCCTGTGTACCCTATGCATCTATCTATCATATATAACTTCTATAATATGTAAGAGTTTTACAAACTACTCACAGTACACTAAGCGAAGTCACATTAAAACTAATGATTTTTCATCTTTTTTCATCTTTATCTTCTTAAAAGAAACTACTGGCCGAAACTTGTATTAGATAATAATAGATATTGATAATTCATTTTTATTCAATCACTATTATAATATATATAATAAAATACATTTAATATATACACCACACTTAACCCAGGAAACATTGCTTGAGCCCGTCTTTCCACAGAGCGGCTTCCATACACCTAACGCCCTGTAATACCATGATATTTCCGCACCGGGGCCAATGCCAAAAGAAAAACTACACTAGATCACCAAGCCGATTGATCGAAATCAAACCTCTCCAACTCCTTCCCCGCATCCTCCACATCCTTCTTGGCCTTCATCCTCATATAAAAAATCGGGCAATCCTTACTACTACAGATAACTTCACAATGCATACTACCCTGACACCTCTGACACTGCGTCCACAATCTTCCAAACCTGACTTCGAGATCCGATACTTTATTCAGTTGTTTCTGATACATTTCTCCAATTCTAGGTGCACAATCTGTACATACTGCTCCATCTTTCTCGTTGGGTTTTACGAGCGGCTTTTTGCAAGACATGCATGTTGAGGTTTTCTTGGCGAATTTCATGAGACCGCCGATGGTGGGGGCTGCAACGGATATGGCACGGGTATGAGCTCCTGCTAGAAGAGAATTGGCTTTTGTTTCGCCGAGAATAGGTTCGAAAATTCTACCCAGAGGTTTGGCGAGTTGATTATCGAGGTAATATTTCGTATCTATGGGGACGTTATTTTCGAGTACGAAGATAGGATCCTCTGATCTCTCGAAATTTTTGGCTCCAGCAGAACCTTTGATGATGACATAGGCGACACGGTCACCTAATGTAGGTGCTGATCCTGCATCTCGTTTTTTCATACGTTCAGCGAGTTCCACGTGTGCTTGTTTAGCGGTATAATCTGCTTTCGCTAGGGCTTTGGTGATGACGAGTTTAGACATGTCGATTTTGTTTTGAAGAAGGTCCGAAATGGTGTCTTTTACGTAGCTAAAAGTCGTTAATTGATAGCTGCAAAGAGGAGGAAAGTAGGAAAGCTTACTCTTGAGCTCCTTGAACATCTTGGTCAATCAAGATCATTCTCAGTACCGTCTCAATGACGTTTTGAACCAGCCGACAGTTGTCACGACGAACTGTCTCAATACCTTTCGTATCCATTTTGTCATACTTATCAGGATTTGTCCAATAAAGCCCAGCATATCTCTTCTTGTTAATGAGAAGATATGGGTAATAAACCTTTTCGAATTCCAACTTGATCGGCTTGATGAATTTCGAGGAAACGTACTGTGCAGCTTCTTCTCCTAGTTTCATTGCTTCCGCCAAGTCCTTCACGCCAAATTTAACCATGACCGAATCAGTATCACCGTAAATGACTTGAGCATCATGCGAATATCCATTTGCGATGGTGTATTTTGCCTCGACTTCTGCCTTTGTCTTTTCAATCATTTGACGACCATAACTTGTGGTACTACTGGCAATTGGCAAACAAGGTACTTTTCCTACAGTAGCACCAGTTAAACCGTAAACACTGTTTGCGCTAATCTTCAATGCAAGTTGCCGACCATTCAATACAGCTTTTTTGAAAGGATCTGTTTCGACAGCAAGTTCTCTTTTAGCTTGTTTTCTTGCTGTTAACAATTCTTCCAAAATTTGTGTAAGAAGACCCTTTCGTTGTTTGGTAGTGACGAACATGTCCCCATTTGGTGTAACGATATAATCTTCATCCTTCTCCAGATTGAGAGCTTCAACAACATCTTTCTTGAGTAATGTAGTATAGCAAAGATTATGTGCTTGAATAATACTTGGATATAGAGAAGCAAAATCCAGGGTTGCAATTGGGACACTATAATATCCCCTAGTAGGTTCAATGACAGTGGCACCTTCGTACTGTTCTTCTGATGAAGCGGTTGAGAGATTAGGAATAACCAATTTCTGCTCCAAAGCTTTTCGAAACAGTTGACTAATGAATTTGACTTGTTGGCCACGGGACAGAAGAAAATTAAAAGGGACACCTGTAACTCTAGCCATTTCCGTGTAATTCTCCAAACATGAAAGTTTATCCATGAGTCGTTGAGGTAGATAAGCATCCTTTAGACAGTAAACTGCTAATCTTCGTCTAGACTCAGGTGTTCCGTTAAATAATTCAGTAATCATAGTGTGATGAACATCCTCCTTTTGCTCACCCAAAAATTGAGCACAAACGGAATTGAGAGTATAACTTCGCAGTTGATGATCTCTCTGAACAAGTTGTAACAAATCCAATTGCAGTCGTCCATTAGTATTGGTAGCCTTTGTATCCCTATTACCCATTTGTTTGCTGGAGAAATTGGAGGTTTTAGCTTGAGAGTGGATAGACTTCAATCGAGTCCATTGGCTGAAATTTTTGACTTTCAGATGATCAGCTCGATCCAAGAGATATGGAAAATCGAAATTGGCAATATTGTAACCAATGATGATATCTGGGTCGACTTCTTCAAGAAAGTCTCTCCATTTCGACAACATCTTTTCTTCCTTGTCAAATTCAAAAATTTGTGTATTGACAATCAAACTAGTGGTATCGAGACAAAAGACATTTCGTACGAATGGCTTCTTTTCTCCGTAACGAGTAACAATATTAGCGATTTGAATAACAGGATCCTGATTTGCTTCCGGAAAGACACCCTTGCGACCAGCACATTCGATGTCGAAGGATAGAATACGTAAAGGTGCCATCTTCGCCCATTCTCCTTCTGGTTGATGCGCAATGAGATCCCGATATGACATTACGGCTTCGATTTGACAATTCGATTGTCTATTATGTTCCGGGACTATTTCGTATTTCTTTGCTTCCACTTCCACCCAAGACATACCATGAATCTGCCATCGGTTAGACATGTTAAGGACTAAATTATGATATGGGTGATTTTGGGGAAAGCGAGGTGAGAATGAGAAGAGGAAGGGGACTCACCTTGACATCAACCATAAATCTTAACACATATTGAATGCTATCAAACGTCAAAATGCCATTTCCGTCATTCCTCCACATCCCTTTCCAGTTTGCTCGACCCTCCTCGATAGTTGTCCTGACTTTGTTTATATATTTAGGGTCCGTAACTGTGACCTTAATATATGCGTGCTGTTTGTTTCCCGTAAATCCATATAAATTTTCTCGTAGAACTACCGATACTGAGTGAATGGCAGGCGTGTACATTCCCACATGCGAATCCAGATACACTTTGTATTGTTCGCAATCTTTATGTGTAAAACTGACTGGAGCGGCAACATAAAGGTAATGTAAGAAATCTTGAACATGTAGCATAACTGAGTGACCAGTCTATATGTGATGTTAGTTCTAGCCTGAGAAGGAAATGAAGATTAAGTTTACCTCAGTGACACCAAACAACTTCACAGTCGCCTTTCCATGATTATAAGTACCCTCCTCACATTCAATTTGCTGAAAGATTAAATTATCCTCCTCGGGGTTGAAGTCTGCCAGACTCGGCCTTGCCCATTCTTGATCTTTTTCTGAATTATTCTTCTTCAAGCTTTCGATATCCTGTGTCATTTTTTCCAACACTTCCGACTCGAATTGACTAGGCTGGCTAGAAGCCAGCTTTCCCTTGGGTCCATTCTGTGAACTCCTGAATCTAACCGGGGCTGGTGATGATGCAACTGGCTCCAACTTCCGCTTCTTCGCCGCCGATGGAGGGGAGGAGGAGATATTGCTTTGTTGAATATTCTTTGCCTCCCCTAAGATTCGCTTTTGGGGAACTCTTGATGGAGCCATTGTAAAGATTTTACAGCTTCTATACTGCTAAAAATGAGAGTCGTTATTAGATTATACGTTGGTGGGAATTTGGTTTCAGACTTTAGAGGATGTCCATCAATATAAGTTCGCGTCAATTACTTTTCGCGCAGTGCGGGCACAGACGCGGTGTGGACGCGTCTTGATTAAAGTGGAATGAATGCGGCACTTCATATGGAGTAGTGGCGGCTGTGGCTGAAAGGCGCGGCAGAAACTAGGTAAGCATCGGTGTGATCTTATCTTATCATGATCTCACGTTTGATATGTGCAACCAAAATACAAAGATTACTTCAACGTCCAATATCCGGCAAAGACTGGCACCAAGAACATCCATATTGGTGATTGAATCATTGCTGTAAATTGGACCGTACTATTGATACTTGATACATGGGGCCTACCACCTATGCTTTATTCTATAATACTACTTCCTCTTCCCGACTTTCTCTCCCCGCTCACAAATTATACAGCTTGGGCACCAGCCCTGAGCACAAAATGCTATACAATCCGATTGCCGAGCTTCAAGAAGAAGTCTCAAATCTTTTTACATAAGATGTCTTCTTATCCAATGATTCTCCTCGGTACCACCGTCCTCACATTTTTTGACTGTCTTTTAAAGCCATCGCTTTTCTAATTCCTCTTAGGAGGAAGTGTCTTAGCCAATGACAAGTGCTATAATTCAGTGCAATTCATACATTGAAGTTAATGACTTCAGATGTCTATGTAATATCAAAAAGGTTCTTGAAGCTGTATATGCTGCCTGTGATGATTACATCACAGAAAGAGAAGATGAGGGGCATCTTGCCTGACATGGAATCTCTGACATATCTAGCCTTGGTTATGATATGTATATAGGCATTCATGTCTGCCCCTTTTCTTATTATTTCATTTCTATAAGTATTTCTTAAATCGAGAGAATACTACATTTAGAGTTTCTTTCCCGCTTCAAATCCCATTTGAGCATTTTACTTGGTCATCGGAAGTAAATCCCAGTAAACAATATCTTGTTGCTCGAAGTATCCCGAGTAACCAGTTTCAAACATCAAGTTTTATTATCCAAAACTCATTTCAAAATCCTCAGAAATGTTCTATATACTTTGAAGCAGAACACTCGCTCCTATCGACAATCAAGATGCTCTCATATTCATACTCCTTTCCCACTTCACCTAAGCGTTGTAGGCAAGCATCTTTCATCGGCACCTTGATCTACCATTTTCGTCTCATGAACTATCGATATAAGGTGAAGTTTTCGGCATATTTACTGACTTCTGTGGAGAAATTGGTTATGAATTTGATTGTTTCTTTTCTTTTTGAGCCCTATCGGATATGCTCTATTCTCTTACTTGCTTGTTTGACTTTCCAAAGTTTCCGAAAGATTATCCTATCATGGACGGTGTCGAACGAGCAAATTAAGGTAACGATGGGGGATCTGAGTACAGTGGTCGTTGGAAGCACGAGTTCCGCTTGGGACATGATAGCAGGTATGGGGTAATAAGGTTGCCATGCCTATTTCACCCACTAAAATGTAAGTTTAGAGTTCCAGCCTAGTTGTGACAAACATTCCGTTGAGTATAAGCTTGAGGGGTACATCAAACATCCATCACAAGAAGGTATAGAGGAACACTTTGGTAACAGGATATCTCTCACTCCCGCTCAAGCAGCACTTACTGAAACAGATTGAGCTAAGGTACTCTAGAAAATTGACTGGCGAACTGATTACAGATATATCTCAGATGGTTTGGATTAGTCAATGTCTTCGCGGCATGAAGCATTCTCCAGGAGGGAAACAATTTTATGATAATGATATATAATTGATGAGATACTTAGGAGGAGTTATGAGAGAGGAGTTGGAGAAAGTGCCCCTAGGATATTAGTGATATTAGCCCAAGAAAAGCTACTCGACATGTACGAACCGGGGCAGCTCAAAGATTCATATCGGGGGTTAGATTTCGATAGGTGAAATAAATCAGATCTGCGCCCTCATTTTCTCCGATGATCTTCAATTACTTTCATGAATAAGCCTTGTGCAATCCAGCCAGCCTTGTTGACATGATTACATCTCACAGCCACTTTTCAAGACGTAAATAGAAACAAAGTACCACACGACATATTAATCAATTAAATTAGATGAAATGGAAACTATATTCACAATTTCTTCGGGACTTGCGAAGCTTTCTCCACTGAAGTTCGAGTTGCCAAGAGTGACGCGAAATTGTTACGTATGTATTTCGAACTTCTCTACGTAGCCCTATGGTGATGATATGATTTGAACGGATGATGAAAGCCCCAGCCTTATAAATATTTTCGTAGGACTCCTCAAGAGATTTCTTCGGCTTGTTGCTGAGCACTGAGTGGAGAGAAGTTTGGGAATCACGACAGTGAAATAGGAAACATCCTGTGTTGATGATGACATGAATAATTTTGTGCTGTGCTATCGGTCAAAGTAACATCTTCCTTCTTTCTGTTGATTCCGTATCAATATATATATATAGATAAATATTCTTCAAAGACAAGATCGATATTCTATCTCTTCACCGCATAATTAAACATTTCTGACATTATTGGACCATTTCAAGTTCTCGGGCTACCAAATGACCCTACTGTACGGGGAGAGGTAGTGGTTCAGGTACAAGCCTCTTTTGCTTTGGTGTTGCTTCTGAAACGGGGACAATCCAAAAACAGATTTCCCTCCGATCCAGTCGAGTAACCCTCCACAACCTTTTCAACTTTCCTCGGCCGAGGAGGCAGTGCGTCTGGAGCAAATATCGTTCGTAATCATATGCGATTCCATCCCCAGCCTGAGATCATCACGAGGCTCGAAACAATATTCAAATTCGTTCAACATTTTCTCTCGCCATAGCAGCGACTCAAAAAAGTGTTACTTATGCATAGATAGTGACTGTGTAAGCTTAGTTACTTTCAGCTCAAAGCTTACATTTCGAACCTCTGTTTCAGGCTTGTGTGCAATCTCCAGACGACCGCAACCTCGACTTTCTTTTTATGTGATCAAAAATTTTACCTACCTTCGAGCGATCATTCCATAAGGTCCATTCGATACGGCCAACCAATTTCAATAGTAACAATGGCGGCTAACGACTATTACAATTCTTATTCACAACAACAACAATATCAACATGAAGAACCGCAACCATATCACAGTCAATTCGACACTCAATCTCAACAACATACAGTTCCTCCATCATATCATTCCCGAGCACCTTCAAGACAAGGCTCATTCCCTTCACAAGTAGGATCAGCAAGACCTAAAGAAATGTCACCAGTCTCTCCATTCGAAGCGCCGTTCGATGATCATGTATATCCGGCGCCAAATGTACCACCGCATAGACAAGAAAGCTCGCATAGCTTAGGACAAGATTCGCAGTACTATGCACAAGGTGGAGGCGGTAGGACCCAAGATGGGATGGGCTACTCTAACGAAGATATACCTTTACGAGAAAACCCACAAGTACCAGCAAAAGATGCCTCGACAGACCATATTTACGATGCGAACCTAAACGACCATGTATATGACGCAGGAGAATCAGGAGTACCTCCACACTTAAAGGATAACAAAAGGAATAGAATGAGCGACGCTATATCTATGGGACTTGTGAATAGGAAGAATAGCATTCCTTTCGTTACATATACTCTCACTTTGGTGCAAGTGATAGTATTTATTGTAGAGATTGTTAAGAATTGTAAGTGTTTCAAAGTAGATTTTGGACAGAAGATGCTAACATGAAACAGCTCAACTCACAGGGTCTCCGATCGAGATTCATCCTTCTTTTAACCCTATGATTGGTCCCTCACCATATGTAGTTATCAATATGGGCTCAAGATTCACACCATGTATGCATAATATGACCGACATACCAGATCTAAATGCTATAAGCTGGCCATGTCCGAACACAACAAGCGCAACATCGAATGATTGCTCTATAAGTGATCTTTGCGGATTTGGAGGAGTGGGAGCGACACCCGATCAATGGTATAGATTCATTTTACCCATGTTCCTTCACGCTGGAATCATTCACATAGGTTTCAACATGCTTCTCCAAATGACCATGGGAAAGGAAATGGAGATTTTAATCGGGCCCATTCGATATTTTTTGGTGTACATCTCTAGCGGAATATTTGGGTTTATACTAGGTGGGAATTTTGCTGCGACAGGTATCTCATCCACAGGCGCATCAGGAGCCCTTTTTGGTCTCATTGCTCTTACGCTCCTTGACTTGCTATATAAATGGAAAGAACGCGTCAGTCCAATGAAAGAATTAGCTTTTATCCTCCTCGATGTTATCATATCCTTCGTTTTAGGTCTTTTACCCGGTCTCGACAATTTCTCACATATTGGAGGCTTCCTTATGGGTTTTGTCCTTGGTTTATCGATTCTTCGTTCACCCAATTCTCTACGAATGCGAACAGGCCAATCGGATCCACCATATGCGCCTGTTCCTAGTAAAGCTAATCAAGGTGACCGTGGTATCGTCAGTTTATTCAAGAATCCTTCGGGCTTTTTCAAAGGAAGAAAACCAGCTTGGTGGGCTTGGTTACTTTTGAGATTAGCTGCCTTCGTATTTGTTTTCATTGTGTTTATTCTACTTTTAAACAATTTCTACATCTACAGAAAGACTTGCGGATGGTGCAAATATTTGAGTTGCATTGTAAGTTTTCCCCTGATTTCAGTCGGTTATATTTCTTTGTTGAATTAAGCTAACATGATGGAAACAGAATGTCAACAATTGGTGCAGTCTGGGGAATCTACAATTAACTAATGTTACGACGAAAAGAAGTTTACTAGATAGTTGGGATGCGATGGCCAAGTTGTATGCATAAAGCGAGACAGTGTATTCTTGGTAATCTGGCTGGAATCATAATGAGAATTATGATATGGAAGGTTAGGCAGCGTCCGCCTAGGGGAGGCTGACTATTTAAATTTTCGAAAAAATTAGCGCATATGCAATATGCATAGCGACGGAGTTCTTTTATCGATTCGACGGCAGGGTCTTTTCATATGGTGGATTAACTCCTACCAACTTTGGTTATACGCCAGGAATGGCGTCATGACAAGGGTCAGGTCAGAAAGGATGATCGGATGGATGGAATAAAGTTCAGGAAAAGAAAGCATTTAGTGTAAGCACTATGGTCTGGAGTTTGCATATGGAGATTGAACAATCCCGAGTATACCATGAGATATTCTAGCAAGTTTATAATGATACCATTGATACCATTTTTCTATCTCATGCCGAAACTGATTCTCATTCGGTGACGTGACATTGACAAGTGAATGAGATGAGTAAATTGCAATATCTGACAATTCGGATTTCTATATCCGCTTATAAAATACTTCTATAATTCTCTGATTCTTTAGTCAATATAATAAGACTTCTTGTTCATATACCTACTAGGCATATGGTAAAATACGCGTTTAGACGTCACGCGAGTTCGGGAGTGCACGGCCCTTTCTAAATAATTCTGCCGTATTCCGTACAAATTCAATACTTGTGAACCAAGGCGGTGTAACAAAAAATTATTCTGTCGCAAAGACATCATCTCGTCTTCCACAATCCTTTCAGTCTTCAAATCATCCCAAAGTCCAATTAACGTCCACTTTTACAACATGGGTCGCACTGATGGAAATGAACGGGTAGTCAAACCCAAGAAAGAAAAAAAGGCGAAAGTCCCCAAAGAACAACGCGTTCGCAAGATCAAACTTCCCAAGGATAAAGATCCAAACCGCACCGACAAACCGGAAGTTCCTTTGATGAATAGATCCGTACATGCGAAATGGGGCGCACTTTTTCGCAAACATTTGGGCGTTCTAGAGGCTCATTGTAAGGCGTTGGATAGGTTGCAACAAGCTATGAAAAGTGAGATGAATAATTTGAGTGAGGAGGAGAAGAGGGAATGGGAATTGAATGAGGAGGGACCTTGGAGGGTTCTTTGTGGTTTGTTGGATAGAGGGAGGGATACGCTTGTTAGTGGGAGACAGATGGCGAGGTTCGTTGTAAGTTTTCTGGAGGATTGAGCTGCTTTTTACTACAAGGTTGCGGTTACTGATGGGGATTCGTATAGTTGCCAGCTCGTTTGATCAAGGATAAAAAGGGCTTGGGTGTTCGTGGCACAACTTATGAACCTCTTGTACCACAACTCGATGCTCGTCTGGCTGCGGAGAAAAATGGTACTACTGAAAAGGACGATAGTAGCGATAGTGATAGCTCAGATTCCTCAGACTCCGATTCAGACTCCGACTCAGCAGAAGATACTGGATACGAAGATGAAGATGTAGAAATGGAAGATGCACCAGCTCCTGAATCCAAAAATACTACCACAACTAGTGCGCCAGCTGCGGTGGAACCAAGTACTCACTTTTTCGTTGACACGATGCCAACTCCAGTAACTCAATTAAACAAGGAGAAGGAGAAGAAGGATAAAAAGAGAAATTCTGATGAGGCTTCTGGTGGAAAGAAAAGCAAGAAAGATAAGAAGGCGGAGGAGGAAAAGCAAATTGAGGAAGAGGTCAATTTCCAAGCTATAGAGGCTCAATTACAAGCGGAGGTTGAAGCTGATATGAAGGCACAGGAGGAAAAGGCTCAGAATGCTGAGGAGGAGAAGGAGAAGAAGGAGAAGAAAGAAAAGAAGAGGAAGAGAGAGAGCCTGGGAGAGGAAACTGGGGAAAAGAAAGCGAAGAAGGATAAGAAATCTAAGGTTGAGGAAGACGATGTGAAGGAAGATGAAGAGGTTGAGGTAGAGCCCAAAAAAGATAAGAAGTCAAAGAAAGACAAGAAGAGGAAAGCAGATGATGTAGCTGCTGAGGATGAACAGATCGATGGAAAGAAGAAGAAGAAATCGAAATGATAGTCACAAGTATCGTGGATATGTATAGCTAAGATTCAAAAATGTGGGAGGAGCATCAGGAAAATAGATGGATTACTTTAATGAATTGAATACTATGGAAGAACATTTCATAAACAATTATGTACTAGGTAATCTTACAAATGATTTTTCAATGAATTTTGTTTGAGCTGAGCTGGGGAATTAATCACAAGTGTGGTTTTGTTTTGTTTTTTTCCATTTGCAAAAATGCAACTGTGCTGCAGGCAGGGAAATTCATATTGCTGAACTGAACTAGCGTTCAATGAATGATCTTAATCTTACAAAGTATTAATTGTTCTACTATTACTATGGAACTCCTATATCTAGTACGGAGATATAGAGATATAGAAATATAGAAGTAGTAAGGATAGTAAGGATAGTATGTACGAATTATTTTCCTCGGGTATAAGTATGGAATCACTAGTAAGTAATTACTTGTGGGTGGGATTATACTTTTGTTTATTTGAGGAGGATGTTGGAGGTGGGAGGTAGGAGGGATGTTGGAGTTTGAAGAAATGGAGACGGTGGAAAGTAGAAGGTAGAAGGGGGTGTATGTATATGTAAGGTAGGTTTATTGGGTTGGAGCTTGGAGTTTGGACGGGGTGGATTAGGAGGGAGAGGTGGGAGTGGGGATGGGAATGGGATTGGGAATATTATGGGTTTATGGTGGTTTTGGGGAGAATGGAGGATGGAGATGGAAGAGGAGGATAAGGTATGGTGTGGTATGGTGTGGTTGCTGTTGTTGTTGTTAGCGGAACGATGGAAAGGAGTGAGAAGGGGATGGAATTTGGTTGGGGAAGGTGGGGCTGGGGTGGGGCGGAAAGAGGGGAAGGAGAGAGAAGGGGGAACTGCAGAGGTGGATTATGTAACTGTTGTCGGATATGTGAGGATTATTCATAATGACGAGGAGAAAAAAATTAGTATCACTCGAATATTATTATTATCTTTATTTCCGTCATCGAAGAGGATGAATATTACTTTTTCTTAGGTATCAACAATTTATGTTCTTCTATTCATCTCGAGCAGGAAGATAATATATATACTAGGTAAGACTTATATTGTTACTGTCAAAGTCCTAAATAACTAATTAGCGTTTTACTTTTGATATCTATCTCATCGATATCATTCTTATTGTCTACCTATGATTACCATCACTTATCCCCACCCAAGGAATTAGATTTGTCCAAATTCATCGATATTTCTATTCCTTGCCTCGGGAAAACTCCTCGAGATTGGATGATGAAGCTAGTGGCAGTACCATTGCAAGTGCAAGTGCAAGTGTCAGTACTAGTACCACTGCAACAAAAATCCCTAGAAAAACGGGGATGCGAAAAGTATGTGTTGGGATGAAGGGTTGGAAATTTTTAGATGGGGTTTCTTTTATAGATTTTTGTTTAGTGGGATATTGGTAGTGGGATTTGGGGTGGGAATGGGAATGGGGGTTACTAGGATGGGTGGAGAGTTGGAGAGGTTTTATGGGGTCTGTGTGCTGTGTGTGTATAGGATTTCATGTTGGATAATAGATTGGGTGGAAATGAAAATAGAGTATGTTTACCAATGGTACACCATCTTATTCTTGTGTGTAAAGGGAATTGCGGGTGTGATTTTGGCGGTTTAGGGCCTAGGATATGTCTATGCCTTCGTGTGGATGTGGATGTGGATGTGGGTTGTTTTGGGGATGGGGTGAGTGTGGTGGGTGCTTTTGGGGGAGGAGGTTTGTTGGTGTGGATTATATTTAACTGTTGTGGAGGGAAGTTGGGGGAGGCAAGGTGGAGGGATTAGATTCGGATTAGATTTAGGCTAGTTTTGTTGCCGTTGTTCATTTATTCATCGTTTGTTATTCGTTATTCTTGTTGTTGGATCAGTTTTTTGTCAGAGCTATTAAAGCTCCCTCTTATTATCATCGTCATGATAGTTACTTCCTCTCTCTCACCATCAGTAACTCTTCTTGAGTACCTCTATATTGGAAACCTCTCTGCACTCTCAGGGTATTCCCACAAATAACCTCAATATACAAGCCCATTCCTAAAATCCAAACCACCCAGTAAAATTCCAGTGGCATAAGTCCCATAGTTTGTTATCCTTGAGCATACAACACTACATGTGACTGATGTGAAAAAAAATGGTTTATATACTCTGCGAGTGTGGAGCAGTGATAGAGGGACTGGATTTAGTATCCATACTCCCTTCTTTCGTTTTTTTCACGCACATTTTTAGTTAGCCGGTTGTGGGATTAATGGTTCTTTTTTGAATTTTAATATTCGCTTGCAGGAGGAATAGAAAGGAGAGTATAAAAATACAAGTAGTTAGTATATTTTCTTAACTCATGTATCGAAACCAACCTACCATCTTTTTCGAGAAGGCAAATATATTTTGTCCTGCACAATGGTGGTGAGGGTGCTCATGGAAGTCTATGGAACTTTATGAGATTTTAAAGATGCTGTCTGTCGTTTATGAAAAAAGATTTTTGTTGTTGTTTATGATGGTATATTTTAATTTATTCTTGGCATTAATAAGAAGAGACAGTAAGTCATGCTACATGGTAGGGTTTCTAAACTTAAAGATCACATCCACGTATTGAAAACAACCAATATCAAATATTCAAATTTAGAAAAGCTCCCTGAAAGCGAGACATTGGAAATTTTATTCTCTCTATTCTAGAAATTTAAAACTGTGCGGAAATCGAGCTTTTTATATCGGGCTATGACTCCGGGTTTCCATAGAATTCTTTACACGATTGTGTGCAAACTCAAACCCCGAAGAGCTAGTATAGAGGCTTTGCCGTCTTTGAACGCCTTTCTACACCGATAGCTTACAGTAATTTGGATTTGTACTAGGAAAAGGGGGTATAAAACAAACGCTCTTCCCCTTGGGGGTTTTCTTCTGTCGGAGATCTTACAACTTTGGAATGCAACAGGCCGCGGACTTAATTCTTCCCATCTGCCAACTATAGATCAACTATTTGATTGAGAACAACAAAATATATCTGGTCCTAAGATGGTTCCCCTAAATCTGCTCAATATTAATGTTGTCATTACCGATTTCGTGCTTTTTATCACCGTGTTGCTATTAAATGACTAATAATTAACAATTTCTTATTTTATTGTTATACTTCTATTTTACCTCTACGATTCTAAAGCTCGTATATGCCCATCACATTTTACTATATTCACAATATTTAGTTTTTAGACATCGTCCTCATCTATCCCTAACGCCGCAAAAACACTAGAAATTCTACAAACTTCATATTATCACTAGATCTCTCTTTTTATCATCTTTGTAAAGAGAAATTTTAGTTTTAGGAAATCCATTGTTTTATACTATAGCCTCTGAAATATGTAGAAGTGAATAGGTGAGTAAGGAGAAGTTTCTGATTGTTTTTCTCCGTTTTCTCTCGTATTCACTCGAAATATATTTGAGCATATATTTATCCTACATATAGAGTACTTGTGAACATTATGATATCGTCTCTTTCTATTTGAATATCTGATCATTATAACACAACAAAATCTCAAAATCAAAGTTATCCAACTGACGCTTACAGTAGCCTCGTAAGCCAGCTTATTAAGCTGTTTTTAAATATTTCCATCTTTTATCTTCTGTTATATATATACGAGTGTATTTCATCATTTAGCCTTATTAACCGATAGTTCATCATTTAGCCTTATTAACCGATAGAGTTTTATTTTTAAGCGAATGTGAGATTGGCTAATTCATCATTCAAGCATAAACTCAGAGCCAAAGATTCTAAAACCAATGAAATCCAGTACTTAATGTCTCCTCTACTAAACATCGGCCAAGTCATAAAAGGCAAGACCAAATACCTACACCATCAGCAAACAATTATACGACTTCGTTTTCCTAGCACAGTAAGTTCCAAACCCACAACCAGCTCACCACTTCCTCATCCTCCTCACTTATCTCCTTTCCCAGCCAGCTTACCAAACCCCAAAAAGCAATTCAAAAGCACAAAATGTAATTATCGAAAGCATACGTGGCCACTGGCGATTAAAAAACGAAGCCGATATCCTCAAACATTTCCAATCTAAAACGTCAATATCATCTTTTCGACCATTAATCGATGAGATTATTGAGCCGGCTGATCCGCCAAGTATTGTTCTCAGATATTTAGATAATGATCTTTTGTCCGAATCTTATAAGAAAACTCTTACGAGATCTGAATTGAAATTTGTCGCTAGAAGAGTTTTGCAAGCTTTGCAGGTTTTGCATCATGATGGATTTGTTCATACCGGTAAGTAATTTTCACTTTTCTATATTAAATGTTAAATTTCTAACTCTGGTAGATGTGAAACCTGATAATATTCTCGTAAATCACGGGAAAGGCAATGAACGGTTTTCCGAAGTCCAACTTGCTGATTTCGGAGGTACCGTATCTGTAGAGTCTAAATGGGCAAAGGAAGGCCATATAGTTGGAACATATAAATGGCGCAGTCCAGAAGTTCTACTCGGTATGCCATGGGGGACATCAAGTGATATTTGGTCATTCGGTTGTTCTGTAAGTCGAGATTTTTCTTTTCTCCTATCAAATTCCGTCCAATACTCACATGAATTGTTAAATTTCTAGATATTAATGCTAATATATGGCGATCATTATCCATTGAATCCCAAAAGTGGCGGGGTCGAAGTAAGTCGATGATGAAGATTATGACTTTGCGGTATTGAGAAAACATCATCAATACCTAGGTCCATTTCCACTTTCCTTTCGTGAAATTGCAGATGAACCGACTCAGAATGCTATTGTTCTAGCAATGCAATTAGTACCTGCAGACAAAATGAAACCGTTGCCTCGGATTACGCAGAGGGAGATTACGAAAGTGGATAATGCTTTTCTGCAGAAGATCTTGAAATTGGATCATCAGGATCGACCGACTGTAAAGCAGTTTTTGGAGGATGAGTGGTGGGATGTTGATTAGAGGCTTGGGAAGTATAAGTATTAATATGTGAGTGCTGGGCAGGACTTCATTTGGTTGGGGATTGTGCCTGATGTTGGGGATGGCATCATAATTGGGTTGAAATCTTTGTATTTAATGATCAGGATTCTTGAAAACACTCCTCTATTCTAACGAAAAACTCCAATAGTACAGATCTCTACTAAGAAGCATCATACTTTTTGACATTTACATACAGTATTAATAAGGGCGATCCAAGATAACATAATAAAAGTTGCTTTAATCATTATTTACAAAATTAAAGACAGAAAGCAGGCAGCTTCAAACCCGAATCATAAACCATAAACCATAAAGAAAGAAATTACAAAAACTCAAGAAAAAAGATCTTCCCCTCTCCACCCTCCACCCCTCCACCCTCACCCACCAGCCCCTCATAAACCGCCACATACGCCACCTCCATCCCACTCCCCGTCCCCCCCAGCGTCCAATCATCCGGCTCACCAGGCCAATCCCCCCCCACCGCCACATTCAACAGGACATAATAACTCTCCGCGACCAAACTATTCCAAGCCGCCCAATCCCCGACCATTTCCCCAGTAACCACAAAATAAAACTCCCCATCCAAAACCCAACTAATACTCTGTTCCTCCCAATTTCCCACCCGCGAAATCCGAAGCGCATATTCATGCCACTGCGCACGCTCATATGCTATTCCCTGCGAAGCGATCGCTTGCGGTGAAGATGTATTACTATTACCCCAGTGTATGGTACCAGTACTAGTCGAAACACCATTAACCTGTTCCATGATATCCCATTCAGCGCACTGGGGCCAGAGACCATTTTCGCGGAAGGAAGAACCTAGAGTCCAGAAGGCGGGCCAAATGCCTTTTTGATGGGTAGGGGGATTATTGCCGAGTTTTATGCGCGCTTGGAGGTGCAGTTGGGTGTTGGGGGCGCAGTGGAATGTTTGGTGGGTGCTGAGGCGGGCGGAGGTCCATGTTTCGGATGTGTGGAGGGGTGTGATTTGTAGGGTGGATGTTTTGGAGATGTGGGCGTTTGAGGGCGAGGATGTGTAGTGTTGGAGTTCGAGGTTTTGGTTTGTGGCGGGTGTTTCGTATTGCCAGGTTTTGGGGGAGGCGGGGGAGCCGGCCGGGTCGGAGAAGGTATCGGACCAGGTTAGGGTGAAGCCTGGGATTTTGGGGGCGGGGGTTGCGTGGGTGGATGGGAGGTTGATGGTGATGAAGATGCAGAGGAGGGAGAGGGGGAGGGTAGTTGGGATAAGCAATGGATATCTCATGGCGGTTTTGTTCTAATTTATCTAGTTTGTATCAATCCGGCCATATGTAATGTAACTATACGGATAAAGTAGAACGAAAGAGAGACTGCGCAAGTAAAAAAATGAACGAATGAACGAACCAACGAACGAACAACAGATAGTAACGAATGTGAAAAGAACGTAGTTCAGCATATATTCCGAAGAAAAAAACATCCCAAGGACAACCACCTACTTTATGCAGAATAGCTCTCTCCAAATACTTTCCCCAAACACCTCCCACCATAATCAACGGTCTACCAAAAGGTTCTCTACCAACTAAATCTTCATATCAATTCCTCTTGATCCCATTTACCAACTCCATAAATTCCATAATTCCATCATTTATCCTTCTATCTCCACTCCCACAAATCTCTTGATTCAAACCCCCAAATTCACGACCATATGTGGCTTAGAGGACAGAACAAAGGACATACGACCTTTTAAGTACTCCTTGGTATTTCCGAGTTATCGCTTAGTTGATCATGAACTTACCTAGATACTCAGAAGAATTCAATTTATAGCCGCATAATTTAATTTGTTGGTTATGAGGTTAACATAGCAGCAGGCAGCAATCTACAAGTTTTTGATCCTCGCGGATTCTGATTAGTGCTTCGCGCTTCTCGCTTCTCGAAGACTTGAGCACCAGCTTGGGTCTTGAGGTTTGTGGCGGAGAGGATGTTGGTTGTGGATAAGCGCTCTGGGGACACATAGGTTGGAACTACACATTTTTATTTTGTAATAGCAACATCGAATTCTAAATCTTATTACATGTTTCCGTGTTCCAAGGTTCCCAAGTTCATTAAGAATGAGAATATATCACGCCCATGAAGCTCGCTAGAAAACAGATAGAAATGAATACGAGACAAATACATAGATATTAGTTAACATATTGAGTACTAGTTAGAAAATTATATAGAGGCAAGAGAAATTCACATGAAAATCCTAAAACTTTAATTCCAAATGTGAATTTGTCCCAGTTGTTCATTGATTTGGAATCTGATTATGGAAATAACCAAGTATACTTCTCTCGATGAAAAACAACACTCCTAGAATCAAACACACAATAATATTTGAAAGGATTTCACTCTCAAGATTAGCAGAGACAGACCGTCATTGTTTTTGTGTCTTCTGCAAGCTGGACCGTGGAAGCGAACATCTTGTCCATCCACTTCAACCTAAAATTATACACTACACATCTTTGTACTTAGCTCTTGTATTACAGGAGTATTACTACCACAGAGCTTACTCTATCAATGGATGAAAGTGACATATGACACAAATTTCAAGACAAGTGCGACTGTGAAGCAACCCGTTGTACACAAGCTAACCGGCCAAATGGCTTTTTAATACACGAACGCATCTCTCCAGATCTCATAAACAGAAAACTATCGAATACATAATGTGACAAAGTATAGTAAGACGTAGTAAGACGTAGTATACGATGAAATCAATCGAGTTCACCGAGTATGAACTGGACGATACTTGGAAGTCGGTGGGCAGTTATTCAGAGAAGCCGTGAGTACGAGCCTTTCACTAGCGGGATTTGAGTACGTTGTAAAATAAACGGATAGTACAACTAGATTTTACCCGTATTGCTGCACATACTACTTGGCTGAGAACTCGGGTGTTACTGTAAAAAGGAATATGTCAAGGACTACAAGACGAGAGTTGTGAGCCCGAAATTACGAGACCATGTCAGAGTGAGTGACAAAGAAAAAATTCCCGCAAGGAACGGACAATCGCATCCAGGTAAGTGTATAAAGAAACTACAGCCGCAGAATGTGTAGCACGAGTTCGGTAAGAACGACCTCAAGGACTCAAACCCGAATTCAGTAGATGATGGAAGAAATAATGACAGAAGTTAAGCAAAGAACCCAAGAATGAAGTTTGCATCCGTGTATGGAATCGAGGTCTCGTCGTAATACGTGAGCTTATGGAAGTTGTTGAACTTGTTGTACCGGGTATGAATATCATCACAAATTTATATCCCGACAACAGAAGACCGACCTCTCAGCTAGGGGACAATTAAAATTTCAACAGTGTAACTTGTAATATCCAGCTTAACTGGTAGTTTCCAGCCAGTACGCGATGCGCAAGATATTCCAAAATGAGTACATGATAAATAGCGGGCTTGCTTTCAGAAAGTTGAAGGCTTTGATCTGACCGCTGTAGTCTGAATTTTTTGTTTCCTCTTGTCGATCAGCTGCTTCGTAGATGACCTATGGTCGTATTTCGACTCCTCAAATATTCTGTTCCAGGCATCAACTGCCTCGAGGTGCGGATGCATTGTCGATTTAATGCTTCAGAATTGTCTCTTCATCAAGAGCAGAAACGTTATTCCTCATGGTGTACTTCCACGCTCTATTGATTCTTGCACCCGTCATGTTCCATACACGTCACAAGACCTAACCTTCGACTCCATGTCCTTCCGAAACTATACAAACACATCCCAGCGTTCCATCCTTGGGGTATGAAACGAAGTCTGTGCGGCGTGATATGCACTATCAAATTCTCGGTAGGTCCGAATAAAGCAGCATATAGACAGGTAGTTTGAGTTTTCCATAAATCCTACATGGAAACTATTGCCCACTTTGACATGTAAACTATTGATAAAAAAGTTCGTGTAATCACATGAGTGGTTGATTCAAGTCTGACATTCCATCCTGTATTCTGAAGCATATTGTGGAACTCATCACAATTGCTCCCGATTGGTTAACCTACCACTAATGTCTTGTGATGAATTCGCATTCCCGCACATATACGATAAGAGGTCGATGGATGGGGAACCCTTCCCAATCAATCTCTAATCTAGACCACCACCATTTTACCCCAAGATGAAATTCGTTAGGTAATATTTTCTGGTGTTTGTTGACCATTTCAGGAATTTTCATCCAGTCGATAATGTTTACGGTGAGCTGAGGGTGCGCAGGAAAAAAGAAAGGTTTCTCAAAAATCAAAGCTTGCACATATGAGCTGGAGTGAAAAGTTTGGTAAACCGATGATATTCATAGAATATGGTGGAATTATATACTTATATAATAGGTAGGTAGGTATAATATTGTAAATGCCAATGAATGTCCGGATGCTCGCGTGCTATGGTGAACTTTGACCCCGCCATTAGTCCATTAGCCGTAGAACAAGTTGATAGTTGATATCCATCCATTCGGAAAGCGACAAATTCAACCACCTCATCCAATCAAATCTGAAAGAAATTGCGTGACATATTTGACTAACTTGATGAGAAGTAGTGTGCGCCAAGTCGAAGATAAATTCAGGAACAAGGGAGGTACAATTGATATGATTTGAGTAACTTTAAAAAAAGCCGTGGGGAATTGATTAAGGTTATTTATTGTCTTTGCATCCACGAGGCTAGAAGTTGTAAATAATCATCATGTTAATGGTCGGTTGAATCCACTTGGATTAACATCTCACATGCAAGGCTGAAGAAAGTCAATGTCTCAGACGGGAAGAATCAAGTTGATGTCAAGTGGAGGAGGGAGATAGGTTAGAGTAGAGCAGCCAGCTAGATAGATAGCTAGTCATGGAAAACTGAGTATTGCGCGCTGCTTTTATCGAATTGCCTCGGGCTTTACCAAGTGGACAAGACAAGAGTTAGAAAAGAAGTTACGGAAAGAAATCATCACCCATTTTCTTTTGTCCCATATTTGACACGAGGCCCATACAGTGACTGAATCAATTTAGTAAACATTCTACCGCTAGCCGGCGGAAGAGAGCCGGTGATGCGCAATCTAAAGGTACCCGAGCATTTAGTTAGGCACCTAGTAAGTCTTACATACCTAGGCACTTATAGTTTCCATTTGCGGCAGGCGGCAGGTGGCAGGTGGCAAGCGGATGGAAGCATGGAGAAACGGCGTGGGACAAATTAGACAGACCGTAAGAAAACTACATAATAAAATAGAAGGTGGAGAAATGATAGACAACGCATGTCAATCAAATGCCAGATATCCTACCCGTGCCCTATCCTTGAGACTCTTGTACGAGTCAATCATATCATAAACCCATGAAGGAGTTCCCCGGCTTTGTGGTGAACATGAGTGTCTCGTGAGTCGTGGGTATCTGAATTGTTTACGGCTGCATGGGCCTTGTGGTGGCTAGAAGCACAAAGTATGGATGAATCCACTGTCACATGAAAATCAACAAATATTATAAGTCGCTAGTGGTTCTACTCCGTACTAAGTACCTATCAAACTAGATGAAGACTTCCATGATTCGGTTCGAGTTGACATGTAAGTAGAGTATACGAGTAGGAAGTAGGTACGGGAGGGATGTAGACATGAACCTGTGCGACGAGCAGGAACATGATACTTTACTAGACACCCCCCTACCTAGATATGGTCCTACTGGTGTACCTACCTACCTACCTACCTACCCAGCTACGGCACTTATTTCCTTATTGATAACACGATCGTTGGCTGCTTTTCGATAAGGTTCAGGACCAGGGGCATTGGCATTGGCTCCTACTATAAATGCAGGGTCCGTTCCAAATATCCAAATAGGACTAGCGTCAAGATTATCACGCAAGATCACACCAAATCGCAACATTTTCCCCCAAAACTCCCCCAACTAATATATGTACAGAGAAGAGGGTATGCATCCATCCATCTCTAACCACATAACAGAACCATCCACTAGGTATCATTTTATTCTCCCACTCCTGGTCTAAGTAGCTATTCCCAACAGTCTCGTCCTCTCAAAGCCATTTTATTCTTCACCGCCAGGTAATCTCCAGTCTCTGATTTCATATATCTATTCCTTTCCGTTCACTCATTCTTTCACTTACTTTTCTTCCTTTTTGGAGATCTTAACTGGAATATATATATATATATATATTCGAACTCTCCTCCTTCATCTTACCCCTCCGAAGCCTGTATCATATTACTCATTCATCTCTTGATCACATCATTTCCCCAGAGTATCACACCTTTCTACTATCACCCCTCCATATTATCAGCGGAGAATCTCCACATATTCCACATCCTTCGTTTGGAACCCAACTCATAACAGAATATACCAAATCTTCTCCTCACCTTAGGAAATACGGCAGAATATACTCAAGCCAATCTCATCTTCACCTTCTAGAGACTCAAGCAACAACGTCACAATGGCTCCAGATTTGAATACCGTTCCTTCTTCTCCACGGCTTGAGAAAAAGTCAACCCTTCCTTTCAACACTACCAACAATATGCCTTCAGGTTCGAAGCCAAACATTCTTTACATCATGGCAGATCAACTGGCAGCACCTTTATTAAAGATGCACAATCCTAAATCTCAAATTCAAACACCAAATCTTGATGGCCTTGCAAAAGATGCCGTCGTCTTCGATTCCGCATATTGTCCTTCACCACTGTGCGCTCCTTCTCGAATGTCCATGGTAACTGGTCAATTACCTTGCAGAATTGGTTCATATGATAATGCCAGTTCTATCGACCCATCCACTCCAACCTACGCACATTACCTACGAGCAGCAGGATATGAAACTACATTGGCAGGAAAGATGCACTTTATTGGAGAACAATTGCATGGCTATGAGAGTCGATTGACAAGTGATATTTACCCTGGAGATTATGGTTGGGCTGTCAATTGGGAAGATCCAGATAAAAGATTGGAATGGTACCACAATGCCAGCTCTATCTTACAAGCTGGTATTTGTGTGCGAAGTAATCAATTGGATTATGATGAGGAGGTGATGTATAAGTCAACTCAATTCCTTTATGATCATGTCCGTAAAGGACCAGATGCCAGACCATTTTGCATGACTGTAAGTTTCACATTACCCATTCAGTTTCATTTTCGCTGACTTTTCATCTCAGGTTTCCCTCACTCATCCTCACGACCCTTATAACATCCAAAAGAAATTCTGGGATCTTTATGAAGGTGTTGATATTGATCTACCGGAGACCAAAATTCCACAAGAAGAGTTAGATGCACACAGCAAGCGGCTGTTGAAAGTTTGTGATCTTTGGGGTAAAGAATTCACGGATGAACAAATCAAGAGAGCTAGGCGTGCATATTATGGAGCAGTCAGTTACGTTGATGATTGCATTGGAAAATTACTTCAAGTCTTGAAGGATTGTCGACTTGATGAAAACACAATTATTGTTTTCAGTGGTGATCATGGTGATATGCTTGGAGAGCGTGGCCTTTGGTATAAGATGTCTTATTTTGAGGCATCTGTACGGGTACCTCTTCTCGTTCATTACCCAAAATGGTTCAATGCACACCATGTATCGGAAAATGTTTCTACATTGGATATTCTTCCAACATTGGCCGATCTTACCAATGTTGCATTATGGCCAGGTCTTCCTATGGATGGTTCATCCCTTCTTCCACATCTTCAATCACGCCCAGGTGGATCTGATACAGTATTTGCGGAATATTGTGGTGAAGGTACCATTTCACCAATGATGATGATTAGACGTGGAACATGGAAATATATCACATGTCCAGCAGATCCGGATCAACTTTACAACCTTGCTGATGATCCTAAGGAAGTTGTCAACCTTGCATCTCTCCCTGCTAAACATCCACTTATGACGGAAGGAACCATCAAATTTTTGAAAGATTTCCAAGCTGAAGCAGCAGCTAAATGGGATTTTGAAAAGATTACTAATGATGTTTTAATTTCTCAACGTCAAAGACGTCTTGTTTGGAGTGCTCTTAAAGTTGGTAAATTTACTAGCTGGGATCATAATCCAAATGATGATGGTCGTGAGAAATATATTCGATCACATATTCCACTTGATGATCTTGAACTTCGAGCTAGATTTCCTCCAGTTGATAGTCATGGAAGAGATTTGACTGAAGTTGGTATAGGTGGTTTGGGTGCCAGTGGTACGGGAGGTGTGGTTTATGGTCAAGCTGGCTCTCATGGTCTATGATCTTTCTTTTAATTTGAAGCATTGCATATTAATATTTGAGCGGGCGTTGGAATTTTTGAGGAAGGTATCGCGAGCATGATTGTTATATACCAAATTAGGTTTACGTTTTTCATTTTTGGCTTTTAAAGTATTATGGCATTGCGAGGTTTTAAGGATAGGATGATGAAATTATGATATTTGACATGGGGATATATGAATGAAGGAGCGAAAATGGGAAACAATTGATAGCTTTGCATGGATATTCATTAAGGATAATTTACATTATAAAATCCCCATCTTCCACTTAACAAATCAACACCAACCCTCCCTCCATACAAAGCACTCTGTAAAAAAGATATTCTTTCTAGCTTCCTATACTATTTCCATCATGATGTCATCAACGCTTACAAAAGCGAGACGGATGCTGGGACGGCGATTTTGTAGTTTAGTATTAGTATTATATTATAGGTTTCTATTTTTTTCTAAACAGGGTTAGATAAAACAGGGTTTGATAAATATTGAGGTATATTTAAGGTGATCTGGTGTTTTTTATTATTATTGTAGATAGGTAGGTAGGTAGGTAGGTAAATATTGTATTTTGGTTTTTTGAGGTGAGGTGTGGTAGGGTGGATAGTTTTTTTTATATGTATTTGTTAGGTGTAGGGTGTAGGGTATAAATATATAATTTATAATCTATATAGAGTTTAAAGACTTTATATCTTATTTGGATTGTATAATGTTTTTGATATATTAAAGGGAATTTAATTTAAATAACTTTCAAAAAAAAAAAAAATTTAAGGAATTTTTGTTTAAATAGATTTCTGAGGTTTTTTTTAAAAATACTTTTTTCAATAGTATTTATTTTATTATAATTAAAGATAACTTTTAATTTTAAATGATTATTTAAAATTATTATCTGATTTTACACTAGATACTATTTTTTTCTAATGGATTTATAAAGTAAATACCCTGTTATATTCTAAAGGGTAGAATAAATATCTTAAAGTCTCAAATATTCCGGGTATGGATAGAATGCCCATGTCTGTTTTTAGACCCTTTCTTAGACTTTAGTTTGTGATGGGTTGTTTTTATATAAGGTTACAAGAGTCCAGCGCGATGTATTAAATGATATATAGAACCTTTATACTCATATTTTGTGCTGTGTTGTCATGATATTGCAAATGGCATCTTTAAAAAAATCTTCCTACTCCAAAGACTAGATGGATTCCTCATTCAATTCACGTTGCTGTGAAAGATGGCTATCAAATAAAACAAGATTTAACAGAATATACAGTTAGTTGGAAGGAGAAGGAACTCTTTCCAGAAAAAAAAAAGAATGTGTTATTAGACTACACTGTCTACCTATCTATTATCTAATTCTAATCCATCTAAATTTACTTGGCAATAAATAAACCCAAATTCTTCATAAATCCAAAACTCAAGCAACATACATCCGGTAACTCCAGCTTTGAATTCCAGAAAAACCTCATCAGGCCATACTGAACCAAATCTAATCTAACCCAAATATCAAAAACAGAAAATAACATCACTCAACTCCCAACTCCATACTCCATACTCCGTCCCAAACAAACTTCCCAAACAAGAAAGACAAAGACAAACCAAACCAAAACTCACCACTCCAACACCTCATGTACCCCGAATAGTGTACATCAAGTGATAAGTACTAATCAGACTAGCGGTATAATTCATCATCGCTCGATTGTTGTTTATGTGCACGATGGCCCCTTTTAGCAGCAGCAGCAGCATCAGCATCAGCTTCTTTTTTCTTACGATCCGCACGTTGTCGACTCGTTTCCCTATTCCTTCCACTATCACCATGACGACGCTCCGATCTTCCGCTCTCGCGAGCTCCACTGCCACTCCCACCAGCTCCCGATCTTCCGCTCTCACGACCCGAGACACCTGCCCGACGAGCTTGCGGGTGAGAGTTCTCCGAATCAGCGAATGAGTCCGAGCCCGAACTTGGCGTTTGTCTATGCTTCTTTTCCACCGATTGCACTGGTTTCTTTCCCTCTTTAACTCCCTGTTTTACCTTTCCCGTATCTTGACTTCTGGAAGAAACACTCTTATGCGTATTCCTATCCGCGTTATCTGATGATAATCCTTCCGATAATCCAGACATATTGAACACATCTTGCGAATTCGAACTATATCCCGCTTCATCGCTACTACTCATTCTGTTTCCACGTCGACCGTTCGCGTCGCCACTTGAGTAGTCCAAGGGAGCATTAGGATTGTGTCTGCCGCCAAAAGTTTCCATGTGCGGGGCATTTCCGCGTCCGAGAGCATACGTCTGACCAGTTGGTCCGGGTAAAGAAGGCGCATTTGAGCTGTATCCGGGAACCTGTTGATTTCCCCGAACGCCCTGCGCTACATATAGTGGGTTATTACGATCGATTTCAACGTGGCCACGAGGACGGTAAGATGGTGGTGCTTCATCGTTGTTGTAATGCTCTGTAGCTCGGGCATCTTCCAATTCTTGTCTCTGAATCTCCGCTCTAGTAAGAGTTCGTCCACCTGAGTTACCTGCTGCCGGAACACTTTGAGGCTCTGTACGAGATCGTGAACCTGAGCTCAGGGCATTTGGTCCAGATGAAGGTCTAGTATCTGTACGAGGTCTTGAGCTTGAGCTCGAAGCACTTGGTCTAGTATCTGTACGAGGTCTTGAGCTTGAGCTCGAGGCACTTGGTCCAGATGGAGTTCTAGTTGCCGCACTGCGCTGGCTATTTACTCCTGCTGTGAGATTGGATACTTCCTTTCCATTTTTATCGTAGGCACCACCAACATGTCGACGATATTCTCTATCGGCTGCGCAGTACTTATAAGTTTCAACTGCCTTTCCTGCCTTGTCGTATCTACCATTTATGTCACGTACCCATTTCTTGGTTCTGCCGTCTTGGGAGTATGTGGTGATTTTCTCATGATCTGCGTCGTACTCACCAGATGAACTTTCTTGGTAACCCCCCTGGGATTGGGAATATCTAAAGGTTTTACGGGACATTTCTGTTATAGATGGCTGTATGTACTTGTTGTAATGCGTATTTTTCGTGATGGTAAGATTGTACTGGAACTTCTTGAAAGTGTTTGATGTATTGTGTTTTGATGTATTGATTGTTTCATTAAAATGAGAGAGCTCTATTTATACCTACTGAAATGTTTGTAACACGTAAATATCGATCAGTCCGTATGGTATGTATTGAAGTCTACATTTGACGATCAAAAGGCTGCATGTTGCCATGATTACGGCCGCGACCGAAACTGAATGGGACACTGCCTGTATATTGTCATGGAACTGGTCGATTAACTTCAATAACATGTTAATCATCAGTGGTTTAGAAGGGTTTAATGTAATTTTCGAGGTCAATGTCAGGACACTTAAAGAATTCACCCAATATAAATGAGCCTGTAGTACATCAACCTCCTAAAGTTCCATACTAAGAGGCCATAAGTGGATCCAAGCGCGTATGTAAAATTTAGAAAGGGTCGTCGAAGTTGGCATTAACAAATGCAAAAAGCGCCATATCTTTTGAACCTGTAGGTCGACATAGGTCTAATAACAAGCCACATACGGATTTAGAAACATGTCGCCTAATCGAAAGATAAAAATTAATCCTAGGCCTACTGACCCAAGTCATGGTCTCAAACTTGAGACCGTGTTATTGAATAACCGCCAATAAGAAAATGGGTGTCATCTCATATCTAGACAACGAAAATTGGAGGAATCCCGAGGAACACTAATCCAACAGAACGTCCAACCTTTAACGCCCTAGATTTTATATTTACGCTTGTTGCAGTTGCTGTTGATGATTCTGCTAAAGCCATTTCTGAGGAAAAATTGCCAGTGCATTGCTATTTCTCAAAGCAGTAGTGGTGATGCTGGTTGCAGTTGAGTCATTGAATTGAGAATGTCGCATTCGTGAATTTGGTCGCTGTTCTTGCACTCAAACTTGCTTTATCGATCGCCTCTCCACAACGTTGTGATCTTCTCCACCCATCAGCGACTTCACTCTCCCATTAATCCAATAAAAAGCAGCCAATAATAATTGAATTCGTACAAGGTCAGTCATAAACTCAAACTTATAGTAGCAAGTGAGCCAACCCCGACTTGGCACAATCTTTCGTGAGCGTATACAGAAATACTTGCGCAACAATTTTGACGGGCACAAGAGCTTCGGGAGTATACCCCCCACATATTCTTACGCGGCATCACCATACCGCATTGCAGACCTTTTTCATACCTTTAAAATATACATCAACAGACTCGGAACAAGTCGTTGTGCATATATTATCAAAGCCTATAAAGGTATTAAAGTTGCCGAGTACAACTTATTAGTTAGAAAAATCGACAAGATTTTAAAGAATGAAGGGCGGCACTATTGGCAAACAGTTAACAACTGGCGATAACGATATATCCGAAGTTTTGAAATTTTGTGCGGCATAAAAATGGTCTCGGCATCGAGACTGTCCGATCCACCAATACGGAAGTATTCAAGCGTTTTTCAAACTCCATATCTGCCATGCCAAATAGGTACATGAAAAGAGGGTTATTATGATACAAGATGTAGTGGATATATCTCAAACTGTAGAAGGCATTCATTGATATTGCTTGGATGGGCCACATAAATACCGCTCAGTACAGGCTTATCGGAGAGCACGGGGTGAGTGTGTCAAATTGCTTAAATGGAAATGAACCACTTGAAGTCCGTCCTATGTGCTCGAAATATCCATATTTCGATTATCCAAGCTCCAATACAAGATCTCCAACCAAGAACTCCTCATTTAACCAAAGGTTAGTCCTTCCCACTGCCTGCTTCTTCCGCTACCAAATATCTCTAAGCATCGCTAAGAGCCATTTCTTCCATAACCATTATCTCGCATCTATGCCTCCACCACCAATCAATAGTCCCGCTGGAATATCCATTTAAGTTGGGGACTCTCCAGCGATAGGGATAAGAGCACTCAAATACATGATAAGAGGTTGAAATAAGTGTTGCAGAAGGTTTATATCAAATAATTTAGTAAGGATATTAAGCAAGAGATCAACCACATACTAGAGAGAAAAGACAAAGTGTAATATAACTCATGTGGATTATGACATTTACGAGGTTTGAGTGAAGACCACCGCTGACTTCGCCTAAATGAATCTAATACTTTTTGAATTTGTCAAGAGGCTAAATAAGAACGTATAAAGCGAGCTTAAAATTAAATAAACACAGGCTGTTCACTTTGACTGATTAGAGGTAAAGTGCTAAGAGCAACTGGTATAGTGGATACTGAGGGGTGATATCCACAGGTTCATCATCTTTCATACCTTCATGTCGAGATATAAGTAATTTCAACCAGTCAGATTCATTGAGTAACTTTACTCAATAATCTAGTTCATTATGTGATATAATTTTGACCGGACTTATAGATTTGTAGTGACAGGTATTCAGAGTTCGGAAGCAAACATTGAGTAGGCTCATGGAGCCACTGCTAGTGAAATGCAGCCCCAACTAATTTTCCAATCAAAGCATACGGTTACTACAACCCGAAAGGAACAAATGCCACCAACAACCCTATTGCAACCTTATATTCGTTTTCGACTTCAACACAGAATTCGGTGCCAATAGTCATTCGGGTCCGCAGTTTATGATTGTAGTTTCGAAAATAGGTAGATATAACCTGCGTTGAGGTATCGATGATTCACATCGCAATTATTCTTGATGCATAAGCAGGCGAATAGAAAGAGATTGTCGCTGTTCGTCTTCAGGGATTCACATGTATATGCCAATCCTTTCTACCGGCCCAATCTCGAGATTTCCATATTCATAGGTTACAATGTAGTCGATACTGTCTGCCACGACCTTTCTCCCAGAGCCAACGCCTAAAGTTCCTCTTGTTCTAGCAGAAGACCATTGTGGAGAGTAAATAATTGGAAGACACTGCTCTAGCTCAGATATGATTGGGGACATTCGAGGTCTGGGGCGTTTCGATCCTTTGAATGTGGTTCTTGCCTGAGAACAAGTAGGGCTGCGTGCTAGAAATTGGATTAGTATTCTGAAACCCTACCTAATTGTGCAGCTATTGGAAAGAGCATGCTTTCTTAATGGCGATGGGGTTGGTCATAAAAAGTAAGGATACCGGGATTTCCGATCTCCATCCTCAACTGTAGCCCAGATTCAAAGAAACTATGTCTGAAACGTAGATCAATGGTAACCATTGGTAAACATTGACAAAACGCAAAGATCCAGGTCTTCGGTAAATGAGTTGACCACAATAGCAGGACATGTGGTTAGTGTTCATCTTGTCGTTGTCCTTGTTGTCGTTGTTCTATGTTTCGCCTAAAGATTCTATAAATTCTTATTCGATACATCGCGGCTATTGCTGCCTTATAGCAAATGCCCGTAACTGATTGGACCACCACACCCTGGCCATCCCATCATTTTCATCCCTACCAAATCTACCAGTTCTAGCCCGTAGACGGCGTAGAGTGTATGGAGTATGAAAATCATGACAATTACAATAACCTCACAAAAATATATGATCAAATGGAATCTAAGGAGTCTCATATTCTTCAAATGCTGCATATGCAGAGTAATATATATTCTGTGACTCAGCAATTTGTATCTGCTCTGTTGTCAATTGATTTAATACGGAGCAGAACACAAGTCCAGCTCAATCTTTCTGATATATATATTTTAAAACACTTTTCATAATTCGACTCTTATTCATAAAAAAATACAAGATCTGTACAGATATAATTTAAAGAAAAATAATAATATTAAATAATATATAATATTATAATTTAACAGAATTAATAAAATAAAATAAAATAAAATATAAATAAATATTAAAAATTCCAATATTTAACTAATAAATCTTTACAACTGCAGTATAAAAATTACAAGAAAAATGTTTATGAAACTTTAAGACTGAAGATCAAAGATCATACAAATTTATTGATTTTGGCCCGGTATAGCGGGGTGCACTCTGATCATTCTCGGTAAACTTCTGAGTTGTTCTTTACCTACAAAAATTATTATACCTCTCTTTACTAATACATACAAAAAGAACATTCACTATTAGGCATCTATCTATCTACTTGTACAAAAGGTATCCATGAGAATTGTTGAGATATGCTGTGAGGTAAAACATAGCATTCATACTCTGGCAAAGAATAAAAATTATCACGTCATATCATATATCGATACAGATACCTAGAGATACAAGATACAAGATACAAGATACAGATAGTGAATCATGAGACAAGCCTTCTCCAGTTCTTCAATACGGCAGTCACACGTATTGAAATCCAGCCTCATTATATTTGTTCCTTTACACCGACTTCACTTCAACCTCTCAACCTGATGGATATACAGGTCTACTATCGTTTAATGGCAACTGATTATTAATTCTCATATATTGAAATCTTCCCTACTTCATAGCTTACTTAACCTCCGAATCACGACAAACTTCGCCTTTCAAGTCAGCGATAACCTACATCATCAAGGCTTGATCTATCGTATTTATTCAATCAAATCAAGTCTTGATGCAGCTAACCTCATGTCAATATCATTTCATCAATATCTCCTCGAAGCCTCCTTGAATTCACCCAAAGATATTAGACCCAACCATGGATATCAATCAACTACCACCAGAATTAATTCTATGTATTGGGGACACCCTTCGGAGAGCTCCACTTAACGCACTAGTCCAAACCTCTAGACGACATGCGACAATCCTAAGTCCTCTTCTCTATCACAAAGCTTTTCGTCGTCACTATCGTCCAGCTGTAGATCATGAACCTGAACCAAGAGCCAGATCAATATGGGTTTACAGTCGAGGTCGCAGTTATGTTTCTCAACGACGTCTATGGTCTTGCGTCCCGTTTTGGGATTCCGAATATGTAATGGAATATTTTTGCAATCGATCGCTGGAATGGGCCGAAACTCGCTTTGGGGGAAGAGAAAGGAATGGTGCTAATTGGTTACATCTATTGGCTGCAGCGGGCCATGAGAAGCTTTTGAAGATGTTCATGGAGAAAGGTCTTGATGTTAATTCACGTGACTGGGCCGAGAATACCGTTTTGCATTCTGCAGCAGCAGCGGGGCAGACCAAAACGTTTGATATTTTGATTGAAGCAGGTGCAGATATTTTGGCTGTGAATCAATCAAATCAATCAGTGTTGGTTTACGCATTGGTGAGACATAAGATGGGAGCTTGGATAAAAGTCATTGATGCCGTGAGAGCGAGAGGTGGAGATATTAATTCCAATAGCGATCACACAGGAGTACCACCGATATTCCTAGCTACGAGAGTAAGAGAAGCGCAACCAGTTATTAAACATTTCTTGGACAATGGAGTCGATGTTTTTCAGGTATTACCAACGAGTAATGATACCCTGCTTCACTGGGCTGCTCGTTTCGGTCATGAAGATATTGGAAATTTCTTAGTTTCACAAATGAGAAGTCGTCCCGAGTTCATCTCATTTCTTAACGTTCAACACGTGGCTCCTTTGCATCTCGCAATACGGCATAAATCGTGGTCCCTTGCTAAAACCCTGATATCCGATGGAGCAGATCTTGAAAGTCAAGATGAGTTTAACCGTAGTGCTCTGGATCTAGCTATCATCTATCGATGTTTCCCACTATTCCAAGATATACTATCTAGATATGCCCACCCGGTGAAAGCCGCTACCGAATTTAAAAAAGCCCTTACAAGAAGCATCAAAGAGAAGGATTCCACGGCAGTTCTCCACATAGTCAGCCTCCAAAGCCTCGAAAAACCCTGCAGTCTAAAATTTCAACTCCCGACCCTCCATTCGCTAATCGAAACTCACCGCAACAGCATCTCCGGCTGCGAAATCATTGAAATCATCGGCGACGCAAACGCAGATTTTCATCTCCTCTCCAAGCCTTCCGGTGAAACCCCACTCCACGCCGCAATCCGCAAACCTATCGAAAGCTCCGTGTGCCGCGATAGACTAATCACCTACCTTCTGCACAAAACACACGATTTTTCCCTGCTCACCCGCGAAGGAAATTCCATCCTCCACCACGCCGCTCGCTACGGATCCCCAAAAATAGTAGAGCTAGTCCTCAAACACCCAGGTACAACTCCCGAACTCTTCGCCCTGGAAAATAATGCCGGGAAAACAGCTCTACAAGAAGCAGCCCAGCGAAACGGAAATCATAAACAAACCGTCAAATTACTCATGCAGGCAAGAAAAGACTTCGATCACCGCAGCATAAGAGAGAAAATTATCTCGAGAAGTCCAAGAAAAATAGGAAAACCAGCAGTACCAGATCCACCTATCAGGGGCGAAAGTGAAATGGAGGAAAATCCGGAAATATTCAAGAATAAATCAACAAATATGAAGATGTCGAATGGTAGTATAGGATTAGGAAGTCCAATGGGTAAATCTCGCGAAAGAAGGATTACGGAACGGGGAAATTTTTCCATAGGGGAAAATCATGAGGATGTACCGTCGGAAGCTTTCCAAGATGTGGATTTTGAGGATACGGAATGATTTGTTGAAGAGTGAGAGAGTTTTGATGATGCGGTCTTAACTAGAGAGCTTATTTAGAATATATGAAGAACCCAACTGAACTGGATCGAACCGAATTGATACATTTTATCCATTATCCATCGTGGTGTCTGGGTTCGTTCGGGTTTGGGTTTGGGTTTAATGGGAGTTGGTAGGGGGTACGGGATGGGAGGGTGGTTGGGGAGCGCGAGGGTAATCGAAGGGGCACTTCAAGGGCTATTCGATTCGACTCGATTGGAATATGATTGGGTTGGGTTGGGTTAGGTTGGTTAGGTTGGCTTAGGTTATAACATTCCCACCTACCTACCATCTACCTTTCAATCCACATAGCATCACATCACATCACAGCACATAAAAATTACATAACATTAGATTCATACATACATACAGCGAAGCAATACAAATAAATAATACAAACCAAGTAATTACAGACAGCGAAATCAAAGAACCATAGAATCAAAAACATCACAAATAAAATAAGTTCAAGTTGGTGGTCTCAGCAATCCAATCTATATTTTTCCCATCCCCTATCCTCGTCCTCATCATGTATGTATGTATGTATGTATGTATGTAATCTCAGGAATCAAAGAAATTAAAAACATCATAAATAGAATAAGTCTCAGTAGGTAATATAAGATCTTGGATTATCCCCATTCCTATCCCCATTCCTATCCTCATCCTCGTCCTCATCCTCATCTTCATCCCCATGTAATCTTCATAATCTCCATAAACTTATAGGAATCTAAAGAAAAATCTAAAAATCTAAAAATATAGAAATTTAAGAAATCAAGAAATCATGGAGGTTAAAAATGACTACAAATATCATCCTTTCTTTTATTCATTTCTTAATCTCTCAATCTCTCAATATCTCAATCTCTCAAAATATTATCTAGTAATTAATAATATATTTATATTTATAAAGAATTCTGACTACACTATAAACAAACACCTCTACCACAAACCCCCACAAACAAAACCCAAAACCCAAAACCCAGAACCCAGAACCCAGAACCCAGAACTACAATCAAAAACCCAAAATCAACAAATGATCCATTTAAAAAATGCCCAAAACTTGTATATATATAAAAATAACCATGATTATCGATTGATTGATTAATTAATTGATCCATGCTCCCTATCCACACTCCATATCCATACTCCCTGTCGTACTCCACACTATACTTATACTCATATTTATACTATATGATTCGAATCCCAATCCCAATTCCATCCCATCCCACCCCAAATCCATCCAATCCATCCCATCCATCCCATCCAACCAACCTAACCTAACCTAACCTAATCCAAATCCATCCCAGCATATGCCATCCAAACCAAACCAATCCAGGCTATCGATCCCATCGCATTCCATTCCATCCATTTTTGACCATAGGTTTTTCTTTCAACTAACTACCCCTCGCCCCTCGCCCACCCACCCGTTTATGCATCCATCTATGCATCTATTCATCCAGATGCTAATAAAGCAACATCAATCGCTCCTTCCCTCCCTCCCTCCCTCTCGTTTTATCGCATGCCATGCCATGCTATGCGATCCCTTTCATTCATCCATTCATCTATCTATCAATCAATCAATACCTAGCAATCAATGAACCTCTAAGGCCCGTACCTATATCAAATAATTTTTGTTAATCAGAAAGTTTTTATTCTGATCATTCAGTTTTGTTTTTGTTCATCGACTCAGATATCTCTGATTCAATCCCATCCAATCCAGACGCCTTGGAAAGCATGTATGTACACTATCATACAATCGCAACTCCTTGAATTTCCCCCGTATCCTCTCTAATCCTTCCTCTCCACTCCTTCCTCTCCACTCCTTCCTCTCCACTCCTTCCTCTCCACTCCTTCCTCTCCACTCCTTCCTCCCAATCCAATCCTCATTTCCCCGACCACACTACCAAATAAACTGCTCCTCCTTCCGCCTCGGATCATAATCTCCTCTCTTAGCCCCCCTTGTCCCACATCTCAACTTCGCCCACTTCCTCTCAAGATTAAACTCAACCTCCATAACCATAACCCTCTTCTCATTCGGCACCATCTGCTTTTCCGATACTGTCCCCCTAACATAACTATCCAATGTCCCTTCCTCTACATCCATAATCCAACTGCCAACACCTGCACATAATCTCGAATCCCACATACCTTCTCTCCTATGACTTGACGTTAGGAGACTGATAGCTTCTCTTCTTAATCTTCTGTGGCGGCATTTTGTGGCAACGACGTAAAGTGGCGGGATGATGCCGAGATCAAGTGCAAAGGAAGGTTTAATATGTGAATAAGTTTCTTGCGATGAAGAGGGTCGACCATCAGGACCAGGACTAGGACTCATAACCTTAACACCAAATGGTGTCCTTATGCCCTTCTCCGCATTCAAACTTACATGTCTACAAGCTTTTCCACATCTCGCTTGCGCTAATGCTAATTCCTCGTCTACGATTAGCTCCTTGGCCAAGTCATTGATTTCAGCAAACATAGGAATGAATTGATCAAAATCCATTTCGTTTGAGGAAAAGGCTGTGAAGGTAAGGATTCGAGTCATTAAGCATGTCATTTGAAGCACGATCATGCCTGCTCTTTCAGTATTCGATGTACCAGATGCGCGACGTTTGGCGAGTAGTGGAGCGAAAGTCTCTTGCCATTGTTCGAGAGAGCGCCCAAAGCCGTAACCATTGGACTTTATGGACGCGGGAAGGATATTGTTGGATACTGTGTAAAAACCCACCAACTCCTCATTATATCGCATAATTCTCTCGCACAAAGCATCGAGCACTAATCTCGCTTCGTGAACATTGGGGAAACTTTCCGGAATCGGTGCTTCGATGGATGCGGTCGTGCCGGTTGAACTATCTGATGGGCTGGGCGGGTTCACTAGACCTGGATCGTGAGCTACGTGATATCTCCAATCGAGATTCGTCATTGAAGTAGTCGTTGAAGGAGATGGCGGTCCGGATTGCGATGCTACCGGATTGGCGATACTTGGATTGGTGGAAAGACGGATAACATGCGGAGCTGGAAAATGGAACGCCATGTCGTATGATTTGGCCTGAATGGCCATGCGTGTAAACATCTGCCCTAGCTCTTCTTCCACAATATCATCTTCGCGCTGAAGATAAGGTTTCTTTCTTTCCCTGCGCTGCTTTTCCATCACTCCCAAACCTACTTGTACTTGTGTGATAGCTGCTTTATGGTCCCCTACAAAAGATTGAAAACATGTAAACAAAACACTAGATATCAAAATCGTTCTTTGCGATCTAACTTCATTGTTCTCAATACTCTGCCGCATGCGCGTAATGGCTTTTCCATACTGGTCCCAAGCAAAACCCCAATGAGTAGGGGCAGAATCACCATTCGAATTATTTTGATTAGAGGAAGATGGGGAACTCGGAGGTGATTCAGCGACTTTTTCTAATGTTTTGTAGAGAGCTCCGAGGGCTATAACAGCATGGCGTATGGATGCTTCAGAATGCGATTCTTGGAGGACACTTCTCATCCAGAATTCCGAATCGAAGAAACCGGATAATTCGCTGGCGGTATGAGTGCGGAAGACTTGAAAATATTGACCTTCTTTTGGACCGAATGCCAGACCGTGAGTAGGTGGTGGAAATAAGTCAAAATCAATTTCGACGGAATTGGTGGTTGATGGTGTGGTAGGCGTCAATTGGCCGATGAACTTTGGTTCATTAATGATATGCGGTGCCCTCTTAGGAACAAGTGCCGACGAGCTAGGAGATGTCGTAGATATTATGGAGTTGTTGGATGATATTGGTTTTGTTTCCACGCCAGCGCCGGCGTGAGTCGGTCGTGGGGCAATTCGAAGAGTGTTACTGCCATGTCTATTTCTCGGATTATACGCCGGGTAACCATCGCATTGTCTTCCCGATCTAACACATTTCGTACATTGAGGTCTCGATTCATCGCATTTGACTCTTCGTAATCTATTTGGGGGAAGAAAGATGGATGAATTAGCTAAAGATTGATTTGCTTGTTATCACCGCCCGTTGCGGGTACCCATGACGCGGGGAAATTCAACTCTAAATACGAGGAAACGGGATCCCCAGAATGCTTAAATAAAAGTAAATATAGAAATGAGAAACTTACTTGCAAGTATTACATCCAGTCTTCACTTTGGGTCGACTTGCACGACGCTGCCTCACTCTATTTCTCGTCTCTGTCGCATCGGCCATGACTGTTTTGTTGGGGGGTTGTCTGCATTTCTTTGGGAAAGGTATTTTTCTAAGAATACTTATGCCCCTGCGACTCCCTAGCAGCGCCGCAATGCAACAGCACGTAATTTGTCCAGGGTCGTCTGAATGTTTATGGTATGAACTCGAGTATTGTCCCAAAGTTTGATTGAATTGAATGAAAGATGGGCGGCTAAGGATAGATGGAAAGAATTGCACAAGTTTAAATAAATAATGTTTCTCTCAGCGCATTTCAAAGATTGCGTTCAGATTGGTAAAGATATCGCCCATGTTTGACTAAATGAATGAATGAATAGGCAGAATATATAACACAAGGACACGAGGTTGTACAGTTTCGGTGAGTTGTTGGTTATAGAGTTTATGTAGATAATATAAATTGTTGTGTGAGTTGCAGTTGTATGCATGTATGTAGTATGTATGTATATATGTATGTATATATGTATATGTATGAGAAGAAATCGGATTAAGCTGGAGACGGGACTGACTGTGGGATGAGGGGGAGAATCATCCGAGAATTTCGACCTTTCCCCAGACTGACTCGATAATAACAATTCCACTTTTTGTGCGACAAATTGAGAAAAGTGTCAAAAAGATAACAAAAGTTTATTCGGTAGATGTTAAGACTTGGTAAAATAAAGCTCAGTGAGCTCCGTGGTAGAAGGGAGGGAATGGAGCGAAGGAATATGTGGTGCGTAGTACTCGAGCAGGTCAATCTAATCTAGGTTTGCAGTTTGCAGTGGACATCCGCAGCTATGCCGGAAAACTACTCAAACCGGTAAGCATTCCGTTAGAGCCAATCACAATACTAGATTATGCTCATCAAGTATATCCAAATGCACACGTACTCTCCATACTCTCATTCTCTCCATTCTCATTCATTCTCTCTATTCTCTCCACTCATCCCACTCATCCTCTCTATCCTCTCCACTCATCCCACTCACCCCCTCCCCTCCATCCTTAACATCCGACAATTACCAAAGCAAATGAGAACAAACGACCGGGTCTGATCTACCTCCGTATATCTTCCTGTCAAACCATCCCCCTCCTAACCTTATAACTCGAAGCCTGAACCTTGTGAAGATCCTCTTGCTTACATGCACCACTTAATTAAAATCCGTTGATCTGTATCGTAGCTGATGAAGGTTCTGGCTGGGATAAGATACACCCTTCTCTTTGTTGCTCAATGTATCGAACCAAAATTATTCTTACACGTGCATTTTGTCTTAGAACTCATTATGTGTTTCAAGGAAAAAGAAAGTTAGTTCTGGGAAATGTCCACCTACAGATGTCTAATAGATGTCTTCATTCATAATGGGTGCCCTTCCACTCCCCGCACCATTGACGACAGTAAGCATCAAATCATCTTGCTTGACCTCTCCGTGACCTACTCTATCTGCAAATAAACTAGAAAAAGCGGGAGAGTAATGCCGTAAACTGCGAGTGAAGAAAGGCTAAGTATTACTGGTGCTGATATTTCACAGGGCTGAGGAATGTGCTGACGCTGATGCCCTGAACAACTAGGGCTGACTGCTAGCATTCTGATGATGCATGTCGAGGGGGCGAATCACGAAACGGTATTCGTTGGGTTGTGTCTCGAAGGTAGATTTATTGCTAGATGTACTTAAGAATCGTGAAGGATCAAGTTTGAGAGGAAAAGAAGAAGATATTTTCGAGAAGTATTGGGTAGATTTGTCCATTGTTACATCCCACCATGCAACGTTGATGAAGAACCTAGAGAAGGCTCCTAGAGGCTGGAAACTTTTCTTTTTCCACCCTTATAAACAAAAAAGTTGTAAGAAAAGCTCCTCGGCTTATACTTTCCATCTCTATATATGATTGCGCAGAACTTCTACATTATGCGTACAAAAACCCTTGAATACCAAGCCAGGTCTAATAGTATAGCCCATCCCAAATCTACGGATTGCCCTTTCTACCGGTTAAAAGCAAGCACCGAGGTATTTGAATCCGGCACTTTCAATGAATGCAACATCAAATGAAGATCCAAATATTCTAGATCGACGCCAATTCGCCGTAGACCTGCGAAAAGCTTCATGAAAAGTCGAAAAAGCAAATCGCGGCGGCATTAGTCTCATATCTGACTATACCGCCAACAGCCAAGATGTGAACCATCATATAAAATGGTGATCATCATATTGTGAAGTTCAGAATATATGCTGTGGCGTCGATTCGACAGTTTATGAGATAGAATTTAGGAAATAATTGGTAAGATCTTAGTTATTGGTGTTGAGGTCTTCCGCTCCAATGGGAAGGCCGTAGCCACTGCAAAATCATCGAATCGCATCTTGATCCACCACGAGCATTTTTTTCTCCAATTTTAGGATATGATATTGAAATCTCCGTCAATGTAAAAATGCCGTGTTATATTGCTTGTTGTAATATTATTCAAGATGGTTTGATCGGTAGTTGAGTGGACATAAGATCTTACAAGTGTAGATATCTGATATGATCTGTCTTGGTGCGGATTTGGAGGATTATCATGAAATACTTCTCCGGAGAACCCAAACTCTTCTGGTGAGAGTCAGTCAATAGGGTTCCACCTTCCAAATTAGCTCTTCGACAGTGATAGGAATACTGTGGACTGATACGCGTCAAGGCTTGAGCTTTATTAGCTTTTAGCTTTTAGCAATTGTTCTACACTGCCAAAGACTGCCCCGTCTTGGTACGAGTCAGCTGTTTTGATTACTAGCTATGACACGCATTAGATTTTAGATTCCTAGGTAAATTTGTCCCGTGCTGTGCATATATCAGTTGGGAACATTTCCAAACCCTTGATTTGAAGATGCGATTTGTCGGCGACGGTTAGACGAAACATGGGTTCACATATTTGTTCGGGCCCGAAGCTGACCAGTGAGTGATAATGACTTAGATTCAATTCAATATTGATATGGACAAGACAAGAATCGATGTTTCTCGCAAGTCATCCCATATCGATCTAAATCCCGAAAGAAATATTTCAGAACTTTTTCATTCATTCTGTATGACTTTTTGCTTTCTAGGTATATCCTAGCAGAGATTCACAAATAGCTTCCTTCAGGTAAAAGATCCAGCACCATGGTTAAGATAATGGTGGTACGCCTAAAGCTCGGAGTCAAGGGTTGAACGTTCTAGTTCTGGAATCCCCGGGTTTGACCTCGGAAAGGGTCGAATCGGCGAATAGATTTGTTTTAATCTTTCTTTGTGTAATATGTATGTTCGGTGTTCTCCTCAATGTCTCAAGTGTTGATGCTTTGCGTTGTATTACCCTAAGGTTACTTGGTAAATAATATTCGTCGCTAGTCTTTGGCGAAAAAGCCATGAATTTCAGTTCGCTTTAGCTCGATTGAACCCAAGGAACTATTGAAATGGCATCGACAATTAGTTTCGTGACTTTCTCTCCTTTGAGTGACCTTGAATCTGCCCGCCCGCCCGTTCTCATCTCATCTTCCTGCCGGCGATCATCCATCATCTCACATGGTCACCATGTTAAAGGGCTGGCTGGCTGGCTGCACTTACGAGGAGGTAGCCCAAGATACCCTTACTAGTAGCGATATATGCTTGTAAGCCTTATCGTGCACGAAAGTCGGCCCATTTGTACTCGAGCCATATCCATCCTCATTGTCCCGCTTTGCTAATTCGTTGATATTACCATGTTTCGCCTTGGTCTACTTAGTTGTACTGTACAATTCACTAAAAACCATCATTAATCTCGCATCCTTTCTCTAGACCCCGGAAAGAAGAATCTGATCCCTGGTTAGATTCCGTTGATTTTCCCTAGACCGTTATCAAGCAAGCCCACTGGATCACTAATTTTATGGAGCACTAACGTAGTCAAGTACAGATATCGTAAAATAGGGAGCGGGAGTGCTACCGGTAATGGACAGATGGCATGTAATAGGTAGAGCAGGTAGGCTTGTACCGTGAAGTAGGGGGCATAGGCTTGCCATCACGTTGCGGCGGGTGGGAAAATGGATTTTCCGTAGCGATAGGAGGCGTAGCCTTTATCGAGCCAATTAAACTATGCGGGATGCCATATTCTTTTCTTTTTTGGCTGGTACACTCACTTGACATGGTTTGAAGATTATCTAGTAATGCTAATAATAATTTGATGCTTGGTAATATTACCATTACCATGTTCAATCTTCATCTCCATCAGATGAACCATCACAATACAACTCGAATCCTCGAGTATGTCTTTCCCAGCCTCTGATAAATATCGGTAGGCTATTATTAATACAACTACTTATTTCAATACAACTTACAATACCTGCCGGCCTAGGCACATGGATTTTCTTTTCTTTTCTTTTTCTCTCGCAAAGTCTTCAACTAATAAGGTTATATGGACGGACGACTGTATGGATGGGTTCCACTATCTACCCAAAAGTAACAAAGTACGTACGGAAGTATAGTATTGTATTAGCTATACGGGAGTAGGTCCCGACTCAGCAAAACACCCACTCCACTCTTGTGCATCCTCGATTCGCATCTCGCTCTGCCTTGTCTTTGTCTTTGCCCATCATGCCGCCCTCGATCACACTCGCAGGGCCACTTGCAAGTGGGTTTGAACCATTCTTTCCCACGTGTACGGCTCGGTCTAATCATCCTTCCATCCAAGCTTCCACATTTGCTCCAACAATGCCAATTAGTCTTACTTTTTGGCCCCATTTCAACCAATCGCAACTTTTGAAACCGGTTCACACCCCAATTCAAACTTCGCGATTATTTCCCAAAAGGGTTATCATCTTTTTTGAGACTACCTAACACATATCGCCGCAACGTGCACAAACAAAACCACACCTTGACATTACCACACTCCGTACTTGTACGTACCGTCCTGATAAATAACATTTTAACTCTTGATTAAAATATTTTCAATGGGAAATAATTGACTAGTAATAAAAATGTACACATCCCCACTGATCATACTTTCCTGAAGATCGATCTTGTTAAACCTATTCCATTCCATTCTTCTATTATTATTATTATTATTTCTTTGGAGATTTGCATTTTTTTTATAAGAATGAATGCTTTTCCCGTTGCCGTTTCATTAATATCCACATTGGCATCTCCTTATATGAAATGAGTGTTGGGAGTACTATCACATTAAGAAAATTAATCATCAACTTCATCGCTTGGAATCAAATTTGCTATTGCAATAATTCAGAACGAATATAATATTGGATCCGAAGTCTTTGTCATTTATCACTTATTCATTCTCCGGATATCCTTTTTGCTTTTCCTTCATCGACAGATCGCCGCATCACATGAAACGGCGTACCGCTGCTTTGGGAAAAGAAGCTCGTGTTAATCTTACTCTATTCGAAGTTATCTTATATCACGCCCTCCAACCAAAGCGCCCTAATGGTGACCACCATCCACGCTCGAATCTTTCGCCACAGTTATAGTCAAGGGCACGAAATAAAACATTCAGTTAGTCATCAGTCGAGAAGAACAGAGCGAGAGAGTTCATTACCGAGAAGAATGGACAGGGAGAGCTCCCTCCCGGCAACCACCTGTAGTAGAGGTCATACGCATCCACCTTGGAATACTTCAGGTGTATTGAGGATAGCGAAATGTGAAAGTGTGTGTGGATTCTGTATGAAGGAGACAGATACAGCTGCGAAGTTGAGGAAACATGTTGCCATTCATATCAAAAATGAAGGACTTAATTTGACAATAGCAGAAGCTGCTAGTGGGAGAGGAAGATTGTAAGATTAACATCTTGGCGGATTTTCATTGCAAAAATTCGTCAACAAGGAAATGCTGCTGACAGTTGCTAACATATCGCATAGAGAAGCTCCAACTCACAAATATTCATATGATACATCAGGATGTTCATCACATGGCCATATAACGCCTCTGGAGGATGAACATCCTCAACTCACATATTCATCACATACGCCTACCTATTCAACGTACTCTTCCGCGTCTCTCACTCCATCACCATCTACATACAAAAGTATAGCTCAACGACCTCCAGCAACCTCATCCTCCAGCTATGATACATACGCATCGCATCGCTCCCCATCCTACTCCGCCGCTCCCAGCCCAAGCAGCACCACCGCTCTCTCAAACTATCGTTCCTTAGCCCAAGGCTCAACTCACGCCCGTACCGATCCTTTCTCCTCCCTGCGCTCTCATGCCTTACGCACAAAATTCGAATGGACAGTCATAACCCCTTCCGAAGGCTTCGCCATTCTCGATTACTGCAAGTCCATGTCTCAAGCTAGTAGCGAGCAAGTTCCGTGTTACAACCGCGAAACACTGTTTGATGAAGAGTGGCAAAGCCACATGAGAGATATCCATGGAGTTTATCTGATATGGCCCGAAACCTGGATGAAAAGGGTAGAGGTGTTAGATTTAGAGGGGGTAGGGGGAAGGATTGAAGGCGTTAATGATCTGGTTATGGAAGGAAAGACAGTGGAAAGTTTTAGCCTTTTTGGAGATGAATGAAACTTCAAGGGGCATTTACGATAAAAATCTGAATTTGATGGGAAAGGATTGGAAAAATAACAAATACTGGAAAAAGTACCAGGACGGCATGGACTTGGAGGGAAATATACGGGATTCAACAACTTGTACACGCAAGGATGGAGTTTTGGGTTAAGAATCGGGCAGGCAAGGGAATGCATTAGAAAATGGAAAGGTCGTAAGGCAGGGCCCAGGCGTGCAGTGGATTATTTCATTATGATTTCCATTCGTAAGATGGTTATTCTCATATTCTATAATGATACGGATATGAAGATGAAGGTAGAATGAGTACGTAAATACATGAACAAATCTTAAGTTAGATCTTCTAAGATTACTTAGTGGTTTAGAATGATAGCTATCAATATAACCATCTGCTTTCAATTTCTCATACATGGCAGTGGATACTGCGTATTCCACACTAGCATGCGACAAGCAAGAAATCTTGACGATTCTAGTGACGCTCTTCTATGAGTGGTATTCTGGATGGTCAACATCATTAATCGCTGCTATCAAAAGGTGACAAAGCCTTTCTGTTTCTAACTGCAGATAGCATATATATTCTCCACGTCAAGGTAGTACCCAAGATTTCGACATCCGATTGATCACTTCAGCGAATTTCCATCAGTCTGAAGGGTCTCCATACACTTTCTCTTTCGAGAGACCTCTTCCTTGTGCAGATACTACAGTCACTATTCAAGCCCATGGAATAGTTTCCTTCATCGAGGATTGATACATGTTCTAAATTCCCGCTACATATCCCTTCCCTTACCTTCCTGATTCCTTGTCAAAGATGTGCGAGTGGACTTAGCTTAGCACCGGGAAAATCCTTGGAATACTTACTTTCCTTGATACGTCCATGGGGCAAAAGCTTAGTATCATGAAAGCTAATCGGAATGTTAGTTTTGTTGTCACTAGGGAAATACTTCCGATATATAGCTGGCACGAGGTAATGGTCTCGGAATGGTTTTCCCGGTAAGCCTTTCTAGGATGCATGAAGTTAGTCAGATTGTAAGCTAAGGAAGATCAGGATGCATGAATTTTATCAAGATACAAGCTAAGAAAGATCGGACGCGGTGCTTTCTTCTTGAAAAGACTAGGAGAAGGGCTAGAATACTTCGCGGCGCGGAAATCTAATTTACTTGGCTTTACTTTGAGCTTGTCGGCTGCGAGATGCAACTGACATTGTCCTCTCAATCATATGGAATAAGACAAAGGATTTAAGAAGTAAGGTTGTCAGAGCCTGGAATCACTGGGCTATTCTTCAAAGTTCCTAACATGGAGAATACCGCTCAGTCGACTTTATTGATCATCTCTGGCGCCACGACATGAATATTATCTCGAACGCTCAAGGAACTTCCTCAGACCTTCTCCTATTGATTCTTCTAAAGGATTTCTTGTCCGAATAGTGGCATTGATTGTTCTCACTAGAAGGAAGAACAATATTAAGAGGACAATACTAAGGGGGTTCGCTTAAAATTCTTTCGCCTTCATATTCCTTTGATACTTTTGGCGAGAACTTTGAAGATTGAATAGCTTCACGAATCTTTCCATGATCTTTGAGTAATAGGTAATGGATCCCAAAAGTTCTTTTGACGAGGAGAACAAGAGCAAGAAACTTGCTTATCAGTTTCCCCCATGTGCGATAATGGAGATATATGGATTTTGAAGGAAGGAAATGTGACAAATGTTTCCTGAAAAGGAGATTGGTCAATGAGAATCTTTTCCCTTGTTGGGTTCCTGGCGCTAGAGAACAATGTTAAGGATTCTGTGCACAATGTTAAGGATGAATAGCTTCATTTTAACATCTGACTCCCTTTCACACGATGAGGGAATCAATTTCCGCTCCAGAACGGATCTTCCGAATTTCCTTGTTGAGTAATTTGAAAGTGCAAATCCAGATGTCATTTTCCTTCGAAATGTCTTCGAGAGCCTAGGATGAAGATTCCACTCACTCTTTTCCCTCTCTCCTTTCCATTGACATTAACCTACTACACTACATGTACCCTCCTAATCCAAAACCCAACCTTCTTTGTCCCCACTGAACAACTCCCACATCCCCACCCAAATCCCCCTATAAAAACCCCTCTCCCATCCCTCCTATCCCGATTCTTTTTTTTTTCTTTCCTCACCAAGTTACATTCACTAAGAACACAATCTTTCACCCAAAAAAACCAAAACCCACCCCCCAATAAATCAATCAAAATGCAAGGACCAGGACGCGGATGCACTCTTCAAAAGGCCGCTGGCCCAGACCGCGGATGCAGTGTTCAAAAGGGACCAGGACGTGGATGCAATGTTCAGAAGACTGCCGGACCCGATCGCGGCTGTAACATCCAACGTGGCCCTGACCGTGGTTGCTCCGTTCAGAAGGCATAAATGTCTCGTTTGAGACATTGTTGAGGGAGAGATAGATCAGGGGGATATACGACTTCCTTTTTCTTTCGATCGTGATGGACGCTAGCTACTCTTGCGACAACTACATACAAGTTTTACCCACTACCTACCGCGATCGAGGAAATGTGATGGGAGATATTCTCGACAATTTTACATATACATCTATCAGCACAATCTACATCTACATGTACATGTAAAACTCCATGAAGCACCTCCCCAATTTAAACCGCCAAACGCACACGAACGCTCTACATAGATGGGTTTTCCCAAAAATAGACACCACAAATAAAAAATAGAAAAGATTTTTTACACGGCAGTATGAACAAGCACACATAAGTTTGTTTGTTTATACGCACCACATTCATTACGGTCAATCACCCTTTATTTTGGCCCCAACTTTTTACTTCGTCAGGTACATATACATACACCTTTACCATTATTACATTCTATACATCATCGCAATACATTATCGCAGAACTCGGTATGAGTTGATCATCATATCGATTTTGTTGTACGCTATTGCGATAGATATGTGGGCGAGGAATTTTCGCACAAGCTTGATGACTTCTTTTGGGTTACTTTTACTTGAAGGGAGACATTTGGAAATTTCTGTTGGCTCGAGTTTTTTTAGATTTGGCCGTTGCTGTCTGCTAAGACGGTGATGCGCCTTTTTATATACTTGAGAGAATCAAACTCTTATTTTGCTTTCTCTATATTATGGCTTCCTTTTGCACGTTATTGTGATATGATGTGATGTGAGGGTGATTTGATGACTTTTTGTAATGAACATGATTGACTTTGAGTATGACTTGTAAATGGGTGCCTCATCGAATTTAGTTATCACCGAATATAACCTAGAGATAGATAAATGCTGCGTACAATACAATGTTTGGAATCACAGCGAACGATACTTGTTCGTCATAATCTCTACTGCAGCTTATTTTTCTGATTCTCTATGAATTCTCCGTAAAATTCTAATATTTCCACCTTAAGGAACTTTTGGTCGTCCGGGTTTCATGAAGTTGTATATCATCATTTTTTTAAAACCAGACGAGATATCAGTATGTTCTTGAAGGCTTGAAGAATTCAAGACATTTCCAATCATCATTTGAATTAGATATGTCGTTTCAATAATGTAGTAACAGCGGAACTATCCTGGAGTAGATGTGTTGATAGCCAGATGCATAATAACACAATAGGAGGAACTTTCCTATAGATACCTTGCCAAAAAAAAGATACCTTGCCAAAAAACAGAAAGAAATCAGTGAAGCCATAACACTAAAGCATTCAAATCACACTAGTGATGAAGTTGAGATCCACGGCTATTAAAGGGTTTGATATGCAAAACATTCATTGATACATTAATTTCTCCAGGCCTATCATAATTTATCATAAAATCATGACACCAATTGCTTTTTACCCCTTTGACCTATAATTCTTCAAAATATCCTCAATCCACCATTCCTCCCTCCCCAACCACCAGTCTAAAACCTAGAAAACGGCAACCACTTCCCCCTCAAGGTAATAACCGCCCAATTATTCCCCTGCTCATCAACCTCCTTCTCAACCTTCGTACTGAAAGAAATAGCACTCATAATGCCATCCCCAAACTTCTCATTCAAAACCGCCTTATAAGCATAACCATAATTCTGGACAATCTCATACAAACGATAGATGAGCGGTTCAACAGGGGGCATCGGACCCGCACGACCACGATCCGGGAACCCTCCCAGTTCAGCTTCGAGTTTGGATTGAGGAACCTCGAGAATTTGTGAGAGTTTTTCAATATCCGCCGCGGAGGCTTGGGCTTGTCCGTAGAAGAGTGCTGCGACTGCTACTTCGGAGCGGCCGAGTTCCTGGGCGATGGATTCGAAGGTTAGGGATTTGGTGGCTTTGGCTTCGAAGAGGGTTTTGGATGAGGATGGGAGTCGGTCGATTAGGGTGCTCTGTTTTAAGTGCGTTAGTTGTGAAGAAGTTTTGGGGACTTTGGCGATATTATGATTATTGGAGTCTGGAAGCGGGGTAGTTTTCACAGGAGGATAACTTACATCGAGCGTAGCGATATTGGATTTATCAGACATATTTGCGAATTGTGTTGAAAAATACCTTACTTTTCTTTATTTGATTGCAAAATTGAGTCAAAAGATCAATTCGAGGTCGGAATGGTGTTTATAATTCACATCTCAAGCTTCCCTTTGCCATATCGTGTGGGATTTGTCAATTGCGGGGGAGCTGTTGGAAGCTTGGCTTCGGATAAATCGCCATCAACATTTCCGGGACAACTCCGAATGCCGTTCAACATCTAGAACCGAACCCTGGCCCTTGGAGAATAGCATATCACAATCGGCTTTTAGAAGTGGCAACGGTTTCTGCGGGGATAAGGTTTGTGCTATCACAGCTAGATGCCGAGCATCTAAACCTCAATTACAGAGGAAAGTGCCCATTTGATTGACATATGCAGCTGCGTAAGTGTTTGACATCACTTTTCCAATGCACTGAAATCGGTAATCCCGTCATCTAACTAGTTAATGGTTTGTCATTCTCGTTTCGTCATAATATCACAAAACATCCCGACTTTACTCCCGATCTTATGAATTCTTGTGGGATTACTAGGTTAGCAAGTGGAGGTTTTCGTTTGTCATAATTTGTTGAAATGGAGTCCAAGATCTTATTTTCACATCATTTCTGGATTCACATGATAACGCCCATATATCATTGAACACGGCTATCACACATAAAAGTACATATTCATACCTAGATGGTTCTGTATGCAGCTGGGAATCAATAATATAAATGTGGTCGCTAGGTCGAAAGTTCGATTTCAGAGAAACATCTGTTTGTTTGGCGCTGAATCCCATTTACGCCAGTCCTGTCATGCAACTACCCTACTGAAAATGCCAAGCGCAAATGAAAAGAAAAACAAAAGCTGGCTACCTTTCTACTGCCTTCACCCGTCAGAAGCCAGGGTTAATATACAATACGATATCCTAAGAATAAAAGCGGTATGGGGCAAAGTGGCCAAAAACCAAGAATGAGACAACCGTTTGTTTAGTGGGCGCAAGGCAACGTCGGCGCCTTTGACGATCTCTGGCAGGATTCCGGGTCCCCGCTCCTTGCTGTGAAAAAATTGGTAGCCATGGTAATTCTTTTTGTATTTTATGTCTTTTGATAGGTGCGGTGTCATTATGCTCTGCAGTTTTGCTGGCCACATGTGCATGCACACGGCCGCATATGCAAATCAATACCATAAAAGCAATGCTTTTATACGGAGGTATATGGGCTCAATAGTGTTAGGGCCAAATTTCTGCTATCAACCGGGAGATTCTGCCCATAGAAATAATCTTTGCAATGTAGGGTGGTTTGTAACTATTTTATCACATACCTCCGTTTTCCATATCCTCAACTTAATCCTGCCACCAACCTTCTTGGTCGGAAGAGCACAAAGAGCTAGGGGAAAAGACTCACAGACTCATGGCTACGCCCAAGTATGCGTTACAGGATGTGTCGGGAAAAGGGAAAGGACTTGTTGCGACTCAAGAAATCCCCAAGGGTACTCGGATTCTTGAAGAAAGGCCAATCATGACAAGGCCTAAACGAGCACATGAAGGGTTCTCCCTTCGAAATAAATTTAATGCCCTCAATGAAGCCCAACGGCAGGCCTTCCTGTCTCTTTCCAACGTACATCCTTTCAAGGATGCCAATGAGCAATACTTGGGAATCTTCAAAACAAGTGGTCTTCCCATGGAAAGCGATGATGAAGGCGGATTATTCATTGAATATCTCGAATCAATCACGCCTGTGATCATAACGCCTGTCACAGCTGGAACACGAAAATGAAACGGATGACTGTCCACGCTTTGAGGAACATTCAAAAGGCGAGGAGATCACAATAAACTATCTTGGATCTCGCCCCTGGGCTCATGAAGTTCGACTCAGAATCCTCAAGGAAAATTTTAAGTTTTTGTGTTCATGCGATCTTTGTTGTTTACCGCCGGAACAATCCGGACAAAGTAACAGAGAATTGATGGATATTTATCGAGGAATGGCTCTTGTTCCCCGCGTCTCCACAAGATATCCATTGCAGGCCGTCGAGCAACCATCCATCCATGGGCGATTTTTATGGATTATCTTCTCAAGAGTGGGCGACCGCAGTCGATGATGTTCCATGGGGACTGAAATCTTATGAATTTGAAGATTGGGTTTGGAGAAGAGAGGGGCTGCAGGATTCACGATTGTTTTCACATCGCCCAAACATCTTTTTGTGCTATTCAATTTTCCCTGCATTTGACGATCTTCCACACAAGAGAGAGAAGAATTCAAATTTATACGAGGACGTTGGTACTTCTACTTGCCGGCCACAGCGCCACTGGTGCTTCTTGGGTGAGATTGTGGAGTTTAAGAGGAGGGGCTCCATCAAAATTCTAATCGAAGACATTGATGGTACGAAGGTCGAACTCATACTGAATACCGATGCACGAGCCAAAAGCCCTGCACTTACTCAGCTTCGAAAAGGGCATACGGTCGCAGTTCTTTACGCACAACGTTGCGGCGATGATTGTAAGCCAGAGATCAGCCTGCAGAACGCCGCATTACTTCAGGTATGATGGCCAAGCAGTCTCTGTAAATACTCATGGCTTGGTAATGTCTTGCTAATTCGATATAGATCTTCCCAATCTCGCTGCACAACCTAATCGCATTAGAGGATGTGGCCCAAGAGTTCTCTACTAAAAGAGAGACTGCTAATACCAGAATATGCCACGCGGGTGGGAAGAAATCAGCATCCATGGCAAAATGCGGCCGATGTTCGTTTTTCTGGTATTGCAATCAGGTTCGTCTACAGAAGTGCTATTTGCCATCATGTAAGATATTTTAAATGTGAATAGGTACTAACTACTATGTGCACAACAAACAGAGCTGTCAGAAAGCTGGTTGGAATAAGAAAGGGCATAAAAATGATTGTAAATTCCTTAGCGAGCCTAATCTGAGAGGGATGTTTGTTATGAAATGGGATGAGTTTAATGGTGTTGTTCAAGTTCCTTTGGCGGTGGATGGAATTAGGTGAGGATATTCGTGGGACAGTTTTGATGAGTGGACTTTATGGTGAAGCCAAGCGTTAGCCATTCAATTTAGCTTTCATCTCTTTTCAAGTGACTTTTTGGGGGGATGGTGGAGGGAATGATGCTAGCATTTCGTTCCATGTTTCAGCAATTTTTGACCACATGCAAATCAGATCAAACTTCTCTTTAATTGTCGAAGGTGAAGTTGCGGTCTTATTTAAGCCCCATGCATCGTGTAGGTGCTCCATTCAGTTTTTTTTGGGAAAGATATTCACTCCACTTGTGGCTTGGTATATTATATCATTACAGCCTGGCAACTTTTGTTTATCTATTCTCACAGCATCCCGGAACACAATCAATACCTAGCCATAAGCCACACAGAGCCACAGGTAGATGATATGTAGAGCAGTACAATGCTCGATTCAATCTATGCGAAGCGACGTACACCTGGAAAAGGTTTCGACTTGAATATCCGAAGTAACATTAAACTCTAAGAATATTTGGGCGCCCTTTCAATCAAAAATATGGCTTTGAAGTAAGTACGCCATTCCTAAGAACATTTAAATTTCTTCTGCACTTGGAATCATGCCCAATATCCAACTACTAATCATCAAAACGAATATCCATCCCGGCGACCCTCCAACTAAACATCCTCACCTCAACCACAAATCCCATCCAAGCACCTCCGTCACCGCCGAAGCCTCACCACATCCACACGATCCCGCTTCGTCGAACCCACCGAGCTAACCGGAGACGGGGAACGAGAAGGAAACTTTACATCTCCACGAGCTGTGGGCTGTGACAAAGTAACTGGAGTCAGATTCCGATTCGGATTACTAATTGACTAACCAACGCTGCGTCGTCCCGTATATATATTACCTTCAAGCATCTTGATTCCAAGTGAAGACTTTCTTTTCCGGGGCGGCTGGCGCAATGGTGATTCATGTATATATATTCCATCTTGTTCATTTTGCGATTGAGATGAACTTTTGCCTGGTTCGTCAATATTGTTGTGTCTTTGGTGTTGGAGGTAGCTGGTATATTCGTTCATATTACGATTTCCGCCGCGGCGGGAAGATTCAACGTTGACGGGACTTGTAGAGCGGATGTTGCTTTCGTTGCTTGTGCGCGGTTCATAGACCTTTTTTGTTGATAGGTATGGAGGTGCTTCTGCTAAGGACGTGGACTGTTTGGATGGTCGGCACCCCATTTTTGAGTATATACAGAGGGGTGCGGGTGTTGTTTGTTGTTCGTGGGAGGGTATCGAGGAAGCATGATTCGAAAATCTTTAGATAATAGAATTCTGGAGGAATTGGATGAGTGAATCGTCAAGCGGATGATGTGGCAAAGGATATCGCAGGTGAGATACCTGATATTCACTTCTATTTATAATGAAACGATACTATTCTAATGAACTAAGCCACCAATTCGCCCTCATCGACCATTATCTACATCTCTAATTTCCATTCTATAGCATGGCATTTTCTACCTACTCTTAACACTTCAAGATCCAACTTCAACTGATATGATCGAGCTACCTCTCATTCATGTTCTGTTCCTCCTTCCTCTATTCCAAACACCACTTCCATCAATCTAACCAAAAACTTATGCAGCCAACTCTCCACTCCATGCGATACTCATGGGTTTGAAAACCTATCTTCATCTAGAGCATTATTCATAAATCTGGCAGGTAGCACTTCGAATTCATATTCTCCTTCTAGCACAGCCACTCACGATAATACATACACTAAAACACAGGACATGAATCATATTCATAGTAAGTTTTAAGTCATCACAAATATTACACCGATGAAACTTCAACAAATAATTCATGGTTTTAATGACTAATTTTATATTCTCACGTCAACGCTTTCCGTCCTCAATCCAGATCCTCAGCATATGTAAATATTCTGCTAGACTACGCTCCCCAATCCATCACCCCTTTGATTAATGTGAAAATTGCTTTAAAGATGCATTCCTACGATGTTCCTTGCACAGCTATGCCCCTATTTCGACATCACAATTATAAACGTATCACTGCTCACTTCTAGAGACTACAGAATATAATCACAACCCTGCAAAATGAACTCTTCTTTCCTTGCGCTTTTTCTTCGCCCTGCGGATAGTTAACATCAATATATATTCCATAATCATGTATGTGTATACAGGTGGGACATGTAACTCACATTTCAAACTCATCAAGAGGTAAGATTACCCGAGTACCCATACTTTCATTTTCCCCGGACTCATGCTCGGTATTCCTCATGTTTGTACTATGAACAGTTAGTTAGCTGACACCTCACTTCGTATATGAGCAGAAACAATTGCAAACACTTACACAACCGCCTCATTCAAAGATTCCCTAGAATCTACACCTCCATCCTTCTCTCCATCAATATCCTCATTCTTCAACGTTACAGCAGTAGGAACAAGAAAACTAGTATTACTATCCGCCGCTGCTATATCTTGTTGATGCGCAGTAGCGAGATCGATATCAAGCATCGATTTGGATTTTGGGAGTCCGTCTGACGAAAGTTGCAAGGTAGCACTATTGCAGCTTCGCTCACCAAGATTCATAAAAGTTCCAGGATGGTTTAGCGCGGTAGATCTGCTGGGGGAGCTGCTGAAATGGTCTATTGTCGGGGTTGAAGTAGACATTTTGGTGATACTGAGGTGATCTTCTGGGTTTGGGTGAGTTGATTTTTTGGATTTGCTTGTGTATTCGTGAAGAGAATCAATACATGGGAGGTAGAAGTGAGGCTTTAAATAGACATCTATCTGGTATGGAGGTGGATTATTCATGTATGGAAATGTTGGTTATTCATATAGTTCGAGATATATTCAGTCATGCCTTTTGGTAAAAGTGTTGTGATTAATAACTGTACGTCTACTACACTAAATAAGCCCTAATACTACCTAGGTACTTACTTTTTTTTTAGCAGATATAGACCAAGCGATATTGCGAGTCTATGTATGCAGCAGTGTAAAATATGTGCTGTATACGGCCAGCCCCTATAATCTTTGTATAAGTATCTTTTATAAATTTTTGAATCTTTAGAATCTTTATATTTTTCATCGATTTTATAATTTTGAATTATTTTGATCAAATGTATTATCATATTACTAAAGTATATTAATATTCATAACAAACACCGCATTCATCGCCAATTTTCCTAATCATAACGCGAGCCGGCTTTAACTACTTCACCACAATTTGGAAATTCCTTCGGTACAACTCTCAAAGTAGTAATAATTCCTCCCTCTCCCTCACTAAGCATCAAATCAGTAGCCCAATGAAAACCTTGACCACATCTACATCCACCGTCGATCCTAATCCATCGACATCCTCTAGGACAAGTATTACCAATCTTTCGAAGTTGTGACTTTGCCCATTCGTCTTGGACAAAATACTCTTTGCAATTAACGTTCGTATTATCCATGTCTAATTGAGATTTAGCCATTTCTTGATCATGTAGATCTTTATATTGTTGGAGTCGGGTAGTGTTTTGCTATTGTCAACAACTATGTATTAGTGATTGTGATGAGCCGGCTGACTGACTGATAATATAGAGCTTGGTTTACCTGTTGCGGTGATGTCATGGTAGATGATCCACGAGAGTTAAGCTGTCCATGCGTCAATTGCAGTGCTTAAATAAAAGGCAGTTGCGATCCACGCTGTATAAGTGAGTGGAAACCACTGCTCCGAGCACATCTTCCCCTAGCCTTTTCCATTGCTTTGTCCATTTTTGCTTTACACCATTCTGGATTCTGACGTTGGTCAACATACTCAGCTGGTTGCCCGCGAGGATTCTCAAGTTCCGCCCTAGCTTCCGCTTCACAGGGATCCAATCTGTCTTTTCTGCTGGAATTCATGCTGCTAATTGGTTGACTGATTAGAAGTGTTTGTCTAGGCGGTGGTTGAAATGGCAGCTGCATTTAAATTGGACGGACTTGCAAAGCAGTTCGACTTCCTGGAGATTGCAACACAACTGGTGTTTTTAGAGTTGGCTGAAATTGTGAATGGTTTTGTGATCCATTCGGTGCTTGAAACTGGGACTGTTAATGAGTTCGTTCAGTGAATCTTCCGGCCCACGTTGTGATTGCAACTGAGAAATACTCGGGCCCATTTGATTTTGACCAAATGGTCATACGGTAGTTTGTGATTGGGAACTCACATGGAATCGTGTTTGACCTGATTGGCTTGGATTTGAACAGCGGGAAAAACCAATCACACTGCAACTGGGTGAAGGCTATCCGGTAGTAAGTACTGCACTCAACATGCTAGAAGCTTAACCTGGTCCTAAAAGTTTATTCTTACTGGATACACTGCTGAAATGTATCCCCAACGCATGATAACATGCTTTGAGTGGTATATACCAAATATTTTGTCTTGTAGCCAATAATTGAGGTAAAGTGTTGTGGGTGTAGAGATGTAATATTTTGAGTTGTGATGGATTGCATTGCGTTGGTAGGTGGGAAGAACTATAAAGACACAGGTTGTTGCTATGGCCAGTTTGAAACCATTGATAGATCACCAGTGAGGTAGAAACTAGTGCATTCAAGTGATGAAACCCAGGCTGATACGACTGAAGGTGGTGGTGGTCACAATAAGACATACTACTGTCTACGCCCACAGCCCAATTTGTCTTTGCAGAAGAAAGCTACGACACCCTGACTGCACACTCAATCTTTTAAGCCTTTACTTTCACCTTGTTCCGCTTGGACAGTAGTGATCTCCGTGGAATATACTATGCTCCGAACTTCAATATCTCGTACTTTCCAGTACTACGCAATCGGATTCATAGCCAAAATCAGTCAATTAAGTATTATAACTTCAAACCACACAATATACTCTCTTCATTTTACTTCAACAATACATAACAAATAAGGTATTCAAGCCAACATGAAAAATGATCCGATCCATTATGTTCTGGAAAATACATCCCAAAACCCCTTTTTTTTAAATCATATCTACCGACGTAATTGGGCGAACTTTAAGGTTGGTTGCATATACACCCGCTCTCCATCAATCCAAAATATAATTACCCATGAAAGTATAGACGCCACGTGAGACCGACCAAATATAGACACTTCCCCGAGAGCATAGCTCTTCCTCCAAAAACTGTATATTAAACTTTTGGATATGGCTCTTCATCATCATAAGTCCATTCATCATTATTTACCCCTGTTACTCCTGAATCTATACCACCTAACTATCCACAAAATCAACGCCAGCGTTGACATGAATCTGATGCTAGCAGCTATCCAAATCCCTTTCTTCATAGCATCGTAATATCCTTCTAACATAACGCCTTCCGCATGTTCTTTCGTTTTGTTCTTCCTAGTTATAGGCCCTCCACTCTCTTGCATTGTAACGGCTGTCGTTTCCCCATCCATCGCGGTTTGGTTTCCGGTCCCATCATGCGCACTGCCGCGTAACCGTTCTGCATTTCGTTTTTTAATATTTCGTGTAAGTATGTTTATTATGATCCGTATATCTGGGGAAGTAAAAGTAGGGTATTCCCACAACTCGACCGAATCGTGTGGTGGTAGTTGATCAAGAAAATCAGCTACCATGCCCAGTGTTAAACCCCAAAGTAACAACGGTCTATCACTCTGTGCTTTCTCGCCTCCTTTTAACCAACTATAAGCTCTTCCAAATAGGCTTTTCCTAGGTTGCGCTTCCTCGGAGAAATACTCTTTCGTTGTGCTGCAGTATAATGATTCGGTTGGTCGTAATCGGATGGCTGAAAACCTCATCTTTCCTATTACTGGTTTCAATAAAGTTTTCATTACTACTCCACCTTGCTTGGCGAATCGATCGGATACATTAACGTATTCGTATGTGCGGACTGAAGGCGACAAGAGAACTCGTAGGGGAACGAAATGCGTTGATGCTATTTCAGCAGGTTGTAGTTGAAGTGGTGGGAACGAGGGAGATATCCAGATGAAGAGGAATGGACACAATACCATTATCCTATTTTGAAGCTAGCATCAGCGATTGCCTTTCAAGATTTCTTCCTTGTTATTGAAAACTGAGAGAATTTGTAAAAGGAGACTTACGGCACTGATCCCCAACTGGTAGATACCACCCTCTCAGGCAGATTACCAACATAAATACATCTTTCTCCTCTTAAATCCAACCCAATTTCCTCACTTGTTTCTCTCATGGCAACATCTTTGTCGCTCGCATCTCCGGGATCTCTCTTCCCTCCTGGAAACGCGACATGGCTCGTCCATCTGTCCCCTACTCTCGCTGCGCGTTTTATAAATAATAATTCCGGATCACCATTCTTCACCCATGATTGCTCGAAGAAATTCGCGAGTCGCTCGCCAGTGGGAGGTTCTGGGTATGGGAAGACTTGGGGAGTGGTAGGAGGAAGATCACTGCGTGAAGGACGAATACGTAATATCAGAGCTACCGAAGCGCGCCGAAGGCAATTCGGTGGATTGGGTACATATGGATATGGGTTTTGTGAGATGTGGAGGAGAGTGCTGTGGAGAGATGTTGTAATGGAAGGAGTGGATGAGGAGGACATTTCCCTTTCCCCGTAGTCTCAGAGACAATAAAGCGCAATGCGTGAAAACGAATTGATGTTGTGATTTGTTGTACAAATAGCAATTGACGCAGCACAAAACAAATTAAAAAAATATACGGTGAAGCTATTCGAAGCCGAGGTCTCGCTTATCTTATCTTGGTAAATTCTAGGCCATTCAAGCTCTGTGACGTGGTTATTGAACTTAGGAGCAATAGGCTAGGAAAAGGGGGAATGGGACGTGCCGAATGCTTAAATTCCGTGGCAAGAAACGGCAAATAGGTAAAGATCATACAAATGGAAGAAAAGCAAACTCTGATTCAGTTCGATTGTATATACTTCGTATTATTGCTTACAAGCAAGCTAATGATTACACCTTCCGGTTTTCCTTGGGCTCGTTTCCTTCAAAGGTATTCCTTCCGACATTATATGCACAAGTAGTCATGGGCATGAACGTACGGCGAACATCTACCCACTAACCCCCACATGTGTACATACATACATACCAACCAACCTCTTAAATTCGATAATAGAATGGGTCTGCCTTGGTTTAAAAATAATGTCGGGTCCTACCACATGCTTCCTCACGAGGAAAGCGATTTAAGGTTTAAATTCCCAATTAGGTGGAGAAATGAATGCATCTTCAGGGAGAAGGTCAACATACAAGCCCGCATGGAGTTTATGAGGCTCTTATATAACTCCACTACATCTGCTGCGTACTGACTCAGAGACTGAAGAAGTGGTCAGCCCTTGGAATTTGTGTAGTGGACAACAACTTGACTCTATCTTTGAGGTTGCAAATGGTACGGATATGGTCTCCTAGTGACTAGTTGGGAACATGCCTTTGACTCAGCGACACTTATATTTCTGACTTTAGAGATGCAAGATGCGTCGCAGAACATCATGCATGCATGAACTCTTGGTGGGAACGGTGAGCTCATGACGTCCATCCCAGACAAGTATCCATGTAAGTTCTAGAAGCCTAGTAGCTGGGTGGCAAAATGGCATTCCCGCCAATCAATAGAGTAACAACAGCTGAAAGGGAACTTTGGGGAGCGGATTGCATTCTCCATTATCTTCGTGCAGCTGAACAAGCTACGTAATAATCCCCAAACTTTTGCACAAGACTATTTCCTTTCTAGGATCGTGGAGAATCAATGTACCGAATATCATCCGAAGGTAGTGAGCCTGAATTTGATTTCGCGTTCAAGAATGATCTACGTTCGTGTTAAGCTCAACTTAAAGACCTCTCTTGATATCATTTCTGTTTGGCGGTTTCCAAAGTATCAGTGTCTCAAAATTCCAGCCATATAATCGCATTGTGGGTGAGTGTTGACTCGAACAAGCATCTGATCAAACCAGCGAACAAAAGACTGACAGTCTGTTTTGATAATGGAATCATTATCATTCGTATTTAATTATCAAGAATTGTGGTCATTCGCTGTCAAGAACTCATCTTTAAGAGCCATCATCGTCCGGATATCGACCACGAGGGTTCTCTTTTGGAAGAGGTAGTGGTGAGACTCTATTCGTGGAATTCAAAGTAACTGAAGTTAGGACTATCTTTTCATTCTGGCAGTGCTCTGATATTTTGGGATTAACCGATCATTGGGTAATAGAGGACGTTGCCGCAAAAGGTATCCCCAGCAGGTTTCCCTGTTTGGCAGGTATTGGAAGGCCTGGCCGTACTTGTGCCTGTTGCCTTGGAGCTTGAGGTGGCTCTTGAATTGTGACAAATTTTGCATTGGTATTTCTGAAGCTCGAATCGGGATTACGAATCAACTGCAAAGATTCATATTGGAGTGGAGAAACAATCAAGCACTCATTTCGAGTATAGTCTCTCTAAACACTCATCATGATCACTGATCGAAAAGGCCTACTTTGAACTTCTCAGTATTCCATATAAATGAAGAGGATTGAAATAAGATGACAACTGGATAAGAAATGGATCTTAATGTTCATAATGAAGTTCAAAAAACAGAAGAGTAGGGTAAAGACAGAATGAGAAACTGTGAGGTAGAATATCAGATGGAACTGTATAAATCATGAGGCACACAGTCTCTAGCTAACTCAGACTCAAAGTCAATGATAATAATTCAAATAACCAGCCTTCATATCTAAATTTCAATCTTTAGATTCATACCAAAGCAAGGTAGCGTACCTTTGACATCGACTTGGTTCCAATGCCATTGTCGTATGAAGCTTTGGCCCTTGTCATTTACAAGCTCCCCAGTTTTGCATCTCAAATTCCATGTTCAGATGTCATCAGGTCTCAGATAACTTCAACAATTGGGATCTCCACTGCAACACTCGCAACTTGGCAAATGCTTGTTCTCGTGGGACATTCTGACCCGTAAGTTGTGTATCCTCCGTATGTTGGGGATGTCTTTCTACCAATGTTTCAGATCCAAAGAGACATGTTTCTTTGAGAGATGAGACGATCTGAAATCCGTAGATTGTTGAAGAGATTTCAGCGAGAAATAAATACGTGAAGTGGTCCAAACCTTGGATCGCGCGCTTTGAAGTTGAAGGATTTCATGGAAGTGGCTTGATGTGGCTGTGATTTATTGTTGGCGCTAGCGAGGTCGCGGTCATGGCTCACACCTCTTTTTGTGACCATCCTCTACTAGTACCAACAACAAACCAAGCGATCAAACTATAGGAACGTAGGTAAGTAATGATTCGGATGAGTATGTTTTCCCATACATTCTTCAAAATGCCTTCAATGGTTCCTGTGCCAGCTATAGCCTCTGTAATATGTTCCATGAAGAGCTCAGTTCAAACCGTCTTTGCGATCCCTGAGCTCCTGGAACTTATCCTCCTTCAACTACCATTCCTCGATCTTGTTCGAGCTCAAATGATCAGCCAGAGCTTTTACAACGTTATAGACTCCTCAAACTTACTCCAACAAGCTTTGTTCTTTCGTGCATCACCAGCTACATCATTCCCACGACCCAATCCTCTCCTCCAACCTTGTCACAACGCGCAGTTCCTAGACCTACGATCAACTCAAACCCAGTGCAGATATTTGCATAATCCACGCGGTCGTAGAATGGTAGATTGGAGTAAATGGCCTGCTGTAGAGTGCCGTGAAGGCTTCAAATTAGATGTCAAACCTGCAAATGAGGCGGTCAGAAGGAAAGAGGCTACTTGGAGACGTATGTTGATTGTTCAACCTCCCATTTCTGAACTAGAAGTGAGTGGCTCGCCACGGCGGAAAGTCAAGGATCAGTTTGGTGTAACAATGGATGATTTGGGAAGCCCATTGGGTAAACTAAGATGTGCGGATTTTGAGATCTTTACAAATGGGAAGTCCCGTATGATTGTCGAGAAACAAATGAGACGCATGGCGCATTGAGAGTTAGGCGCTTCTCGAGTCTCATGTTGTGTAGACTATACAGGAGATGTCAGCTTCGATACTACCTGTCATTGGTTCTGTTTAGGAAGTGTTCAAAAGGGGCCCTGTTAGATGGTTGAACTTTAACAGCTTCAATGGTATGTAGTTTTCACATCAACATGTTGATGCCTATGCAAATAATGTATAAGCATTCCTACATTTCCACTATGCTTCATTTCCACCAACACAGTTTCTATCACATATTATACACAAATTTCTATGTTCTTGCACTTTGCTTGTTATTGTCTCCAGCAACTTCATTTTTCTCCGTCGTGGAGTTAAATTCTGCAACGGTCAGCTGAAGTTGTGGGATAACAGTCATCTCAAATTGCAACCCCACAATGCTGGTGAAAAATCAAGGTACCCACTAGTAACTATCTTGCATTCATCCTATGAAGTTTTGAAAAATTAGTCTTAGACACCTCTCTCCATGTACCAAACGTTAATCCCTATCATAGCCATCCACCATATCCCCTACCAAAGGCGACAGATGTTGATCTCTCCTACCACTGCGACTAATGTCGTGAGAATTTCGAGACCCATCAATATAGGGTGATCCTGTTCGACTCCCGTGTCTGCTGTGCGCCGGTGTCCTCTCTCTTGAATGTGGTGCGCTTCCAGGTCTCAACAAACGTTTCACTCGATCTCCACCTCTCAGAAACCCCACCATATCACCAGGTCGTTTCCCTTCATTATCTCTAACCATTGGATCTGCACCTGCATTTATCAACATTCTTACCAGGTCTTCCTTCACCTTGGCATTTATTCCCTCAATGAAGTCAACTCCAGCGATCGCTCGATGCAATGCACTCCTTCCTTTTTTATCTCGAACTCTCACGTTTGCACCACTATTTATCAGGACCCTCACGGCCTCAACACAATCATGTCTGCATGCCAACAGCAATGCCGTTGAACCCTTCACATCTCCGGCTTCAATATCTGCTCCTTTTTCTAGCAAAAATTTGATGGTATAAGGGTGGCCCCATCTAGATGCAGAGAGCAGTGGTGTATTACCCCAACCGTCCCTGGCCTCCAAATCCGCGTCAAACTCTACCAGTAGTTTCACCATCTCTAAATCTCCCATTCTAGCTGCAATATGAAGAACAGTTTCTCCACCTTCTGGTGCCACCGAAGTATCGGCTCCAGCATCCAATAATAATTCTGTCGTTTTCACATGGTGTGTTTGTACCGCAGCTATTAGAGGTGTAATATGTTGCGACCATACATTCACATCAGTTCGCTCTATTTTTTCCTTGTGGCGGGACTTTTCTGATCGTGAACGACGTGGTGGATTTATGAGAATATCGAGAACCTCCATTTTCCCTGCGCTAGAAGCCGCGACGAGTGCTGGTGCCAGATCTATTTGATGGTCCTGGGATAGAATACTTTTGACCGCATTCGTGTTTCCTTCAGCAGCAGCCTTGGCTAATTCAGTCGTTGGAGAGGTCGATCTCTTCGAAAGATAGGCTGTAACTTCTTTTATCGCGAGTGGAGCGAAAGTTTTGATAATAGTGTCCATTTTTGTATGATATGGTTATGGTGATTGTTCTAATAGGTCGACTGCGTTGATACTGTTGAGATACCACGCTACTCTGTGTGCTGTCCGGATAGTGTGAGACCACTAAAGGGCTGGGTTTCCGATTTATTAATTCAAGGTGAATGATCAGCTCAGGCAAACGTATCATCACATTCAATCACGAACACAAACGTGAGGATTCATTTGATATTTCGATTCATCTCAAACGATAAACGAATTGACTCAGATGTCGACAGATACTAACTGAACTTTTGGATGATGTTTTTATTTATTTTTTAAAGAAAAGAAAATTGATATCAGCTGACTATTGAGATTATGCCCTGGAAATTTCCACACGATCGTACGATGCGAATCACCTTCATATGCGACATTTCAGCCTAAGCCCACGGAAAATGGCGGAGCGCAGATGACCGCATGAATCAAATGTTATTCAGAGAGCTTATTCGTCAGGTGATAGTTTACAAGAAGTTTTGTATAACATCACCTCAGCTTTTAACCTTGGCTGATCGTATGACGAGGATGCACATGGTCTGGACTGTGGTTTAATTGTTCCAAGCCATTCAATCCATTTGGAAGAGTAGCTGACGCCATGATTGATTATATCGTAAAATCTACTTGCACTTCCTTCTCGACTTCAGTGTTACCATCACTGGGTGAGAGCTTTTGGTTGTCCAAAACTTATATTTCGTGTGAGGCATGGCTACTCACTGTTTAAAGGGGACCTACCTACTTCTCACCAGTGACTGCAAACTTTAGTGTCTAATCTCAACACTAATTCTCAAAGCATGGTCTTTCTAGCAAATTTGCATATTTAAAGTATACTTTTTTTTTGCATGCTAACGAGATACTATTAGAAGATTTTGTAAATTAGAAGTGTTTCTCGTACATCATCTCAAGTAGTAGAGTCTCGCTCTCTTTTCTGCAGTCGCAAGGAGATTGGATTTCATGCCACGATGTATCCCATCAAAAATCTTTGATATTCCCTTAGAACGTTCATTTTAGGGCACATGCTCCTGACATAAAGTCTGGACTTGAGGACTCGAGCGTCGGCTTGGACAGATTCCGAATACCCAGGTGTTCTACCCCTTCGTTACAGAATTTGTCGTGTCGCCATTGATCTCAACTTTGCATCCTCTAGATTGGCTTCATAAATGCTTCATGTATCCCTTTTTATTATCTCAGATTTACTCTGTTCATCGCATGCCCGAATTAGAGCGCCGGCGAAAGTCTAAGAACTCAACTATTGTACTCGGATTCTCCTACCGCGGCAATATTCCCTGGGATCTCATTTGATATTCTGGCATCTTGGTAGGAATTAAAAGAAGCCATAAAGCACAAAGCTTTTGATACAAAGTCTGGTGGTACTCGTATTGATAATCAAAAGGTATGCTTGCTCATCATGCTTGATATCCAGTGTTAGTACATATTCTTCCACATTTGTTTTGCTAAATCACTCCGTCCGATCCATCATCCTACGTACTCTTATCATGGCGCATCAAAAGGGAATAGCGAAATAACTTTCCGTGGTGTATGAGGAGATTATTCCATGGCGCGCATAGTGGCATAGGGCGTATTATCAGATTCGATTTAAAGGCTGGACCGGATTCGTGTTTGATTTGCAGCTTCCTCTTCTTAGTCCGTCGTTTTCTGTGCATTATTCATCCAAATGCAATAACTTGTTGTTCCAACAAGTGGTTGGAATTCAATGCTTCATAATATGTCGCTGAGATCGGTGCTACATGTCATCAAGGGATTCGTTCTAAATGAGCTCTTAAATGTTGATTATGATTTCGACTTCCCAGTCGCGCTATTTGGAAAGATCTGAGGAGCAATCCCATTTATGGAGTGTTGTTACTGTATCATCTTTGGGAACCGTCTCAATACCCGCCAGAGGAATCCGATATGCTGAAAATAAGTCTCTTAAAAGTCTAGAGATGGACTAGTACATTTCTTTCGCTCTGGTGTATAAGTTTATATTCAGCCAATAACTCATTTCCAAGATAAGTTTCATAAAAACGGTGGGAACTTCCAGACCTTTGTTTTTGTATCTTTATAAGAGTTGCTGAAATATCCATAGATCGATAGTCTAGCTCGCTCATAAGCAGCAAGTGGTACGCAAGGTTAACATATCAACAAATGCTTTATTCCCACACCAAGCCCCTGGTGGAAAAAGTTAGAAGTCAGCGGTGGTGTTCTACAAGGAGATCTTAACATGTTTAGCTATCATGAATGTATCGAATTATTTCTAATATTTTACTTGGTAATTGATATCTAATCTCTTCATATTCTCATTTCTCTTTTTCGAGTTTCGTTTTTCGAACCTTGATTGTTTTTCCCCAAAAAAAGAAAAACCCTGAATTAGCACGAGGGGATGAAATAAGAATCACAATCGAGAGTCTTCGAGTAAGATTAACCTACTTATTACATCGTAATAAGATTAATAAATACAGCGGATTAGAGCTCGATGATAATAATGCCGATAGCAAGGAGTTTCGGAAAGATTTTAACTATAGTTTACGTAGTTGGCCTTGATACAGGTAATAAAATCTATTCCTCTTTAAAACATCATCCCTGTATATTAAATTACATCACATCAACCTCCCTCTCGGTCTCGATCTCTGTCTCTATACAATCTCTCCTCCCCAGTTGTTTACCTCTCATCCAACTTAAACCTCATACATAAACCTCACACCGTAACCATAGATACCAATTCCCAGAACCGCAACTTTCTTTAGCCCTTTTCGCCCCCCAGGCTATAGCATCTCATATAATTCCTTTGGTATTTATATATTCATTAGTTTAAATACTAGCTAATTACAGCATAGAATTTAAATTATTTACTTTGTATTGCGTTGGTTTGGACTATTGTACTATTGAAGTATTTGCTATTTCATCGTTATATCATAATTAACTTTCCTACAGACTATCAAAGACTTCCCAGTATTATCCAACCATCAGAATTCACAATCATCCACTCCATCAAGCAATTATTGCCCCCCACCCCCTGCACTACCAGCCTACTCCCTAACATTAATAATCACTTTCCCTCTCGCATGGCCCTCAAACGCCTTCTCCAATTCCAATCCACCCCTTCCTCCGCCCAACCACCCTCCAATCTTCCCCTCCACCTCCACCTTCCGCCTCCTCCCTCCTCCTCCTCAAACCCTTCCCACCAACCATCCACCTAAATCCAACCTTCCAGCCCCCCACCTCCTCCTTCCACTCCTCCAACCCCTCCTTTCATAATCCAGCACCTCATCCGCCCCCCCCCAACCCCCCTATTCCCTCCGAACAAACCCCATATGCCCCACCCCGCCGCCGCAACTGCAGCACCCCCCCCCCACTCGCCGCCCCCACAACCAAACCCTCCCCATTCTCCTCCTTCGCATCATCCGCATACACCTAACACCCCATGCACAAACAGAGCCTGCCACGCCGTAAACGCACTTAGCGGAATAGACGCCGCTTCTTCCCAGGATAAATTTGCCGGTTTACGCGCGAGTTCTTCTTGTAGCGCTATAGTATATTCCCTTGCGTTTCCGGGTCGCGCAAATGAAGTTCGCGTGTAGATTTCTGTGCCGGGGGGAAAGGGTGAGTTTTCTGGTGCGAGGACCACTGTGCCTGAGAGGTCGTAGCAGGGGACTTGTAGACGGTGCGGTGCGGAGGCGTATTTGCTGTATTCGGGGGAGATGGCGGCGTATTGGGCGATGGAGGCGCTCCAGGTTAGTTCGCCTGAGCAGGGAGAGGTGCTTTGGACGCGGATGAGATGTTCGGTTGTTCCTGGGGTGGGTGTTGGAAGGGGGATTTCGGTGAGGATTAGTTTGGGGCTGTGGATGTCGGGTTGGATGAGGGATTTGATGGTTTTTGGGAGATCTGGGGTGGCCATTTTTGAGGTATTGTATTGTATTGTGTTGAGTTTGATTGATTTAATTGTTGGTTATTAGTATTTTTCGATAGAGGATACGGAAAGAGAGAGATAGATAGATATTCCGTATTGTATTTCTAAAGTGTACGCGTAATGAAATGAAATTTATAAGATCTTATTTTACGTATAACAAAGAACCTCAAGTTAAGTGAGTAGTAACCTTGACTAATTACTGAAAACAAATCTCAAACCCCTCATTGAAACTCCCCCTCTTTATACTCAAGTATTTCAGTATCTCAACTTCCCCCGCCTCAAAATCTCCTGATACTTCCTCGGCGATAGAATTTCATTCATCCATGGAATCTAGATGATGACATACACACAGCCGTCCCTCATCCAAACCAATAATCTCTCGCCTACCCCGCCAAACCTCACAAAAAGGTCTCACAAAAGACATATAGAATCCAACAGCCCAGCCAAGAACAGTATTACACAAAATGCACAGTGCTTACTCATTCCCGTACATTCCCGCACCCAATATATTTCCCCTAAACTTCTAGCACTTCATGCTCGGATAATCACTCGGGTATCCACTCGGGTATCCACTCGGGTATCATCAGATAAACCAACAATCTACACCAAAGAAACGTTTAACAAAACACCAAATGAAACAAATCCAAAAGGCTATGAACAGCGATATTGAGATATTTCAATAGCCTATTTTCGAGTAGTTATTTTTTCTTTTCCATCTCCCGACTCTACTCATCACCAATATTCAATATCCAAATCCACATCAATCCAAATGCCCATCCACCAAAATCTCCAGCACGAACAATAACCCACGCTCAAAATACCTACCTAGGTATCAATAGTTTCAATTCTCAGCAAATCGGGATTTTACTAGTTAATCCAAGATTCTAATCCAAAATTCTAATTCTAATCCTAATAATTATCAAAGCAAAAACAAAAACAAAAGTAAAAACTGCATATCTCCCCTCCCTTCCCTCCTCCACCAGGTAGGCCCCTTTAAAGATCCTTTTACAGTAATAGAATAAATAATAAATCATTTACCTACCTCATCTACCTAATATCCACCTAGTTACCCATTTAACAATCCTAAATACAATACGATACAATAAAAAAAATATTAAAAATATTAAAAAAGATATTTATCAACCGAGAAAGGAGCACTTGCGTCCTATCCCCAAGAGCTCCGTCCACCAGTCCAACTCATCCTCCGCTTCGTATGAAGTTCAACCTCCCTCCCTCTCACTCTTAGCTCTACCCAATATGTATAGACATCAAAAAAAATGATATAAATCCAGTTAATTAATCGAAATCTATTAATCTTTTTCCCTTGCTATTTATAGATAGCTAGCTAGCTTTCCTCCTCCAACTACACTACACTACACTACCAACTAGATGTACGGTTGACATATAATGGAAAGAGACAAAAGAAATAGCGACCAACCAACCAGTGGGTAATAAAAAGACAATGTAGGTATCTTTCCCATCCATCCATGCATCCCATACCGACCTCTCCCAGCTCACTCATAAAATTACTGTCTTCTTCAATTGAATTATGATTTTTTCCCTTCATCCCTCACACCATATAACTCTTCATCAATCATCCTCTAGCGAAAAATCTAACCATCCTCTTCAAGGAAACCCATCAAAGCTCTAATACCACCAGCACCCAAACCACCCTTAGGATATGCTACATAAACTGCATCATTCCATGTCCCCATCTTCTCTCTAAACTCACTCTTACCCAATAACCTTGCTTGTTTAACAATCGTTTCATAGGCCTTCTTCAACGCCTTAATCCTATGTTTACCCAAGTTTCTTCCACCTTCAATGTGTGGTTGAGCACCCGTACCAAAAGTGATACGTTTAACATCTGGTTCTGCTGCACTCAATTGTTTCATCGAATAGAGTAGAAGAGATTCCACTGTACCGGATGGAGCGTTTGGAAACTCGAGCGAGAATTTAACTTGGTATCCATTTTCGGGACTGAGTTGATGAAGGACATTAATGGCATGAATTGTTCCATCTGAACCTTGAGCGTAAAAGTATTTACGATGAGCCTCATCAACCCAAGGTCTAATTTCTGTAAGATGAACTTGAGTACCCTTTCGATTCTTTTGCCAATCTACAACTCGTGCATTGACCTTTTCTTTGAAGTCATCTGGAACTGGTTCATTGAATGGAAGGGTTTGAAGTTTTATGCCCTCTTTTTCAGCATGTCGAACCTTACGTGCCAAATCATTATCCTTAGCTGCAGGATTGTTTCTAGGATCAGCACGTTCTTCGGCTGTAGGAGACAAGGTACGCCATCCGAATTTTTCACCAAGATATTCTTCAGTACGAGGACCAACAATCATCCAGATTGGTTTGAGATTCTTGTGTTCGGTATTCAAGTAGTTGAGGAATGCCGAGACAATTGATGGTGTTTGAGATTTATCGCAAAGCGGCTCTCCAACAATAATGGCATATGAGTTATGAATAACATAACCTTGAGCTGCACCAGTAGTTGAATGTCTCCATACGTGATAACGTTTGTCCAACCAAGAGGTATTGGCCGCATCACCATAATTGGCAATCAATTTCTCCAAAGGTGGTAGTAATTCAGGGCTGAATTCCACTCCATCCTTCTCCCAAACTGGATTGAGTGTTGATGCATCTTCATGACGAAGAGCGAGAGTAGGAGGTATGGGTGGAAGTGATTTAGGATCTCTTGGAAATAGAGATGCAAGACGAATATTGCCGAGACTGAGGAAAAGGTATGTGAGACGTTCAAGACCAATACCACACCCTGCATGAGGTGGTGCTCCCCATCTGAAACCTTCAAGATATTCAGGCATACTTTCTGGTTTGATACCCTTTTGTTTCATGCGCTTTTCCAAAAATTCAGCATCATGAATACGCTGACCACCAGTCAAGATTTCTTGACCGCGCATAAAGATATCGAAGGAATTTGTGAATCGATCATCATCTGGATCAGGCATGGTGTAGAATGGTCGAACAGAAGCAGGGAATTTGTCGAGGATATAATAATCAGTGTGATACTTTTCCTTAACCAATGCACCCAGTCGAATTTCAGCTCGAGTAGAAAGATCTTCGGTCTCACTTGGCACACTTCCATCTTCTTCTACCCAACCAGAATTAACTAGCATCTTAACACCGGTGGAAAATGAAATTCTTGGGGTTTCATCTAACCATTCGACCTTGGTGTGTGGATAGAACTGATCAATAAGATCAATTTCTTTTTGGTATCGGTCGTAAATGCCTTTCCAAAGGTTCTTAAACATGCCATCAATGAGAGTCAAAGCCTCATGATAATGCTCTTCCAAAGCCATCTCAAGATCCAATCCAGTATATTCAGTCAAATGACGAGGTGTGTTACTGTCTTCTGCACGGAAGACTGCACCAATTTCATAAACCCTTTCAAAATCAGCTGCTATACACATTTGTTTAGCCAATTGCGGTGATTGAGCCAAGAAAGCTGATCTTCCAAAATAATTGAGCTCAAAAACGGTTGCACCAGATTCAGTAGCACCTCCTTGTAATTTTGGTGTATGAATTTCTATGAAGCCTTGTGTATCAAGGTATGATCGGAAAAGATTGCAAATTCCGGACTGGATACGGAAAATTGCTTGTGCAGGAGTGGTTCGTAAATCGATAATTCTGTTGTTCAATCTCACTCTTTGTGGCAAGGATCGTTTTTGGTGATGAGAGGTATCCATGGAAGCTATTTTGTCGTTAGCTATAGATCATTCATCTATCCATTCCACGAAAGACCTACTTCTGCTCTCAAGATTTTTGTCATCCAATTTTGCAAAAGCATGACGTGCGAGATCAGCAGACGCACGCGAAGGAGGACCCCTGGGCGTGTCTGTTGAAGTTGGTGACATTGGCTGACTTGCAGGGACTGAATCGTCTCCAGAATCATCGTCCATGTCAATTTCCTTTTCTCTGTTGATATTTTCCGCATCATATACCGTGAATGGTACATTTTCGGTCAATGGAACCACTCTATGAATTTCGTAAACCTGCAATTCATAATCATGAACTGTAGCATTCTTAACAGTTTGGAGGGACTTTCGAATTTTGGCATGGGCAACGACAATTGTTTCGGCGGGGTAATGTTCAACTGTTCGGACCATTTGCTCGGAAATGGTACCATGTTCTGTGGAAATGAAGCTAATTAGATATGTTCCTCATGGCGCCACTGGCAAAAATGAATACTCACCACCGCCTTGTTCTTCGCCAGGTTTGAAGCTTTGTAAAACACCTTGAATTGTGATAGTTTGTTGACGGAAAACGATGAATACCAATTTGGCAGACATTCTACGAAGCGTATGCATTCGAGCTCTGAAGTTAATGATTTGACCATCCATTTCTACCCTAGCATTAGCAGATGGTACAAAAATGAAGGAAAGTCAACTTACCAGCCCAGTTGATATCCTTGAACAAAGCTCTCTCCTCATGCCTCCAATGTTTGCTTTGTATCATACTGTATGGTCGATAGAGCTGTGTGAGAGCCTCGGGCCCTTCTTTCAAGAACTTCTCATCTTCTATTCTTGCCAAAGATTGCCTCTTCTTGTTCTCTGCCTTTGAGCGCTCCTTATCCATACTTCTTCTAGCCCTGTTTTGTTCAAGTATCTCTCGACTAACTCGTCGGGAGTTTGATCGCTCCGGAGTTTGAGCTCCATTATTTCGAGGGGAAGCTGGTGAAGCTCCATTGGATGCAGAAGAACCATCAATTCCTTCTTCTTTGCTTGGTACGGATGGCACATTTTCACTGCTTGAATTGTTGCTGTTGGGTTTGCCGATGCGATCTGGTATCAATTTACTGAGGCGTTTCTTTAAGGCAGACATGATGCCAAATATATATTAGTCTCTTCTTTAGAAACTCGAATAAAAATTTGGGAATTATGTAGGTATGATAGTTTCTTCGCGAGTAAGATAGGAATCTCACTGCAGGAAGATGATTAATCCCACGGATTGTTTTGGAGAGGATTTATTCGAACAATACCGGGACTTTGGGATGAGAGTTGTGTTGCCGGATCAAAAAGTGAGGATCAAGCTATTTATTCGAATTTGTTGGACTACGGAATTTCCGGAAAGTACGGAGTTCTTTTTCGATTGTGGACTCAACTCAACCTTAAGTCAGTCGATTTGAAGATGATTCCTGCGGATTCTTCTTGCTTGTTGATTGTTGATTGTTGATTGTTGATTGTTGATTGTTGATTGTTGATTGTTGATTGTTGATTGTTGATTGTTGATTGGTGATTGGTGTTTTGATGAAAGGAAATACAAGAGGTTGGTATGCGGGGGAGGGAGGAAGAGGAATGATTATGTTGTCTTTGTAAAGGGAAGAGATGAGGAGCAAGAGGTAAGACGTATGTCCTTGTGATTAATCTCAAGTAGCGGTGATCTTGTCGAGAGTGGTGAGTGTGTGAGAGGGAGAAGGAGAAGGAGGGAGGGCGAGAGTGAGTTTCTGTATGAGAGAGAGATCATAAAAGAAACCTACGACTTGTACTGACTGTACTTATTATATTTGATGACCCGGTAGGAGAAAAAAGCTGAAAAGTTGGAGGGGACTGGGGCGTTACAAAAATGCAAGCAAGCATCGAATAAGTTCTAGGCATGCAGGGCGCCAAAGCTTATGATGAATATTTACCACTACAGAGTACTAATCTAATCACACCTGGGCACTTGGATTTGATCATACCTATTTCAATCCTATTTCAATCCTATTTCAATCCTATTTCAATCTAGTCAGTCGAAGAATTCAGGAGCAATTCAAGCCTTTTGCTCCACCATGGAATTTCCAATTAAATGGAAAAGATTCCGATACATTTTCCGCTGTTGGTAACTTGATAACTCGAGCACCTACCTACCTACCTAATCTGCGCATGGATCAACAACTGGCTATTTTGAGTGAATGAATTATACTACGGCGATGATGTCAGAGTTCATCACTCGCTTTATGATGTCTGTGGGAGTGTCACAGCTCAGGACACAGATATAGATAGGGAGATCCATATTTGATCAAATGCACCATCCACCATCCACCATCCACCATCCACCATCCACCATCCACCGGCGAACGAAAAGACAAGCCAACAAACGCCAAGACCTTTAAATGGCTCGTACTCACAATGTAACGGCGAAGAGATGTGGATTAAAGAAATACCGGTATCTAGTCCAAGGAAGACTGACATACTTGGAATTATCCTTGTTTATTTGGTGTTTATTTAGGTATTGATCAAGTTAGCAGTTATCAACATCGCAGGTTAGCCGCTACATCGTTCAAAACAGATGATGGGAATTACAATTACGGGCCTCGGATAAGTCGATAATCTCGGGTGGAATTTAAGAGAACGATGCATGTCTTACCGCATTTGATGAGAATTTGATGAGATTCCTGTATTAAGTAAATGATGCTGTTCCCAAGTCGACTACAAGTGCAGAAATCATGGTGAATCTGTACTCGACTCCTGCCGGTAAGAAACTGATTTCGGGAAAGGCCATTTATTTTTCTACCTATCAGATTTCATTCCATCATCCTGGTGTCAATGAAGTATTTCTCACACCTTCTATTTTCAGCTGTTTTCAGCTTCCGATCACTGCCACATGTGTTCAGCCACAAGCAAGAAGATTAACGGACATTCATCTCCGGCCTTCTTTTCTCGTCTCAAGTTGGTTGTCCACGAAAACAACTCAGACGTGAAAGATGCTGAAAAAACAACCTTGGCGTAAGATACCGGCTTAAAACTCATCACGGTCCGTACCTGCCAAGATTTGTAGCGTTACCAAAACTGGTTATTCCGGTGCTACCAATTCGAGGAGTCGAGTCATCCACGTGCCTACGAGTCATGAACATAAAAACTCTTTCTAAAAGCTAATTCCCGAGCATAGCGAGTACGGCCTCCACGGCAGTGGCTCCCAGAGGGGCTAGCGGAGCGGCATTCAAGTCTTTCTCGATGCCAAAGATTCACATCACGTGACTAAAACCACGTGAAAGGAATAAAATTATGCCACAATTTCCAGACACCCATACATTAGACTGCCTGATTACTCTACCACCTGGCACAGCCCCTGCGGCAGGTTGGCCCAAATGACGTCCTTGACTTCCCCGCCAAGAATAACTTTTTACCTTTTACAGGGCGAGCACTTATTAGCACTTATTAGCACTTATTAGCACTTATTAGCACTTATTACTACTTCATTTTCATGGATTTCCCACGAATTGGACCTTGGTTTTATTTTGACGGCCGAAGGACAAATGGTAACATCATGAATGAACAATTTCAAATCATTTGAATTAATTCATTCAAACTCAAATCAATTTTTGTATGAGGGGTAAGATAGGAAATAGGATGTGCAGACAGATATCCAGGTGACATATTCAAGTGATAGATGAGATGATACCTACCTAGACATCGACCTGCTACAACTATTACCTACCTCCCTACCTACTACTCCACACCTGGCGCAACAAAACCGGTACGATTCACTCATAATTCACCCTCACGGCTCACCATTCATTTATTTACATTTACATTTACATTTACATTTACATTTACATTTACATTTACACTTACACTTACACTTACACTTACACTTACACTTACACTTACATTTACATTTACACTTACTTTTACTTTTACTTTTACCCAAGTACGCGGAATCATACTCACTCTACATCATAAATCCCTGATCTTACCCACAAATATCCTCTTTCCAAGCCCTCCGCACTTCACGCAATTCAAGCCTCATACTCCAAGTCTACTTTTCCAGATCTTGCAGTATTTACATTAATTAATTCCCATTTCTGGATGTGAATTTGGATTCGATTTCGACTTCTCAAGCTTCAAATCTGACTCGTCCTAAAAAGGGACTCTTCAATGACAAACGAATATTACGATACAAGCTCAGAATCAGATTTACTTTTAAAAATGAAAGCCACAATATGGCGAGGTCTGATGGCCATTGGGATGAAATTCCATCATTTTGCAGATCCGAAACCACCAGCACCTAATTTCAAAATTCGAATACCCTCTCGATTATGTCCCCGCGGGGGATACTTTAATCTTATCTTTTATGTCCCGCAATCATATGTGGAAGGGTCAGATGAAGATCGATATCGATTTCCCGTCGTAGTAAATTATCATGGAGGAGGTTTTACATTGGGAACCGGAACTGATGATGCGAGATGGGCTTCTGCCGTCATCCATACGGTGGATGCTGTATTTGTCAGTGTGGAATATCGTCTTGCGCCTGAATATCCTTTTAGTGTAGGAGTTGAAGATGGCACCGATGCTGTGATGTATTTGGCCGCGCATGCAGAAGAATTACGATTAGATCCTCATCGAATGGCATTATCAGGATTCAGTGCAGGAGGAAATTTCGCATTTACAGTTCCTCTCATGCTTCACGATCTACAAAACGATGCCGGAAAACGCACACTGGCAGATCTCACAAGTGCAACTACAAATGCAGATGGAAGTCCTTCTAAAAATGCTAGTCGACAGGACCTCGACAAAACGAAATACGAATCATCTACCTCGGCCGCGTCATCTAGCACACTTACTTCACATCTCCGACCCAATCCCTATCAAGGAGAAACTCAAAGTAGAAACCAATCCACAACATCAATAGCCAAAATCCCCTCTCTCGAACCCACGGCTCTAGAAATTGCCCAAGAAATTCCAGACCTCACCATCCGCGCCATAGTATCCTTCTACCCACCCACCGATTTCCGACAAACCCGCGATGAGAAACGCGCCACGAATCCCGCTCCCGAGAAAAATCTTCCTCCAATGCTCACCCGCCTCTTCGACGAATCCTACATGCACCCCATTGATTCGATCGATCTTCGCGATCCTTACCTCTCCCCCGCAGCCGCCACTGACAAATTCCTCCGAGAAGCCTACCCACAAGACATCGTGCTATACACCTGTGAATACGACATGTTAAACGTAGAGGGTATCGCCTTTGGCGAACGACTCTCCTCGCCCGCGATCGGCAAATCCGTCAAAGGCGGCCTCATCAACTGCGTCCCGCACGCCTTTGATAAAAAACCCAACCCAATCTCCTTCCCCGAAGCCGCGGACCGCTGCTACGAAGAAGCCTGCGCGGAACTAGCCCGCGTCTTCGGAAGCGGCAAAACAAGCGAGGAAGATCGAAGACAACTAGGTAAAAGTAAAGTCGTAGATCGCTTCGAGGAACAGGATAAAATTGTAGGCGTCTCGGATCGCGCGAGAGATCTAATCGATAATACGAGTTTAGCGGAAGGAAGGAGAGAGAGTGGAATGGCGGATAATCATGGTGGGGTGGAGGGGACGGGGAGTATGAATATGAATGGAGAGGGGCAGAAAGAAAGAGAGATACTGAGAAATTTTGAAAAGGAAGCTGATAGGGTTATTAAGATGAATGGGGGAATTGAGGAGGAAGCTGTTGTTTAGTTTGGGTTTTTTCTTTTTTTCGGCGGAGGGTGGAGGGGTTGCTTTTTTAAGGCGGAACTTTAACAGGACTTTTACACTACCTTATCATCTTTGACATTTTTACATTTGCGGAGTAACGTAGAGAAAGAGGAAGATTAGAGTAAAGCAGAGTAGAGTAGAGGAAGAGTAAAGGAAAAGAGGAACAGAGTCGAAGAAGAGAAGAGAAAGAAGAAAGAAAGAAGAGATTTCTATAAATTAGGGGTACTGGTTTATATTCGTACTGTACCGTAACAAAACGTCCCGTATACCATGGCTGGCTATATATATTATTTATTTATCTTATGCCTGTGTGCATGCCTGTATGTAGCTAGGGCGCGGAGAACAAGAGAGAGGGGGCGGATAAATGAGAGAGCAAATGAGAGAGCAAATGCGAGAGATAGAGAAGAGAAGAGAAGAGGAGAGAAGGGAGGAGTAGACAATGGATGAATGAATTTATGATGGTTCATAGGTAGTTGTGAATGACTATGATGATGGATGATGATATAAAGTACTTTCCTCCCCCCTTCTTCATGTTCCTAATCGAGTCAGACTAGTCCATGACACATACACCAAATCAACCAAATATAATCAATCAATCATTCATTCATATGATATCTTGTTTGTGATGCTATCTCATCCCTCTTACTCTCCTCCTTTCCTTCATGCATTCATCCATCTTGCCCACCCAATCATCCACCACCGCCACCAACCATCGCATCATAATATGCTCCCTCCGAAATGTTCCATCATCCAAATCCTGATCTCGTAACATCTCATTTAGAGTAGGAGCTTTCAAGCTACCATACTCACCACACATCATATCACACTAATGTGTCATTGCGTAAAAAATATTCATCTGAACTCCGTGGGGAGAATCATGTCGCTTTCAAGCTACCATGTCTCAGCGTCGCAAAAACTTTGAATTTGGAAAAAATGAACAGAAGGGGCAGAATGAACCTCGGGGAAAGAAACTGATCAAAAAAACGCCTGGATGTGCCGAGGTTGTTGGTTGTAAAAACGGTAAGAAAGGGAAAATACATGACGGTGAATCTTTCGCTAATCGTTGGTCACATCGGGGGAAAACGTGCTTTGGGTGGATAAATTTGGCGTTTTTTATTCGCATTCGCAGATTGAGGAGAACTATCGGTGCCGAAACTTTAGGTCCGATTTATTGTTGGTGACGACGATGTCAATTTTTATTAGAAGTCGTATTAGGGGATTTTTGGAATGGAAAGAATAGCTAAAAGCTAGAGGATTTGTTGACTCATAAAAGATGTTTACATATCCATCGTATCCCCACCATTGGCGAAGTTGAAGTTACCAGATTGTTCCCCATTCGTACCAAAACCAAAAGTATTACCAGCGATTTGTGGTTGACCATCATCAGCACCTTCTTCCTCATCAGAGAAGTACTTTTCAATCATGTTGTATGCCTTCATGTAGATCTCTTCGTTTGCGTTGGTTTGGCAATCGTGAATCTTCTCCATACCATGGCATTCCTCGATGAACAATGCATATCGGTTGATGCTCTCAGTTCCTTCTCCGGCAGCATCCTTATCCATCTCACCAACCTTCAAGATATTCTCAAGACCATCAAGAGCGACCTGAATGATCTTGTTATCCGGGCAGGCCAAAAGGTCGCAAAGTGGTTTGATGCAACCTTGGTTAACCAAGTAACGAATTTGCTCTGGTTTTTGAAGACCACCGGAGGTAGCATTTGAGATTGCCCAACAAGCTTCTTTGCGCGTCTTGAGGTCACCATTGGACAAAAGATGAATAAGAGGTGGGATGATGTTGGCATCGATAACTGCTTGAATTTGAGTAGAGTTACCAGCAGTAACGTTGGAGATGGTCCAGCAAGCTTCCTTTCTAATACCATCCTTTCCTGAGCTCAAAAGGGACAACAAAGCTGGGAGAGCACCACAGTTAATGATAACTTGGGTTTGAACATCATCACCAGTGACGATGTTTCCAACGGAACGAAGAGCAGGGGTTTGAACCGAGGTGGAGGCGTGCATCAACAATTCCACGAGACGACGAGGAATACCAGCTTCGATGACAGCTTGTATCTTGTCATTGGCGCCATCGGAAAGATATGAAATTGCCCAACAAGCATCGATCAAAACTTCATCATCCAAAGAATAAACGAGCTTGGCCAAAACTGGCAGAGCTGGTAAAATCTGCTATAATTGTAAGTCTTAGCATAATAAAGGGAGCAGAGTGGGAATCCTTACGGTAGTCCAATCAGGTTGCGGTGTCTTTCCACGACAGAAGTTGCTAAGAGTCCAGGTAGCATTACGGAGCATGCTCAACTTTCTGCTATCACCCAAAAGAGCGAGGAGAGGCTTAAGGGCACCACATCCCAAAACATAATCTCTGCATGATGGGCTATCACCAGCAATATTTCCTAAAGCCCAAACGGCTTGTTCTCTAACATCTGGTTCGTGACTTCCGAGCAACTCAACGAAAATTGGAACGGCACCAGCTTCAATAACAACCTGGGTTTGTTGAGCAGAGCCAGATGCGATATTTGTAAGAGCCCATGCTGCCTCGAATTGTACAAGTGTGTGAGGGGAACGGAGGAATTCGACAAATCGTGAAACGACACCAGTCTTAATAACTTCCTCGATAGGAGGGTTTCTTTCTTTTGAAAGTAACTTTCTGAATTTGGTTGTGGCTTGGATTTGTGCATCTATTTGTTCGGAAAATACGCCTTGTACCATTAAAGGAAGGTCATCGTTCAACTATTGAAAAGAAATCTTGATTAGCCATGGACAGGGTATTTGATAAGGAACAATGATATTGTTCAGGTTGTGAAACCGAAACCTAGCATTAACGTTCGCGATAAAGCTGTGATAGAGGGTCAATCGCAGAAGCGAAAACATTACCACTAGGGAACAGCTGCTACCCCACCAAGGAAAGTAAATAGTTGAAAGCTATTTGAAAGTTCCTGGTGGTGGGGTATATTGAAAAGAAGTATTGGTATGACTGTGTAGAACAAATGTGGGAAATAATGTGTGCGAGTGCTAGTTGGATAGAAATGTGTATGCGCGATCACAACTTACCTGACTCTCTGTAGGGGCGGTATCATCATCACTATCAGGCTCAGCACCCAAAGAGGCTCCCGGTCGTGAAGATCCATCTCCTGCTGTAATACCTCTTCTCTTTGCAAGATTCTCATCACGCTTGACTTTTCTGATCTCGACTTGTTGTTCCTCGCGACGACGTCTTAATTCATCAGGCTTGAAAGTGTTCTTTGCTTTGAACTGAGTTCGACGATGCTCTGGGATATAACGATCGGCCATGGTTGCGATATGACTGAAATCGATATGTTTTTGTTTTTCTGTAAAAGGAAGTAAGAGAATAAGAGATTTAAATCAAACACAACCTTACAAGTGGTGTAGATAAAATTTGAGTTTTGGATGTATTTGTTGAAGTGAATGAGAAGAGATTGGAGGGAAAATTATAGAAGTTTCTTTGGCTCCAATGGGTTGAGAAGGGCTCCAAAAGAATAGAAAGAGGAACTATCCGCCTCCAAGCTGAAAGCGGTAAAGCTAATTTGAAACGTGACCTTAGCGAAACATGAAAGGTTGAAAAGATTTTGACTGGGGAAGAAGTCGAAGCGTTCTCTACGGTTCGTTGCTTTTGATTGGACGATTGTTGATTGGTGAGTTTATGTCATGCAGGGAATAGGTATTATTAGGTAAGCCCTATGTCGCGTCTACCCATAGCCATGGATGCATCTGCATGAGATTCAATCAACGCGTCTATTTATTGACAAGCAAGATGAGAAGACGAGAGTATCAAGCCATCATAGAAAAGATACCTTCTTTTTACTCTATCTAGTTCACCGTACATGCCGATCTAGATGCAACAGAGTCTTTGGCGTTTAATCTCTACCTTTACAAGTCAGGACTCAGGAGTGATAAGGTCATCAGCTTCACCCGCATCTATCAAAGCATTTTGAGATTCAATCAACTCATTAACATCAACCCATTTATTTTCAAGGAAAAGGCGAGGAGCAGGCACAGCACAGTCCATCCTCTACACATTCTAAAGGATATTCACTATACAACCTGTACATCACGAGTTTTATGAGAGGTAGAGTTACTTCTGTCGCATCTACCGTACAGAGCATTTGACATTTGATCAACTACAACGTACCTATTTACTCATAAAAAAGAGGCAAGGAATAATCACAGGAAACCTACTCAAAAGAACTTTCAGTATACAAATTGTTCACCAAAAGCTTGTGTTTAGATCTATGACCAGCTAGTTTTATTTTCGATTTCCTTTAAAGTAAACAAACACTGCTACCAGGAGTATTATCCGAAAAGGTAAAATAGTACTGCGCGGTTTGCTCAAGTATCTCTCGAAGCATTTCAAAATGGATAATGTACAAGAAAACGACAGCATCACAGCAATACCTAAATCCGAAATGGCCATTCCCTCAGGATTTCATACTGTTGAGCAGATTAAGAATCTGGATATCCTACCAGGTGGAACTGTGAAAAAGCAATTTGTCAACGTAATAGGATTCGTGATGGATTATCAACCCCCTATTAAAACTAGGGGAACAGGTGGGCAGTTCATATATAACATAATTATAACGCACTTCTGCGCAATATATACTAACGTATTGGCTCAGATTTTAAAAGCAGTTTTCAAATAAAAGATTATTCTTCACGATCACAGAAACTTGGCCTAAGAATGAGTGTTTTTGCGTCAGAGGATAAAATGCCACGAATCTATAATCCCAAAGATGCTGTGCTTATCCGTAATGCAAAGGTATTCCCCTTCTCATTTCCTATTGTTCTGCTTGTCGATTGACAGATCAAAGGTTCAAATGCGCATGGGAGAGATACAGTTATTATCTCACATTTCCACTGAATACCATATACTCCGTTCTGCGAACATCCCTAAAGTTATCTTCCCCATTTCCAAAGCCCCTTGGATTTCGACACCACCTGCTAGATGCCGACGCCCAGAACCAACCGAGACCAAGTATGTGATATGGTCAAACCAACACCTCGACGAACTTGAGCTCCCTAACACTCAAGAATTTCAGGAAAAAGCAGATAAAGCTATGAATGTCAGGGATAAGTATAGTCTACTCAAAGATGTAAAGGAAGGTTCATTCCACGATATCATTGGTGAAGTGAGGAAGATCTATGGAGCGAGCTATGATATGGTTACTGTCTACCTTACGGACTACACAGCTCACCCTAACTTTTACAACTATATTCTACCAGAGTTATCTAATGTCACGACGGAAGGTCGCGATGGTGATGATTACGGTTATATAAAAGCAAAGCCTAGGGACGAAGCAAAAGAATGGAAAGGTCCATTCGGGAAAATGACCATTCAACTCACATTATTCGACTCGCATGCGGATTTCGTTAAAGAAGAGGTCAAGGAAGGCCAGTGGCTTCGTTTGACCAACGTTCAATTCGTTGTCGGCAAAGCGGGTCTATTAGAGGGCAAGCTTCGTGGTGATCGAGGATCATTTGAGGGTAAAGTCCAAGTCGAGATCATGAAACAGTCTGAAGATCCTCAGAACAGTGATCCCCGATGGAAAGATTGTGTTCAACGAAAGCATGATTGGAACAAGAAGCACAAAAAGGACATGAAGAAATTTCAAGAAGAAATTGCGAGGGTGGGAACCAAGCGCAAAGCTGATGGACAGCCAAGCGGGAAGAATTCCAAGGCCCGAAGAAAGGAATTACGAGCCAAAGCAGATGCCAAAACTGCTGTGATCGAGACGAAAATTACTAAAAATCTTGATTTGAATGACAATGGTAAGTTTTCGTGCGACGAGTTATTCATAATTAATAATTCTATAGTGGTATTACATCCTTCTCGGCCCCATGATGCTATAGTGCCTCTATCAACTATTCTGCAACGCACACCCCTTTCATCGGATCCCAAATTTGCCGGAATTCATGTGCCCTTTGAAAATAAAAACTACAAAGCCAATGTTCGAGTGGTAGATTATTTTCCTCAAAATATTGCCGGCTTTGCAGTTGGCCGCAAACCCAGTGAATATGACTTGCTATCTGATTACAGTGGTGATGATGAAGACGGCCCTGAAAATAATATGCAGAGTTTTCGCGATGGAGAGATTTCAGAAAAGAAGTGGAAATGGCGATTTGCACTTGTGGTTGAGGACGCAAATCCAGATGCTTATAAGGACAGAGCTACTCTTATTGTGGGAAATAAAGATGCACAGTTGTTATTTAACGATCTGAATGACGCTTGCAAGTATGACTTCTTATCCTTAACCCCGTATTTTCATGCTAGATCGTCATCGAGAAAATCAAAGCTAATAAGACTTTAAAGCCTACGAACAAACCCAGAAATGCTGAACAATGTTAAAGAAAAACTCTTCACACTCTGGGGTGATTTAGAAGAGCAAAAAATAGCCATGCTTGCAAAAGAGGTCCAAGAAAAACCGCAAGAAGAAGAATCGCTACCAGAGATTTCCAAAGCAGCAGATTCAGAATCCGATGACGACGAAGATGACCCTAAACAAACCAATGGTAGTCTACCACCAGACGACGAGGAAACGGAGAGCTTGAACTATGCAAAACAAAACAAAATCTCCAAGAAATCTACCGCTTCTGTGGAAAAAGATTTCAATCTACAAAGCAACAAGAAGATTGAAAAGTTACAAAAACCACTAGAACTTAAGCCGAGAAATAAACCCTTTGAATGCTGCATCAAGCAGTATGGCATCAAAGTAAACGAAGAAGATCCGGAGAAAGCCGATGCGGGCGAAGGAAAAAGATGGCAGAGAGTTTTCGGGCTGTGGGGTACTACGATTAGATAGACAGATGAGTGTGGGCTGGTTGGTCATGAGGGGTATGGGATTGGATGTCTGTTGTGTGTATACATGATGTAAGATCTTATGATTAGGAGTTGGGATTTCGATTTTGATATCGTGATGGTGTTTATTATAGTCTTGAAATTACCTAGGAGTGATTAGTATGTGAGATGGATGATTTATGCCCGGGGTAAAGCACTAAAGTGGGATCGATCCGCTTCGTCTTGGTGGGTGGGAGATGGGATGGGTTGGGATGGTTTGTGTATAAATACTCATGATCAGATGGGTATTTGTAGGAGTATTTAATATATACATGTTCTAGGCTCGCGAATATTACTGGTGTATACGCCCAGTGTAGGTATAAGGATAATTGGTGAACTTTTGGTTTATTATAATTTAATGAAATCAAAGTGTGGGTGTAGAATTTCTTTTTTCGGCCATTTTCGCTAGATACTTTTATAAATTTAGAGATCACAGATTATATAAATGTATACAGTAAAAGTTCAAGTAAGCTAGAACTTCGGTCTTTCTTCATCTCGATATAATATAATATTCATACGGAAGACGTATGATGAAAAGGGTTATCTTAGTTTTATGTTCATTACTTATCATCATACTATTCATTACTAGGAGGCTTGACTAATATAGGATTGCAAGCGTTGTTCTATTCTATCACTTGATTACCTCTGGGTTTTTTTTTTGCAACTGTGTACTTTCAATCAGGAAGTCGCGAACAAGGGGGTCGGATGAGAGGGTTCATTAGTATAATTCCAATCAAAAGCTTTTTATATCATTATAAAAGATCCTTTCTGATCTGTATATTGATTTGATACAATTCTTATATTTCTTTTCTTCAATTCTACAAATCACTTATATCCTATTATATTTTTCGAATCCGAAAATGTTTTCGTTCAACTATATAATCTTCCTCCAATCACCCCTTTTAGGCTTTTCAAAAGTTATATCGGTTGTCCCCTATTAACGATATGTATATACAAAATCTAATCTCTTTTTTGCTTGTTTCCTAAAGATAAATAACTTAAAACAAACTATACAACGTTTATAATCATGTCGATGTAGCTTATATCAAATGATATATATCGAAGCCTTAACTCTTAATACAAATGATATATATCGAAGCCCTAACTCTTAATACAAATTTCATTTATTCAAAGATCATCTTTTTTCCTCTTCAATCTTTTATCAATTCTCTTATAATTTGTTGAATCTTTTTAAATATTATTATAAAAAATGGATATATCTTCCTTTACGAATAATTCTAAATGAATTCGATTTAATAATATCTTTTACAATATTTCAGAGTATATTCAAATTTTATTCAATCTATAATTACAATTTTCTATCCCCTTTAGCTTGAAAGATTCTAATTCTATAAAGGGTACTCAATTTTGATGAAATTCCTAATTATCATTTTTATTTCGAATTTCAATCTTCAGTTTGAGTTTGAATAGAAAATATTGAAAATTGGAATTTTAATAAATTATTTATAATTGAGGATTGAAAATAAGATTGCAATTATTTCTCGGTAGAGTATACAGTTAGAAGTTTCCAGAACTCTTACTACTAATAACCACAAAAGGATACAGAGAAATAGTGAAATCGATATCACTAAGTTAAGTTAATAATACTAAATGTTGAAACTTGTAAGAACTGAGAAAGGGTAGTACATATTATATACGTAGTTAGTATTACTAGTCTTACAAGGTCAATATTGAAAAGAGTTAAAAGTGTATTACTTACCAGTCAAGACTTTAATACATCATTTAACGGTTTAACTGGTACCATATCCAGACAGTTTATAAGAGTAAATATCTCTCTGGAATTTGAAAAATGCACCGGTGACATGACCGAGAAATATACGATTCGTTCTAGTACATGATAGTTATATATATAGGTAGAGTACAAGTATAATATATCAGTGTTTTTGTAAAAAATATTATAATCAACAAGTTTATGATTATGAATTCCACGGATCAGTTTCCCAAAATCCGTGTATAGTAGACCTATTATTGAGAAATTTCGACTTCAAGTTGAGAGTTGAGAAGGCATTTTTCTATTTGATCCGAGTTAGTTACATATATGCATCTACAAATCTAATCTTGAATAATCTATGTATTATAATACCAAATTGAATTCGAAGAGGGCTTGCCATGCCATTTATAGACTGTAGATTTAGATTTAGATTTAGATTTGAGAAATATAAATATATTATACTATTATATTAATATGTTTATTTATCTTATCAAAAAGAAGAAGAAAAAGAATTACCATTACAAATTATCAATATATTGTGAGAAAGTTAGAATTATAGGCCAAATACATAAAGGTTTTAACTAGTCAATCACATAACCTTCTGTAATTAGATATAAAAGAAGAGCCTTTTGCCTCTTCTTTTCACAACAATCAACCTTCTACATATATACATTTGAACCCATATAGTATCAACCCCAAAACCATTGTGAACTCCGTTTTACCTATAAGTGATATATTACAATGTAATCTAATTCAGCTTTCTCTTCCAATTCCCTCCTCACAACGTGCTATCGGGATGCACGTATCTCGACCTACCACTTTTACAATATAAAAAAGAACAAGGACTTAATTATTCAATTCATTTATAGTTATAATTTATTTTAAAAAACAAAGAGAAGATTAATCTTGATTATAATTTTGAAGATTTGAAGCTGGGGCTAGGTTCATTAGATTTATAACAGAAGAATAAAAGAGATTAGAGAGAGATTTGAAACTATTTAATTATTCTATAAATATCTAGTGAACCAACCGACTTTGAAAAAAATGTGATTATTTGGATATTACTAGAACAACGAAGATTGATAGAGGTTAATGAATGACGGATAAGGAGTCAAGCAAGTTCAAGGAAGTTTTCAACTTCAAAAAAATTAATATCTAAGCACGGAGACAATAGAGAGAGGGGGAAAAATGGAATAGAGATAAGAAATCAAAAAGAAAAGAATCATTCTCAGTACCTATCAAAGCAAAGTAAGATAATTATCACACATTCACATAAACCTCACAATCAAAAGCAAAAAAAGACAGTATTTTGACCAGCAAGAGCATCAACATGGAGTTACTAAAGGAGCGGCTATACTAGATACAAGATGAAAATGTAAGAGTAGTATATCTCTTTCTTTTTTTTCCAACAACCAAATCGACCCCAACATACAAATGAAAAATTGTCCACCGCTATCATCCCCCACTCAAGACCCTTCCCCCGAATCCCGAATCCCCCAACTCCTAGTATGATGAACCCTCAGGCGCCGTAATCTTGAATTCTGAAAAATTAAGCACGGAACTTGGCACCGATGGTGCGCTTGGTAGTAGCAGCAGTAGTGCCATTACCAGCAGCAGAATCGCCGGAAGCCGAGGCCATTTGGAAGGCGGCGACACCACCGAATGGTCCAGCGCCAGATGGGTTGGCAAGCTTAACTAAGCAGACGTTCTTTTGATCACCGACGGTACCGGTGCAGGACATGCCGGCTGGCATGGAGACCTTGATGGGGTAGTCTTCGTTGACGTTCTTAGCACGCTTGACGATACCAAGGTTGACGAGGGATCTCATCATGAGAGAGCGTTGCTTGGGTGCGGCGATGTTACCCCTTTTGCCTGGTACTTGAGTAGTAACCTTTGCTTCGGTACCTTGAGAGAAGGCACCGGTACCAGTTGGATCGACGATGGCGGAGTATGGTCCAGCTCCGTCAGTGGTAACGATGTGGATGGTTCCGCTGAGTTCACCTCCGTCGCTGACTTGAGGAAGAGTTTCACCGGACATGGCCATGACACTCTTCATGTTAGACATGGTGTTGGGACCAGCCTTGGTCTTTCCGAGACCGTCAGTAGCGGCGTTCTTACTGTTGAAGACAGTAGTGTCGACCTCAGTTTGCTTGTTGGTTCCGGCACCAGGGATGACGGCACCTTGGATACCAAGACCAGTGGTGTTTCCACCTGCATCACCAGTCTGAAGTAATGAGTTAGTGTGAATTATTGAAAGTGGAGAATGAAGAATGGGATAAATGATGAGACGAGATTGAGAAGGAATGAGATAGATTACTAACCAAGACTGCGATCTTGCCATGGGCGGCAACGAATGGGATGATAGCGGCGATGACGATAGTATAACGCATATTTGCTGTTGGGGTTGGTTGGTTGGGTTTTTAAAGTTTATTGAAGAATTAAAAGATTTATAAAGATTGTATAAAGCGGGATACTAGTCAATAGTATGCGGCTGGAAGAATAGAAAGATAATTGGAAGATTGAAAGAACTGGAAAACTGTTGATGCTGAGGAGAGAATTGTAAACGGAGGGATATTGAGTTCCTTTAATACTTTCTCACAATCATACGTAAATCTACTATAGAGTAATATGATCAGACCAATTTCCATAGTACGTAAGGCGGTATCCATGAGAAACCTGCCAAGAGAAGTTCAAACTACCATACGGGCCTCAGTGTGAAGAGGGGGACAATGGGTAAGCCATGCGAAGTCTGTGCGCAGCCTCCGTTCCTGAAGCACAGAGCCTATCCGATGTGTTGTGGATACAAGTAGCCGAAGGTCTGACTATCTTATGAACATAGTGGCAACATGCTCGAGCAGTGGAGTGATGAATGTGACGGGATGGTAGATAATCCACCATAGATGAAATTGCCCATAACTCTCAGCATTGTAACATTGAAGCCCTGACCGGTGACATACCGAGTTGGTCTACTGCTACTATCAGTATCAGCTAATGCTCTGGCTGAAGAATTCACCATGGAGGACCATTGAAACGGGAAATGTTTTCATCTTGAAAAGTCGCATCGGGATTCAGATACTTCTTGGCAGGTGTAGTCAAACAAGATCAGGTTTCTTCAAATGGTCTTGTCTGTGCGCGTTTCCGAAGCCACAGTTGAGTAAAGAGATGGAAATTAATATTGCTAGGGCAGATATTCTTGCGACATTCAGAACATTCTACTTGTTTGAAGTTTGTCACTGGACCAATCTCAAATTTTAGAAAGAATTGCCAGATTTGGGTTCATGCCTATTCTTTTTTTTTTTGCATGCTCGATGCTCAAGACTTGTCAGTATCATTGATAACCTTTTGTGGAGTCAAAAAATACTGGCATCTCTTGGAAGACCTCTAGCATAAACTCTATGACTTCCGACACAGGAGAAATCGCATTCGGAAGGACCCTGAGCATGGGAGACGGCCGAGTAGCTCCTACTCAGTGTACATTACAGTAGCTCCCGATGTAGCTAAATTAGTGTTGAAGTCGAATTAAGCTTGATGAAAATCCAGAAATTACCAATCAACAATGGCCAAAGTCATCGATGTGGAGCTTGAATGGAGAATGAAAACAAACATGGAATAAATCCATGACTCCGTGTCGGAGCACAATGCAATGCTTTACCGATTATCTGATACCTTGGGACCCTTGGAGGCAATCATACGAGTGGAATCAACTTGCATATTGCAGATCTTTTCGTCATTCAAACAACAACAACAACAACAACAACACCACAACCTTCACAATCGGTCGAAGCTTTTTGAGACCTGAATCTCATCGCGTTGCAAACGCTCAAAGAAGTTAAATTGTGGCTAAAATCATATCAAGGGCCGAAGGTAGAGGTGCATCAAAAGATCTTATTTGATTCTAATGATCTCTAAAAACCCATCCTTTACGATTCATTCCCTGTGTTCAGCAACCGTTTTGTGTTTTGTGTGTTGTGTGATTGCAAACAAAGTCAAATTATGTGTCAAAAAGTGGCCAACTTGGGAACGAAAGCGACGGAAAGGACCTGACAGTGTAAATCACGTGCTTGGCATGCCTTAGTCGGAAAACCATGGGTACAGATGCTGGTCTAAAATATACGACACGTTTCATGACATAAGCATCGGTTGGTTTAGCATTGCCTTCGCTAAATCATCTAGCCGTGTAGTGACCATATCGTGTTTTCTCGCTTTGTCCCTTCGTTTATGGTGAGAGAGGACGCTCTATGCTAAGACCCCCCGATTCTTGGTTTATTTCCAGCCTTCCAAACGTGATGCGGAGCGACTGAAGAAAACGCAATGGCTGGTAAGAGAAACACAAGTGACCTGCTGGATACATATGCATTAATAACCTCCAATATCTTACCGATATTGTACTGTGATTTTCCCTCGGTTTTGCTCGTCAGGTCACCATCGTTGCCAGAATTGAACTTCCCTTCAAACACTTTGATGCGTACCTCCCATGTACCCCCTTAAGTTCCAAACGTCTCAGAGCCCGCACGAGTAAGAAGTTGTTCATCCACCAATGTCGAACGTGGCGATATCGAGGCAATAGGCAGATTTGTGCGGCAAAAACTTCCTCACATCATCTCATTCTGGCATGCATCAGTGGTATACTTTCCTTGTCTCCATTCGTATAAGGTCTGCGACACGTATGGCCGTGATGTATCCATCCGAACTCCTGGATGTATTAAATCTTTATCCAGCTCAAGTCCTGCTATTCATTCACGTACACACATTAATGAATCTTCCCCGAAAATCTCAGATATACTACATTCTTCTTTAATCATGCCGCCAATCCACACACGACCACTCTCAACTGTTGGAGCCCCGAACTTTACCACTGTGCATCCTCTCACTTTTGCAGCAGACCAAAGAATTCCTTCCTCCTTTTCTTGTTCAAGTCGTCGGAGTCTCCAGGATTCCTGTTTCGATAGAATGATTTCGTTATCTTTTTCTTTCCTATCATCAGATCGGAAGTCTCTGGCACCAATCCTGGGAAGTGCTGCAAATTCTGACAAAAAGAAGGCAGACAACTTTTCGACCAGCGGCCCTTTCAGGATCAAAGTACCGAATATGCCGTTTCCGCGCATTTTGTGGCGTAGTAGTTTTTCTGGAGCTGTTGCTTCGTCTCCTTCTAGCAAGACATTATCCCTCAGCAAAAGTCTTCTCTCCATATCCTTTCCCATGGCCCAAATCTCGTTACGCCCGCTCCACGCTCGTAAATCCCAGTTCTCCCCTCTTGCGGTTCTTCCCGCCGAGACCCAATCTAATACGCAGAGAGTTCCGCCTTCCTTAAGGGTGAAAGTTTGTGATTGTTCATATACACTTTCAGCGAAAGGTTGAACCGGATCGGGTAACAAACAGACTGAAGCACCGTCCTCAATAGTGACCTGTAAGTGTTGACGTGTGATGACATCACGTGTTGGTGATTTGAAGATCTTGGTATGACCTTGAGTGACAATACTCAATTTTGCATTTCGGGTGACATCTATCTTAAGTTGAACTTGATCCCCACCGACAAGACCTCCACCATATGTCAAGAGAAAAACAAGGACACTCTTTTGTGCAGCAGAAGGGGATGGAGATATCAATTTTAGTGGGTACTGAAAAGTCATTCTCGACAAAGCGGAGATTGAATGAGGTAGCAACTGAACAACCAAATGCCCCTCTCCTGGAGCAGACGATGAGGGGGGGAAAGGAGATGGCATGCTGGGAGGCTTAGTTGGAGAGTAGAAGAAAGAAAGATGTTGATATTATTGTATCATGATAAAACCGGTAAATGATGGTTATGATTTAGTAAAAGAATACCAACATAAAGTTAAAGCACCTTTAATCTGTACGCACTTAGTATGTTCATTATCTACATGTAATTAAATTTATCAGAATGATTAAGGTTACCCTATTGGAAAAAAAGATAAGGCATCAAAGAATGGGAGCAGAAGCGTCATATGGTACAGTAACATGCTGGAAATGCTGGAAAATAAGCGTTGTAAGCCTAAAAGTTGTGGCGCTAAACCAAATTAAAAACGTTCAAACGCGACATTCATTCGTTCTCGCGATACGTCAACATTAACCACAACCTCAATCAAGCGCGCCCTAGTACCTCGAATCATTCTTTACACTTCAATTAAATGCGCAATTGATGCGCTGATGAGTACTCAACGATTGCCACTCATGGAGATCGAAAATGACGTGTCAAGCATGCCCGTCGCAGGTGGTAGGAGGAAATCAGGACGCGCCGTGAAAGCACCTGAGAAGTTCGTTCCTGATCTACCATCGTCTGCCGTTCGATCCACAAATGCCAAAAGGAAGAGATCTGATGAGGAAGGAGAAGATGACGCGTCAGAGGAAGAAGAGGTAGAACCAGAAGAAGAGGATGAGGATGACGAATTAGAGGAAGAAAGTGCGGGGGAAGAAGAGTTAAAAGAAGCTCGCAGGAAAGCCAGGACTTCGAAGAAACCGGCAGCAAAGAAACCCAAAATCAACGGTACAGTGCCGCATGCTAGAGCGCCTGCTGTCAGATTACCAAATCGACCCAAGGCAGCAAAGAAAGTCGTTATAGCAGATGATACTACTGAAGGACTTTATGGTATGCGCCATGAGCAATTCTGGTTCCATTTCTACCTTGTACTGACTTGTTTAACAGCCGATGTTTATACGAGCGGACAATCATCCGACGAGGTGGTTTCTAAGTTCCTGGAAAAATACGCACAGAATGGCCCTGGGGCTGTGGCAGAATTGATAAATTTTGTCTTGAAGAGTGCTGGCTGTGACCTTCAAGTCACTGAGGACGATGTTAATGATTCAGATAATGTTAACGGGAAAATTTCAGACCTTCAGGAAGAACACCAAACAGTAGGCTTTGGCGTATTTATTAAAATCAATCGTGCTAATCTATTTTTCAGCAAAACATATCTGACTACCCATTAATCTCACGAGCGAAGAACAGTCATGCCTTTCGAGCGTCTTTCCTCGATTTCTTCGACTCCTTAAACAGAACAATGGATGCATCTGGAGCACTTTACGATGAGGATGAACCATTAATGGAAAGCATATTTCATTGGATGGCTTCTATGTCATCCTCGAATCTACGACCTTTTAGACATACTGCGACTGCCGTTGCTTTGACTATCGCAACTTCTACATGTCAAATTGCGAAAGAACAGATAGAAATTGCCGCGAAAACCTTACGTCAGCTTGAGGGAGAAAAGAAAAACAAACGACCCAACAAAGGTAGACTTGCAGATTTCGAGAAGAAGGTCCGAGACGGGGAAGGAAAGAAAGAAATTTTAGAAGAGAGACTCAAGGATATCTTTGATACAATTTGGGTGCATAGGTATCGAGATGTTGACCCGAAGATTAGGATTGAATGTATTGAAGCGCTAGGCTTATGGATTCATACTTTACCTAGTTATTGGTTTGATGGGCAATACCTACGATACCTGGGATGGATGCTTACAGATGCTGCATCAAGCATGCGACTCGAAGTGGTCAAGCAGCTGATAAGAATTATGAAGAACCCCTCCAATATCCCAAGATTAGGTACATTTATCGAAAGATTCAGGCCACGTATTATTGAGATCGCCACAAGAGATTCGGATGCTGCTGTTAGGTCGAATGCAGTTGATCTGGTTGATATACTTCGAAAGGGAGGAATGCTTGAACCAGATGACATTGATGTTATCGGGAAGCTCATTTTCGACTCGGAACCCAGAGTACGCAAAGCCGTGGTTGCATTTTTTGTTGAGAACGTCAAGGACGTTTTCGAGGAAAAGATTGAGGAATTGGGAGGAGAAGATGCCTTGGAAGAGATTCTGACAGTTGATGATGATGATTACGATTCGCCTCGTGCTAGTTGGATTAAACTCAAGTGTCTTGCGGAGGTATTACAAAATTATGATGTTTCAGATCAGGATGAAATGCCGAGCCATATAGAGCAAGCGACCGTCGAACGTTATTTAGATCTTTCTGGTGGAGAGTCAAGATTTACCCTTGCGGCTCAAGCTTTATACGACAAAATGCCGGAGCTCAGGGAATGGGAGGGTTTAGCCGGCTACTTATTACATGATCATTCTTCCAACCCCAAAGGCAAGGGAACTAATCGAGCATTGAAGGAGAGTTTTAAACCCGAAGAGACCGAAGAGATCATACTGCTAGAGATATTAAATGCAGTGGTCAAGCTCAATCTGAACCAACTCGGCGAGCCAGATAAATCAAGAGACAAAAGCAAGAAGAGAAATGCTAGAGCCGAATCGGCAGAAATCAAAGAGACAACAGCTCGTCATTTGGCAGACATTATTCCAAGATTACTCAAGAAATTTGGAGCTCACCCGATAACTGCCACTGCTGTATTACGTTTGGAACATTCTCTAAACCTTGGTGTCTTCCAAGAACTGCGACAAGACTCAACGGGATATGCTAAGTTACTTGACGAGATTAGTGCTCAATTCAGTGGCCACGCTGACAAGAATGTCCTCACCGAAGCAAGCGCAGCAATATTACATGCAAGAAGCTACGAAGAACTGGAAGATATCACAGAAAACAAACTCCAGACATTATGGGAGGACACCACGAATATACTTCAAAACATCAACAAAGCTGGTGAGGTATCTGTCAGAGGAGATTTCACAGATTCAATTCTTGTAGAACTTTCAACTACTCTTGCAAAGGTGGAAAAGCTAGCAAGTATTTCGAATTGTGTGGAAATTTTAGAAGCCGAAACTAATAGCAAAACACCTTCTCCTATCAGTATTATTCTTGATGTTGTTGCAAGAGGACAACTTGAGGAGGCAAATCCAGATATTGATGCTCAAGAGGATGAAATCGTTATATCGGCTATCCGTTCAGCCACGTTCTATTTCATGTGGAAAGTACACTCATTAACAAGATCAATTGCATCAGGCGAAGAAATTTCAGATGATCACATCGATTCTCTCAAAGATTGTCAAGACACCTTCATACAGAATCTTGTCACCGCTTTATCGTCCCGCAGTACCCTTGATCCAGTACGTCTACTTGCAACAGGTGCTCTTCTCGATCTTCATGTTTTATTCGCCACTTTACGACCTCAAGCTACTGCCACTGGACGAAAAGACACTCAAAATCAGTTCGAGCATATACAATCTCTATTTAAAGAGATTACCCCAGAAGCTCAAACAGAATTAACATCTATCTTTGACCATGCCGAGAAACACTTTGCGAAAAAGACCAAGAGACGTCTAGAAGAGCCAGATGATGATGAAGCCCCTGAAGACGAACCCGAGGACTCTGAGGATGAGGATGAGGATTCCACAGAGAATGAACGACAAAGTGAAATACTCAAAGCGGAACAACAACTTTGTGAATTAACAGGAAAACTTATCTTAGCTATACTTGCAAGAGTCATTGATGCGTCAGGACCTGGGAAAGGAAAGTTACGTAAACGTATTGAGAGGAATAGGGCAAGGTTGGGACATAATTTCAAGGAAGTAGTAGCATATCTTGATGAACCTAAAGAAAAGGCGAAGAAGAATAAAACAAAGGCTCAATTAGCAGCAGCTGCTGCACAAGCAAAGAAAGAAGTTCTTAGGATGGAATTGGAAGATGAAGATGTTGACGAGGAAGAAGAAGATGATGATCCATTCGCAGATGCAGAACCAGAAGAAGGAACCAGAGCAGATTTAAAGAGAAGAGAATTGATTGAGGATGTTAGCGGTGATGAGGAAGGAGAAGCGGAAGCGGAAGCGGAAGCAGAAGTTGAAGAAAATGGTGATGTGGCCGATGAAGATAAGGATGAAGATATGTTGGGTGATTGAGCGATTAAGCGAAGGATTGATTGATTGATTAATGACTTTTTTTCCGATTCTCCTTTTGCACTGTTGCGTTTTTTCGCGGATATCATTCTCTTTCTCTCGGTCTCTGTCTACTTTATTTTGCAGCGCTAAAAAGTTTGTCCTATGTCGTATGTCGAATGTCGAATACCATGTGTCGCATATCGTTTCTTGTATGATAGTACCTAGTGATAGGATAGGCCCAAACTCATTGCGCATTTTTGTTTTGATCGCTTCGAGGCGATATTATATTGCTCTGGATAGAGGAGAGGAGGGGAGAGAGGCGCCCGTGGCGTGGTTTGTCTATTTCGCTCCTTTCTGCTTACCTTATTTTGCTGCGGTGGGTTGGGGGGCGCGTGGGGGCTTGAGGCGAAAGGGCGGGAAATGAAGGATGGCTTGCTTGCTGCTGGTGCTATGAATGAGAGAGGATGAAAGATGAAAGGATGAAGGAACGATATTGAGTATGGTGGGTGAATCAGATTTCGCTGGCTGTGCATACATACTATCATACTTGCACTGTATACCCGCATATAGTGTAATTGCATACTATATCTGTATCCGTATGTGTGTGTGTATATTCGGTACATGTACGTGTATGCGTATGTGTTTAATGAATAGGAAAATTTCCCCAAATTATAATGATCGAATTGGGGTTTTCCTTTACTGGTGATTTGAATTTGAATTTGAATTTATTTGAATTTATTTGGTTTGGTGCGCGACGTAAGTAAGTAAGAAAACTTACCTTAATGAAATCCCCTGTTTCTTTTTTCTGCGAATACTTGTAAGAATACAATTTTTATCTATTAGATAGATGGTGATGGTGATGGTCAGAGAGGTAGGTGGTCTTATAGGTTTGAGAAGAGAAGAGAAGAGAAGAGAAGAGTGGAGGAGAGGAGAGTATCAAATATTAAATATCAGATATAAATAATTAAGTAAATATTAAGAAACAATACCATCACCGCTATCATGTAATTAATATCGTATTTCCACAACAATCATCACTACTAGATAATCAAATATTAGAAATTTGATTAAAGTTTGACTTAAATAAATATTAGAGTAAAAATCCATAAGATTAGTCTACTCTAGCTAACTATTAAAAAAGAAATAATAAAATTAGTTGTGTTCCTCCTAACCAAGCCAAGTGCATAGATTAACATAGGTAGGTACTAAAAAATCTTCATGAATCATCAACCAATCAACCAACTAATCACCCAATAGATCCGCCAGAAAGACCAAAACGCCTCCAAGGTATCAACCATGTCATATCATCGTCATTACTCTCAAATCCCACTCGCTCGCCTAAATCCCATCCGCTCACGCATTATACCCATGAAATACATGAGGCATCACTTTTCACCTCATCCATTCAGTTCATCTTATCCCACATTCCAATCATCGGAAAGGGGATTTCCTGCCTAGAACCTAGCTCCCATATCTAATGAGCTCAAACTTTAAGCCCATTGTCTTAATCGTTCGAATCCTAGCTTTCCAAGGCTTTCGCCACTGTAATCCATCAACGGTTTACCTTGCATTGGGAATGGCCAAAAGAGAGGATTTTCACCTTCACTAGCAATACCAATACCACGCACCATATCCGATTCTTCCACAGCGGTACAAAATTGATTAAAAGAAGAGGAGGAAGGACGAGCCTGAGAATCAAAAGTATCAGGCTCTATTTGTTCTTCATTGCCACCGGGGACTTCAATATTCCATTTCTTGGCCAGGTGACGAAGGATATTGGAGGCGCGGGAGGCAAACCCATGACAGCTAGCCATATCTTTAAGGTCTGCAAATCCTTGAGCAACCTTTTCAACACCGAGTTTCGTGTTGCCCAGGGTTATGAGATGAGTAATGCCAGCGGCGAGAATAAAATGAGGTACAAATGAAGGAGTGCGCCTAAGGGTGTAAAGTTGAGAGTAGGAGCTCGTGAGAGCGGAAATTGCATCTGCAGCTTGGTTACAAACATCGCGCGGTGAGACGCCCGATCCCATTAAAGCGAGTTTGATAAAGGGGCGGAAAAGAAGCAAGATGGCGTAGTGATAATACATACTAAAGATTCTGATTTAGCACGCGTAATATGTTATCAAGATCTTTATGGTACGTACTGTGAAAACAAGACAGATGGTGTGAAGTTGTGTCCCAATCGTAGAGCTGCAGGAATGGAGTCATACCAACGGAGATACCTAGTGTACATCTGCAGTAAAGAAGTGCTCGTAAAATTGGAACCGGGAGCATAGAAAAGATACAAGGATTGATGAACTAGCTCAGAAAGCTCGCAAAATGTTGCGTATACACTTCGGATATTCGATGGCTGAGTACAGTTACGCTCCAGTGGTGCACCTGACAGTGTTAGTTAATATATTCTTGAGAATATGCGGCTGCGCAAGACTTTACCATCATCTGTATATGGAATCCAAGCAGATGCTTCAATCGTATCTACGATTGCTGGTTTCATGTGCAGTTTGGTTGTATGCGAGAATTGAGGTATTCGCCCAATCGTCAATGACCAGGCTCTGTCATAATGCGTCAGTACATGAGATAAATTCAACTCATTAGAAGTAATAAAGAGGAGTCTCAACATACGAGTCTAAAGAAAAGGCTCCCCAGAATGTGGCTAGTCGTACCGCTTCCGTTCCTTCAACCGGTTCGCTGGGTCGTTCGCCCATCGCTTCAAGATGAAGACCCATCTCAATTGCTAATCGGAGTGACTGTCCTGAAAGATAGATGCTCGCGCTAGAACGACCTCCACTTGCTTCTCTAATTGCCATCAACCCTAGTGCTTGAATGGTTGTCAAAGAATGTCGGTCTTCTTCACATTTAAGCAGACGTGTAGCTTCAGCAAAAAAATGGCCACCCGCGGTAGAACTGTCATTGGGATCAGTTCTTGCATTTGGATGTGTAGAGAACCGACATCCTAAAGCCAATATCGAATTGACCAGCAGCTCACTGCAATGGTCTTGTTTCCCAGTTCTATAAGCATGAAGAAAATGCTCCTTGCTTAGCGAAGCAAATGTGGGATACTCCCAACAGAAGTAGAGTGCCATGAGATGGTCCACAAAAGCAGAATCCGATGTGACTTTGGTCCATGATGCTGGAGGATATTCTTGACTGTTTCCTTGTGATGAGCCAGTTCCATTGTTAAGAATAGCTTCTTGACCTTGACCTCTGGCATACAGTATTGCACTATTCGGTGTAGAATAGTGAGATGCTTCGTCATTCCAAGTCCCTCCAGTTCCCGAATAATCAAGATGATCAGATAATGTCGTAGGATCCGCTGTCCAGTTCATCAAGTCATCTCCTGGAGCAGTACCAGATGATACATTATTTATATCGGGCCACTGACTCCACATCCCTTGATTCTCCTCATTGTGACAGTCGGTAGATGGTGCTGGCAAGGCCCCTTGTCCTGACGCTGTGAATGGGGATGTGATGATTCCTCGAGCCGGCCTGAGCGCATTTCCAATCGCTTGATGATCGGTGAAACTTGTATATGTTGTAATATTTCCTCCTGGAGCCGATGCAACGCGCGACGGGTTTTGCAAACCGTCCGCAATGCTTTTCAAACCATCGCCTTGTCGAAGTCGTTCGATGACCTGCGCAGTTTGATCTTGTGAGGCAATAGCAGCAAGCACACGCTCACTTTGTTGTTGATAAGTCTTTAAGTGTTCGATTTCGGATCTCATATTTTCCTTCGATTGACGCACAGGAATTTCGTAAACACACTCGACGTTCTTTTGAGATAAACATCTTGCGCAAGGAGTTTCGCCATCACACTGGAAGACCGAAAAGTGTTAGCAGTGTCAAAGAATCATATTATTAATTCGGCGAAAGTCGTAAGTTAATGAATAGAATCAAATACTGTCAATAGATACCTTTGCGCGCTTCTTTCTGCATTCTGTGCAAGCATTTGGTGTCACAATTCCTAGACCACGCCGTCTTTTTGGATTGCTTGTATTCGTTTCTTCCACAGTGTTCTTCAAATTGCTTGAGTTCGGGTTTGGGTTTATGCCTTCCATATTAAATTATGCGTACAGACAATGATTATATGTATTCTTATTTGTAGTTGTAGTTAACTTTTTCGATGGGGCCAAGAAGATCAATGCCATATTCCGTTGTAAACTTTTGTAAAGGTTGGGTGGAGAGTCATGAATACCAACATGACCGTGAAAGGATTGAATGGCGAATGTTGGATGTTTATGACTTTTGAATATTAAGAACTATGATGTGTGTATGTTTATCTTTGAAAAGCAAAAGTAATGAAATAATTTTGTTGTATGTAAATTTCCTTGCGTTGAAAATTAGTCAGTGGTAAGTAATGCGCCGACAGGGTGGTGGTGTGGTTTTTGCTGCATTGTTTGGGATGGCGGGGTGAAGGAAGATGACATCATAAGAGCAGTTTGGGATAAAAGTTAGAGAGGATTGTCCAATGTGAAGTCTCTGATGATCCGTTAATGCAGCTTCAAGACTTGATTTATTATGTGGGGTTCAAGAAAATTGGTGGAACCTACTATTTTATTAATAGGTACCTCCTCGAAAATGCAAGGTACCTTTTTTGGGACTTTTATACTCAACTAGGTAATAAATAGTAAATGATAAATGGTAAATGGTAAATATCTACCTAGTAGTAAATAGGACTAGACTCTAGGGCGGATATTCAGACTCAAACAAAACAAACATCCATAGTCACGTGGTTTACTCTGCCATACTGCTCTTTTTAGGTCACCGCATGATTGATTATCCTGATCTGATAACTGCAGACCACCAGGACAAGCACTATTACCATCATACCTTGGTTACCTACCCATTGGATAGTACTGTTGATCACTCACAATCCTCTATATTCCAAAAGTTTGTATGATGTGGCTTGACTTCAAATCACTCATTCACTCATTCACCCATTACAGTTGCTTCATATCAAAGTAAGGATGGATGTCGCCAAAGCAGAGGATGTAGGCAAGACAGAGTTGATTCCGCGACCTCTTCCGGTTGGAGATCGAATAGTCATTCAGAAACCTCTGTCTAGAAGAGGTAGAGGTCCAGGGTTGTTAATTCTAACATCGGAAAGTTACACTCCACGAACTGAACGAAAGACTCTTGATCCGGAGCCATGCCAGAAATGGGCAGAAGAAGGTTTTGTTGTTGTGAACATTACAATTCCTGATCACGCACCAGAAACTGGTGATACTGATTTGGGAGATTATTTGAATTCGGGTCGCCAGGCTCTAAAATCATTGCCAGAATGTACTGATTCTGATAAATTGGGACTTATTTGTATGTTCTTATTTGATAAGATGACAATACGGTGTGCGCTTATGTTTTATAGAAAGCTGACAAAGGTTTCTAGTTTATGCTGGAAACTTGGATAGAAGCGTGTATACTGACACTGTCTTGAAACTGATAAGCCGGGAAATCTTCTTGGTTGCTATTCTTTTCACAGATGGCACAAAAAAGCTCACTGCGGAACTTACGCATGCATCTATGCCCCCATTGATGGTTCACAGCTCCAAAAGCTTACATGGCCCTTTGTTGAGAGCTGATGATGTCGCTCATGTATATGACACAAACTCTACAAACTTCGTCCTCCCCAGTCATGATGACTATAAATCAGGGGCTGCAAGTTTGGCACATACTAGAAGTCTTAGTTTCATCAAAAAGCACCTTGGTGGACCCATATTTGATCTTGAGGCTATTTGGGATGAGCATACACTTTTTGAATTTGGTGAACGGAATGTTGAGAAAACGATGAGTACCATGGTTGATCAACCATACGTAAATCATATTCCAACAGTACGTAATCTGTTGCATTATTTATCTTTATACTAACACATGTTCTTCTCCCTTAGATGACAGGTGGTATTGGAAGAGGGCCTCTTATGGATTTCTACAGAAATCACTTTATCTTCAGTAATCCTAAAGATACTGAGCTTGAACTCGTCAGTCGGACCATTGGCGTCGACCGAGTCATTGATGAATTCATTTTCAGTTTCACGCATGATCGAATGATAGATTGGATGTGAGTGAAATACGAGAAGCATAAATGAATTTCCTGATTGACGTGGTAATAGTCTTCCAGGAGTTCCGCCAACACACAAGCATGCACGGGTCCCATTCACTTCCGTGGTTAACGTTCGTGGTGATCGTTTATACCATGAACATATTGCCTGGGATCAAGCAACTGTTCTCCGACAGCTCGGCCTCCTACCCGACTATCTTCCCTTCCCATATCCTCTTCCTGGTGGCCGACTTCCTGCTAAGGGCAAGCGATTCGAATATCGAGTACCCACGGCTGGCGTAGAAACCGCACAAAAATTGGTCGATGAGAGTAGTGTGGTGAGCAATGGGTTGTTTGGATTTGACATCCGGGAAGTGGATGACATATAATGTTAATATTACTTTCGAGGATATGCGAGCTAATAATTGATTGGTAGTTAACAAATACTGCCAAGCATATCTCGGGGCCCTTTCCTTGCATTGTTATAAACATAACTAATCATTTCTCATGTTAGTTCAGAGCAGCTCAAGGGTTCGTGGGTTCATATCTTGTTCTCCGCCCAGTGAGAGTATACTTTGCCATTCATAATATCATGGAGGTAGCACTCTCCTATGAGCTCATAATACACTGGCTCAGGCTCTCGAGCTTTATTCCCCGCTGTGGCAATTGTACTTATGTCCTCAGCACCCTTTCTATTCGGTTGGCCGCTGGACTCCATGAGGTTTTTCTAAGCTACACCTAGGTAGTGATTCACTTGCTGAGTACGATCGCTTTCCGCAATTTTGTTGCGGGTATGTTGTAGCACTTCTTCATTCCTTTTTGTTTTTGATTTCTTTCTATGGCTTCAGTCCCTTCCACCAGTTCCACCTTCACCAGTTCAAAATAACTTTAGCAGCACGTATCTCATCATTCTTATATATTACTTCTCGTATCCTCCATTGTTATATTATTTGGTTTGTTGGTTTGTTGTGCTTTCCCAGTGTTATAGGTACGATACAGCAATAGAAAACACAAAATCGATCACCAGACTTCGCTGGCCTGAGCACTAAACCTAATTGTCGGCATTCTGAACCATGAACGACCGGTTCTAGATCGCAGCCTGAACTCTTTGAAGGAAATCTCCCACCATACCACAACTTCCATGATCAATAACGCGTGTTGTTTTATGTCATCTTCAGGTGCTTGACCAAAAGTGAAGTTACAAGCCCTTGCATAAAATCTCAAGACATTGCTCTTCTGTCTTCGATTAGCAACAAGATTCCGCTAGAATCCATCAGGTAGCACCTCATCCATGGGCCTCTGTTTTGCTAACTCCAATCAACCCAATGGAATGTTATCCTCAGAAGTGCGCTCACGACGATGTTTTAGCTTATCAAAGATAGATCCTTCAGTGAACATGCTCTTTCAGTTGGAATTCGTTCCGCCATTTTCGAACGTGAGTGCCTTTGTTAAGGACATGGATCCCATTGCTTTCTAGGTATTCTGATATGAGAGCCCAACTGTCAGATCGGCATCAGTTGTCTCACTATCCTCCTTCCTCTTAAAGGGGTTTAGTCGATAGAGATGTCTTTTTATTTTATTTTATTTTATTTTGTTTTAATATTTATTTGATAGGCGGGATCCAGGATAGCATGTTCGCTTGGCTTTGCGGTATCATCCATTTGTTGTTCTGGCTATGGTTCTTGATCGGATATCCGTATACTTAAAGTTCGTGGGATTCTAATTTATGCTTTTGCCAGCAGATATTTTATGCTATGATGTGGATGCTACCGCAGAGCCTTGATAAAGCCTTCGTCTAATGAATCGCGTGTAACTAGGATCTTACCAAAGAGCACAAGGTTTTCTTGCAATTTATGCAACGGACCGCGAAGCATGACAGACTCTTCCAATTCTTCATCTGTTAAGCCAATGTCAAATCGTCGTTATATTGTTTTTTAGCAGCATATTCCTCTCAAACGTTCTAAACTGGGTTGACTCTTCGACTCGCATCTCGAGGCTCGACGAGTAATATTTTCACATCAGGATTTTGAACGGGAGGGTGACTTGTATCTCATTGTAAAGGACTAGATTAATGATGTATCTATACGAGTATACTCATATATCCACACCGAAGTTACGTGTACAGTTTCGCAATATTTCAGGTAGTTCTTCGTATTTGTATATATTATAAGATTACAAAATAAACGCATTAAGAGAGTTGTTTGACTTTGTAGTTGTATGATCAGATCCATTTTATAATAACTCATTTACAGTAGGTAGTGCCTTTCAGAAAAAAAGGTAATCTTACGAGGTTTGTAATTTGTCCCTTTCTTCACGAGAGGATTTGAGATCCAATAGAAGTACTAGCTAGATAGTCAAATTTGCAGGTGAAAAGTTCTTTGAATTTGTTGCTTTTGTTCACTTAATTCCTATGATGAAGAATTTGTATCTTATCTCCAAAAGCTATTTCTCGTTAAACAAGGTGTTCTAAGTACTGTACTAGGTACTGTATGTATGATATAGAAAAGTGCATAGCGATTTCTCTACAAGGTAAGGTTATCTATGATCTATGATTTGAATAGATATATCGGAGCGAAAAATTAACATTAAATAAAGACTTGAATTTAATTAATGGTATTCTGATGTCTCTGTGATCTGAGAAAATGTAATCATTATATTTAAATTAACATATATGGGAATGAATCATCGCAATAAGGTGACTGGACTTGTATGTCTGGATTTTTCATTCACCTTCTTTTATTCGTTTATTTGAGTGATCTTGTGTGGATTGTAGGATTAAACTGACCAGTCATTTTGTAGGGATTTTTTGTTTGACAAAAGAGGTTGGTTTTTGTTTTTGTTTCCTTTTCTTCTATTTCTAAAGAATAAGCTCTGTGTACAAATATATTCAGATATAAGATTATATTTAGTTTAGTAAGATTTACAATATAAATCTTGTTGTTTGAACATCTCGAGTTCATCAAATAATTAAAGCAAATCGAGTCAAACCAAACCAAAACTACACCACACCACAAGCATTCAAATTCAGATTCGAACTCGAATTCAACCTCAACCTCAACCTCACACTAACCTCCAAATCCAAACACCAAAACCCAAATCCATCTCTCCACCTACCTACCTACCTACCTACCTACCTACAACAAACATATCCAGAGAACGAAGATATAATCAACATGCACACCACACTCACAACTCTAACAACTCTAACAACCCTCCTCCTCATCTCCTCTTCCTTCCAGCTCATAAACGCCTCCTCAGTAGGCGCATTCCAACCAATAGATAGTTGTCAAAAACATGCGAAGGTTTGTGAAGAGGAACAGAATGGGGGGAAGGTGAAGCTTAAGATGAGGTGGATTGCAGGGAGGTTTGGGAGGAGGGATGCAGATGTGGAGGATATGGAGGATGATGAGGAGATAGAATAGGATGGGATAGAGTGGAAAGGAGAAAATGAAGATGAAGATATCGCAATGAAGTAGAGAAATGGGAGAACTGAAAGAGTTGTGGTTGTAACATATATGCGGATGGTAGATATGTGGGTGATTGTCAAGTTTAAGATCGAGGGGGAGGAATTTGAAGGGATAGGATATGAGAAATAAGGAGTAAATGAGTAAATGGGTGGCTTATACAGAATATTTGAGGGTTTTGGGCAGAGCGTTTGCGGCTTAGGTTCTGGGCTTAGGATTAAAAGAATTTTGTAAGATAATATGAGATTAAGAGTTTGCGAGATCTATTCAAGATTATGAGATGTAGGATATAGATAATAGATACGAAATGGAAAAAAAAGATCAAATGAATTACAGGACTCGAATATTATGGATTTAGATCTTGTGTATAAGAGACACACACTATTTAATAATTTAAATTCAAAGTCGATTTCAAATACAAGATTACTGCCTGTACTTTGTATGATGTATCTTGTATTATTTCAATATCTAAAATCAAAGTTATTGTGATTTATTTATATAATTCTCTCTCCCTCTCTCCTTTCTGCTCCCCGTCTATTAAACCTCTCCCCCCCACCCCCCAACCACCCAAACAATAACTCACATCTCACGTTACATCTCACACCCTAGAAATATCTATTTTTACCCTAATCATGATATTTCATACTCCGTACTGGAGTATATATACATTATCTAGTAGCCGCGGCTTATAGTTTATACTTATAGCTATTAGATAAACCTTTTTTTTTCATTTATCAGATTAAAAAGAATTAAAACAAAAGAGAAATGAATATAGATAAAATGAAAGAGAGTTTAAATTCTGATAATAGAATCTCATTAAGGTTTATATTTATATATTGTTTGAATTGAATGAAATATCTAGTTCATAAATCCCTAATGACTCCCCTCTATACATACAAACATAAAATAAATCCCCTAAATAGTCGCCTCAAAAAGCAAACTCACCCCATCATCACCCGCCGTAACGATTCTTGCCCCATCCCCCTGCACAAATCCCAAAACACCACCACCCTCCCCATCCCCCCTATGACCCTTCCATTCCCTCACAAATCCAGAATTAGCCATTCCGGTCCCACCCCTAGTATCCCACCTCCTAACCACACCATCCATACCACAACTTGTCAGAAGCCAGCCACCCGACTGCGCATTCTTGACAAATTCTAATTTCACCACGCTATATTCCTCATGCGCTTCTTTGATATGACGACGAACTGCGAAACGATGCGCGGAGTCAAAGAGAGCTATACTACCATCTACGCTACCAGTAGCCATGAGTGTTAAGGGTGGTTGAGCGAAAGCGATAGATTCAATTCCATCACCTTGTGCTTGTAAATCTGCGAGAATTTGACCGGCTTGTCCTGCTGATGCTGCTGATCCGCTTGCTTTTCCACCTGCTTGTTTTCCACCTTTACTTTTCGATGCAGCACCTGCACCACTTCTTCCAGCTGGGGCTGCTCCAGAAGAATCTCCTAATCGAGGTAATCCGACGATTTTGATTGAACCACCTGCTCCACCTACCGCAACAAAAGCACCAGTCGGTGCAATCCCAACACTAAATAAACCACCCTCAACCGCAAATCTCTGATCCAGTGCCGTAAGACCAACAACCGTCTGTCCACTCTCACCTTGCGTCAAACCCGCCGCGGCCGCCTCCCCAAAAACATCCCAAACATATAAACTTCCATCCTCACTAACTGTGGCCAACAATTTTCCATCCGGTGACCAAGCTCCCGCAGTACAGGACTCAGTATGTAAGAAATAACTCTGCATCATCTGCAACGGGGCATCCTTTTGACTTGGATCGACGGTATAAACCCACACACTCCCATCGTTTGCGCCCAAGGCAAAAGTATTCGGGGATTTCTCATACGGGCAAGCGATCAACCAATTAATTTCCTCGACTTCCTGCGCTTCGGTGTAGAATTTCCATTTACTCCCATTCGTAACATAAGCTCTTAATTTCCCATCCAATCCTCCCGAAAGCAAAAATTTCCCATCCGGCAATGTAAATGCCAACGCATTAATCGAATCCGTATGACCCTCCAATTTAAAAATTGGTTCCAGACCCCTCCTCTCGACGCGTTCATTCGGATTACTCTGATAACTAGCTGGAAGTACGGGACTGGGTTCGGGCGTCGCATCGAAAATGTATCCGACGCCAGGAGCATCATCACCGTCACTTCCACCCGTGGCTATAATTTCCGGTCGTGTAGGATGTTGGGCTATGCAGAAGATGGAGTCTTTATGGTGATCCATGTGTGCGACGGAATCGTTTTGGAGTTGGTATTCTTCTTGCATGAAATCGTCTTCGTTTTCACCTTCGCCTTGGACTTCTTCATCGTCGCCCGAATCCATGGCTGCGTCTCCATCTACATCTTCGATTTCTTCGGCCGCATCCGCGGGATCGAACATTTCGTTATCGTCTTCGTTGACGGGGTCATCGTCATGGGGGTGATGGGATGATGGCATTGTGTACAATTCGTTTCTTTTAGTTTGTTTGGGGGTATAAAGGAAGTATTGAAATGAAAAGTGTGTTAAAAATTAACTGCAGATTTCGTCAGATTTCGTCAAGATAACCTTCCAAATTGTTTTCTTCGGAGTTCGAAAATGCTTGATAATCTTTTTTTCCCCTGGGTTCTCTTTCTTTTGCCCCGCGACGCACGGGCCAATGGGATTCTGCCCCTCCATTTTCAATATCCTCGATATGAGCTTACAAATATCAAGTAGCATTTCAGGATCTTAGATTTTGTAACCTAGAGTTTGTGTTTCAATATTGAAATACAAACTCGAATTCTTCTCATCTCCGAATTCCTGTATGATATTAGTATCGGACTTAAGCTATGTCTGTACTCTAGAAGTTTTCCAGTAAGCTTGTCTCTTCAGTACGTACGCAGTAAGCATACATGAGTATTATAGGTATGGTAATTAAGGCTTCAATTTATCCCGCTATACATAAACGTATTTACCCTCCTGTATATAAAGATACATTATTAAAAAGTTCTTCACTAGAACTTTCTTATTACAACATCTAACCCTCTCTCGGACGTGTCTCCCTCTAACGTCTACTCTCACGGCGGCCACCACCTCACAACTTGGCACCCTTAACTCTCCTCGCCTCCTTTTCTTTATCCCTCAATAACCTCCTCAAAATCTTTCCACTAGGACTCTTAGGAATAACATCAATAAACTCTACACCGCCCTTTAACCACTTATGCCTCGCTTTATGGCTTTCTACCCATTTCATGATATCTTTTTTCACCATCAAATCATTCTCTTCTATACCCACTGATGTAGATTTGACAACATATGCTTTAGGTATCTCACCAGCTGCATCGTCAGGGATAGGAATGACTGCACAATCGGCGACCGAAGGATGGGATAGGAGATGAGATTCGAGCTCAGCAGGTGCAACTTGGAGACCCTATTCATTTGTGTAAGTTGAATGCGGTCAGGGAATCGGACGACAAAAGCTGATGTGATCTTACCTTGACCTTGATGAGTTCCTTAATTCTATCAACAATGAAAATATGTTCATTTCCTGATGGACTCAAGCGAATCTCAGCTTCATCCCCCGTACGCATCCATCTTCCATTTCCATCTGTATCCGCAATGAATGTCTCTTGATTTGCCTTTTCATTGTTGAGATATCCAAGAACTACCGATTTTGATTGTACTACCAGTTCACCTGGCTCGTTAAGGCCAGTAACTTCAACGCCTTCTGGATTGACTAATTTTACGCGAACTCCTTGGAGTAGTGAGCCACAGGATCCAAGCCAAAGATCTTTTCCGGAAGTCATGCAAACTACGGTTGATGTTTCGGTGAGACCTATAAGTTATGTTAGATATTTGTTTCGTCTAATCAAAAGAGTAAAGTTAGGTACCATATCCTTGAATAATGTCCCATTTAGGATAGATCTTCTGTAAATCTTGGGCTGTTTCCACGCCCAGAGGCGCTGCTCCTGTAAAAATACCTCGAACGCTACTCATATCAAATTTCGAGCACACGGATTGATTGTTTACCATTTGAATAATGATTGGAGGGACCTGGTAATAATGAGCTTGGAACTTCCACATTCCATGTACATGATGCTTACTAAAAAGAGACACTGAATTTTGTAGGCTTGAATGCTATTCAAGAATGATTTGAGTTCAAACTTGGGAAGGACAATTATCTCATCACCGCGGTAAGTTGTACTTTGGGCTATGACAACTAAGCCATAAATATGGCTTAGGGGGAGAAGACCTAAGCCTACTTGTGTGCCCTCATCCCATTCATCTCTACAGCGCTGCTCAAATGTTTTGATTTGTAAAACATTCGACATGACATTTTGGTGGCTGATCATGACTCCTTTCTAATAATATTGTTAGCTGCTTTCTTCAATTGACAATCATGATGTCCGCGCGATCATTCTGAAAGTTTTCCAATTCAAACTTAGTTAAACTTACGGGAAAACCTGAGGTCCCACTTGAGTAACATAAATATGCTGTCTGTCGAGCCGCTTGTCCCTTCTCCATTCTCAATGGCTCCAATTTTCGAAGCTTTTCTCCCGCAGATATTAAATCATCCGCAGTTTTAAATGGTACCTTCTTGTCTCCAGTAATAGCCTTGGGCATATCCAAAATATATATCTGATCATTTTTGATACCTGCGGCCTTTGCAGCTTGAAGAGCAGTCTCGAGTAAAGGTATACACTATCCTTAATCAATGCCCGTTTTGAACTCTTGTGGGAACGGATTCTTACCGTGAAAAGTGCTTTGGCCCCAGAAGACTTCAATTGAAATTCTAATTCTGCAGCAGAATATTGAGCATTTGCAGGTGAAACTAATCCACCCAATTCGTGAACAGCATATGCCAATGTCATGAAATCAATCTAAGAAATTATTAGTTTCTCGTTTGTTTGTGTGTTTGAGCATGTCGTCCTACCGTATTGAGTGAGAATACTCCCATTACTTTATCCCATTCTGTTCCAGCATTTGGTTGCCATCCCAATTCTTTCGATAAAGCTCTTGCTAAATGCTCAACGCGCTGCGCCTGTTCGGAAAGAGTATATGTTTTTCCTGTAATTCCACATGTGAAAGGATTGCGAGATGATTTAAACGGTTGTCTGCCGTATTTCTCATTTAGCATGAATTGACTGATTGGTATATCATCTGGTACGTCTATTTGGTAGGATTGTTAGCTATCCAATTCCAAAGTTTCTTTCAACGATTCACAATCAAAGGAATAAGAGTTTGTACATACCCAATGGCGTATTTGGAACCCATGATGGAGGTGTGAAAACCATGATGCTGTAATGATGATATCGTAAGCTCTAGATAAAGCAGGGATGCCGGCACCGTAATCCTGGGGTAACGTTAAGAAATCAGGGGGTTTCCCGTGTTGTTTTGCAGATTAACAAATCAGAAATCGATGTAGAACTATCCGAATTGAAGTTGTAAGAATTGATCAAACAAGACCGAGTAAAAAAGCGATTCGCTTTAATAAGAAGAGAAAGAAAGTTTAAGGGGAGATAAAATCAATCTATGATAACATTACTTGATCCTGGTGATTTGTTGAACCCAAATACTATCACTGATGCTAATGCGGGGTTCGGAGATAACCTACTTTAACACAAGTAACAAATCTATTTGTGTGACGGAGAAGCATACAATAAGCGTCCAGTAAGCCTCCTATATAAACTCAAATTTGGCGGGGAAAACCTTGACATTCCATTAAATTAATGGGAATTCGTAGTATAGAAGAACAAGTAAGATCTTCCATCTATAATCTATTCCCAAAACTTTACGGTAACTGACGGATAATTGACGGCAGCCGAGGTACCTGCGTGGAGTAGGGAGTACAGACAGTAGATCATCCAGTAACTTCATTTAAATCTTGTTCCTGGATTAGACGATTCGGTTTTATTGTCCTCCTTGAAGCCAGTCAAGAGCTTGAGGTTCCGATTAGTACAATCATTTGTATCTTAATACTTGGTCCTTTCACCCTTCATCCGGCCATGTTTGAACTGCACAGTGCAAGCTGATGTCTTGCTGTGTAGCTACCTGGTAGTCTCCGACGTAAAGCATGTCAAAGTTGCTTAACACCGAAAACAGCTCCAGGTACGGAGTATGAGATGGAGACTCCAAAGAGTTGTGGTCAGTGCAATGATCCACACTATCCGCTTGAATCCGTCATTAGCGGCGGCAATTACTGATAATTGTAACATTACGGAAAGATAGATCAGGTTCACTCAGGCTTGGAGGATAAAGCGGTAAGTGAGGATACCCAAGTTACGCGGAATAATCGGAATAATCGGATAAGTCGGTCGCGCAAAAGAAAGGGGTATAAGGGCAGTTAATAACTTCAATAACTCAATCTTTGCAATCGCGTAAATGACGGAGTTTCTGCAGCATTTTCTTGGCTAGAAGCGATTCAGTAAGCTCCATCTATGATGCAATGTGCGAAGGCGGTGGTAAAGTAGCGAGTCTGACGACCAGCGTGTCGAGAATAAAGGAGTATTGGCTTCAAGGCGAGGTGTCAGGTATCATGCTCTGAACAGAATATACAGAATATATTTAGGGGTTCTGTAAGAAAGAGTATGCTGTGGTCCTCATTCATGAATGGTGTTTGGTAGCAATCTATCGAACATCTGGGAAAATGTGTATGATATTCGTGGTTTGCTCAAACATAATACTGTTGGCAGCATTTCCTATTTCTAAGATGGAAACTATCAACAGTGTTCTAGGTTAAGCAAGTGTGTCACATTAGACCAAATCATCACCAATGAGTCATGAATGAGTTGAGTCAAGACAGATAGGTATATCTTGACATAAAACTCAAGAGTGATGGAAGAGGCTGACATCTTTTTTCCACACAGTTTTTTATATCCCGTGTTCAGCTGGGGAAAAGGCATAGAGCTATCTCATTGTAGTACATCAAACGATTTACTAGATGTAAAATCAAATAATTTTGATCTGGCTAATGATGGTTATCGAATTACAGAATTACAGAATTACACAGTCTTTGGTTCAAATGTGCATTTCTTCATGCTACAAGTAATCCAAAAAGTGTTTTATTTGCCTCTTAAGATAAATGATCAAGGAATCATCTCAGTTCTTTCATTCGATCAAAAGTATCAACGTCTTTTTTTTTTTTTTTTTTTTGGTATATATGAATGGTCAATGAAGGATTGCAATGATAATGGTCCTTTTGATCCTAAATTGTTTATTCCACGAATTCACTTGTACCATTCGATATCTTATAAATCGTTTTCTTAATTGAGGGAATAAAAGAAACTCTTTTTAAAGAAACTTTGATGAATTTCCAAGATTTGGGGCGTCTGGTATAGAAACTGTAATTCACCGTCCTGCAGACTATTTTCTTTTCATACATGAATAGTAAATAACTTCAGATGTATGTAAATCATCCTATTATTCTTTCCTTGTTGATCAAGTTAAACAATCAACCTTACATAATTTATCTTATCGAGGCCCAATATGGTTTCTTTGAAAGAACACCAACATCAACATAATAGCAGTCTTCCTGAGATCTCTATTTCTAACATTACACGTCCTTCTAGTTTGGTTTCAATGACTACATTGTCTTCTGTTTCCAACGCCGATGAGGTGAGAATGGAAAAATAATACTTCTCCAAACCTTTGACACTTTCTAAACAAGCAAACTTCATACTTCACTTTCGAAAACAGTTTTTTTCTTTAGATGTTTGTCTCCGGGGTCAATAGTTTCTTACCTATGACTACTTTGCCTGTGTATCATTTATCACCACTTCTCTCTTTACATAGATCTTTTTCTACCAGAGTCAAGGAAATTCATTTGAACAGGACATCCCCTTCATTTTATGACCATGCCTATTTTCCTTCCACGGTGGTTCAAGTTATGCTGACTTCTGAATTTTGAAGGATCCTGGGTTGCCTGTGTACCAATGCTACTCTATGCAGAATGAGGATGGTCCTTGGTCTGATTCCAGTCTTTCCTCTTTGCCATCTAGCCCGTCAGACACAGCATCACCTCCTCCTACCAGTCCCAAAGCCACTCCAAGTAGCAGAATTAATCGGAACACTCGAACATTGGTTCCCACAAGCGGAAAGCCATGGTCAGCGGTGATGAAGAGTCCTTCCCTGATGCCACTTAACAGTCACCGAAGCTACCACGCAAGAAAACTGCCGCTGCATCCGCTCGTAAGTTTCGGCAGCCAGCCGCTCCCAAAACTCGAAAACCTGTAGCTAAGACCAAGGAGCTACCTTCTCTTGAAAACGCAAACCTAGGCAAACCAGAAGCTTGGGGTCAGCCTGAGGTATGGGCTGAAAAGCGTCAGCAACTTTGTTCCTCACTTCCTTATCATAGAGGACACGAATCCGCTGCGTATAGGACTAATGGCATGGTTGCTGGATTCCTGGCGAACCAAGGAATTGGTCCACGTGATGTTTTCACAGAAGATATCTACATCACTGGAGTGTAAGTTGTACCAACTCAAATGATGCCTGATGCTTCCTTGCGCTCATACGAACAGTGGTGGTGGCAAGGAAAAAGGTGAGGATGGTGAAACAAAGCAAGTGAAGGACCAAAACGTCAGCCTGATTGCCATTTCATTCCAGCATACCATGGAAGCCAAGCTACCGGTTGCAATAATTGCCGGTAAATATTATTGTGAACACATGCATCCCTCATATCCCCTTACTAATCCACTTGTAGGTCAGCGTAATCCCATTTGTCCTATCAAGCTCACTCACCATTTCAATGTCCTTGATTTTTTTTCCATATCACTGATGTTTGGTGTGAGCCTCTAGGCGGTCTCAAAGTCTGTAAGGCGCGAATGGAAAAGATAGACCTCAAAAAGCGATCTTGGTGGTCCCCTGTCAACTCTGTCGCCCATCTATCCCAAGGTTATGATGGTGTAAAGACCCTTGTTCAGACGTGTCATGATTGCAATACTTCATGCAAGACTATCTACACGCATGGTTGGACTTGTAGAAGCCCTCAGTGCAGATCATTCTACGTTTTTTATCATCAAGTTGATGTCAATGACCTCCAGTACTGTGGGGATTTCATGCAGGAGCGAACTCCATACATCGGTGCTCCCCCTCCCCCTTTGCGACCTGAACCTGTCACTGATACAGACTTGGTGGGTGAAGATGTCTTTGGTGTTGAAGAAAGATGCAAGCAAGGCATTGTTTGTGCAAAATTTCACGGATGTATCCGTCGTTTAGAATGGCATCAATGGACTTGCGAGACCGTGGGTTGTGATTTCACTCACACAGTCACACAAATTCCCGTTCCCCTCTCCAAAGTCCTCTCAGCTACTGATTTTATCGCTGACAAGATTCCATTGGACTTTGTTCATGAATCAATTGGCGTTAATCAAAAGCCCATTGGACATTATGATGTTTATGAGCTCAAGATTCCTGGTGAGACAACTCCAGCTGGCTGGATTCAGATTTTCTGTTCTAATGGTCTTATTAATTCACAACCTGGTGGACCAAATGATCTCTATCAAGGAATATAGAAGGATAACTATAAGCTTCGCAGAGGCCCTGCTCGACACCCCGGCCGTGAGTTTCTTTCGCTACTGCCGTCGCATTGTCTTTTTTTTTTAACCTTCAGCAGTTCCAATAGAGATTGTGACAGCACATTTCGCATCTAATTAAATATTTTTTCTTGAGCTTAGGGTCTTTCCATTGTTAATTCCTCAATATAGGGTGCTCCATACAAATTCTTGGTCGCACATGAAGCTAACTCTTTCCAAAATGCACCGCCACCTATCCTTAAGGCCATGCAAAGAATGACTTGGGCTGGAAAACAAGCATTTGCAGGAAAGGAGGATGTTGAATTCACTCCTTTAAACGAAGTCTTGTGTCTTGGATACTTCGAAAACATGCATATTGGTGTATACACTCTTTTATCTTCTTATTTTGACAGATACACTAAAATATTATATAGTATCATGATGATGGAGAAGACACACTTGGTGAGACTGTTGCTACCTTATCCTTAGGAGCTTCCTCAACCATGTGCTTTCGACCAAAAAACAAGAGCACAATTGGTGGCATTCACAAAACCAACAAGGGCTCCAAAACCTCCAAGAAAGATTACGCCAAACTCACTTTAAACCATGGCGACATTATTATTATGCATGGATCTGGTATTCACAAGTACTACGAAGCAAGTAAACTCCATTCGTCATCACACAATATATAATGTTAACCAATCTTCAAGCACGCCGTCAAGCCCCATGGACTCCTGAGATTTGCACTTACTTGCCGATACGTCAAGCCTGAGCTCCTAAGTCCCGAAGACCGTATTCTTTGTGCACAAAAAAGTGCTCTGCCCGTCAATTTTGATTTGCTCATCTAATTAATGTGTTACAATCTACCTACACGTCATTGCGGTATTTGTTTAAAGGTGTAAACGTTAGACTTCACGATATAACGACATTGCGATAGCTAGGGAGGATATTACTATCACTGGACATAATATAATGTGATATAAAACATATTTATTTGCAGGGCTCTTGCGATATCATTCTATTTGAGATTATCATAAATGATTTATTTAATGAGGAGATGTTCTCTGCGTTGTAAGATCTTAACTTGCGGCAAGTATTGGAGAAGATGTTTAGTTTTTCGATTTGAATCGTAGATTTAGACTAGATTATAGATCTAAAGAATGATATTGGTAGTTGTGACTCAGAACTCAGAAGCCGTGAAAAATTGAGAAAAAGCTAAAGCTTCGAATACGTCTAAGTGCACGCACTAGCTCAAAATCGAATTCAATTATCTCCAATATCCCCCCTCACTTAAGCTTGCCCTCACACAAGCGAGCATACTAATCTATTCGCCTAACCCATCCCATCCCATCATCGTTACTAGCTACCTAGCTAACAGAAGCCTGTTAACAGTGAATCATAGCGATATCGATATCGATATCGCACACTAGAAACTAGGAAGCACATACTAAATCCTATCCACCCCCTAAGCGTATGTGTATAAGAAGATCATTTTCATCCCGATTCCTCTTTCTTTCTTTTCTTTCCTTTTTTCCCTTCATACTACCTCGCAGCAAACCTTAATCTACGGCCCAAGGAGGAGGGAGATGTGAAGATTCGTTTTTAATATTAATATAAAAAATGGGATTATGATAAATATTTATTATTTATATTTTGTATATTTTTATAGATATTGTGTTTATAATATACCTCATATATTATTTTGTTGTAAGGAAGAGGTACTATTTATATATGCTCTTGATTCCAAAAAAAGTGGGATGATGACAAACTAATTTTTGAAGATATGTTATGTTTAATTTTTTGTTCATAATATACCTCATGTACCAATTTGTGAGGACTAATTATAAGATTACAAAATGTGGTCTTCGGGAGTGATGTCAAGTCACTATAGCTAGGCAGCACAAAGGTTGGAGGGGAGCAAGTTGTTCTGTTACGATATTTCAAGGCTAATTGATTTCTGAATGGGATAAAAGTATTCTGACACTACGGATGATGCTTAGTTATCACATTAGAATGTCATCTGGCGACATGAAAGCGTAGTTCCTACTTAGGATCAACATCAAGCTTGTCTATCACCTGATATCATGCACAAGGCTATGATGTATCCTAGAAGCTTCCTGCTTCTTTAGTGTACAGTCTGTGTTGCTTTCAATGACCTTTTGAACTTTTTGAATACTTGGAGGCTTAAGGGCAGGCGCGGGAACGAGAAAGTTAATTTGTGAGGTTCTTCCTATAGCTTCTGACCTTACAAGATCAACATAAGATTACAAGAAGAAAAGTCTCCTTTATCCATATGAGATTAGTTTGTACTGATAGTGTAAAAGGAGAGAGGTCGAGATACGTGCGTCCCGATAGCACGCTATGAGGGGGAATTGGAAGAGAAAGCTGATTAGATCATATTGTACTATATCATTTAGGAAGAAAACGGATTTCATAATAAGTTTAGGGTTGAAGCTATATGGGTTCAAATATATATATGTAGAAGGTTGATTTCCATCAAAAGAAAAGATGAGAACTTCTTTTATATATCTAACTATAAGAGATCATATGATTGACTAGTTAAAAACCTCTATGTATATGGCCTAGAATTCCAACTTTCTCACAATAGTTAAAGCTTCATTGGAAGATTCGATTCCAATTGACAATTAATTCGAGATGTCCAGCTGGGTCGAAGGTTATTCATCAACCAGCCGTTCATAGACCCCAGTTACAATTATCTACATACCTAGATGAATATCCGATTATGTATCTTTGCTAACTATAATGTAATTAATATTAGTGGTTATAGTCTTGGTTCATTAGAGGAAAGAGCAACAGATTAATTCACCAAGAGTGTTGTTTTACAATGAGAAGTTAATGAGAGTCATGTCAGTAGGAAGCTTTTATGGTAGAGGCGAATATTCACGGCATAAACTCAAATGTTTGGCAAATATTCATGAATCAACAGACTTCAGAATGAGAATAGATACTAAACGATAGATTTGGACGGGCTCGAATGTCCTAACAAATCATGATATTACAAGACCAACAAGCCAAACAACACGCCACAAACATCAACTCCAAGCATTTCTATCATTATTACCATAATCAACACAGCACCAATATCATTCTTTAACAAAATCTCAAATACTTCTCCACGAAGAGAGAGCATCATCATTCAATCAAAAATACATGTCCCAGGTAAAAATACATGTAACCTTGAAAAATGCACATTGCACAAACAAATGACATGGAATTATCAGCACATCATCACCAGCAAAACAACTTCCGTTCCGCCAATCTCAGCACCAACAACACAACACAAAAGAAACCTTCTTCTTCAAGACCCAGCATGTAGCCAGAATCCCAATAAAAAGTAAGGTTTCCATGTTATCTGGAGATAATATAATACCAGAGAAGTATCCGGTTCCAAAAAATGAGATAATAAAAACCCTCACATATCACCTGGAGACGGTGTAACACCAGAGATATGGACAACGACAAAGTACTCAGAGGTCATGGTCCAGCGCAATGCCAAATCAACAACCACCGTGACCTGCAGGATGAACCCCAGTAAGCAGCAGCCTTCTAGCGGAACTGTCGTGAGAAGAAAAAAGAAGCAATTGAAGATAAAAGTGGCTTCTTATGGAAAAAACAGCTTGGACCGTGCGAGCTCAACCGACAAGTCTAGTATTGGGAAAGTAGAGTAGAGCAAACAGTGTAAACAGTCGTCACTATTGCAAGAGAAAGGAGCGAGGATGGGTCGTGGTGAACATCGTCGATGAACACTGGAACGAGGGGAATTTTGGTATAAGAAAACCATATATCGGAAATGGGAAGGAGACACAATTTTTATTGTGGAAAACGTACTTTGCATGTGTGCATTATTGAGGAAGAGAGCTCTTCCTATGACTTCCTTCTACTTGACTTAATGATCTACAAAGCAGTTGTGATGATGAGTCAATAATTACAGCATTGCAGACACTCCATGAGAACAATTGCAATTTCCTGAGGAAACGACATGAAGCATGGTGACTTACCACATTAAAGTTTATGATACCCTTATTTGATTCAACGATTTATGAATCATCATAGGCCAAGTGTCCCTTTAACATTCCAGTCTTTTAATCAGAACATATACTTATATTATTACATCAACTTGAACCTTCAAGAACTAAATCTGGAGTGCTCATAAATCTCAAAGAAGGAAGGTGTAAACTCCACTACTCTAAAAGGAAAGAACTAATTGTGAACTAGTGCCTACGACCCCATCTTACAAAAATAATTTAAATCCCCAAAAGATGGTGGTAATTGCGACGGGTAAGAAATGATTAGAAAAGAAGAGAAAGAGGAAAGAATATACAGTACGAAGCCAGGACTTCCGGAATACTAATTAGCCGAGTCTAGCATACAGCTACAGTACTTCTCAACAAGCAATAAGGCAGGTGCACCATTACAGGATGACAGCTGGAAGAAACTTTCCTATGTTGAAGCTATATCCAGAAAGAAACTATTTAATTTAATTGATGATAGCCTTTACTCCAGCTTTGAGCTTTTCTCCACTAGAACACAAAGTACTCTTACACCGTGATCTGTAGAAAATTCCTACTCGAGTACTACCAGAGCTGAAGTATCGTCATTCCATGACAGATTTACTTTAGATAAGAAAGTGTATTGTAAGAAAGTGTGATGAAGAAGTACAACCGGAAAGTGGAAAGGAAGAGTCACCTATATTCCAGCCCGATCGCCGCATGCACATTGAATAGTGAGATCCGCAGCAAACCTTTCTAATGCACATATTCACATCAGGTGGCCCCAATTTCGTCCAGAATGTTTACCATCAAGTCCTAAAATTGAACTTCAAGGTCATGCGGCTGGCAGGCACTTCATCAAAATTCGTTTCTTCATTACTTCATAATTCCATGTACGAATAATGTACAGGGAATTCTTATTGGTATTTTCCCTCTCGAACCGCTGAGCCCCGTTTAACCCTAAAACCATACACATTTACATGTATAAACTTGCCACGGCCGTGACGTCTCTTTTGATAATTTCCTGGCATGTTTGCATCTTCTGAAATAACTCCGGATCGCCAATGATTCTCGCTGCATTTCTCACTTCCCTGCACGTCTCGTCTAATCTCGTGATAACCCTCACGATAGTTCCTTCAAGTACATCTGTTAACTCTGTAATATTCTTAAAACTCATTCCTCGTGCCCATTCATACACAACTTCCATAAGGCCAAAACGTTCAGGATGAGCTTCAAAATCATTGGATTCGGATGATGGTTGGATGACTTGGTGTAAGAGTTGCATGTCTGTTATTTTTTTCGAGAGCTCGAGGATTTTGACCTTGCCTAATTCTAGGGAACTAGGAAGAGTTGGGACGACAGTCGTTTTTTCTTGGAAAATAAAAGCGCTGAGGAGGGAAACAATTTCCTCGGGCGTATGAGCGGAGAGCACGTTATCAAGAATGAGTTCTGTGAGTATTAATTCGTCTGCAGAGTGTATCTCGCAAGCGACTTTCCCTTTAAGTTGCACACGGGATGAGTCGTCAATGAAGTCGAGGTCTTTGAGGACTTGAATTCTTTGCTCGTAGTCCGGTAAAAGTTGAAGATTATTGTCGGACATTAGCTGACGTAGTTGAATGATATTAGCTTGAATTAGCCATTGATCGTGACACATTGCGAACTGGGATAAGTCTGTTAGTATATGTATATCGCAACGATGCAGATAAACAATTGGAGGAACTCTTACATGTTTCAAGAATGAAGGACAAGTCAAGCAACTAGCGTTTTGTGCAACGGTAGCTTGTTGCACGCGCTTCACGAGATTTTCCCTCAATTGGAGAACTTTTATCTTGGACCAGTCTAATTCATCCCATACATCACTCTCCCAAGATGAACACAAATCAAAAAGTTTCTGCTTAGCGTTCTCATAAACTTCACCGCTTTGAAATATATCAGGAACGACTCCCTTTACAATCGTGTCCGTGACGCACTCCAGATCATTGACAAAGATATAACAAGTCTTGGTAGTAATATGTTTCTTAAAAAGTGGAAGCTTGGTGAACATCCCCCTGAACTTTGGCACGAATGGTAACAAATCAGTTGTATCCCACTGATCTCGTCTTGTTCTAATTTCTAGAACATGGAGAGATAGGCCATTTATGTCTATAGCTCCATCACGAAGAAGGATACCAGGTGTGCGAACACCATCTTTGTTGTAAACCACCAAACGACCTTTAGCGAACATCCGGCGACCAATAGCAGTTGCCAGTGACCCAATGTGGATATCGAGAGTAATTTGTTTGTAGGTTTGAATTGCTTCATGGCAAGCATCTAGATCCTGTTCACAAATATCGCAAGGCTCTCTCTGGATTTTAGCCAGGTCTGCCTCGGACACCTTAACGGCTTTTTCATGTTCTGGTAGAAGTTGTTGAGTAGCATGTTCACTGAAACTTCTTTTAATCATTTCTTCAATCTTCAAAGCCTCAACTCGCAGTAGATTGAGTATCATATTATACGTCAGTCGGAATTGCGAGCGAAGCTTTGAGGGTTCACCGAGTATCATTTGACGAAGTTCAGTGACAGGTGGAGCTTCACCACCACCTGGAGCCACGATTATGACAGAACCAACGGTATCTAAACCACGACGACCTGCTCTACCAGCCATTTGAGTATACTCGCCGGGTAAAAGGTTTCGAAAGGATTGTCCATCGTGCTTACGATAACCGGAAAAGACAACTGTTCGAGTTGGCAGATTCAAACCCATAGCAAATGTTTCCGTGGCGAAAAGGACTTTAACTAAGGTTTGTGCGAATAACATTTCAACGATTTCCTTCACTATAGGCAGGAGGCCACCATGGTGAACAGCAATACCTCTTCCGAGTAAATCTCGTAATCGAACGATTTGTGGTAATAATCGGTCCTCTGGCTTAAGTCGAGCAATGGACTTCTCAATAGTCATATGTATGGCACTCTTTTCAGTAGCTGTACAGAAATCTTGATTGCTTAGAGCATCCGCGTTCTCCTCGCATCTCTTCTTGGAAAAGACGAAAATACAGGCTGGGAGTAAGGTCTCCTTTTTGAGAAACTGAACTAGATGTACCCACAATGTCTTATCTTGAGCAGCTGTTGTTCGACCTCCAGGTCGACCGCCGCGGCCCATGTGTCCTGGATTATGGCTAGCACGAGGAGGTCCGCTACCACCACGACCACCTCGCTGTTGCGCTCCTCCGCGTTGTTGAGGACCACCCCCTCGTTGTGCCCCACCACGTCCATTCTGGCCTCTGCCTCTCTGGTTTGCTCCTCCACGAGCATTCGTGGGCTCTGGTGCAGGTAGAGCTTTTGCCTTATCTCTGCCAGATAGCACATCGTTTGCGGATTTCCAGCCCTTTTCGATGAATTTTTTGTCTGCATCCACGATCTTGTGAACACCTTTATCAGCCCAAAGATAATGTTCTAATGGCACTGGTCTCTTCGGGGTCGAGATAACATAAATATCTTTCTTTTTAGTTCTTCCCACCCAAGACGCAAATTCGTAGGTATTCGGAACGGTTGCGGACAACAAAATTAATGTTACATGTTCTGGCAACATTATAATGACTTCTTCCCAAACAACTCCTCTCTCTAAATCGTTCACGTAATGTACTTCATCAAAAATTACAAACTCCACGTCTCGAATTAGATCAGCTCCCCTGTAAAGCATACTCCTCAAGATCTCTGTGGTCATGATAAGACAGCTAGCCTCGGCGTTAATCTGTACGTCCCCAGTAAGAATTCCAACCTCATCGAAAACTTGTCGGAAGTCTCGGAACTTTTGATTACTTAATGCCTTGATTGGAGAAGTGTAAATTGCCTTGGTCATATGTTTAGCGGCAAGAGCAATAGCATACTCTGCTACTACTGTTTTTCCTGCCGATGTATGTGCAGCAACAAATACCGAATCGCCGCTTTCAAGGTGATATACGGCTTCTTTTTGGAATGTGTCCAACTCGAATGGCCAGTCTCTTGCCATATCAGGTACCAATTCTCTAAAATTTGGAATATCTCTCTTGACATCAACCATATGTGCCCATTCTCTTCCTCCTCTCTTCTTGCTTGACGCTGCAAGGGCGCCATGGGGCTCCAGCGCGGGGAATTCGACTGGTAACATAGAATCAATGTCATCTTGTTCATCATCATCAGAGCTTTCCGAAGAAGCTTCGTCCTTCATGGCGCCATCTGCTCCATTTGTGGACACTTCCTCCGCCGGTTCTTCCTCTAAGACGTTCTTCACGTCTTCTGCCTCTTTCTCGTCGACCTCCTCCTTCTTTTCAAACTTCAAGCCCCTAGTAAATCCTGGTGGTATACTCAACAAACCATCCTCGCCACCAAAGTTTATGATTCTTTCCAAGCTTTTTTTCTGTGGTACTATGTTGTCAACTCTTCCAACTTGTTCTTCCAGAGCAGCCGCAGCTTCCACAGCATCCAGTCCACCGGGTGCGAACGGAAAGAAGCCTGCTGCACCTCTTACAAAATCTGCCCTATTTGCCGGTTTCCTCAGGAAAGATGTAGAATTCTTGGCGTTTGCACTGTTTGCCGGTACTGTAACTTCCTTGTAGCCTGTGACTCTACCTTCCAAACCTTCTCTTGTGAACCGTGTAATTGTACGTGTTTGCGTTGGGGCGAGTTGGAAAAGGTCAGTATAATTTGGTGGTGAGTCCCATCGCCTAAATAGAAATAAGTATTAGTATTGCAGAAGAGGCTGTCCCTGCTTTTCGCTCCTCTCCTTCACACCTTTTTTAACAATCAAATGTGTTCGAACGCTAACCATGAAGATATTCAAGTAGAAATAAGACTTACTGTTGAAGCTTATTGAGCCATTCTGTAGAAAACGTGGTTGATGGCGTCAGATACTTCTGCTCTAGCTCCCGTTTGAGCTCTTCATGGTTTTGCTTGATGCGTTTGGGTGGACGCTGCTCGTCGAGAATGCTGTCAATCCAGTCCTCATCGTGCGATTTGAGATTGAGCTCTGCAAGAGCTGCGACAAGACCTTCTGCCATGGTTGCTTGGGGAGATCTTGCGCGAAGTGGGAAACGTTTCGTTAGATAGCTCTAAGAGCTGTAGCTACTCAGGTACGTGCTGTGCAAAATATGGTGGGGGTGGGGTTCTAGTGCTCCATCACCGGAAAAGGTTGTTTGAAACCGATTCCAATGTTTGTTTTCATTTAGAACAATAAAAAATATTCACAAAATTAAAGTCAAAGATAAAATATTAAAACCAATTTCTTATTGTTTTCTCCACACATACTCCGTAAACATTCATTGATGGATTGACGGCCAAAAACCTAGTGCTGACTACATTAGCCCCGTCATTAATCATTCAATGTCATATTATTTAACGGGCTAGTTTGAGTATGGAATCCAAACAACCTCTTGCTGTTTGATTGTCGGGATAATGACTTTCATACAAAATGCTTAAATCATCAGGTTACCACAACGCCCCATAATGCTGTCATTGTACATCTTAACGCCGGCCAAAACCTATTTACCATCCTCCGTTCATGTCCATGTCAAAATCCATATCAGCCATAGCTTCCATAGCATCTATATCATCGACGTCCGCTTGTACGGATTTCTCTGTGTGTTGTTTTTCAAGGCGAGCAGGGGCATTCATATCGTTCTCCGCTGCCAGCAGCGCTTCAAGATCATCGTCTAGCATTTCTTCGTTGCCGCCTTCCTGTTCTGCTTCTGCCAGTAATGCTTCAAGATCATCGTCTGGCGGCGCATCTTCCTCAGTTGTGGTGACCTTTTGAGGACCCAATAAACTATGATCTCCTCCACCAAACACCGAATTCGACTGTGGGACTGGATGTTGTCGCACGACCCTTGGAGTAGCATCATACATATCATCGAAATCCGGATCTTGATTTAGGACTGGTGTTTTGGGGCGTGTAGGCACTGCATTTTCAAAGATCGGTGCTATCCTTGATGCCGTTCTCCCTCGCTCATTATCATTCCGTGGAGGGAGTCCTGATTCGTCAAATAGGGAGTCTTCATGCTCCGAAGATTTGGGTTTCCCCTCATTAATCCAGTCCATTCTCGCAGATTGTATCATTTTTTTGTGGCCTAGCTTTTCAACCATGGCTAATGCGTCAGCAAACTTTGCTTTTGGAAATAGATCGTCGAGCCAGAGTTGGTAAAATGCAAGGAGTCGGGCCGCATCGGAGTACTATTATTCTGTGAGTATGAAGCCAATGTTTATAAGACCTTTATCACACACACCTCATGGCCTTTGCCCTTGAACTTCAAATGATCTGCGGCTTTTTTTCGTAATTTTGGTATCCCTGCAGAAGATAGGAGTCTTAGGATTCGTATCAGTATCCTAAGGTCTGAATGTTAGACAATTGAACGTACTTGTGCTCATCGAGTTTCACTCGGGGAACTCGAGGCCTTTTGGTGACTTCAATCTCCTCATCAATGCCCAATCCTGCGCCACTTTTTGTATTGCCTGCTGATTCCTTGCCCTTCTCTTTATCTTTATTTCCGGGAACCACGTATTTCTCGCTGAAAGGATCATTCGTATCTCCAGCATCATAATCGAAAAGGTCATCAAGATCATCGAATTCATTTCCGCCAGCATTGGGCGTTTCAGTGGGAAGTGGCCTTGATGCAGGAGAATCCATCTTGTCGGAGAAAGAATTGGCAACTCGCAGCAGACTTGAATCCCATAAAAATCGAAATATAACTCTAATTTCCCTGCAATCTCAAAAATTGTTGTACGAGACGCGTCTGGGATAAGGGAAGACGCGACAAACTTTAAGGCACAAATCAATCTAAGTCAGGCAAGAATATTCTAAATCCCCATGGCCCGTGCGACAATCCGAATTAGCGTTTCTGTATCGAACCTCTATCAAGAAATTGACCTCACCAGTGCGCTGAACCCCGATTGTAAGCAATTTTGGCACAATTCAAGAATGTCGAATACCGAGCAAAGGCCATTTGTGCCTTCAAAGAAAATCAATACCGAATACCCTGTAAGTCCTCATCACACCACCACTTGCATTTTAGGCAAGAAGTCCACCAGCTAACAGCCACTCAGCTCATCGACAGTGACCCGTACGTTTCTGGACCCCGCCCGCAGTGTGAGAGGAGGGGCAAAATGCTGATACGTATCTTACAGACATATCAAACGAGTATTTGGCTATGCACGGCCATCGGACTATGCGGTCGGAGCAGCAACGGCTACCGCAGGACCAGGTTTGATGTTATTATGGGAACGAATTTCACCTTCTCTGGTTGGAAAAGGAGGATTTGCTCCTATCATGCGGCTGTCGGGAGTTATTGGTGTTGGTGCTGGGTTCTTCATGTTTTATCAACGTTCTATCCGTATGTCTTTGGATTAATTTCTCGTCCCCGCTCCATTCCACGCCTTTCCCTAAATCCTTCCCGATACGTGCTAATTTAGCATGATAGTGCGCTTCTACGGCTTCACGGAAAACAAGCGTGAGCAAGAAATGGACATGAGAGAAATGGTTAGCAAGGTTAAGAAGGGGGAGTCTTTATATGGTGAAAGCACCACTACACCATACATTCAAGGTGTCGCATCGAGGAACTCGAGATACGCAGGAGTCTGGATGCATGTGATGCCTTGGTTCAACTTGGTAAATCACAACCAGCACGGAGTGGATACATCCAAGTACTACCAACAGGCCGAGAGAGAGTTGGAGGCTGAGAGATCGGGAAAGAGTTTGACGAGCTAGAAGAACGAAGAGTGATGAGGGGCTCCTAGGGAAAACCTGCGGGGTGGAGAAACCCAAGAGATTGAAGAGGACAACTGTAAATAGGGAGACTGGAATCATGCGCTTGACTTTTGGCTACGGTATGAGTTATGATGACCTTGTGAGTAGTGTTTATGATGTTTATACATTGGCATCTTTCCGAAGCATACACAAAGTATTCCCTTAATATCCTGCCAAGGGTACCTGTTGACCGTCTACTTCACCCAAATCATGCGCCGCCCAGCTCCGGTCTTTTGAAAACCACACAGTAGAGTAAAAAAATATCAATTTCAACCGGGCTCGTCACCCTTTATTCTTGGATCTATCATTGGCTCCACCTCTAGCTTCAATATTCTTTCTTTTTTATTTCTGGGTTCGGGCGCTGTAGCACATTAGCTTCATCGATATGTAGAAAAAAGGTAAAACCAGTCACTCACCCCTTCCATTCTCCTGCACATAGAATCTCCTTAAGATAACAATTGCTTCTTCTCGCAACCATCCACCACTAACCTCATAATCACCCTCCCCTTTCTGTGTTCTTTTGCCGCCACCAGTCTCCTCCATACTATCTTCCTCTATATCCTCAGCAGTTTCTTTATTATCGAACTTCCCATTACCAATATGAATATTCAAAACGCCACCATTCCCCCCAAACTTATCATTAACCGCTCCATACCACACTTTTCGTATTCCAAACTGTTGTAGTAACGACGCGCACATGATACACGGTTCTATCGTCACGTATAAATCCAAGTTCTTCATATCTTCAGGCCCGTACCCACGTCTCGAAATTTCAGAACCAACTCCTTGTCCATGGTCGGCCTCACTTCCATTTTCTTCCCTCTTCCTTTTCGCCCCCCTAGTTTCATCTGCACTCCCACAATCCAGCTTGAAACTCGAAGACAGCAACTCATCGATAGCGATAAATTCTGCATGTCTTGTCCCATTGTAGCTCCTATTGGTAGCATTCATTCCTCTAGCTACTACTTTCTTGAGGACTGGATCAACGAGTACACAGCCCACGGGTGTCTCATTGGTGTTGAGAGCCAGATTTGCCTGTAATTGATCAAAACTTGATGTCATACAAATAGAGAAACGGAAAACATACCATGGCAAGAGCTTCGCCCATGAAAAATATGTGTGTATTTATTTCATCTTGAGTCATGGATTCTGCATCGGGTGGAAGATTTATTTGCGATGGTGCATCTCTATCTGTCATGATATCCGGGGCTACCATTGAACATTCCATTTCCATAATTTCGGAATTGAGCACTAGTCCTCCGGACTACAAGTGGACAGGGACAATTTAGATATGTGGAAAAGAGACACCGGGACAAGTGCAAGACAGTATCTAAATTTTAGGTCACATGACGTCTCACCAGGACAAACTTTTCCAACAACCGTTGCAGCATTTCACTCATATATATTCGACTACAAAGTTTTACATCGTTACATTCAGTCAATCATAGGTGTTTGCATGCCCTAATGGGCCTAAGAAAAAAAGAGAAGAAAAAAAGAATGCAAACTTGGATTTATAACCACAAGCTTATCAGCAGAAATGCTGATGCTCGAATTATTTCGTCCAGAAACTCTCCCTGCTCTCCTATTCTTTTTAACTTCATTTGACTATCTTCCCATGTGTTGGGTTATTTTTCTGCAAATTCTGGCTAAAGAGTCCTTAGGGGCTTTACTGGACATTAGCTGCTAGTGAGCTCGATGTCCGAACATGGCGATACAATCAACCCACTAGTCTCTACTCGAGATGTGATAATTATTTGTTCGACTTGCTCAATCTGGAATTCCTTTTGCTCCTGACGTTTTTGTTTGCGTCAGGCCGCTGGTTTAGAAGTTTTCCTACACTTTCGCTCTCTAGGTGGCTTGCAAGACTGATTCTGAGCATCATTCCAGCGCTTTCTGAGTCAAGTGTCGTGTTCGGACAGTTCCCTTCCCTCTAGATTCACGTCATGAAGTGTTGCCAGCCAGCTTAATAAATCCTAAAACAGGGCATCGCACTCTGGGAGACGTCAAACCGTTATTCCAAACTTTCACCAGAGCGCAGAGCCGTTTTGTTAGTTCATATGTTTCATTACGTTTTTCTATGTAGCGTATTCATTCTACACATATTGTATTCGTAGTCTACTTTTACGCACCACAAGACTAGTCACTCATCGTAATTCTGCGTCTATACAATTTCATTACTATTAGCCTACGAATTCCGTGCCAATACAAGCAATCACGAGCTTCTTCTATGCCTAGGAGAGATTTTCTTGAATCGACAAATAGTCTTTACTTAACAATTATTCACATACACGTTTCGTGAATAATCCGATCTCAAATCTTGTACTGGAATCATTTTTCGCCATATCGAAAACCTGTCAGAGGATATAAAACCGCAACTTTCTGGACCTCTTTCCCTTCCTGTCTTTAGTCAATAGCTTCAAACAAAATGATCTCAAGGCTAATTTATATATAAGAGCCCGAACCCTAAATAGACCTCGCAATCTACAATAATTTACGGCAGAAACCATCTTCGCCAAATGAACCTCAGTCACGACCAACTCACCCACCACAACGATGCATTTCCATTCCTTACGCAAGTTCATAAACCAGTACATTTTCATCAGCTGGCTATGCTGCCAAGTGAGTGTCGAATGAGTATTATCATGCCGTTTTGCCGACAGTAGTACATGTCTCCGTCAAGATGCTAGCATTACTGATGATATCATTTTTAGTGCGGAGACCAGTGGCTTCCTACGAGCTATTGGAGCTGTCTAACATGTGGCCATTTTAAATGTGCTCGATGCATACCGAATATTAGATGAAGTCATGGGTGAGACAGAGAAGTCTCCTGGTTGTTGCCTGGGAGGGCGGCGAGATATATATAAATGACCAATATATGCATGGGTTTTTCATAGAAACATATTTTGGTGATGGTGTTAAATATTCATGATACTTTAGTAACAGATTAGTGTGACTTTGTTTAACAAAGAATATGTTTTTCGATGAGCGATAACCACACATGCTGTTGATCTCACCGGCAGAAACAACACTTACAAAATAGCTGTTGTTTTCATTAAATCCTACTTGCCATAGCAAGTTTCTTTGTTACCATCATTCATGCGATAACCACTGATGGCTCCAACAGTAATCCACGTGACCATTTATAAGTCGTGACTCACAAACCTCGGAAACATCCACCCTCCTTTAATCAAGTCAATTTTGCGCAAAGTCCGGAATAATGTCTCTTGTCAAAAGACCGAAAGAAAAGAAGTCTGGCAAAGGCTGCTGGACGTGTAAGAGTAAGCACTCATTTCCAAATCCACAATTGCCCCGCCATCTAATGTTAACCCCACATTGATGTTTCCAACCTAACACTTCATGAAGGCAGGAAAATTGGATGTGACAAAGCCATACCTCACTGCAATAATTGCACGAGAACCGGTCGGGTCTGTGAAGGTTATGGTGTCAAACTTCATTGGCCAGAATCGGGCGATGGACGGAGGCCGGTTCATTCTTGGGAAAACGAATCTTATCGTCCTGCGCAAAGATCTCTGGCGCCTCCAACACGTGAAAAATATCAATTTCTCAATTCGACCTTTACTGATTTAGAAGTTGCCTCAGAGTTTAAGCAAAGATGCTATTCCACATATCAGTATATGTCGAGCCCTCAGAAAAGTTTGAAGTTTGGATATGAAACTACTCTTGAGTCACGGGATGCAACACTGTTGTCTTATTGTAAGATGAAGAGTTTGTCTTCTAAAGATAAAGCATATTGACAAGGCTATGCAGACACTGAAGTTCTCTCTCGTATGATCACAACTATTGATGATAGTTTGAACGGTTTTCGAAATTACTTGCTCCCAAACGCACTTGCAGACCGCTACCTTTCCTGCCTGAGCCTGCGATATGCAATCCTTGCTGTGTCAGCATATCATTTATGGGGGAGTGATGCTGCAGTACAATACAAGATTTCTGCAATACGAGTTCTCTCACAGTCTATCCAAACAGGAGGAGGCGGACGTCGAGGGCAATTTGCCACATGCATGATGCTTTGCGTGGGTGATGTAAGTGAGAACACATATCTAAGCTGCCATCACTGTAAACCTAAGCTTGCTAACTTATGGACAGGTTTTTGACGGGCTAGATGGAAGCTGGCTTACACATTTAAAGGCTGCAAGAGCCATCGGATTGACAATGACGAAAGATCACTTCTTGAATACTTGGCTCTTATATCACGATGTTCTAGCAGATTTCAGTCAGGGAACGGGACAGAGAAAATCGATAAGTAATACATTTCTCGGGGCTCCGAGCGCGAATCCTGAGAACAAAATTGTATGTTACACGCAGAAATCAAAAACATTTAGCTAACATCAGCAGATCATTGGATCTTTGGGGTGCTCGTTAGAAGTCCTCGAATGCATATCGTGCATCAATGAGCTTTCTAGAATACCTGAAGAACAAGGGGAATATCGGGACTTTGCGCAAGGGCTAGTGAAACAACTTGAAAGTGCCCAGCAAATCTCCGCAATCATGGAAGACGACACCACCGGCAAGATTGATCAGATTAAAATAGAAAATACTGCCGAAATTTACCGGCTGGGAGCTCTCATATATCTCCATTCGGTGCTTTCGATACCTTCCAACTCCGATGTGATACAGGACCTGGTGAGCAAGGCTTTGGCCATTCTTACTAGAAACGGTGTCTGCACAAGTCCTTGGCCATTATTTATCACAGCGTGCGAGATTGTGTCTGACGAGCAAAGGATTCAAATCCTAGATGCTTTGGAAGATATGCAGAGTGAAAGGAGAATAGGAAATCTAGAAATAGTGAGAGGGATTATAGAAACCGTGTGGAAGCAAATGGATTTGGCGGAAGGTAATGTCGTAAGTAAGAGAATCGATTGGAGAAAATTAATTGATATGCGGAAACGGACACCTTCCTTTATTTGAAAATATAGATATTTATCATGTACGAATGCACTCACACAAAATGAAAATAATTCCATCACATTGCATCGGCATTTTTTCAGCTCGACAATCATTTCAAGTAGATTTAAGCGGAAGCACAAATACTACGACTAATTCTTCTCCGATTCCTCTTCTCACAGCCTCCTCAAGAATTGCCTCAGTGGCAGTAGCACCCACTCTCGTGACACCTAGCGCCCTCACTCTTAATAAATCATCCAAAGTTCTCACTCCTCCAGCAGCCTTAATCTGCACTCCCGCCTTCACACTTTTCCGCATTAGATCCAGATGCGGTAATGTGGCACCTTGATAACTGTACATCCCATTGCTCTGCTTCACAAACCCATAACCCGTACTAGTCTTCACAAATGCCACCCCGACGTCACTACATATATGGCATAGCTTCACAATCTCCAAATCGGTAAGATAATCATTCTCGAAAATAACTTTTAAAATTGAACCTTTGGAAACCACAGCGTCGTTGACCGCTTGTATTTCTTTCTGGACATAATCCCAATCCCCTCCCAAAGCCTTACCGATGTTAATAACCATATCGATTTCTTTCCCACCAGCCTCCACGGCTTTGCTTGCTTCGAAGACCTTCACCTCCGTCGTGTTGTTTCCAGCAGGAAATCCGATCACAGGGCATACTTCGACACCAGTATCCTTTAGTGCGGAGACAGCTTGTTCTATGGAGTATGGCTTGACGCATGCAGTTGCGACTTTATATTTGGCTGCGATGGAGAGTCCTATTGAAATCTCGGCATCGGTCATGGTGGGATGCAGGAGAGAGTGGTCGATCATTTTGGCAAGGATGGGCAGAGACACTGCCAGAGTAGGAGAGAATGCGTTTGATGATGCCATGTTAAGAATGTATGGATTGGATTCTGAGTTGTTTGGAGCAGTCTCAAGGAAGGATAGATACTGCAAGATATCAGATCAGGCACTGGTTGTTCCATCCAAGTCCAAATGAGTGTAACACGAGATGTGGTTAAAACGTGGTAAACGTGGGGTGCTTGGGACTGTTACTGGGACAACATCAACAAGAATGCACAATAACATTTCAAGCAACAACATCCCCCACGATCCGATAGTTTGAAAGCTTTCAAGATGAGATGACATTTTACGTGTCGCCAAAGACCAGCTGGAACATGTTTCGTTTGCACAGTGCTCCAGCACCATTGTCGTAGACAAAACCTGCCAGTCGAACTCGAATTGAACCGTGAATTATGCTCTTCGCAAAAGGCAGCATAATCGCCGCTCTTCTACCATTAAAAGGCAAACCACTTGCAATCAACTAGATTCTTTGATTTAACCAATATTTCGAGTAAAAATGTTACCGTGTGGGTTGGCAAAGCCATTTATCAACCAGGGCTTGAAAGAGACGATTCCCAAGAAGCTTGGTGAAGAGGTCGCGTAACCCACCGTGTGGACTAGGTAGATGCTTTGGAGAAGCATTTCAAATAAAGATTTTACGTTTTACCGTAACTATATCTTATTAGGATTAGGTAGCAAGACAAGTGCTGTTGTTGAGGAGGTGCGTATCTGCAGGACATATTTGAAAGTTCAATGTGGTCAACGGTCCCACTTTTTCTCGACGCGTATCGAGGCTTGCACAGTATGCGGCTGTCGCTAAGTGTTCATGTGGAAGTTGCAGTTAAGTCAAACCTTGTCGAGTGTGAGGTGATTATTGGCATCGAGGCTTCGAAGGTTCCGGGAGTTGTGTGCGAAAATTTGCAGTGATGTACTGTCTTTTTCACCTCCGCCTCGAGCTCGACTGGTGTTTAATTCTAAAGATCTCTTATAAATCGCTATCACTATTTCAAATCTTTCAAATTTCGCTCTATTATTATTCAATATGAATACATATGACCCCTAGTTATCAATCGAATGGCTTTTAAGTGTCGGTTTGTTATTTCGCCAACTACTCCATAAGACTGTCGCGAGATTAGCTATGATACATACATCCATCTCCACAGGTGGAACGCTCTTGAGAATTGTTTCAATGTATTTGATCAGATGCTCATCCCTATGGGTGTTGGATACTTCTGGAATGTTTGCAAGCAGAATGGACCTACGGCAACAATACCTATGCTAGACAGGGTTATACAAAAACTTATGCGCAAACCGCCGGCAGTAGATATGGCGGTGGTATTTTATGCGTATATAGAACGCGAGTACATTCATATTCTATTCAATCAGGCCTACCACCCAAATTCAGATATCGCGAACTCAAATCGATCGATTACTCCACCCTGGATTGCTATGATGTTTCTCTAGAAGCACTAACCTTCCTAGCTCTCGTGCGACCGGATCAAAATAAATGAATTCCTCAGCCCACCCCCGATTCCACAGCGGGATTTCCTTTCATCTTTCGGATATTGCATGTGGACTCAGGCGCGGGTAAACCAGATAATGGAAGTCTTCCGACCACCTTCAAATGGACCTGCCAATTTGTAAGTTATGAAACAAGGTCCGAAGGGTCGTTTGGGCCTTCGTATACGACATTTTGAGATCCCGGCGCATGGTTTTCAATAATCCGGACGGGGCTCCAACATGAGCGGCTCTTAATATTTAAATTCAATAAGGACATTTAGATCATTTGACATTTTGAATCTTTTCCGAGCACTGAAAGCTCATAGCTTTTTGGTTAGTCCGGGGGTATAAGCGATGTAGTCGATGGATGATTTGGGCATATAATTTGGGCATCTGATTTGGGTATTTGATTTGGGTATAAGACTTGGATATAGTTAACTGTGGTAGTGGGGTTTTTATAAATGATGCTCTATGATTGGATGAGTTGGACTCCTCATGGGCAATACTTCCAGCTTCTATATCCCAAATCACAGCGAGTAATAGGGTCAGTAATTCAACTTTTTAAACTAGCAGACTAATAATTTATGGCACATTCACTGAACTGACTTCCTCTGCCCTATCTTGCCACTGTTTTTTCGTATCTTGATTGGGAATAACTAGCAAATGTAGTAACCTTCATCAGGATTTTGGTCGCTTGGCTAGTGATATTAAGCTTATGAAGCGATGCCGCTTCACGTTGTGCCGCATCATATAAACTCTAAAAATCTATCCCTATTACTCAGCTCTTGATCATTGTAACCTTTACGGCTTTCATAAAGTGGCGGATAGTGAATAGCGGAATGGTTGTTGGTATCGCGTGATCCAGGGGCGGTGCTGGATAGGGTCTGAGTCTAGGGATGGAAATATATTCCTTGAAATGGAAATGCTTTGCTTTGCGCGTAAATGGTGAAGGAAAAGATCGGGTGAACTGGACTGATAAGGTGAATATTCGCTTATAAGGGTTAGGATTGGTGTTTGGCTTGCCTTGAGCAGCAATAGCCCAGAAAATGGGATGGTTTTCTAGATGTATTATCTTGTTGTGTTCTGAAACTTATAGTAGGTAACTTTAAGACAGCAGATGAACAAAATCTTTCATTTTTGAGTATTTTTAGGATTTGGATTGTGAGTGAAGTCAAAAGACTCCTGTGCATTCGTTTACCAGGAGATTGGTCAGAAAGGTAGGGCCGTGATTCTAGAGGTCTTGTACTTGTGTTTGGTTGGAGAGCCGTTATTAAGACTTGAGGAGTCTCTTAATATGATTGGCAGGACATTCAGAGAAGTTTTGAGGCTCTTCGCACCCGCCTTGTTGGCACTCATGGCAATAATAATAATTTGTGATTTACACAAAGTAGATTTTCCCTGACATCCCCATATATCTCAGAAACCATCCCCAGTCAACCGCTTTTATCATAGTAAATAAAATCCACCATTGTCTTCCTATTTGACTCTCTCATTTTATTGCTATAGTAGACACTAATTTGGCTTCAGCATCGAAGACAATTAACATCTATATCTTTGCCGATAGCTTTACACCAATTTCAACAATCAATGCCTCCTCAGCATTGTTGTCATCCCTAATCTTCTGTCCAAACAGCTGCCACAGCCTCATCGATGTCCAAATAAAGCCTGGAAAATAAAGAACGGTTTCCAAGGATGGTAAAGAGAATTCAGCGCTCTAGTGGCCGGTTTGATGTTTCATTTCGCGAGCATCTCCTCTTTGGTTGGCTGGTAGGTTTCATACAGGGGGCGCGGGACATGAGTGACAGCATTATGCAAAGCTCTAAAGCTTTTAATAGGGGAAATCACCTTGCATTTGAGCGTGACCACCAGTGATAACTACATCTGGCTGGCTCAAGATCAACAGTATTTACTGTCCAGGCCAGAGTGTAGGACTCTTACAATGATTTGGCTCTATGCATGAGTTGAGTATCTCCGTTGATATAAACTACTCTCATAGTATTATTTCAGTAACATCATAGCATTGTGTGACTATGTTTCTAGCCTTCATATAGCTAACATTGGTGAGCACCAGCAACTATACATGATGGACAATATTCCCGGAAAATGGTAATTTACAACCAGAAATAGAGAAACAATCGTTGAAAACACATATATTCTGACAATGTTGTTATCAGATATTACAATGCATAAGGACTTCACACACAACATCAATTGCAAGAATAGATGGTTGAATGATGATCGGGCCGACAGTTCATCCGGATTGAGCTGTCGTTTGTATAAATAAGTCTAGATCCCGTGCATATTTTTGAAACAAATGATGACTCAAATAATTGATAATTCAATCATCTAATCAACCCTTACCTTTTATTGTTATCTTTATGTATTCTTTCCTATATTCCTGTCTAGATAACAGTTCAACAATTTCTTTGAGAATGTAGACTTTTTACTCACCTAGTTGCTCATGCATACAATGAAATATTCATTTAGATTTCGTCCATTCAGGGGCTGAATGTTGTTGATCGCACCTATATAAAAAGCAAAAAAGAATACCCGATTATTGTAAAAATGACACTAGTTCTATTAAATCGCTTAACCAGACCTGGTTTGTTTTGATTTTGGTCTTTTAGTTCTATGTTTTTGCCTGACAACTCAGATTTTCGACCCCTCCATTCTCCCACTTCTATTATCCACTCCATAAGTACCTTCCAACCACAACACTTTTCAACTAGAGCTGCATCAAAATAACCTGCAGATTTCTTCTAAATATTCCCTTTGAGTTATCAAATAAATCTTTCACCATGGCTGAACCAGCACATCAAGAAGTCAACACTAGCAATGAGCCTAAGCTCGTAGAGTCAGAGACCAAGCTTGCCACTGAGCCAGAAGCATTAAAGGAAGAATCTGCCAAGGAAACTCCAGCTGAGGGATCTGTATGTTGATGACTCCTCTAATATTCTTTCACAACGGGTTCGTTGATGTTATTACGCCTTGCTGATTTTGATAAGACCTTGACTGAAAAAGCTACTGAAGTCGCATCTAACGCCGCCGCAACTGTTACCTCGGCCGCTACAGGTATCACTGACAATGTTTTCTCCATGTTCGGTGGTGGAGCTAAGAAGGAGAAGAAAGAGGATGAGGACCGTGGAGATAACTCAGGATCTGCCAAGGCACAAAAGGCCGCCGCTGCTGAAGAGAACCCTGAGGTATTGTCGGACCACGTTTATATATGCAAGCAGGACTGATAATTGTTCAGGATGAAGCCCCAGAATCCGAGGACGTTCACTTCGAGCCAGTTATCCGTTTGACCGAGAAAGTCGATGTCAAGACCAATGAGGAACTCGAGGAACAAACCTTCAAGATGCGCGCTAAGCTCTTCAAATTCGTCAAGGATACCCAAGAGTGGAAGGAGCGTGGTACCGGTGATGTTCGATTCCTGAAACACAAAGAGAATGGCAAGACTAGATTGGTCATGCGAAGAGACAAGACTTTGAAGGTCTGCGCCAACCACTATAGTATGTTTACGATGCCGGAAATTATTACATGAAACTTTTGCTAATGGTTAAAAGTCGTCCCTGATATGAAGTTGTCTCCCAATGTTGGTAGCGATAGAAGTTGGGTCTGGAACGCCGCAGCAGATGTCAGTGAAGGCGAGCCAGAAGCACAAACTTTGGCTATCCGTTTTGCCAACTCTGAGAGTAAGCTTCCACGTCGCAAATAACATACAGTATGGGATCTGACATTTCTAGACGCAAACCTCTTCAAGGAGGCTTTCATCAAGGCTCAACAAGAGAACGAAGTCTTTTTCAAGGCTTAAACGACAAATTTGTCCTCGTATTTACTTCTACTTCCCATCACGGCCCCCAATCGACAAACAGCATGATACAGCACAGCACGTATTCCGAAGGAATGAATTTATGATCATAGTTGCATTGAAACGCATTTCTTCCATACCCCTTTAACAATCTACGCGCATGTTGCCGAAACCTCTTTTGTAAGCATCGACGATTCGATACCTGAACATTCTGGTGGTCCAGGTCTTTCTCAAAGATTATATCATGAATATGATAATGATGGAGGAAAGGAAGGCTTGATTAGTACTCAGTTTTGAGACTATGGCATGAGATTGTAGTTAGACTAAAAATACTAGTCCCTCGTTCGTCTCCAAGCTACTGATCTGAAATGTAATTTGCAATGTGAACAAACATCGCGACTTGTTAAATACAAAACTCATGATTTTTGGAAGCATGTATATAAACTTTATACCAGTCCTATTGCCCATTTAAGAGAACATCCTAAGGTGAATATAATAAGTTGAGTGAGGTTGGCACTGAACTTCTTCCCGTCAAAACAACGAACAAAGCTGCAGATTTGTCAACAACAATCCAGAATACTTGAATTCCTAGCTCTACCTCCAAACTCATATTTTAATTGATTAATTACTTCCTCCAAACCCACGTGATTCTGTGTTTATCAAGAATCTTTAATTTTAGCTACGGTACCTAGGTATTAAGCTATAACCCCACTCAACTCACGATTAGCCAACTGCAGGCGCGTCGCAATTCAGAGCGACATCATCAGGAATTCGAAAATCCGACAAAGTCTTCAACCCTCACTATACCGTCAAGATGGTCGCAGATGTGAGCAATCTGAGAAGCTTAAAACCCTTTTCCCACGAAATACCTCAAGTCGGCAATAATGACTAACTGCATCGCAGGTCAAGAGAATAATTAAGCTCATTACCGAGCAGCGCAACATGTAGGTCGCGATCTAGATTCCCGTCACGACTATTTTATAATGGGGTTGGGGATATATGCTAAGAATTAATACACAGCGACAAGCCTGCTCTTCAAGAAGGTTTTCCGATGAAATCATGGAACATCGAGATATACATGTTGGATGAAGCTGGCAATGAGAAGCCAGCTACCTGCTTCACCAAGGCAGTTTACAATCTGCACCCTACCTTCCCTAACCCAACCCAAAGTACGTTCGTCCATATTCTAATACCGCGCGCGAAGCTTGAAGAGTTGCCGATCTAACGATTGCCACCAAAATAGCCTTCACTGAGCCTCCCTTCCGCTGCGAGAATGAGGGATGGGGAGAATTCGACATGACGATTGATTTATTCACTACTCCGACAGGCGGCAAACACAGTATTGCACACGATCTCAATTTTGGCAAGACCCGCTATGAAGCTAAACATCCTATCACATTTAAAAATCCTAGTCGAGAGTTGATTAATGCATTAAGGGAAACGGGACCGGTGCCAGGAGATGAAAATGGAGGTATGAGCAGAAAGAAGGATTCTGATGGCAAAAAGAGGAAGAGGACTGGGCAGGTCGACATGGAAAAGCTGGCCGAGGGGCTGGTCAAATTGCAGGAGGATGATCTTTTGCATGTGGTGCAGATGATTCATGATAACAAGAGTGAAGATACGTATACGAAGAATGATATTGACCGTAAGTTGGAGTCTGGAGGCCGGAAAGATGAGGATAACGCTAATTGGATTAATGCAGAGGGGGAGTTCCATGTCGACTTGTATACGTTACCAGACTCGCTGGTCAAGATGCTTTGGGACTTTGTTAATGCCCCGACGACAAAAGCTTATTAGACCGGAGACGCCATTGATCGATATGAGGAAGCTAGTGATAGTACACAAATTTGAAAGAAGGGAAATATTGGTTTTGGTATTGGATCATGGATATTTTGACCCATGCATGCATTTATGGCAAGTATGCCGAAAAGCGCTTTTCACGCAAAATTATGCAGGCAAAGGAAGGGTTTTTCTTTTGATGCACATTCATCATTGTCAAATCCAACTTCCACGGCGTTCCATTTTTCATTTTTCATCATAGAGCATAGGATGGCATTCCGATTGCTATTTTTCTCCTTTTCTTGTCTTCAACGAAGAAAGGTGATAGGCGTGAGCGGGGTGGGCGTATTCCTTCAACTTCATCTGCAGAAATATTGCGTTGCGTTGCATGGCTTGCTTTTGGTCGGCATCTCATCTATCTAGTAAGCATAATGACCGGAACGGACGGACCAGATCAAGATCATGATGGTGCTTTGGGATATATGACTGGTAGAATCAAAAAATTGAATGAATTGATGGACGGATGGTAGGAATAAAATGGAAACTCCTTTAAAACAATGATTTATGTTATTGCAGATCTGTGATATTCATTTGTGATTTTGTCAATACTTTCAATGCAGACGTGGCTAATTAACAGCAGCCGGGTATCATCCCATATCCAAACGCCATTCCTAATGTCCCTTTCATGCAATGCTCTATAAAAAAAACACTCCACCACCTCTTCACCCAAAACCCAATTCTAGAGCTTACTCATCATCCCCAAAGCTCAACTTAATCTTCTTCCCTTCTTCGTCAACTTTAGGTTTCTTCTTTTCTCTTTTCCGTCTTCTGTTTCCGCTTTAGTTGCTATCAGCTCTCTTCATCCTCCCCTCATCCTCAGAACCCCGATAATCTTCCCCCTCTTCTTACCCATTCCAATTCCGCTCCCAATTCCCACTGCTATTTTCGCATTCACAAAGTCTCTTTTCCTTTTCCTCTCCTTCCACGCCTCCCTCTCCATCTTTCCCTCTTCTTCCCTTTCCTTCTCCCGTCTCTCCCACTCCCCTTTACTAAGCGTCTCTCCGCTTACCTCGTCGAATACTACGGGCTCACTTTCTTTCTCTTCGTCTTCGTCTCGAAGTTTTGAGGGACGGGATATGGTGAATTCGTGGCGGCCATTGGCGGAGGAATTGTTGGCTTGGAGGCGTTGGAGGAAGGGGGGAAGAGTATTGTTGTAGGAGAGGTTTTTGGGGGTTATTTTGGACATTTGGTGTGGATGTGTTGGTGTACCGGTGGAGGGGAATTGATGGGTGGTGGGTTTATTGGGTTGTGGGTGTGGTTTTCTTTGGCTTTTGAAGGTGTTTTGTGGATGGATGGTGATTGGAGGAGGTTAAAATGTTGGGTCTCGATAGCGATCTTTGACATTGATATTGATATGTGATGAAAATCAGACTTCGGGAGCTATGGCAAATATACGGCGGGGCGGAGATAGCTTGGATAGTGGTTTGCGTGGATGTTTGAGATTGGATTACTTTTGCGGATGGATGAGATGAAAATAGATTTATTAGTAAGAAAGTGTAGGGATTGTCCAATCATGGTGGTGGATAATGTACATACATATCATCCCGTACATTGGATGGAAAAGCAGAATTGGCTCTTCTTTCTTCCAAAAGGATAGATGAGTTAAATGCTATAGGCATTCTCCGATTCGGTGGATGTGCTTGGGAGTAGAACAGGTTTCTAGAATAACCTTATGTGAGTTCGATAGTTCGACAGGTGGGATGGTGAAATGATATAAAGCATGTATATATGTAAACGTTGAAGCTCACAACTCTTGGTCTTACATGATGTCCAGATATTATCACTTATCACGTATCTTCAATGGTTAAAGAGGCTAATTGATAATTGATAGAGGATTCTTTCCTGGCGGACAATGGCCTACTGTGTCCCATCCTTCACTCATCTACTCGGGTAGACATCCAGACTTCCCCAATCCACTCAGGGGCATATCAGATATCCTATCTCCCTAGGTAGTTGATAGCAACAAGTGACCTTTACTCTTTCTGTCAAAACTTCCCATATGGAATATCGAAACGAGGTTTGGAAGAGGCAATAACAAGGGTTTCTTTCTGGGTAGCCAAGATTCGATTTTCTCCGTGATTGCTTGCCATCTACCCGTATCCATGATAGATAGTCATTGCTATTGAATTGAGACATCATCCAATCGAAACCCATCTCTGTTACCGAAAAGGTCAAAGGTATAATTGTCATCCAGTAATTTTTCAGATTAAATCAGTTTGTCCATAATGTTGTTTCGTGTAGAATTCTTCTCCTATCGTTCTCGTTCTCGTTCATCCCAGACTTTCCTCTCTCCACTTTTAAGGATCCTTAACTTTAATCTAAAAAAAATATTCCCACCCACATATCAAACACCCAAAAACTTAACACCTATCTGCCCTGACAAACACAAACCCTTCTAGACTCCACTCCCCCAAATAACTAACTACAATCCACCCCATCTCAATTCCCTTTTTCCTACCCTTAAGTCGTTCTAGCCCACCATCCAGCACACGGCAATTTACAATAACGAACTCCTCTTTGAAAATTTCATGTCACAATATCTTCGAATTCCTTCTTCCCATCAACGTATCGGATTTATTTCTTCTATGTTGACGGCAGAAACCTCCTCAATACAGTAGACGGACGCGTCATCGCAAAAGTGTTTCCATCTTCGAGGACAAGTCAACGTCCAGCCGCTCGTTACAAAAGCATCGTCGGTTTTTATTAGGAAGGAATAGAGGCTGTGCCAAAAGGAAAACCGGTTTAGGATCGGTTTCGATTCGACCTTCAACTATACATACATCTTTTCAAATTACTTTTTGTAATAATTACCATTAATCGATCTACGGCACACAGTGGATAGTGTCCTTTTCTAACGACCTGGGGTCGACATAAATCCCCCTATCTCAACATTTTGTCCGCGAAACGATCCTCAATTATCAGCAATCACAATGGGGTTTGTACAGAGGGTAATGAAGCGCATGCCTTCATCGACACAATTGCCATTGGATGATGGGAAGGAGAAGTCAAAAGTCACATCTAGATTGGCATTTTTCAGGCGGCCGCTCCGATTAAAGGGCAATTCCAGTATTTCGATACCTCTCGGTGTAGTTTTATTATTTCCATGTATTGTCGTTGTATTGATTTTGGTGCTTTTCGTCCGACATCCTAAATCAGGTGTCGGAATTTTAATGCCAGCTGGAGCACCACCAGCTATCAGGTATGTAATTTTCTTCCCTTATATTGAGATGCCAGGTCCACTAACTCTATGTGTGACTATAGGAGGATCAGTGAACAACATGACAAGGTATTCGTGACGGGATGCGCGGAGCCTGATACGAGTCAACCAAGAGCCAATGCAGCATTCGTTGTGCTGGCAAGAAATAAGGAGTTGGAGGGAGTTATTCAATCAGTGAAATCTATCGAAAGACATTTCAACCGGTGGTATCATTACCCATACGTTTTCCTTAACGACCAAGAATTCAACTCGACATTCAAAGAAGTTATTCAAAACTATACCAGTGCGCCGTGCGAGTTTGGAACTATCGACCCTAAGCATTGGGGATTCCCGGATTGGATCGATCCTAAAGTCGCCAAAGAAGGTATTGCTAAACAAGGTGATGCTGCCATTATGTATGGCGGTATGGAGAGTTATCATTCTATGTGCAGATTTTATTCAGGGTATGCATTTAATCCAGTAGCTTGAGCTTGAGGAGAATGAAAAATGCTGATGATACTAGATTCTTTTACAAACATGAGCTTCTGGCTAAATATGAGTGGTACTGGCGTTTGGAGCCAGAAATCAAGTACTTCTGTGATATTACATAGTATGTTTTGTTTTCCTTCAGCATGGTTGCAAATAAAGCTGACGAATTTTTAGCGATCCTTTCCTTAAGATGATTGATGCGAACAAGACTTATGGTTTTACCATTGCCGTCAAGGAATTGAAGGAGACAGTTCCAAATATCTTCCGTTACGCATCTGCATACAAAAGAGTTAACAACATTACATCTCAAGGTTTATGGGAGATGTTTATCGAACCTCCACCTGAAGAGCCAAAGGAGGTCCCTGAAGATGATCCAGCTTATAAAAGACCATTACCCGAGGAAATTCTACGAGGTGATCCATCCCGCGCATCTTTACCAGAAATCGATCCGGAAGCTATGGAAGGAGAGAAGTACAATATGTGTCATTTCTGGTCGAATTTCGAAATTGCTCGACTCAGTTGGTTCAGAAGTAAGGAATATGAGGATTTCTTCCAAATGATGGATCGCAGTGGTGGATTTTGGATGGAAAGAGTAAGTTATTATCTAGGGGATGTTTGACTAAAACTAACAACAACACAGTGGGGTGATGCACCCATCCATTCTTTGGCCGCCGGCGCTCTTCTCGCTCCTCGCGATATCCATTACTTCCGTGATTTTGGCTACAGGCATACAACGATTCAGCATTGTCCAGCAAACGCACCCGCACGCCAGAGAGCGCGCGAGCCTTTTCTAGAAAAGACTACACTGGACGAGAGGAAACGAAAGGAAGAAGATGAGTACTGGGATAATTGGGATCCTGTAAAGGAGAATGGAGTGGGATGTAGATGTAGATGCGACACGGATATTGTGGATGTAGAGGGAAAACAGGGAAGTTGTTTGGCAGAATGGGTAGATGTTGCAGGAGGTTGGGCTAGTCCTTGAGAGGATCAATTGAACAATGAGCGTTAGGATAGGATGTATTGAAGGATGCTATGTCATGCCACGATTGATGTAGGAAGTGAAATGATTTCTGAAGGAACCCTGAGGATGAAAACGGGAATGAATGGCGGATGACGAAATGAGGAACTGGTGGCAGGGGAAATGCAAATGAAAATGGAAATGGAAAGAATTGGTTGGGATTGTAAAGGATGTGATGTTGCATATTATCTTTTTTTAACTGTTCATTATTCATGATGAGAAACACAAAATTGGTTCCTGGTCTGATTGATTTTTTTTCTCTTTTTGGTTTTGTGAAATTTTTGTGAGGGTGAGGTTTTGAGGTTTTGAGGTTTTGAGGTTTTGAGGTTTTGAGGTTTTGAGGTTTTGAAGTTTGTGAGGGTTGTGAGGGTTGTGAGGGTTGTGAGGGTTGTGAGGGTTGTGAGGGTTGGGCTGGTGGTGAAGGGGTTATGAAGTGGATGGAGGGATTAATGCGGTGTGGTGTGGTGTGGATAGAAATGAGTGATGAATTATAAGATGATGGGATGAGAGAGTTATATAATTGTAGAATAGTTGAATATGTATGTGTGTGTGTATATATATGTGTGTATTCAAAATAAATTGGATGATATATATTTTAACTTTAATGTCTAATGTTTGATATCTGATATCTGATTGGGTGTAACGATCTGGTCGAGGCAGCGGCTGCCTGAGGTTTCGTATGGTTGGTAGTTGTAGGTTAAGGCTAATAATCACTGGTTATCTACTTGAAAGTGAATTCGTTACTAGATCAATCGGAATGTAGGTAAACTAATTGATAACTAAGTTGAGCACGAAGCTCCTAAACTATGAAACTATTCTGACTATATACTAATCTCTTCCTTTGCATGCTAGCTTTGCTAGCTGGCTAGCAGAGCTAGCACATCACGTGATTGATCCTGAGGCTTCTCCTTTCCTGAGGCCTTTCCTTTCCTGGAACCTTGTCCCAGGAGCTTTCCTTTAGGAACTATAGCCCTAGGATACGATATCCTCTAGGGTGATTGTCCTATTTCAACCAATTAGATAGGACACTTGTCCTATTCTACTATGGTTGCCTAGGATACTTATCCTAGGAATCCTGGGGTCCTAGGCTTAGGTAATCAGGACCCCGAAAGCAACGGTTAAATCACACCCCCCCTGTAGTCGGCATATAAATCACCGACATCAATAATACTACTATAATGAAAACCGTAAATCGTGACAGTTATCTAGATTCGGTAGTAAGGGGGGAAGAATGAGGAATGAGGGAAAAAAAATATAGAAATATTTTTATAAGAGTTTTAAAGTCTATTTATAATCTTTATATATAAATAAATATAAATAAATAGATTTTAATATAATAAGATTTTCTTTTTAATTAAAGAGAGAATTTAATTAAATAATAAAAATAAATTGTTAGGGGGCTAGAACTCTATCACTAGCCCACGAAACCTCTAAAAGGGTAGAAGTAGTTTGATCGACATCAAACCTACAAAATAGAGTTATGAACCCGTGACATAAATGATATTTTATATTTCGTGAATATTATCTTCAGTGTTTTGTTTTTTGTAGAATGTTTCAATTTTCTAAAAGGGGAGGGAATATTGAAAGCGTTTGTAGACAGAGGGAAAGAGTGAAGTAAAGAATTTTTCTTTTCTTATAAGATTGTTTTCATTTCTTGAGTTTATTATAAGTCTTAAGACTACTTGATTACTCTTTTGCATTCTAAGATACATTACTACTGAGAACTTATTCTAAACGCGTTTGTAAAAGTCGATCGCTGGTTAATTCGGATTTGTCCGAAGTAGAGATGATGGGTGTCTGTCTTTTCCTTGGAGAATTTGGAAGTTCTTCGAAATGTTCTCCGCTTTCAATGAGTCGCTGGTCACGCTGGTTCGCTGGTGCTAAGAAACTTGAAAATCCTTCAAAAATACTTTTACTATATGTTTCGAGTAGTCTTAGCCTATCCTGTTCGATTCTTTGGTTCCGTAAGTACTTCGGCGGAAGTCTTTCCAACTCCCTGCTTTATTTCTTCCTTAGGGGCCTGACGATTCTCCGGAGTATTTTTCGAACACTCGTCTAACTTCTTTCCCCTGGAGAAAATTTTCGTATAAGAGGTACATGAAGTTTCTTTCGCCTTGCTAAACTTGTCATTTTGCGAAGTGCGGTTTGAAAAATTGGCGTTTTTCTCTGCTGATTTACTTGATCCCGAAAGTACTTCTTCGAAAGCCTTTTCAGGTCCCAGCTGCATATCCTTTTTGGCGGCTTTGTGTGACCTCTGGACGCTATTTGGAAATTCCAATGCTTTTATTTTCGGTTCTGGGAGCGCAGCAGCAACCTCGGACCTATATTCCATCACAGCTTGCCGTGCTTCTTCCGAAAATTCCTGTGCTTCGAGTTGTTCGGCTGCTTCAAATTCCAATGGTGCTTTTGGTTGGACTTCTATTGATCGAAGCCACTGAGCGCATCTCTCATTTTTTCCTTCCCACTCCCCGATGACAGCGCATGGAGAGACATTAGGAGCTAAGAGAATGTTAGTTAGACGTCTCGATAAGTTTGTTTTTTACGATATACCCTACAAACTCCCCAGGTAGTCTAGGTTATTGTAGGATGTTCTTTTGTACAATCCATTAAAACTTTCATGTATTGGGGGTAAACATCAACATTAGGGTGTTCATATCCATTCCTGATGCTTAAGAAAACTCAGGAGTGGGAAGTTATTACTCGCTAAAAAAGGAATTTGTTTACTTACAAATTTGTTGGCTTGACGTGGGGAGAAGTCTTAAACTATGAAGGAAATTGCTTGTCTCAATGATCTTTATTTGTATTTTTTGTATTCTCGATGATTTATCATGGCGCAGCAAGAGCTGGAATGCCGTATGTTCGTCGAGGAAGCGCTTTTCATGTGCTTCCACATCTAGGAAGCATTTTCGACAGATTACAAATTTATGAACTAATCCGTACAGACTCATTTTGTGAATTGGATGATGATTCTGCGAAGCAATTTAGGTGATTTGTGATGAATAGTGTGACGTCGTTAAGATGGTATGAGAATGAGAGTTTGCTGGTTGATCGAACTTGAGGGTATCTTTTTTAAGATGGGATGGTTTTAATATGTCGTGAAATTGGTCTATTATGATAGTTTTTTTTGGGGAGAAGAAGAATATTTTTGTGGGATGGGATTTAAGAGAGTTTATATATTTCGATTTGCCCTTAGTGGCGGGTAATCAGTTTAGATGCAAGTCACTAGTTTACTCCTCCCTCATGAGTACATAAGGCCATTAAAGTTAGCGATGACTAGTGAAGCGAGCTATTGCAAACGCCGATGCATCCGTCATATGTCAGTGTGAAATCTAATTTTTGGAAAGTCTTGAGCATTTAGTCTATCACGATAATAGCAATGCTAACAATCATGTGTAGCATCATGTGTAGCCAGTCTATCTTTACAGTATGATACTAAGAACATATCAAGTTATCTGTGGTTTATAGTGATTAGTAATTATTATATTATTGTTAATATCCTATGCAGGATCATAGTCGGGATCGGAAATATATAGCTAAAGATTTGGATATATGCCTCTCTTTCGTGCTCGGACTATCAGAATTTAGATTCATTAATCTAATCTTTTTGATTCAGTTTACCATTAAAAATTCTTAATAGTGCAAATTAATCATGAATTAGCGGCTAAATTTTCGACCAGACTTTAGACGGGTTAGATACACTGTGTCAAAAACCACTTTCTAGTGCCGGGCTCTGCCTATTATGTCATTCGCCGAACCAACGCAACGAAATTCTGACATTGATAAGAGACATTTTATGTAGAGTATAGGAATCAAATAGATTCACCGGTACTGGTGATATCTAATCTAGGGCTCCAGCACCACATGACTCCTCCAGTGAACATGAAGACAGAAGGACCTGACGGCTATACTTAGTGCCATCATAGAATGTTTCCTCAAAAATGTGCCGATCAAGGTCTTAAACATCATCATAAAAGAAGAGAAAATTAAATGTTGACAACATCTTATTTAGCGTTTCCATTCTATCGAAGGTGGTTGAATCTAAGATATCAAAATTCGTCGTTACCGATTATCTCCACAAGCGAACCCTAGTCTCACTTTCATTGGCCACATCAGCCGACTAAGAAATTAGGTTCAACCCCTAAATGTTAATTTTAAACTTTAGCTTCGAACTATAATGCTTGTCATCCACGCCAGAAGCGACGAAGGAGGAAAAGCTAGCCCTGATTTAAATATACTGAAATAATATCCAATGCTCCAATATCAACCACAGTAATACTAATTCATGCTATCCCTCTCCCATCACTAGTTTCAAAATTCATAAAAATCTCTTCTTTGCGAACAACCTCAATAGTAGGCTTTTGATGAGATCGATATTTGGGTTTCGGTATTTAATATGAGCTGGTCGAATACAAAACCCGGCTTTCATGTGCTTGACAATCGAAAGACTCCGGAAAGTATTTATCGGGCCTGGCTAGATGATTCGTACTTTTTAAGCACCCCACTTGAAAGTTTTAAGTGGTTGGGCGGGGGGAAAGGGGTTCAGGATACTTCTAGCTTAATCTAGTTTCTAAGAATGACGAAACTTAAAATGAAAGATTTATCTCAACCTTTTATATGAGTATTGTGCATATATGGTCTAAACTTATTCCATCTAAGGCAAAATTAGTGATGATTTCACATTTCTCAGTGCATGGGTCATATCTAAAATTGTGTACACCAACAAGCAGGCAATAAATCTGAGAGTTCCCTTGACATCTATCTTCAATCTTCATATCTCCAAATCCTCCCCAAATGTCCTCTGGAGCCACAGTTTTATCTTTGACCATGAACTAGAGTGGCCAAACAGGAAATTCGCCAACAAAAATTATTGCGCGTGATTTTCAAAACTTCATCCGCCCTATTTTTGACTACTACTAGGCCAAGATGAACGATCTTGACATCCGCTTACGCGCTATCTTAATGTCAGAATAAGCTTTTTCATTTACAAATATATATATACAAAATATTGGGCAATATCTAATAAGTGTGAAAACCGTGAAAACCGCTCAAAAGCTAGTTGGAGCTACTAAAACTAACTACTTACTCATACACTTGTCAGGATGAGCTTCTTATATATATTTGTAGAATGCAACATATCTATATAAAACGTATTCAAGAACTCTAACTAGAAGAGTTCGAGGGATAGTTTTCAAGCTAGTTACGCTATAATAGTTAGCTTCAGCTTGCCATTATATAATACTAATAGATGGGGATTGATTAAACTTCGATCATTGATTATAGGAAGCTAATCCCATGCTTGTCAAGATGAGCCTCGTAATATACAATTTAGATGTGCAACATATTTGAACAATTTTCTTCAAGGGTTAACGATTTGGAAGATTTTTGAGAATACTTCGAAAGCTACCAAAACTAGTCACCGCCTCTGAATCATAAACTATCAGAGAAATTCAAAAAGTTAATAACTACCTATCTCCTGCCTCACTAGAAAAGGTCTGCATTTAGAGAAGCTTTACTCTTTTTGAAGATAACTAGCTTCATTTTATGAAAAAAGGAATTTGACTCGGTTCCACTTTGGAAATCTCGATAAAATCAACAGGTTTCATTGGGCTCAAGTGAAGCTATTCTGACCATTCAAACACTACACTAGAACCATATTAGAAAAAGCTGTCAATAGATAACTAGTTTATTGACTCTCTAAATTCCTCTATTATGCTAATTCAATACTTGCAAGGATGAGCCTCGTAATATACGAACATAGATAAGCAACATATCTGTGTAGTCCCCATTCAAGAGAACAGATAGAACACATGGACTTTGCAGAACACTTCAAAAGCTACTATCAATAGCTCTCACCTCTCAATCATAAACTACTAAAAACTAATTCGATACTTATCAGGATGAGCCCCGTAATACATAATACACGAACATGTTAAGCAAAAAATTTATATAATCCCTCTTCTAGAGCAATGAGTGGACCATCTAGTAGAACACTCCTAAAGCTAACTGAAGCCGCCAGAACATAATTAGATAGGCTTCATTTCTTCGCTAGATGAATATGACTAACGCATCTTGACTTCAGTGATTCAAGTTGAATCATTAGATTAATTTAGCAATTTTAATGAAAATTCTCCAATAAGAATGAAATGATTAAGAATTATACTCCTAGTTTCCAACACCGCACTAATTATCTAATTATCTATTTCACCCATTCCAACCTTTTCCAAAAATTTCTTCACCATCGAATGCACTAGAACGAAAATGAGAATCCGTCCTAGGACTTCTCCTCTCAAGTAGTCTCAAAAGCAGGAACGTTGACATCATAATATACCTGATCTGGGACAATCGTCTCCCGTTGAACGAATAGATATATCAAAGCCATCAACCATCAACCATCAACCATCAACTATCAACCATCAGCCATCAGCCAAATGATGAACTAGAATTCCACGCCTTCAGCGTCATCAGCGTCATCCGTGAATCCACCTGCTTAAACTCAGTCATACATCTACTTCAACTCTTCAACTCTTCACCTCTCCAACCCGGGAAAAGAAGCCCAGTAAAAATATATAAAAATGAAAGCCACTCCTAACCTCTGAACGATATAGTATCAATATCCACAAGACCTAAACAAAAACACCCGGCCCCCTCCCCGGACCCCAGCATTCTCCACGAACAGAACCAGCTCAACCACTCAGCCTCTCATAAATCATTCCCTTCCAATATTAATCCCAAACCCATTCCATTTCATCACTTCTTCACTTCAAGACACCACATCAGAGTTCCCCTAAAATCGGGGCGATATTATAGAGGTTGAGGAGATATATCCACCACCACCACCATAATTCTCTCCTATAGGCATATGCATCTAATCAGGAATCAGGAATCAGGAATTAATTACACTGTCCTTCTCCTCCTTCTTATCCTGCTCCTCCTCATTCCTCTAATAATTATGAACTCTTAAATAAACATCCCACGTCTCATCACTCGATGAGATATATACTTCTCGTAATTATTAATCTCAACTGCAACTACAAATTGAAAGTTTTGTCCTTGGGTAGGTGCGTTTGATTTGTTTTCTGATATCAGTGTCAAGTATTCAATAATCAATCATCAACATCAAATACCCACCCAATCACCATGAATAAACTCCCGGCCTCATCCTAACTCCCAACTCCTCATTCGTCCATTTCCATTTCCATTTCCATTTCCATTCGCCAATTTCCACTCAACTTAAAGTTTTCCAAAAAGAGCATAATTACATAATTCAATTTCTCCACTAATTACCCCAGACCTTCTCTACCCCCCCACCCCCCTTCTCCCCACCATCAACATCCCAACATCCCAAAACCAAACACATCTCACTCTGATATCCTCTATCTACTAGTTATCTCTGTTTCACATTAAATTCCAGATCTAATTCCAAAAACATTATACCCAACCCACTATCTTTTCTCTTCTCTCTTCTCTCTTCTCTCTCTTCTTTTATCCTCTCCTCTCCTCTCCCCTTTTCCTTCCCTTCTCTTCCCCCTCCCCTCTTACTCCTATTCCTAACTATAGTAAACTGATTCCGAGACCCGACTCCCAGCCATCAAAATCCAAAATTCGAAATCCAAAGCAAGCACCCTCCAAACCAAAAAAACCACAAAACCGCAGAACCCCAGGCAAGTGAAATAATCTACTCACATTACACAAAAAGCATGGTCTGGCGCGACCCATTTTTGAAAATTAAAATTTTACTTTAATCTTTCTATCTACAAATACACGCTCTCTCTACTCCTTAATCCTCTTCATCTAACTTTTAAAAGTTAATGATAGGTGAGTCGAGTTCTATTGGTCCATATACTCATCGTCGATTCCATCCTTATATCAGAACCCAGGCATGTCCATTCCATTCCCATCATCAATGCTATACATAATAGGTAATTCTTCAAGTTTAGAAGATTCTTTTTGGACGCCAAACCGTCCTTTACCGCCAGACCAAGCTCCAATCACATTAGACAGACCTTGATACCCCGAATATACCCAGTCCAGCGCAATCTCTATGCGATACCCTTTATAAAATGCCATGAAGATATACACTCTCTCAAGCCCACTTTCCTAGCAACGCCATTAAACCCGCTCCAGCAACCATACATCCAAAAGCAAAAAGCATCATCTTCATTGAACTTTTACGCATCTCCTGATTGAACATGAATTCATGTGCCATCAACTCCACCAATCCTGTATATATGAGGATTCCGGCACTGATAGAATCGAACACACCATTAATAATCATAGTCTTTTGACTACCTGGAGCAAATGTTGTACGGACACCTAAGCCAATGGCAATCGCAATGGGTGTTGTAAACCCATAAGCTGCTCCCAAAGCCCAAGGCATCCAGCTTTTCGTTTTCGGCCAATGAGCAGTAGCAAGTCTAGCCCCAAGACCAAGACCTTCAAATGTTTGATGAAAGACGAGGACAATGTAAAGGATATTGAAATCATCACCTGTGACGGCAAGTGTGAGACCTATAAATATGGAATGAAATATAACACCAAATTCAAGAATGAAGATGGCGGTCATTTGAGCAGCAAAATGATCGTCATCTTCATGGTGTTCCCGTTGGTGTCCAAGATGATCCTCACCTCCAGGAGGATATGATAAATCATCAGGTCTTCCGGGAATACTAGATCTGACTTCAGATGGCCCTTCTCCAGTTGACTGTCTTTGAGTAATCGAGCTTGCATGATCATTTTCTAAAACTGCACTAGATGCTTGAGGGCTATTCGCAGCTTCTGACGGTAAAGGCGTTTTTAGTGTGCCGTGCTTCTCATTTCGGGTCCTTTGTTTGATAAGATCCCTTGCAGGATCGGCGGCTTCCAAATCATGACTATCCTGTCCGAATACATCGTATCGTGATGCCATGAGCTCGATGAAGAACATGCTGAAAATTGTCATAAGGGCAATTCCTTCTGCCCAACTGTAATCTGTTATTGGACCCGTTAAACAGGGTGAGGTCAGATTTGCCGTAGCGGGTGCCAACAACTGTAACGTGATTAGCAAAAATCTCAAGGATAAACCTGTAACCATTTCGCATTGGTTTGAGAATGACAGCTGGAAGTATAGGACTTACATGTATGAAAGCGGTAGCTATAATCACACCGGATCCGAAATATTTAGTGATAAAGAATGCTAGAGGCGGAACACTCATTCTTTTTGTTCTTGCTGCAGCTATTGGTAAAAGAGCACCTATGATTTGTTTTAGCCGAAGGTATCCTTGGGGATAATAGCCTATGCATGCCAATCATGAGAAGCATACCCATCATAGACCCAAATCCAATAACGAATATTGAAGATATCCGCACTCCCATTCGCCCGTCATAATCATTTCCACTGCCACATACAACCTCGACTGTATATTCCGACATATTTACGGACTGCCGCTCTGTTTATAACCGGCGGGTATCCTATCTTCTCCAATTGATGTCTGGCTTGTGTCTGTCGTCTTTTAGATATTCTCGTTGAATATCTTTAGGCAATTGCTATGAGCTCTGCTAACTTTTTGTCCTTAAAAGCCTTGTGAAACCGGCCGCTGGAAAAAGCTTCAACAATACCGAACGTCGTCAAGTAGATATTCGCCGGAGATAGCGATTAAGGATATAAATTTAGCCCAAGCTTAGTTTGAAAAACTCCGACGTTGTATCATCATCCTAGGATTTGCGTAGCTAGGTAGTCAGAAGAAGGTCTATTAGCAGGAAGCAAGTTATTTTAGCTGAAGGAAACTGTCGAGTGTTTGAGAGATATGATTGGTAACGAAAAGCAAATACGGAGTGAGTAGTCTTACCTATTGAGTTATGTATGAAATGTTTGTGAAAAGCTCGAACAATCACCAAATTTATTTTGATATATCACGACTTGGATCTTTAAGGAGGAAGAAAAATCAATACATATAAGGTAAAAATCTTATGTACAGTCTCGTCTCTGCCTATAAATTTCACCAAAGTATATATGAAAGCAGAAGGAAAGATGAGAAAAGGAAGTTTGTAGCTAGTATCGCCAAGAAGATGAGGTACGGAGATATCTGATATCTGATATCTGATATCTGATACCTATGATGTCGTATGTTGTATACTTGTATGTTTGTATGGTATGTATGATCATTGATGGAGGTATCTAAAGATCTGAAGACATCAATCAGATCCATCCATTCCATTATAGCTTGCATCAAGACTACCGGACTTGGTAATCTACCCTACTAGTACTCGAGTAAAATCAAAAAGAAAGTGGAGGGGGAAAAAACAAACCGGTGAAAGATTAAAATGAGAACCTTGATGGGCAGATTAGCTAAGCTGAATGAAAGAATCCTAGCCATCCCATAGGCTCATACGATAGATAGGTACAACGGCACGTCCAAATTAGATTCATATTTATTATTGTCCCAAACAAGCCTTGTGATCAGCCGGAAGTCATCGAATCTGCTCTTTCTGATTAGATATTCATTTTGATACTCGTGGATACATCACCAGCTGGAAAAAGCTTCAGACTCCTCAAAATCCTTTTCTAGACTTTCCAAATGCTCTACAAATTACTACGGCACGTTTTCATGTCAGTACCGAAAATCATGTGGCTGGATTACCGAGACTAAAATTCTTGATGCTCTAGGTACGAGATATCAATCATATCAATCATATCATACGGGGTCGAATAGGTCGGTAATGTAGTAACATTACCTCCCGCCGCGGGACGTAATCTTACTACTGTAGGACTTGTCGGTATTTACCATGAGATCATTTGACCGGTGCAGCAGCGGCTGCGCACATAATATTTCTTTGGCTTGTGCACGAAGCGCTCCATTGTGCATTGTATTATGTCGATCATTGTTAGCTTCGACTCGATGATATTTGATTTTGGTATTTTGCAGCCAGTCGGAAGGGGTATCCGGCTTCGAGGGGTAGAAGAAGAGAAGGTTCTTACCTTTTCACATCACAGTCTTACAGTTCTTACCGTCTACGGAGCAGACAACACAGGGAAATGTTTTAAATATCACGGGATCAGCATCTTCGGAATATTCTCCGAATCTCCATTCGGAACGTGATTCTTTTGCCATTTTATCTCGTCGCGAATACCTACCTACCTACAAGGTAACTCTATCTACGGAGTACATGCTTTGCCTTTTTGCTGACTAGACAATCTCCTGATTCTATAGTGTCGGGTCCTTATTCGGACTACCGTCCTGTGTGTGACCTCTCGTACTACTACCGGGTTGCTCTCACAGTTTCTGATTGCGGTGTAGCCTTTTCAGCCCATGCTATCCGTCAAGGTGAGTCTGAGAGAGCTTCTCATTCGAAACTCGATTTATGCCAAGAAATGATGGCACACTTGGCGATACCATGAATCCGATGTCACCAATATAGCCCTCAAATTTAGCTCCCACTATCAATGTGCTGCATCGATATGCCCTTAGCGCCCCGGCCGAGATATTACTGTACTCAGTTACTGAGGCTTCGTCGAAATGTCTTTCAAGCTCTCAAGTGGTACCTGATCATACGATCTCGGTCGACAGAGTGCAGTCCTGTAGCACGCAGCTGTGGCTATTTTGAAAAGCCTCATCATTCACGAAGAGTATTGCAATTCCAGCCCTAGGGCTCTGAATGGTTGATCTCTCCTCTTCATATCAATCGAAGTTCCTAATGTGAACAACAACTCCTTGACTCTTCCCTCCCACACCAATCCCACCTTCAAATTTTGATCAACCCTCGCTTTCAATACCCCTGCGACCTCCTCAGGTTTCTTTTCTTTCTCTAGGTCTACTTCGTCAAGTCTCCATGCAAGCTTTGCTTCCATACTCCTTTCTCTGCGCTCCTCAACCGGTGCTCTCATCTTCCATAATTCGCATCCAAGGACTAGGTCGCTCTCATAACTATAGACATTAAAATCTAGCCTTGAACATAAAGACAAGTTTTTGCCTGCTCTTACAGCATAAGTCGAACTAATGTTTCCCATCAATGGATTGAGCGTCAACGTCGCTGTCAATGGGATTCCTTTATGCGCCGGTAATGTCGCGAATCTTCCCCCAACACTGACGCCTCCCGATTTATTCAACGTTCCATAATATAGCTCCGCCCCTGCACTAAATCGTCCATAAAACTTATCATCAATCCTCGACATCTGTTTCGGCGGCTCCGTAACCTCTTTCGTGGGATCCGGCCCAAAATTGTATAACCCCCTCAATCCTAATAACCCTCCATCGGTCGAATACAACGTCTCCGTACTATATTTCCCGGTGTCATACTGATGCAGCGCCAATATCGTCCCTCCATTCCTCAACCTACTATCACTAACAGCCGTGATCCTTACCTGCTGGGTCGGGCTAATTCTTCTCAGATACAACGCTTCAAGCGTACTCTGCGGTAAATAAAGTCGTCCATATAGTAATGTATCCCGTTTATCAACCCGTCTACCTCCGTGCCATTGCTCCCACATCCATGGTTCGTCGACTCTTCTAAGTTCTTGGATTTGTCGATACCCGCGTATTATCTCATGCAGGTCAATCTTTGCACTTTGCGCGGTGGTGCGAAGAGGTAATGAAGAATAGAGGTAGGAGAGAGATCCATCCACAAGACCCACGCTACCTAGTGTATACGAAGTCGCAAAATTGGGAGAACTAAGGGATGAGAGATTAAATCGTAGACCGCCTGGAGTTTCAAAATCAAGTAGTCCTGTATCCCAGAATCATTAGTAAAGTGGCATTCTAGAAGCTGCGCAGGAAGACTTGGGGATAGATAAAGAGAGGTACCTTTTGCAGTAGCAGTCAACTGCGAGTATGAATTCTCGTAGTTCCATTTCGTCGCATTGTAAAATGCAAACTGCACATAATCCATAAACTCCAACATCTCCAAACAATATAGACACGAAAATCAACACATCAAGCTCCTGCAATTGCCAAAACCCAATTCACAAACAAAGTAAACATTTCACACCAATTTCATCCCATCCACAGCACAAAATCCGGAACAACATTTACCTCACGCCGACCCTTACAAAATTCCCACTCCACTATTCCCTGATAAGCCTAGCTCCAAATCTTATCACTACCTATCGCAAGCTCGTGAAAAATAAAAAATTACCTCGAATATCAAAAACCGCATTTCTCCATCCATCCACCATCTCTCGCCCACTCCTCTCCTCAATTAACCACAACCACAACCACAATTTCCCATAAGCACAATGCCTAAATCCAAGCGCGCGCGCGTCGTTCATCTTACCAAAGTCGATAAAAAGGGCAAGGAGCTGTCGCTCAAACTCTTTGCAAATGTGCGCGAATCGCTCGATGCTTATCAGCATTGTTTTGTGTTTAGTGTGGAGAATATGAGGAATACTTATTTGAAGGGTGTGAGGAATGAATTGACTGATTGTCGGTATGTTATACTTTCTATTTAGGCATTTGATATTTGATATTTGCGATTAAGAAATTGGGATTCGTGGATTTCATCGTTGGAGTTTGATATTTGCGCTGCTTTTCGAGCAAGGTTAGATGGCGAAGAGTTGAACATTGGCAAGCGAAGTGACAATGAAGAGGAGGGAAGAAAGAATTGGGGAAGCAGAATGATTTAAGATATTGACAACCATTTGGGAATGCTCAATTGTAGGAATAAATGCTAACCTACTCCCTTCCCATCACAGACTCTTCTTTGGCAAGACAAAAGTAATGTCCAAAGCGCTCGGCAGCGACCCCGCTTCTGAATATCAACCCAACACATCTCTACTCTCCCCTCACCTAGTTGGCAACGTTGGACTCCTCTTCACCAACCGCGAACCCTCCTCCATCATCACCTACTTCCAAGAACTATCCAAGACAGATTTTGCCAGAGCCGGAACCGAAGCTAGCAGAAACTTCACCATCCCCGCCGGGATTGTATACAGCATGGGAGGAGAAATTGACGCCGAGAATGATGTCCCAATGGCACATAGTTTGGAACCGGAATTGAGAAGGTTGAACGTACCGACGACGTTGACTAAGGGAAAGATTACGTTGGAGAACCCTTACTGTGTTTGTAATGAAGGGGATGTGTTGGATAGTAGGCAGACTAGATTGTTGAAATTGTTTGGAGTTGCTACTGCAGAGTTCACTGTTCAATTACTGGCGTAAGTTTCCCTTTCTTTCTTTCTTCGAGCCTTTGCGCTGCCGAACCTCTTGTAATCTAAAATCTAATTCCTAAATAGGTACTGGAGCGCAGCCAACCAAGAAGTAACAGAGATAGAGGCTACAGAAATGAGCGAGTAAAAGCAATGAAAAGAGCAAAAATCATATTGGGATCGTCGTTTCTGTTCTAAACTATCATACAGTCAAAGAAGACTAGACTATGAGGCGTTTACCGGCGCCACGTTTTTGTTATGGAATATGTGTACTTCAAAAATTAAAACAGCAATTTCCTGAGTGCTATGCCTGAGCTATCCATCTTACCACAGGAGCTTCATTTCTTTCCTCCTTGATCGTACATGTAAAGAGCCATATATCTAGCTAGTGACAAATTTGCTAAAGCACTAGATGAGGATAGTCAGGTGGTACCTATTTCTTACCTCTGATCGTACCTCCCATGATCAAAGTAAGCCTCCAATACGTAAAGAGAAACCAGCCATATCATACCAGACCATTGAGAGAAATGTCAGATTTCTGCATGTCGAGAAAGTCGCAAAAGCCTTTGTGAGATCAAGTTATCATGGTGAATGAAGGTTGACGGAAGCGGAAGCTACTTTTGACCGTGCTATGAAGATGCTGTCGACAAGTATGCAAGTAGATTAGGCGACAACACTACCTTGAGTGAAAACTTATATCGAAGAACCGCTTACCCCTGGTGAGAAAGGGAGAAAAGATGGAAGATTCGGAAAAACCCACCACAAGACTGTTGAACCCACCGGCCAGTCCTGTTGTACCTAGTACCTTCGTAATTTGCGAGGATCCTCCTCATAGCCATTACTGTCGTAAGGTCTCTTTCGTGAATCGTCTTCGCGTGGGCGACCGCCGTATCCTCCATCTCTTGGTCCATCTCTGGGTCCATCTCTATCACGGTATCCACTACCATCTCGGGGTCTTACCGGCTCCATATTGCTGCCACTGCCTCCGCGAGGAGGACCTCCATCTCGATCACCATAACCACGGTTGCTGTTGCCACGATGTCCTCCAGATCTGTCATCATATGAGCGGCCTCCACGAGATTCATACCCACCACTTGGTCCTCCAGGGCCATTGCGATCTGGAGATCCTGCACCGAGGCCTCCACCTCCTCTTCCACCATAACCGCTGCCACCGCCAAAACCTCCCCGACCACCACCTCCTGGGCCAGCTGGTGCATTTGGGGGAGCATAGCCATTGGAGCCTCCATACCCACCACGATCATTTCTGTCACCAAAGCCCCCGCGGCCCTGGTAGCCAATTCCTCCTCGTCCACCACCACCACCACCACCACCGCCGCCGCCAAATCCACCTCGATCGAAACCTCCTCGGAAGCCGCCACGACCTCTACCACCATCAAAACCGCCTCGGAAGCCGCCCCTGAAGCCTCCGGGGCCGCCAGGAGGGCCATTGAACCCGCCAGGACCCATGGGTCGTGAACTGGCAGTCTTCGTGTATCCACGACCTCCAAGTCCTCCTCCAAGACGGCGTGGTAGCCAGCCTTTCACAGTTCGACCTCTTTCGACATCTACTTTGATTCGACGATCCTTGATTCTGATACCGTCACAGTTTTCTAAACCAGCTATTCACGAAGCGCGAGCAAGGCGCGATTGTTAGTCATTTACCCATATTCATATACCTTAATCTGGGCATCAAGGAGTAAAGAAAAACGAAAGACAAGAAAGTGAAAAAACTAAATCTGTGTGCCAATTGCGCAATAATGCTACTGGTATAGGGGGAATATAGGGTGTGCTCGGCTTTACCTCTCATGTCCTTCTCTCGCTCGAAAACAACAAATGCGTAACCGCGATGCTTTTTGACCTTCTTTCCAGGCTTTTCATGTTGGTGGGTATCGACAACTATGCGAATCTACAAGGTCACGATATTAGCATTGCATTAAGCAGTGTATTTTAAGGAAACGCACTCTTTCGATAGGTCCAAATCGGCCGAACTCGCGCTCCAAGTCCTTCTCAGTAGCTTCATAATCTAGTCGACTAACAATAAGTGTTTTGAAAGCATCGCCACGAATGTTAGGATCCTCTGATGGTTTGACTGTATAACCAGGACATTAGTAATAGTCTAACAATTTGAAAACAAGAATATTTAAAGATGAAGTATTGATGTAGAACATGAATCAAGGCCCTCACATGTTTTTGGAGCTTCCTGAATGATATTTTCGTGTGCGGCCTTCTTCTCCTGCTTGACACGGTCCTTTCTTTGAAGCCAGCTCTCTGTAGGTGTGTATTGATCGGTCTCCTTATATTCCTTAAGAGCCGGGAGAAACGCAGCAAGACCGCTTACAGCAGGAGTTCTGCGATTTTCCGGAGCATGGTCTGAAGGCGGAACCCATCGCAAAGGGGGTCGAGGCGCGAAAAGCGCGAGGAGATTTGGTGGAAGTTTATCGGTCATTGTGACTTATGAGCGATTCCCAAATTTTCAGAGTGATGAGCCGGCAGCTTTTGGGATAACTGCCCAAACAATTGTGTTAAATTAAATGATGGAACAGTTTGGAGAAACTGTGTCGCGTCGCAAATGTGATCAGGCCTGATGGAGACCTGAGATTTGAGCTCCGAAGCTTAAAATATTCTACTCACGTGATCCTAAAATTATCAATTTCGAACCTCGATATGTAGAATGTATCTGAATTTTGGAGTTTACATATTGACGTCAGCACAACAGTCAAGATGAGGATTACAGGATTAAGGAAAACTACCGTTGGCCAGGTATGCATATCATCGGTTTGTGCACGCAGTTCTGCTGGCTAACAATGCATTCAGAATGGTGTTGGCGCCTTCATCCTTCAATGCACACGAATGGATTTTCATTACTGCGATTGGGCTGGCAGTTCCAAGGGCATGAAGTGAGTTGTATCCTCAAACTTCAATATGTTCCAATACTTATGATGGCATAGTTCCTTCGTTAAAAACACCCTCGTTGGCTTCGCCAAAGCCAATCCTCAAATCGAAATGACCATTTCTCCTCGGCCCTCCAAACACCCGGTTATCATTGGACATTATATCAATGGTCGTGAGAAAGCTATTTGCGTCAGAAATTTAGAACCGGGACAGATATTAAAGAAGGCAGAGCTGCTAAGGGATGCAAGTGGAGAGAAGTTGAAGAAGGTCAAGAAACCTGTGCGGAGTATCAATGAGAGTGTTAGAGGTATATGGAGTCCTTACCATAGTGGTGGAATTAAGGTTTGAGGGGGAAATAAGAAGGGCTTGGTGTATTATACATAACAGCATTACTGGCGTTAAGGATAGGAAATCGTGGGTTCCGATGGTCCTATATCGAATACTATGGATGTATGGAATCCATGCCCATCACACCTTTCCCCCGTTTTTGTCGATGTTAGCATCAGGTCTACCTGTTTGCAGTCTCATGAGCCATGTCTCCGGTTCCATTGCCTCATCACGGAATAACGTCGTGCCAGGGAAACAGGGGCCGTGGAAATACTAGGGATCTATATCATGAAATGAACATAAAAAATTAACAGGACCATCACTGGTTGACAGGATCAAAGACTCAAAGGTTGTCCGGGGAAGTATAGAAATTACATGTCAGCTTGGTATATTGGTCCATACCATGCTTCAAATTTTGCTGTTACATTGGTCATGGCTATTCAAAGATCTATCGATAGATTAGAATTTTTACGCGCAACAAGTACGGCATTCCAATTTGGCTTCAATATAGTTGATAGTCCCGGAACTTTTTTTGCTGTCTGGTAGGGCCCAATGCCCAACTAAAAGTCGTAATTCATGAAATCCTGAAACCACTTACAAGTGGCTGTTGATAATATCAACGAAAGCTGGCTTCAATGAAGCACCTCCAACCAAGAAACCATCAATATCTGCTTGCTTGCTCAAATCCTTGCAGTTCTTCTCACTGACACTGCCACCGTAGATGATTCTTGTCTCTTCTGCGGCCTTCTCGCTAACCTCCTTCTTCAACCAGGAGCGAATAGCGGCGTGTACCTCCTGTGCTTGTTCCGTGGAAGCGACCTTTCCGGTACCGATAGCCCAGATTGGCTCATATGCAATGACGATCTTTGACCAGTCTTGAATCTTATCCTTGACGGCCTTCAATTGTGCAGTAACAACCTCAATTGTCTTGCCAGACTCTCTCTGCTCAAGGGACTCTCCGCAGCAGAAAATAACACCGATACCTCCATCGAGGGCAGCCTTGGTCTTGGACGCTACAAATGAATCATCTTCTTGGAGAACGACACGACGCTCAGAGTGTCCGAGAAGTGTCCAGGTAATGTTGCTATCCTTGAGCTGCTCAACGGAGATTTCACCAGTGAAAGCTCCATTTGGCTTATCAAAAACGTTTTGGGCTGCGACCTCAAGTCCGGGTCTCAAGTGCTCGCGGGTAAGGAGAAGGTAAAGAGCAGGTGGAGCAATGACAACCTCTATTTGGAAGAAATGTTAGCATAATTCTGATCTGGAGTCTATGGGCTTGGAGAGGAATATGTAGGTCAGGAAATCCTTCATACATCCTCAACAGAGAACATCAACGAAGAGTCGATACATACCGGTATTTGGGTCCAACTTTGCATCGTTCAAGTATCCAACAATCTTCTTGATGGATTCAACAGATCCATTCCTAACGAGAGTAAAAATTAGCTGAAATCTTTTCTACTTGGCGGGGAAAGAGGAAAGTAAACAAAAGCTCTCACATCTTGAAGTTACCTCCAACGAAGAATTGACGAGGCATGATTGCGAGTTTTCTAGTAATTCGTAAAATGATTTGATTGTTTTGGATGTAAGCTGATATGTATGAGAATGAATTTGTCTTTTGATATGATTCTCGAGGAAGATGGTATCAATTATATCAAACTTCTCTTGAATCGGCAGTTTTAGGAGTGAGTGGGGTGCTCTCGGCGGGACCTGACACTCTACAAGAGTCCAAACCCCGCCAAAAATCGTCATTCGGCCCAAAATTTGTACGGAGGCCTCTTTCGCCCATCAATGTATAGAACTAACTACATTGGATCTCACCATATCACCGTTGCATCAAAAAAGAGGATCAACGTTTCTTTTGTAAGATTACATCTTTTACTTCACTCTGCACCTCTTCTGCGCTTACATAGGACTAACTAGATCTGTTATCCTAAAGGCCTCAGTGCCATCAGGATGTATTCGTCAATGTCCAATTGCAAGCTCAAAATGCACAACGGCCAAGATTGATCCTATCAGAACTGCCAACGAATTGAGCTCTTGTGGTGTTTCAATCAAGCGAGATGCATTGTCTCGGGACTTCTGACTGTACAATTCAGTCTTGGGCATCAATGTGCTTAACTCGTCCCACGCCATGGAATATTTATCTCACAGCATTGTCGTCCACTTAAGAAGTCTGCTTCCATTATGAATCTAAAACCTGCAATTGGCACAATCATATACATTTCTTACTTTTCATATGGAAAAGTTAAAAAAAATACGAAGAATTGCTATTACGATAACTTTTAGTGCTACATGTATCTACTACACAGGAGAAGGACTAGGTACTTTACGACCATGAGTCGTCAATCATGCATTGCTTCCACTGCCGGAGGTATAGCATTGGTCCATCAGTTTACCATAAATCAACACCAGTTTCCCGGTACCAATTGATACACAGTAAGTATTACTAACCCATCCATAGGGATTCAATCTCCAAGACTGAGAACGCCGAAACAATAACACATCGTGTCAAACTAAGGAAAATAGGGCATCGAAAGCATACAACTCGATTCAAAAGTCTTCCACCTATGTGTACGCACTATCACTGCTGTAACTAGAAGTATATCGATGTCGTGGTGGACTTCTTGGCGCGAACGGATGGTGATGACGAACTTGAAGAATCTGAGGGCGAAGTCCTGTAAATGGGATTCTACGGGGGATTGAATCTCGAGCAATATAATTTTCCACGTCAGAGAGTCGGCGTCTATAGGCGGCCTCTTGTGGAACTGGCCTCACACTCCGTATGATACTGTGCGCAACGTCATCTTCATACACGTCATCAAGGTGTCGATCACTATATAGTGGTTCTCGCTGTCTAGGCACGCGCCTTAAATATTGAGGTTCTACATATTGAGGCGCTCCCACCATCGGGACCTCCGCATGTCGACGGGGTGGGTAACGTAGCGCCGCGGTATTATGCTCAAGTTCGCGAGTGCCAGCAGGGACCACAGCTCTTGAAGGGTCATCGATAATGATTGGTCGCTGGGACTGCGATAGATAGTACTGGGCGGCTGCTCTTTCTTCCTCTCTGCCCTGTTGAAATGCTTGAGCAATGGCATCGGGAGCAGTAATTGGGGCAACTCCTCCAACAAAAGGAGGTCTTGGTTCGCTACTTCGTCGAAACTCTTGAAATATAGGCTCAGGCGACTCGCTTTTGTGGGGATAGTATTTCTTATGGTGCTCCCGTGGGCGGTGTCTGCTATGGCTATGTCCTCGTCTGCTCCGTGAGCTATTCTTTCTTGAGCGTTCATCGGATCGAGAACTAATGCTAGTGGCCAAGGAACTGCTGAAGGTTGAGGCTCCAGTTGAGGCTGTGTCGCTGTCAGATTCGGAATCAGAGTTCGAGTCTGACCGATAACGAGCTGGCATCTGCCTGCTTCTGCTTCTGCTTCTGGACCTGCCGCGGCTACTACCATTGTGTCCAGGCGCACGAAGAACTCCTACGACAGCTGGAGGTTCGTCATTTGGATTTGATGGTAGATTTGGTGGTAGATTTGGTGGCGGAATCGGTGGCGGAATCGGTGGCGGATTTTGAGGCTGCGGTGGCATTGGAGGTCTCATTAATTCCGCCAATCTTTCTTGTTTGTTCTTCTCGATGAGTTGATAAATGGCCATGGCATTGAATTGATCTCTGACCGCACGTTTCACTATCACTGTGATTACAACAGTTTCTCTCACTTTGTTGTGGTATCTCTCTTTTCTGTCAAGCTGGACAAGGGACCAATCAAAGTGTTGATCAGGTTCCTCGCTTTTCAATCGATCCAAGAGCCTATTGACTTGACACTGCTGATTAGGAAACAATGCTGCCTTTTTATCTGCTATAGTTTGTGGGGAGTTTCTCAATTTTTTCAACTGCGCAGCAATATCCTCTTGTGATAAGGGCTCTTCAGTTAACACAGCCTTCGCCCAGGTGGATTTCTCCTTTCCAGTCGGAACAACTTTTCTGATCGAATGGACCGTATATGTCGTCAATAATTTTCTGCACGCTGCATCGTCAAGTGGTCGTTTCTCTGTAGCGTTTAGGTCAACTATGTGCGAAGAAGACTCATGTCGTGGACGCATAGGCATTTGCATTTGTGGCGGAGGTGGAGCACGACCACCTTGACCTGGATGGCCTTGGTGAACCCGAGGAGGACCTTGAAACCCTGGAGGGGGCCCCTGAAAGCCCGGAGAGGGACCTTGAAAACCTGGAGGGGGACCCTGAAAGCCCGCAGGAGGACCTTGAAAACCTGGAGGAGGAGGAGCTGGACCAGGGGCACCCCGCCCCATTGCCACTAACGTCGTGTTAGTAGTGTCAAAGATTGGGGAGAATTCACCAAGTAGCTTACCGGGAGGTGGAGGCTGAGGGCCTCTAGTCTGTGGATGGTTCATTTTGAAAGGTGAGAGTAACTGTATCGTGTTGATATTAGACGTGAGTAGTAAGGTGGAGCGTTGGTGAAAGTATCACTGACATCAAATTCGATAAACGAACTACAGAAGAAAATAGGGGCGATGGCACGGCTATAACTAGAAGTCAAAACTCTGGGTTGGGGCCCAGTTCCTTCTGGACACCGTAACAGTGGCTTGTAAAGCGAAGCTTCGTGGAAAACCTGATTAACGAAAAGAAAAGAGTTGCGGAGCTTTACATTAAAGGACTTCCACTAGGTTGAATTGCAGGAATGGAGGGGTACAATGAAAAGATGTGGTGGATGTTACACAACCGACTAACAGCCACCGAGTACCTGTATCACAAAACAGCGAAACAGCAAGACCGTGTGAACAATCCCCAATCCAATTACGCATTTTAGTTTAGTGAACGGACTATTCTATCAAGAAGCTACGTGCCGTTTTTAGCGCCCGAGTTTACTTTGTCATGCGATAAGGCTTTGGCTTATGCATAGTTTCAAGGTCAATGAAGAAGGCTGTGCCGCCCGGTCTCTGAGGCTCAACATCTCTCACTCTCAGCTACAAGGCGGATTTGACGGGCATATTCCTGAAAAATCAATATGCTCATAGTAACATAGACCAATCGATCAATATGGCGTGTCACCGAGTGTTACATCCACAAATACACTATACACGCCCTCGCACCCTTTTGATACATTATGCGATTTCTGCAAAAGTATGAACTACTAAAAATCAAGACATGGCGAGACATCCAATTCTGACCAGAAAGGATGTCAGGCTATTAAGAACATCCTAGTTGGAATTTTCTCTATTCAAGAAGTGGGGACCATGGATTGATGAGTTTCTTCGCAAATTTTAGCAAGGCAAGATGCAAACCACTTTGCAAACCTTCTGCCTTTCTTTCATCAACAAACCACGAGAGGCCACACAACGAATTGAGTCACTTGGCCCTTCTTTCTGTGGCCCCAGCCGCGGAGCCATTCGGTGAAGGGGCAAATCAAGGTGATAGGACGAATTTCTCAAGCCAGCTTTGAATTGGTTACAGCATGAAGGAAGCAAGTTGAGTGTTCATAGTCAAGATTTAATTAACAAATCGTCGCAATAAACCACGCAAGAGGACGATTTGCTGAAATCCACTCAAAAATCAAACTTGTTTTGTACTGGAATTAAGCTATCTTTCGGTTATTACTCTCCGTCCTCTTGTTGCAGATGCATATGCAGTCAATTACTACATCGTCTTTTTGGAAGCCATGAGTACGTATGTCATACAGAAAGCTTATATGCCGCCATATCGTTGACCGCCTCATGCTTTAAGCATGATATTCGACACGGCCTGTCATAATGCTCAGCCCCCACTTCGAAGGATTGTGGCGTTATGAAGCATTCATCAACAATCGTCCAGATGCAAGAAGTTGCTGTACATTGCAACTCTATACATGCACCAGAAGTCTTTAAAGGCTTTGATCGCTGGATACACTGCAGGCGCCATCAGAACTATGTTAAATGTCGTTTGGAAACAGGAAAATGCACATCATCATTTAACTCTTCGATTATAAATGCGCTTAATGCTGACAGTAGGAGGTAACTCTGTGCAAGGCCATACATTTACCCCGCATATTTTCACAATACTGAGCGATTCGCGCCCTCTGCCAAGATATATCTCCTTTAGCCAATGGATTCAACCACCATAACACCGGGTTCAATCTTGATCAGTTGGTAGTAAGTCTGACAGTTGTGCAATTTTCTATTTCACCATCATACCGCTTGCGTCGGGCGCTGCAACACACATCCATTGCGGGAACAGGACATGTTATGTCGTACAAATGCATTGATCCGCGCTGGAGAACCAAACAATGTGAGCCAAAGACCTGGCTGATTCTTGGGTTTCACGAGATAACGCATGGTTTATGTCAAATCCTAACACATTCGAAAAATGATAAGTACCTGTATGGAATTAAATCATTCTCTATCTAAATTTGCGAATCGCATACCTCGGGTAGATTGTCTCTGATTGATATTGGACGAGATGAGTTTTGGAGGTCTTTGCTAGGACTCAATACCTTTCAGCTATCTTCTCATTGTTACCTCTTTCAATCTACCGCATTGACTGTGTTACTAACACTTTAATCATGCAGAGAATGAAGTCCATTCATGATTCACTATTGATAAGGCTGAACTTTACATGGTTGATACCTAAATCATCTCTTTGTGTTTCTCTTAGTTTCGTCCCAAGCCATGATATCAATCAAGTGGTCCAAACCATCAGCGCTTCCTCCATCATTGTCAAATCTACGTTCAACAATGCGAACAAAACTTTCATTCCTCACATGCTTTACCAATAATCTATCGCCAAATAGGTAGTCCTAGTACATACAGAACCCGAAAAATCAAATCTAATTATCTCTTAACATCCATCAACCGCAAATAACTTTTCGAAAAATCCCAGGTACACAAGCTCCACACATTAAACATATCAACCTCCCTCCCTCTAAACACCAATCGCAAACCCCATAATCCATAATAGAAATCCCAAGCTGAAATAACAATGACATACCGATCACCTCATGCAACCGCGGGTAAGGCTAACCCCTCTTCCGATGTGGCATGTGCGCATTCGTTAATAGGGTCATGAATGATCAGAGAATGGCGTTTTGGCTCAAGTATGTTTGTAATTTATGTGTATATTTTTTAAAAAATATTCATGTTTATGTTTATTTCTTCTCGGTGAAGGCTTTGGAGATCCATGTATAGATCCCGATTTACTTCGGCGAGCACTTATATGCTCTTTGGGATTAATGTTGAGATTATGGCATGGCATGGTATAATATATTATACGTAAAGTCTGGATTGTTTTAATTTGGCGTGCTATCTATTCGACTATAGGTTTCATCAAGTTTTGTGCGTGTGCCTCGAGCTCTTGGCTTGGAATTCATTTATTTATTAGGTGTTGTGTCGTGTCGTGTCGTGTTACATATATCTTTGTTCATCATTCATCATTTATTATTCTTTGGTTACGGACACCAGGAGTAACTTAGTGGCGTGATGATAGATCGATAACCAATGTCTAAAATTCGCATTTCTGGCTTAATGTTTAGATGAGCATTGAGCAAACAGTTGCTTGTTTTCCCAAAGAAAAGTAAGTTCGACGCGCGTACTGTATGTGTATGAGTATAGCGAATCAGTCGTCCGGTTCGGTATTGTACTTGGGGATGAGGAATTGGTTTTTTAGTTGTTTGTGAATCGTGATGAGATTTTTGTTTCTGTCGCTAGGTTTTTCTAGCTTATCCAAGTGGGTGGTGGGATATGTTTCACTTTGGGTAGTACTCACTCAATCTATGTCCTATGTCTATAAATGCTTGTCGCTATTCTATGAAGTAGGTCTTAGGGTTTATGGATAGGGTATCATATCATAGTAAGACTTGCCATGCAAGAGAAATATTATTAGTAAAGATGTAGAGGAGTAGATGTGACTTATATGCAGGAAATAAGTCATTCATGTTACTTTCTAGAAGCTTGGATACTTGTTCTCGGGTTTATCCTTCATTCATAGCTTTCTTTCGTCCTTTACTTTTATTTACTCCTATTCTTTCAATTCTCTCCACTTTCTACTCACAACTGCTCGCCTACTCAAACATCGCGACCTTACAACCCCCTTTGTTTGACAAAGTCAGTGTCAACCATTCCGCAAAGGGTTCATCATCTCTCGATTCAATTCTGGAGAAAGTTTGTAAAAGACGAATTGTGGTGTAGGATGCCTCTGTTCTCTATGTCAGTCTTTTCTTGCCTGGCTACCACGAGCCCTCATAAGGGAATGTAAACATAAAGAAAGGCGAACTAACCGGTCAATGCAAATTGCTGTCCAATACAAATACGAGGACCTCCACTGAAGGGAATGTATTCCCAGCTTTGAGTTACAAGTTAGTACATCATTTTGTCTTTCAAACATAGATATCAAATATTGAATCACTTACCCAACTCTCAATTTCTCCCATCTCTCAGGTCGAAATTCAGCAGCATCTTCTCCATAAATGTCCTTTCTTCGATGCATCACATAAGAGCTGTATACTACCACACTTCCTTTTTTAACCATCGTCGGGGATTTTCCGTCAGTTCCGCCACCGCGAGGAAGTACCGTGTCGCGGGCTGCAACGCGAGACGTAGTTGAGACGATGGGGTAGAGTCGCATTGCTTGGGATCTGTTAGTTTCATAGTCTGTATTTGGGGTTCTTTGCAGGTGATGTGACGATAAAAAGAGCACGAAAAGTAAAAACTTACTCTCATTAATGCACCATCTTAGGTACTTCATATCCTTGACTTCCTCAAAAGTCGGTCGTCTTCCTTCCAATCCCATTACCTCCTTTCTCAATTTCTCAAGCACATCTTTTTCACGAGAAAGTACCATGAAGAGAAGAGTAAGTAAACTGGCGGTTGTATCACGCCCCGCAAGTAGAATGTTAAGCAACTCTGCTTGGATTTTCAGCGCGCTGTAGCCGGATTTGGCGAGTTCTTGTAGGAAGATATAGCGATCTGAACCAGATTCCTGCGGTTTTTGCGATGAATTGGTGATTTGGAGCGCGAGGGCTTTGTCTACGTAGGTGCGGACGTACGAGTGCACGTATTTTATGGAATCTGTGTATTTTTTGTCGCGGGGGAAGTTGGCAGGTTTACCCACTGTTTGTTTATTAGTATGGTTCCTTGTTTCGTGAAGTAGAACAGAGTACGACATAAGCGTTTTGCTTTACTTACAGCGGATTTGTGCGCCAACTTTTTCAGCCATCTGTGAAAAGTAAGTAAATGTGCTTTCAAGATGTATCAGGTCCAATACTCACATAGTCATAAGCTTCCGAGTACTTATGGCCGGGTGAATTCAATTTCTCTTCGTCCAATGTCTCCGTACTTTCACCGAAAAGAAATTCCGTAGCTATACCACGAAAAGTTAGCACAGCATATTATCATATCTCCTCAAGCCATCCACCATTTCACTGATCCTCACTCCAAAAACTCACCAGAATCAATAGTCAACATGAAAAACAACTTTGACAAATCAAATGTGGCCCCATTCCTAGGTATCCTCTTGATCAACTTCCCAAAGTGTTTCTCGAAAACATGTAAATCGGCCACCTGACTCCTCACAAAATTCGGCCTCAACATCGCCCTCGAATGTTCCCATTCCTCTCCATCTACCGCAAAGATTCCTGGTCCAAAAATTGGCATCAAGCCAGCTTTTCTCCTAGAAAATAATTCATAGTCTTTAAACGCGGTTGCTAAAACGGTTTTGATGTTTTCGGGATCGGCCGTGTTGATAGTTGTGATACCTAGGGGGTTAGAGACATATGTGTAAACGCCAAGTGACTCAAATCGTTTTTGAGTCGTCTCGAGGAATTTTCCATTCCGACCCGCGCGAATAGTGTTGACAAAGAAATCGAGGCCGTAAAAGGGATCTTTTCGCGGGTAGGAGACACAGGGAAGACAATTGTTTTGTTTGGCGAAAGTGCGTTGTTGTTGATATAAGAGGACTTTTTGGATGAGGTTATAGATGACGTAGGAGATGCTTAGGATGACCAGGATGTTGGTTGTGAGGGAATCTCTTGTCAATAATTGATCCATGGTGAAATGATGGATGTACACTCTCAAACCGTGTTGAAAAAAGTTGGAAAGTTGAAATATTCAACCAGAATTAACATGAGGTATTATATCAATTCCAACATCGCATAATGTTATAGATCATCGATTGCACAAACATGTCTACCGATCGAACCTCGGCAATGAACCCTGCTGTTTCAGATGGAGCAAGATCAATAACCAATCAAAGCGGTTAGCTTTGTAAAACTTGCTTTAGCTATCTGAAACAAATGCCGCATTGCCGCACTATCGAAAGAGGATAATGAACCAAGGGAGCCCGGGAGGGATGAGCCGCGCGGCTGCCCCCTTAGTAGAGAAGATATACAACTCGATCGCCAAAGCCGACAGTGATTATACATGGTGCATAAAAGAAAATGAGATCTGTCTCTGTGGACGATCTCTGTCTCTCGATTTCTGCCGGCAGCTTTGAGTAAGATTTGCTGACTTTATCACTATGACATATGCATATCTTTCTCCTCCTTTCCATCATGTTATCGTCCCTGTGTGAAGCTTGTAGGTTGCAATTACTCCGTACAAGGTTTGTCTTTTATGTTCTTATCTAATTTGTGTATCTTCCTAGCGGTTGATATGCCTTTCCGAAGGAGCTAGAGTATAGTTCTAGGATACTTTTACCTGGCAGACCTTTATGGTGTGCATGGTGTACATCATTTGGCGAGAGATCAAATGGCAGAATAGGGACCACCGGACTCTAAATTCCTGGCTATGTGAGGCTTTATTGTTTTGTCTGTAAGGAATGGATAAGTACGAAGGTTTTCCCAGAGCATGGGGAAACCAGAACTTCTAGAAATGAATGCATTCTAGAAACTATTTTCGCGCATCAGCGACTTTGGTTGTCTAGTACAGTAATTTGAGCAGTTAGTCGTACTTGTATTATGAACGACGAACTATACGTAGATTGCCGAAAGCCCACTCTAATATCTAATCTTTAAAAGACTCCTATCTCTGCGTACCACAAGCTACAAGCCACATGAAGTTTACCAATAGTTATGTGGACATGATCAAGAATCTCTGGACAAAGTCACAGAGTTGGACAAAATCTTATATCACTGCTACAGTGGCACAGCGCAATACAGAATAGTAAAATTGGCAGTAAATCAACCAATAGATCTCACTCTCGGAGTAAAACCCTAAAGTAGAAAGGGAAAAGTTTAAATTCATAATTAACTCGAGAAACACTTCCCACACCCATGAGTAAATACTCGTCCTCACTCATTTACATTTCCACTTCACTCCCGTGACTTCCCAGCTAAACACCTCGCTTTATAAATCTAATAAATATCACCATCACCATGATCAACATCTCACTAATTAATAAAACCACGTCTGTGACGCACTTGTTTATAGTAATTATACCAACCATTACACCTACAGATTTGTAACCAACCCAAGGTAATAAACATATATAATCAAAAAAAAACCGCACTTCGAAATAATTAGCTTTCTCATCATTTGCACAACGCATGCGTCTAATGACAGGATAGCAGTTCGGTTGTCGTTCGAATTATCTTAAAAGCTACTTGGCATATATATATATGAAAAAAGCGAAAGTATAAAGATCAGCTAAGGAATGAGATGAATATATATTTCATTCTTTATTTTTGAATTTTTAAAATAAAGGCCAAGATAGAAGCGTAAACTATTGGTTGAAGGACGGGAAATGATAGCCATTCGAAAACATACCGTGACACCGTGACACTTGGCATACGTAGCACCTATAAATACCTATCTAGTGGAAATGACATCAAATTTCCGGGGTAACTACTGTGCTCTATGTACATCTATAACCTAGAGTAGAGGAGTAATCATTCTATGAACTTGATTTGGATATTATAGTATATATAATTTATAAGAATATATATCTAATAGAGAGTTATAATTATATAATTAAGTTTTACTTATACTTATAGACATTATAATATAAGATATTATCAAATAATTATTATATAAGATCTTTATAATATAATTATAATTATAAAAATAAAATACTTTATATAAAGTATTATTATCTAGTCTTATAATAATTATAAATACTTATTAAGACGAAATTATATAATTATCTGTTTATTTACTCATCAATCAGCTTATTAAATCCCGATCCCGATCTCAATCCCGTTTCCACTCCCCCTCCCACTCCCGCTCCCAAATCCAAATCCAAATCCAAACCACCCCAACCACAAATACATTCTCCCCTCTCCACTCCTCTCCTCTCCCCTCTCTCTAATCAAGCCAGAAGTATTCCAAACTCCATAAATTACCCCATACTCCATAACCTATAACCATTACCCTAATCTCTTTCCCGAATACTTGAATCTTAATAATATAAGCTTACTCCAAAAAAAATCTATTTAATCATTCAATCATCCAATTAAGATCTTACAAAAACTTGATTTATTTTGTCTAATAGATATAAATGTAACTAAATCCTACCAACTAAAATTACTATACCACCACCAGATATAACAAAGTATAATACCTACCTACCTATCTACCTACCTACCCACCTACATATATATATATACATATACCACACTACAACTAGCTTACTTAAACAATAACTAGATATCTTAAATAACTATATAACCTAATAGTTACAGTAAACTAAAGAATCAAATACAGTAGTACTTTTATATCCTCCGCCTCTCCATTCCCTATTATCCATTCCCAATTCCCCATTCCCCATTCTCCACTCTCCAAATTCATCTTTCTCTTCCTCTTTCTATCTCTCGCGATCTTTCCCCTATTCTCCTCCCTCATGAATAGACGAATATAAAATCCCACTTTTCAAATTTACACACATAACATAAGGTTTCTATCCCATAATGGGCGCCAATAGCCTGCCTATTGTAGATAACTAGGGAAATTAATGTTATCACTCTCATCTCAAATCACAGCATAGAAACCTTGAGCTAAGCCTAGTCAAGCTAGTCATATCAACTCGGATCAAGTCAAGCATACATATTCTCATCCTCGATATTCGGTTGATTGTATTTATTTCCCCTCAATACATAATAAAACTCGCCATACACAACACAAGAAAAGGTAAAAAAAAATTCCTTCATCCATCCATCCATCCATCCCATCAATTTGCGCTTCACCTCCTCTCCATGCTTTTTTTGGGAAGAGAAAATAAATGAGCAAATACATCCCAAAAGACAAAAAAGTTTCGCGTAACCGCTGTCTGTCCGCTATCATAGTGTACTAATACTACTCCCCTAAATTCATCGAAAAAGAATTGAAAGAACTCCTTCGCCTGAAAAGGTATCATTGATTTAAAACCCAAAACGGACGATGAACGATGACGACGCAAAAAAAAAGGAAGGAATTAAGAAAATTTATGAATGACTGGATGGATGAACGGATGAAGGAAGGCATGAACAAATGAGATAGATTTAATAGTTGTCCTGGCAGCCGTTAAACATTCTTTGCCGTAAATGAGGGAAAACCAAATGTGATTTTTTTGGTCGAGTTGGGCGAAAGTAAAATTCAGGGAGAGGCATGAATTCGTAAAGATTATTTAAGATTGTAACTGGATTCATTGAATTGATTGTGATTGAGGAATTATGTCTGTTGACTTGGTTCGCTTGGTCTCTGACTCGTTCGACTTGAAGCACGATGTGTCTGTCGATAAGATCCTGATGCTACACTCATGGTTTGGCGGCCCTTTGGAATTTCATGATGGAGATGACCGACATCATGTTTTCCTATTACACAAGTTAGATAAAATTTTAGAACTAGAACTACACCTGAGACTAACCATCGCAGCATGCTCGCACATTCTCTAGTCTATCGGATTCTCGGTCTTGTCTTTCGATTTGCTCTCTCAAATCCTCAGCACTATCTTGAACCTCACTTGCTTCATAAATGCTTTTAGCGCCATTGACACTTCGGCTTCGTCGAACAGAGAAAGATCTATTTCCGTCGCCAGGCAACAGGTAACTGCTAAGTCGAGAGAAAGTGGCCGAACCTAACGATGGCCTTGACGGCCTTGAACTTAAACGGGGATGCATTGTAGAGTATCTTCTATCCTTGCTTATCGGTGAGTCGTTACGAGTGGTTCGGCTATTGTATGATGAAAGAGATGGCGGCGCTCGTCTGCTACCAAGATGTGCGTGACCATATCCTGGATTGAACTCATTAACATCCTCGCTTGTTAACGCACCCGAAACTTCAACTGTATCGGTAACAGCATCTTCTCCTGTACGCAGAAGTAAGTATGACAAAGCATTGAACCAAGTTTCATGACGTTGTCCTGTGCTAGCAGTAAATTGAACAGTTCGACCAGGTGTCAAGATAACCAAGCTCTTGCGATGTAATCCAGGTGGCATGGGATTATCATCAGTTACAACTCGAACAGCCTCGATAGCGACACTCTTTGCCTTTAGCTCCGAACGGCCTGCAGTTGAAGGATCTCTGTCACTCCAATACAATGTTCTCGTATACGGGTGAACCCAAAAATAACGTCGATGACGATTTTCTGACATTCCACCACGGCCGGCTTTGCGAGTGTATTTCCAGAGATATTCACCAATCATAGTTTGAGTGATAGCATTAATCATCCTTGGATCAGTGTTTGGCTCTACACCTTCTGGCATTGGAACTCCAGCGCGCAGATTGAAGCGAGTATCAACCTCAGATGCGAATGAAGATACTGATGAGTGTCTTGACCGTCCAGTGCCACTCGGGGAGTTTACGTCACGCTCAGTAGAAGGATTTCTGTATTTTGAAGTTGAGATTACCTTCGAAGACCCATGAGTCTGAGAACTTGGGGTTTTAGGTCGATTTTTGTTGGTAGATGGTATTGGTGGAGGACCCATAGTGCCTGTACCAGCGCTAGTAGATGAACCCGTACGTTGTGGCTGTGGCAGTGGCTGCTGTTGGTCCTCGGCGAGGGTAGTAAGATGTCTGTGATCTCCGGATCCACTTGCAGAACCTGTGCGCTGAGCTGCAGCAGCAATGACTTGCTTATGATCTGATGGTAGAGGTGGATGAATGCTTGAGATGGATGCATTCCTACCACTCCCAGAACTTGTGGGTCTCCTCCCAGTCACAACATCCACGGGAGATTCAATGTCAAGACCCTTTGACTTTGGACGACCAATACTACCGATACTTTCTTGTGACCTTCGGGTCTTAAGAGCCGGGGTGATATTGGTCGAATATGGTGAGGAAGGAAGAACAGATTTAGGTCCGTCCTGAGTGGTGATGGCTTCTTGTCTCTTGCTTTTGTTGAGCATATCATCAATTTGTTCTGCAGTCAAAGCGGTTTGGGAACTTTCGTCTGCCATCTCGACACGCGGCTTCTTAGGAGATCGTTCAGTAGTGTTACCTGATATTACCTTAAATGGTCGTTGAGACTCTGGTGTCTCTACCACTGGTGATCGACTTTGTGATTGACTCGTTTCATCTTCAGCAATAATTGGCGTATTTGTCTGCTTTCTATTCCAGCCACCAAAGACGGAGCTAATAAAGCCAGCCTTTGGTGTATGAGGCTCTTCTTTTGACTTAGGCACCTCTGGTTTCACTTCGTCCTGGGATATACTCTCCGCAACTGGGGATTTGGCCTCTAATTCATCCTCGTTCACAGATTTATTTGCCGGAGCTGGGAACCTAGAGAGCAAAACACCATCTCGTTTTGGACTTCTCGGGGTAGAAGGCGCAATAGGTTCTGTATCCACCGATTTGATGGCAGAGAAGCCTAAACCTGGAGACACAGAAAAGTAATCAGGTCTTGATGAGTGCTGTGGAGTGGACGGTAGGATAGCTGGTAAAACAGATGGTTCTGGGCGGACTTCCTCAACAATTGGCTCAACGTGTTCAGAACGAATGGTAGACATCGTTAATGGTTCAATTGGGGCTGGATCGGCATCAACTTGCTCGATTTGCTCTGAATTAATAGAAGATAATGTCAGTGGAGCAGCTGGTGTTGGCTCAACCTCTGAGACTGGTTCGGCCTCGATGTGTTCAGATCGAATTGTGGACATTGTCAATGGAACATCTGGAGCTGCTCCTTCCACCACCGCCAGTCTTGTCATCGGTGTATCAGTCTGAGAGACCGGAGGCGATGGAAATTTGTCTAATTTCTCATCAATGAGTTCACTGTCATATTGTGAACTCATGTCACTGTATGTTGTAGATACTGGTCGCGTCAAATCATGCTGCGGTTGAACCTTTAATAAACCCTCCATTTGCTGCTTCATTTGCTCTTCGTGCCATTGACTAGCAGCTTCAGACATCGGAGGTCTACCTGAATATTGTGAGGAAACGGAGCCAGCTTCTTGTGTTGAAACAGACCTAGTTGCCTCAGCTTCCGGTGCAATGTCAAATGCCTGGGGCTCGCTATGTGAAAGTGAAACAATTGGTTGTCTTTCTTCCATGAGAGACCCACTGTTTGTAGCATTGACTGCGGATTGAGGAGCTTGTGGTTGGGCTTCAGGTTCAGGCACTGGTGACACAGCTCGATCATGTTCTGCTTTGAAGCCTAAGGCAGCGGCAACACCACTAGCAGCACCAAGTGTAGCACCAGCCAGGCCTGATAATAATGGCACAGTTGTCGTTTGTGCAGGAGGCTCCGGCTCCCAAGGGTCGGTCATCATAGCAGAATCAATCATTGGTATTCTTGGCAACGATGGCATGACTGAAGCAGGAACATTCCTGGCGGTACTTGGTCTTGATGACTGTGGAGTATTGCCTCTTGATGCATAGCGACTAGGAGGACCCGAAGCGACCGATTCATCATCACTCCCCAATTCGCCCAATTCTGCAAACAAGCTTTGTCTGGCTGGTTGAGGAGTATGCTTGCTACCATCGGCAAGTTCAATTGGACTGTCTGCTTCAGCATCCTCATTAGCAACACGTGGACGTCGGTTGCCATTACGACTGACTTTGAGTCGTAGTCGTTGTGGATGAATACCGGCTGTTTTCGCATCTTCATACGTATACTCATCATCGGATGTTGAAGCAGTGCTCAGGAAAGAATCACGATTGCCAGCCTTCGACAAAGCCATGGATTGCCGGGAAGCCTTTGCGCGAATAGTACCGGCTTTCTCTGTTTCCGTGTCCGTATCATCCGAGCCAGCCATATCTTCCACACCAGTCTGGAAATCTTCCGTCTCCGTAGAACGCTCATTTGCCGTCTCGAATGCATCACTTTGTTCAGTGGAACTGCCGAAAACGCTATGCGGAGACTGAGCAACGCCAGCTGCTATCGAAGCTGCGAGAGCAGCACCAGAAGCGACGCCTATAGAACGGGAACCACGACTGGGGCTCGGTTGTTCATGATCATCCTCCCAGTTAATGTCCTCAAAGTGATCTTCTTGATCCTCCTCAATCAAGACTTCACTCCTGCTGTTCCTAATACCACCAAGTTGACCCACCTTGAAAGGTTTTTTGGCCTGAATAGGAGCGGTCTTTCGGGCTCTCCTCGGTCCAGGTGAGTCTACTTGTGGTTCACCACGGCGTGCAACCTCAATCTCATCTCTAGCCTCCTGCAGCATGCGCTTTAGCTCCAACTTTTCGGTCTTCTCGCGGTGAATATTGCCCTTCAGGTTTTGGATCATTCTGTGGGCGTGATGAAGGGAGCTCTTCAAAGTTTCCGATTCTAGCATGCTATGTCTAGGGGTCATTTTAACTGGTGATGGAGGTGGAGAGTGTTCAGGGGTGTTGTTGTCAGTTGTTGACTGAGGCTCTTCCTCGCCACTACCCTGGGATGCTTCACGCTCTTCGATTCGTGCTCGGTGGTGGGCAACTGCTTGCGCAAGCTCTTGATTTTGGCCCATCAACTCTTCAACCTTCTTCTGAAGCGCCATCTTTTCGGTTTCCAAGATCGTCATGCTTCGCTTAGCCGTTCCTAAGTCCACATCGAGATGCTTTACTTCGGATGTGTGTTGATCTTGGAGCTTGGCATGGTTCAACTTAATCTCATCCAATTCCTTTTGCGTAGCACCTTTTTCGGCTTGTAAAAGACTTAGATTCTGCATCAACCTCTTTTCACGTTCCGACGCCTCTTTTTGCGCGGCCAAATGTTCATGGATTTGAGTTTCTAGGTTCCAATTCTCGTCCTTATACCTATTTTCGCTTTCATCAAGACTCCTCAATCGCTGAGTAAAACCTTCAGCCTCTATTTCCAACCTCGATTTTTCGAGCGCAACAGTCTTGAGTGTTTCCTCCTTCTCCGCCAAGAGTGCTTGTAGATGCCGTACTTGTGCTAACAATGAAGTACTAATTTCCGTCGCAAATTCGATATCATGTACCCTATTTGCAGGTTGATTTCGCTGCTTTCTGTTGGGGACGTTAAATTTGGATGGGGAAGCGATAGCGGTAGTTTGACTTTCGAATTTGGATGGGCTTGCGGAACGCTACACTGTGTTAGTGATGGTAAATTTGATGTAACTATCAATCTGTACCTTATCAGTAAAAGGTGACGCCCCCATCTCGCTGCTAGGCACTCTCGACTTTGGCAGGAAAGCTCTCGCTGTCTCCCTCCCAACTTCATTGTATTCCTTCTCAATATCAACCAATTTCTGTCGCAATTCTGGCGTTATATCTCCTTCACTCTGTTGTTTCTCAACTTCCTTCAGTCGCTCGCCTAAATCCTTCCTCTGTTGTAGAAGGGTTGTACCGAGGTTTGAAGCCTCCTGAATTCTTCGTTCCGTCTCCGCCAGATGTGCTTCTAGTGCCCGTTTGGCTTGTTCTGGGGATGTTGAGGGGCCGAGCGCAAACAGCTGTTTATCGAAATGAGAGAATCGGTGGCCGCTCAAAACAGATGGAGGGGACAAGAATGGGTCATTGCTGCTGCTACTGTCTCCATTGTCGGACAAGATTGACGGGTGATCCATGGCCAAAGATGTTGACATTGTGGTGACCGCAATTTAATGTGTAAGAAAGGATAGGATAATTTTGAATTAAAGACAACTCTTGTAGATTGAGAAACCCTCTGCGCCCCGGTAGGACTTGGGGCTCCTCGAAAAGTACCGAACTAATTCGTATTCGTAGATCGGAGTAAACAAATGCGGTGTCCAGATTAATGTGTCCGACGAGAATAAAATGAGGTGTTACTACAGGTAGGAGAGTTGTAGTTGTAGTTGTAGTTGTATAAGGTGTATGTTGTATGTTGTATGTTGTATGTTGAACCAAGTTTAGTCTGATCTTAGATGATCGGGGAACTTCAAGCAGATCTTGGGGTAGCCAGGGGGAAGAAGAGGTTCGCGTGTTGATCTATCGGTGCCGTACGGATTTGAACCGCCTGGGTACAGGATGTCGGGGTTTTATTTTGTTTATCTTGGACGCGACCCAAATAGTAAATATGCAATAATTTTCGATCTTTTACTGGTGCCTTTGAATTAATGGTACTGTAACAGTAACGGTTCCAAGGAAATAGATAGCTAAAAGGATCAGTGAAAGCGGTTTAAAAGTATCCTGGGTGGAAAAGAAACGAAAAGAAGGGGAAGACGAGATAAGGAGAAAAATGAGTGGACTGTGTTGATGAACACGAAAGATCACAACAGAGAGAGAGGGATGAGATAATAAGCTCGCTCGAATGTGGTGGTACAAGAGGAGGGAGAGGGAGAGGGCGGGAGAGTGAGGGTGAGGGTGAGGGTGAGAGTTGAGGGTGAGGGTGAGGGTGAGGAAGAGGAGGGATCGCAGTTCTCAATTCGTAGTTCGCAAGTTCAAGTTCTCGCTTCACTCTATTCAAGAGTCAAAACTCACGAGAGTCAAGGATCAAGAGTAAAGTGAAGTCAACCAAGTCTTAAGTGAATTTAGGTAGCCAGAAGAACAATTCTAGCGTTGTTTTATATTTATGCAATTGTTTATCTTTTCTATCTTATGATTATCTAGGTATCTAGGTATCTAGGTATCTAGGTATCTATCTAGTACCCAGATGTGCTTATTTTATCCAAGTTGTTGATCCATTCATTCATTTATCTACCTACCTATCTAGCTAAAGTATAATCACTCATCAGCTCATTCCACCAATTATTTATAGGGATTGTCAATTGATTGTTGTCAACAGCCTCATGAACCAGGTGGATGATGGAGTTTTTCTACCTAATCAAAAGAATCCATTCGTTTTATATGTGTTTTCATTTATGCTGATTCATAATAAATGACAACAACAAAACTCAGGAACAACAAATCAACAAATCAACAAGTCATTAAATCATCAAATCACTTTGAAGCTAATTGATTGGTTGAAAAAGACCTGCAACGCGTATAAGATCAAAATAGCAACGACGAAAGGGAAAAGTTTAAAACCTAATCGCTGTCAAAGACTTAGTTAGCATTTAGTATTTATCTCAAGGAGGGGAAATATAAAACTACGGTCTAAATAGGTAATCGGAAGAAGCTTGCATTTGGGTTTGCATAATAAACAAATATGACGATGGATACTATAATTATCAATTATCATGATATTCCGATATCCCTCGACTCAAATACTTGGGATGAACGAAGTACGGACTCCGTACAGTAGGTAAATGATTCCCAATGTGCATGCTATCTCCTTGTATCACTCAAAGAATGGCTACCGAATCATAACTGACTAGGTATATCCTAGTTACGGCCCGACACTTCACTTCTACCAAACTTCAAGGGTGGCTGGCACTGAAGAAATTCCCACCATATGGGAAATTCTTACAAATCATGCCTGAGGTCTTTCTGCAGATAAGGCTGATTACTTAATATTTGAGCTTGATAAGCTCCAGCTTCTTCCTCAGCCTTTGGTAAATAAAAATCTCCTGGATACAACTTCAACATCAACAATCAATTCGTCACCATCACGATTCAGAAAACATACAATGGATACTTCTGACTCTGTTCCACTTCCTTCAGATGCCATACAACCAGTAGCTATATTTAAAAAGAGATCTGCAAAGGGAAAATCCAATTTTCGCAAAAGAGCTGCAACGCCACCACCTGTAGACAGCGATGATGATACATCAGGATATTCTTCATCGGAAGATGAAAGTGGCCATCGAATCAAACGAAGAAAGAAGAACACAGGCGCAATAACAGCATCATCGACGATTAATAATAACTCATCCAACGCAAATGATCTTTCTGCAACAAAATATACCGCATCTCATAACACCACCATCCGAGCTTCTGACGACGCTACCAGAGCGAGCAATTGGTACGATGAGAATGCGTCAGATGCTCTTTCCAGCAAAAATCTCTTAGGCACCACACGTTCCAAACCTACAAGTGGAGATGCGCCCGATGGCACTTATAAGGGATTGGCGAATAGTACCAAATTTATACAGAAGAATCCCGACGCTCCAAATCGCGTCGTAGGACCTATCAAAGCACCAACAAATATTCGCACAATCACTGTAACTGATTTTGCGCCCGATGTTTGCAAGGATTACAAAACCACGGGATTTTGCGGATTCGGAGATAATTGCAAATATCTACATGCGCGTGAAGATTATAAGGCAGGTTGGCAACTCGATAAAGAATGGGAAAATGTTACGAAAGGAAAGAAAACGTTAGGAGGGACGAAAATTGCTAGTGCGGATCGCAAAGGAGAAGAGGAGGATGATGATGATGATGCGCTGTTGGAGAATATACCATTTGCGTGTATATTGTGTAGGGAGAAATACAAGGATCCGATTATTACGAAGTGTGGACATTATTTCTGTGAAAGTTGTGCATTAAAGAGATATAGGAAGGATCCGAGTTGTGCGGCTTGTGGGGCAGGAACAAATGGTGTTTTTAATGTGGCAAAGGGGTTGAAGAAGATATTGGAAAAGAAGAGGGAGAGAGCGAGGAAGATTAGGGAAGAAGCTATTGCGAATGGGGAGGAGGTTAGTTCGGAAGAGGAAGAAGAGTCATGATACCATATATCATTTTATCGTTAAGCGGACAGGTTATGGTTAATAAAAACCAAATTAGAGATAACGAATGAGCACGATACGCCTTGTATGATGATAGAACTTACCATAGAATCACAAGGACACGTATAAAAGTCTCAGAAGTATCTCCAAATTTCCAAATTCAGTGATGGCAGAAGTGCAAATGAGATAATGCACATCCACTAGCAAGACTAGACTTAAGAATTCAAAATTCAAAATCTAATTCATCTCCACCAAAAACAGCTCTCTCTTTCTATCTCTAATTACCCCACCTCCCCTTCTTCTTCTCCTCCTCCTCCCTTCCTTCCCCTTCCCCTTCTTCTCTCCAAAATCCACATCACTTCACATCTCTCTCCCCCCGCCCTATCTTCCCTTCCCACCCCCAGGTAAACCCGTCATTGGACAAGGCAACGCCATCGTCCTCCACATCGTAGCACACGCACCATTACCATCACCATTACCATTACCATCACAATTCATTTTACAACTCGTAACTGTTCCTATCGAACCGCCACAACCGCATTTTATGGTTACGGTGGAGAGGTAGGTACACTATTTTTTGGGTGAAGTGGAGGGAGGTGGTTAGATTTGATTTTTTTTGTGGTTTTGGTTTGGTTTGAGTTTTATAAGAGAAGAGAAATTGGGGAGGGAGGGAAGGGGGAGAGTGGTGTCGGGGGAGATGGAGAGGGGATGGGGTATGGAAAGGGTTTTAGCGGTTTTGTTTGTGTTGAGGTGGGGTGGTTTGTTAATGAGGGGGAAGGGAAGGGAAGAGAAAATGGGTTATGGGAAATAAGAAAGTTAGGAAATTTGAAAGATGGAAATAACGGAAAACGGAGAGATGAGATAAATTGAGCTGAAACAATGAATAAAAAGAACAAAAAAAAAAAAGAAAAACTCACATCAAAACTCGTACTTTCACAAGGACCCCCTATGATCAACGGACACGATTTCCCCGTCGTAACTGTAATACTATCACAACTTGGCGTCGATATCGATGTAATGGTTGTCGGGACCGTAATAACAGTCGTAGGTGTATGTACCGGGCATGGAAATATGCAATTTGTTGGGTAGGGGGGATAATAGGGACAAGAACATGTTACGAGGTTGTTTGATGTTGTGGGATTTGTGGTGCTTGTGGTTGTTGGATTTGAAGTTGTGGTGGTGCTGGGTGTGTGTTCCGGACATGGGAATATGCAATTTGTTGGATAAGGGGGATAATAGGGACAGGAACATGTTACGAGGTTGTTTGATGTTGTGGTACTGGTGCTGGTGGTGGGAGTGGTGTAGGTGTAGGTGTCGATAGGAGTGGAACAAGAAGTTTCACGATAGATTTGGTGGCCAATAAAGCAGGTTTGAGAACAAGCGGAGGGGCATGGGGTGTAGACAGTAGTAGTGGGAACGGAATAGGGACAGGTGCAGGGGACTGATATGAACGCGTCGGAAATGCAGAAGTTTTGAGAGCACGAGGTGGGGTTTGTCTGGAGATGGGTTTTGTGAGTAGGAGAGTTTTAAGGAGAAGGGTTATGAACATTTATTTGGATGAATTGAGTGGTAGGAGATGAACGTACTGGTGGGCAGGAGGTATGGGAAGTGGAGATAGTGACGGTCGGGCAAGGTGAAGAGGGAGAGACGACTGTAGGAATTGTGGGGGTGAAGGTGCATGGGTTGACTGTGATAGTTTTTGTAGGTTTTGATGCTTGACTTATATGAGGAATACTATAATGGGAGACCAATTAATGGTTGAATATGGAGAATGGTAAGAGAGCGAAAAGATAAAGGTAGAGACGATAAGAAAGGAAACCTACGAAAATAAAAGTAAAAAGACCAAGGTATTTGATAAATGTGGTCTCGCCATAGTAACTCGGATTTCATAGATAAAGATTCTTATAAACCAGTATCTCCTCAGTTATGCAAAAACAAAAACCTCTTAACGAGAATATCTCATAACTTTATAAGAGTCCCTTTACCCCTCATCCCGTAGCCCCGTATACCTCCTTTCACATGAACAGTATTGCGGGGTAAATGATACCCCAACTGATCTTCAGGCAGAAAGTGTGCAGCGTTACAATTTCCTGTGGGGATACGAGGTAAAATATGTCTTGGCTACTTGCCAAATGAAGGGACCTCGTTAAGGTATGACAAGTAGCAGCCTCAAAATCCAAATTTGTACTTTTGCTGCAAGGGGATTTGACTTGCTGACAGGATTGTTTGACGAGAAGCTTTCTGAGCCATTTGATGTTCATGCGATGTGGGAAAGAACATATTGTTTGCGTGTTGAAGACCCAAATGGGATATATAGATACAAGATATTCCCGTTTATACTATGTGAAGTGAGATCTTGGCTTAGATTCGTATTTATCACGCCACGTCAGAGCATGTGAATCAAATATTGCCTCAAACATAATGTTAATGTCGATTATATGCTATACTAAAACATGTATATCCATATCTCGTGTAGGCTCCAACTGGAATATTTTGTGTAAATCACTTATCAAGCTCAAGCCGAAACTTTTCGGCAGGTTCAGGCTGAGAAGATGAGTGCTATATGGACATCAACTCTATCGACAAGTGTAGTTCTCGGCCAGCCCAGCATCATATTTACAAGCCAGCATGGCGGGCCGGTTTCAACAGGAGTATACTGAAGTCCTTGCGTCGGGGTTATCCGCGCCGGCTTCGGTTATGCCAAAGACATCTTGAGGACGTGAAACCTATTTCCGGTCCAATGTTTTGCTGGTAGAGACATGAATCAACTAACTATATGAGCGAAGTAAAGGATCTGCCGATGTTAGAAATCCCGTAGAGCAATGGCAAAGGGATTACGTGCCCAAAAAGTGATAGTGGCTTTTAGCATGAGTTCCACCAGCAACGGAAAGTTTCCATGAGCTCATTGCCAACATCAACATGAACACTGATATGTCGAAATTAGACATAGAGAGACATCTTTATGTATAGTAGGTGTGGCCTTGGTCATTAAAGACATAGTATAAAAACTGATTGGTAGTCCTATTATAGGTTCTACTACTTGTTCTTGTGATTTGATCTCTGAAGCTGAAGTTGCTTCCACATCCAAGACTTGATTGAAAAGAGGATGTATGTGTGTGTTCTAGTTTGGAAATGTTAGATAGTCACTGCTATATCGACTTAGGATGGTGAGAAACATTTTTTTCCCGGATACCTCATTCCAGATTTCATGAGAACTCCTGGGAGAAGAGGGTATTGAGTTTGATAGAACGATGAGGAGTTTTGAAGTTAGCAGTGCACAACGAACTGTCTAAAGACTACTGCAGTATGTATAGGCATATTAGTATGAACACTTTTTAAAATATAAACGTGGATGTAAACGTCTTTCTTGATTCTAAGTGCTCACTCATTATTGCAATTATTGTAAGTTATTACAAGCTCATCATGAGTATAGTAATGTTGTGTGTACTAGGTGGTCATGGTCATTTTCCAACATGCAACCACCCATCCTGATAAGGCTGGAGAAAGCTCGGACCATGTCGGCATTGAGTGACTAGCTGTAACTTGTTAGTGGCCGATTCGCACGTGGCTCGGGAATGGAAAATCCGATTAAATTATTATTCACGTGCTGCCCGATCGTCTTTCCCCCTTTCTAAATCACTTGGAGACGAGATAATAATTTCAATGCCATCATATCGTATGGGTGCTTGATCTGAGCTTTGAATTTGGATATTGACTCAAATGATGATTTTTCATTTCATTTAAATTTATTCGGTAGGTTTCGACATGTCAACTCTATACTATTTCCACATTCTAATCATCACCCATGAAGTTTATTGCATTTGCTATTACTGCATCCCATCACCGCCATTTCAAGTCCAAAGGATATCATCGATTACCAAGGGGCTAGATCCCTAAAGGTCAAAATCATAAATACTCCACTGGTCTCCCGACGGCCACTGTCATGGAGGCAGACTTATTGAAAATGACGGATATGGCAACTTGCATGAGTCTTTTGGAAGGCTTTCGAATTTAACCTTGTGAATCAACGGAATATTTGAGGCAATCTCGGCAATTGTAATATGTGGAACAAAGATGAATGTTTCTAGAAATGAATTGGTAGTTCCTGGTGTTTTCAAGGTTATTGGTTTAATGGATCTCACCGTTCTTCTGGTGTTCCTAATTTGTTATGCATCAGACCTCACATCTGCCAATAGATTGATTACCTTGTGCTAACATCGATTTTCGGGAGAATATAAGACAAAAATATGTAAGATTTCAAGGTAAAAAACATCACAGAGAACCTTCGAAATCAATGCTCTTTCATTGCATAATTCAGGCTAATAAACATTTGCGTTGATGAGCTGATCCACTTCAATTCCTTCATACTACATACATACAAACCTGAATTGCTAGAGAATAAATTACTAATACTGTTGATGTACGAGTACGCAATTAATAGATGGCCCTAGACATTAAAATTGGTTTATTAAGAGCTCGAGTTAATTCTCATGAGTAGAGTAGAGTAGTCTTGAATCTTTTTTTCATCCATAAGATTCCTTTTCATACATCATGCATCCAAATGCCACCCACACTATCCATATTATACCAATGAAACCATACAGTGTCGTGGATCAGATCCCACCCCCATTAATCAATAATGCAACAGGCGCTTAAGGCTCAAGGAGGGGTCTTGAATCTTTTTATCTTCCCCTCTTTGTAGGCCAAAGCCCTCTGATAAGGGTGCGGAGAAGCAAACACAAATCCACAATTTCAGTCTGCGTTGGGTGTGTTTGGGATAAACTCTTTCGTCCCTGTGTAACATGATACTGCCTTTCGATTCTGCAGCCTTCCCTATACATGATGTACTTCTTCTTTGGCTCACCTCCTTACATTCTCCCCTGAATGAACATGGCACAAAGTGATAATGTATATATTATTAGGGGTGAAACATGTAGATGTATAGATGTGTAAATGTATAGATGTGTGTATATATATATATATATATATATACATATTTATCTATACACACATATAAAGTAAAAGTGAAGACTGACTTCAACTAGTGAATTGCTTATAATTAAAGCTTGGAATGAGCAAGCAAGTGGTAGCCGGAGCCTTTCCTTAGAAGGAACTTTTTCATTCGCTTGCTTTTTTCAGCTAGGCGAATTTAGGTGAACCACAAAATATATTGACACGACAAAACTTCCTGGAATTCTTGAAGTGCTCAAGTTTTTTTGCGGTTCCCGGAATCCAAGACAACTTATAACAATTTATTGAGGTACTTTCAATAGTTAGCAAAGATGGATGTTGGCGTCTTGCGAGGTCGTATTGCTTCGACACTTGATCCTGACGCAGATACTCGTCGGCGCGCTGAACTGGACCTGAAAGCAGTAAGCATTCCCATGCAAATTTTAATTTCAAAACATCTCTGACGACATTTTAATAGGCAGAAGAACACCCTGGGTTCACAGATGCTCTCCTTGATATATTACAAGCAGAACAAAATCCTGCAGTTCGGTTATCAAGTATGCAAACTTCTCCGGGATACCTATCTACCCCGCTGTTGGCAGCTACTAACGCTTCATTGCAGCGGTTGTCTACCTTAAAAATCGCGTTACGAGAGCATGGCTACCGAGCGAGACCCAACCCAAGCCGATGGCCGACGATGAGAAAGCTAGATTTCGAGACCGACTCCTACCTTTCATTGCTTCCTCCCCACCACAAATTCGTCAACAACTTGTACCAGTCCTTCAAAAGATTTTACATTACGATTTCCCAGACAGATGGCCTTCATTTGTAGAGATGACCGTTCAATTATTGAACACAAATGATGCCGCATCGATATTCGCAGGTTTACAATGTCTCCTCGCCATATGCCGAGTTTTCCGTTTCAAGTCAGGGGAGAATCGCGCAGATTTCGACGCAATTGTGGAAGCCACATTCCCCAGGCTTTTGACAATTGGACAGGGCTTGGTCAACGAGACGAGCGAAGAGGCTGGAGAAATGCTTCATATTGTTCTCAAGGCATACAAACATGCAACATTTGTATGTAGTGGTGCCTAGTTTCAAATATCTGTGGAAGTGCTGACAAGAATAGTTCGATTTATCTGTTTCCTTGCGCGAACATTCAGTGGTTGTCGGGTGGTGCACACTTTTCCTTCAAACCGTTGCCAAAGATGTTCCACCTACCGCTTTGCCAGAGGATGAAGCTGAGAGAGAAGCCAATCATTGGTGGAAGTCCAAGAAATGGTCATACTTCAATTTGAACAGGCTTTATGTCCGGTAAGTAGTTCGCAGGTAATTTGGAATCATTTCACTAACATATTTTTATTTTTTAGCTATGGCAACCCAACGTCTTTGTCGAAAGGCAACGGAGATGATTATGCCGCGTTCGCGAAAAGTTTCACGGCCAATTTCGCACCCGAGATTTTGAAAGGTTACCTCCAGCAGATCGAGAAATGGGTCGCAAAGACAACATGGCTCAGCAGACCCTGTCTTTCATATACTTTGGTGTTCCTCGATGAGTGTGTTCGACCGAAGCAAATGTGGGCTCACTTGAAACCACATCTTGACAGCCTTGTTACCCACTTCCTCTTCCCAGTTATGTGTCTATCTGCCGACGATGTTGAGAAATTCGAAACCGACCCAGAGGAATATTTACACCACAAGTTAAATTTCTACGAGGAAGTCTCAGCACCAGATAACGCCGCGACCAACTTTTTGATTACACTCACCAAAGTTCGCAGAAAGCATACTTTTACCATTCTTACATTTGTGAATTCGATTGTGAACGAATACGAAGCTGCGGAAGAGAGTCGGAAGAATCACATTGCAAAAGAAGGAGCTTTGAGAATGATAGGAACTTTATCCAGCGTCATTCTAGGAAAAAAGAGTCCAATTGCTGAACAAGTGGAATATTTCTTGGTCCGATATGTCTTCCCAGACTTCCGAAGCACTCAAGGGTTCTTAAGAGCTAGGGCTTGCGATACCGTTGAGAAATTCGAACAACTCGATTTCAAGGATACTCAAAATCTTCTTATTATATACCGAAACATTCTTGAATGTATGGCCGATCCAGATCTTCCAGTTCGCGTTGAAGCAGCGCTCGCGTTACAACCTTTAATCAGGCACGACATCATTCGTACAAGCATGCAATCAAACATCCCACAAATTATGCAACAGTTGTTGAAACTTGCCAACGAAGTTGATGTGGATGCATTGTCAAATGTTATGGAGGACTTTGTTGAGGTATTCGCAGCTGAATTAACTCCTTTTGCCGTAGCACTAAGCGAGCAGTTGCGGGATACATATTTACGAATTGTCAGAGAACTCTTGGAGAAGAACGAAAAGAGAGAAGATGATGAGTATGGCGACTATTTGGATGACAAGAGTATTACTGCACTTGGAGTTTTGCAGACAATCGGTACTTTGATTTTGACCTTAGAAAGCACTCCTGATGTCCTTCTGCACATGGAGTCCATTTTAATGCCAGTCATCAAGGTCACATTGGAGAACAAACTTTATGGTTCGAAATCCCCTTTATTTCTTTTTTTTTTTGAGACTTGCTGATACTAACAGTCGCAGATCTTTACAATGAAGTTTTCGAGATTATCGACAGCTGTACATTTGCTGCCAAATCCATCTCACCAACCATGTGGCAAGCATTTGAGCTCATTCACGCAACTTTCAAGGCTGGTGCCGAACTTTATCTCGAAGATATGCTTCCAGCTTTGGACAATTTTGTGCAGTATGGTAGCGTTCATCTCGTACAAACACCACAATACCTGGACGCCATTTTTGGAATGGTTGCAGATATGTTCGCTGATGAGAAGGTTGGCGGTGTCGATAAGATTTGCGCCTGCAAGTTGGCCGAAGGTATGATGCTCAGTTTAAGAGGTCACATCGATCCATACGTTTTGCAATTCGTCGATATGGCTATGCGAACTCTTACAAACACGGATGTCAAGGTCAAGTCATACAAAATTCATCTCATGGAAATGGTCATCAACGCAATCTATTACAACCCAGCTTTGACTTTACACATCCTAGAGCAAAAGCAATGGACCAACAAATTCTTCAGCTTGTGGTTTGCAAGCATTGATAGTTTCACAAGAGTACATGACAAGAAGCTCTCAATCGCTGCCATTGTTTCTCTACTTACTCTCAACGCCGATCAAGTCCCAGTCAGCGTTCAGCAAGGCTGGCCAAGATTACTGCAGGGTATTGTCAGATTATTCCAAACTCTTCCTACGGCCACAATGAACCGTGAGGAAGCATTGAAAGAAGATTTCCCAGTCGATGGCGAGGCATATGATGATGATGACGATGACGAGTGGGCAGGTGATGATAATGCCTGGGGAGAGGAAGCTGATGAGGGAGATGAGGAAAATGATATCAAGGATGAGAGCAGCGCCTATCTTGAGTTTTTGAGCGAAGAAGTGAGTAATAATGATTTTGTCTCCGATTTACACGTGCTAACCAATTTCTAGGCTTCAAAATTCAGCAATCTCGAAGACCATGACTCTGACGATGAGCTCGGTGAAGAGAGCCTTCTCGAAACCCCTCTTGACAAGGTGGAACCATACCAACTATTCAAGAGTGCACTGATCAGTATGTGTTTTTCAAAGCATGATTAAGACCATGTGCTAATATATATACAGAACTCCAACAAGAACAACCTCAACTTTATGAATCACTCACCACAAACCTTAACCCATCTGAGCAAGAAATAGTTCAAGGGGTTATACACCAAGCAGATGCTAATGCAGCTGCAGCAATTGCATTGGCTCAGGCAGAAGCACAGCTTGGAGCTGTGGCCAATGGAGGAGTTTGAAGAAAAAAAAGGAATAGATTCGTCATTAATGTCGAACATTTGGAGTGGATTAAATGGTTGCTCAAGCGCACGTGCATTTGGTTGGCGTTATAATATGGAGGTATGAAATTCTAGATGTGGATTTCTATCTTTGAAGTATTCAATGATTATTGAGCATACCCTGGGTCAAAAATAATCCGAGGGATGCAAGGAAATGAAGTTGGGATCCGAAGGTTCTGATTATGATGATGATGAGGAAATGAATCTTATCGATTGAATTATTATCGAACCGATCATGTATGAGATTGAGGATGAATGAGTAGGTATGATATGATATAGTAGATTACTTGACGAGAAGAGTTTAGCGGTTAGATGTACGTTGCAATACCACAATTCCAGAATATAAATTTGTCTTTAATGAGATTTAAAATATGATGTAGTTGATATATATAATAAGTGAAGAGTATCTTGATAGAAGCCTGTGGATATTTTATTATAATTTAATAACTTTAAAAGAGTATTTAATTTTTTTTAAATATTAATATAAATATAAAATATATTATTTATTAAATTATTTTTAAATATTAAAATTAATTAATTAATAAAGTTATATATATTTAATATTGATTTATATATATATATATATAATTTAAAAATCCTTACATAATAAATATAATTAATTATTGGTTTTTAAAATTAATAACTAGTCTCTATTAAAATATATACTTCAGTTGTTTAAATATTACTCACTCGTTCACCTATGTATTAATTATATCATCACATCAATTAACAAAATCTCATTTTAAATTTTTCATTTCTTTCCATTTGTATTCTTTCTATCATATAACTTAACTTATTTATCTTATGATCAAGTCCACCCATACCAACCCATTGCCATTCATCCCAATCCATTCCATTCCATCCCATTCCAACCCAGCCCCCAGCCGATCCATTTCACCCACTCGACCTCGTCCCTTTATCCTCAGTCAGACCCAGCATCTCAGTCTCAGTATTCATATCATTATCCACGCTCAACTTCTTCAACACTTCCATCCCCAATAGCTAGTGTGAGAACCAAATCTGAGGAGTTTGATCAATCAGTCAGTACCCACTCCATGAACCAAATATCCACCCAATAATCATCCTCGTCCTTTCACCTCCTTCCCCACTCCCTATTTCAACGTAATCACAAACGAGCCAGGTAGCTAAACTACTCCCTAACTCCAAACCCCATTCGCGTTTGCATACTTTGCCTTGACATCATTTATTAACACAAAAGGCAATTTTGAATCGAAAGCCAAAGGAGGAAAAAAGAGCAAGAGCCAGAGGCCAGAGAAGTAGAAAAAGAATGAAAAGTATAGTTAGTCAGAAAAAAGCAAAAGAAAAAACTCCCAATCGTAACACGTTGACTTTATTACATAAACTCCAAACCAAATCCATTGAACCCTATAATGGCACTCCAGTTATTCCATTATCTCTGGAGAGAACTAATCCCACACTCCACACCTTTGATATATTCCCAATTCCAAGCCCAGCCAACAAAGGTGTGTGATGTATATTGGTATTTTCACAATGAAATCCCCAATAACTTTATTCATCCTTATAATAAAATCAGGTAATTCGAAGGCGCTATTCCGGTGTCTCCATTTTCTTTCTTAGCTTGCCACCATCTCCCACTTACATCTGAGACTTCTAATATTTCATGTTTGGCGAAACTGATCTCATTCGCATCATCGGGGTTGGCATCGTAAGAGTATATGGCCTTCGCTCGGTATGGATATTCTGTAGGTTGTACGACTTCTCCTGGTGTAGATTCCGAGCCTATGCCTCCATTTGGTCCAAGGTTACTAGCTCCAAATCTTGGTTGTGATGAATTACGTTCTGCTCCTGCGGCACCTCCTGGAAATCCTGCTACTGGTGAAGATGTTTCGAAACCACCTAATTGAGCCGAGGTATACATTTGTGGTGGAACGTTTGAAGAGATTGAAGTATCCGGTCGACCGTTTCCATACCCATTCCCATACCCATTCCCATAAGCCGTAGACATTCCTCTTCCTGATGATACTCTATGGTCTTTGTGAAGTGCGAATGAATCCAGGTATGCTCGAGGTACAGCTGAAGGTGTTGATCCAAAGTAGAACATCCAGACAATCTAGATTCAATGTTAGTAAGGGGTCTGGACCTTCCGAGAATCAACCTTACAGCAACCATAGAAAGAAGTATATGCCCAGCTGCAGTTGCTTCTTTCACTCCATTCGAAGAATAAATCAATGAATTGACGGATGAACTTGTTAAGACGAGACCAGTAGCCAAGAATCCAACAATGGCAACATGGTAGGTTTGAGTTGTATCCGATGCTATCACAACGAATATACCTAGAATGCAACACAGCATATATGCAATAGTGAACCATGAATAATCTGGAAATCCATCACCAGGAGAGTGTGATGCAGTCGCTAGTATCGATCCAATGAAAGCAATAAACCACGCAAGCTATAAACCGTTCTTGTCAGTACCCATTGTTTCTTGTAGATTGAGGCGCATATATCCAGGTCTCCAAAAATACATACCATGGCGATAGATATGGTAGCCAGCGCGAATGGATCACCCAGAATATTATCCATACTCATTCCGCGCATCCCAGCTGTCCTCCGTCCTTTGTAATCCGATTGACCGTTCATTTTGTGTAGAGATGGCGAACTTAATGAACCGTATGGCATAAAAAGGGTTTAAAAGATCGAGAGGAGGTTGTTGTTGAAAGTAATTATTAATGTCGCGCAGGCTATTATCGTCGCAAATATGGGCCCTCGATTCAATTGAACGAATCGTATATCGAGGATGCAGAAAAAGGTAGAAAGAAAGTCAAATATCGAAGGTTTCGTAGAATAAGTTGGTGTTTTCGAAGTGATGTTTCAGCTTGTAGTAAGTTGAAAATAAGGAAGCAAGAAATGGTTTTCCGGATGAATCGACTCCAACGCAACGCAATTTGGAATTTGGAATTTGGAAAATGGTATTGAAAGCTAACCACAGCCCAGCAGCAGTCGCAAACCTATTTTTAAAATAGAGACCAATATCACGAGTATGAGTGATGATGTTCAAGGAGTGTATAATAAAGATTGAAGATTATGTGTAAAGATTGCGTGGTAGAAAGGGGGGATGGATGGATGATACGCGCAACGTTAACGGTAGAATGAATTGAAAAGGTAAAAGGTGTGCGTGTGTGTGCGTGTGTGTGTGTGTGTGTAGTGAGTGAGTGTATGTGGTGTGGTGTGGTGTGGTGTGTACCAGGGATGAGTAGATCGATGAAAGGTTATTAGGATGAGAAGTGAGCGAATGGGATTTAGTGTGTATGTGAACAATGTGCAAGTGATGAATGAATGAGTGGATGAATAGTGAAAATGAATGGATGTGGCTGCCAGGAGTGCAGCGAACGGGTAGGTAGGTAGGTAGGTGGGTAGGTAGGTGGGTAGGATTGGGGTTCAAGAGTGACTTGGTGAGTGGTGAAGGATGAGTGGTGAGACAGACGCAAAGCAATAGAAGTAGAGATAGAAAAGAGATTGGGATTGAGATTATGAGTATGTGATGTGTGTGTGTGTGTGTGTGTGTATGTGTGTGTATGTATGTGTACGGAGTATGTGTATTTTCTAGTATTGGGGTAGATGGATAATAAATTGTAGTAAGTTTAGGCTGGATGGGGTCAAATAATGTAAATTTATCAAGTGTCAAATGCCAAGTTCGTTCATCTACGAAAGGTACAGACTTTTTAGAACTTCCGTTCTCCGTTCTTAGATGAAGTAAAGTATCTCAGTAAAGCAAAAAGAGAAAAGGAAAGGAAAGGAAAGGAAAGAATCTAGATTGGATGAATGTCAAAATGAATAAAAATTTAATGAATTAATTTGGAGTATTAACCCTCAAATCAAAGCAGATTGACAGGATCATAGAGTAAAAAGCATTGTTTATTTTACCCGGTAGATAGAGTGAGTGAAATTTCACAGTATAGATGGGGAGTGAGGCTTGGAATTTATGCCATTTTTCAATGATTTTTTATTTATTTATTTATTTATTTATTTATTTATTTATTTATTACATCGAGTTATTCGTTACGCGATTGAGCAGCGGATAATAGAAGCGTCATTTCATCGATTTCAAATCCTTCAACTCCGACATGTTTTTCTGTGTCTCTTAACTGTTGCATGTTGCTCTCCCGTGTCCGTATTGATGATATGTATTCATTGGCGAATAATCAATCGATAAATCTATTGATGTCCAAAGTCCGCATGCGAATACCAAGCAAGCATCGTGTTATAAGATTTGATGCTGAGCGTCAATCGTATGGTATTGGTTGAATCTGATCGAACGACGGGGCCAACACGCACGCTTCTAGCATTTCTTTGGCATTAGTGCCCCCCCGTACTTTAGGTGTCCCAGACTCCCAGACTCTCCGTCCCGGTGCTTTCTCGATTTCAGGTCCTTACTCTGTTTCAACTTTTTTATGTTGTTTGATTGGTTCGATGGTTTTAGTCAGGTACTCGTGTATATTTTATTTTATTTTATTTTATTTTATTTTATTTTAATTTATTTTATTTGTTCATTTTGTTCTGCATGTACTTGATTGAGAGATGGATGTAGCATTACCAATATACAATCCCTCTACAATCCCTCTACAATCCCTCTACAATCCCTCTTCCGAAACCCCATCCTAAAGAACCAAAAACACGAACCTCAAATCTTTCCTTCTCAAGCTTTCCCATAAAAGAAAGTCGAAAAGATTCAGAAGGGTTTGAGATATTCCCCACTGATCACTTTCTTCAAATAAATTAACTCGACGTACAGTTCTGGACTTTTATTACTCGAGGATCGGATCGGATTGATCATCCACCCAGCCACTCATCCATCACTCACCCATCCACCCATCCACCCATCCACCCATCCACCCATCCATCCATCATCCACGTTTCAACTTTCAGGGACAACCTACCTACCTAGTAATACTCCGTATTTAAATTTATATTTAAATTTAAATTTAAATTTAAATTTTATCCTTCCCTCCTTCCCTCTTTTCCTCTTCTTCTCAATTCGCTCTCTCGATAATATAATCGTCACAAACAAAAACTCCCTCCTGGATTCTCCACTGAAATTTCACCACTACGCAGTACATACAGTAGGGCGAAGTGTGAAGTGTGAAGTGTGATTCCTGACAGACCCCAGCTCAGCGCTGCTGCACCCACGGACCTTGAGCTCGTCCTGGTTCCTGAGTATGTACTCCGTCCTCCGTATGTGTGCAGTGTGCTGTGTGCTGTGTGCTGTGTGCTGTGTGCATGCTAAAGATACTGGTGTGTCCGTATCAAATGTGCACAAAAATGAATCTAAATCCAAGGGAAAAAGATGTGACTTTCCGGTTCCGAGTCTATAGATACATACCTACTGGGTAGGTAGGTAGTTCATTTTTCACTAAACGAGCCATCTCACACTCAGAGCAAAATATAAACTTCAATTTCGTGAATAAATATTTTTTTATCTTCGATTTGCTGCAAAGGCGTTTACTAGCGTGTGCGTATGCATGTGCATGCGCCTAACATTACGTCAAAAGGAAGATTCTGCGAGAACTTTCAAAGCCTTGTAGGTGACAATGACAATGTTACACCGTCGAATCACCTTTTGCTTGCTTTTTTGCCTCAGAAAAGACCGTTGTTGAACATGGACCAGGGCATTATTTTGGAAGCTATCTTCATGTGTTCATCGGTATATGTTGTTGATCTAAAACTGGAGCTGTTAAGCCTTATTATCATCGATGAATCAAAGGCGAATGAGAAAGATCTTTTGCCACAATTGGACGCCTCCCCCACGTTTCTGATGGCTCGTGCTGCATCCGCCCATGTCCAGGGTAAAGATGTGGTCCTGTAAGATATCAAATCAATGGCTGGGGTGCATAGATTTCTCATACGGATTCGTTGGCGCTATACAATGTCAAAAGGGATAATTTCACGGTTTGCGATAGCACCAACATCAGAGACTCAGATGAGAAAGTGTTGTCTGGGTATTGGAACACGTTGACCATCTAGGTAAACGTGTCAACGTGTGGTATACTTTCTATTAGGTAGCCACCGTATATTTTCAGTCTCTCAAGCGCCTGCAGCCTCGAAAGCATCAACTGCTTCCATCGGACAACGGCTGTTCATCCCTTCGCATCGGTGATACAGTAAACTCTACAGATGTAGTTGAGCCATACATGAGATAGCTAATATGTCATGGCTCAGACAATTGATATGTTTATAGCCAATGTCTGAGGCGCGGATCATACAACCTCCGGACTCTCGCATCCCCTCAACAGTAATATCATCGCTCTGTCGGAGGAGATAAGGAATTTTTCTCCGCAGTTACTCAAATGACGGTAGAATAGACTCATGTCCAGTGGCCATGTAGACATGTCGATGTTGCTTTGACCCAGGGACGTTTCTCATACATCCCACTTCACTATGACGTGTAATTTCTTGGTATATGTTCTTTCCAGGAGATATCAAAACTTTGAAACAATATCATCTTACAATATATGGATCTCACTCCTGAACCATGTCATCATCCAACTGTTTCATCGCAGTGGCTCTTCGGACTTTTTGTTCCACGTGTTGTACTCTTTCTTCCAACTCTGCCCAACTTTCACCAGTTCGCAATACATCAACAGTATACCAACGCTGAATGACCGCAGCTGTTCTTTGTCTGAAAGCTGATAATTCTGCATTTTGTGCCACTTGAAGAGCTTCGATTTTCGCGATTCGTGGTTGTAAATCTATGAGTTGCGCGGACGATTCTGCCGATGGGATTGGCATATCAAGAATTGATGTTAATCGGGAAGCAGTTGATGGATATGAGCTGGCAGATGCTAATATGATAGACAGAATACTGGCGGTATCGAGTGTGGTTGGTATTTGATCAGGGTCAATGGATTGAAAGAGGTCAGGATATCTTGCATCTAGAAGACATTAGGTATCACATCCAAATAGCTCAAATACAATAAACTCACGTAATTTCAATAAATCCTGAATAACCCTTGATTTTGAAGCAAGTCCATGAAGGACATGCTCTAAATCTGCAAGTCGTTCATACGCGGATATAGATACATCTGAGCTTGTGATAGATGTAGTGTCGATATGACCACACACAGCATATTCTATCCTCCGTAATCGCGCTTCCAAGAGATCAATGGTTTCCAAGGCTGTCTTATCGAACGTATTATCCATTGCGGAGTAAGTAAACTCAACGTGAAGAAGGTATCGTGAATTTAATAGTCCCAACTAAATAATCTGGGGAAAGGAGGCACAGAAATGTGTTGCAAGGCTGACAAGGTTATGTTTATTCGTCGGTGGCTTAGCTTGGCGGCCGCTCGCTGCTACCACTTCACCAATACCATCCCTATTGGGCACGTTTTCATTCTTGGCCCTCACTCATTAGGTGCGACTACCACTCAATTGCGCAACATCCACTTCGAAAATTACATGTGTTTGTCATTTGATTAATCTTCAGACAATTCTCCAAGAATATTCAAGACCGTACGCAAACGGGTATGGTGGTGTTAGGAACGTTGTAGCATAGGACAGTTCTTCGAGAACTCCGCACAAATACCTACCTACTACGTCAATTACCTACGTCAATTATTCGCATAACAATAAGCACTCACCGACAAATCAGAGAAGGAGGAAAACAACTGCAAAATGGTTTCCTATTCAACTGTTGGCGGTCCAAATGGGAGCGGCGCAGAATCTAGCCGTGGTTCAAGGTAGGCAAATTGGTCAGGAAAGAAAGATGGTATGAGGACATAACTGATGCTCGCGTGCAGGAGGAAATCAAGTCGAACAATTAAAGAACAGAATTTGCCCCATGGGCAAGCATCTTGGATTAGTAGCAATGTCAACCTTGTCAATACTAGTACGTTTTACCTCAAGCTTTCTATGGAATCATGTTGATGATGAACCTTTTAGTCGTCGGTGCCGGTACACTTGCTATGCCTTTAGCAATGTCACATATGGGAATACTACTCGGGACATTTGTTATAGTATGGTCGGGTACGATGGCGGCTTTTGGCTTATATCTACAATCTCAATGCGCTCGATACCTTGACAGAGGGACGTCATCTTTCTTCGCTTTATCGCAGATTACATACCCCAATGCAGCGGTTCTTTTCGATGCGGCTATTGCTATTAAGTGTTTCGGTGTGGGCGTTAGTTATTTGATCATTATCGGTGATCTAATGCCTGGAGTTGCTACTGGTTTTAGCCAGGGAGCAGAGTCCATCCCAATTCTTATGGATCGGAAATTTTGGGTGACGATATTTATGTGGGTTTGGTCCCATTCGTTTTATATGATTTTACTGATTAATATCTAGGTTTGTTGTTATTCCACTCTCATACTTAAGACGTCTTGACTCCTTGAAGTATACCAGTATCGTGGCTTTGGTCTCTATTGGGTATCTTGTAATACTTGTGGTATATCATTTTGTTAAAGGAGATACCATGGCAGACAGAGGTCCAATTAGAGTGGTTGAGTGGGGAGGAATAGTCCCAACTTTGCAGAGTTTCCCTGTCATTGTCTTTGCTTATACTTGTCATCAAAATGTGAGTAGTAATCACCCAAAATCCTCATTGATATACTAAACAATTACAGATGTTCTCTATTCTCAATGAGATCAAAGATAACTCGCACAGGCGAACAACAGGTGTCATTGCCGCCAGTATTGGAAGTGCTGCTTCGATATATGTTTTAGTTGCTATCACTGGTTATCTATCTTTTGGTAATGCTGTGAAGGGAAACATTGTTGGAATGTGTAAGGACTTAACACTCAAAATTTACTTTCATGAAACTAACAAGTATAGATATACCATCCACTGCTTCAACAATCGCTAAAGCAGCAATTGTCATTCTTGTCATGTTCTCCTACCCACTCCAAGTACACCCTTGCAGAGCATCAGTCGATGCAGTCTTGAAGTGGCGTCCAAACTCCTGGAAGAAACACCATTCACCAACTGGATCACCTACACGATCAGCTCCTTTACTTTCCGGTGGCCATGTTCGACCTGTCGCAAAAAACGATACTATTGGTGAAACACGCTTCGCAATTATTACCACATCTATCATTGCTCTTAGCTATTTTACAGCAGTTACAGTATCATCGCTAGATAAAGTCCTTGCATATGTTGGAAGTACAGGTAGTACGAGCATTAGTTTCATTTTACCAGGTCTGTTTTACTACAAGATCTCTTCGCCAGATTCGATTCATCATCAACGATTAACAAAGGAGGATGACGAAGCAGAATCTGATGATGATGTTGAGGAAGGTCAAGGTTTACTTGGCCAATCTATCAAAAAGATTGTCCCTTGGAGGAAAACCATTCTACGAAAACTTTCTCTAGCATTGGCCATTTATGGTCTTTGCGTATTGGTCATTTGTCTAACGATCAACTTATTTTTCACAGCTCAGGGGCACTGAAATTGAACAATTGGGTTTACCTCTGAAGTTATACTGTATTTGAAATCACAAATTGGCAAGGCGCGCCAGGCGTTTATATGGCATTCTGAATGGCATGGGTATAAAAGTTGAACAAGATGATGTTTAGTCACTCATTAGTGCCATAAATTTTGGGACCTTGTTTTGGATGTAAGTAGGGTTTGGATATGAGGATTATATATAACGGCTTTTCTTCACAATTGAGGATGTCAATTTTTGATCAATATTTGAATAGAACTCCTATTTTTACAAATGGACGCCAGTTTATGTTCATCCTGTGATGTCAAATCATCACTGAAATATAATTTCCACAATCCATCATCTATGAATATAGATGTCCGTCCCCTCCTCAGAACAGAGTCTCTCCCAGCCATTTTACCGTACCACGATGATGTATGTAAAATATGCTCTACCCTCGCCAGCCTACACTCTTCCTCATCCCTAACGCAGTACCAAATCTGTATCGTCACATTGTAGAAGTATCGCGTCCTTCCAATCACTCTCAATACATTTCTTCGCTCATAATATATCTATCCTCCCCATACGCCTCCTTCATCCATAACTCGAATTCTAATCCTTATCCTATACTAATCATAGTCTTAAGCTCTATCAAAAGAAATCGAATTGCTAGCATTGATTTTGCCCAGATCCTTAAACATCTGCTTTTAAAATCGGTTTGCTGGAGTTGGGGGGCGTGGGTTTTTCGGATTTTGCTGTGTATTGGGGTTCGAGGAGGCCGGCCTGTGTGGAGGTGAGGAGGTGTGGTTAGCTTTGTTTTGTTTTGCCCTTTGCCTTTTGCATTTGCCTTATGTATATATATATAGATGAATAGACGAATAAATATTCCGACAACAGAACTCCCGAAAAAAAAAAGAATCTTCCTCCATCTCTCCATTCTTCCCCCTCTTTCCTGCCTCTGAATCTCATACCCCAGAAAGGAAAACCCATCATACATACCATACTCAACAATCTCCAAGCGGTCTTCGACGGTTGCGCCCCAACTCCTAACCAATACTTTGCTCGTAAACTATCGAGACGGATGTCTTTGAATTTTTGTCCTTCCCCGTCGGCGGGTAGTTTGGGCTGGGGATCGTAGGTGCCGAGGACTTCGATGGGGAGACTGTTGCGTGCTGAGCTGTGGGGGACGGGGGAGAGGTTAGTGGTTGGGTTTTCTGTGAGAGGGAGGGAGGGGGAAAAGGAGGTTTGGGGGTTCATTGTAGATAGAGGGGGTGCTAATTGAGTGATATACTGGGAGAAGGCATGAAGAAGAGGTAATAGGGATTTGGGAATAGCGAACAAAAGGAAGGAATTATATAAGAAAAAAAACATACCGAGCTTGCGCAACAACTATATTATATATGGGTTGTCTTTTCCGACCGAAGCGCGCGAGACGGATACGTACGACCATCTTCTCTTCTGTTCTCTTTTCTTTCGTTAAAATTGCGAAATGTATTATGCTTTGATGTGCGATCGTATATCGTATTGTCGAATATCGTAGTATGATGATGTGGAAATTATTTGAGAGTTCGGGGTTTCTGCGGTTGGCGGAGTTTTCTATTTATCGTGCGGGATTGGGGTGGGAATGGTGGAATTGGGCGGGGGTGGAAGTAATGGGTGGAACGGGTGGAATGATAAGGGGAGGGGTGAGGAGGGATGGTGATGTAATGATGCATTTGAGAATTACGAAATGATCTTTCTTTAGATAGGTAGGTGGTGAATATTATTAGGATGTACATCCTCTTATTCTGAATCCTTTCAGATTTGTTATTTTTTTAAATCATAATCGAGTACAAGCTTGTCGTTAGCCGCAATTCGTCTCCATATAGCAACGTCCATCTATCTTGAGAACGTTGGCGGTTATCTATTGATTCTTCATTGTTCACCTCTTGATCATCTGGAGTATCCCTTCTTCTAACAACCAGATCGTCTACTTCTAGCTAGCGATTTATTAAATTAACCGCGAAATCCGACAATTACCATTCATCTACATTTGTCTCGTCAATCATCTCATCTTAACACAACAGAACTCAAATCATGGCAGCCAAAGTATACCTCCCCTCCCTTCTCCCCCTTCTCTCCCCTCTCTTACCCTTCCTCCTCATACACAAACCCCAAGCTCCAACTTCAACCTAAAACTAAAACTAACACCCACAGTACCTCTCAGCCGCCAACGCCGCAGCCTTAGATTTAGATCTCATGTCCATGGGAGCCTTTTCCCTCGACCAATTAATGGAATTGGCGGGATTGAGCGTTTCGCAAGTTGGTATGATTGTTTGTCTTATTTTGTGTTTTGTGTGTTTCATCCTTTCGAGGTTGTTTTTTGTGATGGGTTTCGATGGCTTTTCTATTTTTCAAGACGTAGGGAGGGTTACAATGAGAGGACAGGAGGAAGAAGGGGGACGGGAGAAGAGGGAGTGGAAGAAGTATGTTCATATTAGTGTATGAAGTATATCTTCCCTTGATTTACTAGCCACCCAAAGTGATATTCAAGCACTCACTCGACAGCTATAATTCCTAACTTGTACTTCTATTCCATCCTAACCATTTCCATTCACCAAGATACCCCCCCTCAACATATAAGACTTACAGCATCAAAAAACTTAACTGACACCCCCCTAAAATCAGTCTACAAAGTCCACCCACCCTCCAAAGGTCGTCGAATCCTAGTAGCATGTGGACCTGGAAACAACGGTAAGGTTTTACATCCATTTGCCTTTTCCCTCCACTCTACCCCAACCTTCCGAGTCCCATCCCAAGAGAAAGTACAAAGTACTAACCTCAAAACCAGGAGGCGATGGTCTAGTAGCAGCCCGTCACCTCTGGCACTACGGCTATAAACCCACAATCTACTATCCGAAGCCGGGAAAAAATGAACTTTACCAAGTATACATTTCTTTCTTCAGCTTTTCTCTTCTCGTCTCGTCTTTCTTTTCCCATGTGCATAAGCAACATGATATCCGAAATCTCAGTATCTATATCTACATCTAGTTCTATGTATCTATGAATTTACAGATATTAACAACTCATACCAGCGTCTTTCGACTCAACTCCGCAATCTCTCAATTCCATTTACCAATGATTTTTCATCTGCGATTAAAGACTGTGATCACATAGTCGATGCAATATTCGGTATGTAATTCTGTTCTTCCTTCTTCTTCCCCGTTCCCCGTCCCCCGTCCTCCCGTCTCCCTCACCATCCCATCCCTCATCCCTCATCCCCCATACACCCCAATAAACTAACACCCCACCCCTTCCCCAGGATTCTCCTTCACCACCCCCATCCGCGACCCCTTCAGCCCAATAATCACCGCCCTAGAAACAACCTCCCTCCCAATAACATCCATCGACGCACCCTCCTCATGGGATATCTCCAACGGGCCTCCTCCTTCCGGGCCCGGTGCAAACTTCATGCCGCAGTATCTAATCAGTTTGACTGCGCCTAAACCACTCGTTCGATATTTTAAAGGAAGACATTTTTTGGGTGGGAGGTATGTGGTTTTCTTTTTCTTTTCTTTTTTCTTTCTTTACATCTTTCTCCTTTGATGGATTTGGTTCGATATATATTTATTTGTACAGAGAGAGATAATATAATATATTATATTAAACTAATGTCACCGTCTAGATTTGTAACTCCGGAAATTCATCAAAAATATGATCTTCAACTTCCAGAATACGAGGGAGTAAATCAAATTGTCGAGATGCCTATTGAAGAAACTGAGGAGAAATTGTGATGAAGTATTTTACGCTTAACGGATTGATATGATGAAGGAACTACAGCAGCGAGAAATATCATTTTTCGGAAATTGAATGCATTTTTCTTTCTCTTTTTATTGAATGCGCTGCAGAGCAATTGTTGAAAATCATCTAGTAATCATAATATACATCAACTCATAAAAGTTCATTTCCATTCTCACTCTCTCGTAAACGCATAGGCTGGTCTTGTATTGCATCATTATTCATGCTGTAAAATATACATGATTAGTCTACAAGATCAGGAAAGCAAAAGGACGGATACAACTTACCTCTTCAAAAAGCACAAGCACAGTACCTGCTTTACAGATATCCTATTTTAAACGATCTTAGCATTAATCCCTCGAAAATGTATCCCATGAACCTAAATTCAATGGGATAGGAAAAAAAGTACTTACCCCTTCCTTATGCACCAATTTAGCAACGACTCCTTTCTGTGGGCTTCGAATCACCGTCTCCATCTTCATACTCTCGATCCTGTAAAAATTTGACGTCAGATTCACTTCATCACAACCTCAAAAATATCCGTGACGTGACATGAAACCAAAAACTTACACAACTAACGCCTGTCCCTCCTCCACCTCATCTCCTTCTCTGACCTCATTTCTCAAAACCTTACATGGCATCGGAGCCACCACACTATTCCTCACATCCTTCAATCCCAGTGCTTTCTCATACCATCCCGGCGTCGCCAATTGCAACTGTATTTGTTTTCCTTGTTGGAAGAGTGTGATCTTATCATCTTGTCGGATTAACGTACTTTCAATTCTGGTATGTGGGAAGAATGTCGAGATAGTAGGGGATTTTGGTTCACTGATGACATTTGCGTATGATTTTTCAATATTGGGTCCTTTGACCGTGATATCGTATAAGTTGCGGTCAGATTGATCGATGGTTACGTGGTATAATTCTGGTTTATCACTTGATGGTTGGAGGATAGGTTTTGTGAAACTAAATTCGCGTTGGATGTGAGAATTAAAACCAATGGCTTCACCATGAGGACCTTGAATTGACTTTGAGCTCGCAGCGGAAAGTTCTTGAGATAAGATACCCAAGGCAGCTTGAGCAAATGTTTCAGGCTCAATAATCTCATTCGTGAAAAGCTCATCGTGGTGTTTTTGTATGTATCCAGTTTCAACATCACCTCGAATGAAAGCAGGGCTTTTGCAGATTTTCTTCAGAAATTCGATATTGGTACTTAGACCAACTACTTCGTAATCTTGTAAAGCTGCATGTAGTTTTCGTATGGCAACTTCTCGTGTTGGCCCGCTCACGATAAGTTTTGCAATCATACCATCGTAATTAGATGAGACTGTATCCCCTTGTACGAAACCTGCATCTATTCGAACACTTTCTGATAGTTTAGGCGTGCGTAAATGAACGAGCTTGCCAGAATCAGGCATGAAATTTTGATCTGGATTCTCGGCATATATTCGAGCTTCAAGAGCCCATCCACGTTCAGATATTCTTTGAGCTATCGTTTCTTGATTGAGTGGTAATGGCTCGCCGGCAGCAACTTTGAATTGCCATGATACGAGATCTTCTCCAGTGATTTCTTCGGTAACAGGATGTTCAACCTGTAGCCTAGTGTTCATTTCCATGAAGAAAAACTCATTAGTATCATTGTCAAATATAACTGTAATTTTCGTTAGCACTGGTACGAGAAGCACTTGATTTGATGCCCACATTCTACTGTACCAGCACCCTCATATCCAACAGCAAGCGCAGCAGCTCGAGCTTTCTCCCAAAGGTCCTGTCGAATATCCTCAGCAAGATTTGGTGCTGGTGCCTCTTCCAAGATCTTCTGATGCCGTCTTTGTAAACTACAATCCCTCTCACCCAAAGCAACTGCTTGACCATGCTTATCGGCAAAAACTTGTACCTCAATATGTCTTGGCGTAGCAATATATTTCTCCACCAACATAACATCATCTCCAAAAGAATTCCTTCCTTCACTCTTCGCACTCTCTAATTTTTCAAGAAATTCCCCTTCCGTCTGAGCAATGCGCATACCTTTTCCACCACCACCCTTTACAGCTTTCACCATAACAGGGAAACCAATCTTGCGAGCCTCATTTAAAAGATGTTCAGGTTCTTGATTCTCTCCATGATATCCAGGTATACAAGGTACGCCCGCCTTAATCATAATATCCTTACTTCTAGATTTATTTCCCATAGCCTCAATAGCCTTCCAAGGCGGCCCAATAAACACCAACCCCTCTTCTACACATCTTTTCGCAAACGCCGAATTCTCACTCAAAAATCCATATCCCGGATGTAAAGCCTCACAACCCTGTTCCTTTGCCACAGATATAATTCGTTCTCCATCGAGATATGCATTCGCAGCACCAAGATTCACCGCGAAAGGACTGGAAAGTGCATGCTGTGAATTGGCATCAGGATCTGTATAGATTGTTGTACATCGTACGCCGAGATCTGAAGCTGTACGTCCGACTCGTAGAGCAATTTCTCCACGATTGGCTATGAGAACGGAGGTAATAGGAGTGATTATTGGAGCTGTTGAATATCGTCGTGCATAGGAAGGGAGGAGAGCCCGGGCTAAAACCCGAGATCTGGTTGCTGAATGCATTTGCTATAACATCAATTTCAAAGAGTAATTCTTGGACTTTGTAAATTGTAATTCAAGCTTGCAGGTTTCTAGAATTTGGGGTTTAATGGTCAATGATGATTTATTATAAGAAAGTTGTTTGTTCGATTCCGATAAAGTACTTGGGCCGATGCAAGCCGTGTGACAAATTTACCCCAGTTTTCTCCGCATTTTGTACTTTTTTCTAACCTCACCTCAACCAAGCTCTCAAGGGGAAAATAGGTGTAAACAGGTGATGACTTTGGGCCCCCGAGTAATCTCACAACTATCAATGCCAATTCCCGAGCTGAAAACTCACGGCAAAATGATGAAGTCCCGCTATCCTACCAAACTACCTTTTTCTCATCCCATATAATTCACAAGTACATCACTTCATGATGAAAGAAAGTAGTTTATCACATTATCAGATAAATACGGTAAAAAGTGCTTGACAAGTTGCACCAAACTTCTTTTCTCTACTTCCAAAATCCTTTATCTACCTTTCGTTAGCTACTCTAGAATTCCATTTATTGGACTAGACTTGATCATCACACTTCCTCGGCCTTCATTGAAACATGTTTTGCCTCGAAACCCTACGCGCAAAGCTATAGCATGGTTTATCTATCGCACGAAGGCTCTCTTCCACGATTGAAGAAGACATTTTGATCTATAAGTTATGATTAGAACTTCCTCATTCAGTGGACTAGATTAGTCTATGACCTCCACCGAAAATAGTTACAGCGCAGCGCACAGCGGTAGACCAACCGCGCCAGGGCGACCAGATGAAGTATTTGATGGTGAGTGGTGTGAGTCATTTTGGTGTATACTTGAAGTGTCCGATGGTGAGTAGTGGGATGCTGTTTTCAAATGGTGTAGAAGGTAACTAGAGTAGCAAGACTTACGAGCATCTTAAATTTCGTTTATTGTGTGTATTGCTGCATGTATCGCATGATTTGTATTCAGCTTAGGAGATGTCGATGGTAGGTTTGTGGTATGGAAGATTTCGATTTTGGGACTTTCAAATGCAGATATTATTGTATGAGAGCTGATCGCATGCAGAGAAAACAGTCTTATTACGATGAAAACAGAAAAGTGTCATGAAATCCGAATTTACTAAATGCCGATTTCGATTTATACAAAAACATGTTCTCTCATGGCTCCATAATGTACTCCATCCCGATGCACACCAAACAGACCTACCATCTTCCAGCACCCTCACATCACACCTACCCAAAAATCACATCATCCTTCCCCTCCAACCCATCCTCAAATCTAAACATCAAATCACTCCTCATCGTATATTTAACCCCTGCCACCACCTCATCCCCACTATGTAGCAATCTCCTATGTTGAAAGATAAGTACCCTCCCCACCTTCGGATCAACATCCAATCTCTCCTTCAAATCCGTCGAATGGAATGTCGTTGCGCCTCCTCTCAGCATCTTTGAATCCTTTGGAAACTTGGGGATATTAGGATCTTTCTCTAGTTCTTGCGCTGAATCATTGAGATAGAGATGGATGGTAAAGAAAGAGCGTTCGCCATCTGCATCTCCATAGGCGCTATCTACGTGTTCTGTTGATGTAATTTAGATGATGATCTCAAGGGGGACAAAACAAACATGCCTCTAAAGTATTGTCCAGGCCCATATCTTAAAAACCTCATGCGCTCATTAATTCCCTGATTAATACTCACCCATCTCTCACCCCTTCTAATTCCCAAACTAGTAAATCTCTCCCATTTCTTCCCCTCAAGTACCCCAATATCTTCCTTAATCCCCTTTGCTTGTAAAACCCTCTTCCAAATACGTTCCACCACTTCCTTTTCATCCCAAATAATGCGATCTGAATTCCTATATTCCGTAGAAAGAAACTCATATCCTACACCTGCATTTACCATGGCAGGAGTCCACCCATTATTTAGCGGCCCTTGAAATTCCCCATCCTCAACATCACCCTCTTCAGAATCTATAGCTACACTCTTCACACCATTCTCCACCTTAACCCCCTCCACCAAATTCCCATGCGCACCCTTACTCATCTCCGCCAATCTAATCAACATCCCACATTCCTCTTCATTCAACACCCCATCCAGCACCACCGCATAAGCGCCCCTATACTCCTTCAAAACCGTGTTCTCAAACTCAATTCTCTGCACCTTGATACTTTCCTCCGGATTCTCCAATGGCTTCAAAAAATCGTCAGGGATAGAAACCGGGAGAGATGTATAAGAAGTTTTCACCACATCATAACCTGGTCTTTTGGATTTTCGTTCGTTTATAGATTCTTCCTGGGAATTAGAGTTCTGGAAAGAACTTAGGCGCGAGGCCTTCGCTTTCAATTCTGAGAGGAAGAAAGACATTGCGAATTGCGAATTGTGAATTTAAGCTATGAAATTTTGATACATGTATGTTGTACCTAGTATGTAATGTTTATGGATACCAAAAAGAAGAAATTGCCTAGAGGGTGAGTTTTCTGGATTGATGGAGAATAAAGATCTCAGAATATATTCAAGTTTTTTCTTTAAAGTTGGCTACATTCATTATGTACATTGCTGTAGGTAGGTAGTCGACTGTTGACTATCGTAGAGTCAGAAATTAGTAGGCAATTGTTGCCTATTGCCTACTTGGCACTACTTTATTAGTAGAAGGGTACACCGCCACCGGGCTTAGCGCCTCAAGGCTGACTCCAACCTTAAAAGCAGCCTGGCATCTATCATCCGTCACCTATCACCGAGAATCCCTGTCAAGCGGGGTTTCGTTACATCATTGCCACTTGATCATTCTCTGAGATGTTAAATGAAAACATATCCATACAACTGGTGAACACGGGAAGCACAATCTAGAAGATTGAGCCTCTCTCAATCTTATACTAAGACCTCTTTCATACCAAGAGAGATCCGTCTTACTAACTACTGGGATGCTTCTTATACTAAGGACTGTCCAAAGTAACGATATTAGAAAATTTATCAGGTGGATGAAATCTTGTGTTGCTTGTACTGAATTGAAAAATCACTTATCTGTTACATCATAAGCACTGACACTCGCCCCCAAATTAAAAGTAAATATTTCAAGCGGGATGAAGAATTGGGAGGAAGAGATATATTATCAACCCAGGTCTAGCTATATTGTACACGTACAATGCAGTTGGTTCTAGTACTGTGGCTTATTGATTAAGAAAATCTTGTCTGTCTCTTCCACCTGACTGTCCAACCCACGGGAAACTTCTGCTTGAGGGGAGTGATGCAATGAAGACAAAACACTCAAAGGTATCTGATGCTTAATGCTAATTCGTAGGGTTCAATGATGGCGCTTTTTGTTTAACGTTTGCGTACTTATGCCGATGTAAAGGATGGAAAAAATGCTGTTCGGTTGTGCCTCGCACCAAACCGTGTAAATGAAGGCTATGGGGCATATCCTAATGTAGAATAGTGAATAATTCTGTCCGATGAGTGCCAAAGTAACCGTCAGGGAGATAATCTCGGAAACCGGTGATCAAGTCACAATTCGCCCGTCGCTACTTCTTCCAATATTTCCATCGAGACGCCTGCCTTGATCAGCTTGTAAGACTTCACTTGGACGGAAAGATGAAGAAGCTCCGGGTGAGATGGGATGATCTTGAGCATATTCTTGGTCGTACTCATCGTCTGGATAATCTTCACTTTGCGTTTCCTGACCATGGTTCTGATCGACCGGGGTACCTTGCTGAGAGTTTTGATGTTGAGATTGGCGATCCTGTGGAGGTCCTTTTGCAGTAGTTTTGCTACCCTTTTTTCCCTTGCGCCCTTTCGTCTTTGCCTTCTCGAGTAATCTTTTCCTCTCCGCCTCCTGCTTCCTGATACGCCTATCCTTTCTTTCATACTGCCTGATCAAAGCTGAGGGGGGGCCACCAAAGATGCTCTCGTATTCGCAAAATTCGCAAATCCAAATATCTTCAGGATTAGGAGGATGAGTCATGTTTTGGTATTCTTGTTGTTGACGACGCTGGCGAGCAGCAATTTGGTATTCTTTGCTTGCCCGACGTCGAGTTCTCTTTGGTGGCGCTGTTTGAGGCACATTTTGCTTTTGTGTATGCGCTGATTGTTGTGATTTTGCTTGCATATTCGGACTTGTTTGGGTTCCATGCGCTATCACCGACCTTGCAGCTGGACTTTGATGCATACTTGTGTTATCTGACACAGGCCAGGACAGTCCTGTTGGTACTTGAGAATCACAAGTAAAAGTGAATTGAGTAGATGTGGGGGGTGGTTTCTTTAATGCCTGCTGTTGCAATAAACTGATATTCTCTTGCCCTTTAGAAGGAGTTATTGGAGTTTCTTTTTCGGCATTTGCAATCGCAGTTGTGATAATACCTGGGGTCTCGGCTTTGCAAAAGTTGTCAGTAAACGTGAAGCGCAGCCTGGGAGTGATGAGAGAAAAACTTACGAGTTAGTGGCCACTGGGGTGGTCGTTGTTTGGAATTGCGACCATTGCCCCAGTTACCCGAAACGTCACACAACGTCCTTAATGGACTTCTGCCATTGCGATTTCGGCCATACCTGCCTCTTCCAGGGCCCGACAATCCTTGAGATATTGAGCCACCGGCATGGTAATATCCTGCACTATTGGCATCCTCTTCTTCTGGACCAGATATTCCCATGCCTGCTAAATCATTTGAGAGAAGAGCTCCATTGATGTTGGAATCTCCGGGCGTGGGAATCTTGCGTTTCTTTTTGTTATTTGTATTTTCAAATGAGTCATATCCATCCGCAGATGAAGCAGTTGAGCCAGGAGGGTGGGGATTTGGATGTTTTGAATCGGGCTTTTGAACATAGCGGTAGGAACGACCAGAGTTGTCAACTGATTGCCTTGGGTAGAGTCGCGCGTTACGGTAAACCTCCTCTTCTTCACTTTCTGGATCTTCTCCATTCCGCCGCGGGATATAATTTTGGTCGACATTATCTACCTGGGGGCGTTCATTTGGACGTGGAGACTCTACCAGTGTACTTGCTCCAACATCATCTCGTACAGTGTATGGATAATAGAACAATGGGGTTTGAATTTTGGGTGCGGGTGGATATTTGATTGATTCGGCGACATTGGGAGAGAGGCGTTCACGAAGACGTCTTTTGGGCAGAGGTCTGATGGGACGGTTTGGATGTGCTGGCGATACAACTTCTGGAGACATGGCTCGTGATGATTCGGAGGGAGAGTAGCCTAACAAGCATTCAAATACAGAGATCAGCCAATGTAATATACATGAGACAAAGCCCACCATGGTTCCAGTCGTCACAGAGAACGGGTTGTTGTTTGCTGCTGTCAATTTGATAGTTAAAAGTGGCGGAATCAATAGTAAGAGGCCACGCTATGAGAATTTCATACTTGTGTTCATCACCGAGAAAGAGGACATGACATGCCAACTACCTCCAAGACTAAATTTGCGCTCTTTGGAAGATCCGCGTACGGCAGATTCGTTTTCTTCTTTGAAATGAGGGGCAGAGTTAATTTTTGGTCGATTCTCCTTGAACTTTCCTTTCCTACAGCGAACAACAACACATCAGCCAGAAATCTCGCATGTAAAATAGGGAAAATAATGACATGTAATTTGTCATCCCTATCCCCAAACCAAAACCTTGAAATCCCAGCCATCGCAAGAGACCGAACATAATTTTAACCTTTTAAATCCGAGGAAGAAAATAGTATGGAGTGGCATACTTTGTTTTTTTTTATTGCAAATGCTCAGCAATGATTCCGAGGGGGGAAAGCCCTAGGAAGATTTATTGACGACTCTTCAACCCCACGGACAACAGAAGTCTGTGTTTATCTCTTATCCAATACCCTCTTGAAAAATGAAGCGACAGTAGGACAATGAATATTCAAAAGGGTAGGCAAGAGTTTCGACGGGGTCGAGCCGCTTGTATTGAACGAGTTTGGGAGAGATTGAACTTATTTTGTCAATAAAGACTTTAATTTAGTTGTTCCTTTCTAATATGTAAATTAGTTACGTTGAGCCGGAAGATGTTGATGGAGGGCCCAAGTGTGTTAGCTAAGATTATGAGACTAAGCTTAAATAGGGAAGGTGTGACTGTAGTTACCAATTGATTTTGAAAATCACGTTGATGAATGTGGGAAAGTGAAGGGGGAAAAGAGTTAAATACTAAGTAGTGGCTGGTGCCCGCAATGCCGTGTATATAAACGGGATTGGTCGGAATTTAATCATCCATGTATAAACAACTTCTCTGTATAAATTTATCAGTGGAAGTATCGCATACGAAATAGGTATAAAGCATTTGAATGTATTGATGCGAGATCTAGAAGATTCAATCGCTGACATATCAGGTATAGATGGATTGATTGATTTAGTGAATCACCTACCTGATTATTTAGAACGATAATGGGGAAGATATATAATGAATGTACTTCTTGCAGCAAGCAAGTATAAAAGTTTCAATCGGTAGGTACAGAGTATTACTTTGAATACCTACCTAGGTAAGAATAGACCGGTTAGTAAATCAATTGTCCAACTAAATGTATGTTCGTCATCCACTTACTCCGTACCTACTTACTATTCGAAGAGCTCATTGATAGCTCACTGCACTCGAGTCGTTAACAGTCCCTTCTTTTCGTATAGTTTGCCTCCACGGCAGTGGCTCCGGAAGAGCCAGCGGAGCGTCATTCGACCGACTGGTGGTGAAAGGAAAGTAATTGATGAATATATTCCTTGTAAATACTAGACAGTCTTATATCAACATAAAATAATATAATGTACATTAGATCATTGATACCTAGATAAATTTATGATTGATTAATGATTACCATCTTATCTATATATATATATATCTATAAAAATTATTATCGTAGCGCAATATGATGATTTAATCGTATGTCTTAGTTATCTGGATCGATGCGATAATAGTTCATCTAAATTCTGATTGGTTCGTGAGTAAAGAAAAAGAGGAGAGGATGATCAATTGTGCTTAGTGGCTTTCGGGTTATTAATAAGGAAACCTCTGAAATCACTTCTCATTGGCTGATGTCTTTTCATTAGTCATTCTAAGCATACTTTCTTCGCTCTCTCATTGTCCGGACGAGAATTTGGCCTATGCCTAACCACAATGCTAGGATTTCCGAATTATTTGGCGGGGACGAAAGGGAAGCTTGAATTTAATTATTTCCTCACTCGCAGTCATGATTACACCAAGAAACTTTATCCACCTTCCTACTTATCAGATTGCATGTCTTCGTGTTCGAATTTAGTTCTTTAAGCCTTAATCGATACTCAATCGTTCTCAAAACCTCTGGCTGCCTTTCTTCTAATTACGTTTTACCCTTGGTTTGGGGTCTGGGAGATTGGAGTCAAAAGCTTCTCGTCGAAGCCGGAGGAGGACTTCAATTACGCACTCAATTCACAGCTTACACATCACCTACGCGCTCGATATTCGGAGCATTATTCATCTATTTCGCGTAAACGGCTCGAATTCGATATTTACTTTGTACTAATATAATTACTTGGGATGGATACTACTAGGCGTTCGTCAAGGGCCGCTCGAGGCAGCCAACCTTTTCCAACTAATTCACATCATTCCTCAGCTTCCTCGAATTCTTCTGGTCGCGCAGAAAGATCCACTCGCTCAAATAATAAAGTAGAATCTCCACGAAAATCCACCCCATCTGCCTCACTGTCCTCAGATTCTCCTGACGACGCAACCGCCGCCGAAGATAGTTCCTCCACACGTCGAAAGCGAGGTCGAGCTGATGTCAATGATAAGATATCGAAAGGACAACCAGCCGATGAAGACACAGTGATTGGAGTGGACGAGGGAGGTGAGGACGATGAAGCTGTCCGATGCATCTGCGGTTACGATGAATATCCTGGGCCGCCGCAGCTCGAGGACGATGATAACAAAAACAATACAAAAGACGGAATTGATGAATCAGTTATAACAGCAGCGGATTTTACAGAAGATTTGGCTGGTTTCTTCTTGCAATGCGACGTTTGCAAGGTTTGGCAACACGGCGGATGCGTTGGAATCATGAACGAAGATACAAGTCCCGAAGAATACTTTTGCGAACAATGTCGCAAAGAACTTCACAGAATTCGCACAGCGCTAAATGGGTGAGTCCTTTTCTTTTCTCACAAACTTCACATACAAGCCTGTCTCGAGAGATTCACTCGAGATTGTCAGCATTCACGCGAGACCGTGGCGCAGATTAAAGTCTTACGAGGCCGATTGCTTTAATTGTGCAAGAACCTTGAACAATTAAAATTTCCACTCAAGAGAAAAACACTCTCCATAATTCTGACACGATGAACCGCAGACAACGCTACTCGTTATATCTTCCCCTTCACCCAAATCTCTCCAGAACGACATCTCGAGCGGCTTCCTTCTCAAAAGACGGCACTAGATCACCGAAAGGTGGCAAGAATGGTCGTCCCACATCCAGCTCTACAAGCGCAAAGAGGCGCTCAACGATGAATAGCAGAGATGCTGCGTATGATGCAGCTGCTGAAGCAGAACAAATTCGACAAGCCATAGCAGCTAGCGTAGCAGAAAATAACTCCGAAAGTGCTGATGGTCGGAGTCGCAAGGCAAAACGAAGCCGAAGTTATAGCGAAGAGTAGGTACATAGGATTCTATTCGTACAATTGGTTCTAATTACTTCTAGTAGCAAACATGAAGGACCCAAAAGGCAGCGTACAGACTCGGCTTCTCCTACCCCTGAGGATGAGGAAAAACCACAAGAGCCCCTTCAAAGATCTGTATCTCAAGCAGAATCTGATGACAGCGCTATCATAGGAAATGGTCGATTTGGAGCAGCTAAGAAGATTAGGGGAGCGGCAGCTAAAAATCATAGAGAAAAAGAATTAAGGGAAGAACGAGAACGGTCGAGGCTGGAAGCTGCAAATAAAAGAAAAGGCCGAGCTGAACGTCGAAGGATTGAAGGTCAGTAACTCAGATGCATAATGACGTAGCAGCAGCTCACAGTCACTCAGATTCAGAGCCCATTGAAGAAACTCCGCCGGCGATAAAACCTCCAAGCAAGAATTCTGAGGTAGCTACTCAACCTCCAGATCCCCCTCCAGCATCACAGGCGATAGCGCCAGATACACCTCCTCCAGTTCTACCGCCAGTTTCTCATAAGAAGGGTGGCAGACCTCCTAACCCTCGGAAGGGCAAGTCGGGCAAGAACCAATACACTAAAGACAAAGATGATAACAGTGTTCGGTCCCCCAACCGATCTCAATCTAGGGATATTTCACGTACAGACGATAATGGACATATGACGAATAGCAAGGGCTCAAACAATGAGAGTAAATCCAATAAAGCAAAGGCAAGCGTAGGAAGCAAAATTAGCATGGTCGAGATGAGGAAACGTGCTGCAAGTATCCTCGATTTCATATCCCGAACTCAAATCGAACTGGCTGGCGACCCATCGATGCTGCCAAGTGGCAGCGGAGCGGAGAAATACATCCGAGGACTTGTCGAAGAAACTCTCCCTATGATACGACTTAATGGCGTAAATGGCGCAGATGGAAAACAGGCGGCTGCCGGCGAGAGCCATTCACCAAAGGAATTCAAGGATTTAACATGTCTAGAAATGATGGACATTCTTACTAGACAATTGGTTAAATGGCAAAAGGAGTATGCATGAAATTCGGCAGGTCAATGAATGAGGGTCTTATATTACTGGGTTTTGGTTTAGGAGTTTATGTATATCATGGGTTTCGGATGGCTATACGGCGCGCAGGGGCATGTTGATTTTTATACCCTACTTTATGGCTACCTTAGTTAATGGTATTGAAATACTCCCACGACAAGCTGCGTGAGCCAACAACCAATTGTTTATGACTCATGGTAGGATGTGAGCAGTTCAATTACCTTAGACAGTGGCTTATGTTGTACGACCGGCGGTTGGCTGTGTGGTATTGTGGTCTATACGGTATTCATAATCCATCGCGCATGTGACAAGTGTCGACTGGACTGGCCTTAGAAAGCAATACTAGTATTAATCTTAAGATTTCCCCACTCCTTGTACGACCATAACGCGAATATGCAGGTGGATAGGATAAATACCAGCTTAGCAAGCAAGTTTTGACTAATCTCCACGGTACTACCGATACAAAAGCTATTCTTCATGTATATATGGATATTAGGGTCATCCCATCAAAGTATTTTAGGAAATATTCTACTTAATATAATACATTTGTTTGTCGTCATCTCGGCTTGGCTTGGCTTTGAATTTCACTATATTGGATACCAGTTATTGGCGTGTTTTATGTCTCTAGTGAAGAAACCTCATACTCATACTCACACTCGTGGATAAGAACTCAACACGGGTATGCATGCTAGATTAATCTAGATATGAATACATAGTGGGAAAACTGTTATCACAGGGCAGATTCACTTAATAGTCTTTTTCTCCAGAATTTTTCCTCTTTCTTCGACTCATTACATTTTGTCTCAAGTATACTACGCTTGATGTTCTATTCTCTTTCACTCTTGGAAAAAGTCGACGAAGTCGAAAAACAAGTCGCCATGATGGGTATATGCTCGAGTAGTTACTCATATTTCCCTGTCACCTGTCATCGTAATATGGCTATGCTGGCAAATGAACATATATAATTAGACGCTTTCCAAACGCAGAAGTTATGTTGGGACTTTTTGGTAGTGGAGGATATGGGAGGAGTGGCGTTGGGGGTAAGTCGGGGTGAAACGGGAGTTGTTGGGATGGTTGGGGTGAGTATATTTATGTTTGGTTTTGTTTGGGAAGGGGTGAGGGAACGCTCGGAAGAGATGATTATGTACGTGGGTGTGGATGAGGAGGAGATAGAGACTAATATAGATCAATGCCTTTGTGCTGGTGAGATGGAAAATCGAAGTGGTTCAGATGGGGTGTGGAGATTTGCAAGAATTAGAGGAATGGGGATGCGGATGTGAAACTATTTTATGTGAAGGGCCTAAGTCAGAGGGTTGTGATGAGTTAGTGGGATAGATGTTGAAATTACCACTCTCTTGGGAATTTGAGATCGGCTTCAACAGTTAACTCTTTTGTAATAAACGAAGTTCCCCATAGTGCGCTTCAATCGAGGTTGACGATGGATAAACATGCTCTAATCATTGCTATGGTATATTATATGGCATCAAGACCATCGCTATGCTCAATTTAACAATCCTATTCTATTTTCAAGCACTGAAGCCACTATATTCTTTGTTAAAAGCTCTTCCTATAACCACTTTCCTAACCTCAGTAGTACCAGCACCAATCTCGTAGAGCTTTGCATCCCGTAATAATCTCGAAGCTGGCATTTCTTCAACATAACCCATTCCACCCAACAATTGTATGCAATCTAATGAGACTTCTGTAGCTCGCTCGGCAGCATACATAATTGCTCCTGCACAATCCTGTGTTCGGATACTGCCCGTTTCATCAACAGTCCTTGCTGTCTCATATGTATAAGCTCTTGAAGCTTGCAACTTTGTGTACATGTCTGCAAGTTTTCCTTGAACAAGCTGATTATGTGCAATTGGTTGACCGAACTGCTTGCGCTGATGTGTGAATGGAAGTGCAACATCCAAGGCAGCTTGCATGATACCTAAAGGCCCGGCACTCAAAACTAATCTCTCAATATCAAGACCTTCCATCAATACTTTGACACCCCTGTTCAGCTCTCCCAAAACATTCTCTTCGGGCACAAACACTCCTTCGAAAACCAATTCTCCAGTATTACTTCCTCTCATCCCCATCTTATCCAGTTTTCTCGCACAACTAAATCCTTTGAATCCCTTTTCTACTAAGAAAGCGGTAATTCCCTTCGATCCCTTCTCAGGCTCGGTCTTCGCATAAACCACAATGACATCTGCATCTGGTCCATTGGTAATCCACATTTTTGTCCCATCCAACACATAACCTCCATCCACCTTCTTTGCCGTAGTCCTCATACTGACCACATCACTGCCAGCACCACTCTCACTCATAGCCAAAGCACCAATCTTACTCCCATCAATCAACCCCGGCATGTACTTCATCTTCTGTTCCTGATTCCCATTCAATTGCAATTGATTCACACATAATTGTGAATGGGCAGCATAACTCAACCCAATACTACCCGAAGCACGAGATATTTCCTCCATAACAATACAATGTGCTTGATATCCCATAGCAAGTCCACCCACGTCTTCAGAAGCTGTTATACCGAGGAACCCTGCATCTCCGAATTTCTGCCACATATGATTGGGAAATGAATTCGATTTATCTGTTTCCGAAGCGAGAGCTTCGGGGATTTCTCGTCTTGTGAATTCTTGAACACGTTCGCGGAGCTCCAGAAGATCAGCAGAGGTTGGAGGCTCGAAACCAACAGGGTGTTTGGATGAGGCATTGCGCCGGTGAATTATAGATATAGGGATAGAAGGTTTGAGATGGAGATGGGATATGGGTCGTGTAGTGAGGGATCGGAGACATTTTATTGAAGAAGCCATGTTGATTTGGAAAATATTGTAAGAATTGAAAATGTATATTCTACATATTTTTTGGTTTTTGTAGTAAGACTTAGTACACTGATGATCGACCTTGTCAAGTCCTTACGTTTAGTTTCCCCGCGGGGTTCCGTCGCTAGCCGCAGCTACTTTCAGGGATCTCACAATACCCTTTCAAACAAACAAAAGTTTATAAACCAACTATCTATGTAGACATTTCACTTATTTGCTGCCACTGCAGCATAACTTTTCATCGTGATGGCCTCAATCAGAGCATCCAGAATTATTCCCAATCTGTCTAGGAGATCCCTAAGACCAGTATATCACAAATCAACCTCCATCCCTTTCCGAGCAATAGCTACTTACTGTCCTCCGACACAAGCAAAAGCCATCTCCGTTCTTCCTACAAATATCGATACCTCTTCAGACGAATACATTCAAAATGAATCTCAAATGAAACCTCTCCTCGATCATTTATCTTCTCTCACGGCTAAAATACATCAAGGTGGTCCTCCTAAAGCACGTGAAAAGCATATTGCACGCAAAAAGATGCTTCCTAGAGATCGTATCACGGCACTTATAGATCCGGGTACGTCTTTCCTGGAATTAAGTGCATTGGCGGGACATGAGCTTTATCCCGAGGCGGATGTACCTGCTGGTGGGATTATCACCGGCGTGGGTGTTATTGAGGGGGTTACCTGTATGGTGGTTGCAAATGATAGTACGGTAAAAGGAGGGACTTATTACCCAATTACTGTGAAGAAGCATTTGAGAGCACAGGAAATTGCAAAGGAAAACAACTTACCGTAAGTTCGGTTCAATTGATATGGATGTTCTCTATGTACTAATATTTCACAGTTGTATCTATCTGGTAGATTCAGGTGGAGCCAATCTTCCACATCAAGCAGATGTCTTTCCCGATCGAGAGCACTTTGGTCGAATTTTTTTCAATCAAGCAAGAATGAGCTCAATGGGAATCCCACAAATAGCTGTCGTTATGGGCCCCTGTACAGCAGGTGGTGCCTATGTTCCCGCCATGTCTGATGAAAGTATAATCGTGGGCGAACAAGGTCATATTTTTCTAGCCGGCCCACCTTTAGTAAAAGCCGCAACTGGTGAGGTCGTAACAGCTGAAGAACTTGGAGGTGGAAACATGCACAGCTCCGTATCCGGAGTAACAGACTATCTCGCCGTCGACGATGCTCATGCCATAGTCCTCGCCCGCCGCTCCATCAGCAATCTTAATTGGCCCACCAAACCATTTCCACCACCAACGTCATACACAGAACCCATTTACTCCCCAGAAGAATTAACCGGAATAGCTACCACCAATCTCCGCAAGCCTCTCCCCATTCACGAAGTTATTGCTCGCATCGTAGACGGTAGCGTCTTCTCCGAATTTAAACGCGACTATGGCTCTACACTCGTGACAGGCTTCGCCCATATCTATGGGCACAAAGTTGGCATCATAGCTAATAACGGTATTCTCTTCTCTACATCCTCCCTCAAAGGTGCTCACTTTATTGAACTCTGCACTCAACGTCAAATCCCTCTTATTTTCCTGCAAAACATCAGTGGGTTCATGGTAGGCACCGATGCCGAACGTGAAGGTATTGCGAAGAATGGTGCAAAACTAGTTACTGCAGTCGCATGTGCCAATGTACCTAAATTTACGGTCGTAGTAGGAGCCAGTAATGGTGCTGGTAATTATGGTATGTGTGGCAGGGCGTATAGTCCACGATTTTTATGGATGTGGCCAAATGCAAAGATTGGAGTCATGGGGAGTGAGCAGTTAACTGCTGTTATGGAGACAGTTGGTAAGGCAGTCGACCCGGAGTTGAGGGATAGAATTGATAGAGAGAGTGAGGCGGTTTTCTCAAGTGCTAGATTATGGGTATGTTGTTTACCGTGAATGGCTAGAATTGAAGTAACTAACAAACTGTATAGGATGATGGAGTGATTCCACCAAGTCATACGAGGAGAGTATTAGGTTTAAGTTTGATGGCTGCTTTGGGTGGGAAGAACGAACCGGTAGATACTAAATTCGGCGTCTTCAGAATGTAAAGTTAGTGCTTTAGAATGAGAAATGATGTATGATATATACTCTATGCGATCTGTCAAGTTGCAATTAGTTAAAAATCCTTCATTCTAAGAAGAATATGAACAAGTCCCCCCAATAACCATAGAAGCCTAGCATTCGTAGCCCAAGTAGATGTGTAGCCCAAATAGACATATAGCTCCACGCCAAAAACTTTACAATTGATTACCGGTGAACATCATAAAAACTTAAAATAAATAGCGGTTCCGTTTTTCAATATAGGAGATACAGTAGGATAAATTAAAATTAGGTAGAAAAAACGTTGTAGCGAAGACTACAAGGATAATAGAAACGATTCACGGATAGTGACTGGGGAAAGATGTGTGTGTATCTAATGTTCCAAACTATAAAGTTCATAGAAGGATTCGTGGTGACTAGTTTACCATCATATGCATACGAGAGCTATGAAATTTAAATCAGCAGCGAGGATAATATATACCGCTCAATACAATATCTGGTCCTCTGAATAAACTCTCCTCAGATTTCGAAAAAATACCATATAGTTGTTGATATTCTGCAGGTTAGATAATATTAATACAGTTAATGCCATCCTCGATATCGATGTCGACGTCCTGAATGAGTCTGGATTAACAGATCTAGAATCAGCAGCTAGCGGGGAATACAATATTATCAGGAAACTGAGATTATATAATAGCTATAAGAGTCAGTTTCGTTAATTATCCTGATATCTGCACTGCGCAGTGAAATGCTCGAAATAGATATTTTTTAGAAGGGCTTGGAGTCTAGATATTCGATACCATACCCCGTGGCACTGTTTCCGGATGAAAGGATTGAGTCTCAGCCAAGGTTCTTGTTGCCGCTCATGAGAAACAGCTTTACGAGTCTGTAATTTATAGATCTTACTCTGAGCAAATGTTCCCCATTACTTAGGTTTGAAATATAGCAGAAAAATAGTTTAAAAGTAGCAATGCACAGATTCGATGCGGGAATTTCTAGTTATGTAACTTCACTTGATTAAATAAATCAAACCGAAAGAATTAGCATAAATTTTAACATGAATTCCATGAGAATCATTTTATGTCGCAGTCCTATTACTGGTCACACCCTTAGATCTAGACCTTTGAAATAGTTAAAATATTCCCATTTACTTACTTACATGTAAGATTCGACAATGATCCTGAACTAAATAAATAAATTTCTTTGCAATCTTGTACTCTATCTACGAAAACTCATATCTTTTACGAAATCCCGCACAAAACCAGCAAGATTCACATTATCACAATTCACATGAAAAGGCTATAGCTTACCCGAGAGCACCACTCACGATGAGTTTCGGAAGTGAAATTTTGCACACCATGAACTCGGGGGTAATTTCATGGCTTGTCATAGCTTTCAGTGCTTAGTTCATCTGTCACCATGTCTTATAGGTCAACAATTGTTTTGCTTGATTTGCAAAGATGTGGTGAAGAGAAAGTAATGGAAGGATTATACCAGTAAATAATTTTGGTTTAAGTAGATATTTCAAGCTCAGAAATAATGAAAGCACGGCATAGCATCAACTTCTCGAGCCTATGCCACGCAACTAGCTAGGCATTTAAAGCCTAGACTATTATATGTTGCTTAATAGTAGCGTACAACTATGTATAGGCTCTTCATTCGAAATAGGGAATATTACTTCCGTATGGATATCGCTTTCAATATTCTTAAATTATCTTTGGGCAAAAAGCTAATAGTTTCAAAGAGTATTGATATTATTGAAACGATGATGCAATTTATAAACTCAATAATCGTAAAAGTGGTCTGGGAAATGCTTGCTTACTTGATACAAATTATATTAACCATACAGGGGTATTAACTTGAGAAATATCTAGACAAAGGGAATGGAAACAGATAGTTCGACTTATCACTTGAAGTATCAGATAGATACTCGTTAAAAAAAAATCCCTATATTCTACTCTATATCTATTACAAAACGTCTTAGTGCACCGCAACTAAATCACATAAAACACACTCAAAATATCTCAGAAATCCAAAATCTAGACCAGCAGTCCCACAGCACCAACAACCACAACTCCCCAAATTGGGATATAATTCTCCGAATCAACCCCCGAAACTGCCGTAACACCAGGCGGCATAGCAAAAGTACTAGTACTTGTGAATTTTGAGCTTAAGCTACTAGCACTCTCCAATGCCTCACTTTTGGCCTTTCCCGTAGCTGTACTTGCCACGCTTTCCAAACTGTTAATCTCAGCGCTGATGCTAGTAACTTGAGCTTGGGCCGATGTTGCGACCTTAGATTGGGAGCTCAAGGATGCAGCACTAGATGTCGAAGCTTGAGAGATGGATTTGGAGAGGGATTTAGAGATTGAAGAGGCGGCTTCGGAGAGAGAGGATGCTTCAGATATGAGGGAGGATAAGGAAAAGCCGGTGGCTGTAGCTGTTACTGATGTAACGGAGGATAGAGAGGATAATGCTGAGGAAAGGGTATCTTGAGTAGACTTGGCTTGGGCATAATCTGATGTGACGGTGTTCACTGCACCAGATGCTTCTCCGGCGATGGATGTTCCATTTGATCCAAGGTCGGCTACTACAGTGGTAGCGAGGAGTGAGGAGAGGAGAGCTAGGGTGCTTGGGAAATGCATGGTTGATCTTTTGAGTTTTGTGAAGATATGATTCTGCTAATGGAGAATAAATCAATTGGATTTTGCTGAACAAGATCTATTAACTGCTGTGAGCTTTATAGAAACTTCCACCTGAGCATGGAAAATCCCAGACTTATAAATGCCCAATTCGAGAACGATGGTGATTGAGAAACAGGAGGATGAAACGACTGAGCCACGAAGCTTGTAGCAACAAACATTAATGCCTACGTCTAACCTTGCTGTTACTATTTGAAAGAAACTTTTTCTCCTGTAAAGTCGTGTCGTAAACGACCCCAAGTCATCGAAAGGAATCCTTACTCTAACAAATGCTAGGCGCCTTCTGCGGTCATACTCTTAGACGGGCAACCCCCCAAAATGTATTATAGACCTGGTAATGTCTTTTGTGTAAGGTCTGCAAATACACAATGCAGTGTTGAGGCATGCTCGCTTTACACGAAACCCTTTTGCAAAAAGGATGAAATGTGCTGACGAAGGATTTTCCTTCCTCTAAAGGGGTTCCTTTCCATAACTTGTTCGTTTTATTTCTGAACAAATTATGTCTCGCGCGGCTATAGACCCTTCCTCGCGACGGCTATGATCGAAGCCTGCGTAGCAAATGGCAATATTTGATGCGGCGTTGATTGTTTCTCAAGGGTTGAATTTATATTCTTCCGATAAGGTCATTGGGAGCTGTGTTTCGCTATTCCTTCCAATATGACAGTCTCCCGTTTAAATCTTTCTTACGAAAAGCCATAATTTTCCACTTGGTCTTGAAAATAGTAAATAGTCATAACCTTATGACACTTCTGGATTTTCCGTAACATAGCTTAAGTTCAAACGACTAGAACAATCCAAGAGATAACGAGTACAGATAAATAAACACACAATACTATCACGAACCACACAACTCCAGTTTATACACTTGAATCCCCTCCTAGAAGTGTACATTCCCAAAAGTATAGGTACAGATTCCACGAGCAAAGGCTTTATCACGAAACACCAATTGCAATTGCAAACACAACATTAGAAGAAACTATCCAACCGTTACCTTACCTCAAAGCCTTGTAACTATCGTAATCCCAGAATACATCATAAGGCTTATAATCCTATCCAAAAGACCGCAAATCATATCTCAAGAACAAACAAAGGTTGAAATACGAGACTGTCGTAATGTTGTAGTAACGTGGGATTGATCTAATGTTGTGTTTAAGAGATCCTTCATTGTTGCTTCGAATGAAAATCAACGTGATGGCAGGCTAATACCACCGAGAACCTCATTATACCGGATACCCGCATATACCCGCATATACCCGCATATACCGGGTAATTTGTATTAAATCTCTTTCTTTCTTTTCGTTTCGGCATACCGGAATCTCCGGATTTTATCTATATCGGACATAATTTTAATATTTCGGTATAAAATATATGCCGAGGTTGCAAGGAAGTTTAGATAAGATCTATCCAGGTAACATACGGCTGCATGGCAGATCATAACCCACTAATGGGGTTCATGTATCAATAAGAAAAATACGCAAGAGGTAAGTCTAGAACAAGAATTTTTTTTTCTTCACGATGTGAAATTTATATTGATCATGTAATTAATTTTCGAATTAAGTTTTCAATAAGAATGGAGAAACGAGATCATGAACCACACAGTCACAGAAACCCTCAGATATATTCATGAAACAACATGTATTGTAAAACAGATGATCGTCGTAGCACCTAAACCATTCCGAACATAACGCGTAAAATATTTCTCGTTAATATATCCATCATTTCCACCTACAACAAGTATAAAGCCGCACCCAAAATGGCCCCTCCAGCAATTGGTACCTGTGTTCTCATAGCTCCCGAACTGGATGTGGATGTAGCACTGGCGGCACTCTTTGTTGCGGAACTGAAGTCGCTGCTAGCTCTGCTGGTTGCACTTCGAACACCAGATGATGCGCTGGCCACATCGCTGCTGATACTGCTCATCGCCGCACTAATTGAGCTTTTAACTGCACTATCGGTAGCGGTCGCTGCTACTGAGCTCAGGCTCGAAATTTCGCTACTGGCTCCGCTTTGAATGCTCGAGAATTTGGATGCAGCGGCAGAAGTAATGGAAGAATAAGCTGAAGCGGCATCAGATGTTGCTGTCGAGAAAGCACCGGCTGCTCCTGAAGTGGCAGTTGAGAAAGCACCACCTGCTCCTGAAGTGACAGTTGAGAGAACTCCACCCGCCCCTGAAGTGACAGTTGTGAAAGCACCATCCGCGCCAGATGTAACAGTTGAGAAAACTCCACCTGCTCCTGAAGTGACAGTTGAAAAAGCTCCACCAGCCCCAGACGTAACAGTTGAGAAAACTCCACCTGCTCCTGAAGTGACAGTATCAACCGCTCCACCAATCGCCGACGTAGCCGTACTCAATGCGCCGCCGACATCCGAAGTGATCGAATTGACGATGCTTCCGAGATTTTGTGCTGATGCACCGATAGAAAGGAGGGCGATAGCTGGAAGAATTTGGTAACGCATGGTGAGGATAGTGATTGTGATATTATCGAAATTTACAGAGTTGATTCGATTTGTAGAGGTAGGAAGCACCGAGATTGAAAAGCTTTAAAGTATATCAGTTCGTAGATTTGATTTGTGAGTGAATAGCAGAAGTGAAGAAAGTGAAACAAGAGATGAAAATGAATCCAGCGGTCGGACAGCCTTATATATATATATCCTGCGAACTGTACTCCTACCTACCTACCTAGTAGAGCATCGTCACCTCATCTCACCGTGCCGCAAGGCTAGAATGGCGAGCGTAAGCATCTCCTCGTATTTCGAATGAGATTATTGCGGCAATTTCGTGCGAAGGTGCATGACGTTGTAAAGGGGCGGGTTAACCTGAAACTGGCTAGTGATAGCACTAGATGCTGTGGCTTAGCTCGCTTAGGTAATTACGATTCGCGGCGGTCACACAGCTTTTCTTTTAACTTTTGATGTGGCTCAGGGAAAAAAAGGGATTTTCAACTCCATTTTCGATGACATTCCGAGGTTATTCCAAACTTGGTTTTCTTGGTATATGGCTGGGTTGCTGGCAAGGAAAATACGTGTGCTTGCGCGTCATCTATAAATATCTTCATTATTTGTTACACCAATAATCATGAGCTTTTCCACAAGGCTTCGAGGCTTTTGTCGCAAACGTCTTTGCAAGTCCGAATGTTGAGGAAGGGGCTCAGCTTGATGTGCGGGGCGGTTTCACCAGAAGGTAGTTTTTGGGACAATGCAATTTCAAGTATCAAGATGTTTTTTTGTACAATTTATCATTAATTGTCTAGTGAGCCTTGTGTAGCCTATCTAAGCTACCATAGGAAAGTCGCACCACGAAATGCTTAAGCATACTTTGGCCACACTGGGGATGACCACGAAGCACCATCAGCGATGAGCTGAGTGTCCATTGCTTTAGCTCCGGCACCAACGTACAAGAATTTCGAGAAGTGGACAGTGCTATAGTACTTGTATGTTGTGTTTCCTGGAATGAAAACAACATCTCCTTGAATGAGTGATAATGTCTCGCCTTCCATTTCAACAGTTACCATGCCCTCAAGAACCTCGAAAGCTGCGTGGCCGGTATATTTCGATGTTGGGATAGTAACGTTAGACAACTTGCGGTCGAGTGTAATGGTAGACATAGAAAATTCGCCCTTGGATTGCACAGGAGTAATGAATGGCTGGATGATTTGGTAGCCAACAGCATCGTAGAGGTACTTTGGTCCGAAGTCCTTTGCAATGTAGTATGGAGAACCTTCGGCGCCGAGGGTGTTTGGACCGGTGTGCCAGGTGGTGTTTAATGGTGCAGTACCATTTATAGTATCGCTGCGTGGGACGTAGTCAGGCTTAGTATAGACGTCGAATGACTCAAGATAGCCAACTGGAGCTGAGGAAGAGTTACTGGCAGCGACGACAAGGAGAGGGTCGAAAGGTGGTTGTGTTACTGAGGAAGCTGAAGTCCAGTTGGAGTTTGCAAGCGCGTAAAACAAGTTTCTAAATTCTAGTGTCAATTTCATGTCTGGTTGCATTACAATTTGTCATGTCTGGGCAACTTACTCGAATCCTCCAGGTTGGATAACCCCGACCATCTCAGTGTCTGGATCGAGAAATTGGAAAGTATGGGTTGTGTTAATTGGTACACTTCCGAAGTCTCCTGCTGTCAAGACTCTTGTCTCATCGACCCCATCCTTCTCCGTCCAGAGCTGGTAGCGGCCTTTGAGATTGAAGAAATTCTCGTAATGTGCCTGGTGAATATGAGGAAAAACTCCCAAAGCAGACGATGGTGGTGCGTTTGTTGAGAGTAGAGAAAAGGCATATCCCGAAGATGGTCCGGTCACGGGGAAACGATAGAGCTGGTTACCAACCATGCAACCACCTGCATCATAATGCGCGATTGCATAGGGGCGTACATGGTCAGGCACCTCTGTTACCCAAACCGAACTCTTTTCATGGGAAGTAGTACGACTAGCGGATGCAAGCCCGAAGGCAAGAACTAATGAGGTTAAGGTAGAGGTGTGCATGATGAAGGTGATCAAAGAACTTGTGTTTGAGGTGAAGGTAAAAGAAAGAGTGCAAGATAAATGATGTACGGGTATATATGTACAAAAAGAACATGATCCACTCTTCCACTCTAGTCGGCATTCATACCATCTGAGAGATATCACCGATGCAAATCCGTAAATGTAACGGTGCACCATACCTGAAAAATAACAAGGGTCTCCAAGGTACCTTTGCGTGGGTTTGACCCCTTCACCGTCTACTTGATATGTTGGGGTAATAAACGATGTAAATGGGACTATGCGTCCTGTATAGGCTTAACGCATTCAGTTGGACGACGCGTCCCATTGGCGGGTAGAGCCTTTTTTCGGTTTAGATTTCGGAGATATAGTATCTACCTGGCCATCTTCATCAAATCCTTCCATTAGCCTTCCCGACCATGATCTTAATCGGGACTTCAAAGCAAGATTCATGATCCGTCCACCATCAGATTGATTAGATTAACCACCACCTTCCACCACGACAGGGCCGCTCATATCCATGAGGACGGGAAACCTACTCTATTTTCTCGTGACGGCATGAGATCGGTAAATCTGATATCATAGATGTAAAATGTACTAATCTAGCCACGGCCAAGATAGAACATGTGGAGAAATAGACTTAACCGTAGTACATCCGCTAGATCGACAGAGCAATAATGGGGAAACAAGCCACCGCGACAGTGTGGACGGGTGGAGAGGGTTAGAGAAGCAGAAGCCTTTGGTCCCTTCTTCAAAAATTGAAGATTCATCAAAGTGGACGGACGCATGGCATTGGCAGGGCCGAACATTTGGAAAAGTCCATCTAATAAATAAACAACTGGGGTAAATCTGCCCTAAGGAATGGTGGACGAGTGGGTACTATTGCTTGGTATAGTGGACGGCAAAGCGGTGAGTTTTGGATTGGCCCGACTCCTTTTAATGGCCTTCCGTTTGTTTGTAATCTTACATTGCCGAACTTGAGGTTGGCTACTGAATACCAGTCAGTACAGTACATGCAAATACGTGAACACGAATATAGGACCACATGAATAAACAAACACATGATGATGCCATTTTTACACTTTCTATTTCTCCTACGTCGGCTATGAATATACTAGACGTACCCAAACACCGAATCAAACACCAAACGCTATGCTATGCTGTGCTGCGCTATTCTATGCTACGCCATGCCATACAGTCATTTAGTCGCTTCAACCCAATAAATTCAATCGCTTCAATCCGATGCTTGCGCGCTTGCTGTGTAACACATGAAAATAAAAATTTTACCTCTCTGGCTCCCCTCTTCTCCTTTTGTTTTTCCGTTCCGCCATGCTTTCCTTTTTACGAACTTCTACTCAAACTCGGTTGCTTTGTTACTCACTCGCTGTTCCACACTTTGTACATACCATCTTCTGTGTCCTACTTACACCCACTCCAAACTTTTTAGCTTTGAAGTCCTTCCCTCCGCACTTCTTACACGCAGCTATTTGATCACTGCCATCACTAGCCTCGCCTTCTACATCTCGGTTTCCATTTGTCAAATCAGAATTTGCATCACTGCTTAATTTAGAGACAATACTATTTCCACGGGATGAGGTGGTACCACGTTCTGCGCCTAATTTGTTTATATTTTGGTTCGCAGTTGAGCTGTTTTTCCAATTTGCGATATTCCAAAATTGATAAGATTTTCCTGTAGTATCCGTCTTTTGGGCACTGAAAATCTCCCCGCTAGGAGGAGATGGTGCAGAATTGAGTGTGAAGGATGGGGCTGGCGGTTGACTTGGGAGGGATTGATGAGATTGGTGAGATTGTGATTTGAAGATGGATTGAGGTGGGCTACTTGTAGCAATGGAAGGAGGGCCGTGACCGCCACTTGTCATTGTCGTAGTTATGGGTACAACGCTACCATACTGGAGTTGACGGGAGGCACTTGCGAGATTGGCGGAGGAGGATGATGAGTAAGGTGCTCGATTGATTTTGGCGGGCGAGACGCTACGATCATTTCGGTCACTGAAAAGAGGTGGTTTGGTGTGAGAGCTGGAGGTCTTGGGTCTATCGCTGAAAACTGCCTTGCGCCAGTCGAGGATGTTATTTTCGGCCTGCGTTAGGGGCCCTGAAATAGAATTCTGGGAGATGGAGGTTTGACGTGACAGGGATCCACCACTTTGACGAGTCATTATACTGCTGCTACGGACGCGCATCCTTTTGGAAAACTGAGATGATGTTTCCCATTGATCATTGCGACGTTTCTGATAGGCGCAGTCTTGTCGAAAGACTTTTATGCGACCAAGGTAATCTGCGGTTACTATAATATTGCCATCATTATGATTAGACCTGGCAAGGTAAGCAGATGATTGTTCAGGCCTCCTTATCTGAGGTTCTTGAAAATCTTCAATTGGAACAGTCATGGAATCGCGGTTTCCTGCTTCACTAGTTGCACGAGGTGTCGAAGGAAGGATTGATTCCTCTCTACTCAGTAAAGTCACAGGCGGTGGATTGCACAAATCGTAGACAGGATCTCCAGAGCCACTGAGAAGTATTCTAGATTTCATCGGCGCCATCACAGCGGCTGTGACAACCTCGGAATGAGCCTCAAGAAACTCACAAGGCCTTTTATCCTTGCTCTCATTGTCCGTAACTCCAAGGGACCATATGTAAGCTTTGTTGTCCTCACTACCACATATAACATATTTTGCATCATCGCTGAACTGGGCCGTAATTTGACTGTAGGCATTTTCGTGGCTTCTAAACTTCATCTCTAGAGCTTTATCTCTAAGGTTGTACATTCGGACTCGAGAGTCATTGGAAGTGATCAAAACTTTTGTTTCGCCTTCCGGATCATTGGGAGGATAAACAATCGTGCGAATACCGGTGATTTTGCTTCCCTTTGCATTTTTCCCTCGTGATGACCGAACATGAATTTGAGTGTGGTATTTCAAGCCTTCGGTTTCGTAAAACAAACAGATGCCACTTAGAACACCAGCTATAGCTGTCTTGCCATCTGGGCTGAATGCCACAGCCGTTATGAGACCAGGTAATTGATTCCAAAAGGCAACACTTTTGTCGGGAATACTCCAAAGTCGAAGGATTGAATCTAGTGACCCAGCCAAGAAAAAGCGATCGTCGCGTGGATGAAAGGCTATTGATGTAACAAAATCCTTGTGGTTAAAAGTACACAAACACTCCGGTCTGCTTATATGCCATAATCGCACGGTCTTGTCCATTGAAGAAGACAGCAAAAAATTGTTTTTGCTCCAACTAAGGTCCAAAACATCCATAGTATGGCCCTCAAATTCCTGTATTGGCTTAGATTTGAAGACAGGAGCGCTCAACTTTTCACCATCTTCGGATTCATGTGCTCGCCGCTCCTCCGCGGTTGATATTACTGCCCAAACTCTAACCACTCGGTCCTTCCCTGCCGCGGCAAAATATTTCCCATCTTTGCTAAACTCGGCTGCCCACACTGCGCCGTTTGACTTTGGTGGTTTCGATAACTTGTTAGGGTGTTCTGAAGTCGTCGAACTTTGCACTTTCTCCTCCTTTGACAAAATTCTTGTGCCACTCAACTCCTGAGCTAAAAACATGCGATTGAACTCCATAGTCTTCTTATTATGGGCTCGGACCTTAATATATCGTGGTGGCTCCTTATGTCTCGGAATATAGCCGTTTGCACCTATTGCCGAGGAAAAGACATGAGCATTCATGCCTTCGGTGCGTCGATCGTCCAATTCGCCCTCGTCGCCATCCATTTCTGGCTCCTCATTCTTCCTTCCTCCTAATATATTGAAACGATTTAGGAACGAGACTCCCTTCCTACACGATTTCGATGATTAGCTTTCATAATGATTGCCCAACTCTCGCCAACATAGCAGCCCCGAAGGCACAGTAAGCAACTCTACAAGCAAGGCTCTTTATTCGCCATTGTACTAAATGTAGACTTACTTCCTGTCTTTTCCTAGATTACTATCGCTGCGACTCTCCGGTGTCAACTGCCTACCAGGGGAACCTGTGTCAGGACTCCCCGGCTCTGCGAGCTCTGGAAGAATACCTCCTGAGGTAGGAGCATTTCGAATTTTTTGGGGAACTGTGTTCTCAGTATTCGTACGCTTCAGTATATGCTACATATCGGTCAGTAAATGTGACCTTCAAGCTGGTATATTGTTCATATAGAGCCATCCAAAGAGTAAATCTGATGTCACATACATGCGAGAGAGGGTCGATAGCAGAAGACGATCGTGCAGATGCTGTGTCACTTCCATTTTCCTTGTTGGCTACTCCATTTCGAATGAGTTTTATTGGAGACTTCTTTGAAATTGTGGAATGCCCATTGTCTAGAAACAAAACTTGCATCAGCACATTGCATCTGATAAGTAGCAGTAACACTTATAATGTTTCCCTCAAAGTATTACATGGCCAATAATGATATATAAATTGGTCGCCCTACCTTCCGATGAAGTTGCAGAGCCTCGCCTCCCTCCTTCAGTCGAAGGGGACCCAATAGCTTGTTGTTGCTCCTTGCTGCCCTTCAAACGCCCATCTGTCACTTTGATACTCGGCAATTCTGAATCAGCCATTTTGTCTCTGCGGCCATAAATCCAGTAGTTTTTGAAAGCTAGTGTAGGTAGATTAGTTAACAAGCTGCGAGTAGTTTTGTGCAAAATGTGTGGTCACTTCCTCTTCTTTCACCACACTCCGCTCCTTTCCGGGGGGAATCCAAATTTCTCGGCTTTTTGGAGATGGAAACAGATATTTAGATGTTCGAGCACGAGCACATGTGTTTGGGTCCAAAAAATTTATGATTTTATGGACATTTTGGATGGTCCTAATTCTAACATAATGAATTACCATAGAAAGTCGTCAATAGATGTGGTGTACACAAGGTACCAATTGATTCTTATTGTGTCTGAACTTTCATGAGGAAACTCGCCTGGGCACGCCAAAGTTCATAATCCTTCAGGGTTCAGTCATGTTCGAAATGAGTGAAGAGCGCTGAATGAAATGCCTTAGAAAGCGGTGTCGCCTAAAATGGCAGAATTATAGAACAGACATCGATAAATGTCTGGAACGGAAGGAAAAAGGAAAACAGATGCAACAGCTGAAAAGGCATTGTTTGAGAATGGAAACAGGAAAAGTATCCGCAGGTCACCTTACCTACCTCCGTCAAGCTCTCGACCTTGCCCGACTTTCTCCACCTAAACCTACCAATTTTCGCGTTGGCGCATTACTTCTCAATGCTTCTACGAACACTGTTATTGCAACAGGTTATACACTAGAATGCCCTGGCAATACACACGCAGAACAATGTTGCTTCATAAAGTTCTCTCAAGCTCACAATATACCTGAAGATCAGCTTGCAGATGTGTTGCCAGAACATACGATATTATATACCACAATGGAGCCATGCGCAAAGAGGTTGAGTGGGAATGTTAGTTGTTCAGAGAGAATCTTGAGGCTAGGTGAAACTGGGAAAGGAATTCGAAAGGTGGTTGTTGGCGTGAGAGAGCCAGAGAAATTTGTGGGCGAGAATGAAGGGAGGAGAAAGTTGGAAGATGCGGGCATTGAGGTATTGCTGGTGAAAGGATTAGAGGAAGAAATCTTGGAGGTTGCTACAGCAGGACATGTTCCTGCATCTGATAGATGAACAATTGTACGCTGTTCTGCATATGGTGCATTGGCCTCTTTAAGCGCGATATTTTTTATTCTAGGGTTCACATGTGCGTTTAATTGATGATGCAGTGGCTTTCCCTTGGGTGAACGTTGAATCAGTGATGCCTTTCATTCAAGGACGATGAGAGTTTGTTAGGTTCATGTGTACCAACAGATCATTGGCACCACAATATTCCTACCGTCATATTTCGGACATTTGAGCAGTATTTTCTGCAAATTTCATGAGCGTCATGCAAGTTTGGTATCCAAAGCATTGCCATGAAGCGCGGCATACAAAAGAGTACCCAGGAGTATGTATTGAAAACTGCTCTAGAAATATGGAGCTCCCCACGGTGGACTTGCAGAAGACCTTTCTGCTGGAATTTTTTTCAGTTCTCTAGTATTGTTTCATAATGTGTGAGACCTGGGGAGATGAAGGTGATGTGAGTGGCTTAGCGCTTGCGTCGAGGTTGACCTATGTCTGGATAAACCAACCATAGGTAGGCAGTTTTCTTAATAACGCTTCTGCAAAGAGCTCAATAAAGGTTAACTCGCAGCTTCATTAAGCAACTATTATGTTCTCGGCGCATTCAAAGAATGGAATGTTGATCCCAAGGCGGACACGCCAGCGATGAACATCTATCCACATGTTTTCTACAATCGCATCATCTTGTTTCAGTCTCAGATGCTTCATTGTTAAATCACTCCTTATTTTAACAGTCCGCAATGTATAAGGGAGCCGTTAGATTAGTGAAGAGCATTGGGTTTCCGAGCACCAAAGAATTCCATCTTCAATCTTTCAGACAAACATCCCGGTCTTGGAACTATTTCCACGACTTCACTACAAACAGATGTCAAAGTAATCATCTACAGTGCATCTTCATACGTAATACTCATTGCAAAATCCTGCGTGACCTGCGATTTTTTATCTATCTTAGGTTTCCATCTGGTGTACATCTTGCACTTATGTTGCCTTTTGTCTGCTACGATGACTATGTGTGCCACAAACAGAGGCGATTCTACAGTGGACATCCTGGGATTGTGGTTTTAAAGAAGGTTTCGAGGGGTGCAGAAGATTTTGGTTGATGTTTTGAGCACAAATGAGCCTGTCCAAGTGATTTCATTGAGGATGGATTTTGTTGGGTAGTCTCATTCTGGATCCTAATATGTACGTATCTAATGGATTTGGCTCGGTTAATAAAAAGGAGAGAGACGAATAGAGCCAGAAATTTCCCCTTATCGGTTCAATTATTCGGATAATAGCAAATATAAGCATCAAACTAACCGGGGAAGAATTCAAAGAATCCATATCTCAACGCATCCCAATCCACCTACAAGAAACAGCGCAACAGCACCTTGTCCAAAGTCGGTATGACACCTCAAACTTCGGACAAGTCCCTAAATACGGGGCTTCTGCTCGGCAAAAAAATCAACTTCCTACCAAGATACTGAACGAGGAAGAAACAGGAGTGAGTTAATGACGCGGAAGCGAAAATTGAGTGTGATAACGGTGGCTGGGAGGGGAGATGGAAGAGAGAGAGAGAACAGAAAAACGTAGAGTTTGTCGATCTCGGTAGTGTTTATGATGAGGCAGGCGAGTTTCGTGAGTGTTTGGAATATTTGGAGTGGGCTTGATCTTGCACTTTTCACCGGATGGTTTTCTGGTTTAAGTGGGATAGCTTGGATTCACATCTAGATTGGGTAGAAAGAAAGAATATTGTTTTTTGATCTCATCGTCCTTGTAGACTGTCTGATGGTACCTCGATAACAACCGTACATTCACTCACCTTGCGAGTGATTTAGTAGCATCACGAAATATCCTCAAACCTTCAACATATCAATATCAGTTGAGGATGAATTCAAAGGATAGTGCTGGCCAAGTCGTTGCCGTTGAGACCAGGCGCTTCTTCATAAATAGGCATTCTGATCCTGATGCTTGATCTGAAGTGTTTATTCCAACCTTGCATGTAGGAGTATCTGGACAGGTTGAGGGCTGACGTCGTGATATTGACAGGGGAGGGTTACGTAAATTGGGGTGGTTATCTTTCCCCACATTTTCGTGGAAAGTGGAGTTAGTTTAGGAACGGAATATTGATTAAACCCGCGGGGATTTATTTATATATTCTGTATACCTAGGAGTTTTGCAAGTGACATGATTAACGAGATTGGAGAGCGATGTTATTGTAAGTGAAGTTGCAGTATCCTGGCAAAAAGATGAACAAATGCTGGGAAAGGATGTTCGTTCTTCAATTCTATATCAAGATAGGATAAGAATGTCTTCGAAATGTTATGCCGGAATTAAACTCCCAAGCTGCATGCTGATAAGGTATGATAAGGAAGACTGATTAGTGCGAGATAAAAGATAAGCATTGGATTGTGTATCTTGCGGGCAGTTTTGTCACTGGCCTGACGTCGTGACAATATGATAGTTTCTTCAAATGATAGATGTTTGGTTGAATTGTGCCCAATGATCATTTAAAAATAGATGCAAAAGACTTTCAAAATGCGTTGATAATGTACCTTTATATACATATATGAAAGACGGAAAGATTCAACGATGAGAATCAGAGGGACATATGAAGCTGGGGAGACCAAATGAGACCAAATAAAATCTAGACCAAGATAAAAAAGATAAAGGAAGGGAAAACGAAACCATCAAGAGAAATCTACCCGATGTTACCTCCTGATAGCAGGGGTTCCAGGCTAAACCTTCCTTATTAAGTATAAGATCTGATAGCTGCTGTACGACCCCTTCGCTTCAAATGAAATCCTGTCATGCCCTCAAGGCGGCAGATAATTAATAAATGTCCGTTGTACTACATAGATATGCCACATCCACGAAATCTTCTCTTGATTTAAAACAATCATCCTCAGATTGAAGATGGCCAATTTGTCACATTCGAAAAGTAATGCATCAACTCATAATGACCTGATAAGTCGCCCTGCTGTCACAACAGTACCTGTAGGAGATGTCTCGAATCTTGAAGGCTTGAGCGCAGATGAAGCTGCACTGACGGCTTTGGGTTATAAACAAGAGTTCAAACGAGAATTTTCACTATGGACAACCTTTTGTGTTTCGTTCGCGGTATTGGGATTGCTGCCCAGTTTCGCAAGCACGTTGTATTACGGGATGGGATATGCTGGTACTGGAGGAATGGTTTGGGGATGGTTGATTAGTTGGTTCTTCATTCAGTGTGTGGCTATGGGAATGGCAGAGTTGTGTTCGAGTATGCCGACTAGGTGAGTGTTCTTGAATGATGTTCAAAAACGAAAATGCTAAATTTTTCTAGTGGTGGATTATATTATGCTGCCGCGGTACTTGCTCCCCCAGGCTGGGGCCCTTTCGCAGCTTGGATAACAGGATGGTCCAATTGGATGGTACAAATCACAGGAGCACCAAGTGTGGACTATGCGCTCGCTGCCATGGTTCTTGCTGCCGCTTCAATCACTCATCCCGAGTATGAGCCAACCAATTATCAGACATTCCTGTTGACGGTCTTGATCATGATCATCCATGCATGTATATCAAGTATGCCAACATTATGGATTGCGAAGTTCAATTCGTTTGGATCGACATTGAATATGATAGCTTTGTTGGTGGTAATCATCATGATTCCAACGTCGGTTACTGGGACTGCCACAACGCCTAAATTCTTCCCTTCGAAGGAGGTCTGGTCCATTCAGAATGGCACTGATTGGCCAGATGGAGTCGCGGTTTTGATGTCTTTTATCGCAATAATCTGGACAATGTCTGGATATGATGCTCCTTTCCATCTCTCTGAGGAGTGCAGTAACGCCAACGTCGCAGCTCCACGAGCTATTGTCCTGACTAGTGGGATCGGAGGTCTTATGGGATGGGCTTTGCAACTTGTCGTTGCTTATACTGTCATCGATATAACCGAAGTTCTTGATTCCCCACTCGGGCAGCCATGGGCATCGTATCTCGTCCAAGTGATGCCACAGAAGATTGCGCTCGCTGTTCTTGCCATCACTATCATGTGCGCATTCTTCATGGGCCAAGGATGCATGGTGGCCGCCTCCCGCGTAACGTTTGCTTATGCCCGAGATGATTGCTTTCCGTGCTCTTGGTGGATCAAGAAAATTAATCAGTATACTTATACTCCAGTCAACGCTGTGTGGTTCAATACAGTCATAGGCTGCCTTCTCTTGTTGTTGATCTTCGGCGGAACCGTAGCCATTGGCGCGATCTTCTCCGTCGGCGCTATCGCAGCTTACGTTGCTTTCACCATCCCTATCTTCATTCGAGTATTCTTTGTCGGGGACAGATTTCGACCTGGACCATGGCATCTTGGTAAATTCAGTAAGCCGATCGGAATAGCCGCCTCTTCTTTTATTCTTGTAATGATGCCGATTCTCTGCTTTCCGGCTTATAAAGGTAATGACCTTACAGCCTCGTTGATGAATTGGACAGTGGCTGTATACTTCGGTCGTAAGTATCTCTAGATTTTGCTTTATTATATCCATCTTCGGCGGCTAATAATGGATTCAGCGATGAGTATGGTAATGATCTGGTGGTTTGTGTCAGCACGTAAATGGTTCAAGGGACCTGTGATCAATGTCGAGGTAAATTACATACGTCCCATACCAACATTCCAGCCACGAAGGCTAACACGGGTAATCCTAGCATCATATGATGGGTACAGACCCAGAAGAAATTGTGGAAGGAGTCGAGGATAGTTTAGATGATGGAATGATTAGGCCGAAGTCTTTCGAGGCGAAACGCGAGCTGGCAGGAATTCGGGCTCCTATAACCTCTGAAGTGACCCAGTGAAAGTTTCTGGATCTGCAAGCATGTTAGCATTAATCTATATTGAGACATTAGGAATGGTAGATGTACATTGGCCCTTCAATCGATGATTAGTTGTTTTTCTCCTGCATCAGTTGCAAAAAAATCATAGTAACAAAAACTCCAATTCCAAATACCATACAGGAGACTGGCTCCATATCAGTTATTCTTATGTAGTCCAATTTTCGTTAAGGGGCAAGTAGAGTGCAATGAGGTCTTTGCTGTTGAGGCTTACTGATGAAGGTTGAAGAGATAGTTGGAATTGGATGCGAAGCGTGAGGACAGAAGGAAGATATACTCTTCACCTCCCGCTGGCAGCGAGATTGCATTCACCTACAATAGAAGCTTACCGAAAAAGCATGCGGGATTTTTGCTTCGTGAGTTGAATATAAAATCCCTCATCATGACAACCCCCTAAACTTGCCCAAGAAATTCGCGCGCGAACGATAGGATTTAGTGCAGTTGTACGACAGACTTTGACAAATAGGAAGAAAAGCCATCCCACTCGGTCTCAATAACAATATGAGAATACTTGAATGACAATGGGATATCATGAATAGAGCGGGAGTACGAGGAGGAAACGACGAAAATGTAGATAAAGTTGAGCGACATGACTAAAAGATTTTATGTGCTGGAGGACCCCCACTTGAGGCAAGTATGGTAGATCTCAAAACTAGGATAGTGAGAAGAAATAATTGATAACTCCGATAATGGATGTTTTGAAGTTTCACCAAAGTTGGAGGATATACTACATTTTCCACTTGCTTGCCCCCCTTTGTTCCCATGCATCAGGATATCGAATATACTCGGACCATTGTTCCCACATCCCCGCAGTTATTGATTTTCTAAACCAGCTAGGTTCTTCATTCTCACCTGCGTTGCGATAAACAACTTTCCTGTGTTAATATAATCAAGGTAGCTCAAGGTAGCGCAAGACAGAGAACGGACAGAGAAAATGTGAACTCATGCCTGAATATTCAGGCTTCTACGAAACAGTGAATCTTAGAATTCGCCTGCCTCTCTTTACCTAGCATTCAGACTTATAGAACGCTGCTAATTTGTTTCCACCCTCCGTAGCATATTGTGGTGCGGTGTAACAACATGATAGGAAGGGTGCGCACATATATTTTTACGTGAGTGGCAAACCTATGCACGAATGTCGTTCAAAGTCGTTCGGAAGCCCGAGGGCGGGGATGTTTCCTTGTTATCTCCATCGAATTACGACGACGATGCACCCTCTTTACATTCAGAGCGCAGCAGTCAAGATGACGACAGTGATGATGATAAGGTACTTAAAGGGGCACGAACGTCGGCGGATATTAGGAAGTACGATCGTGGTGTATTAGAAGAGGAAGAAGAAAGGGACGAGCTACTGGAGAGGAATCGACAGGGCGGGAAGAGGAGAGGGAGTGCATTGGAAGGAATAAGCTCCGGACTCAGAGGTCTATGGAGTAGGAGCCATGTTCTGTTACCTGGAGCCGATGATGGAGGTTCCGCAAACCAGAATGATAAAGCCGAGCCAGAAGACAAACGACGCCAAAGGAGAATTAGAAGGCAAATGAAGAAGGAAAAATTGATGGAAGATGCAAGTTATGGCGAAGCTGGAGAGTTAATGATTGAGATGGAAGGGGGGCGCATGAAAGAAGGCAGTGTGACAGGTTCAAGCAGCGAAACCGATGAGAGTGACGATGCCGATAGACGTGGCTTGCTCAACATACGGGACAAGACAGTACAACGAAAAAAGGCGAAATGGGCTTGGTGCGCTATATACCTTTTGATTGCAGTAGGTTTTATGGCTCTGGTATTGGTGGCGTGGAAATTGTCGCTGAAAGCACGTTTCACGAAAGTTCACCAAAATATTTTGAGCAATGGCACAGCTTTATTCGCTCCAACAACGATTCTGATAAGCTTAGATGGGTTCCGAGCCGATTTCTTAAAGCGGGGCATCACGCCTAGATTAAATGCTTTTGTGGAGGAGGGGATCTCGCCTGTCTATATGATGCCTAGCTTCCCTTCTGTCACCTTCCCAAACCATTATACATTGGTTACTGGTCTTTACCCAGAATCACATGGAGTTGTGGGAAATACATTCTGGGACAAAGAACTAGAAGAAAAATTCTACTACACCAAATCTGAAGCGATGAATAAGAAATGGTGGGGTGGTGAACCTCTCTGGGTCACTGCTGAAAACCAAGGAATTAGAACTGCCATTCACATGTGGCCAGGGAGCGAAGCACATATCATGGATGTGGAGCCGTCATACTTGGATAAATACAACGGGAAAGAATTGCTGCCGAATAAAGTCAGCCGAGTACTTGAGCTTCTAGATAAGCCTGGTCAGGAGGATAACCAAGCAGAAATAGCTGATATGAGACCTCAACTCATCGCGGCGTACGTGCCCAATGTTGATCAGCATGGACATCTTTATGGACCAAATAGTACTGAAATTAGGACAACAATATCAGAAGTAGACACTATGCTTGATCAACTGTTTCAAGGACTAGAGGCAAGGAATTTGACAAATATCGTCAACGTTGTTGTTGTTTCAGATCATGGAATGGCTACTACAGACAAAAACCGCCTTATTCAACTGGAAGACATCGTTGATACTAGTCTAATTGAGCACACTGACGGCTGGCCCTTGTATGGACTTCGGCCAAAGGACCCTGCGCACCTTCAAGGCCTTTACGATAGTTTGGCTGCGGAAGCTGCCATTAATCCCAATTTTGAGGTCTACCTACGTGATGTCAATATGCCTGAACGTTATCATTTCTCCAAAAATGAACGAATTGCCCCCCTATGGATTGTTCCAAAGACTGGTTGGGCAATTGTCACGAAGGATGAAATTGATGTAGTTGAAGCAAAGGCAAAAGGCATTGTCTATCATCCTCGAGGACTGCATGGCTACGATCATGAACATCCGCTCATGAGGGCTATTTTTATCGCTAGAGGCCCTGCTTTCCCGCATGAGCCAAATAGCCGTGTTGAGCCTTTTCGTAAGTTCTGTACGGTCTTCATCAGCCAAACCTTACTAATATGATGTAGAAAATATTGAAGTATACAACATAATTTGTGACTCTCTCGCTCTTACGCCCAAACCGAATAACGGTACACTACGCCTTCCGCTCAAGCCTATTGGACTTCATTCGCCCGACACATCCCCTCCCGAACCTGCTGACCCAGAGCCTGTTCCTTTGAAATCAGTCTCTCCAACAAATGGGACTCTGTCTATATCGCCAATTGAAGCTAGTCCTGCAGCAGATCCAGAGCCGGTTCCTTCGAAATCAGTCTCTCCAACAAATGGAACTCTATCTGTATCGCCTATTGAAGCTAGTTCTGCCGCAGATCCTAATGTCGTCCCTCCACATATGGTAGGTGTTGATGTACCAGAAAGCTCGGAAGACCCAAATGTGGACAGACCGGTAGTGGAAGACGAAAGTAGTACGACAAATGATGCGAAGAATTGGTGGGCATGGTTCAAGGGAGAATTGGACGACTTTAAAGGCTGGGTTTCTGATTTGTCCCATGGAAATGGGAAGAATGAGACTCAGGCGCAAAAATAGAATTGTTTTTAATATTTTTTGGCGCTAGCATGGGATATTCTAGGAGTTTCGGAACTAGATATATACTGGCTGATTAGGGAATTCATCAGGAGGCGCCTTTAATTAGATACCATGGTTGGAATTTCATGTACAATAGATTTATTAAGACATCGCTTTATGCTTATGAACTGACGTTTAAACTCGCCCATTAAGTTATTGGTGAGTTGATACACTGTGGTCCTTCCTATACAGCTAAAAGGAACGTGTTGGCAATGTCTGAAACTGAACCCAAGGCATAATGCTTTGCCCTTGAAAATCACACTGAACATGAGTACTGCATTAAAGTAGGAGCCAAGTATTTAACTCTCACAGGGTTGGGCAAAAGGTAGGTATAACTGGGATGACCCGGGGTAAAACCGTCGATATATTACCCTGCTCTATTGGGTAGGTAACCATCCTATGAAATGCTCCGGGTGCTAGGGTATCTGTGGGTATAGAATATGTGATTTTATATATTATATGATCTGAATATTATATAATGCTATATTGTATTATATGATATCGATCAATCGATATGTATATCATTGACTAAGATAACTAGGGACAATTTCAACTTTGGATGATAGTATAGGACGACCACATGATATTTACTTTGCGGTACCCAAATGCCCGACGATACTATTGAATAACCACCTGATAAACCTTCGATGGGGTAGAGTAACCTCCCTGTAAAGGTCAAGTAACCCCGGTAGAGTACAGGTGCCCATACCTGGGCTCTCAAGCATTCTCCAATTTGCCATGTATAGTTCTCCTCCCATTTACAATTAGTTCCGAACCAGTCTGAACTTTGACATTGCCATGGACTGTAAAATTTCCGTGAACATGCAGCTTCCCATTGATCTTCACACTACCACTTGCCTTGAAATCACTACTAAACCCAATGTCAGTCCATATGCCATCACTCACACAGGAAATCTACTTACCGAACTTCCACATCCCCTCCAATCTCCATACCACCTTTCGATTCCAATTCCCCCAAAACAATTCTCTGCGTCTCCAACGACTCAACAACAATCTTCCCACTACTCTCCACACTTCCCACCTCCACCGCTCCCCTAATAGTAACCGGCCCACTCGCATCCACCTTCCCTCCAACTCTGACCAATCCTCCCACTCCTTCCAACAATACCTTAGCACTACTCTTCACATCACCCTGCACATACACATTCCCCCTCATCTCCACACTAGAACTACTTTTCACAGTCCCCATAATCACCACTCCTCCTTTTCCCTCCCTACCATCTAATGTCACAGGTGAGCTCGCTTTCACATCACCGGATACAGTAACATCATCTAATAGGTTTACCCTTGCACTGCATCTAATGGGACCGGTTACAGTGACATGGTGAAATAATGTGATGGTTGAGGAACTAGACACTGAGTCGAGGATTTTGAGGGGGCCGGAAAGGAAAACAGAGCGGCAAGATGAAACGGCGTTGGAAATGGGAATGTTTGGCGGGGCTGTGGTTGTGGGGGTGTATGTGGATGTGGAGGCGGTAGAGAAGGAAGGGGAGGGAAGAGAAGATAAATCTTGTGGGTAGCTGGAGGCGATGGACTCGGTTGGGGTGTCGTATGGCGTGTATGCGGGCGGACTTTGGCTCTCGGCATATTCTGGGATTTGGACCTTATTATCACATGGTATGAGGACCATTTTGATGATGTCGCTGCGGGAGTTTTGGAGAAATGGATAGTATCACGTGGTGAGTTTGATGGGCTGTTGTGGAGGATCTTGGAGAGATGGTATTGTGCCGATGAATGTAACAACGTAGATAGACTTGGAGATGGGGAGTATCAAATTGATGAATATATAATAAAGGGCTAATTCCTAAGATCGATGCTGACGCAAGCGTTTTCAGCTTTCTGTTTGTAGTGAAGTTGAATCGCAGCCTAATCTTATTGTGGATAAATCTATTGTGGCTGGGCAATGTTTATAAGCCATTCTCATTGGGAGGCTCGTATGGAATCTCTGGGGAAGAATAATTTACTAATTGAGGATCAATAAATAAATGTACCTACCATTTTCCAGACGGTGGTTTGTTCTCATGTAATGTGATTTTAGTGTGTAGGGAGTATTCGCAAAAGATATGGTTTCAAAACTAAACATTTACAAAATCAGTAATTTATCAAATTCTTACTTGTATAGGTCTTGTAATATAGATTCTCTATCTCTAATACCCATTTACTTTATTTTTTCCCTCAATTCATCCTCTATACCAATATAATCTTTAACACTATACGGCTCAAAGATTTCCCAAAACCATCCTGGTTTTCTATGATTCCTCAATCCCATATCTTTAAGCAACATATCATAATAAGGCAACCCATCAAAAACTGTATCAGGATGTCTAGCGCCAAATCCTGAAGGGTACCTCCATTTTCCAAACCTACTGTGCAACACGGTTTGATATTCTATATCGGAAGGGATGGAGACTTTGTTGCTGAAAAATGCAGTCGTCCAAAGTGCTTGGAATTGCGCCATGAATGATGTGGAGACTGATGATAGACATCCCATAAAAGCGATATCTCGAGACTCTATGAATTTAGGAGGGACCATGAAACGGAATAGTCTGAATGGTTCGAGAACTCCGTCTGGAGCTCCTTCCATTGGCTTGGCTTTTTTGCTGGAGAGTGGCTCGTTCTTTAATCGGGGAAACTTGGAAAGGATCTCTTCATCGGCTCTTTCTATCAAAGCGGTTGGTTCCTCGGAATTTGGCGTATGAGGAAGTCCTAGATCGATTCCTTTGGGAAGAAATTCTAGTGGTGGAATATGTTTCCATCCGGTAGCACAGACAAAAGCGTCAGTCTGTATTTTTTCACCATTTGAAAGGCTCACGATATTTGCTCTTAGATTCACAATGTCCGCAATATGCACGGAGATTGCACCTGTGCGGACAAGTTCAAAGATATCCGTATCGTGGTTCAAAATCGAAAGCATCGCTCCAATGAAGAAAGGATTCGACCAAGGTTTAAGCTTCGCAGTCTCCGGGTGCTCATCATATTTATTCACCGTTTTTATCTCGTTACTGAAATTTTCCCAATACTTATCGACGAGCCAACGACCGGCTGCTGTGCCGTGTAACCAGGAACGCGCCGTTCCATAGCCATCATAGTCGCCATATATGCTGGGACTAAACCAAGTCAAAATCCGAGTATTGACTAGCTTTTCGGTCCAAATTTTGAGGGGCGTGGAATAAGGTTCGGTCATCCATCCCGGACCATGGCCTGATTCTCGGATAATCCAGTCTACATGGACTCCCTTTGAGGCATATGCATAAGCCATATCATAAGCGGATTTCGCGCCTCCAAAAACGCATACGTTTTTCGATGTCTCCATGGTATCCAGATGATTTGGAAATTCCTTCGAATGGAACATGGGTGCTGTGAAACTCTCCATCCCAGGAAATGAAGGAACAAACGGCTCTGATGTTAACCCCGTCGCAACGGTCAGTTTCGACGTGGATATCTTGTATTCTCCAAAAGATGCAGGAACAGTGCTACATCCAACCATGACAACCCAACCACCTCCATCTTGATGCTCAGCTGACAGTGCTCTACTCTCGAATCTTATCTTATCGTAGATACAGTATTCCTTTGCGAAATCCTCGAGATACTGATGGATCACCGGACCAGGAATATACTCTCCGGGTTTAACACCATATTTCTCGGTGCTCAAAGGAAATCCGCTATACTCTAGCGCTCCCAGCATATTATTCGTTTTCAATCCGGGATATAACCTGTCATTTGCCCACACACCTCCAATCGTTGGACTATCGGCCAAAACAATGATACTTGCGTTGGGATGTACTTGAAGATAGGTTTTCGCGCCAGCAAGACCAAACCAACCTATTACATCGAATGTCAGCTGACTGACATTATATTGTCCTAGAGATAAACTCATGACAGTGGAAGATTATTCAGTGGAAAGCCTTACCTGCCCCAACTACTACAAGATCAACTTTATCTATCTCCGACATTGTTTACTCCAACCAATCAAAGGATCCAAATAGGAAAAGAGAATATTATAACGAAGGTCACCAAGTCTATACCAATTGACATACATGTATATGAACACTTAAATACTTATCTCAGTAACTGTTGGTAAAACATTCTGTTATTAAACATAATCCAATAACTCCAGCCAATTGATCAGTGTGGAGCATTCATAAAGTACTCGTCCTACTTCTCAGCTGCACATGCATATTCTTATCTACTTGATTATTCGACCTCATCAAAAGAAGACTTTTGTGGGTAAACTTATGAGAATCAGTGAGTGAGATTTTGGCTTGGAATTCCCAGCAGTGGCGTTACATCCGGTATAAAAGTACGCAGCGCCCACTCTTGCACAACAACTTGCGGCTTTTAGTATATATGCCGATTGGCTGTTGGAAGGTTGTGGATAGAAATGTTACATTCTTAAGTTTCTTTCATAGATATATTCGAATGTGTAGGTAGTAATATGCATGTATAGTACAATGCAGTGACACGGCCAGCTTCCAACTCGGAAATTAACATGGGATTGAGTACGACATCCATATGAGAGTCGAATGAAATAACACAAACTCTGTATAGAAATTCAATAATGTGGATGAGATGTTACATTTCCATGGGTCTATGGTACCGATTGAATTGACCAGTCTGAAATTATTCTCAAAATATGTCTTGAATTGAGAGAATCCGGATGATATGCTGCTAGATTAATACGATTGCAAATGTTTGAATACAATTGAATATTCCAAATAATTTTAGCATTCAGACTAAATTCAATCTTCCAAAATTTCTTAAAGATTCAAAACCCTCTCATTGTGGAACTGCAGACCGGACAATTGAGAAACCGGACAATACTTTCTCAGCCACTCTTAAAATCAAGCATCCCTCAAAACATTCGGCGCAATCTCCTCTACCACCTCCCAATCACGCGGCATATAAGCGCGTAGCTTAGCCATCAAAATCCCAACATTACAACCACACAACCGAACATTTTCAAGCGAAGCTCGAAAACAAGCACCACTCTCAATCCAAACCTCCTTGGCCCTTTCATCATACGAAGCACCATTAATCACCTCGCTTAGTTTCGTCAACTCGATCGACATACCCTCGTGGTGAGAAACGGGTATGGAAACAGATGACTCCGGATTGCAGGTTTCCTGACCGTACATACAATGTGCCCAGATGACCAATGCTGCGGAGGCTAGAGCAATGTAGGATATTGGATCGGGGATGAAGTCGACGAGGGAGGAGGTCATGTTGAGTTTATTGTGGCTTTGCAGGATTTCGATAGCGTGCCATAATGCTCGTCGGGAGTTGGGTTCTTGAATCCATGCGCGTGCTGTTGATACACGTGAGGAATGTGGGTGAGAATATACTTCTCCGAAGAATCCTCGGATGTTGTCAGGGATAGCGGGATCTTTGGCTAGCATTCTTAGAGTCTGTGTCTCGGTGAATGCTTGTAGACTCATCAGGTGATACAGGATAGAGGTGTCAAATATGAATCTGTGAATGCGTCTAGAGACGATGTTTTCCCATCCGGGCTTGTCATGGTCTTCAATCCCATAATAATGTCGCATGGGAGAATGATCCGCTTGTTCCAACACCACCCGGCTGGACATCCTTGTGCAAAGTTTCGTCGCACCACGTTTTAATGATTCTAGCTGCCGTTTCAACGATTCTCTTTGAATATTTAGACTTAGCTCGTTGCGCTTCTGAGGGTCTTGCTTTGAAAGCTGCGAGATTTGTGACTGCATGGCCCAAAGACACATTTGGATATCCTCCAGCATAGATTCATTCTCCGAGAAGTCAATCGTCCCGAGCGTCACCTCTTCAAACATCATATTGATTGACCGCTGGCATCGAGATTTCGGTTCATTTCGCCGACGAACTTCAAAGACTGGAAGCCCATCAGCATTCCAAACTGCGAAAGTTTCGGGAACCGTGAAGTGTAGTTCCTCTGGTTTGATTAATAGTGGCTGTCCCTTTATGATACTGAAATATGTATCAATCTTGAATATACCAATTGCAATTCTCCTTCTTTGTTGTTGCTTAACCAGATGTAATGGTAGAAAGAAACCCGGTTTATCATCTAAATAGATAGTCCCGGGAGTTAAAATCCCAACCTCATATATGGAGGCAGCAAGGAGATTACGCAAAACCAATCCTTTTGCCAGAACGTCACGCTTCCCGCAATATGATGCTAAAATGATATTGAGTAAGGCGCATTGGTACAAAACTATAGGCAGAGGCTGCATCATTGTGTCTATATCTTCTTGTTGACACAGACGTGGAATGATACGCTTTACCAAACTATGGTGAACTTTCAAAGCCCAATATCTCGAGGTTGGAGTTCCGTCGATCCAACCACCAATCATCAATATAGATGGGAGTAGAAGCTTGGGCACCTCCTCATTATCCTCGTAAGATGGTGAATGGATTATAGGCCAGCGATCGTGGAAGTGAGCAAAGTATAGAGTGCGGTATCTTTCGACAGTTTCTGTGGTCAGTGAACACAGGTAGTCGGGCTTGGAGGTTGGAAGAAGGGGGTTATGGTGCGATTCTCCAGTTTGGGGTGCGTCTGGTTGGATTCTCAGATTTGACCAATCAACAATCCCTTGAGATAGGCTTCCCAAAGCCAGTGAATTCCAATTTTCAGCAGTAAGCGAACCGCCAAATACTGCCATGTTTGCTGATGATCCACGTGATTCTTGTAAAGGGCTGCTTGTTGGAATGGAATTGAATGTCTGAAGTGGATTGGATGGTTGACTAGAATTGAACATTTGAGTAGCATCGCATGATTGATCCGTAAGAAATGCCTCAGAAAGACTGGATGTTTGACCAGACCCTCGACTCCCGACAGACTTCGCAATTCCATTTAGACTATCAGAAATGACAGATTCTGACCCCTCCTCACCACTATCATTTCCTATAGAAACTTCATCTCGGCTACTGTCCCCGGCAGCCACAGATGATTCTTGCCCTGAGCCATATTGACAAGGAATCCTCTTCTTCTCACATCTTAAGCATGGATTCTTTCCATCGCATTTAATCTTACTAGAATGGCAAGCAACGCATGCTCTTCTACTCCGACCAATGGGCTTCTTAAACTGTTGTCCATGACGTCCAAGATGTCTCTGCAGTCCATCACTGCGAGAGAATTCTTTATGACATATCCTGCAAATATGTGATGGGGATGTATCGGAATGAGACTTTTGATGTCGAGTCAAATGTTCTTTTCGCTGAAATGACTTTGTACAATCTTGAAATTGACAGTGCCATCTGGAGGAAGTTTCTTGGCTATCCATGCAAGCGACAGGGGAGATGTATGAGGTGCATCAAAATCAAATGTGGGTAAGGCTGATAGCGCTCACTCATCAATGTCCCGATTCGGATATGGCAATCAAATGAGCCTTCAGGCTGAACTACGTTAACCTCAGCTCAGCAAGATTCCTCAATGTTCCGATCCAAATTCGACAGTCAAAGGCCTAGATGCTCAGGACTCGTTCCATCCATCGCATAACCATGCTAACGAAAGTTCCAGGCCCCGAGAAGACAGGTTGTTGCGATCGGACTTCAAGAATATGTCACGTGATATATATCTTTTCTCGGTTTCTGGGAGGGATGTGATCAGATTACAAAGAGAGAGATCCAAGAGCTTGATTATTAAAGGATTGCGACGGAGGAGGATGTGGGAGATGCTTTTACATCTAAAAAGAGGGAGAAGGGCGGCCGAAGATTGGTCATCCTTGATTGGAGATGAAGGACGGCAAATGACCAACTTATTAGTAAAAGCCGAGTTCGCTTAGATCACCATTGACTTTGAGAATAATTTTGGTTATACAGTTAATAAGCTTCTACTGTTAATCTAGCTAATTGAAGATCAAGCTACTAGTGAAATAAGCTCGAGTGTCAAAGAAATACGCATTTCAAGCTTGGAGAAATCATAAAATATTTAGCTATTGCGACGGTCGATAGTTTGTTGTAGGTAGGGGGAAAGCTTCCCTCCCGGTAAGGCCATAAAGAACCCCTAGAACAATTGTTCGTCTCAAAGTCATAGAAATCATAGGAATAAAAGATTTTCTCTATCAAGTAGTCAACCACAACTTTGTATGCAGGCACTTAGAGAATATATATTGATTTTCACACGGATACCCACCCGTCTACGAAGTAGCAATAAATAAACTAACTATCCAAACTCAAAAATGTCGAATGCGAAACCCGGTCTCGAAAATGAGGGATAAGCCGACGCTTTGGAATCCCTCGAAAATGAGGGATAAGCCGAGTCTTTGGAATCCCCCCCAAGAAATCTCATGACATAACATGGTTAACATTTCAAACATTCGAATTGTAGATGATGCACCTACAAGCCATTGGAGAGCCATACGAAGAGAATATTCCTAGCACTTTCTCACGTGTCTAGGTAGAATGCTTAATTCGAGTAAATTTTACCCATATTTCCATCGAGCGAGCGGGAATCTTGATGCATTCCGACGATCATCAGGGGGGTAGCTGTGAGAAATAGCATTTAAATATCCGAAAACACCGAAGCTGTCCTCCTCACGCGCGATATGATGAATGCTGGGGAGCGGGGAGCGGGGAGCTCATCCTACAGAGGGTCTGAACCGTGACTCGCTAAGGCCAGCACATACATCAACCCTTATCAATATGTATCCCAAGAGGTGATAATGAAGAGGGATGACGAACGTTACAACGAGACCGAAATGATAACTAAATGCATATCACATCAGATGAAAGCGGACAAGCGGAGAATTCTGCTATTTTCCGTGTCCTCTACATGTACAAATCAGTTCTTGATGATTAAAGTGTCAGAGCGTGGACTTCGGCTCCCCTCTAGAACCGATGTCGTGATTCGAGTCTAGGAATATATGTATATAAATGCCCAATATCCATTTGTTGAATGATAATCATACAGCAATTATCTATCCATCTATCTATTCTATCATCTCAAAACTTCAATCACAAAAATCAAATCCTCTTCACCATGAGTATCATCAAGAACGTAGCTTTTGTCGGCGTAAGTAACCCATCCCCATCTCCAATTATCCCAAAAAATCTAACAAACCAACCCTAGCCATCCGGTGCCCTCGGTGCACCCGTCCTCGACGTCTTAATCAAATCTAACAAATTCAACATCACCGTCCTCACACGCTCCACTTCGAAATCCACCTCGCATCTCCCCACCTCAGTAACCAACCTCCCCGTAGACTTCACCTCTGTGGAGTCCCTCACCTCCGCCCTCAAATCCCAAAACATCGACGCAGTAGTCTCCTGCGTTGGAGCCCCAGGACTCAAAAGCCAAAGCGTCCTAATCGACGCCTCCGTCGCCGCAGGCGTAAAACGCTTTCTCCCTTCAGAATTCGGTTCTGATCTCTCCAACCCCCTTACCAAATCCCTCCCAGTTTTCGGTGACAAAATAACTACCCAAGAGTATCTCGAAGCTGCTGTTGCGAAAAATCCTTCCTTGACATATACATATGTCCGTAATGGATCCTTCCTCGATTGGGGCCTCGAGCATAAACTCCTGCTCGATCTTACCTCTGGGAAACCTACCATTTACGATGGAGGTGATGTAGTCTTCAGCTCTACCACCCTAGAGACCATCGGCCAAGCCGTCGTGGGCGTGCTCGGAAAATTCGAAGAGACGAAGAACCGAGCCGTCTACATTCAGGACATCCAGATCACCCAAAACCGTCTTTTGGAGCTTGCAAAGAAGGTTGCGCCAGAGAAGCAGTGGGAGCCGGTCCATGCGGAAACCGCTAAGATTCTAGCGTCATCGAACGAGAAGCTTGCAAAGGGGGAGGTCACCATGGAGGTTATGCTCGGGTATATCGTTGTTTCGCTTTTCGGAAAGGAATATGGTGGGAAAATTGAGAAAACCGATAATGAACTGTTAGGTCTGAAGGAGAAGACTGATGCAGATGTGGAGGCTATTTTGAAGAAGTTAATCAAGTAACGGAAAATGTTGTGTTGAAAATGTATCTATAGCTAGACTCATAGACAAACTATAAATACTATGATACAATAGAATCTTGTATACCGTACATAAAACATCAGGTCTATTTTCTCCGATGTAAACAGGTTTCCAATATAAAAAGGTATTAAGAATATGACCTTAGTGGTATGATCACATGGTATTCTGTCACTGTTTCGGGAAGCTAGGGCTAAGGAATATAGTGTTGATTTTGACTAAAGAGATAAGAGTAAATGTATGGAAAGCTACTCCTACCATCCCAATATGCCTAGTGCCGGATCATATAACCTGACTCTACTCAATAAAAGATTTAGGTATTAAAACATCAATAAAATTTTATATTACAACTAACCTCTAATTTAACTTTATCATCACTATAAATTTATTGTATAATTAATCAATTTATTAATCAATTTATTAAATTTCTAAAATAAGAATATTATACTAATAAATAATACTTGTATATATTAGAATTATAAAATTATTTTCTGATATAAATAAAATACTAAAATTTCCGATATACTCATACTCATACAGAATAATAAAATTTTACAAAATATAACTAATATAAATATATTTTTGATATAAAATTGTCTAGTATAACAAGGTTCTACTATACTTTTAAATCCCTTTAACATGCTTGGATAGAACTGGACACAAGCCTCGCGTGGCACACAACATCATTCGAATTTTCCCGATTTAGCTCATACAATTTTTTATATCTATGTTTGAAGTGTATACTGTGCTTGCCCTGCTTCCCCCCAATGTAGACTTTCTATTCATTAATGCATAAACAACTAGTCGATTTGTACGCCTTTCCATATCATAAGTACTCATGTTGCTTCATGATGTTCGTTCAACCTCGACCGTGCAGCTTGAAACCTATCCAACAAATGCATTTTCCCAAAATATACCAACAACCCCACAAAAGCGGTTACCATACCCAATAGAGCGTTGCCGCGCCGCTGTCCAAGACCAATCAGAGAATGATGATATCCAACCTAATAATTTGTAATCCCAAGGGGTATACCGGAAACACCATTGTCCAATTTTTCCACCTCATCTCTTAAGACTTCCTTATACAAGTGTGCCGTACTCCATACCATTATATATGTATGTTCATCCATTTCATCTAAAATCATATACAATGATGAATCTGATTCTCACTACTCTCACTCCCTAGTTGTTGTGGTCGGATTGCTAATTTCGCTTCCGCCCACATTTCCACCACGATTAATTCTCCTATTAAGAGCTGCCAAATTAAACATAAAATCACGGTTAATATCCATGCTGCGAGCAATGCGTCCTCCTGGGGTGTAAGGATTGACAACATTCACACGGCCACGGGTTGAAGCTCGCTGTACATCTTCGTCATCCGTGTGATATTCCTCCTCATAATCAGCCAATCTGGTAAAGTAATCGGCAAGTCCGTCGACGCTAGGCGTACCAACAACAAGATCATACATAGGCGGAGGTGTTGGCATTGGTGGAGGTGGTTCCTCGGCCTCATATTCAGGAGCAGCAAAGCTTGGGTTGCGCAACATATGAATGGGGCGCTGAACTGCTGTATTCATTGCAAGATGTGCTTGTGGCGGCCGAGTCAGAGGCTCAGCGGTCTCTGGACGCGCAATCGTGGATTGACCATGACTCTGTTCCAAATTATCGAGAGAAGAATCTCTAGGGGCTGAAATTGGCGGAAGTTCTGCGCTGGCTGCATTGGGACAACCGCATAGGCGGTCACCCGGATATCGAAAACTCGGACCACCGAGATCACAGTATGCAGGCAGAGCCATATGCATTTGGGACGCCTGGCAGCTGAGGATAGTGAAAGGGGAGTCGATAGATATCTCGAAATGACGGCGTTTCTTACCAGAAGGATCATCGGGGTCTTTACGGGATATACGCATGGCAATCTAGAAGCAGGATTAGCATATGTCTTGCAAGGAGCTGTGGTTTGATATAAGCAGTTTACTTACCTTGAACCAGTGGTGCACCCTAGCGTTCTTCCATGAACAATCATGATGGAGACGTTTAGTTTTATCCTTTTCCATCATCTCACATGTTGGCAATTGAACTGACAGCTCCAATTCTGTCGGGCAGGCGAAATGGTCAAGTCCAAGATCAAGATCCCCTAATATGTTGTTGGATTCTTCAGGTAGAGGTTCCACTGCTGTGTTCAATTGTCTTGCTAATCTTTCTCTTTCCCTTTGTGCAGTGGCACGCGCCACGGCCCTTTCTTCGACAGTAAGCTCGCCTCCACGGAGAACTCGCATTTCCGAGTTGCTATACTCACTTGAAGGAGGCTGCCCCGCCAACTTCTCGAACAGCAATATCTTCTTTGGCGACTTACCCTTTCTGTTATACGTATTGCCGTTACTACTGTAATCAATGGACTCTGTAACATAAATCCTGATCTTGTGAATCTGCACTTTTGCCAGCGGGGTCAATTTAAAAGCTATAGGAATCCTAGAACCCAAAGGGAAGGATTTTCCAGATATCATGATATCGTAATGTAGCTGATCATCCCAATTCCTGCTGATTGAAATGGGTTCAACTAGCTCCAGCGACTCGATACTTGGCGTTCTTATGACCGGTACTTCTTTGATTCCCATGAGATTCGGACGAAAAGCACTCGCCCTTTCTACCATGGCCTCCACTTGCCATTTTACAGAAGCGTCCGGGAGCTTCGTAGTTTCCGGGGAGTTATTGTCAATTGGCATTTCAAAAGTGTATTCGTAAACGCCAGGATGGAAAGTCTTGTAGCCTTTCTGTTGGGGTGTGGGGCCGTTAGGTGAATCTCCCTTTTGAAAACTACGGGATTGGTTACTCTGTAATGACAATCTTTTTGATTCTCTAGATGTCATGAGGGTGTTTGCTCTACTTCTAGCACCGATCAATGTCGAGATTCCGGAACTTGGCGAATCAAGAGGGCTTATCGTAGTCGTCGTCCCCGATTTATCCCGTAGATAGTAGTTGCAGTGAGTTCCATAACCGACCTCAGAGCCTTCATACAGAGCATTGAAGAATGGTAGAACTTGTGTTCGGAGTGACTCTTCTTCACAAAAGTCCAATTTGCCTGGCGGCACACCTGTATATTTTGTAAGCTTTCCTGATCAAAAGACATGAATTGCATTGAAAATTGCATACCGTCGGGCCATTGAGTTTTCGCTATTCCTCTAAATGTCAAGGTGATCGACTTAATCTTTACACTTTTGGTAACGTTAAGTCGTACTTTGCCACGGAGAATCCCAAGGGTGTTATTAGATTCAGAGTTGCGGGTTGTGCCGTCGTGATCCAAACCAGTCAGATATACAATTGGTTCAGCGAAGGGAATGGAAAGAGAGACCCCATGACCGGACGCAAGTGGTTTCTCATTATCTCCAAAACTCGCAAATGAAGGTGGCTTCGGATTTTGAAGGTTCAAATGGACGTCTGCGGGGCTGTTCCCAAGAGGTCGATTTTCGATGCCTACTGGTTCCATGTTACCGGGCCCAGGTCCAGTCATTAATCCTCCTTCCAACCCGGCTTCCAATCCCGAGCTTGATTGAGCCCTTCGAGAGAATATACTTCGACGATCTCCTGAATTAGTCCGTACTGATTGCGAACGGCTGACCTGTGGGCTCGATACTATCGTGGATGATGCAGCAGATGATGTTGGTGTAGAAGTATGGGACGAGAATGGCGAAAACACCGACCCTAGCACACGCTTTGCACTGTCTCGCGAAGCCAGCTTGTTCAGTTGAGACTTGGCTCGGGAAGGTTTTTGGGGCTTTGTCGGTCGAAGATCAGACGGTACGAAGCCTGCAGGCAGACGGGTGATGTGTATGGAATGAGGTCGACGCTGTCTCGGTCGGCAGGGTGGGGTGGGAAGTGGTGTTTGTCGTGTCTTGTCTGCTTGAAAGCCGGGAGGATGATAGTAGACGATACCTCTATTGCTCAAGTACGGGATTGAAATTTGACCTGTCATTTTGCGTATTAATAATTAATCCTCCCGAAAGATATCTCCTGGAATGTAAATGCTGAATGAGTGTATGGAGTTGCTCGATGGGGTGTAGGAAGTAAAACGAAAGTAGTCGCAAACTGTGGTGGTATGCTAGATGCTGTGAACCATTGAACTTCCGAGGCAATGGCACAATGATATATTATTGTGATATCTGATCGCACTGGCATCAGATGGCCCAGAACTTAAAGTAGTCATGCAGTAACTCTTCTGAACAGGGAAAAGCTGGTAGGGCTTAGAGAGGAGGGGGACATGATTCACGCTTCAATCTGTCGTACAAACCAAGCCATAAAAGTGCGTTTGAGGAATTAGAACTCACAAGATTTGGTAGATTTACTATGAATTTGTTTGTTGTCAGATGCTTGGGCAACATATAAAACAAGGAGTAAGGTTTATCTGATTGCCAACTCATGCGAGAGAGAATGCGAAGTAAAGTACTAGTTTGTACCGTGTTATTGTACTACTCAAACGGCAAGAAGCGGTATGCCTGTTTCCTTTTATTTTCCGGGTATTCGAGATTCAAGCAAAAGATCTGCTGGCAGGGTTGATGTTGATGCTTGTGTAGCTAGGTAGTTAGGAAACCCGGAAACCCCACATACAGTAATAAGTTGCGATAAATGGACGATTGGACGGATTGGAGGATTGGAAAAATGAGGACCAGGTCAGCAGATTATCGAATACCGAGACATGCTTTTCAGGATGGCGGGATGGTGGGATGGTGAGATGGTGAGATGAAGGAGGAGTTCGAAGTACAGAGTTTGAAAGTACCGAGTAAAAGTTAGAAATCAGATCGGTAGTTGTTACCTCACACAACACGACGATGAAGAAAAAAGATAAGAAAGAAAATGCAATGAATATGTGTATGTGTACGTAAGCTTGCAATTGGTGATCAACGAAACGAAAACACTGTTCTGATCAATTGTTGGCCCGTTCTCTTATTATTTCAAATATTTAACAATGGAGTATAAAGGTTGAGTGAAAAGAATCAGGTCCAGCAGGTAGGTGTATTGAGTTACGAGTTACGAGTATATAAAATATAAAATCCAACCTTCGGACCCATCCTCAACGCCCACATCATGGGTTCTCTGTGCCGGAAGCCGCGGAGGAGATCTATGAAAGTCTTCTTTTGTATGTATGTACTACCGACCTAGAGGCTAGTAAGTAGCTGCCATAGTGCCCAGGAGGGCGATGATGATGTAGTTAATATCTTAATTTTGCTAGCGTGCGTATCTACAATGGTCATTTGGATATTACTTTATCGCTATCTTGGGGGATTCAGCACAAATGTTTAGAAAGAAGTTGATATCAATGACGAGAAGAACAAATAGATTATCATTATCGATTATTTGTACTCGACTTTCCGTTAAATGTTTCATCTACAGAGTGGCTATTAGTAGGTCTAGAATCCTTTCCTACTCCTATTCCTATTCCTATTCTTAGCCTTCAAGACTCGATCCTACTACCTATTAGGTATTGATTGATGACTGACTGCACTTATATACCTATTAATCCGTACAGAATGCAACAATACACGAAACTATCTCCCCGCCATATCCGATAAATGCTTTTCCGAGATACCGGGCTTCCCGATCATATTATCTACTCGAGTATTGATCATTGACATCTTCTATTTTAGGTTCATCAACACAACATTACAGGTAGACAATAGGGCATTATTATTATCATACATCAACAAATTAGGCTCTAATTCTTAACAACAATAACAACAAATGTATCAAAACCTAAATCGATAATTAAATCGAAAATCAAATCTCCATATCTAAATTCTCGAATACAAGTTTTTCACGCCCAAATACCCATCAGAAGTGCAACATGTACCCAGCTAGCTGTAGCACCATCCCAGATCCACAACCAGACGGATAGATCCTACATAGTACATACATACTCGAGTAGAACCAAGAAAAAAAACAGAAAAGAAGAGGAAAAAATCTTTAGCAGGGAGATTATCCGAAGACGGGTACCCCCTTGTAATATTCTCACACGAGGTTTCGGTATTTTTCAACTTTTCTATGGATATTCCAGGTACGTGAAATACCCAATGTCCTGGAACTCCTTCATCTCAAGTACTTAAACTTAGGAAAGTTTGACACTACTAGATACCTAATATTCGATTTAGGTTGAAAAAACATACATACTATATCGTGGTATTTGTGTTCATATTATTAGACTTTGAGATATAGTTTTGAAAATGATGTCTAAGCCTTAGAACCAAGGGAACTAACTCTACCGCTACCCAACACCCAAAACACTCTAATGTATGTCGTATGGACCGATTTCCGACATATATACTCCTCCGCATCGCATTTCCCAAAATGATTACAAACCCTGACCTGATCTGTACTCTTTTGGCCAAAAGTACCAAATCAGGGTTTTCTTCGGGTAAGCCCAACTTATGATTGGCAATGTCAATCGACAACAACTTTAGTCTTTTGATCTCAAATCCCAGTCCACGGTTTGCAAATGGCTTGTGTAGGTAGTAGTGGCATGCGAAACAGTGACGAATTGCTGGCAAGTGTATCCTAGGTTCAATCTCTAACCAACTAGATTTTGATACGGAGAAGAAAGCATTTATAATATAAATTCATCCTATCAATCAAATGGGTACAGATCGATTTGTGATCAGTACCTGCCAAGAAGAAGACATCACTCATTTTTACATCTCATTTGGTGAATTCCTGAAGCATGTGTAAAAATCGGAAGAACTTGCTGTCTAGTGTCCTATCACCTCGAGCAACTCATCAATTTGCGGAATACCTATAATGGACAGACAGTCCAAGCTTATAAGCCACTTGCATCATTATCAATTCGTAAACATTAGGTTTGTTCCAATGGTAAACTTTAATAGATGTCTAGTACCTGGGGATCCCTCATTCACTCTCCTGGATGTTACAACTGACAAAAGTTATAGCCATCCGAAAAGTTTTCAACATTATCAAGGAGAACCTTCACAAAAAAATTGCTCGCTGGTGAAGAGCGTTATGTGCAAACGTTCGGGAACGTCACTTACTATACCTTGCATGAGGTTCCACTGCATTCATGCACCGATGGATTTTCATACGTCATACCGGGCCCAGTGTAAACGATTTGGTCCATCCCCAAAATCCCCATAACCACAACCAAATTAGTTCATCTTGATCACATCGAGATGACTGACGAGAAGACTTCTAGAGCAGGATTCCTCGGTTTGAGTTAAAGTAATCACAGGGCGCTTTCTTTAACGCTGGAATGATCCTAAAATGAGGAGGCATAAGGATGATGGGAACATTGGGATTAAGGAGATTATACTCCATTCGGTGATAGTTCATCTGTTTCCCTCTTCTTTTGCGGTCATACATAGCACCCCTTAATTAGTTTCGCGGAATTGTGGTGAGCCGAGTCCGCCAAGGCTCTTTTAGCCACGCTACTTTAAAATGAAGATATACTCTTACATGCAACACAACGCATCCAGAGATATTGCTTCTGGCCTCTGAGATTGAGCAGTAAATGGAGAGAACACCTCAAATACTAGTTTTTGCTCCCGTCAGACGTGGGATTCAGTGTTAAGAAGATGTTACCCACCAGTCGATGGAAGGGCGCGAGTGCCAAGAATTCAAGATACCTCTGTTCAAATATGCAATTCCTTACTCTTCTACTTTCAGTCAGTTAAAAGGCGCGTGTTTGAATATGTTTATGAAACGAAACATATAAAATGAAGAGAAATAGAAAACTACCTGCGAATATCCCAGCATCATCATCAATTCATCCCGGGATCTCAAGACTATTTTCAACATGAAGCCTGCAACCACTCGCAAAACAGCACTTATCTTGGTCGATGTTCAAAATGCCTTTCTCCACCCTACAGCTTTTGGTGATCTTACTAAACGTAGCACGCCAAAGTGCGAGGAGAATATAGAAATACTGCTCAAGCAGGCCAGAGAGTTCAACGAAAAGTTACCAGCAGCAAGCATCTCTTCATCTGTCCTCATCTGTCATGTGCAGCATCACAGTATCAATCCAAATTCTCTACTACATCCCATAAAACAGATAGAGATTGATGGGAAATCAGTACCAGCCGTCCAACCTCAGAAATTCGCAGCTCCTCGTTTTAACGAGAGAGTCTGGATAAAGAATGTCAACTCGGCATTTGTTGGAATGGGCTTAGAGAACTTTCTGAGAAATAACGACGTAAGACAATTGATTATCTGTGGTTTGACTACAGATCACTGCATCAGCACTTCGACACGTACGGCGAATAATCTGAGAATCGTTGATATTGTGAAGAATGGAGCACTCGTGGATGAGGGGGATATTGTATTAGTGGGAGATGCGTGTGCAACTTTTGCAAGAGGGGGAATAGACGCTGAGACGATTCATCAAGTTAACCTTGTTAGCTTGGATGAGGAGTTTGCGCAAGTACGAGAGACGCTGAATGTTATTAAAACTGTTTTCGTCAAGTTCTGACGAGAGGTCTTGTTATAGCGAGTGAAGTTATATCTTCATGTTCACTTTCATTCCAATGTGAAAACAAATATGTAAATACAATATAAATATAGATTCGGGAAGCTCAAAGAAAATTGATCTCCATTTTTTAACAAGATCCTGAGAATTGAAAGATATTGAAAGGGTTGGCGGTGATAACTAAGCTTGGGAATTCTCTCTCTAACTAGTACATCCATCAACTGTTGAACGTTTAACATCAACAGTATAGATTTGAGTAATGGAGATAGTAGGTAAACAATCAGATTATCCAATTGATCTTTTTTAAATATATATAATATATACTACTAGTTATATAAGCAATCGAGTCTTAGAATCATACTTAATAAGTACCTACCTATTATTTAAATTGACTTGATTTTCACAATATAAATCCAGAGCTTTCAATTGGTAGGAGATTGTTTTGGCACGGACCAAACATAACCCATCCAGCGGTAACAAAGGGCAAAATAAATAAAGACCGCGATGTACGCGACTTGAGTATGAGACGCGCAAAGTGGAAAATAATATTCATGTAAATTCAACATTTGAGAATCCTTTCACATAATGGATTCAATTCATGAAGTTTATCCTGATGCTGCGACTGGAGATACTACTTCTCAACCTTTAAAGGGCATAATTGTTTGTTGTACTAATGTGTCGGATGAAAAGCGTGTAAGTTTTATCTATTTTATCAATGTTCATGAATGAGTATCGAATAACCATGATCTACATTGACTTGCATGATTTTGCGACTTACGCCTGCGCATCATTCAATTTGAGCCCCATCGCTGACATGGACAAATTTATAGGCAGAATTAAATGCCCAGGCAAAGCAAATGGGTGCCAGTGTTCAAGCTGATCTCGGAGTCGAAGTTACCCACCTTGTCGTTGGACATTGGGATAGTCCAAAATATCATCATGTTGCCCGATTTCGGCCAGATATTCGACCGATGACTATGGATTGGATTGCGACGGTTCGGAACCTTTGGATAAACGACCAAGATATAGATATGGATTTATTGGAACGACAACATATGTTACATACACTTACTTCCCTCAGAATTAGCTTGACCGGGTGCGATGACATGGCCGAGAGACAGGATATTGCGGAGAAGATTAAAGCAAATGGGGGAGAATATGATGGGAATTTAACCAAGCAAATTACACATTTAATATCATATCGAACGGAGGGCAACAAATACAAGGCAGCAAAAAGCTGGGGCTTACGGATAGTTTCTGCTGAGTGGTTATTGGATACTTTGGAAAGAGGGATGATTTTGGATGAGAAATACTATGATCCTTCTTTACCGATAGAAGAAAGGGGAAAAGGTTCTTGGGACAAAAATAGGCCGAGGATAAATTCATCGAAAAAGAGGGCCAGAGAACAAACTCGATCTGGTGTCGAAGAGGGCAAGAGGAAATTACGCAGGACTGCGAGTACAAAATTGAACACCCAGAGTCAAAGTATATGGGGAGATATTGTTGGTAGTGGTAATAAGATTCAGGTGTCGAGAGGCGGGATTTGGGATACCAGTGACAGCTTTGCGCCAGCAGAAAAAGAACTATCCGAGAAAAGCAAAGAGGTGACACCACCGAAAGCTAAAACCCTTGACCTTGTTCAAGAACCGGACCAACCAGTTGGTGGCATATTTTATGAGTGTCGATTTTGGATTCACGGGTTTTCTGCTAAGCATACACAAATACTGGGAAATCATCTAGTTGCACATGATGGTAAAGTGCTTCAGAATGAGTCTGACCTAAGTGCTCCAAACGCAAGGAAACGGACTTATGTGATCGTTCCATTTCATCTCCCAACCTCAAAATATCCCAATTTAAGTTCAGAGGTTGAGATAATTACGGACTGGTGGGTCGAACGATGTTTGCAACTGAAAAAATACCTTGAACCTGAACAACACGTTCTAGGAAGACCGTTTCCTAAGTTTCCTATAGAAGGTTTTAGTGATCTGAAAATCTCATCCGCAGCATTCACCGGCATTGATATTCTTCACGTAAAGAGAACCACCGAATTACTCGGGGGTACATATAGTGAAGACATGACTCCACAATCCTCAGTTCTCGTTACAAAATCTATAGTAAATCTTCGGAAAGACAAGCTAGAGCACGCTCAAGAATGGAAAATTCCGATTGTTACGGCCGACTGGCTTTGGGATTGTATCAAGTCAGGAACCAAGTTACCATTCGCAAAATACAGATACAGAGCCAAGAAACAACCAGCTTCGGCACCTATCTCGAAAAAGGAATCAATACCAACACACGTTAGCAACCCGGAACGAACAAGTCACGAAGACACAGGATCAAAATCTAGATCAAGTACACTCCCCTCACGGTCTTCATCTAAGCCAATCCGCATTGCTCCTCTAGATGAGAGCGCATTTGCACCATTAGAATCAAATTCTACCCCAATAAAAGACGAACAAGATTCAGTACCACTCCCTATTCACCTTGAACCCGAATCATCAGAACTTACGCCTCCACCTCCTTCGAAGCCAGAACCTCTTTCTGAAATTCCTCTCAATTCACACTCCGCAAACCCTACCCCTACAACTGACCTTCATCTCTCTACTACCTCGGAAATCCCCGAACAAAAATCCATAGACATCAGCTCCCTCCTAGCGAAAACGAAGCGCCCTTCCTGTTCTTCAGTTTCTATCTCAAATGCCAAAGCTATTACCAACGACCAGAATTCTAATCGACCTCGCCAACCACGCGGTAAAGCAATTATTGGACGTGCCCTATCCAACGTCTCCACCGCTTCCCTAGCCTCATCTGTAGATTCCACTGCTACCAGTGGCCCTGCAGTAATCTACCCTCGTCCGCAAGAATCTTATGGAAATCATGGAAGTCAAGACGAAATAAACGAATTCATGAATCTTCAAGGTGACCGCGAGAAATTTGCAAAGGAATTTCCTCCAGCAACACAACTAGGATATAGCGATAAAGAAGGCGAGGAGCATAGAATGATGGTACAAGGAATCATGGAGGGTAAGGAAAAGGAGACGATTGAAAAGGAAATGAGTGTGGTGAGAGAAAAAGAGAGAGCGAAAAAGGGATTGGGAAGGAAGGGGACTGTTGGAGATTTCTCGAATAGTGAAGTAGTTGCAGGGAAAGGAGGAGGATCGACAAGGACGAGTGGAAGAACTAGGAGGGGTGGGTAGGATGATGATGATGATGGGGTAAATGTACTTGAGTGAGAACTTGGTTGGTTGTCATGAAGGGGGAGGAGGGGTGCGAAATGGGAAATGGGAAATGAAATGAAATGAATGATTGGTTTATAAGTAATAGGATAAATTTGGAGTTTGGGGTTGGGAGTGGGGAGTTGGCTATTTGCGTATTTGATAACCATTGATGGGATGATGGTTTTTGATATGCTTCAAGTACCTACCTACTGGATAATGGGATTGTTCTTTTTTTCTGTTATATACTCTACGTAGTTGTACCGTTGTATGTATATATGGTACTAGGGCTCGAGTTTGACGGTGGGTGGATGGGTAGGTGGATGGGTGGGAATAAGTAGATGGGTATATATAGGATTGAAAAGGGGTTAGTGAGTTAGTGAATGGATGATGGATGAATATGAATATGAATATGAATAAGAGATGCGAGATACGAGATGCGAAATAAATGAGTGAATGAATAATCAATGAATCAAATCAATCTTGCTTATTCTTTATTCTTAATTGATCTGATCTGATCTGAATTATTTTCCTTTTAGATAATAGCTGAAGAGAGGTATTCTAGAAATAATTAATTAATTACTTTTTAAATTTCCTTTGAATCTTTTCTAAATTTCAAATCTCGATTTTTGACTCTTTAATAGAACTATCTATATTTATATTTCTTGTTTTTATACTTTAGTTTTTATATTTTATTTTTTTCAAGTTTCGCTACTTTCTCTCTTTATATCTAGATACAGATGCTTGATTTATTCTTGGTTCTCAATTCCTTACTTTTTACTTACTACTTTTGACTCTTTATTTCTGTTTTTTCCTCATCGTTCTTTTATCAGATTCTACATTTTTGATTCCTCTCTTCACCGCACTCGCTCCCTTTCACCTACTCTTCTTCCCACCGCCAACCCCAATCCCAAAAACCTCAGACCTAACACCTCCCCGCCCACTCCCGATACCAATCCAAACACTCCCTATTAGCCACACTAGCACTAGTCTTCACATCCACCCCACCCAAAATCTGTTTAACTGCCACCTCGACCTTCTTCCCATTCGTCGTGACCGGAATCTCAAAACACTCATCAATAATCCCCGGTACATGTCTAGCGCTTAATTCTTTCCTAACGACATTCCTAATATTATCCTGAAGTTCCTTGTCAAAGATGTGACCAGGAGTCATTTTCACAAATAGGACCACGGTTTCGTCATCATCGGTAGGACGTCTTCGTCCAATGCAGAGCGCGTCTTCGATTGCTTCGCTGAAGTGTTTAAGAAGTATGTTGTATATTTCTGCCGAACCGAATCGTACACCTGATGGTTTGAGGATTCCGTCGGAGCGTCCTAACATGTAGATACCTCCTGTATCGGAGGAGAATTTGATGAAATCTCCGTGGTGCCATACCCCTGGAAATTGTTGGAAATAGGATTCGTGGTATTTTTTATCGCCGGCTCCGGATTCGCGAGAGAAAAAGGTGGTGGGTTGGCTGGGGAAGGGTTTGGTGCAGACGAGATCGCCGGCTGAACCGGCTGGGATGGGCGTGCCCTCGGGGGAGTAGGCGGTTATGGACATGCCGAGGGCGCGGACTTGGATTTCTCCTGTGTATACGGGGGAGAGGGGGGATGGGGCTCCGAAGAGTGAAATTATATCTGTACCGCCTGTTATGGAGCCGAGGTTTATGGATGGTGGGAAGGCACCTGGTGAGTAGATGTATTTGAAAGTTGAGGGAGCTAATGGGGAGCCAGTCGAGTAGATTGCGCGAAGGGTGGAGAGGTTGATGTTTTCGTTTAGGGGGAGGATGCTATTTTGTTCGAGGATGGAGAGATATTTGGCACTGGTGCCGAAATGGGTAATTCCTAATTCTTGGATGAGGAGAGGCATTGAGAGATGGGATTGCGGTTTGAAGGGTGATCCGTCGTAAAGAACTATAGTGGTACCAGATGCTAAACCTGATACGAGCCAATGCCACATCATCCACGTACATGTAGTGAAATAGAAGAGACGATCACCGGGACGTATGTCACAGTGGAGGATGTGTTCTTTTTTGTGTTGGATGAGGGTACCGAGGGAGGAATGGATGATGCATTTTGGTTTTCCGGTTGTGCCTGAGGAGTAGAGAATATATAATGGTGTATCCGGTGGAAGTTGTGTGAATTTTAATGGAGCATTTGGATCAGCGGCGCTGGACTTTTGTAAGTATTGGGATGAAATGAAGAGGAGATCTTAACCAACTTACCTTTTCAAAAACCCATCATAAGTCTCGGCCTTTCCACCATCAATGTCAAAGCCTTCAATCTCAATTGGTAAATCCACAGTATCAAAAATAATCAATCGTTTAAGCCCCTTTAATTCCTTCACAATTTCACGTGCTTTACTCAAACTCTCATGAAATCTCCCATTATACTCAACCCCATTATCAGCAAAAAGTACCACCGGTTCAATTTGCACCAATCGATCCAAAACGGCCGCGACTCCTGTATCGGGACTTACACCCGTCCAGATTGCTCCTATAGATGCAGCAGCAAGCATAGCTACAACGGTATTGGTATGATTTCCCACGAAACCAGCAACTCGGTCATGTGGTTTAACACCGAGTGTTCGTAGGGCATTGGTACATTTACGAACTTGTTCTCGAAGTTCCGCCCATGAAACAGTGGAACGAGTGGATTCTGTGGCGGCAATGATGGCTGGAGAATCAGGATCGATGCTAAGGTTGGCGGGGTAAAGGAGATTTTCGGCAAAGTTGAGGAGGGATCCTTGGAAGAAGTTGGGACGGGGAAACATGGGCGCGTCATTGTCAACGACCTGGTACTGTTAGTTTTCCAGGAATCTGTAGAGGCTTTATTTATGTTTTTCTTTGCTCGTGAATCAAAGTATGTAGCACTACTACACTTAAAACTAAGATTTTCCCACTTAGTCCCTATAGCCTCTCGCAAAGAAGCTAAACAGCACTTTCAAAGATAAGAGTACATCGACCTTTTCGACCCTCGGCTTCTCATCTACCTCCAAGCCCGGTGCCCATCGAAAAGACAACAAAACCATCACATGACAGACAATCCAGAAACCACTTCCCTACATACCTTATCAAATCCATGCTCGGCGCTAATTCCCGTAAACCACCATGTCTCCCCCCAAAATTCAGCTATATTCCCAATAGACCACTGATACAAATCATCATAACTCTCCAACTTCAAATTATATTTCTTGTTAACGATCTCTTTGAATTCGTACATGCGAGTTGAGGTTGGATCAGGATGCCGCCAAAGTTCTGTGACCGATGTATCCAATGCATTGGGAGGGGTTTGTGATCCCATCTTGGAACGAATAATGAAAGTTTAGAATAGATGGGTAGATTGGGATAAGTGAAGAAAGGGCAAGCGATTCTCAGTAGAATTTCCCGGTAGATGTCTTGAGAATGGAAAGGACCTCGGATGTGGGGGTTTCTACCGGATGTCCGGTGGTTTTAATTCTACACTGGCTGTGGTGGTGAATGTGAAAGTACTTCTATGAAGCCAATTGGTATAGCTGTTACCAAAGTCTGCAGAAATATTTCACAGTATTGAAGATTCTGGCGATTATCATGATATGAGACTATTTACATAGGTATTGTACATTTCAGTCTTCCCCACCAATCAAGATGCGGAAAAGTTCCGGGCGGATTGTTGCGGGTTATCCTGAGGCCACTGAATGATTGATGTGATTGATCGATGTGATGTGTGATGTGCATGTGATTGAAGATTGAGGTCAGGATTGCGGACTGCGGACTTTCAGTCACATGAACTTGGGCGGGCATAGAAATGGCATTCTTCACTCAGGTCCGTTCACATTTTTCAAAAATTCAAATACCTACTGACAGGTATTATATTATAGCTGCATATCTGTATCCTATGTTACAGCAAACTTCATATTTTATGATCCAGACTGTAAATACTAAATTGGTATTTTGATTGATGCCCAATTTAGGAAAACAGCTAACAAAGGAGGAGCACGACCTTACTACCGACCTAGTATCCATTCATCACCGGCAGCAACGGCAAAGAAGAAGGAACTTATTTTCATCCGTTCCCGCATGCCAAAACGGTATCCATCGATGAACTTATATGATGTTCGATTTCTAGGTCTTTTAAGAATACGCTTAATCGAAAGGTACATCCGTGACCCATCAAATTTAAGCTCAGGGACTCTTATTCATGCTATCAACATGCATCTTGCTTCCACGTTCTATTCAGATGGTTGAGCTGTTTTGTATCATTGGGTAGGTAAACTCTAATATCAACAGCTTGTAATAAGCCGTTTCTCGGTAGAGGGGTTCTCCTTGAATTGGTAAAACTACTAAAGCCGGCGTGAGGAACCTAACGTCTTGGAAAATGTACTTTTTAAAAAGAATCCAGACTGTTGTTCTATCAAACAAGATCTACTCGAGGGCGATGCCGGCAAGTTATAACGCTTGCAAAGAATGAATTATGGTTAAATGATATCATAGTCTGTCTCTGGGAGCTGCTCTACGATCTCTCGTGATGAAAAAGTCAAAAGTTTGAAAACGGCATTGTTTTCGATTCACGATGGAATTTGTTCGGGATGCTCGTGGGGTCGGACGACTTTTAAACACAGTCTATTTTAGTACATCGCATGAGAGTCGGTATGAAACAAGGTATGGGGTGCTGCGTGGCAGTGAAAGACGATCAGATGGGACGATGAGAGCGCAAAGGGAAGACTCACACCGCCGACATGTTAGTTAGTTGTCTAGTTGTTAGGCCAGGGGTAAAGGATGGTCTGGCGATAGCTGTGGTTTCGACTTCTCCTTCATCCTAATCCACGTTATGCCATTACGCTGACCCCATTCATTCGATGGTTCCAAGTCGGGTCAGAGTGAAGTGAGAAGCAGTTGAGTGAAAAATCATTGATTTCATTCTCTGCACACCCGGTGAAATGGTTGTGTTTGTATAAAATGTCAGAGTAGGTATGAAGAGGGTTATTTTATGATTAGAGCTGCGATCCTAGGCTAGATGGACCCACAATTGTACCTGCCATATTGAGCCCAACACCGGTCGGTAACTTGGAGTAGCTTTATTATTAAATTATTAATGTGAATGTGAATGTCCATGACCTGACCACGCCCTACAGCAGCCCGCCAGCTGGAGAAATCAACAAAACAAATATAAAAGTATAAAAGTATAAAAGTATAAAAGTACAACTCGGATGTAGGAATTCTAGAAAACTTACACAACTGGTATAAAACTCCAGCTTCTCATTGGTTCATTCTTTAGATTGTGACTGACAGCCCTACACAGGAAACCTAGTAAGTAAGGGAAAAATGAAAAAGCCGGATGGATCTTTAAAATGATGGAGATAAACCACTTTTTGGATTGTCCGAACCAATCATGTCAAGCTATGTAACGCTTCCAGCCATTCAAATCCCGGAATAGAAGAGGAAAGAAAAGAAAAGAAAAGAAAAAGGAAATTAGATGTACAAGTAGTTGGCTAGTACGGTATTTTATTATCGCAGAGCATGTAAAGATAAAGCGGCAAGTCATGTCAACATAATCAGCGACGGATGCACCGGACGGATTAACAAATCGCATTCAATCCTTCAGAGGTGAATACACCCGCCCATTCATTCCTCGGAAAACAGCTAATGATCTTTAATTCATGAAAGGCTAGATTGATAGAAACGCCGCTTTGATCATCGTTTATTAATTGGATCGAGAGAGAGAGAGAGAGAGAGAGAGAGAGAGGTCTTCTTCTGGTAAGATTATCACCACTTTTTATAACAATGCCTAAGTTATAATACGCTGTACATAAATCCGTAATAATCAGATTCACCCATGTTGAAGCTCATTTACCTCGAGTAACCTAAAGAGCTACTTTTGTTGTCGCTGTTCCCTACACGGTAAGTACCTGCCTACCTACCTACTAGGTATCTGTTCTGGTATCTAAATATTCAAACCCATATCTTCTTCTCCTTTATTTTCCCATCTTATTTACTTTTACTCTTCTTCTCACTTGCCATTGTGATCCCTAATCCTCTCAAATCTGGTGGGATTATTCTTATCGAAAGGGCGTGTGCTTTGTCGATTGATTGACTGCCTATCTCACTTATTATCCTCATAATAATAATAATTATATCGATCAATCGAAAAAAGACTAGCATTCAAACTATAATTGGGTGTGTAACTTCTTCATCGATAGATTCAGATCCAGCCACCTCTTGTACCTCTTTTTCTCGTGACGAGAACCTTTCCCCGAGGTGACCGATTAGCCTCCTCAAACCTCTCAAACCTCTCAAACCTCTCAAACCTCTCAAACCTCTCAAACCTCTCAAACCTCTCAAACCTCTCACCTCACATAAGGAACGAAGGAACGAAAGAACGAATGAATAGACGCTGTTTTACCTTTTCCTCGCAAACTTAATTTCAATCCCATCTTAAACCGCCATTTCAATATCTGGAGACTTCAAAAGAAATCATCATCAAAACATCAACAGAAGTATTTCACAAATTCAACCAGATTTAATATTCAAAAAATACCAATACTCTCAAACCAACTCATCAAGTATAAATTTCATCCTCGGTATGTCTTCTATTTTCTAATGTCTTAATTTCCCCTCAATTGTCGATTCAACCTCGATTGCCTCGAAATTCGATATCCAATTCAAACCTCATCTTACACATTAAACGAAACCCTCTCAAATGTCCATGATACAATGCTTCGAAGTCTCGTTGTCTTCTTTCATCGTCCTACCCTGTCATGACCTTCAAAACATCTCTCAAGTCCTACGCCCCACAAATCATCTCCCTGCATTATAAATTGTCCACGTTACTGATGTTAAAGGCGCATCCTAGAACCTGCCGCCAGTTAATCTACCAGCTGGCTTCGTCATAGCCTAGAAACTACGAATACCCCTTACTGATCTACGATATCTTCCTTCATTCCCTTTCGAGTCCATCTCTCAAGTCAGTAAAAAAAAGTTCCAATTTTTTGTGGAAACCTCGACATACAAGCCTTCGTCCAACCCACGCTTTCAGACCAAGATCTATATACCCTAATCTCCTCGGAGCTGGGTTTTGATTCATGACCACGATGCCTCAAAGACTTCCTCGAAATCCGTTTGCTAGTTCCATCACATCTGCGGTTATTACACCGCAATCCGACACACCTACCGCTCGTAGGGCGTCAACCTCGAAGGGTAACAGATTGACCAGTTTCTTCACATCTTCGCCGAAGAATAAGGAACAACAATCGGCCCAGGCCGCTCTTCTTTCTGCTGTTGCCGCGCAACAACAGCGACTTTTGGACAACCCATCTCCCAGTCCAGCATCATTATCTCTCCCAACGATTTCTCTCTCGACTGCAAAGGGTGGTGAGGTGAACATGGATGAACCCCCCACCACTCTATTTCAGCCACCTTCTGTCGCAGAAGCTAAACTACAAGCAAAGAGAGAGGCCCAATTTGGACCATTGAACCACCCAAGTCATAAATATGTTAGCCAGCACCATGGGGTCCTTGAGGACCCAATTGAGGATGAGCCACCATACTACTACCTTCTCACAACATACATCAGTTATTTGGTCTTGATCATATTTGGACATGTCCGAGATTTCTTTGGAAAAAGATTCAAGCCTGAATCTTACCGACATCTCACAGCTGCCGATGGCTATGCCGCTCTTAACAGTGACTTTGACAATTTCTATGTACGCAGATTGAAGTTGCGTATTGATGATTGTTTCGCTCGTCCAGTTACTGGCGTCCCGGGTAGATACATCACTCTCATCGATCGAAAGACTGATGACTTCAACAAGAACTATCAATTTACCGGCACGTACACAGAAACTTTAAATTTGAGTTCCTATAACTACCTCGGATTCGCCCAGTCAGAGGGACCATGTGCAGATGCAGTGGAAGAGACCATTAAGAAGTACGGAATTAGCACTGCAAGTCCTCGAGCCGATGCCGGTACTTCCGAGTTGGCATTGGAGGTTGAAGACAGAATTGCCAAATTTGTTGGCAAGCCTGCAGCAATGGTATTCTCAATGGGTTTCGCTACAAACGCAACTGCTTTCCCTGCCTTGGTTGGAAAGGGTTCGCTCATCATTTCCGATGAATTGAATCATGCTTCTATTCGTATCGGTGCACGTCTTTCAAGAGCTATGATCATGTCGTTCAAGCACAATGATATGAATGATTTGGAAAGATTACTCCGGGAAGTCATTTCTCAAGGTCAACCTAGAACTCACCGACCATGGAAAAAGATCTTGGTTGTAGTTGAAGGTCTTTACTCCATGGAAGGTACAATGGTCAATTTACCAGGAGTTTTGGCTCTTAAGAAGAAGTACAAGTTCAACCTCTTCGTCGATGAGGCTCATTCCATTGGTGCTATGGGTCCTCGCGGTCGTGGAGTGTGCGATTATTTCGGAATTGATCCTGCAGAGATCGATATCCTCATGGGTACTCTCACTAAATCTTTTGGTGCTAACGGAGGCTATATCTCTGGAGAAAAATACATCATCGACAAATTGAGACAAACAAACGCAGCAACCATATTTGGTGAATCACCTACCCCACCAGTCTTGATGCAAATTCTCAGCGCTTTGAAGATTATCTCTGGAGAAATTGCGCCAGGTCAAGGTGAAGAGAGATTACAGCGAATTGCATTTAACTCGAGATATCTCCGATTAGGATTGAAACGTCTCGGTTTCATTGTGTACGGTCATGACGATTCTCCAATTATTCCAATTGTTTTGTACAATCCTGCTAAAATGCCTGCTTTCTCTCATGAAATGCTTCGAAGAAAGATTTCGGTTGTTATTGTCGGCTATCCTGCCACGCCACTTATTTCTTCTCGTGCACGTTTCTGCGTTTCCGCAGCTCATAACAAGGATGATATGGATCGTATCTTGGCTGCTTGCGACGAAGTTGGAGATGTTCTTCAACTCAAATTCTCGACTGGTGTAGCAGGTGGAGCAGAGCATTTACCTGATGGTGTTACACCTGAAATGGAAAAGGAATGGCAAAAGGCAAATGGTCTTCAAGGAGTTGTCAAACCCCCACGTTGGTCTTTGAGAGAAGTCATCGCAAATGGTGTTGCGGATGTCAAGGAACCTTTACGATGATTGGGTTTACGATACTCTATGATTACTGATGTACAATACGTTCTTGGCTGATTTTATTTTCTGTTTATTGTCTTGGTGCGGTCTATCGTTACGATACCCATTGCCATGACCTTTTTGCATTTTTTTTTCTTCTTCATTTATACATCTTTTTCTTCTCTTCTATGATTCGGTTCTTGAGATGACGAGCTTTTTTATGAGGAACATTTCTTGTGGGTAATGAATGGAATCCACTAATTGATGGTGTTGGGGAATAACAAAAACACTCGTTATGGCGTATAGACAAGAGCATTGATTTGATACAGATAAATTTCTGGAAGGGGTCCGAGGTAGAAGTTGTGGACGACAGTTCGAGAGCAAAGTGGTATGGAGTAGGATTACCATAATATTAATAAATAGATGATTAAATGAATGGGTATGGATTGAATGGATTCGAGTGTATATGATTTGGATGCATGGGGTGGCAAGGGGATGAATGAACTGCAAGAGAAAATGGTGGAAAACGATGGAGGGGGATGAATTAGATAGATGGTGGGGATCGAGAATTGAGGATTATGAATTGAAAATCGATGATATACTTTTTCTGGAGTGTCTTTGGTTTAACTTCTCTTATCCTGATATGTTTTTGAGACCTATTTCATTCATTCGATAAACATACATCTATAGAGTACCTAGGTACCTAGATACCTACTAAAATGGATGGTCAGGGGATTTCTACCTACCCACCAAAACCTTCCAAGCTAAGACTTACAAGCAAAGTGGATTATTAATCCAAGGGAATTCCTAATCCCCGATTCCGGACTCCGAGGTTAGCTGGTTGACTTGGTTGACTTGGTTGAGTTCTAGATTCTAGGCAGGTTAATAATAAGTTATGAAAAGGAAGTCAATGTCGTCACTATGTTTATTTTAAATACTAGGTAATTACTATTTTGGTTTGGTTTGGTTTGGTTGAGAGGGGTAAATAGCTTGCTAGCTAGTTAGTTAGCTTATCGCTATCGTGAACTTATTACTTATTTATGTGTATATATACGGAGGATACATATACATATACATATACATATACATATACATCTCTCATATTACCTCATCTTATCATACACATCCATCCCCATCATTCACATCCATTTCACCCGCAAAACCAAACAGACACATAACCAAACAAAAAACCAAAGAAAATGACCCTCACACAAACACTCCTCCATCTAACAAATTTCCGCTCCCCTTTCCTCCGTACCCTCGTCCCTGCTATCGGTACAGCCTTCGCTATCCAATCCGCAGTCGCGATTCCGAGTATCTTGGCGCAGTCAGAACGGTTTTATGATTTGAGTGGTAGTTTGACTTATTTGAGTGTGGTGGGGTTGAGTTTGTGGTTACCTGGTTTGAGGGAGGGGGTGAGGGGAGGGAGGGTTGAGGTAGGTGTTTTCTTTGGTTTTCTTTGGAGGGGGGAGAGATGGGTGGGTTGATGAGAGAAAATTGCTAATTAAAAGTATCAGTGGTCTAAACTCCTCGATGCATTTTCAAAAAATGCAGCTCCCAATGCTTTGAATTGGAGACAGGTGGTTCTTAGTGCTGCGGTGGGTATATGGGCTACTAGACGTAAGGTTTTTTCTTTTCTTCTTCTCTCATGTTTCTCTTACTCTTCATTCCTTTTTTCGTTATAAAAAGTGCTTGAGTGGCTGGTTGGGAAGGTGGAGAGATGAAGAAGAGAGGGTCATAGATTTGCAAAGATAGGTACTAACTTTCGAATATAGTTGGTAGCTATCTTTTTATGAGGATACTTGGGGATGGTCATGATTCTCGTTGTAAGTTTTTATTTTCATGTTGATGTTGATGTTGATGTTCTGGACGAAAAACAGAATCCGAATTCATTCTGCATCTCTCATATATTCTACTTCTCTTCATACTTCTCCTCTTCCTGCCTACTACTTTTCAATCTTCACCAACAAACAACCTAACCCCAAACTTCTAGTCGATGAAATCAAAAAATCACCTCCCAGATTCCTCGCCGCTTTCACCGCCCAAGCAACCTGGGTATCCCTCTGCTGCCTCCCCGTCATCGCCTTAAACGCTCTTCCCCGTCCGCTCCTAGCAACCCTCCCCACCCTAATGCTAACCGATATCCTCGGACTCCTCCTCTTCACCGGCGGACTCACCTTTGAAATCCTAGCCGACCGACAAAAATCCGCCTGGTCAGCGGCCAAAAAGCGAAAAGAACACGATGAGGATTTCCTTACTTCAGGTTTGTGGTCTAAATCTAGACATCCAAATTATTTTGGTGAAGCGACTTTGTGGACGGGAATTGCGGTGCTTAGTGCGGGGATTTTGGCTGGGAAGGTTGGTCAGTTGGGGATGGGGACTACTGGATGGGGTATCTGGGGTAGGGCTTTGGGTGTGGGGATTGCGGGGGTTAGTCCGGCTTTTGTGTCGTTTCTGTTGTTGAAGGTTAGTGGGGTGCCGTTGAGTGAGGTGAAGGTATGTGTTTTTTAATTTTCTTTTGTGTTTGTTTGGTTTTCTTGTCTGTTTGTTATATATGATGGATAGTAAAGATCTGGGATGAGGTAGAGTGGGTGAGTATGAGTGAGAGTGATTGAGTGCGTATGAGTGAGAAAACCTTACATGTGCCTTGCACATGTAGAGAGATGGGTTTTTCATCACTACTCAATCCCAAAGAAGTTCCAATCTACAATCTTGCAAGCGCGAGAATCTACTTTCTAGAGATCTGGCGGGGATATTATATATGGTGGAAAGCATACATACAAAGTATACAGAATTAAACTAATCGGTTAATCTTGAATGAAATAGTATGATAAGAAATATGGACATCGAAAAGATTATCAGGAGTGGAAGAAGAATACTCCGGTGTTTTTTCCGAAGTTTTAGATTTGGAATTTGAGGGTGAGGGGTTTAGGGTTTGGGGGTTTCTGGTTTAGGTTTAGGTTTTGAGGAGTTGAAAGGGTGAGATGATAGTAAAAATTTAAAAGGTGTGTATAGTAGAAAGGAGCGGAAAGAAGAAGAGGAGAGAAGAAAAAAGGAAAAGAAAAAAGAAAAAAACAATTAAAAAAAAGAAGTGACTTTTGAGTTTTAGTATTATTATTATTATTATAAAGATATATAAAATTGAATATAAAATATAATATAGTATAATATAATATAATATAAATACAGACTCTTTTATTAAAACTAGATTTAATATTTTAAATAAAAGTTCATATTGTCACGAAATCATTTTATAGAGTGTCACGAGGTAACAGTCAATCTGTCTCTATGAGCTTTGACCTTGTTGAAAAGCAAAACAACTTATATACAAATTTGTATAACAATTGTTTTGTATAATCTCCTCATCTTCAATAAGTTCAAATATATAATCTGATTCTAATTATATAATAAAATCTTTAAGAGTATAGACTTTTATAAATTCTTTGAAGCTTTTAGAAGTATAGGCTTTTGAAGACTCTCAAAAGAGATTAATATATAATTAGAATAATTTTATAATTTAGAAGTTTTATATTCAATTTAATTATCAATTAATTTATTTATATTCTAATTGATTTAATAATATATTTATTTTCGAATAGATAACCAATGATTATTAATCTTAATTTACAATTACTAATTATATAAAAACTTAAAACAATTATTACTTTAATCAGATTGTTATACTTTGAATATTGTTATAATTAAGTTATATATAATATAATAGTTTCCAATCAGTAATCTATCAAATCGTTTTTATTCAATCTAATTAGAATTCTTATTCAGATTGTTATTATTATAAAACATAAATAAACAATTCAGATATTTATCTTTAATTTATTTTATAAAGATTATAACAAATATCGAACTTTTATTATACAAATTGATCTTTATTATACCTTTAATAAATAACTTTTCTTGATTTTTATATAAAGGATTTTATAATTGATCTTCTTTTTCTAAGGAATTATATTCAATTGGATTGAATTATTCTTTAATAATTTAATAATCAAGATTATTAATAATTAATTAAACAAAAATATAAAATTTGAAATTCATTATTTATTTTTCAATTATAAATCATTTAAATAAAGATTCGATAAAGTATTCGAGAAAGTAAACCTTAATTATATAATTGAAAAAGTATTATAATAATTCAGATAGATTAAATCAATTATAATTTATATTATTAAGTTTCAATAATATATTGGATATATTATCTAGAATGATGATTATTTAAAATTGCAATTTTATAAAGGATTGAAAGATATTATCAAAGATAAATTAACAAGAATTTCGAAATCATTTAATTTTTCCGAATTAATCGAAACCTTTATTTTCATTAATAATCGATTTTATAAATAACAAATAAAGAAGAAAAAAATCATTTAAGAAAACAAAAAATTTCAAAAATCTTATCAATAAAATAAATATTACAATATTGATAATTTAATGAAATTGAATAATATCGAATAATATTATATAAAACCAAACAATCTAAATATTAATAAAAAGAAAAAATACAAAAAGAATAATTTATATTTTATTTATAAAAAAAACAGATATATATTCCAAGATTGTTTTCAAAAGAAGAAACTATTTATTATAAAAAATAGGAAATAAATAAGATTTGGGAATAAAAGATAAGGTTTTCGAAAAGTAAGGATTTTGGAAGAAAGTTTAAGGGAAATGGAATTATTGGAAAAAGATTTATTTCAATTTAATTCTGAGTAATTAAAAGAATTAAATATCAATAATCAAAACCTTAAAATCAGTATTAAGAATAATATCGATTACAAAAAAGAACCTTTAGAAAATCTCGAATTAAGAAATGAAAAATCAATTAAAGAATTCGAGAAGGATTAACGATTAATTGAATTTTATTATTTGTTTTAAAAAAATGAATTATAATATCTAATCAATTATCTAAATAAGAAACAAATATAATATCATTATAAAGAGAAGAAATCTAATTTTATTAAAAAATATAAAATTTATAATTATTTTATTTTGTTAATATTTTATACAATAATATACAATAATATTTATTATATAATATTTAAAAAAAATATTAAAGTAAATAATATTAGAAGATATATTATAAATATAAATTCTTTATTTTTTAATAAAATATAAGAATATAATGAATATAATCTGAAAGTTAAAGATATATAAGAGATTCTATTATAAATCAGGATTTGTTGTATTTAATGAAGAATCGATAAAGATAATAAAGAAGTATTAAATTAAGATTATTATTAAGATTTCCAAATAAAATTAATGAAATTATTATTTATTATATCTTACTAATTATTGAGTATAAATAAATATTAATATAAATAATTAAATTTCCTTATCAAAAAACAAACTATTGAATCATTATCATTAGAATTAAATAATATTATAAAAATCAAATAGTTAATTATAAAAATCAAACTAGAAAATCAATAAACTAACATTTTGGTTGATTCTGAAATTATAAGTATATTTATAAATCTCAATTTTGTAAAAGAAAATAGAATTCCTATAAAATTAAAATAGGATTTTTATTAATTGATATTATTAAAAAGAAAGAAAACTAGAATTAATGATTAGATATATAAAGAAATTAATATTATCAAAATGATTATTGTAACGATCTGGTAGAGACAGCGGCTGCCTCAGGTTTCGTCTGGTTGGTAGTTGTGGGTTAAGGTTACTAATCATTGGTTATCCACTCGAAAGTAAATACATTACTAGATCAATTGGAATGTAGGTAAACTAATTGATAACTAAGTTGAGCACGAAGCTCCTAAACTATGAAACTATTCTGACTATATACTAATCACTTTCCCATGCTAGCTATGCTAGCTAGCTAGCACGGCTAGCATTCCTGTGATGCTAGCTCTGCTAGCTGGCTAGCAGAGCTAACACATCACGTAACTGATCCTGAGGCCTCTCATATCCCAAGGCCTTTCCTTTCCTGGAACACTTGTCCCAGAAGCTTTCCCTTTAGGAACTATAGCCTTAGGATACGATATCCTCTAAGGTGATAATCCCATTACAACCAATTAGATAGAACACTTGTCCTATTCTACTATAATTGCCTAGGATACTTATCCTAGGAATCCTGGGGTCCTAGACTTAGGTAATCAGGACCCTCGAAAGCAACGGTTAAATCACACCCCCCCTATAGTCGGTCTATAAATCACCGACGTTAATAATACTACTATAAAGAAAACCATGAATCGTGACAATTATATCAAATAGATATATTGAACAAATCAAGATAAATTTAGTATTATTAGATAGATATATAATTATCTTTGATATCTTATAAATTAAGAAATATAATCCAAATATCGATTAAATAAAAGATATCTTAATATTTGATTATTGTAATTATAATAACAAATGATTATATAGTTTAAAGAAATAGACTTTCTAAAAGATTAAATATTATATTATAATAATAACAGATCCTTCATTAATCGATAAAATCAATAAAAAAGAAATTTTAATGTAATATAGAAGATTCATCAAGCTTTTCAAGAACCTTCAAGATTTGAAGATTTTATCAAAATATAAATCTTGAGATTATAAGATCAATTTCAAAAAGGGATTTATACTTTTTGTTGAAAAATTGAGATTATATAATCTTAATATTATATAGGTATAGAAAGAATATAAGATTATAATTGAGAAAAAAGGATAGATTAGGAAATCCAAATCCTTTTGTATATTTAATATATTATTAGTATTTAAGAAAAACGATTTAGATGATCAGTTTTACAAAGATTATTGTTGAATTAATAATAGAATAATTAAAGATATATATTCAATACTAAAAGCTTAGAAACTTAAAGATAAATTGAATAAAACTATAATTTATACAAAATTAAATCAAAGAAACATTTTCAATTTGATATAAATAAAAAAGGATTATGAATAAAAGATAATCTTTATTTTATTATTGAATTTATAGGAATATATAATTATATTATTCGGGTTAATTAATATATTAGTTATATATTAATAACAAAACAATAAAATATTTAAAAAATTCAATTTATTTGTAATCTGTTATTTGGATAATATCTTAATCTTTTTTTAAAAAGAAAAGGAATATAAAGGATATATATTGAAAGTATTCGAAGTATTTAAAAAAATGAATTCAAGATTCAAACTATCGAAATACAAGTTTGGAGTACAAAAGATAACATTTCTAAGATATATTATTCAATTAGAACAAATAAATATAGATCTTAAGAAAATAAAGAAAATAAGGAATTAGAAAAGATTCAGGAATATCAAAAATATATAATCTATATTAGAATTCGCCAATTTCTATCGAATATTTATAAAAGACTTTTCGAAAATGATAGAATCTTTTATCGAAATGATTAAAAAAGGAATAACTTTTATATAAAATGAAAAGACAAAATAGATTTTCTAAGAAATCAAAAATAGATTTATAAAGGAATTCATCCTTTACAATTATTATAATAATCGAGAAAGTATTATCGAAATAGATACCTTTGATATTTATATAATAAAAGTTTATTTACAAAGAGATAATAATAGAAAACTATATTTTATTATTTATTATTCAAACAAAATAAACAAAACAAAACAGAATTACAATATTTATAAAAAAGAATTTATAATTATTGTAAAAATATTGAAATATTAGAAGATCTATTTTTAAAGGATTAAATTCCTAATAATCATTTATATTAATTATATAAATCTTCGAACCTTTATTATCATTAAGATTTTGGATAATTATAGATTGATTAGATAGATTGAAGAATTAGTAGAATTTGATCTGATAATCAAATATATTAAAGGAAAAGATAATACAAAAGCAAATACTTTAAACAGATTATTAAATTACAAAAACAATAAAATCTATCAAAAAACAACGATCTTGAAATCTTTATTAAATAAAGATCTTATTCTTAATCTAATAGAAATCGTTATTATAGAAAATAAATCAATAAAGATCTGAAAGGATAAATTTGTAAAAATATAACAAAATAAGGAAAGTATTAAATAATCAGAATTATCAATAACTATTAAGGGATTATTTCGAATAGGGAATAAAATATAACTACTAAATAGTATTATCTCTAAGTATATTATAAAACAATATATATTATCAATTTACAGATATCAAGGAATACAAAGAATATATTTAAAAATCAAAAAGCAATATTAAAGTTCGGGATTCTATAATATAATCAATAAAATGATTATCAAGTATAATATCTATATTAGAAATAAGACTTTCTATTATACTCTTTATAATCAAATGAATATTATTGAAATACTACTTATATTATAGAAATCAATATTATAAGATTTTATAAATCCATTATCAAAATCCAAGGATCCAATAACAAGAATAATATACGATTATCTCTTTATTATAATAAATAAATTAACAAAGTATCTAATACTAATATTATATTAAATAATATTAATTATAGAAATATTAATCTTTATATTTCTGAAAGAGATTATAATAATATATAAATTATCAAAGAAAATACTTTTTAATAAGGATAAGTTTTTTATATCAAAATTTTGAATCATTTAAATAGTATTATTAAGAATAAAAAGAAAAATATTTATTATATTTCATTTATAAATCAATAAAAAAAACAAAAGAATAAACTAAATTATCGAAACTTATCTTTAATATTATATAAATTATTAACAAAACAATTAAATAGAACTTTTATTCTTAATACAATTTATATATAATAATTCAATATCAGAAACAATACAAATCATTTCGAATTATATCAATTATAAATACAAACTGATCGTATATTACAAATTAGAGATTACAAAGATAAAAAATCAATCTATAATAATATAAACAAAAAGATTCAAAAAAGTTTATAAAAAAATAACAATAGAATTGAAATTCATTATCAAAAGAAATATATATTATTATAATTGGAAATATAATTAGAAATTAATATTAAAAAAAAATCTATTTATTTCAAAAAAATATCAAAACAAAAAGATCTAATACAAAATTAAATTATAAGAAACTCGGATCATTCAAAATCAAAAAAGTTAAAGAATTTTTGAATTATAAATTGATATTACTAAAAAGTATAAATATACATTCAGTATTTTATATATCCTTATTCGAATTAGTATCCTTAAAAGTATCTAAAACTTTTGAAATAGAAATCATATCTATAAACCAAAATATCGAATACAAAATGAAAAAGATATTAGATTGTAAATATATTAAAAACAAAATCAAATATTTAATAAAATAAGAAGATTATTTCGATTTCGAAAATATATAAGAATTTGAAAAAGAAATTAAATATCTAAAGAAGTATTAGAAGTTTTATTGATAAAATCCGGATTTACCTAAAAGAAAGAAGAATTTATCACTTCCTACAAAGAAGGATCGAAAGAATCGAATTCGTTTATAGGAATTTCATTAAGATTGATAAGATCAATTGGTAATTGATCAAATTGACCAAATTGACCAAATTGATTAAAAGAATCGGAATTAACAATAAACATTGAGAATACAACAATTTCTTTTTTTCTTTTTTTTCCAAAGTATTCAATTCATTAAGATATTTGAGATCTTATTCAATCATCTTTCTATAACAATCCTATAAATAATCTTATTGTTTTCGAAAACAAAAAATTTTAATTATAATCTCTTTTTCTTTTTTATAAAGTTTTTCCTTTTGTTTATTTAAAGATTCTTAATTATTTATTTAAAGAACTTTCTTATTTCAATTATCTTTTAAACACTATTCTGTATTGTAAAAAGTATAAAATCGTATATATTCGGAACAACAAATCTTTTACAAATTATTCAGAATTTTTATATAATGAAGACCCTTTATATAACAATAAATATACAGAATCATCTCGATATTAGAATTCTCGATTTCAATTATAAAACAGGATTTCTTCTTATTCTTTCGATGAATTTTGTTAAATTATAAATCATTTATAATGAAAAAAAGAATCAAGATATAAAACAATAAAAAACTAATAGATTATATATTAATTATAAACAATCAAGGATAACGTTTGATTAAAAAAAGGATAATATCACGAAATCATTTTATAAAGTATTATAAGATAACAATCAACCTATCTTTATAAGTTTTGATTTTATTGAAAAGCAAAGCAATTTATATACAAATTTGTATAACAATTGTTTTGTATAATCTCTTTATCTTTAACAAACTCAGATATATAATCTGATTCTAATCATATAATAGAGTCTTCAGAAGTATAGACTTTTATAAGCTCTTTGGAGCTTTTAGAAATGTAGACTTCTGGAAACTTCCAAAAGGGATTGGTATATAATCAGAATAGTTTTATAGTTTAGAAGCTTTATGTTTAATTTAGTTATCAATTAGTTTATTTATATTCCAATTGATTTAGTAATGTATTTACCTTTGAATGGATAATCAGTGATTATTAGTTTTAACTTACAACTACCAACCATACGAAAACCTGAGGCAGCCGCTGCCTCGACCAGATCGTTACACATATATATATTAGAGGTCTACACCCCCCAGATCCTTGATAAGATAAATTATGAATATTTAATAAAAAGAATAGTTTTTTTTTTATAAATATAAATATAAATAAAAATACTTTTATAAAATTAATTACTTTATAAAATATAAAAAATCAAGATTGGAAAAGAAGAAAAGATTATTAAAAATATTAAAATTATAAATTAAAATAACTTTTATATAAAGTTTTTAATTTATTATAAGAATATTATAAATAAATTAATTCATTAAGATTAATTACAAAATTTTTAAATATTCGATAAAATATTAAAATTAAAATTGAAACAAAAGAATATTTTTTATTTTTATTGAGAAATTTAAAATCTTTTAAAGATCTTTTAAGATGAAAATAAAACTTTTATTAATAAATATCGATAATAATAATATTAAATGATTAATTAATTAATTTTTTTTTTAGAAATTGATATTTATTTTATTTATATTGATATTACTTTAGTGATATTGTATTATATATGGTAGTATTTTTGTATTTTATTTATAGATGATCATTATTTATCTAAAGAAGAGAGATCTATTTATATTGAAAGAGATAGAGGTTAGAATGCATTAGTCATACAGCTCCCTTTGTATACGGCTCTCTTTCGAGGTTAATCATATGATGTACCGACAATAATAAAATATAAAAGTCAAAGTATCATTCTCTCGTGTACTTATGATTAGATCTGAACAATGGTTCTTTCTACCCATAATTTAGCTAGTAAAATATAACACCAAAGTAAGATTAAGCTTACCATCTCTCTCATCCACCCAATGTTAACCTACAACCTACAATCCTAAACCCTAAACTATAGCTACGCTAAACCTCGTATAAATTTCTATTAGTGGATTTATAATTTCATTTACAAATCGCTGTCTTTATATACTTAGGTACTTTAACAAATCGCACGAAATATTCTTCTGAATTTGAGAACTAATTACGACTATAACTATAACCATATTATTGGTATATGAAAACTTCTATCGACCTATAGTCAAGAACCCGGCGTTCGACATCAGAAATATATATATATAACATATCGCCATAATAATAGCCACATGCAACCCAAAACTTGATATGGATATGAGCAGTGAACATCGACTAAAGTTCTAGACAGAGGCGAAAGTTATCGATCTGGTGATTCAAGCGGAATCTTGGCGCTATTTCGAATCCATTTCTATGCTGGCGTTGATGCAAGAGATATCCATATTTCAAAGTCGGGGAAATCGTATCCGCCAGAAATCAGCGTGTTTAATTTCAATAACCTTTTTTTCTCGAGTTCCAACTTGCGCGAAAAGCAACATGACTGTGGTTCCAAGCTATAGGGTACCTTTGCAGAAGCAATTTTGATCCCGCCAAGACGAAGGAGGCATTCGCGTCTCTAACAGAATAGATCTCTAAAGAGTTAGAGAAGTATCTCGAACTTTGAAAACTTTCCATTCGATGTCTCCTCGAACGTTCTCGATAGGAGTTTGGCGACCCTACTTGCCGCCTCTTGTCAACATCTGCGTAGTCGGTGGTAGATATAGACAACTTTATGAATCATCACATCTTCATCCATCATGATAGGAACACCAGAACTATGAATACTAGTTTCATGAAGCCAGATGAAAATTTATGTAATCTCATTAGGATATAAAACGAATATTATAAGCATATATATATTAATCCACATTTCAAGATATATTTTAAGATACACATCGATATATATAACCACGTTAACATTAGAAGAACAGTATGAAAAAGGGATGAACCCTTAACAATCTTACATGGTAGCAACGACTTCCTTCTCCTTATAGATATCAAGAATTTCATTAACGAAGTATCTGTTCATGGACTTGAACTCTTGCATTTATTAATTGATTGATCGATCAATTGGTTGCTATATGATCAAGCTTTGAAAGTCTTGATCCTAAGTTTCATTCATACCTTTTCCTCAAGGCCGATCACTAACTTATTATTAGTCTAACACTCTTGAATGACGGTTAGACCAAACTATGAGAGCTAATTCCCTCTCTCACGCGCAAAGCAACAGATATTAAACCTTCTTGACCAGAAATATAAAATATACAACCGATTTATTAAGAAGAGTTTATATCAATATGAGATGAAGACAGGTTATCGGTTTTGAGCTATGATTTTAAAGATTAAACAAACTCAGCCATTATTATTATTATAAATAATACAGTAATATGTGATTTACAGATCGTAGAAATCCAATCAAAGGATATAATAAATGAATGACTACTCTCTCAGAAACGCTGTAAAAGAATAGATAGACTTCATTCTTTATGAAATTCAGATTAATTCTGTCCAACTCACAATCGAGACAACAAGTACTTTCTAAAGCAAGAACACCATGGACGCGATTAAGAGTACCAACGCTTGTTGCACTCTAGACAAAGTTTATAATTCATTATTGATTTTGGATGGCCCTGTTAGCTCATCCATTTTTGGGTTCGAAATCCCAAACTCCTTCGCTACATAGCTACATTACAATAGTACACAGCTGAGTGAAATTAAATATCTTGTACACTTTTTTGCTTCGAATTCCTCTTAGCTCCGGATCAGTCCTTCGTAAAATTTCGATTGTCTCGCGATGTCTGAAATCCCATTTCTGCAATTGACCTAACTTCATCTTAACCTTATTAACGTCTTCCTCTTCCACCACCTCCTCCACCACGACCCCGACTTCTACTTCGACTCCTGTCATCATAGCTACTATAGCTACTATAACTAGGGCTTCTCCTCCTTCTACCATCTCTACTTCCATCCTTATCTCTTCCACCCCTGCCTCCACGACCTCCAAAACTATCTCGTCTGTCTCTTACTCTATCTCTCCTCGGTAACGGTGATCTCGACCGTGATCGACTACTCAAACTTCGACTTCTCGTTCTGTGTCTCCGGGGGCTTCTTGATCTCTCACGATTTCTCTCGCCAGGTCTATAAGTATCACCACCTCTATCCCTGTCCACCAGTCTTCCTCCTCCCATTCCACCTCCACCACCTCTAGAATCGAAACCGCCACGAGAACTCCTACCACTGCCAAGTGGGATTCTTGGATCAATATTTACTCCACGGCGAGCCATAGGTGGTTGTGGGCTGAACTTGCGGCGGGGTAAAACAATTGATACATTTATAATAGCGCCATCGAGCTGTGATTCATGCATATGTGCTATAGCGGATTCGGCGGATTCGGCGGAAACGTAAAGAATATAAGCGGTACCGCGATTGGTATTGACTTACAAATAATGTTAGCTGATATTCTTGTTGTAAATGGGAATATTAGAGTATGGATAGAGAAACTTACAACTTCTGTTCATGGGCACATCTAAATCTTTGATCTCACCATAAGTACCAAATATTTCACGAAGATGATCTTCAGTAACATTTTTGGTAAGTTTCTCAATTACAACCTGCAAGCAGAATTGATTGTTAGCATTTATATGTCGAATCTACTACCAAAAAACTCCAGTTTTCAATAAATACTTCCAAGTGGGAGAATGTAGAAAATAACCGCGAGCAAACAAACCTTAGTACTCCTCACGCCAGCGACGGCACTCTCACTTCTCTCCCGGCTTCTACTTCGGGTTCTGCTCCGTCCTCTAGGACTTAAACTCCTCCCGCGACTTTCACTTCTGTATCTGCCACCTCCATTTTTACCAGTACCAACTACACTTCTAGAACGACTCGCTCTACCTCCAGATCTAGATCTCGAACGGGGAGAAATCGAACGGCGTGGAGAACGGCTGCGCGACCTTGAATAACGAGATGCGCTAGAATATGGTGTTCGTGAACGTGAAACTCGGGAGCGACCCCGTGGAGCAGGTGAGGGCGTTCTTGAGGGCATTGTGTTGATAGTTGTGGATTTGTGATTGGAAAAGAGGGGAATGGATGGCTTGATAAATTGGTTGCCAATGCGATGCGATGAGTGTCGCGTTTGGGGAATTATTTTGCGCGAGGCTGGGCCGTGCACTGGCGATCAGATTTAAGAGGGGAGGGAAGTGAGGTTTTTATTGCCTGAGGCTTTAATATCCATTTGAAGTGTTTGCCCAACAAATCGTCCAGAAATGTTTTCCTTACAGACTCGGGACCCTAGGGTAGCATGAAATCAGTGATTTACTGATCGAAGATCAATAAAGGGCCTATTTTTAGGATTATGGCTTATTCGATCCATAGAACGAGATTTTAGTATAGAATGAGATTTAATATAAATAACTTCAATTTAATAATTAAACGATTTTATATTTTCCGATTTCGGAGAGAGGGAGAAAGAGAGGAAGGGAGGTTGAAATTTAAATTTTTATTTTTTTTTCAAAAGTTTTATTGTTATTAATTGTCGGCTTGTTAATATCAAAACCTTGTTATATATATAATATATTACAATTTATTTAATATAAATCATAAAAAATAAAAATAAACTCACTTAAATAAATCACGATCCTGATAATCTAATTGATTTCAAATACCTTTATAGAAAATCTAACAAAAAGCTTAATATAAACTTTATAATTTCAAACAAATCTAATTTAAAGTTTTTTTCAACTCAATTGAATAAATAAAGTTGAATTGAATGAGTTGAATAATTTGAATTGAATGATTTCAATTGAATTGTAAATTGAGTTGAATGATTTTAATAAAGTTGAAAAAAGTTTTTAGTTAGATTAATTTAAAGTTGTAAAACTTATACCAAACTTTTTGTTAGATTATTTATTAGAGTATTTTAGACCAATCAGATTATCAAGATCGCGATTTATTTAAACAATTTTTCATTTTTATTATTTATATTAAGTAAACCTTGTATACAGTAAGGTTTTGGTGTCGGCAAGCCGACAATTAATATATATTCCAAATATCAAATTACAATATTGAAAAATTAAATTAATATATATTTTTCAAAATGTCGATTGTTTGATGATCAAAATGTGAAAGCTTGGGTCCGATCCTCTTCAAAGACTAGCCCGAGTATATCCCAAGGAATTTAATAATGCATTAGCCCTATCAACATTACATATGGCAGGATGATGATTCTCGCTTGAAAAGGAGTCTTTCAGTCTATGATCTGTTGCCAGATTCTAAAAGTTAAAACTATGTCAAGTCTATCGTTTCCTGAAGTCATCGTGTTTACTTAGATTCATGTCCAATATGAGAACTAGGAACCATTGTTGTCTTTGGTTTAATAATACCACTATACGAATATAGCTTGAGTCCACGTAATTTCACCGTCGATGCTTATAAGAATGTTCAACCTTGCCTTCAATAGTCCATACTCCAACTCCATAGTGTATGGAAGGACCTATAACGCTGCATCGCCTATATATCTCCGACGATATAGTAATATAGGAGACCCCGAAAGTAAGTCTATTTCTTTGTAGAGTACTTTTCTTTATACTTTTATTTACATTTTTACTTAAGTGAAATTTATTAATAAGTTTATAATATATATCTTAAGTCAATTATCTTAAAGCTTGATCTATCAATTCATAAAGATAAAGAACGAAGTTTAACTCTCTTTAAAACTATATAATTGTTGGACTGAGTGAGGCAACAATGATTTCGGGGATGTTTCTCCTCGTTAGGATCAATGGAGCATTAGAGCTGAGCTTGCAAACGCGATTGAGTATATACTGTATCCGCCTCGGATAAGTTTCCAAAGATGATCTGATCTACTCTACATCTATACTATCATACACATGCACAGCTACCCCGGTCATAACATCACACCCTCCTAACCTCATCCCTCCTAATGCCAAAGAAATAATTCCCCACCCTCTCACTCCCAGGCACAACCTTCCACCCCAAACCCGGAACATAAACTACGCCCCTAACAATCGGACTATTCCAACCCCTCTCCCTCAAAAAATGTCCCCTCAACTCCTCCTCATTAATATACTGATACCAATCATGAGTCCCCCTCGGCACAATCCCCATAACATCCTCGGCCACCACCTTGGTCGTCAACCAACTCGTCCACGTCCTCGCCATCGTACTCATGATGATCCAACCCCCCGGCTTCACAAACGGCATACACTTATCCAAAAACGACGACGGATAAGTAATATGTTCGATAACCTCAAACAAAGACAAAACATCATACTGTTCGTCTTCCGCTTTCGGTATCGACAACCCTTCAATCGACGTATTTAAATAGATTAATTTCCCCGCCAAAGCGGGATCTTTCCTCGCGTGTGCTTTCGCAACAGATAATACTACAGGTGAAGGATCAATCGCGGTAACGCTCCCCGAACTCCTTAATCTGGCAGCACTCTCGGCGAATATTCCTCCTCCGCATCCTACATCTAGGTATTTCAACCCTGATGTAGCGGGTGGTGTGGGTTGTGAGGCATGACATGTACGGATGAAATCATGACGGAGCGGATTCATCAAATGTAATAATCGGGAAGAACCATGCGGATCCCACCATGTAGATGCTAGGGCATTGAAATGTGAGACTTCATCTGGATTGACGGATGAATTGCCAGTAGAAGTGGTAGATTGACATCGGAATTGGTTCTGGATGTATCGAGGTGCGGCTCGGAGAAGTAGGTTGATATTTCGGAAGGATGTGGGATGTAGTGGCGTGGAGAATGTGAGGGGCATGATTGATGTTTCGTTAGGACTGGTACCGAGTAGTCTCTAATCCTTCTTGACAAGCTAACTTCTTTCAGCTCCAGTAAATCGAATCGTCTCGGCTCGACTCCTCAGTAAAATGCCCAGGTAAGCTTAAGGTTAGTCCACGAAACTTCAACGATGATTTGTTACAAACATTTCTGCTGACAAAGAAAAACCATCAAGTTTTGTCAGCCTCGGTCAGCCCTTGTGCAAATCTGTGTTCCGTGTTGAACCTTACTCATACATCCCGCCCTCAGTAGGTACCTAATCTACCTAATCTCCTAAATCTTCGTAATCTTCGTAATCTTCGTAATCTTCCGAGATCAAAAAATGTACTCAGGGCACCTTGATGTTCACCCATTTTTTTTACCTGCAGATCCGTGTCCTCTCAATTGAATATATAATAACAAATCCGACTTTCCTGTATAATACGTTTTCTGGAAATATTGTTTCTATTGTTTCTATTGTTTCTATTTATTCCAATTTGATACTTGTTTTTTAGAAATAGAAAATCGATTTGTTGAATCATTGTTAGATATCTACCTACAACATCTCCCCACTATCATTCGGAAGCGGCGAACTTTTATACATATTCATCCTATCTTCTCTACCAGACTTTCTTACTCTCTACACATACACACACACAACGTTCCTCACAGAAAACCAAAAATGCCCTCCTCAGATATATCCCACGAATTCGACACAATCGAAGACACCATCACCGCCTTCAGTAAGTCACCATCCAATCCACCCACTCCAACCCTTCACTCGCACCGCAATCCCAACCAACTAACCCCCTCCCTAGAAAATGGCGAATTCATAGTCGTCCTAGACTCCGCCTCCCGCGAAAACGAAGGCGACCTAATAATATCCGCCAGCGACATGACCCCCGAAAAAATGGCCTTCATGGTCCGCCACACCTCAGGAATAATCTGCACCCCCATCCCCAGCAGTCTAACCACGCAATTTGATCTCCCGCAAATGGTAGACTCGAACGAAGATCCCAACCGCACCGCCTACACCATCAGCATCGACGCCAATCACCCCTCCACCAGCACGGGCATAAGCGCCCACGATCGCTCGCTAACCTGTCGCACGCTCGCGGATCCAAAAGCCGGTCCGCAGAGTCTCAGACGACCGGGCCATGTATTCCCGCTGAGGGCGCGAGAGGGCGGAGTACGCGAACGACCGGGGCACACGGAAGCCGCGGTGGAGTTTTGCATATTAGCCGGCAAACCACCGGTGGGAGTAATATGCGAGATTGTAGACGATGGGGAGGAAGTTTCTGGCGAGGCGATTAGAAAGGATCCGGGGATGTTGAGACGAGATGGATGTTTAGCTTTTGGAAAGAAATGGGGTTTGAGGGTATGTACTATTGAAGCTTTGGTAGAGTATATGGAGAAGAAAGAAGGGAAATGGGTGGAGAATGGGGGAGAGCAGCGCAATGGAAATGGGATTTAAGACCCCGAAACCATTCTTTTTTTTTTCTACGTCTAGGAGAGAGGGAAAGAGAAAGAGATATAACCGTGTGATCAACTACGAGGAGAAACTCAAACTCAGCTACTCGTAGGCAGAAGGTCGGGGTTGGGAGGTTGGGGGTGGGACCCCTTGGGAGAGGGGGGAAGGGGTTAAACATTAGATAGATACGAGAAAAGGATTTCAACCGGTCCTTGATATTATTATTATCATCACATTATTTGTACATCTACATCTACTATCTACTACTTCTATGAGTTTGGTATAATTATTAGATCCAATAACCGCGAGGACCCAAAGGGGGGGAAAAAATCTCAACAATGGATATTTCGTAAACTTATAAGACATTACCCGATCCCTCTACCTTGAGCAAGTTACTTGACATGTACACTGTGCAGTGAGCTCAAACCTGATGTCAAGGGTTACATTATAGGGCTCAATAAAACTTTGCTTCAAATTTACAGATACACACGCACCACAGCATCACAAAGTTATCAAGTCGCAAAAGTCATTTTTAAATTTTTTCATTACTGGCAATTCTACATACATGTTATCGGGCGCCAGCAAATGCAGCAAAAAAAAGCGGCCACCAATCAGCCACCTACCCAACCACCTACCCACCCACCAACCCATCAATTTATTCACCCGCCACCCGTGTCCCAAACCAGACTAACCCATCCCTAGAATACCACTTTACAATAAAGTAAAAGTTAAGGAGTTGGGCCCCGCCGACCAATTTACCACATGAGCTAATGCATACATCTCATCCCAAAAGGAGTAACTTGTCGAACGAGCAAGTCGAAAGAGAGAAAGGAGCGACGTGAAGCGATATACCAGATATAAAATTTGTGAAAGGTGAGGGACCCAGCAAAATCATAACTATCACCATGATCCATGGTCCACAATCCCGTAGTTGCTCCATCAGAAAACTAATGTCATTTGGTTCATGATGTCTAGAGACCCTTATTTCGCGCCAAAAGAAGACCGCCTAGAAAGTATAAGACCGCAATAGAATCTCAAAAACGCCAATATCGAGATAACAAGCCTTTTGATAGTATGCAATACTGTCGAACAGTAAGAGTGAACGATCAGAAAGAAACGAAAGGAGTCGTGATGTGTACAGGGTATCAAGCACAGTCCATGAAAGATTTCATTGCACTACGAAAACCGAAGAATAAGCTGAGGCAATAGAAAGAGAGTTCCGAAAAATGTGATGTCATCATTGAGCTGTAGCCCACATCTCATTGATTCTTGGTTTCATATCATATTGTTCCGGCTCCGTGCTCTGTGGTCGTCTCATATTTGAGTTTGGGTAATACATCTGGCCCATCGCAGCGCCTGAGCCATAGGGATCGGGATCCGGATAGACGTAATTGTTGTTGTGCGACGGAGATGCCATTTGAGATGGTGATTGCCAACCCATGTTTGCCATATGCGGGCTACCATTTGCGCTACCTGGTTGACGCTGTTCCATGTTGGCAGGAGGCTCTAGAATGCTCGGTGGGCCATAACCTGTTGGATGGGAGGTAGGTCGCTGCATGCCATTTGTAAAAGCCGTAGAAACTGGTGGTGGCTGATTTTGTACACCATAATCACCTCGAAGATGTCCTGGTAAAGAGCTGTTGTTCATGTATCCGTAGTCACCAGGGTGGCGCTGCATATTATTCATTGGTGCCATGTCAGAACTTGGAGAAGCAGAGAGATGTCGGCCTGGGGAAGGTGTTGACATCGGGGATCCATTGTTCGAATACGACTCGCCATCTGAACGCTGTCTGCTGGGTCGGTTGTTCCCAGGACGGCCAGCTAGAGCAGCAGCGGTTGCAGCAGCAGCTTCTTCAACAGTTCCTGTATGATGATTTTGGTGACGGGTCAAAGTGGTTCTTCGGGTAAAAGTCTTTTGACAATCAGCATACGGGCATTTGTATGGACGCTTCCCGGAATGAATTCTTCTGTGCCTGGCAAGAGAGCTAGAGTCACTGAAGGGCTACACAAAGTCAGTAAAACTTGTCTATATTATACGTTATACAGGAATGCTTACCTTTGCACAACGTTCACAAGTGTGAGGCTTTTCACCAGTGTGGACACGTAAATGAACTGTTAAAGCGGATCTTTGAATGAATTGTTTACCACAACCGGGATAATCACAGACATGAGGTCGAACTCCACTGTGAATACGCTCTAAAGAAACTGTTAGTGCTCGGTTCTCGGTAATGTTGTGTAGAAGAACTCACCATGTCTTGCAAGATCACTTCGACGGGCGAATCCTTTACCACAGGTGCTACAAGGGAAAGCTTTTGTAACAGTGGTATCGCCAGGCTGGCGTTGACGTGTGTTATCTTGCTGTTGTGTAGACATCATTCCATTGTCGAAAGCAACATCAGGACGATAAGGTTGTTGCATCATTGGCATTGAATTTTGCATACCAGGAGGTGATGGATAGCGCATGCCATTTGGTGCTCCGTTCATTCCATTCATGCCCATCCGTGGAGTAGAATATTGAGAATGTTCAGAGCCATGAGGAGAATTACCTCTCTCGGAACCAGCATCAGACATGCGTAAACCGTTGGCTTGCGATATGGATTGGAGTAAGTGTAAGTCTTGAGCCTGACCACTTGCCGATGCCGCTGCCGCTGCCGCCGCTCCTTTCGCACCTTTTGAATTAACTATCTCTTTGATATCCATGGTGTGATGAAATTTATTTCCTGGCTAGGAAAATGAGGTAAAGAGGAAGAAAGAGGATTATAGGATGTGATGGACGCTTGGATCAAGCGTTCGTACCAAGTTTTAAAATATGGTACCGTGTCTCGAAGATTTGCTTTGTGTCTCGGGAACAAGTGTTCGAGAGGCTGTGAGTTATATGCAAGAATATAAGATATAAATACAACCTAGTTGTAAGATTTAAGATTGGGCCGTAGTGAATTGGTACGGTAACGTGATTAAGTGATTTTTGTTCAATCAATAAGATAAAACAATGGTCGATGTAGTTTTATCCTGGGGATTCTGCGGCTTTTCAGTATTTTCAAAAAAGTCTATACTGAGTGAATGTTAGCTAAAGTGTTATGGGGTAAGAAAATGCAATGCTGTGTGTGGTGTTGGCATCTACAACAGCACGGTGCACACCGCTAATTCTCCAAATATGTAGGAATTGAGAACAGACAGGAGAGTCAGGGAAGAGAAAGTGGATGGGTGGATGAGTGGATGGGTGGGTGAGTGGATCATGTATGAATGTAAATATGTAAATATCCGAGCTTGCTTACCTTGTTGATGACTGGGCCACTGTACGGCTTCAAAATCGAAAAATATTAAAATATGGCCGCGACAAATTTCCACGTTCAGTTACTTTGTAATCCGCCAATCTGGACACTGGGTTGGCGGGGATGCGGGAAAAATCACAACGCACGGGCGACCGTACAGCCCGTTAAAATGAATGCCTCGTTTTTTTATTGCTTCCAAATCAGAAGAGCGTAGATGGAGAATTCCAATTCAGGAAAGCTGTCAAAGTCTTTTGACTTTTATCTCACTGATAATTGATTAATCTTTCAGAGGCGACTGCGCATACGCGTTCTGTGGCCAGAGAAGTTCTGTAGGGATCGCCGACCGTATGAGCGGCAATTCCCAGAACTTGTGAATATGGCTGAACCTCTTTTGAGAGATGCTGGTTCGGGATGCTGCAGTGTCTGAGGCACGAGCCAAAGGTTCGTCTGATGAGATGATATGTCGAATCAGCGAGCAAATGTGAGATGTGATGAGCGAAGTGCGTTTGAGTGGCGCGTTTCCAAACTTGGCAATTGAGGTTGCTTGGATGAAGTTTGGTCAATCTGCAAACTGGATTCTTTCGACAAGAAGTGAGCTTCGTCCGAAGTATAATCCTTCTTGTTTGTGTATCGGCACTTAGGACTCGAGTCCTTCTGCGGATGTTCAAAGTATCAACACCAAGTATTCGCGTTGCAAAGAATATATCTGTCTGTTTGTAGATATCGTTCGAAGAGCGCGTCGTAGAAGAAAGATTGATTCTTTGACAGGTCCGAACAGGCGAGCGAATGTTTAGATAGATGTACTAGTATCCCGCCCAATGTTAGTGATGGTTCTTCCCGTCATTCAATGTGATGAGTAAGGATGTGCACACTTACATTAAGATTGTAATCTGATCTTACCGGATTGAAGTGACGTTGAGTTGAAGTTGTAGTTTTTTTTAAGGTGACACGAAGGCTAATAAGATGCCTCGGAAAAAACCATGCGATTGCTGCAGGGCGGAGAAGAGATCTCGAGATGGAGGCTGCTTCTGGGCTGAACTAGAAGCTCGGGATACAATGCGGCAGGTACTCTTTTTTTTGATAGTTGATAATGCGCAGATATCTATTTTAAAGATAACAAATAAGAAATACTTTGTACAATCAAGATAAATGCTCTGTAGATGTTGTTCTTCAATTAGAAACAACGAATGGTAAGCTAAGATATCAAAGCGCAGAATTTGCTGTTGGGGGGGGAAAAGAAGAGAGAGTTTGAGAAAGAAAGGGCAGGTTCAATGTATCATGGAAAAAGAAGATGATCAACTCACAGATAGATGATTGTTTGATTTTTTTAATTAGTATTTTAATGTTTTAATGTCCTGGTGCGTGTGTAAGGCGCAGAAATGGTAGATGGAGTTTTCCAAAAGAGCGGGATTTTGGGCATCTAGGAGGATTTGGTTGACAAGGAATGCGGAATAATTGAGAAAAGACTAATAAGGCTAAGAAAAGAGTCAAGAGATGGAGGGATGGAGGGATGGAGGGATGGAGGGATGGAGCGAGAGAGGGTTAGAGGGTTAGAGGGTTAGAGGGTTAGAGGGTTAGAGGGTTAGAGAAATGGAGAGTGGATGGACTGAATGGACTGGGAGGGATGCAAAGATATTCGGGTCGAGGGGTTTTGAAAGAGGGGGGGAATTACTGAACTAGAAGCAGAAAAAAGGGTTTCGAATCCTTCTTTTGGCCTTCTATTCGGCAATAGTGGGTGTCCACCAGGATCGAGGGTGTGTGAACTCTGAAGGCTTGTTGGTTGATGGGATGTCGATGGGGTTGTCAATGGGTTGTCAGTGCTTTTTTTCAATTTTACAGGGCTTGTTAGGTTTTGCAGGCTTTATTGGGTGGGGCCTTTAGGTTCCTGGTTTTGCTGGTACGAGTGCTTGAAGCTACTTTACTTGAGTTACAGTAACCTTATCCAGTAGGACAAAGGGCAAAATAAATAAAATAGAAATAAAATAAAATAAAAAATAAAGAAAAGAAAAGAAAAGAAAAGAAAAGAAAAAAGAAAAAAGAAAAAAGAAAAAGACTTGCTAAAACTTTAAACCTCAATAGATGGTTTACGACGAGAATTGGAGAAGAAAAATCATCAGGGACATGAGAATTCAAAACGAGAGAGAAAGACTTGAGACTCCTAGGAACGGATTTGGGGGCTCAAATACCTATAGAAAGAACTGGTGCATTCATTTGCATGATCATTTATTCTTCTTTCAATTCGATTCGTATGGATATATGATATTTTCTATTTTCTACTTTCAATCTTTGTGTCGATGCGATGATAATTAACCACAGGATTAAAACAAGTCAAGTCTGAATAGACTGTTTGTCGACGGTTGGCCATTACGCACCCGAAGAAAGAAAAAGCAGCTTCGATACAGTTATTGATATAATATTATCTACCGTCTACCCAACCATCTCTCTATTTACTCTATCATAACTATCACTCGACATTTGCCTGGGCATACGAGCAATGAATGAACAAAACGAGAGATGGTTTGAAGTCTGCCGATCAAAACCTCCACTTCTGAATCCACTTTCCACCCACTTCCTTTTTTTAATATATGTAAATACCTACCTACTCTACCTAGGTACCTGGTATAGTGTTTACTTCCACTTGGCTAGTCTCTAGATGAAGATTTACGAATACACCCACCTTGTACAAAGTACAGCCGTACTTTTAAACTTTTCCAAGATCCTCTAGTCTACCGCCCCTGGTCAAGTCCGACTCAATCCTATACATCCTGTCACCGCGATCTCTCAAACATGAATGGCCTCTCTTCTTGACGCAGGCTCCAGCAAACCGGCGAATCGACGATACTGTACAACACATATTCATTATAGGTTCATGGTAGGCGGCTCGTATCTGGGGCGTATATGAACTCTGCCTCGCATTCCCTACATACATACATACATACATACATACAAGTGCTGTAAACCTATTGATTGCAGGCGCCCATTGCCACAACTTCATGCCACTTTCATCCTGTCATTCAAACCCATTTACGGTGGACCCAAGGGTAAGCTTGACAGGATAATGCTAACACCGGGTACAGTGTCAAAACCATTCCGAGCTCTCGTCAATCCCATGCCATCCATCCTTTTCAATTGTGGTAAATTAGCTCTATTTAGAATGTCTGTCCATATCCATGTCCACCATTCACCATGTATCATCACCATGAATGATGATCGAGTGACCAAAAGCCACCGGGGGGTCCGTTTCCATTCAAATACCCTCAATCAACGGCGCCCCACGATGAATGCTATTTCCCACCTGTAGAATACCAAGTATCTCGTATCCTAGTTTTCTAGAATGTCTCTGAACCCTCCGACCACCGCCTTTATCATAAGTGCTTGTCTGATGCACGATTTGTGACCTCACAAGTGCTCCGCTGTACCAGGCTTTAAAGTCCAGGAGCGTGAGTTACAAGTGGCAAAGGACGCTGCCGCACTAAATCATTATCCCGTCCCGAGCCTATGAGAAACTTCAGTCATCTCCTGAGAAATTCCACCCCGGCAAACCTTGAGCAGCTTCTTGATGCTCGATAGTAGATAGTAGATGCGTACGCTACACCGTCAGAACGTTGACCAGTCCAAATAGGGCAATGATTGATGGGTGAAACTAACTTTTGGTAAAACTCCTAAAAAGCTAAGCCACAATGTGCCGACGTCTGTGCTTGTGCCTGTGCCTGACTGCATTACTTGCTCCCGCGTACCTTAAGTAGGTCATTCCTGAATAATTTGTATAATAACCACTTTGTGAACAGTGAGTGGCCTTGCATATCATTTAGTCCCACCGCGTATTCAACTAAGAACGGAATCGGTACGGTGCGATCACTCACTTGTTACCAGACGACATAAATAGAGGTGCACTTACCAATCGCGAATCATAGAACTTGCGGAATATGCTAAAGAATCTTCGATAGCTTTGGAAAATCATTCACAACCCTCGGTCCAACGCGAGACACGTGGGGCGGCACTGGCGAGTAAGGAGATGTGTAGTAGTTTCTGGGATGTTTTGGAGAATTCAGAACTAGGAGGCGGTATAGAATAGTAGCCAGGGGAGTCACTCTGCTCTTGCCCCTGAGCGGGAGAGGATCCGGAAAAATCTTATACACATTTCACAACGCTGAAATACCAATCGCGTGACTGTTCTTTTACTTGAATGCACTGTAGAGCCTGTTCGGAGATGATGCAGGATACCTTGCACGGTAGTCTTTATAAAATGCGTGCCTTTGGTACTCGCTAAGGAAACCATGAACCACACTAGAGAAGTCCAAACTTCACATAGAACTAGGCGGCGTGTAAGGTTACTGGTTTTGTGTACAGGTCTAGGGCGGAAATTGCTTTTCATCTCTTAAAGGATCTGAGGATCTAATCTCCTCTATTCGACAATATGATAGCGGCTGGATGAGTAATATACAGGAGAGGAGCGGTACAACCCTTGAGACGTTGACGTATAGATCATCGGATCAAAGATTGACAACCTATGTAATGTGGAAAGAAATCGGCTGGTGGAGCGGCAATGATAAAGGGTAATACGGTAAAGGGGTGTTGTATTTATTTACACAATGCGATGAGATACCATAGTAAAACATAGCCACCAGGAAATTTCTTTGCATTCCTGGTGGCGTCATGTGAGTCTGAATCTCTTTCCTTCCATACTGTTGGTAAAATG